GAGGGACTAAGGTATACCAAAGATATTAACTATCTGATACATAGTCACACTATTAAAGGAAGAACGATGACTGTAGAATTACACCTATCAACACAAAGTTTCAACAGGAATGTGCGTTATACATAGCTGTCATCCACAAACTTCAACATTCACGGAAGTGATGTGGTATAAACTGGATTGACGACAGGCTAGCTTGCATTCCGCGCTCAAGATAGGATCTCAAGATACAGAAGAAACATGTTGAAGATGTTTACTGTCTTATATACAATCTTGGCATACTTGTCACTAATTGTATTGTGTCAAATATTGGCGTGGAGTGTGTGCTGCCAAAATGAGGTCATGAGCTACGAGCTGTTCACTCAGCTTCTTGTGAAAGCGCAACATGCATCCTATCCTGAGTTGAACGGTGAGCGGCCCGAAGATTACGAGTAAAGTCACGATCTGTGTTCGGGTGTTGAATTTCGTATTGTTATCAAAACTCACACTATAAGAGTTTTGCATAGGCTCAATGTAGAGCTACTACGTGATATTCGTGTGTGCACCAAAGATAAGATTTCAGAGTCTCAAAAGACAATTCCCTCGTTTTATTCTAGGTCTCCATTTTATTGCTAGATGGTCACGTAGCACCCCGTACTTTGCTGATTTGGCCAAGGATACAAAGGGAGTGGCAGCTGTCTGAGGCGAATATCCGAAGCGATTAATGCTAGACCTTTTTAGATTATTGAGAATGTTTTTTTGTTTTATCCTCGAGCTATCCGTTTTATTATATGTATGCACTATATGGTTATGATCTAACAAAATGCTTGCCCACTCAAGCTTTCACCTTTCATGCACGTATGATTGTTTTTATGTGATTAGAATCGTTGTTCCGAATTTAGTATATAGCCATCCATTATATCCTGGTTCGAAAGGTCACAAACCTGAGACCTAGCATGTAGAACCATGCTTATTTGATTTCTACTCAAGCCTCAAAGAGTGTGCTTTGAACACTTTTGACTTTTACCCCTTAATAATCAGTGAAACCAAGAGGTTTTCAAGCCAACCAACCACTCAAGCAGATTAGGTTTGTCCACTCTTGATTTCACCTTTATGGATGATCGGCTCTAACGCATCCCATAAAGGATTCTTAGTCGTCTATCTCCTGGGCAAAAAAAAAAAGATCTTCCTGCAATCCTCAGGAAGTTTATCTAATCAGTCGAGTTTGAGCATTTAGAGTTTGATGATCAAGATATAATCGCAGAATTAATATTGAATCATTTTTGATTACTCAACTTGAGAGTTTGAAGTTAGTGAGCACTGCAGTCAAGCCAGGAGTCAAATTCGATGGTCTTTCTAAAGCCCAATAGCGTGCAAGATAATCTCTTATATTTTCTGTGGCCTTTAAGGATAGTGAACACAAACTCAGTAAGATGGTAAAAATCCTAAAAAAGGGTTAATAGTCTAGTGGTATGATTCCTGCTTTGGGAGCAGGAGGTCCTGGGTTCAATTCCCAGTTGACCCCATATTTTTTGAAACTTTGATTTTGCTACCTGTCATTTGTTATAGTGCACACAAGATAGAATTTGCGCGAGGTATATCTGTTGTTTCCCTTTTGTTTACAAATTATATTGCTTGAAGATTTAACTCTCGTTTAGAAGAACTCATAACGCGGCGATGTTCAACGGTCTGAAGAACTCTACCTCGCAACTAACAGGTCCTATGTTATGGAGCTTCAAAAGGTTTTTTTCTGTCGACAGTGCCCTTTTACAAGAGCTTTCTCGAGCAGAAATGAGAAAGTTGTCGCCAACAAAGTTGAAAGAACTTAAACTACAGCACAAACCAAAGGCTCCCAAAAGTGCTTACCAATTGTTCATCAAACACAAGTTTGCAACGAACACTGACAAAGACACCAATCCGCGGGACCTTCTTGGGAGGTTTGCTTCCGAATGGAAAACAGCCCCCGAAGAGGTCAAGGCACCATTTGTCAAGACACATAAAGAGGCAGCTGCTGAGTACGCAAAGGAGTTTCAGGCTTGGAAAGAGAAATACACCGTTCGCTCTCCGTACATGAACTTTTTCATGTCGATTTACCCTAAACGAGTCGTCAAAGATTTTAGCCAAAACAGCTCGATCATGAAACAGATTGCTGAAGAATGGAATGCTTTATCACCAGAGCAAAAAGAATCATACAGATCGAAAGACTGAAACATTGTGTAACGAATTGGAGAAGTATTAAATTTGAAAAGCTATATATAGTAATCAAAATCAATAGTAACTTAACTTAATAGGTAGATACGTGTGCGCCCAATTTGAGGGCTTTGGGTTTGCTTTTCAGTTGCTGTATTGCGCACGCCGAATGTAGTAAACGAATCAGTAAGAGTTCCACAAATGTTTTTTCTCGCAAAAGCATAAGTAACCATAATAAGTCTGATTACCGAATACAATAGCTGGTTTTGAATGTGTTTATAGTGGTTGATTTTTGCTTATTGAGGACATTTGATTAATGAGTCTGCTCATGGTCGTGGTACTGCTCTCCGTTTTGATCTTGCCCCTCAAAATTTTACACTAAAATCATTTTTTTCCTGTCGTCTACTGCATTCTCCTAGGCTGCTATACATTCAAATCAGGCTACTTTTGACCTTTCTAAATGCAACATACTAAACTCTTATTCCTGTTATGTCTCACTGCTATTACATTGACAGCAAATGCTGTCGATCCAGCATTCACCCATAGAATTACACTCGAAATTCAACAAAATGATGAATACTTAGGGAATTTGACACTTGGCCTATTTGGATCCGTGGTTCCCAAAACAGTGATGAACTTCTATCAGCTATCTGAAACTCATTATACCAACACCACTTTCCATCGGGTTATTGACGGTTTCATGATACAAGGGGGGGACTTTGAAAATCATGATGGTACAGGGGGATACTCCATATATGGAAAATCGCAAGGTTCCCTACCTGACGAGAATTTCACACTAAAGCATGATAGAGTGGGACGGCTTTCAATGGCAAACTCAGGGCCCAACACTGCAGGATCCCAATTTTTCATCACTTCTGCTCCGGCCGAATTCTTGGATGGTAAACATGTGGTATTTGGTCAACTTATAGATGGCTTTGAGACGCTGGGGGCAATACAAAGAGTTGCAAAAGATATCGAAGACAGACCATTGACCAATGTCACGATATCAAGTGTCAGAAGAGAAGTGATGGATGATCAGATGGACGACTACACGGAGACAGCCAAACATCAGAATTCAACGCCTACTGAAGGATTGGAGAATAGAGAATCGTCACAAGATCTCAAGCCAGTGCTTGAAGAAAGTCTAGAAATCTCTAGATCACAGAATTCCGGAGACAGCTTTTTGAAACCTCATTTTTCCAAAGAGCTTAAGATGGGCCCGCCAGTTACCAGGTCAACCGAGGCATTATCAATAAGTCCTACTAGTGATCATAAGAAGCCTAATGAGATCCAGAACCCTGGAGGGATAAAGTATGACTCTAGCGTGCACATGGTGCTATTGCCATTCTTACTTTTCTTCATTCTACTGACCACCATGTTTCTCAAATATCGAAATAAGGTCTTGTTCAAAGTAAAAGGTCCAAGATACAGAAGGTTATAAGCTCTTGGCAACCACGAGATTAGAAGTCCCGCCAGTCTCCTTAATGCGGTATACATAAAGTGCTGGATTCAAGATGATATACCTTCGAGACAGATCAATGATGAACTGATAGTTGTGGCTTCTGAACATTTGAATTATAAAGCTGATGGATCCAGCAGGCGTTTGCAAAAAGAGTCCAAAATCATGTACTATTCGTTGCTTATTAAAACCATGGTATCCTTCCACGATGTCAATCAAACTCCATGTATCATTTTGGAGAGGGCAATACGAACATGACTCAAGAGCACAATCGGAAATTACGTACGAAAAGTGTTTCCAAAATTCTTTGTCATTCAGTTTGAGTTCATCTTCAGTCTTGTCGTAAATCAAGAGACTGGACTTGATTTCACCAAATAAGCTAGCACCTGTCATACGAGACTTCACACTTAAATGTATCATTATTGGATCGCTGTTTGGATGCGAAGTCATGACAGTGGACAACCTATCATTCAACAGCTGCAACGCATAGCCACCAGGATAGTTGAAGCTCGAAACGAAACCAGCAAAAATGTTCAAAATGTAAGAGACTGATATCACTAAACAAACAAGCGTAAACATAATATTTCTTAGCAATCTTGATCTTGGTTCGATTTTGGCAAGGAAACAAGAGGCAGACAATAAAATTCCCGGTAAGGAATAAACGATGAACCTCCACTCCTTATGTGGTTGAATCGACATCAGTAATATATACGCCCAAGAGGAAAATATGATGATCTTGGCTTTAATTGAGAGGTATGATGGTACGAACAATCCTAAAAGTGCCAAGCATGGGACCACTGGTAAAATGAAAAGCTTAGGAATATACTTGGTGAAGTAAGTGTGGAAAGGTTCAGTTCCCCATTGTACCGATTTGCCTTCTATTACATTGAAGTAAAATGATTCAACTTCGGGAAAAGAGAATTCTTGCCAAAAGTAAGTATCAACGAGCATCGTCATCAATGAAGCACTTATTGAAGTTGTCACTATTTTGGGCAAGGTGCTCCCTAATCTCAAGTCTCCTAATGCTATGGCTGTTATGTAAAGTAAGATTCCAAATGCTAATATTTCAATTCTTAAGATGATGCCTGTTGCCATGATAATGGAGATGCCAGATATAGTATGTCCCTGCAGAATCCATGAGATACCTGTACTAACCATTGGCATTGCCACAAAGTTGGGTAGTGTTCGGGATGCATAATAAAAGAAGTGAAATTGGGAAAACTGAAGTATTGAGAACCAGAGTTGAATCTGTTCGCCTTGCGCAGACAATCTCAGAGATTTGGCAACCGCTTCTCGCAGCTTTATGAAAGTAATCGAGTTTAGTAGCCCAAGTACGAATCTGACGGTGACCTGGCGTATTAATTGCGTATCCTTGTGATAGAATAATGAGGCTGGCATCCAGGAGTCGAAAGTATCAATGATTGCCAGCAGAGGCTTGGATGCCAAAAATATCATCAATGAACCAACAAATGACCGTTTTACGGCGCCAGGAAACTCTTTGTGGTCGAAATGATGTACATTATAAATTCCATAATTAATCAAATCATGTATAGCCTGCAAATTGAAGGACTCCTCGACTTTGGTATAGGGTGATATCATCAAGTGGAAGACTACAGTCGCAAAGAGTATCAGATCAAGACTCCAGGCTTTCAATTTCATATATGATGTATGTGACGTCAACATGCAAGAGGTTGAGCTCTTAGAATGAAAACAGAAAACTGGGATCAAATTTGATGTTCCAGATTTTGATATTTAATATTTTAGGTCAAGCAAAATCAGATTCAAAGAGTTAGTTGTCAATGAATGAAAACGATATTGACTTCATTCCTGAGCTTGTAACCGAAGAAAATGAACCTATCAGGTATTCGAAGGACAACAGAAGAGCCACAAACTATAGAGAGCATTCTGGATTAACTGAAAAAGATACGACAAACAAAATACCAATCACGATCGTCACTGGATATCTCGGTTCCGGAAAATCAACACTATTGGAACAAATCGCGAAAAAGGGTGATAGGAGGGTAGCAGTAATCTTAAATGAGTTTGGAGACTCAGCGGCTATCGAAAAATCATTGACAATAAAAGGAGGCAACTCTCAAGAATATGAAGAGTGGTTGGACCTGGGAAACGGGTGTCTTTGCTGTTCCGTTAAAGACAACGGAGTCGCAGCTATAGAGAGACTGATAGCAAAACGGAAGGGTTTTGATTATATTCTTCTTGAGACAACAGGCCTGGCCGACCCTGCCCCTATAGCCACAATGTTTTGGCTTGACGATGCCTTATCATCAAACGTTTACATCGATGGTGTCGTCACCGTGATCGACTCTCAAAATATCGAAAAGTGGCTTTCGGATACAGGAGGCCACACTCATGGGCCAACAGAAACAGATGGCGGTATAACAATCGCTCACCTGCAGATTGCAATGGCCGATGTAATTCTTCTAAACAAAGTTGATAAAATGGACCAGAAAGATCTTGACCGATTGGAAGAAAGGGCGAAGTCTATCAACGCTGTGGCGCCAGTGTATCGCTCAAAATATGGTGACGTTGATCTTATAAAGATATTGGACCTGCACGCGTACGACACCAAAGACGTCTCACCATTTTTGAGAAATAAAGCTCTGTATCATGATTCCACAATCCACACGATTGCTCTGGAGTTCCCGAAGGTTGACAAAGATGGGTTCGAAAGATTTGAACGATTTCTGCAAGATATACTTTGGGTGGAGAATGATGTTGAGACATGGAATATGGAGATTTATAGAGCAAAAGGTTTACTCTACTGTGGAAGGAGTTTTAGGGTACTCCAAGCAGTGCGAAAAACGTACGATTTCATAGATGGTGATGAGGATGGACCAAATCAGCCAACACTTCATAATAGCAAGCTTGTGCTAATAGGAAAAGGACTATCGTTTGAAAAGTTGAAATCTCATTTTGAGAAGTCCGTAGGGCTCTCCTTGATTGAAAGCTAATGAGAAAGACATGAACGGATCCCAAGGTATCAAGTTTTGGCAAATGCCAATGTTGACACCGACTCTGTTACTGGTGGATCATTGCGAGAACTCAACCCGAAAGATATAGTGATTCAAAAGTCTTACGTAACAAAGAAGGTTAATGCTGGCTGACGTCAACCGCAAGGTGCGACTTTTCTTTCAAACCCAACTATAAGAGGAGTATTGCCCTTGGTCATAAAAAAAGGTCTATTCTTGCGGGTGCATACACTTTATATACTTGTATCGTAATTATAAAGTTTCTCTTCATATTGCTCGAAACACAAAAACAAACGTACTCTTTAGTCACGAGAATTGAAGAGTATGCTTCAATATCGTGGATCATATACCTGTTCCAAAATTGCTGTATTCAGTGAAATGAATCGGGTTGCAATATATGCTATTAGCTTTCACTGAATACTACACAAGATTCTGGCATGATAACCTTCAAGTAAAAAGACTACAGCTAAAGGTTTGAACGGACACTATTAGAGAAGCCAGTAAGAAGTAAGTCATTATTTTTAGTAAAGTTCTATTTTGTAAAACACTTACGTCAGATAAAAAAGCTCATAGCGGGAAATTAAAGGGCACAGTACCACCCTAACACCTGACATTACCCGATAAAATTTTTTTTTAATTTTTTTGATAACTTAACCCAAAAAAAATTGTATGATAAATTTAATCAGCACAGTCAACATTAACTACCCCCCTCAATATTACTAGCCATATTCAATTGCACGACGGACAGTCAAAAGTTGTTGCAAAAAATAAAGGACGAAATTAAGAAAGTGATCACTAAAAGTTGGCAATTAACGTGATACTTTTTCCAATCCCGATTTTAGCTATCGACAGTTTTTTGCGCTCAGAGGATTTACAATGTCTTTTGAGCAGAGATTCACATCCCAGTCTGATCAGAGTTATCAAATAGCTACCCCCGGTCAAAGTTCATCACCAGCACCTCGTCCTATGACGGCGTCAAGCGGCTCTACCGCAAACGGCTATCACTATAATGTTCCGAGTAGACGCTCATCTCTCTCTACCGCACCTTATACCATTCCAGTAAAGAGTTCCACAAACATGCCACCAGGCTCACAAAGGCTGTCATCGTCATTCAGTGGCACCACTGGTCCGTACTCTATAAGCCCAGGAAATTTGGGGTCATCACCACACACAGGTGGCCCAATTCATAGTCATCTTCATCAACAACAACCTCAGCAATCTCATCTAGGTACTTCCGTTCCCATGTTAAGTAGAGAATTTGTTGTGCGTCGTATATCAGAGGGTGAAACGGGACGTCTGAAAGAGGAATTAAAATGTGAAGCTTGTGGTAAAGGATATAAACACATATCGTCCCTGGCAAAACATCTTTGGGAACATACACCGGAGTGGAATATGACCAAAAAACTGCTTATTAGTAAGCACCAACAGGTTCAGTTGCTAGAAGCCGCCAGTATTCTTTGCAGCATGACCGAAAACGGTTCGGAAAGTGGGGGGTTTAGATCTCGTTCGCAATCTTTGAGCACTCCTTCCCCTGTCTACGCCCAAGTTTCCTCATATTCTCAATCGAATCAACGACCCCAACAATCTCAATATGCGCCACACACAAAGCTACCTGCTAATTCGCCTCACCTGCAATCTCTGTCATCTGTGAACAATGTTAGCAATTTCCGTGAGCACCACGCAGAAGAGACCAATGGTCCTCGTCAGATAGAAAATGATGCGCCAATCTCCCCATCACCAGATGTTCAAATCGAAAATAATAGCTCAAAATCTCCCTTATCAATAGAGGAGCATGGAGAAGGAACACCTACCAGTTTGACTCTGAACACAACGAATTCGAATCTATACTTGCACTCCAATTTAAGCCAGTCCCTTAGTGGGACAACATCAAAAACACCACCAGTTTACACTACGACGCTGCGGAAAAACTCAGTGTCACAATATCCTCCTTCATCGTTATCGATCTCTGTCTCAAGCACCCCACGGAAAACTATGTTGTGCGAAAAACCTACAAGGTCTGATGATGTGGTCGCGCAATATGGAAAGGATGGTTTAATGGCGCCAAAAACGGAAGAATCCACATCTTTTAGTGGCGAAAGTGAAAATGAAGACGAAGATAATCACTATGGCACGGAATTTGTGCCAAGAGACAACCGAGAGGAGGATGAAAAGATTTTTGGAGATTTAGAGGATTAATAAGGTTAAATATATCATTGAGTGCTTTTAAATTTTCAGTTTTTAACGAAAATGGAAATATGAACTTTATTTAAATGATTAAGCTTCAACAAAACTATTGATGTCATAGAAAATTAGGCTATGCTAGCAATTTTCACTGCTTTTAGTATACATTTCATGTAATTGCCATCTTACAGACGGCTTCTGCATACCATTAGGAAATTAGTTTTCTCTCCAGCGGTGTCCACACTTGCAACACTTATAAAATGTCGTCATAGGCTCATCGGCTGATCTGATTTGGAGCTGGAAGAAGTAAGCTTTGTCGAAACCACAGGTTTCAACCGGACATTGCGTGACAGTTTGATCAACATTGTCCCATGCGCCTTCTCCTCCGAGAACGTCATCGACTTGTTTTCTCGGCAGTTCCTTTCGCTCATATATTTGAAGGCCATCAATTGGAAACTCATAGGGACAAGTGGGACAGGTGAAACTGTTACTCCCACTAATATCCGAACGCGCTACGACCAGCATATTTGAGCAATATGGACAAAAGGTGAGCATATAAAAACAATCAGAGAAGGTTCCTAAAAAATTATCAGAAGGTAAGCCCGGAAATACTGATTTTTTCAGGGGAGATCTGGTTGTGTCGGAAATATTTAATTAGTTCGTACTCTGCAACTATTCCGTGACGGAGTCATGTGACTAAAAATAAATGAAGCTATGCTCGCTCGCAAAGCAAATGCTCTCCGAATGTGTTGAAGCCTAATTGAACAGTTTTCGAGTCGTACCTGAACTGGATATATGAGCTGCGAATCAGATCAAGATAGAAGAATATAAACCTTGATGCAGCATCGTGGGATATCGGTCAATATTTGGACACAAACAAGCCAAATATGAGACTTCAGTCAGAGCTAATCTAGCTCGGAGATCATTATACTACTTTAGTACTGGATATCGGTGACAAGACTCATGGTGTATATTCGTTTGATGGGTGCCCTGCTATATATGTTATATGCCTAAGATACCTAAGATAGGTTTGAGGTTACAACCAAAACGCAAAAATTTACGATTATCCACCACTTGTCCTAAATTATTATATAAGTGATTGAAATCAATTGAGTGTCAGTGAGTAATATTTGGGTATTATAGCATCTTTATTGTAGTGAAATAAAGGCTCAAAAATAATCTTCTGTATTAATTACAATCAAGCTGTAGTCGAGACTTCCAGCAGTACCATTGACTGAGAAGTGTGCCCAAGGTGTGACATAATCGGTAAAACTGGATGTAACTTGCAGGTTAATCAATTGCTTGTAATGGAAGATTTGCATTCAGCTTGATAGCCTAAGTACATTTTGATCGGATGGCAGCATGCTTGGGAATTTCGTTATGATTGTACTCAATGATTTGGTGAGGTCAGAAATGACTCTAGTCATCAACGTAAAGTCCCAATCAAAGCTGCTGGAAAAGTTACACAGCAGAAAATCTACAATTACCTAGTACAGTGAAATGTACTCAACATGAGATGGTTGATCGTATTCGGAAAATTCACCAATTGTTTTTCCGAAACAACACCCCTCTGTGTAAGATCGTAAAAAGATTCCTCGTATGTTACTTTGAGAAGTCTGGCAATTATCAAAAAGTGCATACTAATATTATACCAGTCATTTGCTCGCTTTCATAGCGCAGCTACTTCGATTAGCATCAAATGCCGTCCATACAGGTGTCCTAGGTATTCTCAATTTTGTATGGGAAAAGCGTACCAGAAAATTCATCGCGGAAAATAATGATTCTTTGATAAGCAGGGGAGTGTATGTCGTACGCTTCCTCATCAGTGCCCAATAAATTTTAATTTCAGAAGCTTATTCTTGGTGTGACGGGGAGTCAGTAGCGAGGATTTTTGAGCCTTGCAACTCATGTTGCGCGCTGCTCGAAAAAAGCCTGTTACCATCTCCTGTTCCGCTTACGGCAGACTTGATATCAGCATCAGTCAAGCCACCTGTTCCATTTGAAGAGAAATCTTTGGATGCCAAAATACTAGACAAATAAGGATGGTCTTTAAATGACAAAACGGTATCGTCATCCTCGTCAATACAGTCTTTATAGGGGTCCCTTTCAACAGTAATCCATGCCTTTACCTTGAATCCATAGGCTTTCAAAGGTTGTGGAGTTTGTGACTGGGACAATTGATGATACTGCTGTGGTTGAGGAGTTGATTCATGAGGCGTGAGTACGCCCGAAGGGCTTTGAGCAGACAAAGTATTTTGGTGAGAAAGATTGGTCTCCTTACTGACTTTTTGAGGATGGTACCAATCTCTTATCCAATACCTGTCCTCTATATTCGAGTCACTAGTATTTAGCGGAAACGCAGTATTCCTCAAGCTCTGTTTATAGAGACTTTTTCTTAATGACATTTTCAGGAACCGTTTTATGTTTCAGCTTTACCTCGAAAACAATTCTCGCTAAATATAAAAAGTGGGTTCAAATTACATAATCAAGTTTAATTTGATATGATGAAAAGAGTTTGATGTCTCTCTAATTAAAAAAAAACTCGATTTGAAGAAATACTATTTATCCTCTCCATCACCAGAAGTCAACAGCAAGTCAACCATCCACTTTACATGAAGGCAACTAGGCTTGAATTAATAAGAATGATGTCTCATGATGGCTCAATAAATTAGGACAGAATGTTTAAATGTTAATCTCCTCTAGTTTTTACAACGTTGCACCACCTCATTGTCATTATATTGAGGCTTCAACTTATTATATCCCATCTGATTTGGTCTTCAGATGAACAAAGGAACATGTCGCATACATTAAAAAGAGTTACCCTGGTTGAGTACGATTTATATGTGGCCACTTGTGAGAGTGTTATTTGATCATAAATTGGTACTTTACCAATTCAGTTGCAATTATATCCCCAGCAATACAATTGACATCTCATACCATTGCAAGGCTACTTTATATTAAAATATGTCCTTCGCTAATCAGTGTCCTAGTTGGCCCAGCTGGCTTCATTATTACAGATTTTTATGACTGTCTTTGAAAGCGATTTCAAATTTGATTGACTTGGGATACTTTTGCGACCACAAATCATATTTATTGTCAATATTTAGCATTGAGAAAGCATAGATTGGTCTCATAAGGGGTCAGAGACCAGGATGGAAAATGACTGCCTCTATTGTTTCTGACATTTCCTGACCGCGAGACAGAGAAGTTCATGCAAAGCACGAAGATGTTCTCATGATTGCGCTTGCTGGAGCTGGAAGTATTGCTATGTGTTCGGATGCTAATCATTGAAAAAAGTTGTTCTGTTAATGGGGCATTTTGTAATGAAAGGGACTAAGGGAGTCCACCTAAATCAAACAACTCATTCTGGTGCGTTTTAAAAGCTGGAAATATGCCTATTCGCATAAGTGAGGCTCATCAGCCCTGAATGAACTGGCCTTGATTTGAATGCAGTCAATTGTCGAAAACTACAACACTGATGCTATTAACAGTGTGGAAGAGACAGGAACTTTTGGAGACTATCACGGAGCATCTGATAGGCTACAGCTCCAATTGTAAGTAGATTATGCTTTCGACGATCTTTCTTTGTGCCACTTCGCCTAGAAAGCATCGGGTGCATATCTGTGTCATTTATGAACACGTAATACCACGAGTCTTCAAATCTTTGAGTACTTCTCCAATTTCTCGTACCTGGGAAATAGCGATATTGCTCGGACCTCTTCATGATTTTTGAATGATCAAATGTCCCCCTCAAATGCCACTCGACAACAAATATGCTTTACAAAACAGTGATGATTTTCCCCTTCTTGAACCCCTATAATGCCCATGAGTGTGCCATTGAATGAAGCACCTGAGCATCTTTGTGAGGTACCATGATTGATAGCTGGCGTGTTGGACAAAAAATTGAGTTGAAGCTGAAGGTTATTTTGGATTTAGTGTGCTGGAATCTTCACACGTCGTGTCAAGAAGGCGAAGGTTTTTTGATCCCATTCAATTAATTGAGACCATTACGAATGCCATTAAATTTTGATGAACGGTGAAGGATAGAGATAATACACCACTCTCCCAAAGGACAATCTGGTGAATATTTGGATGCATTGCAATTTGATGTGCGAAAAGAGAATGTATTGGATTACTTTTAATCACAATAAACTCGCTTACTATTGAGGATGAGGCCGTTTTCAAGCGTGGCAGCCCCCCCTTGATGGAAATAAGAGATTTGAAGCTAGTGTGTCGATAAGACCGAATATTGAATGAGATGGTCGGAGCCACATCCGAGATATGCGAGTATGCGACAATACCTAGCTCTCTAACAGAAGAACCACAGAAGATTACAGCTACGATGGAAGAGGAAAAGATTTTCTTCTCTAACAACGTATTGTTGCCTGAAATTCGCGCTCATTAAAGACATGCTATGACGAACGAAGATAATGAATAGCTTTGTCTCCTAAATTAAACTTAATCTCCTCAATCATTTCAGCTCAAGTAGCTTGCCAAAGGAGGATAACTCCAGCGAAGGATGAAATGTCAGCTTGAAACAAGAATTTTGATCATTTTGGGCTCCACAACATGTTCAGACTAGCTGAAACTTACCCTAGATCATTTTCACTTGATTCACATATTATGCTGCAATGTAGTCCTTGTTTCCCTACAGCACAATACTCATGATATTCTTTCAATCGCTTAGCGAGTATGGGTTTGCAATCAACCTAGATTCAGAGGGTTTTCAAAACCGTAACCAAATAAGACTAAATTGGGTGCCCACGAGAATTGAGTTTATATCCCTAGATTTGTCACCCTCGTAGAAGCTTTATTTCATCCATGTTTTCACAATCGCAGACAAGTCCAAAAGAAGTTTACTTTGCGTTTAGGTATGTGATTTAAATGCGATCCAGAAGCTCTTGCTCTAATAGTGATTTTGTCAAGCTCTCGGTTGTCCCCGCCAATAGACAGTCGCTGTCATTGTATTCTTGCTCTAAGTCGTAACCAGCTTGATTTATTTGATATGGAGTTTCACGATGTATGAATTTTGATCGAAAGAGATAAGCTGAAGTTTCTGCCATGTTTGCAGCACTTTCATCACTTGAACCAGTACTCGAATTGTCTGCATCTAACGGACCAAATCTCATTGATCGAACACCCAGAGAAGGGTTTTGCACCGGAAACGAGGATTTCCTATAGTGGAATTCGACTGTGTGGCTGTGGTCCAAATTTAAGGGATTGATCTTTAGCAGCTCCAGCTCATGAATAGGATGAGATTTTTCATGCTCCTTGTCAGTTGACAAATTGGCCGAAGTTTGTTTCTTCCTACTACAAGAATTTTCGACATTAAAGTCGTTCGGTGAAGTACTCCTGATGTAATATAGTTCAATAATCTTGTCATAAATGTAATCCTTGCTTATCTGCCACGACTTGCTTAGTTCTGTGAAATTGAAACTCACGCTGAACTGATGATCTTCCGGATTAATATGTTCAGCTATACCCTCTAATATATTTAGTTGTTGGTCAGACCAGCTAATGGGACTGGAATCCTCATTTGTGGTATGCCGATCAATGGATCGAATAAACACCGTGGGACAAATGAAGTGATCGATGCTCATTTGTGTGGTATAGATTTTAATATACTGCGATGAGCTATGTCAGTCAGTCAGTATATTCCTCACACGTCAATTTATTTATACAAAGTTAAAAAAAAACCTCAGCTGCTATAGATAGAGATCATTCACAAATAACATTTCTACAAAAACAGAAGTAAAACCTTTTCATAAACTAAAATGGTCCATCAACCTTCAAACTAAAACAAATACGAGCGTAGGGAAAACAAAATTGCATGAGATCTTCGTTGTCTATCGTCTAGACACCTTCAAACTTTTCACTCTCCTAAGTAAACCAGTGGTCTCGTCATCTTTTTTCCTTAGTCTATCCACAAGACTTTTCTTTCTACCCAACTCACCCCCATCTTTCTTTTCTTGAACTCCATATGCTGGGGCACCATCCAAAAATGTGGAAGAGCCCAGCCCCAAAGTTGTATCTCCATGGATTGGAGCAGACTTCACATTTGAATCAAACGCAACAACATTCGGGTTGGGCTTCAAGTCAAGAAATGTGCTATTTGACGCGGAAGCTCGCTTCACCACGACTCCATTGCTGTATGGGCTTTTACCTGAAACTTGAATGTTTTTCGATTTTGATGTGTAGATTGGTTCATCTTCATTGTAACCGAATACCATGTCAATTTGTTGGTCCCTGTTGTTCTTGGGAGCCATTCCTTTGATAGAGTTATTTGGACCATCGACAGGAAACGCCATCACAGGTGCTGCTTTCGTATCTTTGTTTCTATGGGGAGTGCAAGCATCAAACGGACCATCGTGGTGAAAACCGCCACCTGAAAAAAAACCAGTAACATCTAACTTGTCTATGGTGTCCAGGTTCTTTGGTTTATCCATAACAGTCTGCTTTTTAGACCGATGGTGACGATGCGATCTACGCTCTTTGTGGCCACGAGACGATTTGTGTTCACCAGACCTGTGTGGTCTGCTAGACTCACCCACACTTTTCGATCTGACTCTGCCATCTGACGCAATTTTAGTGACCACTGTCCCTGTCAGCTGTTCTGCATCTAGCCGTTTTCCATTATACTCCCTACGGGGTTTATAATATTGCTTTGGGGCGGAGGATGACCCAGGAAATGGATTAGGAGAAGACTCGCTTGAACTGGAATCGCTACTTTGTTTCATCTTCTCATCGTTCGGATACTCATCTTTCTGGTATTTATTTGTGACTTCATCGTAAGGAGGCGGTAGGTCATGGTCATCATAATAATCAGAGTGTTGATCGTATTGAACTTGCTTATGAGGTTTTCCTGGCAACTGGTGAGAGGGTTTTGGCAAACTGCTTTGTGAGTGATTTCGCATATTTCCAATTCCGGTTGAAGAAGGAGATAACATCTCGGTGAATGGATTGTTAGACATGTTGGAATAAAGTCTGTAAAGTTAGTAATTTAAAACTTAAACTTTATATTGTGTCGCGACAGCAAAACAAAGTTGAGGCACAGCCTGCAAGTCAAGAAATATTGGAAAACTTGGCTTTTCTCGTGTGTCACACAAATTCGCTATTGTGAATACCATATGGGCTCACCAACAAGCAAGTAGGCCGCTCAAATTGCAACGTTATCAATGCCTCTTGTGAAGGCCTTTCCTGAAGGTAGGTTGCGCTGGCTGTTGGGACCTCAAGCCTTATGAGATGTAGGGTTCAGTCGGCACATCTTTGAACTGAAGACCTACTTTTACACAAGTTAGAAATGTGGCCTCTCCATATACTCAGTCGATAGATGCTCCTTTTTCCTGAATGTTCCCAATGTTACTTGACTTGCAGGATCATTTGTTCTTGTTGATTTCTGACCAGGGTATGCCGCAACTTCACAAGCCTCTCAGTGTCCACAGTTTGAAATCGATACTTACATTGATGACTCCGAGTTTGCAGAATACAATTCTGGCTTAGCATAAGTCTTAGTTGGAGGAAGATTTTCGTTGTCTGAGTCTACACCTTCCTCCGCATGCTTCTCCAGCCAACGCCTGTAATTTGAGTCATCGCTGACAATTCTTGATTCCTCTTGGAGAATGGCCGACCTGAAAGGATTGTTTGAAGACAATCGCTTAGAATAAGAACCGGTAGATGAAGCTGACAAGTTGGGATGGCTATACATTATATTTTAAGAAATTTGTCTGAAGTAGTCAGTGGTGCTCAACGTACCCAAATAATATCGAAGCTGCTGACGGGCGAAAATACTGTTGTAAAACTTACAGTATTTGACTTCTATGGTTTGGGACTAATCTTTGGTTTTAGTGCGTGAAAATAACAATGTTTTCCTAGCGAACACTTCTATTAATTGCTGAATCTTTTTTTTTTTTCGGAACACGACGCGTATATGGAAATATCTACTTTAGGAAAAAAAAGATGCGCTTTGACTGTTAACCCTACAAAAGTGTTGAGCACGCTAGATATCTATAAACAAGGAAAAATCAACCTTCAACTTTTCGTTGTGCCTTACTTCTTTCAGCTGCCTTCTGGATAACTTGCAAAGCTTCCTCCTGTAATTCTTCTTGTGCTGCTTTGATAAGTTTTTGGTCGAACAATTCTCCCTTTCTTGAATCATCGATCATTCTTTTGACGGTGTTAAGCTTTCGCTTTATTGTGGCCCCATCGCTTGTGTCCACATAATTTTCGATATCCTTGAGAACTTGTTCAGTATCGAACATTACCAACTCCAAATTGTTGACTAACTTCAGATAGTTTAGTTTTGCCTGATCTTGCTTTGTTGTTTGTTTACTTTCGTCTACCAATCGTTTGACTTCCTCGTCGGTTAGGCCACTCTTTCCAAACACAGTTATGGACGATTTTTTTCCACTTGCTTTATCTCTTGCACTCACTTTGATGATTCCATCCGCGTCAATGTCAAACATCACCTCAATTTGCGGCGTGCCCTTTGGTAGAGGTGGAATATCAGTCAATTTGAATTTTCCGATCAATATGTTATCCTGCACGAGAGGCCGTTCCCCTTGATAGACATTAATATCTATTGAGCCCTGCCCATCCACAGCAGTTGAATACATCTGAGTGACTCTGCAGGGCACCGTAGAATTACGTGGCAAAAGTGGTGAAAACATACCCCCATATGTCTCAATTCCGAGAGTCAAAGGAGTAACGTCCAAAAGCAGGACATCCTTCACTTCTCCTGAGAGGACAGCACCTTGAATAGCAGCGCCAAGAGCCACAGCCTCGTCAGGATTTACCTGAGTTGTTGGCTTTATACCAAAAAACCTCTCGACAGTGTTTCTTATTTTAGGCATTCTTGTCATTCCACCGACGAGAATGACTTCGTCGATATCTTGCACTTTCAAGTCTGCATCTTTGAGAGCTTTTTTGACTGGAAGTATTGTCCTCTCAATCAGATCCGAGCTCATGTCATCAAGCTCCTCTTCTGTGAGAGGTATACTTATACTTTCAGTTTTGGTGATGAAAGGCAAATCAATAGTAGTACTCTTCACATGAGATAGCTCAATCTTTGCCTTCTCCGCAGCTTGGCGAATTCTTTGAACGGCAATTCTATCTTGCCGAAGATCGATACCGGATTTCGTTTGGAATCTTTTCAAAATGAATTCAACCAATATATTGTCCAGATCTTCGCCTCCAAGATGTGTGTCGCCATTGGTGGATCGCACCTCAAATACGCCGTCTTCGATATCAAGTATCGAAATGTCAAATGTTCCCCCACCCAAATCATAAACAGCAACAATACCGTTTTTCTTGTCCTTCCCTCCGATACCATAGGCTAAGGAAGCAGCCGTAGGCTCATTTATCACCCTGACAACATTCAATCCAACCAAATGACCTGCCGACTTGGTGGCCTGTCGTTGTGAGTCGTTAAAGTATGCGGGAACTGTTATGACCGCATTCTTTACCTCTTCTGCTAGTTGTAGCTCAGCAACCCTTTTCATCTCACGTAGTATAAAACCTCCTATCTGGGCAGGTGAGTATGACAGACCTTGCGCAATGGTTGTCTGCAGCCAAGCATCCCCGTTCGCATGCTCGACGATTTTGTAAGGCAGTCTGTGAATGTCATTTTGGACCTCATCATCACTATATTTGCGTCCAATTAATCTCTTAGTTGCATAAAAGGTATTCTCATTATTGACGATGCTTTGTCGTTTTGCAGGGGTACCAACAAGAACATCACCTTCTTTCGTGAAAGCCACAATGGAGGGTGTTGTGCGGTCGCCATTTTGATTTTCAAGGATTTTAGGTTTGTTCCCTTCCAACACCGCAACCGCAGAATTGGTTGTTCCCAAGTCAATGCCTACTACCTTTGATGACTTTACTCTTTTTGAAACGAGCCGAACTTGGTGCAAAGTGTTCGAAAGCAGCCTTGAATTTGCCCCGAGCTGGAAACGAAACATTGCAGAGGTAATTTGAATTTTTTTTTGCCATCTCAACCAAGGCACATACATACATACATGCATGCATACATGTAAATACACACAGCCCTAGGAATATTCGCAACGAACAATAGTAGCCGAGTGCACTACAGCTCAAGTAGCGACCCGCTTCCAACGGTTCTCCATAATTTCATATCAGGATTCCAACCTTTCCATTGGGAAAGACGCTCACGAATGTCAACTATGTCAAGATAGTCGTTTGATAGAGTGTTAAAATTGTTGAACGTTTGGAAGCTGGGGGACGACTTTATAGGTGACTCCTTCTCAAATGAGAAATCGGGAAAGGTGTTGCGACCATTGGGGACCTCAGCACATGATGTGTCACCAACGTTTTCACTTAATTGTCGCCGCAAGCTTTCGTTTAATATTTCAAAAGATCGCAGCTTCTCTTCTAATGCACTAATTTTTGATGTCAAGCGTACTTGAGCTGATTTCAGTTCCGAATTTTCCTTTGAGAGCCTGGAATTCTGCTCAACCGCACTTGATAATTTCGCCTCAAGTTGGCGCATCTGCTTCGAAGGGACATCTCCATGCCTCTCCTCTGCGGATTGAAATCTCCTTTCGTCGACTAGCGTAGATTGTTGTTTTGCTGCACTTTCAGTATCCAGGTCAGGCAAATCCGTTGAGCCAACTATCTCGGTTTTCGAGCATTCTTGGCCCTTGCGGTCGTCACCATAGTGCTTCTTTTCATCACCAGTCTCGTTCTTGTGTGGCAGCATTCGCGCTTCTTGTTTATTGATGATGGATTCAGCCCCCGAGTCGCCATCATCAGGAGTGGCAAGCGTTTCAGATTTGGCTGATTCAGAAGCTTCAGCTGTGCTCCAATTTTTTGCTGTATTTGCCGCTGTCTCCATATGACTGTGGTCTGGTACTTCCTTACTTGGGGAATCGGGTTGATGGTCTCCAACATTGCCCTTCTTCTTACCTTTCTTCTTTTTCTTCAGTTCCTCAAACTTCTTCCGGGCCTGCTCAAGCCTTTCTTCTTTGCTTATCTCATCCTCGTTCGCCATAATGAGAATTCTTGTCGGAATATCTAGATTTCTGCCAATTTTTTGCAGAATGGTGACACCGTACACCGAGTACTAGATTACGATTGATTACGTAGCTAAAAATTGCGTAATTACAAGCCTTCAGTACCCTTAGACCTAGACTACTAATGAGGGGTCATCAAAAGTCGCCTTCAAAACATGCTACTATTGCTTGCCACAATATTACTGGCACACTCGTTATTATTGGCCCATTTCAAAAAGATAATTATTTACTTCACACATGTTAGATAAGTGCCGATCGGTCTCGCCAAAATTTTGCCAGGTTGGTTGGCTTGGCGGCCAGCAGAAAAATTTAAAAATTCGTGGCATTTCAAGATAACTTGTTATTCTTTTGTGATAAAGTTTCACTGAAATATGTCTGAGAAAAAAGAAGACCCTCCGGTCGCCACTATTCAGGCACCACCACAAAATGGCTCGCTTTTGAGCCATCTGGCAAACTCTGGCCCTGTCTCTATATTTGCTTATTGCGCATCTTCTATTTTGATGACTGTTACCAATAAATATGTTGTCTCTGGTGACTTCAATTTGAACTTTTTTTTGTTGGCCGTTCAGTCTATTGTTTGCCTGATTACCATCTCCATATTGAAGTTCCTTGGGATCATCACTTACAGAGAATTCAATTACATTGAGGCAAAAAAATGGTCACCAATTGCTTTTCTTTTGGTTGGAATGATTTACACATCCTCGAAGGCCTTACAATTTTTGACAATTCCAGTCTACACAATATTCAAGAATTTAACTATCATTTTGATTGCATATGGTGAAGTTTTATGGTTTGGTGGTTCAGTGACTTCCATGGCTTTGGGATCTTTTATCTTGATGGTCCTTTCTTCCGTTGTTGCATGCTACGGTGACAAGGATAGTTCTACTGGAAATATGGTTTTTGGTGTTGGATATTTCTGGATGTTCCTCAACTGCTTCTCATCAGCTACTTTTGTGCTTTGCATGAGGAAGAGAATCAAGCTAACTAATTTCAAAGATTTCGACACCATGTTCTACAACAATCTATTATCCATTCCTATATTGTTGATTGCTTCTTTTGTTCTGGAAGACTGGTCTCCTGAAAATGTGGCTGTCAACTTCCCTGAAGCCAACAGAAATTCAGTTATCTTTGCCATGATTTTCTCTGGTGCTTCCTCTGTTGGAATTTCCTACTGCTCGGGCTGGTGTATCAGAGTGACATCATCGACTACTTATTCAATGGTTGGAGCATTGAACAAGTTACCGATTGCATTGAGTGGACTGATCTTCTTTGATGCTCCTATCAACTTTTTCTCAATATCCTCCATTTTTATTGGTTTTGTTGCAGGTATTGTTTATGCTGTTGCAAAGCAACAACAACAAAAAGAGAAGAGCCAACAGTTACCTAAATAAGTGACTTTTGCAATCACATTGGCCCCAAAGAGGAATACAAGTATATAGTAGAATCCGAAAAGAAAAACAAGTGATTGTTGATGCCACTAATTAGCTCGTTTTGTCAAGCTTCAAACTATAATCAACGACTGAACATCCTTGGTGCACAGAGGATGTAGAGTAGATATCAATGTCGTTGCTCAAATATTCAGAAATGTTCTCTAAAGTCAACCCTCCGCTGCACTCAAGCAAAAACTGGCGTTTACCTGACCACTTTCTTTTCAGAGATTGAGAGACAGCTTGGAGCTCGGGTCCATTAAAGTTGTCCAGCATAATAATGTCAGCTCCCGCATCGATGGCTTCTTCTGCATCCGTTTCGTTCTGAACTTCGACTTCTATTTTGGTACTAAAGCCTGCCACAATCCTTGCATTCTTGACAGCCTTTCTGATCGACCCTGTTGCCCAAATATGATTATCTTTGAGCATTACCATTGATGACAAATCATACCTGTGAGTGTCCACACCTCCTACAAGCATCGCATATTTCTCAAGCAATCTAAGTCCTGGTGTAGTTTTCCTCGTCCCTGCAATAATTCCTGTATATCCAGCTTCTCTGGCCTTTTTGATAGTGAGGTGTGACTGAGTGGCAATACCACTCAACCGGCAAATGATATTGAGGGACAGCCTTTCCGCAATCAAGATATTTTTCACTGGCCCTTTCACTGTGCACGCTTTTATTTTCCCACTATCAGTTTTTGAGGGTTTCAGGTATGTTCCTTCATCCACATGCCACTCAAAGCTAAGTCCGCATTGATGATATACCTCATTCGCGAAAGGGATTCCACAAAGAATTCCATCACCTTTACAGAAGAGGGTTGCGGTCTGGACGTTATCTCCCACCACATATCCACCGTAATCAAAAGAAGGAATGTCTTCTTGTAACCACTCAGTAATCTGGTGTTTCCATCTTGTAGATAAAGGAAGAATATGCTCGAATTTAGGATTTGGATTTCTATACGTTGTCATGATTGCCGAAAGCAGATGTTGAGTATCTTCCACGAAAAAAATACCATGTAATTATAGGAGAGCTTAGATTTTTATTTTGGTGTCGGACATTTCATTGTCATTGCATTTCAAAAGCGAGCAGGGGAACACTGATTAGAAGAAGCTGATTACATATTACCCCAAGATACGATATGTCCACTTCTCCCCTCAAGTCTAGTGTCAGCAATACGAGATCTCTCACTGACGAAAGAAAAAAGTTATTGCACAATTCATCACCTTCAACTGCTCAGGACATAGATGCGCCTACTAGGAAAAGACCTCGAAGTTTGAAGCAGACGCATTTTGCAACAACCATGCGAAAAACGGTCTGCTCGGAATGTCAGATGTCATATATGCAGCACTTGAAATCCGATCGCCAATTGCATGAAAAGTATCATCAGCGCGCTGTCGAAGGCATGGAGCTTGGCCCAACAATTACCTTGGTTTGGAGCTCGATTGAACACCATCAATTAAAATCTGGAGTTGATGGGAAGATAGTGGAGGTCAACATTGAGTCGTCCAAACAGATTTCTGTTGCCGAAGAATTTCTTGATATTGTGAACAACATCTTGAGTGCGCCCCAAGATAATAGAGACTGGTCCTTTGACCCGAATAGAGGCAAGGTGTTCTTGTTTGTGATTAGAAGTAAGGCCGTCGGGATTTGTTCGACTGAACGAATCTCCGAGGGAAAATGGATGGTCTATGACACTGGACAACTAGTACCAAAACAGAGAATACCTTTGATTATAGGGATTTCGCGAATATACGTGAGTCACAAATACAGAAGAATGGGTATAGGGCTTCGTCTTTTAGTTGCCGTTCAACACCATAGTATCTATGGTTTGACGCTAGCAAGAAATCAAATTGGCTGGAGTCAGCCTAGCGAGTTTGGAGGCAAACTGGCTCTTTCATTCAACGGTGTGAAGCACAAATCGGGTAAGATGCTTATACCAATCTATGAGGAACGATAAAGATATGCTTATAACAACTTTCGTTCTACAATTCGGATTCGCGGCTGTGCTAAATGGAAAGTAAATAAATTTCCTGTTTACAAAAACAAATCTCCCTCGTTTTGAGAATCTCCCATCTAATATCTCAAAATGTCAAACATCACTGGAGACGTTTTATTTCGTGCAGTAACATCCAACGACGAGAGGCTCGCATCACAGTTAATACTGGAATTCAAAGCTCACATCAAAAGAGATCTTGTTAATTTGTTTTACGTACCGAAATATTTTGAAACACTAATATTGGCATACAGCAAGCCAAGCCTGACTACCAATTCATTTTCGACTATTTGCCATTTGGTAAAGCGTGTGAGTATTCAAGACTCAAAAGTGCTAAAGCTGGTAGATTTCCAGGTTGTGCCCTTCCTTATAGATCGCCTCAACGATGAAAAGCCATCACTCAAAAATACAGCCAAAAAAGCTATGCTGACTTACTGGCAATCTGTGCCAAATGAATTTGAGATGACTTTGAAATCGTATGGTTTGCATCATTTTGACTCATCAATAAGATACGAAGTGCTTAGATTGCTTTGCGAAGTTGTTGACAACACTCCAGGATTTAGTTTCAAGACTTTTCTTCCGGAAACGGTAATGTTACTAGATGATAAAATCCAGCAAATTTCCGACGCTGCCTTAGAGCTACTAATTTTGGTGTTTAAAGTCGTCAACCCTAACAACAGAACTGCAAAAAGCGACTTGATTAGTCAATTATTGAAATGCAAGGTATCTCGTTCTCAGTCAATTAGAGCCTTAAACCATATTGATGAAAGCCTGGTGGCAGAGTACACCAAGTCATTAGGTCAAGCATCCTTCGTCAGCGCGGGACCTATAAAAGTCACCACATCAATGACTTCAAACCAAAAAAACGCTACCTCCAACTCTGGCTCTGAGAGCAAAGCTCACGATCGACAAAAGCCAAAGGTAGCAGTGAGTAATCATTCACTCAAGATGCAGGCTTCCGGTATGCAACTACGTACGGGGTCCAAGGAAAGTTCACTCAAAGAACCTTCAAAAACTGTACTCGATAAAAGCGAGCAAAGTAATTTCGATGCAGAAACTGAGCCAACGATTTCAGACTTTGTGACAGGAATACCTCTTTACTCTATACAAGACTCACTGAAACCCATAAATTTTAATGGAGAAGAGCAATTGACGGAAAAACTTAACTCGCTGACAACACCTTTTCAAGGCAAAGAAACCGAATTTAACTGGGCTCCCAGAGAGCAGGCGATTGTCCAGCTACGATGTATAATAAGAGGGAATGCAATTACGGAATATCAAGAGCTGATCGCACAGTTTTTGAAGATGGAGAAAGATTGTATATGCAAAGCCGTGTCCTCGCTGCGCACTACCCTTTCAAGTCACGGATGTCAGTTATGCAAAGAGCTGGGAATTTACTTTGGCCCTTATCTGGACAACAGTCTGGTGGATTCACTGGTTGTCTCATTAATCAAACTCACATCTTCTCGCAAAACCATTTCACAACAAAATGCGAACGCAGGCGTCATAGGTCTGCTCGTAAACTCTAGTTACAGTCAGAGATTGGTAAATCAAATTACTATTGCGGCTCAGGATAAAAATGCACAGCCCAGGGCCTACGCAGGAACGTGGCTTCATATTCTACTAGTCAAGCACAGAGATAACAAGTCCGTCGTCGATAACGTGGGATTTTTAGAGCCTGTTGAAAGAATCATCGCCAAAGGTGTCGGGGATCCTTCGCCTGCCGTTAGAGATTCGATGAGAGCTGCATTTTGGTGTTTGAACACTATATTCCCCTCGATTTGCACCCGTATAGTGAGTCGACTAGACCCCAGCACTTTGAGAGCTTTGGAAAAATCTAAACCAAGACCAAACTATCAACTTTCAAGTCAGACTTCCATACAAAAGACGAACACTAGGCCATCAATGAAAGAACTTATCATGTCAAAGCAAAAAGAAGCGCATCAGTCAAATGCAAAGAAAATAGGACTTGAATCAAAGACTGTAGCCCCCCGAAAAAGTCTTGATATTCACGATGATGGGCCTTCCGAAAAAAAGACAAGCTCCTCAAATAGGGGTGTCTCATGTGGATCTGGAAATCAGGACCATATTCAATACAATGAAAAAGAAAACGAAGATTCTGAGAAGAAGGATGATCATACGGGTACATTCACTCTCAATATACCCATTGACAAAGTTCGAAGACATACCGAAACATTTGACCTCAATTCTGAAAGCGAAAAGAGAGAGCGCCATATATATGACCTACTTTCCTCAGATGAGAGAGAAGACCAAGCCGAGGGGCTCAAGAGACTTATAAATGGGGAGAATACTCATTCATTGAGCAAATTCACCTATCTCGCTAACAGAATATCAGTCATAAACCCGTCCGCATTCTTCGATTACTGCAAATATCCTGATTCATTCAAAAAGCTGTGCTATATTTTGGAACCCGAGAACCTGCTTCGCATGATTTGCTGCTATAATGTGAATCACACACTTTATAGTGAAAACCTTACGGTCATGGCAGAAGTAATACAATCAAGTGGGTTGGTCAGTGCACTTAATGTTGTTCTGGACCTTTGTATTGATGCATCCAATTGTGATGATATCAACTTGTCAATGCAATTCGTGAAGAACCGAGTGGAATTCATGGACACCTGTTATTCGGTGGTAGATTATCTGTTGAGACAAAGTCGATTCAGACTGAATTCACCTGAAATTAAAATGCTACTGAGACGATTATTCAAAAGCTGGGAAATTGTTCATATGGAACCAACAAAACTGATCGCAATTTTAGAAACTGCTTTTGAATTATATGGGTCTGACTTTATCCAATGCTTCAACGAACATGATGACAAGATTTTGAAGATAGATTTGAAAGAGAAGATGCCTCTAGAATTTCAAAAACGCGTTGGATCGCCGTCATCATCATTCAACGAGAATCTTGGCTTGGCGGAAATGGAGGAGCCCATTGCTGATGGACTCACTATGGTTGTTGGAAACAGATTTGAGCGTCCAAACGATGTAAAATCCGATATGACAATGATTATGCCGAATTTCAGGAGCCAAAAGAACCAAAGACATCAGTTAGAGCATAATAATCCTTTTGTGGAGACTGTAAACAATCAATCTCATGATTTCAAACCTAATTACGATATCTCCCAGGTGTTTCAGGATCAAAACGAATTAGCTCGAGATTCAAATGGTCCTGAATTGTTAGATGATAAGATGGAGGCTGATAGATTGCAAGCTATGTCCGACACCACTCCGGACCTTGATCAGTTGACCATATCAGATAATAGGAAGGACAATCGTGCGGAAGAGACACAAGGGGACTCGAGGGTGCCCGTTTTGCCATCCAGGGCTTCAGAAGAGATAAATTCAGCATTGGTGTCGGCAGATCCTCTCTCCCAGATGACTGGCTTGGCCAAGGTAGAAATATACGACGACAGTAATCACACTTTGGGACAAATGGACTCGTGGACCAAATTCGAAGCCTACAAAATTTCCAAGATATCCTACGATATCTCCAAATCAGAGACACTTTTGGAAAAGCTTTCGAGAAAGACTATCACAAATGCAGAACTCTTTGAAATTACTTCCTTGTTGAGCCACGAGAATATTTATGAGCTCAAGCTTGTGCAGCAGGCAGCTCTGGATTATATTTCCTCTAGTCCTTCTCCCGATCACATGTACGCGTGCATTTTGATTTTGCGAATTTGCATTTTGAATAACAGCTGGTTCGAAATAGGTGCGGTTTTCCACAAATTGATTGGCATTTACTCTGAATGGGAAAATGTGACTGATCCTGATGAGTTGTGCCTAGCTGTCTCTGAAACTTTAGATTTGATTCCTTTTTCGGAACTGTACGTGGAAGCACTTCAAAACATGAAATCAACTAGCGTCACAATTCAAGTTCTCCTACTAGATAATCTTCGAAAACACATTTCTCCTGCCGGATTGCACTCAGAGCTTGTCTTTAAGCTGGATTTGATCTTGTACAGATACCTACACTCACAAGATACAGCAATTAGGAGATCAGCTATCATGCTTTATGCTGTCCTCCAGAATTTGAAAGATCAAGAGCTTCTGGACCAGTCAATTACAGAGCTTATCAATGATCTTGTTTTCAAAAAACTCAATCACTCACAACTTAAGCTAGTCAAACAGTATACGGCTGAAGTTCGATAGGTTCGTACATGTGTGCTTGCTTAGAGGATGACAATATACACCATTGCCACAAAATTGATGCATATTCGTTCATGCCTAGTATATACAAAGATTAGGCCAAGGGATATTAAGATCTATTCAATAAAACGACTCTCCCTCATCGACGAATAATGGCTTGAAACTATCATCACTTGGAACGCGAGGCTCAAGTGGTTTGTATAGGTAAAATGCTTTGAGAGCGCTGACACAACTTCGAATACGAGCTTCTTTCAAAGAAGTTCCTTGTCCCTCTCCTAGAAGATTATCTCCGCTGAAACAGCCAACAATAAACGTTGGGGAACTCGATTGTCTACCTGTTTCAGAAATGAGCCTAATGGTAGGAGCCTCCATACTCTTTGTTTTGAGAAGCCTTGCTAACAATTTTCCTGGCTCCTCAAATTCGAGCATCGATGATATATCCACGTTTCTTGACAAGACATGTTTGTAAATGAAATCCTTGGTTTCTCGCTCACCGTCTGCAGCAAACACACCAGCGACGATAGCTCTGACACTGTTAGCATATGCGGTGGCAGTACTCAAGGAAGTTTCGGATGAAATACTATATTTTGTAATACCTGCTTCCACTTCTTTTGCTTGTCTGTCATATCTAAGTCTGCCAAATCTGAACAACTTTGGCTCTTTGGACAGGTACTTTTCAAGATTTGTAGACCAATCTTCCTCAATGCCCCAAACATTCTTGCCAACGTCGTGAAGAGAAAAATCACCCACAAATGCGTCAGTTGCAGCCTTCAAGATTCCAATCGGAAGTCGAGGGTAGGTAGTTATGAGATACTCTGTTGTATAATAAGAAAGCATGTTCGATCCAAATAGAGCCATTTGATGATTATCAGCATAGTCATTGTTCTTCATTCTGGATGTGAGAGCTCTGACAAGGGTCGACTTTTTGAACTTCGGTGAAAGGTTCAATCTCGCATGGAGAGCTAATATGGCGGGAATTTTCTGAGCTTCCTCTTCAGACACTTTTAGTCCATACGAGGATCTTTTATAGTCACCGAAGTCTGTGGCTGAATCAGGCGTCTCCAAATCGTCACCATTCATTCGTACATTATTGGATTTCTCGTATGAAAACTTATGAACAGGCTTTGGTTTTGATTGCGCAACAACTTTACTCAAAGGTGAAATGGATATATGTCTCAAAAACCTCGTGGTTGAGCTGCGTGTAACGAAGGATATACGAGGCCCGTGATTCATTGTGAAGAGAAACAATAGTAGGCTAGTGTGGTTGACTTGAAAAAAACCGCTGAAAAATTATAGCATAGAAATGTTTTGTACACGCACGATATGCAAGAACATGTATATAATTGAAAGAGGGGCTAATCTAACTTGTTTTAAATTTTCTAATGGTAGGTACTCTCTTGCTGGCTCACTAACCCTAGGTACATCAATTTATACCTAAGTGGGTTAAGCCACCGACAGGTGGCTGGTACCATACACCAAAAAATCACACTGTTAACGCAGCAATTGCTTTCTCAGCTTACGGTGTGATTATGTATTACCTGTATCTCAAAGGTGAGAGAAACACATATGATCCACAGAAGGTATACTCCATGGAGCATGTGAAGAGATGGGAAAATGCGGTTGCAAAACGGGATTAGTGAAGACCTTCAAAGATGTCGGCTTGAGAATATCTTCCTCACTATTTGGTAGCTACAATCACTCTTATTTATTCTCTATCAAAGACCATCAAAAGTTGATCAATATAAGTAGACTTTGCACTTTTCGTTCATTGAAAGTACCTTTCTTACTAGTGCGAAAGACTCGTCGTAGTCCCATATATTTTGCAGCTTTGAATCTAAGAAAGAGGAATCACAGATGATTGCATCTATCATTTGAGAGGTTAGCGGTGTGTTTTCAGTCTCCAAAATTCTGGATATTCTTCCAGAGGTACCAATGAGGATTCTAGCCTTTGACCTCGTTAAGGTTTTCAGATCGTCATTCAGTTTGTTCTTATTAATCAGTTTAAGAGATCCAATTGGAAGAGATCTGACAGCTCGATATATATCACATGCTCGTATGGCTGATATCGCTAGAACCAAAACAAATCTCTTATCTTGAAGGACTCGCCTCAATTGTGTCTGAATGAAAGTTTTGTAATTGTCCAAATTTCGCTCAAGAACAAAGCTTTGAGTATCTCTGATGGCAGATTTCCCGATGTATAATTCACTCAACTCTAATGGCGACAAATCAGGATAGCGTTGTCTGATCTTTGCTGCGAGCTTTTCTGCTATCACATCGGGTAATTCCTTAGCAAGGTTTCGTTTTTGTTCCATATCAAATTCCATCTTTTGTTTCTTCTTTTGAGACAGCTTATCACTTTTATGCTTACGCTTTTTTCCAGCATTGTGCGCTTCCTGATCTTTGAAGTTTTTGTCGTGATCCACTTGGTCGTGCAATTCTGAGCTTGTAGTCTCTTGAATATGAGTCAAGCCTTCCAAGTCATCACCAGAGGAGCTGTAAATGTAGTCAAGTCCATCCTCCAAATCGTCACCGTGATCAGACATAATCAGAAGCCTGTTTAATTTTCCTGAAAAAAAAATCAAAATTACAGTATTTTTTGTGTGGCTAAAATGCGGGCTGGTGCTTTAAGTTTGTATTTATTTTTTAAGTCAAATTAGAATATCTGCTACCGACTTCAGCCTTTAGGCGTCTACTCGAATCATCAGTTTTCAGGCACCGTTTGAGTTGGAGCCTTTAAAAACCTTTTTCTCAATAGTGAATGACCATATTAATATACCCGGTATGAGTTCAGATCATTCTTCCAAATTTGACGACGCGATTCAACTTGACGAGTCTCTTTTATCCGCGAGCGAATACAATGAAATAGGTTCTGCACATGAGGATCTTACAATCATGCACTCAGGTGTCCCGGCATCGGAAGAATCCAGTATCTTGAGAACTCCGATTCGACACAATTTGCTATCGAGAATTGAGCTCAATACCATCGTTTCGGAGACAGAATATGAAGATGCATCTATCGTGAATACTCCTCGACGAACAAGCCAAAAACCTTCTCGAACACCGTCTCGAACCCCATCACGTTCCAACACGCCCAACCGAACCCCCAGAAAACCAACGACTCCTATAACTCTACAAGCGATTGCTGATGGAACAACTCCACGTCGACATCGGCTTCTACTGTCGCTTTCAAAAAGCAAAGTGAATCGAAGCTACTCTCCCCGTAAGGATTTGCAGATGTTAGGGCGATTATTGACGCAGGAAAAAGAGGATGAGCGAAAGAAACGGAAAATTCAGCATGGGCCTGATCAAACCAATGCATTGGAGATCTTGTATGCGAAGCTTGCACCAGAATCCACAGAAAACCTCGAGCGTGCAGAATTATCAGGGGATTTGATGTCTCAATCAGAAAAAAACTTGACTACACCTGATAGAACACCAAGAAAGGGACGATTGTCGAGTCGATTATCTCTCGAGGCCTCATTTGGAAATTCAAATGTCGCTCTACCTGAAGCAATAATTCGCAAGCAGGGGGATTTTGATATTGATTCCAATGAGGGTATATTTGCATCGTCTAACGTAAGCCAGCCTGTCTTGGAAGACATTGACAACTTCGACATCGGAGTTGACTATGACGCATTCAGCAGTGACGATAGTGATGACAACGGCAGCCTTGGCGATGAAGTGCCGGAGGCAAAAGATCTTTCTCTTTTGAGTGCACGTCCAGGAGATGAGGTGCCCTCTTTTGTCACCATCAGAAAAAGAACAAGAGGGCTACACAGTGGAAATGGCAATCACCCAATGTTTTCACTAGCTATGATACGAAATATCACAAAGTGGCTTCCAACAGAGACTGACTCAAAAAAGCTGCAGTCAAAGGAAACTTTGGTTGAACTCCAGCATATCAGTGAAGAGTTTTTCAGACAAGAGCTCGATGATCTTGAAAGCTACATCGAACATGCAAATCGTAGAACAGTCAGTTATGTTGATATCAAGCTTCTGCTGCATCGTGCGCGACTTGATTCGTCTTATGATCTATTCACTTTCACAGATAAAGCCACGTCCATCGAAAATGACATTTTGAACCTGAGTTCGCAGGTGTTTGATCTTGAGATTACTTCGGAAATTGAGAAGCTTCTCTACAGAGACAAAATCCAGCGTTCAAAACGAATAAAAAAGCAGCTTTTCAAGAAACAAGAAACTAGGAGGCAATTAGAGCATGAAATTCAGGATGAAAGTGAAGGCTCACCAGATTCAATGAGCGATCTGGGAGAACAAGAACATATGGAAAAAATCGAGAGGCCCACTTTGGGACGCCCTCGTCACAATAGGGAAAAAACTTCCAATATTAACACTCTGCAAAATAAGTCCGAAATTGACATAGCTAATGAACGTCAATTTGAGTCAAACTTGTACCTGCGAATAGAAAATAATAGATCGTCCAGCGAAAGCTCGCTGGTGATTCCATTAGAAGAAGAGGATAGCGAGGAGCAAGAATAAGAAATTAAGGACGAATATGTTATAATCGAAGGATGGAATGTACTATATGTGTATAAATAGATAATTAATTTGTTTCAAGTAAACTTTTACACCACACGGACAGGATCCAAAAAAAAATTTACGTAGAACAGTATTTAACTATATTTGAAAATTCCGTCCATGCTCTCTCTCACCTCTTACAATATTGCTGCTGCCGGAAAGCGTTCTGTTAGATATCTTTCCCTAACTTCCGACCTTGCCAAGCTAATTGAAACCAAACCGTTACACCCCGTGGTGGTAGTCGGTGGTGGTCATGCAGGAGTTGAAGCCGCTGCAGGCTCTGCCCGCACAGGTGTTTTCACCACCTTAGTGACCCCTGATATAAGCAAGATCGGTGTGACATCATGTAATCCTGCATTTGGGAGGCATCGGAAAAGGTACATTACTTAAAGAGGTCGATGCGCTGGATGGCATTGCTCCTAGAATTGTCGATAAGTCTGGAATCCAATTCAAGATTTTGAATAGATCAAGGGGAGCTGCCGTTTGGGGCCATCGGGCTCAAATCGACAGGAAACTATATTTGACTGAGATGCAGAAATTTTTGAAGGACTATCCTAACCTTCAGATTTTACAAGCAAAAGTCGAAGACCTGATCCTTGACCGATCTGTGAATGAGTCAGGTGACAAACCCAACTATGACACTAAAATCTGTGGCGTGGTTCTGTCTGATGGAGAGATATTGCGCTGTGAGAAGGTTGTGGTAACAACTGGAACATTTTTGAGCGCGGAGATCCATCTAGGATTGGATACTTGGCCTGCAGGAAGGATAGGCGAAGACCCGTCTTATGGTCTGAGTAAAACTTTCCGTGAGGCAGGATTTCGCCTAGGGAGATTGAAAACCGGCACCCCTCCAAGAATATCTGCGAAAACTGTTGATTACTCGAAGGTTGCCCAAGAGCCGGGCGATAATCCTCCAGAACCAATGAGTTTTCTTAATGAAAATCCAGATATTAAGAATCAGCTATTATGTTATTCCACTTACACCACGCCAACCATGCACAAATTGATACTCTCCAATCTCGACAAAAGTGTTCATATTAGGGAAACGGTTAAAGGTCCTCGATATTGTCCTTCCATTGAATCCAAATTAATAAGGTTTTCAGATAAGGCTAGGCATAGAGTCTGGCTGGAACCTGAAGGCTTGGATACAGACGTGATGTATCCAAATGGAATTTCGTGTACGATGCCTCCGGATATCCAAGAGGCCATGCTAAAAAATATCATTGGACTCGAAAATGTGAAGATGCTTCAGCCGGGTTACGGTGTTGAATATGACTATATCGATCCTCGGGAACTGAAAAGAACACTGGAGACTAAACTGATCTCAGGCTTGTACTTAGCAGGCCAAATTAACGGTACAACAGGCTACGAGGAGGCTGCAGCTCAAGGTATTGTGGCTGGTATAAACGCTGGTTTGCGTTTCCAGGATAAAAAGCAATTAGTTTTGGATCGGGCGGATGGCTATATCGGCATACTCATTGACGATTTAATTACAAAGGGTGTTGAGGAGCCGTACAGGATGTTTACCTCAAGATCAGAATTTAGGATCAGTGTACGCGCTGATAATGCAGACATGCGACTCACGCCTAAGGGACATGAAATTGGTTGTATATCTGCACAACGCTGGGATCATTTTAGCAAAGAGAACAAACTTTATCAAGAAAGCCTGGAATTTCTGAAAAATTACAAGCTTCCATCACAAGAGTGGGCCAAACTTGTGCCTGGTCTTAAAATCAGGACAGATTCATGCTATAAATCTGCATTTGATTTACTCCGTTATGATAATATGTCGTTAGATTGCTTGATTCCTGTTATACACAATAAATCTCTGAAAGCACTACCGCGGGTGATCAAACAGAAAATCGATATTCATGGAGATTACCAAGGTTATCTAGGCAGAGAAAATGCGCAGATAAGAGCTTTTAAAAGTGATGAGAATTTGGTGCTCCCTGTGAACTTTGATTACACCAGTATGTCATCTCTTTCCTCAGAAGCAAGAGCTTTGCTTAACAAATCAAAACCTGAAACAATTGGACAAGCAAGAAGAATTCAGGGCATTACTCCCGCAGCAATTTTCGACCTCTATCGTTTGGCCAAACGCGTTTAACTCTCTGTAACTAATACAATACCAAGGACAAACGAATATATATACTATTCAATCAATAAATAATTCGACACTGAACAAAGTTTGAATTCAAGCAACAGTTACCATTTCAGCATCTCTTCATCTGTGCATCAAGTTTCGAGAAATCTGAGTAGATACTTCTTTGTGTGGGGAATCCGAGGAACCTATGCTTCCATTCATTGATGGCATCTTTGATTCCCCAATTCAGGTTGCGATCCGCTTCCCATAAAGCCCAAGTACCCACAAGTGCACTTGCTGCAACGGGCTGTCTGAAGAAGAAAAAGAATAAAACTGCTGGTCTTAAAACTGGTGCGTACATGAAGGGAAGTGTTTTATTTGATTGATGATTTGAATTGAGGAGTAGGTTACCCGGCGAGACTGCTATTATTTTTTTCGACCCGACGATCTTACAAACTCTAATGTCCGATAATAAAGCAGCAGAGGTCAACAGGACAATGTCATCTACAATGTCAGCTGAATTCTCTCAATCACAACCACAGAATCCGCAACACATAGAACTGATGTATAGGTCATCCCAACAGCCGCTCACTGGGGATTATCTTGATAGTGCCGAATATCATACATCTACATCAACAGACCAATCGCCGCTTCCCACTACGCCTTCTCCGCCTGCCCAAGCACGTACGTCCTCCGTAACGTCGCAAACTCAGGCTGATCAACCTTACTATGTGAATGCTAAACAATATCATCGCATTCTGAAGCGAAGAATAGCGAGAGCAAAACTCGAAGAAAATTTGAAGATTCAGCGTGGACGCAAACCTTATTTACACGAATCAAGACATAAACATGCTATGCGCAGACCAAGAGGCCAGGGCGGTCGATTTCTGACCGCTGCAGAGATAGCAGAAAAAGAACGATTGGAAAAGCTGGAAGAAATTCAAAAAAACAACGAACTAAACCAGAATCTTAAACACCAAGACTCCGGAGAAAATGTCGAATGATGACGTACGATAGAGATGTATAATACTTAACAGTCTTAGTTATTGTGATAAAACTTGATATATGTAGTTTATACAATTCCCAAGCTTCTTGCAAGTTCCTGCTCTGGCTGATCAAGATTTAGAAGAACATTTTGAATGTTTGGAAATGACGCAAGTTTTGTCTGAAGATATGCTGATATCATTTCCTTTGAACTTATTTCTTTGACTGGATCAAAAGGCTTTTGCTGGATAGTATTTAGTTTATTGAAGCTGGATCCGAATGAAAGCTCATCACTTTCCAACTCAAGCAAAAGTTCAACATTTTCATTGAAATTTTTGTAGTTTTTGATGCTATCAGATGCGGTTATCTTCAGCAGCTTAGACAGCACAAGCTTAAAGGCATCTTGGCCTATAGTTTGGGCGTTCTCGGTAATCAGGTTTGTCAGGCCTACTATCAAGATTTTTTTATCAAGCAAATTATTGAATGACTCAATTGTAGGGATGATGACACTGAGAAGGATCTGTTGAAACACACCAGATTGAACGCTTTCTATGAAATTGATGACAAAAGACGAATTGAGCCCGTTTTTCTTCAGGTGAGGGTCACTTGACGTCGGCAAAGCAGCAATGGAGCTCAAAAAGACAATAAATCTCTTGACATATTTATCCGTTCGAACCGTCTGTAAACGTGAAAGCAATATCATCGCCACTTCCTTTAAAAATGGTTCTAGACAAGACATATCAACGCTTAGTAGGATGGTTTCCAAGAAGTCGAAACCCAAATGGTCGTTCAATTTCGAAGACACGAGCTTTTGGAAGACTCCTAAAATCGGAGTTAAACTTGCGGCGGATGTAAACAATGAAGGTTGGAATTTGATAATCGCTGCCAGTAACCTTTCAATTGCCGGAATGTTGGCTCTTAACTCCCAAACAGCTGGGGAACACAGGGGCTTAATTAATTGTTCGTATTCAGATGGCATCTCAGAAGAGTTTGGATAAACTTCCAAACAGTATGAGAGAATTTGAAATGCATATGGAATAAACTCATGGATGTCCTGAGCTAATATTGAGAGCATGCAAGGCTTAATCAGCTCAAATATCTCAATGATCTGATTGTTGTTGTAACGTATAAGTACGCAGATTGATTCAAATGTGTAGTGTGAAAATTTCGGATTCGATGGATTCTTCCCAATAATTTCGACAATTTTCATGAGCTGCTGTAAGAGCTGTGGGGCCCTCTCGCTCAGAGAGTCTTCCGCGGTGAGAAGAATTCTCATCACGCATTTCATCAGAAACTCGTTCTCTGCTAGTTTCTCTGGGGACTCTCCTTTCCCGAACATAAGTCTGAACAAATTAGTCAAAAGATCATTAAATACAGGCGCTGGTATGTCAGTTTTGCTGAAAAGCAACTGCTGATGACTCGAAGGGTTTCTCAAAGACAATATCTTTTCAATGGTGATAGCAGCGTAGGTATACACCACATAATTGTCGTCTTGGAAGTGTGAAGATAAAAGTGGAAATGCTTCGATCAGCTGTTGTTTTGTAAGCTGGTTTCTAAAGGTGAAAATGTATTTAATTGCGTCAACCTTCAAAATTGGATGAGAGACCTGATTGACCAAATCTTGAGCCACGTACTGTGAAAAAAAATCAACTACATCCACCAACAAATTGGTAGAAGTTATACCTGCATTTGTAATGGATCCCTTTGCAGCAATTGAACTGAACAAACATATTGCCAGGTCTTTGGACTTCCAGTCTGTGGAATGGGACTGAAAGCCAGCCAAGTAATGATTAACGTAATTCATAACCACTTGAGTAACATCTTGCTCCTTGTTCTCTTTTAAAGCTCTCAAAAAATCTGTGGAAGCTCTTCTTCTTGTGTCGGAGTCAGAACCCTCAAGGTCCCTTCTAGTGTACTCAATCGGGTCGTCCTCAAACAGTTCCTCATCTGACTCCCTTAACCTCACGTTTGGTAAAATGATTTTTTCAGTGATTTCTTTCAATGCTTCTTCTGATTTCAACGTGCTATTGTATTGTTCCAAAGAAGCAATGATGGTGAGAAACTGTAGAGCTTTTGAAGCTAAGATATCATATTTTGGCTGTATACCAATGGAGCTAAGTAGATCCCATATTGTTCTGATGAACTCCGTAATAATACTTCCCAGCTCCTCTTGGTATCTTGTAGTGTATAATTGGATTAGTTCGCAACAGCTTGTTTTCACTTGAGTAATAATATCTATCTCTTCAGTTTCATTGGAGTCTTCAAGTAATGGATTTGAGTATTTCAAGTATTTGTGTATGACCGCCATACCTTCTTGGAGATGGTCTTCAAAAAACTCTGGAATGTCCTGACAATTTAAATCGTAATAAATTTTGACCAACAACAACAGGTTATCAAACAAAAGTTTGAGATTCTCTTTGTTTGAGGCATTTTGGTCGATAAGTTGATCGACCATCTTTAGAAGCTCTAGAAAAGGTTGGGCAAATTGTGAGAGAACAAGATTGATTTCGATGTAGAGCTCATTGGAACCAAACAGAGGCCTCCATCTTTTAAAAATTGAATGAGCAACTTTCAAAACTCCCTTATTGGTGTGCATGTTCTCCGGAGATAGCTTTCCAACAAGGTCTTCTATCAGCTCCGGCCACAACTCTGGAAATTCCGACTCCGCAATGAGGGAGACTGCCTCGCCAATCTGGATTTGAAGAGAATCAGGCAGCTGAATCATAAGTGAGAGAATCTCTGCTTTAATCATCTTCACATCATCTAGATGAAGTCGATAAACTCCTGTTTCATCAATCCACTTCCTTTTAATCAAGTTCTTGAAATAGAGTGATCCTGCCAATCTCACAGAAGAATCTAGATCATTGGCCGCCACTACGTGTAAAAGTGTGGATGGAAACCCCTGTTGATCTTCAACGCTTCTTAAACTCTCCTCTGCAAGTTTTGCAGTAGACGGTGACAGCGATTGTGCCAATAATTGTGATACAGATGCAATATCCGTCATCAGGAAAATTCACTTGTTGAAGTTGAAAACATTTACTATATTTTATTCGGGAATTTTGAGTAGTGATCGTCGCACACCAATCTTCATTAAGAAATAAATAACTAACTGAAAAATTTGGCAAACCTTTGTCTCTCATTTCTCTTCTCGTATTCTACAAGATTTTGAACCTTGCATAGCTCGCTATTTATCCCCTGATCATTGGGACATAGTAAACTGGCTTTTTGAAGAAATTCCAAAGCGACCTTAAAATTCTTAAGCCCTCTGTAGGCCATACCTAAGCGATACAATGTCTTTGACGTTTGTGTTTGTGTCATTGGGACGTTCTTGTCCATGTCTAATAGATACCCACAATAATCAATTGTAGTCTGATAGTCATTCATTTGAAGTGCCACTAATGCCAGATTGAGGTATATCGACTTTTTAAGATTTAGGAATTTCTTGTAATATTCAGGGTCCGAGTCTTGATCGGGAATCAGCTCATTACAGTACCGCAGAGCCTTTTTGTATTTGAGAAATGCATCTCGCAATCTTTTTTCTTTAAAGAGCAATGAAGCTGACTCTTTTATGACAGTGCTAATCTTGTAGGTTATCTCAGGATTTTCAAGATCAAGACCCTCAACTTCGTTGTCGTCCGGGTACTCTTCATAGATGTCTCCGCCAATAGAGTCGTAGCATGCATTATAACATGGAGTAGGGTCACCATCGGTCCACTTTCCACAATCGACAATGAGAACGATCTCCTCTTTGACTGGTAGCCAAGCCTGTGAATCGCCACTTTTGCTGCTCATAACGGGAACTCTTTCGATTTCTCTAACAACAGACTTTCCGTGCCTTACTTTCCCAAAAACCGTGTGTTTTCCTGTCAAGTGAGGAGATGCTAAGGTGTTGATAAAGAATTGTGAGTTATTAGAATTGACATTACCCATATTGGACAGACAAACCAAAAACGGTTCGTCTATGGCTCTTAGATTTTCATCTTCATAAAACATATTTGTGTCAATCATTCTTCCACCTTTCCCTAAAGTGTCGGGAGGATATTCATCTTGGCATGTTATCTTGTGATCTATATCTCCGCCCTGAATTATAAAATTCTTGATTACTCTGTGGAAGCAGGTATTCTTGTAAAACTTATTCACGCAAAGCTGCAAAAAACTATTAGAGGTTTTTGGGGCATTGTCAAAATCAAGCTCAATGACTATCCTTCCAGTATCCCTCGTTCCTACGCGAATGTCAAGATACGCAAAAGTTTTCATTGTACTGAAAAAGTATTAGTTCATATGTATTTTTTCTGCCAATTTGGCTTTCGAGAAAACATCTTTGCATTGCTTATTTGAAAAGTGTGGGGATGGGGATTTTCTGATAATCGATTGTATCATCCTTAGCTTAGCTCATGTTGTTATCGTCAAGAGTTTTGGATAGACCAGCTGTGGGCTATCTCAAAAGACAGATATCAAACATTGGATACTCAAAACAAGAACACGAAATTCTCTGGCGCGAAGAGAAATTGAGTAAAGCCAGGAATGATTGCATGGATTTGTTACAGAAACATGACGTTTCCTCGTATCTTCTCTCCAAATTTTATCCCAGGGAGCTTCGAGATATGTTTCTTGTGGTAAAAGCGTTCAATTCAAACCTCGCAAAGATTGCACTTGGCTCGAGCATTGAAAGCAATCAATTTACCAAACTGAAGTTTGGATTCTGGCAGGAACAACTTGATCGTTGTGAGCGGGATATCTCTAGCTCACCCAATAGCACCCTTCCAAGAAATATGGGGGAGCCAGTTGTTACTTTGGCTAGAGAATGTCTTAGAAAGGGAATCAAGCTCAACTTTGACAATTTACGTCAAATGATTACCAGCTACCAGCATTTTTGTACAGATGAAGGAGTTCGAGGTTTCAAAGACACATACTCAATTTGCTCCTTTGGTGAAGGGGTGTTTTCACAAATAAACTATACCCTTCGAGATGCTCTGTTTTCTCCAAAATTTCCTGAAACCTCAAGGTTTTCCTTGGAGCTAATGGATTGTATTGGGAAAGAAAGGCTAGAAAACCTTCTGAATGATATCTATGCGCATCTTGGACAATCTACGGCCATCGCGTCGTTTTTGCTTGGATCTAGATACTATGCGACCTCAAGATCTCAAGTTTTATTACCTGCTGACTCAATCGCAAAACAGAATATCTCACAGGAGGAGATACTTAGATTTTTACAATCTGAAGACTCAAGCCAACAGATAGACGAAAAAGTAAGAGAACTTGTATTTGATGTTGCTACCGTTGCTAACGATCATTTGTTAAGCGCTCGAATAAAGTTCAATGATCTCAAAAGTGAAATACATAATCTGGTTGATAAAGAAGGGAGCCTTGAGTTAAAACTAGGATGGGAGCAGTTAAACCATGGAGTTCCCGATGCCATGTTTCTCCCAATGATGAACGGGCTTCCTACTGTTTGCTTTCTTGAAAAACTTGAAAAGTATGATTTCGATATACGAAATCCTAACTTGAGTATCAAAGACTGGAGGCTTGCCTGGAAAACGTACAGGTCTTATAGCAATAGGGTTATTTAGAAGTACAAGATCTTATCGTCTCGTCTCGGTGCTCCTAACCGACCACGATTTTTTTTACAAGCGTGGACTTTACGAAAAAACAAAGTGTTAGATAGAATCAAATAACTTTGAACAGATCGAATGTGCAAGCAACTGAAGTGCTGGTAACATTTGAAATCTATTCAATTCCTATTATAGACAGATATATTTTAACAGTTGTACGGTGATCAATTGTGATTTCAGCTATAAAGGCAAACTTAAACACTGATTCACGTCAAATCACGTACTATGAGTGACGATCGACTTTCAACGGTTGATCCACTTTCTTTCGCGATCGAAGAATGTACGTTCATCACTTCTGTTATGAGGAAGTCCACAAAGGCGGCGGCCAGTGGGCCGTTATCTACGCTTCTTGGGACACAATTCGGCAAAGAGAGTACACCATACGGTGATGACGAGGGATCCACACGTCTCTCAGCCTTTCTAAAGTCTGGAAGCAAGATTAAGGAGGACGATCACTTCTTAAGTGGATTCATCGAGCTGAGATCTATGCTGAGCGAACTGAAAACGATCAACGACATTGATATGTTGACACTCCTACAGCCATTCCTTCTACTGATCAAATCCCCAATCACGTCCGGCTACATAACAGGCATTGCAGTAAGCTCTTTATCTAAGTTTGTCAAATATGGAATTGTGAACGAGAATTGTCCAAATATATTTCAATGCTTGGGTCAAATAATATCCGCGCTGTCGCACTGTCGTTTTGAGGGGTCCGACCAGACACAAGATGACATTTTGCTGATCAAAATAATCCAGCTATTGGAGCTGATAGTCACTTCCAACTTGGGTGACCTCCTGACTGATGACTCAATGTATGAATCTGTTTCGACGTGTTTTTCCTTGGCAATTAATACCAGGAGACGTGAAATTCTTCGAAGCGCAGCAGAGACCTCTCTTATTGGTATAACCGAGAAAATATTCAGCAAATTGAGATACATCAAAGTTGAGTTTGGGATCGACCACAATGTCAAGACAACTGAGGTTGAACTTACTGCCACGACAGAAACTGGAGAGCTACCTAACGATATCATAGGAGGTACCGAGTATACTGAACCTCATGAGTCCACTGTCGAGAATAAAGTGAGCGCAGGCGAAATCACTGAGACTGGAATACAATTCAGTAATATCCAGGACACCAACTCTAGTGCACATGTAGATCATGAAGAACCTCAAGATCATAAAGCTTCAAGCAATAATGAAAACTATTCTACCGCAGGAAAAGCAAGCTCTTTTATCGCTGATGATGATCAAGTTCCATTTGGAATTCCTTGCATGAAGGAATATATGAACCACACAATCGAAATACTGTCGCCGGATAATCAGTTCAGATTTACCGAAAGTTCTAGGGTTTTGGCACTGAACATACTCAACACCGTTGTCGAGGTCTCTGGTGGTGTGATAGTCCATCATCCATCTCTTTTCCAATTAATCTCGGACAAAGCTTGCCATCATCTGGTACAGCTTGTGCAAAATGCGGACTCTCCCTACTTGCTTACTCTCGCAATGAAACTCTTTTTGAATTTATCTCTCACTATGAATCATTATCTGAAGATCCAGATTGAACTTCTTATGACTACAATCTTTCAAGGTATGGTGGCCGACTCGAGAATGCTGATCAATGATTTGGATAAGAATGTTGAGAGAATTTTTGAGATGGGGCGAAAAGGGACTTTTGATATTGAACCATTGAGCGAAAAAGAGGTCGAAGAACTCGGAGCTGAGTTTCACACAGGAAAAGTCCCCGTAATTAAAGAAATTCTAGCGGAAACTTTGAGTGTACTATGGGTACGCTCTCCTTTATTTTTCGATTCACTATTCAAGTCGTACGATTGCGACTTTGATAGATCTGACATGGCAGAATCGCTGCTGAAACTCCTTTGTCGGCTGTCTGCATCTGAAGTGACGCTTTTTACTACTTCCAATGTCCCTTCCATATGTATGGAAGGTGTTCTTTCATTTGTTGACGGTGTTTACGAGCGCACTAGAACAGCTTCTAGAGCTAACATTGAGTTTGAAAAGCTTCAACCAAACCAAATGGTTTTGCAACAAATCAAAAAATCTGACTTCATTGAATGTACCAAAAAATGGAATGAAAAGCCTCAGGAGGGCCTTGAGATGCTTCAAGAAAAAGGATTTATTCGTGATATAACTGATGTGAGCGAGGTTTCCAAATTCCTCTTTGAGAAGTCCGGAAGAATTGACAAAAAGAAGCTGGGTGAACTATTAGCCAAGCCATCTAACACTGAGCTTTTGAAGGAATTTGTCAAGCTACTTGATTTTAGAAATCTAAGACCAGACGAGGCGCTGAGAATGTTGTTGAATAACTTTAGACTGCCGGGAGAGGCACAGCAAATTGAAAGAATTGTTGAAGCGTTCAACGAAAGATACATAGCATGCCAGGACGCTGAAGCTATAAAATCAACTGAAGAAGATGACGATGAGAAAGTCACCCCTGACCAAGACTCGCTTTTTGTTCTTTCTTTCTCCATCATCATGCTTAACACGGATCTCCATAACCCAAATGTGAAGAAGCCGATGACTTTGGAAGATTATCAACGCAACCTTAGAGGGTGCTACAAGGGAAAGGACTTTCCCCAATGGTATACCGAAAAAATCTACCATTCCATAAGAGAAAAAGAAATTATCATGCCTGAAGAGCATCGGGGCACTTCAAAATGGTATGAAACTGTCTGGCATTCTCTCATTGCAGAGCAAGCTAGCAAGATGCTAAGTGAAGACGTCATTGTCCGGGATATTGATAACATAGAAGATTCTCTGCAATTCGACAAGGTTTTATTTGAAAAGACAAGCAAGTATATTGTTAGCACCCTGGTCACAATGTTTGATGATGCTACGCACGACAGCGTTGTTACAAGAATGATCTCCAGCGTTGAAAAGTGTGCTGCAATTGCGTCGTACTTTGGTATGAATGACTTGGTGGATCATATTATTGAAATTGTTGCACATTTGACAACTCTCACTGGCGTGAAACCTTCGGAGTTCGCTTTGGAATCAAGGGAATCTCTTCCGATCACCGAGCTCAAGCTTGAAAAAGAAAATGAAACAATCACTGTTAGCTATTTATCTGTTCTCTTTGGCCGAGACTTCCGTGCTCAATTAAGCACCCTTGTGCTTTTCCGCATTCTGAAGAAATCCAATTTTAGAGTATCAAAGCATTGGGACTTCCTTGTGAAAATTGTTCTAACGCTTTTTGAAAACGGCTTGATTGAACCAAATCTGTTTCCAGAATTTCAGAAAAAGATTGGCTTGGATAAGCTGTCAAAACCAAAACCAGAATTTCAATTTAGTCGTACTAAGGCCTTGAAAGACAACGGTTTGTTCTCAACTTTCTCTTCCTACTTGAAGGGCCTATCTGATGATACTCCGGAACCCACAGACGAGGAGATTGAGTGTACTCTTTCAGCTATGGAGTGTATCAAAACAAGCAACATCAGCTCCTTGTTTAGGAGTGTTAGTAAAACGTCACCCGAAAATATCAATGCTCTAGTGTCAATTTTGTTGAAGTCATTACCAAAGAAAGAAAAGGCCGATCCTCGGGTCTTCATACCCGAGACACTATTTATCCTAGAGATCTGTGTTTGCTATCTCTTATTGACTGGAAATTCAAAGCTTGTCGTTGAAACACTGAATTTATGTGATGAGATTTTCAGTCCGGCTGAGGACTTTAGAATGGGCTGCCTGGTCAGAGTGAACGCTTATAAGCTTCTGTTATTGCATAACGGAGACGACTCAAATGTTGACCTTCTTAACAGCACTATCGACAAATTTTATGATATTGCTGACAAGAACCGAGACGCTTTAATGAAGTATGGATCAGTTATTTTGCATCCGTTACAAATGTTGATTCTAGTCAAAGGCACATGGTGTCAAAATATCTTGGCCAAGAATAGCAAGTACTGGTCTCTGATCCGCATCTTTGCTTCTTCCCCAAAAAATACGGAAGTCGTCTATCAGTTTATGCGCAACCTTGTGGAAACGCTTCCCGAGATAATCACATATCAGAATTACATGGATGTTTTAGGCCTTCTTGATGAAATATCGGCGGTGGGGGCATATGGGGCACAATGGGAGCAAGAATATGATAAGCTTATTGCCAGTGGCCACAAGGTGGAGAAAAATAAAAACCCATTCCAGGATTTGGTGGCAACGGCCACAAAGTCAATCACTTTGACATTGGGATTAGCGAAGCTTTTCGATTCAGGCAATTTTAGATCCACAGTCCCGATCGATACTGATAGCTCATCTATTTGGTATCCTTTGATTGAAGCAATTGCTCATCAGTGCTACAACCCATGCAGGGAGCTGAGATCTCACGCTCTGAAAACACTCACAACGTTACTTGTTTCCTCCGACTTACCGCTAGACATTCTCTCCCCTGAATTGGTCTTGGACGCAGGATGTATTCGTTTGTTACTCGAGTTACTGAAGCCGGATGTGGAAGGCACAGATGCGGAAGGAATGATCAAAACACAACACGATGTGCTCAATTTTACTTGCAAGGTGATCCTAATTTACAGATTCACAGACGTTACTGCGGTTATCAGTAAGGTTCTGGCTGTTTCTTCTAAATTCATTGTCAAGAATCGACACCGTCAGAATTTCAAGGATGAGGTACTTGAATTCTTAAAAAACATGTTGCTTGTCAAGAAGGAAGAAGTAGATTTGGAAAATTTGGAAAAGCTACAAATTGATAGGTCGCTGAAGCTGATGATTGAGGGGATAAGGGAAGCGGAGGATTCAGATGCGAAAGAAAGCCGCAAAAGCAGTGCGCAAGAATAATGAGTTGAGAACTATGTCAACAGGTTGTCGAAAAGAGTAAAGACCTCGTTGTCGAAATTCAAATAAGTTAAAAAGAGATTAATTTTTTAAATCATCTATTTGTAATACTTTCAAAGACTGCTGCTGCTTAGCGACTAAAAAAATCCATTTGGCTGTGCTCCTAGATCTCAAAAGCGATTGTTTTCCTTTTTATGGAGCGAGCGAAAGAGGCCAATTGGCCCATCGATCGTAACCCAACACCTCCAAAGGATGAAGCAAGCTCTACGGCGCAGCAGCTATCCCAAAGAAATACCCAAGTTGTGTCTGCTTCTTCAGCAGGTATCAGAGCCGTTGTTTATCAGATAACGTCTTTGTACATGAGAAACCCTGCAAAACTATTCAGGCCGTCTCGATTTGACTACCTCACAACAGCAAGAGCTTTGATGCATGGAGAGCTTGCGTCGAAACCATGGAGCTTACGAACACATTCAGGAATAGCTCTTCTATACCAATCAATCAAAAAAGAAGGGTGGAATTTTATTCCACGACAAGTGCTTCCTCCGATAGTAGCAAACAGCGCCATTGGAGTGATCCTATATTCCACATATCTCACACTGTTACAACGGTTCAATAAAAGAAATATGAACTCGATCGAGGATCCTAGCCCAATTGACACCTTCAGAGCCGGCTTTGTGGCCGGAGCTGCTGCTAGCGTTGCTGCATCACCGCTAGATGCACTTTATGCCCGATCAAATTACTCAGAGCTGGTGAGTGGTAAACAGAAGAGTATGTGGGAGTATGGGTTGTACAAACTAAAACAAATAGGTCTGGTTGGAATATTTGCAGGCTTTAGTCTAAACTTCATAAAGGAAAGCCTTGGATTTGCATTCTACTTCTCGGTATTCGAGCTTGTCAAAAATCAGGGATTCCACAAGACAGAAGCAGTTATTCAGTGGTATCAATACTGGCGCTCAAGGATTTTCCATGGTGAAGAAAACCGGGAAAAGGATTCTAGATTTTTCAAAGCTCTAAATCTAACGTTTATCCTCCTTGCTGGGGCTTCTGCCGCGACCACACTGCTTGCAATCCAGTATCCACTTAACAAAATTCAAAAGGTTCACCTGACTAGACTCGAGTCCTTAGATCTCTACAACGATGCACATCAATTGGATCGGCGTCGCTTCTTTAAGCTATACTATAATTCCTACATTGAAACATTTGATATTATTCTACAACGATGGCGAAAATCCCACCTCTCGCTCTTTAGCTTCTGCTATAGAGGATTTTTTCGATCGTCCTTCACCAGTATACCTGCTACATCTATTGGGCTTTTGGTTTTTGAGATATCCCGTCAGCATTTTAGCGAGAATCAATTATGATGATGTATATAGAAAAAAATGTTCTCAGACACTGCGCCGCTTGTACGCTTCCCACCCAGCTTTCCTATATCTCTCCCCTTCCACTACAGGATCTCTTCCCTTACCAAACAAACCTCTTCCAACGATGATGACATCGGTTCCTGTTTGTATCACTTCATCGACAGTTCTATATTGCTGACCCAGAGAATCACCCTTATCATCTAACCCAACTCCAGGAGTCATTATCAGCCAGTCAAAGCCTTCTTCGCGACCTCCCATATCTCTCTGAGCAATGAATCCAATAACAAATTCTTTATCGCTTTTCGCAATCTCGACAGTTTTTTGAGTATACTCACCATAAGCTAATGATCCTTTCGAAGAGAGTTCAGCAAGCATCAAAAGCCCACGTGGCTCATCTGTGCTTTCCTCTGCAGCCTGCTTTAGACCCGCAACAATTCCTGGGCCAGTCACTCCGTGTGCATTTGTGATATCCGCCCATTTGGACGTTCGATAAATGCCTCCCTTATACTGTAGCTTGACCGTGTTTCCTATATCAGCAAACTTCCTGTCCTCAAAAATCATAAAGTCGTGTTTCTTTGCAAGTTCTTGTAAAGGCAGAATGGTGTGTTCATAAGAAAAGTCCTCCACTATGTCAATGTGAGTTTTGACAAGGCAGATGTAAGGTCCCAATTTATCTAATAGCTCCAATAACTCATGAGTTCTAGTCACATCAACAGAAGCACACAGATTTGTTTGCTTGACTTCCATTAAATTGAGTAGTCTACTTGCCACCTTCGAAGGGTGAGTCTTTGCCCTTTCCCCATATGTTTTGTACATATTGATTATATTTAAGGAACTATTGAAAATTTTTCGATAATTAGTTAAACTATTTCTTATACACCATGGATCAACTTAACTATAAAGAACAACAAGAGTTCCAGAAAATCGTGGAGCAAAAGCAAATGAATGACTTCATGAGAGTAAGTTAACACCTTCTGAAAACTAACATTGCAGCTCTACACCAGCTTGGTTGATAGATGTTTCAATGACTGCGTCAACGACTTCACCTCCAACAAACTAAGCTCTAGAGAAGAATCATGTTTGAACAAGTGCGCTGAAAAGTTCCTCAAGCACTCTGAAAGAGTGGGTTCAAGATTCCAGGAACAAAACCAGATGTTGATGAACCAGATGAGAGGCGGCAATTAAACACCTTTAATTGCTGGATGATTCCCGGAACAGGCTCAACAAGTTTTGCGCTTCTTCCATCATTTCAATCGTCCATTTATAAGTTTCTGTCTGATGCATATCGTTGTACATAATTGCGTTGCTGAACATCAGTTGAAGCTCGAATTCCAACTCGTTGAATGATTTTATTTCACCCGTCCGAATAGCTTTACCCAGACTTTTGATGTCCACAGGATGTCGTATTAGCTTGTAGTACTTGGGCTCTTCGTTTTCATTTACTGGTTGCATGAACATTGAAGCGAACCGGTTAGATGATATCTGTGTAAGCAATTGTGCAGAAAGAGCATTGAAACGCTTAGTACAGCCAGGGGGCATGCTTTCTGATCCGCGTCGCTTGCTTCCACGTTCTTCATCCCCACTTGCTGGTGATGAAGGCGTAGCAGGTTCTGGAGCTGGCGATGGTAGCTCTTTTGAAACCGACTTGGACTCCAGTTTCGTTTCAGGTTCCGATTCTGTATCCAGCCTGGAGTTTAGCGCTGGGCCCTCCCGAGCTTCAGAAGGAGTCTCTGATGCCTTTCTTTCTCCTTCTTCCAAAGGAGTGACTGGCTCCGATCGAGCCGATGATTGTGCCTTCTGCTCGGCATCCTGATCGATCTTTTTGTCTGCGTCCTCACCATCCGCATGTCCTTCATTTTCTTGCGCATCACCTTTGGCCATCTCTAAAGTCTTCTCCAGCTGTTCTTCGTCCAAAACAATCTGGCCGTCCTTTTTCTGATTATCCGAAAGATCTTGAAGAACTTTGGTAATTTCTTTCCCTTCGTCTGACTCGAGCTTTTCCTTCACCATATTGACTAGTTCCTGTTGACTGGCTTCCTGCACATCTTCGGCCTTTTTAGGAACATTTTTCGATTGTTCCATTCCGGACTTTTGGGAAAATTCATCAATGAGCTTTGAGTCTTCGATGCTACCGTTTTCAATTTGCTCTATCTCCTTTTTTTGGTTCTTATATTTCAACTCTAAGCTAGTAATTTCACCCAGCGTGGTATTTTTGTAGCTGTTCAGTATCTTTATCAACCTGTCTTTCACCAAAGCAATATCGATCTTGTTCGAAAGACGAAATATTGTACTTTTTGGAATCTGAGATATAACGTGTTCACTGGCATTGTCCAGAGAAAGACTCTCTGATATCACTTGTACAATTTGGCCAGGAGTTAGTATGTCCTGGAATACTTCTCGATTTTGTCTCTTTTGTTTTATTGCATCCAAAGACTCTTTAATGTTCAAAATGTCAAAATATGGATTTATCAGTGGATTATTGTTTATCATTGCTTGAAGCTGTAAGATATTGAATGAGATGTCTTTGCGAGGAGGTTGGGATTGTTGAGCTGCAAGGTATAGGGAATGGATGTGCTGCAGAGTGACAATTTTCTGCAAAGCAGTTACAGGAGCTGACGACTCTGGCTCCTGTGACATTATTAGCGGAAAAATAGTGAATGATATTTTTTTGTTTTTTAATAATTTTCAATGAAAAGAGAACGAGAAAATGAATTGCAGCAAAACTCCTCTTCCGAATCTCCTGACGGACTTTTCCAATTGCCGGCTTACTATCCATTGTCCAAAAAATTCAAGGCTGAATTACGCCAGCTGAACCCCGCTAAGACGATAGATTCCGTAATCAAGGAGACAAGAAGCGCATTGATGGAAACACTCTTCGAATATATTGACAACCAAGCAGAGCAAGGACTTGAGCAGGTCTCAAAAGGTAACATAGCAGCGGAGGAATATGAGAAGACCAAGAAACTAAAGTACAAAGAGGATCCCGTTTTGCTGCGAGGCAAGCGCGTTTTGGAAAAGCTGAATCAAACTCGAAGATGCCAAGCCACCTATCTCGCTGCCTTCCAAAAAACACGTACAGAGATCCTGGATCGCCATGAGCCGGAGCTGAGTCTAGAAGACCTCGAACGCTATGCACATATGAAAGTCGTACCGTCGCAAGTGCACGATCTGTACAAAGACGTTCTATCCTCGAACGTGAAAGAATCTGCCTCTGTTAGCGAAATGCTAGTGAAGTCAGAAGCAATGGAAATTGATAAAAAGCTTTTTGTTGCCATCAACCCAACCGAGCCTATACCTTTCAACGACCAAGAGGACGACGATGAAATAGAGATAGGCGGTGGTAAAGTGAACTTGACTTGTCCGATTTCTCGCTTGATAATGAAAAACCCTGTCAAGAATAAAAAATGTGGACATACATACGACAAAGCATCGCTCGCCAATTACAACTCGACCGATTGCCCTGAATGTGGAGTCACGATCCAGAAATCGGAGCTGGTGGAAGATACACTAATGAAGATTAGAATAGCCTGCTACGAGAGAGACCAAAAACTTCAAGAATTTCACAAGACAAAAGCTGATGATGACATCGACCGTTTATAATGAATCACGAACTAATAACGCTCCAATCGCCCATCTTCGTAAGCATCTCGACAACCTCTTTTCTTGGAAGGCTCATTTCTGTGCATATCGTATCAAAATCCCGACATTTCTTTAGCAAGCGAGAAAGCTTGATTTCTTGTTGCTGCCTAAGACGCTCAGATTTGAGGCCTGTCAGGTCCAGAAACTTGTCATTGGTCTCTGCTGCTTCTATCAGCTTATCGTCATCGTCAAAATCGTTGCTAAACTTCCTGATGTTCTTGGTGACAGGCAGCACAGACACATTGTAATTGGGTTTCCTAGAGTGTGCGCCGTCATTGTAATTTGTATAGATTGTGCCAAAATCTATGGATGTCGATGTTTTGTTGGAAACAGGATAAGTTCGCACTCTGTAAATGATTCCCCTGAGCACGCCAAAAGTAACAAATCTTCTTATATCGATATGAGCCAGAAGCTTGCTGTTTTCTGAATGCCATTGACGCAGAGTAAGATTTTGGTTCATGGAACGATAGAGATAGAACAAAGTTGCTTTTGAAGGCAAAGGAACAAACGTAGTTTTTTGGATTGATTTTAGATTTTGATACGAATTAGTCTTGGGAGAAAAAGAATGCTGACTATCGTGCATCTGTGACCTTTCGTTTCCCAGTAAAGAAGAATGTGTGCTGGCATTTTCCATGTCTTGATTCAACCCTATATCCTGGCTTCTCTGGAGAGGCAAGTTACCAAATGTTCCTGTGGATGAAATCACGTATCCTTGACATTCGGAAGCCATCATTGGGTCGCGTAAGAAGTTGCATATTTGCGAAGTGGGAGCGTAACAATTGGAGAACTGAAATACATCTAGAACGGCAACGGACCTGAAGTGGATCAAGTGTTGAATACACTGCCTTGTTAATTCAAAATCTGCGTCTGCTAAGATGCTGATTCTTTTTATAGAGTTGATACCATTGATGAAAGGTAAAATTCTCACCATCGTCGGGTCCCATAGCGGATCCACCATTGTTTCTAGTTTCACTGTTGCTATAGGAACATCACAAGCATTTAATTCTGGAGGTGGGGGCAAGATGGGAAACAACTTGATATCGACAGAGTTTGCAGAGTCTATAGGAATGAGGCATTCAGAGTAGTTATTCAAGTCCTGGTAAATCTGTTGGACTAAACTTTCAATCGATGCCAGTATTGGACCGCTGGACTCGGAATGCTTTATATTTTGATTGGAAAATGTCACCTCGTCGCCGACGTCTTCATCTTGTATTATTCGAATGTAATTTGAAGTCTTGGACCAGGTTTTGGGTTCCAGTTCTTTTTGAGGCTTGAAGAAATCCTCGTGGTTCTTATCTGCTTTAGACAGCATTTGGGATTGTTCCTCTAGCGCGCGGAACATACGTCCTAGTCTTTTGACATGTCCTTCGTAAGGAGTGGTATCATCCTCGTATTTGAAAACAAAACACAGATTGAAGCTGAAAGAGTTTCGGGCATAATGAGACGCATATATGTTGACGGGAAACCCTACCACACGGTAGCTGCTAATTTTGAAAGTTACCAATTTGTTGCAAAGTGCTGGTTTAGGGATCACGTAGTTTTTGATGGAGTCGAAATCAAACAGGGGAACAGCCAACGTGGAAGAGTCTTTGCTTTTATCTGCCGGCACAATTGACCCACTAGGAACCTGGCAGACAACCTTAGTTCCTTCTGTGGGGTGAAAGACAGCGTAAAACATGGAAATTATGGACGTAAATCCATCGCTGGACATGCTAAATTAATTGATAAAAGAAATTTTATTATATATCTTCACTATGGCACCAATAACGTCGTATGTTAAGTTGGGCCCGCGAATGGTGGTTCCTGTTAAAACTTATGTGAATCGCAAGGAGATACAAAAGAACATTAGCAAACTCTCCGTGCACCAGACCACTCTCAACCTCTCTAAAGTAATGAGGATTACCTTATCAAATAAAGACCTTCGACGACTATACGAGGATATTAAACCCATCCTCTTGCCTATTTTACTTGAATACACGGTGGATCACATAAGATCCATATCCAAACCTGCCAGCGATGGCAAATATCGCATCCCGCTAACAACAGACGACTGGAAATGTTATTTGGAAATCACAGTTGGAGAGATCGAAGAGTTGCGTGAATATTTGCGATACGAGTTTTTGGGGCACAATTTGGGCCAATCCTGGCTTCTAGTCAAAGACATGGTGTTCAAAAGGGAAGAAACGCTTGGAACACTTCTGGGTGAGGAGGAAGATAGCAAATCTTTAAAAGTCAAATACCGAAACCCTCAGATCATTCCTATTCCACTTAGCATCTACGTACACGCAACTACGAAATGAAAACTATCAGTAAGCACGCTTCAAAATCATTTTAACAATACAGACAGAAATAAATCCCACACATACTTAGGCGGCTTGCTTCTCAGGCTCGGCCCATTCTTGCTCAGTCACGTGCATGTTTTGAACGTCTTCGGCTAAGTCGTCGTCGTATATTTCGCCATCGGTAGCCTTGAAGCTCAAAGTTGGCTTAACTTGAGCGGTCTCGTAGGTCCATGAAGCAAGGGCATTCTCGCAATCGATGATAATTTGCTTGGATGCTTCGTAACCGTCGTATGACGGTCTGGTCTCACCTGGGGTCACAGGAGAGTCGTCAAGCAATTCCAGAAGAGCCTTACCGTAGCCAGCAATCAGAGCCAGTTTCTCAGAGTGTTCTCTGATGGAGTCGAAGTGGTACGCGAAGGAAGCCTTCAATTTCTCTCTGGTAATGTTGGAGAGTTGTGCCTCAGCAACGAGCGATTCTGCCTCAGCTCTGACCAATTCTTGTTCCAGAATCACAATCTTTGGGGATTGTGGGTCCTTGTACTTCAAGTAAGCAATTTGATCAGTGATCTTTTGTTTCCGGTCTCTTGATGGCTGGACAGAACCCTCAATGTCTCTGATGCTTTTGAGAGTAATTCTATATTGATCGTATCTGTCAATAAATTGGTCATCCAGTTCACCAATTTCGTAAATTAGGACACCCAATTTGTCAGTGATGTCACTGACGTCGTCCTCATTATCTGCACCCCAGAGGGAAAGCTGCTTGGCGGCAGCTTTTCTCTCCTTGGAAGACAATTCAATGGCTCTCATCACGTTCTTCTCCATCTTAACAAGCTGGGCAAGCTTCTTGGCGAGTTCTGGACCAAACGAACCAGCAGCAGATCTTCTGATGGTGTTGGTAATAGAACCCTTACCAAAAAATCTGTTAGTCTTGGTAGAGGATGGTGGAACAGGGATTGGGTTTTGCAAGTCAGAGGCTGTTGGAGCCCTGCTCGATCTAAGAGAGTAGGTTCTGTGCATGTTTGGAAATTCTTTAGCTGGGCAGCTTTTTTTTCTTATGGTGAAATTTAACTCCTTAAATAGCTGGCGACATTGCCGTTCTGGGAATTTTAGAATCGATCATGTTTGCTCAGTAAAATGGCCCCAATTGGGCAAATTGCTAGATGATTCCTAATATCTTGAATTCTCGTAAAGACTGCAAAGACATCTGGTCACTGAAGGTACAATTCGACCTTATAGGCAGTGTGGCAGCTTGAGGAACAGGTGTTCATAGGCAGCCATCCCAATGCTCCCAATCTTTTTGGGGCTCGGTGCACGACCAGAAAATGGAGCTGAACTGCTGATTCAAAGGAAACCACTATTCAATTGCGACTCTATCTAGTACCCATGGCTCCCATAGGGCACCATTAGCACGATGGATGGATCATTCTTGCATTTGATGTCCAAAGATCGCGGATATCAGCTCTTCATCATTAATATTTTTCTCAAAAAGGAAATTTGTCATGTACTAATCAGGAAGCGTAAATAGCCTGGGGAACCAGGGACTTCTTAGACATAACCTACATACACATGCGGTAAGCCATCTTACGCCTGCAGACGTGGCATGCAATATGGCTATAGGGGTAGTTTAGGTACTCTTAACACAGAGATTCAACACTACCAGTTACACATACCAGTTACACACGCTTGGAGTGATGGGCAGATCCTCAATACCGTGTACTAATACTCACAAAGCGCGTCCAGCTCACCAAGCTTGCATAATCTTTCTGCTTTTGAAGAACAACGTAATAGGTGCTTACCTTGTTATGACCTACCGCTTCCTTTTAATACCAATGTATATGCTGTATTCCAAAAGTGGAAATAATTCAGATAGCAGAAACTGACGAGTGGTGAGTCCTCACCTAAATGACTGAACATTATAGGTTTGGGTCTTTTGCCTCGCATGAATGAGGTGTCAAGTCTTGTGTGTTTGCCAAATGGTAAATGTTGCTTTGTTGCTCATTTAATAAAACCCTATAAATTAAAATTCTCCAGATAAGAAAATTTTCGCTTTAGTCAATCTACATATGATCTCAGGGTACAAAACGTTCTTTGCACGGCGGCCATTAATGGCAAATATGATATCCACAGGAGTAAGTAGAGGACTCATACTCTCACCATTACTAACAGCAGATCTTATTTGGTACCGGCGATGCGCTTGCCCAAATATGTTTTCCTCAGGATACAAAAGTAAGATATGATTACCTTCGAACTACGAGAGCAATCATCTATGGGGGTGCTGTGTTTGGCCCGATTGGAAGCAGGCTATACAAATTCATGGATACCATAAAGTTCCCTCTTCCATGGCAGCCAAAGAGGCTATATGACACCTTAGCAAGAGTCTCATTCGATCAATTGGTCTGGGCCCCAATTGGTATTCCACTTTATTACAGTTGCATCACATTCATGGAGGGATACGGAGTCCCCGAAATCAAGGCCAAGTTACGCGAAGTATACCTTGACACGCTAATCAATAACTGGAAAGTCTGGCCTCTATTCCAGGCATTCAACTTTTGGTTCACCCCCGTTAGATACCGTCTGCTGGCAGTCAACATCATAAGCATAGTATGGAATTGCTACCTGAGCATTGAAAACCAAATGTCTAACGCCAAGGTTGAGCACAGTGAACAGTGAGTTGCTACGTACAACAAAAATAACGTCGTGTGGCGATGCATGGATTCTTGTAGATTTTTTCCTGAATGTTGGCCACCTGTGGCGAGTGAACGAATTGTTTTCTTTTTTCCCACATCTAACAAGAGCGATTCGTTTCAGATATATAAGGCACAGTCATCAATCCCAGCACATTACACCAAGAGGCAGTCCATTAGCGCATCCTTTGTAAGAATTGCCCTCAATCAACCGGTTCTGGCTACAAGTTATTCTGCTTTGGTGGTATATAACAAAAACCTCATCTTGTGTAATCGCAATCTACGATATACCAGACTCTCAAAATGATGAAAGGATTTAAACAAAGATTCAGGTCCAAAGCTGGATCTTCCAAGGGAGAAAAAAAGAAGGACAAGAAGGAAGATAACAATAAGAAGCCGGAAAAACAAAAGTCCTCAAGTTCGTTGTCAAGTTCCACGTCTTCCAGTATAGGAGCAATACCAGTGAAAAAGTCACAATCCGGATCTTCAGAACAGTCATCGATACACTCAGCATTAGACAATTCTTTAGCAGGTTCTCCATCTTCAACATCATCCAGCAAGTCTGTCCTGCAATCTCAAGCCCCGCAGATACAAACCCCAACGCCTGTCACAGCCTCTGGATCGACTAGAGGCGACGATATCGTGTCTCCGGACCTAGAAATATCCAAATTGCATACCTCTCACCATTCTCTGGCCTTTGACAAAATTCCGAAAGATGACATCGGTTTAAAACCTAAGACTCCTCAAAGACATTCCTCTTCAAGATTTGAGCCAACCAATGATCAACGACCTTTTGAAAAATTGGCAAGTTTCGATGAAGTTGATCCAGAGTACCATGTTGAACTCTTCATTCAGAAAGTCGACCAGTGTAAGATCATGTTTGACTTTTACGATCCTTCCTCCGATATACAAGGCAAAGAATTGAAAAGAGTTACCTTACACGAGTTAACATCCTTCATAAGTACCACGAGAATGACATTCACCCCAGAGATGTACGAACATGTTGTCGAAATGTTCAAGGTCAACATTTTTAGGCCTATTCCTCCCCCAGTGAATCCAGTCGGAGAGATATACGACCCCGACGAAGACGAACCTGTTTATGAACTTGCCTGGCCTCATATGCAGATGGTGTATGAGTTCTTCCTTAGGTTTGTGGAAAGTCCAGATTTCAACAACTCAGTTGCCAAGCCTTACATTGATCACAAGTTTGTGCTAACGTTGCTTGAGTTGTTTGATAGCGAGGACAATAGAGAAAGAGACTGCCTTAAGACTACCTTACACAGAATTTATGGAAAGTTTTTGAGCCTTAGATCATTCATCAGAAAGTCTATAAGCAACATATTTCTCAACTTTGTCTACGAGACAGGCAGGTTCAACGGAATATCTGAGCTGCTGGAGATTTTAGGCTCCATCATCAACGGTTTTGCTCTTCCATTGAAAGAAGAGCATAAAGTTTTTTTGATTAGAGTATTGATTCCTTTGCATAAGCCCAGATGCTTGTCTCTATACCATCCCCAGCTGGCTTATTGTATTTTGCAGTTTCTGGAAAAGGACTTTAGCCTGACAGAGGAAGTGATCATGGGATTGTTGCGCTACTGGCCGAAGATCAATTCGCCTAAGGAGTTGATGTTTCTGAACGAAATCGAAGACATTTTTGAAATAATTGACTCTCAGGAATTCCAGAGGATTGAAATCCCTCTGTTCGCTCAACTAGCAAAATGCATATCATCGCCTCATTTCCAGGTCAGCGAAAAAGTGCTCTGTTACTTCAATAACGAGTACTTTGTCTCGCTTGTCACAGAAAATGCAGAGAATATTCTGCCTATCATTTTCCCTGCCCTATTTGATCTAGCCCAGCCAGAACTGGATGCAATTGAGCAACAGCAACAACAACCCTCTATGGACTTCAATTATGACGAACCCAATAATTGGAATCGTACGATCTCATCCCTTGCCTACAATGCCCTAAAGATTTTCATGGATACTAACCCGATCGTTTATGATAGATGTTGTATATTATATGAAGAGCAAACCAAGGAAGAGAAAAACCAGAAGGATTTGAGGCAACAGCATTGGAAGAAGTTGGAAACCTATGTGGAGAAATTGAAGCTAGGGGAGGACGAAGAACTGAAGAGTGTTCAAATAAAATGACTCAACTAATATTTATTACACAATGATCATGCATTTGTCTTATATTCTCTCAAAATGACTGGCACAGATGATGGCGGTAGAGCGCCTAGCTCGGTAATGACCTTCTGAATATATTCTGGAGGAGTCAGATCATATAAAACATTCAGTATATTTAGAGGTTTGAGCTCTTTCCAGTTATTCAAGACAGGCGATTCATTATCAGCTAGCTGAAGCTCCTTTTTGTCCTTCTTGGTACCTTGCTGCTGCGGCTTCTTCGGTTCCTTGCTCTGCAAAGAGATCAAAAATTGGTTTAGGTTGGACCCCGTTTTCACGAATGGTTTGGTATTTATGACATCTTCCGAATCACCGAGCTCATTGAGAGTTACAGAGTCCAGCTGAACCTTATCGCTGAATTTCATGGATTCGCAACACACCAACACGGGAATGTTCTTGTTCTTAGAGGCCATCGCAATCATAGCAGTTCCCACGCGTGAATACAGTCTGCCGTTGGAAAGCATCGAGTGAGCACCTAAGAAACAAAAATCAATGTCAGACCTTTCTAGTATTGTGGATAGCGAGTTGATTAGATTGTAATGGCATTTGATATTTGGAACAGCAGATAATTCTCTGGCCAACTTCTTACCCTCGAATAAAGGTTTTGAGTCGATAATGTAGATTTCAAAAGACTTATTCTCCTCAACAGCACAGTATTTGAAAAGCTTTTTTAGCACCTCCGAGTGTCCATAGGTGAGGAGTTTTGAGCCATCCTGAATGTGCGTGGATGCGAATTGAGTGATAACCTTATCCGAGTAGAGAATTTTCTCCTGAATGTAAAGATCAATTTCCTCAATTACCTGCTTTTTTGCAACTTCGTCGCTCAGGTCAATCGGTATAATGGAGATTCGCTGCTTAAGCCATCTGATTGCATTTCCCATTGAAATACTGAGAGGTCTACCTGTTTTCAAGTACTCAATTTGATGAGACAGGTGAGACGTGAGATTTCTCTGCAACGAAGCATTGTCTGGAGTTTGGTAAGATGAAATGACGTCCTTGAATGCCTCAAGCATTGCCTGACAGCGGGCCGTGGAGCCCACGATTTTGTAAGTAGAGATCTTCAGCGTGAGTGCCAAGATTTTCGGATGAACAATACTAGCTATCTGGGGCGACGAGGAAATACGCTGTTCTCTGGTTTCCAGGTGTCCAAACATCGTAGGCACTTTACGGTCGGACTCAATGATTTTGGCAGAATTTAGCTGCTTTTTGATATGTGTGGCTGTTGGAGGTTTACCATTAGAATCTCTTGACTCTTTCTGTCTTGTCGACGCAGATTCGGAGCCGGAGGAGCCAACTTTTGCAGCCGCGCGCTTGGCAGCCTTTTCTTTCTTCTTGAGATCCTTGAGCTCCTTATTGGAAAGCTTTGTATCTGCAGGAGCAGGCACAGTCGCAGGAGTTGGTTCAGACATTAGTGAAAAGAGATTTGGGAAACAAAACTTTTGGAGTCGATCGACGCAGAGCAGCCATTTATATGCGCATAGGTATCGATTCCCGGAGAGTACTGGAAGCGAAGTAGTGGCAAAGTAGACATTCAGTTGTCTATTGAGTGCCATTTACTGCACTCCAAAGAGTTGTGCATTCCCGAACATGGCGTTTGGCGCAAATATAGCCAGCGATCGACGCAGTATGAAAAATTTTCGTTAAGCAAAACTAATATTGTACATTTTTATTCCAACATGGCGCCAGCAATCACGGAAGATGAAGCCGAGAAGAACGTCCAGATGTGGAAGGTCAAGAAACTGATCAAGTCTCTTGAGAAAGCCAGAGGTAACGGTACCTCTATGATTTCTTTGATCATTCCTCCAAAGGGCCAAATCCCTATGATCCAAAAGATGTTGACCGATGAATACGGTACAGCTTCCAATATCAAATCGCGTGTCAACAGACTGTCTGTGCTTTCTGCCATCACATCGACCCAACAAAAACTGAAGCTCTACAGCTCTGTGCCAAAGAACGGACTGGTTATCTACTGTGGTGAAGTTATCACTGAACAAGGTAAAGAGAAGAAATTGACCATTGGTTTCGAGCCTTTCAAGCCCATCAATACATCTTTGTACCTCTGTGACAACAAGTTCCACACCGAGGCGCTTTCTGAATTGTTGGAGAGTGACGATAGATTCGGGTTCATTGTCATGGACGGTAACGGAGCTTTGTTTGGTACGCTCTGCGGTAACACCAGAGAAGTTTTGCACAAATTCACAGTCGACCTTCCAAAGAAGCACGGAAGAGGTGGTCAATCTGCATTGCGTTTCTCGAGACTGAGAGACGAAAAAAGACACAACTATGTTAGAAAGGTGGCCGAGGTGGCTGTCCAGAACTTCATTACTGGAGACAAGGTCAACGTTGCCGGATTGATTTTGGCAGGAAGTGCCGACTTCAAAACCGAGCTGAGTAGATCGGACATGTTCGACCAGAGACTGCAAGCAAAGATCTTGAAACTGGTCGATATCTCCTACGGAGGAGAAAACGGATTTAACCAGGCAATCGAGCTTTCTGCTGAAACTCTGTCCAACGTCAAATTCGTTCAGGAAAAGAAGCTGATCACACAATACTTTGACGAAATCTCACAAGACACTGGTAAATTCTGTTATGGAATTGAGGATACTCTCAAAGCACTCGATCTGGGAGCCTGTGAAATCGTTATTGTTTATGAAGGTCTCGACACCGTCAGATACACACTCAAAGACTCCGAGGGAAATGAGGTGATTGCACATGCCTCTCCGTCGCAGGAAGATAAAAGCTACATGTTTGACAAAGCGGGCCAGGAGATGGAGATTGTTGATGAGATGCCATTCCTCGAGTGGCTGGCTGAAAATTACAAGAACTACGGTGCTACGCTTGAATTTGTGACCGATAGATCTTCCGAAGGAGCGCAGTTCGTGAAGGGCTTTGGTGGAATTGGTGCCTTGCTGAGATACAAGGTCAATTTTGAACAACTGGTTTCTGACGACGAGGACGAATTCTATAGTGACTAATGATGCAGGGTTGTAATTGATTATTATATGCACTTTATTTCTTCTTTTTTTTCAGCACCTGTAGTGCATCTTTCTGATTGTACCCCAAGATATTGGAGTCCCCTCCTCTGGCAAGGATATCCGCAAGGTTGGTCAGGCCTCCTGCAATATACGATCGTCTTCCGCCTTTTCTCAGAGGCTGGCGCAGCATTTGTTTCAGCTGTGCTCTGTAGCTTTGTGCGTCCTGTTTCGTCAACTGCTTGCCCTCTTTCCGCTTTCTATCTCTTTTCAGAAAATCATCCTCCTCTAAATCGCTCAGATCCTCGATTCCCAGGTCATCAGCAGCTTTTTCAATCCACGTTTTCTCTTTGTTCACAATCTGACTGCTGAGCTCTGCCTGGGCCAGTTTGGCACTCAACTCGAGTCTTTCACGCAGCTGGTCCAGAATGTCCATTTCAAGTGGAAGTGTTTTCAATTCGTCAACTTCCTTATTAGCAACAGTCTTTCTGAGCTGTTTCAATGGACCTGAAGCCTCGTTTGGAGAGCAAAGTATAATCGAAACACCTTCGCGTCCAGCTCTCGCTGTTCTTCCAGAGCGGTGAATATAAGTGTCTGCTGTACGGGGAATGTGATAATGTACCACGTGGTGAATGCCTGGAATGTCTAACCCCCTGGCAGCAACGTCCGATGCAATTAGCACGGAAGACTTCTTTTCTCTGATAGCCTTTTCAGAATTGGCCTTGAAACGCTCCAAAGACCTCAAACGCTGTTTTTGTATCATCGAAGAGTGTAGCGACACAGTTGGGATTCCCAAGTTGTTCAACATCGGAGCCAGTCTCTTAACTGAATCAATAGCGTTGGCGAATACTAATGTGACACCAGGAAACATGGTGAGGAAATAGTACAGCATGAGATCCCTCTCTTGGGCTCCACACGGAATCATAGCTTCTGTAATGCTATTAGCCACGATCTCTGTAGGATTCACGTCCACATATTCCGGTTTGGACCTAAATTTTAGATGCTTGGAAAGCATCTTGACGATCGCTTCCTCGCTGTCAAAGGTACGCTTCTTGGCTTTTTCCAGTTTTCCAAAAAGATCTTGAGAAAAGGTTGCCGAGAAAACCAGAGACTGGAACTTATGGCCATACACTTTTGGCCGGTGGTTGTGTAGTATTTCCAGGATCTTGCCTAGTTCATCAAAGTGCCCGTCCTGCAGTAATCTATCAGCCTCGTCGCAGACTAAAATGTCAGCAGACGCAAGTTGCACTGCATTTTCGGTCTTCTTTTCTAAAATCTCCAGAAAACGTCCCGGGGTGGCAATCACCACCCGAGGTTTGTATCCCAACAATCTCTCCTGTTTCTGGATAGAGAGACCACCAGTGAGAGATATAACAGATTTGTCATGGAAAGGAGTGTATTTGAACAGTTCCTGCAAATGCTTCATCACTTGATTGGCCAGTTCTCTTGTAGGCGTGAAAACAATACCGTTGAGATGTTCTTGTTTGTTGCTCAAAGCTTTCTCAAGGATTGGTATACCATACGCCAGTGTCTTACCGGAACCAGTAATGGCTTTACCAATAACATCCTTTCCATCCACAGCAAGTGGAATAGTAGCTTTTTGAATCTCGGTAGGCTTTTGGAACCCCAGCTTCTGTAATCCTTGCAACGTATTGGCAGAAAGGTTAAGGCAACTCCATTCGGGCAGATCCACATCCTCCGGTAGGTCCTCCTTCAAAGCCGCAAACACATTCGACTTCAATTCCTTTTCATCCTCAGCAAGAACTTTTTCCTCACCCCTTTCGAAACCATCTGATTGCTGCTCACTGTCATTATCTGCATTTTCTGAATCGTTTGCATCCTTTTCCTTATTATCAGTGTCCTCCGTCTTCTCTCCTTCCTTGACGAGCTTATTCTCATCTTTCACAACAAACCTGACTTGTCCATCTTCCATTTTGACATCAACACCATCGATTTCCTCCAGCCCGTAAAATCCCTCGTAATCATCCAGGGTATCTGGAATCTCGACAGGTTTCCATCTCAGCTCGTTGTCAGCCACTATCTGGGATTTTTTGGGCGCAGCCTTGCCAGAGCCAAGTTTCTGCCTCTTCTGACGCTGTTTCTGCGCCTTCCTGCGCTTCAAAATGAGCTTCTGTGCGGCAGTCACCATTTAACTAAAGCCAAAACTTTGATAAAAAAATTCAATTTTTTTTGAGTTTTTTTCTAGGGTACATATTTATTTTTCGATGTTATTGAGAAATAAGAAGAAAGGCTTACTGGCAGGCAAACGAGCCTTGTCTTCGCAAAAAAAGCAAAAAGTACTGAAACCTCTAAGGGCCCGCCAACTGATCCGCAGGTTTCATGTCCTACTGAAAAATAAAACCCAATTGGCCAAGAGATTAGAGAAGATTTGGAACTGCAAATTGGAGTCTGATCCAGCCAAGCTCATAAAAGAACACAGCCCTGGTTTGTTTAAGATATTCGAACAAGCAAGACTTCATACCATAGAGACATTATTGGTCAACAAATCTACCCCGTCAGCAATCATCAACACCGACTCTCTACAACCCGACAGGATTTGCGAGGAGCTAGGAAAAATAGAAGGAGAAATAGAGAAACGGGGCGGTTTAGAACTTTATCAGGCTGCATCCGTTCAGGGTCAGAGCTCTCAGAGGGGTGGCGATTCGTCTAAAAAGCTGGTGGAGTGGCTCAAGGAATTGGGCTACAACAAGAAAGATGCCGTGGCTCTCGAGATTGGGTGTTTGAACTCGAGAAATCTCATATCAACATGCGGATTATTTTCGAAAGTAGTGAAGATAGATCTTCATTCGCAAGAGCCAGATATATTAGAGCAGGATTTTATGGAACGTCCTCTGCCCAAGAGCGCAGATGAGCAGTTTGATTTGATCTCGTGTTCGCTCGTTGTGAACTTTGTGCCGGATCCATGCCTAAGGGGTCAAATGATGCACCGAATCACTCAGTTCCTCAAACCCTACTCACAAAAACCTTATTTATTCTTCGTGCTACCATTACCATGTGTTATAAATTCACGCTATTTCGACAATGATAGACTATCAGAACTGATGAGAGCACTTGGTTTTGAGTGTATAAGACATCACGAGTCACACAAGTTGGCATACTATCTCTACCAATGGGAACGAAGGGTGAGCGATGAACTGAAATTTCCAAAAAAAGAGCTTCACAAGGGAGCGAAGAGAAATAACTTTTGTATTGTTATTAGTTGAATGCATATAGACAAAGATCGCTGAGGGCGTGGGCCCAGGGACCTTTAGAGTGAGGATTAATTTTATGACAGAGGACAGCGATTATTGGAAGTTGAACCTTAGTCTGAGTGGTGATGTGTTTATTTCTTTTCTTTACTACCGTAAAACCATCATCTATCTTAGTCCCAATAGAGTTGCAAACTGTGGCACATAGTGGATACTTCTCAAAGTACTCCTTGGCTGTAAATTTGTTTGTGTAAGTGGAAACATCATTAGTCAAGATATACTTAGGTTTGTTGGCAAAAAGTGATTCCAGTAGGACAATTGGCGCGTGTGGAACGAAAAACAGAACGTCGTCCATATTCTGTGACTCGAAAGATTCCTCAACCTGAAAGTTGCACTCTGACGACAAAAAAAGGTTGTCCTCCTTTGTGAAAGCTGGATCATACAGAGACACCATATCAATACTGAAATACCTACCAATTTCGCAAAGAAGTGCTAATTGATAATTCGCCTGGTCCTCTTCAATAGGCGACCCTAGAGCTAGACAGCGCACTTTGCTCCAGGAGTCAGTTGAGCTTGGTTTCCACGATTCCAGTATCTTGACGATGTCCATAAACAACTCGCTGGATCTGATAAGCTCAGAGCGTTGCCTTAGCCTATCTCTGGCTCTTTCAAAAGCTGTATCCTTAGGTGTCGGTCGTTTCGTTCGCGAAACGATGGTAAAGTCTGCATTTGGAATCATCTCCGGACAAGCTCGGTGGTGTACCTATTCTGAAAAAATAATCAAATAATTTTATCATTACCGAATTCGATCTGCGGTCCAGTTCGGCATTTCCTATTTTGAGAATTAGATATCAAGATTCCAGACTGCCTGACGATATAAATATTTGCAAGTTTCTCGTTTCAAGGAGCAGACTATGATTTGTGAAGACTACCTGACAGGGGCGCATTCGATGGATGTGCCTCAGGAAACAATAGACAAGGAAGTTCAGGCCATTTTAGATAAAATCAAGGGCAAGCCTGGTTTCAACCCCAAGCAGCTATTTGATCCTGAGAAGCACCTTGCTTGGAAAGACGAATACTTCGAGAACACCAAAACATTCACTCTTCAAGACCTGGGAATCACAAAAACTCACACCAAGCCGATCAATGATTTCGGTGCTACTCATCCGTTCCCACTGCTCACAGAGGACGCTATTGATATCATGAAATGGGAAGCATTTCAGCCCCAGACCTTGAAAAAGTATGCGCGTTTGACAAACCCTGATTTCAGCTTGAAAACTAACCGGCACGATTTCCACATAGCAGGATATCCAGAAGAGGGTCATGCTCCATTCACCAAATCTGTCTATGATCACCCCAGACTCAAGGAGATTTTTTCCAAGCTGATCGGGATGGAAGTTACAACCACATACGGGTATGACGTAAACCATGTGAATGTGGCCCTGGCAGATTTTGACTTGCCTCTAGACGCACCGCTTTATCCTGAGCCTAAAAAGGACAAGGACGGGAAAACCGTTTTCAAGGCAGAAGAAGTGGGATCGATTTTGGGGCAGCACTATGACTCAACGTCTATTGCCTGTGTGATCATGTGGGAATGCCCCCAAGATAAGGGCGGCGAGACTGTCATCATCACAGGTGACGAGACTCCACTGGTGATTCCAAACATTGCTCGTCCCGGATACTGTACGCTCTTGCAGGCAAGGGTTATCAGACATATTGCAACGAAACCAAACACGAACTCCAATAGGATAGCTACCGTGGCTGGCTATTATCCGGCGGCTCCTATTTTGGACAACAGCTGTCTGACTAGTGTTCGTCCTAGCATTCTTCCTCGTTCTGTTCACGACGAGTTTTATACCGAGTGGTTTGATTTTAGATTCAAACAGCTGGAGCGAGTTCTTGCTGACAAGCGCAAGAAATTGTGGGATGCTTACAAAAGGGGACAGACCTTTGACCAAAAGGATGTCATCGAATTCAGCAAAGAATGCCAGCAGTACTTATTTGACAGCTGGCGGGAAATGGAGTTTGCAAACAACGACCCCTATCCTCCGCCTTTATTCTCGCAACCGTACTCAGAGCTCGCGCACAAAGTAGGAGGTGACGATGGATATTAGAAAAATAAATTAATTTAATTGCAATAATTTCTTATCTCTATTTTTTATCATGTCAGTAAGACCAGCAACTCACGCAGGCTCTTGGTACACCGGATCGGCTTTGCGTCTTGAGTCACAACTAGATAAATGGCTTTCCCAAGCATCAGGCCCTATTGCTGGTGCCCGTCTTTTGGTCGGCCCTCATGCGGGCTATGCCTATGCCGGAGAAACGCTTGCGCAAACTTACAGCGCTCTAGATGCTTCCGGAATCAAAAGGGTATTTATCATGGGCCCTTCCCATCATGTCTATTTCAAAGGATGCGTGATGACGAGCAATTTCGACTATTATGAAACACCTTTGGGCAACGTCCCCGTTGACAAGCAAACCATCAAGGACTTGGTTGCAAAGGATTCCAAAATGTTCAGACTGATGTCTGAGGAAATGGACGAGGAGGAGCACAGCTTCGAAATGCACATGCCATTTTTGTACCGTGTGACAAATAAAGCCAGAGACAGTGTTCCCAAGATCATACCTATCATGATCAGCGCCACTGACGAGAAGTTTGAGAGGAAGCTGGCAGAACACTTGACTCCATACTTTCAAGACCACGAGAACGCATTCGTCATAAGCACAGATTTTTGCCACTGGGGAACCAGGTTTGGCTACACCTCATATACGCCTTCTGGGAAGATTGCCGATATTCAGGATTTGAGGTTTGGAACAAGCGTACTCAAAAACTCGGATGTTCTGCCAATCTACAAGAGTATTGAAGCTTTGGATAAAGAGGCGATGAAAATTGCGTCAAAGACCTCCTACAAGGCGTTCAGGGAATATTTGGCCGCGACAGAGAACACCATTTGCGGAGCAAAGCCGTTGAGCGTGCTGCTTCTATTAATGGAACAGAACTCGGAGAAAAATCTCGAATGGCTTGGATATAAGCAGAGCAGTTCCGTCACTTCAGTGCACGACAGCAGTGTGAGTTACGCGAGCGCATATGCGTAGATATGATTTATGGGATTATACGATTATAGCTTAGGTAAATAGGACATGAACATGAATTTTGGTATTGGTCTTGCATAACAGTGGAATATCAACTAGTGCTTTTCAGGGCCATAAGTACTAAATAATTGCTACCCACTCAAGTTACATATAGCACATGTTCACTGTTCATCAGGGCAGAGAGAGATTTCCTAATTGTAGTGGCTACGTTAGCTTTCGCTCAGCAAACACTCCGGCTCTAACAGATTCAACAAGCAAGCTTTTTGCAAGAACTTATCTCTGATTGGACTTGTATGGATATCTACCTGTACAGTTCTCTCATCTGCTGTCTCATGCGTTCAAGCTACCCAGGACCCAAGTACCCAGGTACAAGGCGGTGAAAAAAAATTCATTGTGCATTTAATATCTATTTACCATGATCCAGGAGGGTCAAATATACACAGGGCGCGTGCGAGGCATTAAGCCTTTTGGGGCATTCATATCTATAAGAAGCGAGGAAAAATCCAAAGACGGGCTCTGTCACATTTCACAGATCTCTACTCGACGATTGGAATCCCCATCTGAGATTTTGAAAACCGGACAAGAGGTTTTTGTTAAGGTGATAAAGGTCCAGAATGACGGCAAGATTTCTCTTTCTATGAAGAACATTGATCAGAGCAAAGGTGTAGAAATTTTGGAGACAGAAACAATGGAATCACGCGGACAGAAGCGAAGACAGGACGCAGATCTCTGGGAGCTGACACAAATGAACAATGCATTTGGTGCTAAAAGAATCGCCCTGATGGGCAACGGCGGCGAGGATCCGTATGCAGAGGTGGACGAAGCTCCAGAACAGGACTCAGAAGAAGAAGAAGTGGAAATAGAGGTGTCAAAAAGTGTGCCATCGTTCTTGAAGGGGAAGAATCTCAAACCGGATGTGGATGAGTCAGCTCTCACCGTGACCAAAAATCCGGAAGGCTCCATGACAAGAGTTGCGCAGTATGGATCGAAGTTTATGAGTGAGGCCAAGACGAGAAAGCTGGAGAAAAAAAAGGAGGAAGAGCGCAACAAGAGGTTAGAGGAGAAAATTAGGATGAACGGTGATCCTTTGAACCAAATGACGAGGCCTACCGAGAACGAGATCAAAAAGTCTGCATACGAAGAATGGCAGCGCCAGTCCAAAAACCAGTCGTACGGTATCCGGTCCAACATGAGTATCAAGGAACAGCGAGAGTCTCTACCTGTTTATCAAAAAAGAGATGAGCTTCTTCGGTTAGTGCAGCAGAACGATTTCCTCATCGTCGTTGGTGAAACAGGTTCCGGAAAAACCACGCAGATCACGCAGTATTTGGCAGAGGAAGGCTATTCCTCTAAAGGAACTATTGCGTGTACGCAGCCAAGGAGAGTGGCTGCTACCAGTGTGGCAAAAAGAGTTGCGCAAGAAGTCGGCTGTAAAGTGGGCGAAGAAGTCGGTTACACGATTCGTTTTGAAGACTGTACGAGTAACAAGACCATAATCAAATACATGACCGATGGTATGTTGCAACGAGAAGCTTTGGTGGATCCAGACCTAATGAAGTACTCTGTGATCATGTTGGACGAAGCTCACGAGCGGACGATTGCTACAGACGTGCTTTTTGCGCTGTTACGGGAGGCCGTGATAAGACGCGAAGGTGGTCTCAAGCTTATCGTCACCTCTGCTACGCTAGATTCTCAGAAATTCTCCAGATACTTTGAAAACTGTCCCGTTTTTCACATCGAGGGACGAACTTTTCCGGTCAAAATTTTCTACACAAAGGAGCCAGAACTCGATTACATCCAGTCTTCCATTCAGACCGTTATAGACGTGCACACTAATAACCCCCCCGGCGACATCCTCGTGTTTTTGACCGGTAAAGAGGAAATTGATACTTGTTGCGAAACATTGGTCGAGAAAATGAGTCTGCTGCGTGCAGAAAAACCTCATGTCTCGGAACTGATTGTTTTGCCGATCTATTCTTCGCTACCGTCAGAAATGCAAAGCCGTATTTTTGAGCCAACTCCGTCTGGAAAACGCAAAGTTGTGCTTGCCACAAACATAGCCGAGACATCTGTCACGATCGATGGAATCTACTACGTTATTGATCCGGGCTATGTCAAAGTCAACGCTTACGATCCAAAGCTGGGGATGGACTCGTTGATTGTGCAGCCGATCTCTCGCGCTCAGGCAGATCAACGATCTGGTAGAGCAGGAAGAACAGGCCCTGGTATCTGCTACCGTTTATACACAAAGAACGCATATTTGAACGAGATGCCAGCCAATACTGTTCCCGAGATTCAACGCCAAAATCTGTCTTATACGATCCTGATGCTGAAGGCAATGGGAATCGACGATGTTCTTGGCTTCAACTTCATGGATAGACCGAAAGAGCAGCTTATTCTCACAGCGCTGGAAGAGTTGTACATTTTAGATGCGTTGGACGAAAATGGAGTTCTGACAGAGTTCGGAAAACGAATGGCATTCTTCCCGATGGAACCATTACTGTCCAAGACTCTGATCCAGTCAATCGAGTTCAAATGCTCCGACGAGGTCATCACCGTCATTGCCATGCTTTCGGTGCCGGATATTTTTTATCGTCCGAAAGAAAAACGGGACGAGGCAGACCGCATAAAAGCTAAGTTCCATGATTACAACGGAGACCATCTAACTCTCTTGAATGTTTACAACAAGTGGTCCGATGCGGACAACCCGAGACTTTGGTGTCAGAACAACTTTATTCATGAAAAATCGATGCGAAGAGCCAGAGAGGTGCGCAGGCAGCTTTTGAAAATTTTCGACAATCTCGACAAGCGAGAACGTCAGGCGGAATCGTCTGTAATCAGCTGCCGCGGGAACTGGGATTTGATCCGCAAGGCTTTCGTTTCTGGGTTCTTCAAAAATTCTGCGAAACGCGCAGCAACACACGATCCAGACGAAGGATCCTACCGGACTCTGGTCGAGAACACTCCCGTGCACATCCATCCTTCGTCCTCGCTATTCCGGAAACACGGGGTCGACTATGTGATATACCACACGCTTGTGCTGACTAATAAGGAGTACATGCACTGTATCACCAAAATCGATCCAAAATGGCTGCTGATGTACGCTCCGCGCTTTTTCAAGACTGCTGACTCGTCGCAGCTGAGCACCAAGAAGAAAACGGAGAAACTGCAGCCTCTGTTCAATAGAAATGATCCAAAGGAAAATTGGAGACTCAGCAAGGGTAGGCGTTGATTCTATAATACATTTTTATCTTGTTCGAGCTGTTCTATGATATGGCTTTTGGTGTTGCTATATTGTATCGCCAGATGTTTTCCGAAAAACAGCTGGTCGTTCAAGCTGGATAGAGCTGACTGGGCTTCTTCGATCGAGCTCAGTGCAACCCAGGCTTGTCCTCTATATTTCCCTCGGTTAGTGCAATTGATGGCTATCACGTCTCCATAAGTACTGAAAAGAATGTAGAGGTTTTGCTTTAGTTTTGCAGCAGGAAGTTTGTCATTGAGGTTCTTGATGTACAACGTGTAGTTTGTCTTGTTTCTGGGTGTCTTAGCGCGTTTGGAAGCCCGCTCAGGGGCCTCTGCAGTGCGTTTAGACATCGAATAAAAATAATTCTAAAAATTATGTATTTATTTTTCACTCTCTCCAATGTCCTCGTACCAATCTCCAGGCCGCTCCTCAATAAACTTGGCCATCAATTTTTCACATTCTTCGTTCTTTAGATTAATCACCTCAACTCCGTTCTTCTCTAGCCACTCCTCGGCCCCCTGATAATTGACGTTCTCACCCAGAACAAGTCTCGGTATCTTGAATAGCAGGGCCGAGCCGCTACACATGGAGCAGGGAGACAACGTTGTATAGAGCTGAATCGTTAGATGTGTTCCAATTCCAACTTACCGTGCATTTGGCGTACACCTCAGCTTTCAGTCTTCCACAGTTTTCAAGACAAGAGATCTCTCCGTGGAGAGTTGGCGAGCCCTTCTGGATCCGCATGTTATGGCCCCGTCCCAAAACAGTACCGTCCTCATGGACCAGACAGGAGCCAATAGGGATTCCTCCCTCCTCATAGCCTGATGTTAGACAAGCCAACCCAGCGTCTACATACCTTTTAGGGCTTCCTCGTAGGCAATTCTCATTCCTTTTTCATCGTCAAACATTTTCTAAGATAACACTTTTTTTTCCAACCGTTATTATTTATCAATGTCCCGCCAGCCTACACTGAGAGATGTGCTGGACACGTTTTTAACCGGGGGCCGCGCCGAAAACCAGTCGTCCATAATCAGCGAGTATCTGGAAAGTCTGCAGCAACAGGAAAATAGCCCGGAAATGACGGAGGCGTTGGTGAGAACGATACTGGACCCCAACGGGGTTCTGCTACAGGGCGAGGACAAAGGCATAGACGACGATTTTCTGGACACGCTTGAGCGAGTCAAGATTTCCAGCGTGCCCAAGGACAAATGCTGTCCGATCTGCACCAACGAGTTCCACCAGGAGGAATATCCGTTGATAGTAGAGCTGCCATGCAATTCCAAGCATTATTTCGATCTCGACTGCATCGGGCCCTGGTTGAAGCTCAATCGGACGTGTCCGCTGTGCAGAGTGGACGTCACGCAGAGAAAACAGATCGAGGTCTCCGATAGCGAGGAGGAACAGGATCTCATGTACGGCTAAATATACGAGTGGACATTTTTCGCTCTATGTACATCAATTTCCGCTCTTGCCCAATTTCTCTCTCACGGTCTCTTGCTGTTTGGAGTCCAGGTGCTGGGCGAAAATCGGATCCTGCAGCAGCTCTGCAACCTTCTGGGCGACCGGAGACTGGGACTCGCCCTCCAACGTTTTGAGGGTCGAGGCAAGGTCCGACACCTGTTTGGCACCGTCCGGCAGCTTAGCCATGGTGTTGCCCATTCCCAGAGGCTCCTGGACGTACATGTTGCATTTCATACCGACTCCCCACATGGAGTGCTTCTGGAGCACGCTCAACATGACATCGACAACCTCATTGTCGGAGTCCCAGATTTTTATAACACGTCCATGCGTGTGTCTTTCGAAATTCTCTTTCACCTTGGCGTGAGCGAACGGCGATTTGATCACTGTCCATCTTTCTGTTCGTTTAGGCATCGGAAGCGGTCCTGTGGCTGGCAGCCCCAAATAGTACGCGACTCGGAGCGCAAAGTCTGCAATGAACTCGAGGTTTTGTGGCTCAAAGGACTTGAACACGATCTCTGCCTTGAGATGGCCGTACTTGACCTCGTGCTTCAGAGGGGCGTAGTAATTGAGCTCAGCGTTGATAGGCAGCGGCCTGTCTGTTCCGGGCAGTTCCTCTTCCTTGGTAGCGACCTGGGGGTTGTATTTCTTGAATGTGTCCACTAATTGCGACTTCTGTAACTTGTCGTCGCTCACCTTTGGGAGCTCGGTCAACTGCAATTTCAAGGCTGCGAGCTCGTCCAGCTCGCGGTCCAGATTGCGTGTGGATGCGCAAGACGAAAAGAGGCGACGCGCTGCGCGCAAGCAAGTCGCCGTCTTGAACATGGTGATAATAAAAATTTTCAGCGATTTTTTTTCACGGACTAATTATGGGAAAAAGCAGTAAGGACAAAAGAGACGTCTACTACAGAAAGGCCAAGGAGGAGGGCTGGCGAGCGCGCTCGGCGTACAAGCTGCTGCAGCTGAACGAGCAGTTTGGGCTTTTCAACGGCATCCACCGCGTGGTGGATCTGTGTGCTGCTCCCGGATCGTGGTCGCAAGTGCTGAGCCGTGAAATCTTCAAAAACGAGCGTTCCGACGCCCAGATAGTCGCCGTGGACCTCCAGCCGATGGCGCCAATCGACAACGTCGTCACGCTGCAGGCAGACATAACCGATCCTCGCACACTGGACAAGATCCTCAATATCTTTGGCGGAGAGAAGGCCGACTTTGTGTGCTCTGACGGGGCTCCAGATGTGACTGGCCTGCACGATCTGGACGAGTACATCCAGGCGCAGCTGGTTCTGTGCGCTTTGCGTCTTGCTACCTGTTTACTGAAGGAAGGAGGCACATTTGTGGCCAAGATCTTCAGAGGCAGAGATATCGATCTCCTGTACAGCCAGCTCGGGTTTCTGTTTGAAAAAGTGGTTTGTGCCAAGCCGCGGGCCTCGCGGGGCACGTCGCTCGAGTCGTTCATCGTTTGCATCGGCTACAAGCCCAGAGAAGGATGGAAGCCGGATCTGCAACCAGAGCTGTCCACCGAGGAATTCTTCCAGAACATGGACATCGGCCGCGCCAGGTTGCACGAGGACCTGCGCGTGGACTACGAAGAACGCAAGGTAGCGCCGTTTGTGGCCTGTGGAGACCTCAAAACCAGCTACGACTCGGACGCCTCTTACTCGCTGGACACCAAGGTCACGCACAGCTTGGACCCCGTGCAAATGCCCACGGACCCGCCGTACAAGCGCGCGTTGGAGATGAAGCGCCAGGGCCAGCTGCGCGGAAAATAATCATAGAAGCCTCTAGTCTGCATTAATTCTGTAAAATAATTAATTACTCCTGCTTGTCCTCCTTCTTTTCCTCGCCCTTGGTCACCTGGTCTGGTTTCAGGGTTGGGAACAACAACACCTCTCTGATGGTGTTGGAGTCGGTCAGGAACATGGCCAGTCTATCGATACCGCAGCCCCATCCGGCGGTCGGAGGCAGTCCGTACTCCAGAGCGTTGCAGAACGTCTCGTCGATGAGCTGGGCCTCGTCGTCTCCCTGGGCCTTCTGTCTGGCCTGCTCCTCGAATCTCTGTCTTTGGTCGAATGGGTCGTTCAGCTCCGTGTACGCGTTACAGATCTCCTTGGTGGCAACAAAAACCTCGAACCGCTCACACAGACCCGGCTTGGATCTGTCGTACTTGGCCAGCGGAGACATCATCTGCGGGTGGCCAAAGATGAACGTAGGGTTGATACAGGTGTCCTCGAGCTCTCCAACAAGCTTGTCGAGCATTCTGGCGTTGGTGAGCGGCGGAGGACAGTCCAGTTTGTGCTTGATCAGGATGCTCTTGAGAAACTCGCCGGTCTCCTTGGTGTGCAGCTGGTCTCCCGGAGGGAACTTGACGTCGAACAGCTTCTCCAGCTCCTCGATCATGTTAATTCTCTTCCATGGCCTCGAGAAGTCCAGGGTCAGTTCCTTGCCGTCGGGACCGTCCGGATGGTACTTGATCTTGTAGTCTCCAGTGATCTCCTTGACCATCTCCGAGAACAGCAGCTCGGTGGTGTCCATCAGGTCGTAAACGTCCGCGTAGGCCTCGTAGAACTCGCACGTGGTGAACTCCGGGTTGTGGGTCATGTCGATGCCCTCGTTTCTGAACTGTCTGCCAATCTCGTAGACTCTCTCCAGACCGCCGACAACCAGCTCCTTCAAAAACAGTTCGGGAGCAATTCTCATGTACATGTCCATGTCCAGGTCGTTGTGGTGGGTGATGAAAGGCTTTGCGGTGGCTCCTCCAGCAATGACGTTCATCATCGGAGTCTCGACCTCGATGAAGTTCCTGCTGTCCAGGAACTTTCTGATGTAAGAGATGATCTTGGACCTCGTAACGAACGTGTCCTTGGTGGACTTGTTCATGATCAGATCCAGATATCTTTTTCTGTATCTTGCCTCCTGGTCCTTGAATCCGTAGTGCTCCGTTGGCAGCATGTGCAGACATGGAGTCAAGAGCTTGACCTTGGTAGCAAACACAGACAGCTCGCCCTCACCGCCCTTGGCCGGGTTAGTTCTTCCCGGGTAGCCCTCAACACCAATGATGTCTCCTCTTCTGAGGATGTCGTGCATCTCCTGGAAGTCTCCGTCGGCGTCCTGGGCCTGGGCCATGATCTGGACGTTGGTGCCCTCTCCGGCCAGGTTGTAGAACTTGAGCTTCGATCCAGACTCTCTCTTGACCATGATTCTGCCCGCAACGCTGACCTTGACGTCTGGCAAAGTCTCGCCTTTCTTGATATGGGCATACTTCTCTCTGAATTGGTCGAGTCTCAGGGAAACGTGGAACTTGTGAGGGTAGGGGTTTTTCTCGCTGTGAGGCTGTCTGAGCTCGTTGATCTGAGCCGATCTGATTTCAAAGTACTGGTTTGGGTTGAGGTTGGCCATGTCGTCCTTCTTCTTGGTGACCTTTGGCGCGGTCTCGGCAGCCTTCTTGGCCTTTTCAGCCTTCTTGGCCTCCAGAGCACGCAGCTTCTGTCTCTTCTTGAGCTCCGATTTGGAGACCTGTTCGCCGGTGGCCTCGTCCAAATAGGTCTTTTGCAAAGATTCTGTCACTTCTTCAACTTTATCAGACATAACGGTCGACGTTTTAGCTGGATGGGTTTTTTTATATTTTTCTAATTTTTCGTCGCACTTGTATGAGTGTTGCACACTGGCTTCAAAAAAATTTTCCATTAGAAAAAGCCAATTTAGTACACCATGACTATCAGCGTGGAGATCAGCGCCAGCGTGGCTCTGAAAATCAGCAAGGTCGGCGAAGACACATACCCAGCAACGGAGGCGGGTCCACTGTTCGGATTGGATGTTGCCAGCGAGCCTGCCGAGGACAAAAGACACACGTCAATAAAGGTTTCCCATGCGTTCCAGTTCCCTCCGTCCTACGCCAACGACGAGATTTTCAGTTTCAGGGCGTCCAACGTCAAGTACCAGAACGACCTGCTTGCGAAGCTCAGAGACACCAAGGTGGGCGTGAAACATTTAGGGTGGTTTTTGACGACGAACGGCGGCCGGTTCGTGAGCCAGTCGCTCATTGAAGCGATAATCAGCCAGCAAAACCAGAACCTCACAGAAAACAGAGACTCGACGCCGGTGGTGGTGCTGGTTTTCGACACTCTCAAGTCGATGGACGGTCTGCTGAGCTTGAGAGCGTTCAAGCTGAGCGAGTCGTTTGTCAGAGCATGGAAGTCGGACGAGAGATTTGTGTCGAAAAACCTGTACGAGAACAGACTCACCTACCGAAACATTTTTGAGGAGGTGCCTCTGAAGATCAGGAACAGCCACCTGTCGAACTTGAAGCTGCAGGAGCTGAGCCCCGGATTTGAGGAGGACTCGTGTCTGGAGCTGACGGGCGCGACATTGGCGTCGATGAACCTGACCGTGGACAACCTGGCCGAGACGGTCGACGTTTTCAACCACACGCTGGGGAACCTCAACTACTACCAACGCAACTTGTCCAGAGAGCTTGTGAAGATCAACCAATGGAAACAGCAGATCAGACAGCAGAACGAGGAGAAACTCAAGAAAGACCCGAACGCGAAACTCACAGAGACAGAGAACGACTGGCACAGACACTTCAGACTGCCTATCCAGCCGTCCAAGTACGACAACCTGGTGACGAGCGGGCTGATAAATAGCTACTGCAACAGTCTCGAGACCGACGGCTCGATCGAGCAGGTCAAGATTGCGGGCATCGAGGAGTGTAACTAATGTATGAGAATTATAAGTTAACGGTTATGTAGCTGTTGCCGCCCTGGCAGACTGGCTTGCTGCTCTTGGCTTCCACGTTTATTTTCCGTTGCATTATTTATTTGCACGACCCAAAAATAAAACATTATTCCCATCTCTTTTTTCCCCTATGCAGTACGTTGGAAGAGCCATCGGTTCTGTCTCCAAGACATGGAGCTCGATCAACCCGGCCACGCTGTCGGGAGCAATTGACGTGATTGTTGTGGAGCAGCCGGACGGAGAGCTCGCGTGCTCGCCGTTCCACGTTCGGTTTGGCAAGTTCCAGCTCCTGAGACCCTCGCAGAAGAAGGTGGATTTCATTGTGAACGGCGAGATCACGGACCTGCCTATGAAGCTGGGCGACGGCGGCGAGGCGTTTTTCGTGTTCGAAACAGACGGATACATCCCGCCAGACCTGCAGACGTCGCCCGTGCTCAGCCCGGTCAGCTCGCCAGGCAGCAGTCCCAAGTCCAGCGACCAGGCCATTGCGTATCCGGCCGAGGAGCCGGAGTACCTGGACATCGGCGAGGGTGCCAACGACAGCTTCAGCGCGTCGTTGCCGTCCACGCAGTCGGACTCTGCGCTGCTCGAGCACTCGCCCTCCAATATCCGGAAAGCGGGCACTGCATCGTCGTTCGACCGCGCAAAGAAGATCTCCAGCAAGCTGACAAAGAAGAACATCCCGTCCAAGGTGGAGGCCAACGGCGACATCATGCTGGACATGCAGGGATACAAGAGCAACGACCAGAACATCCACGACTCCGACGCGGTGATCCGACAGCTGCTGATCGACGAGTTTGGCGACGACGTCGACATCAACGCGCTCGTCGACAAGGACCTGCACGGCAACATCCGGATCCTGAGCTCCGACGACCTGGCAGACGACGAGTCCGCATCGCTTGAGACACACACAGAGCCGCAATCGCCGGCCTCCACTGCGTCTTCCATAATTTCAGACATCGACACAGACACCGTCAAGACACAGCAGGACAACCATTTCAAGACGCTGCGGCTCACATCCGAGCAGCTCAAGTGTCTGTCGCTCAAGCCGGGCGAGAACGACCTGCAGTTCAGCGTCAACAAGGGCAGGGCCATGGTGTCTGCGAAGCTGTTTCTGTGGAAGCACAACGTTCCGATCGTGATCTCGGACATTGACGGCACCATAACCAAGTCGGACGCCCTGGGTCACGTCCTGACCATGCTGGGCAGAGACTGGACGCATGTTGGTGTCGCCAAGCTATTTGCGGACATCCAGTTCAACGGATACAACATCATGTATTTGACGGCTCGTTCTGTTGGTCTGGCCGACTCCACACGGTCGTACCTGAATGGAATTGTGCAGGACGGCATCAAACTGCCTGTGGGGCCGGTGATACTCTCGCCTGACCGCACTATTGCTGCGCTGAAGCGCGAGATTGTGTTGAAGAAACCAGAGGTGTTCAAGATGGCCTGTCTGAACGACATCAAGGCGCTTTACGACAAGAAACTGCCCCATAACGCAGAGACTCCGGAACTCGACCTGTCGTCGTCCAGACAGGCCGCAAGCGACAACTCGTACACTCCGTTTTACGCTGGCTTTGGAAACAGAATCACCGACGCCCTGTCCTATAGAAACGTCGGCATTCCCTCGTCGCGGATCTTCACCATAAATCCCGACGGCGAGGTGCACATGGAGCTGCTCGAGATGGCCGGGTACAAGTCCTCGTATGTGTCGATCGGAGAGCTGGTGGACCAGTTCTTCCCGCCGGTGAACATCTCGCGGACGCGCGAGGGCGCCCTAGGCATCCAGGACACCATCCACCAGTTCAGCGACGTGAATTTCTGGCGCAGCCCGGTTCCGAATCTGGACGATCTTTCTGACGACGAGAGCGGGAGCGAGACGGAGCAGCCAAAGAGCAGGGACGAGCTCACGAGCGCGGGAGCAAGCTCGCAGCGTCTGGGCGGGTTTTTCTCTCGGTCGCCTGTTTCCAGGAGCACGGAGCCTGAATCGGAGCCTGAAACAGAGCGCGAAGCAGAGTACTCGTTTGATGAGGACGACGAGAACGAGAACCTGGACCCGGACTACGTGTACGAGGACGAGGATCTGGACGACGACTACGACGAGGAGGACGAGGAGGATGAGGGTGAGGTAGATGAGGCTGATGAGGACGACGTAGATGAGGACGAGGTTGACGAAGAGCTGGACGGAGAGCTGCTGGACGACCGGCTGGTGGACCACGAGGCTCCGGAGTACGTCTCCAGCCCCAACCGGATCCTCAACCCCTCGTTCGGCATAGCGCGCCCGAAGAGCCTCACGAACCTGAACATCGACACAAACAACGCCACGGGGACATTTATAAAGGCCAAGCAGATGCTGCAGAGCCTGTCTTTGGAGGACGCTGGCGACAAAAAATAGGCATAGAGCATATGAAAAATAAATAAATTTATTTGCACAGCCGCACCTAGATCATCCCAGACACATGCCGTTGGACACCCGTCTTTTCGAGCCTGTCGGCCGTGAGCACGTCGAGGACCACGTGTTTGAGATGTACGTTGAACACGCGCCGCCCGAGAGCGCCGGGCTGGGGTATTTGTCGCGGACGGACGAGGTACGGGTCGCTGTCGGGGATGACGAGTATGTGGTGCAACAGTCTGTTTCTGCCTTCAACAGCAGCAACAGTGATGGCACGACGGGCTTTTTGACGTGGTCGACGTCACAAGTGGTGGCCGAGTGGCTTCTGCGGCCGAAGAACGCCGTCTTCGACGCGATCAGGAGTTCTAGCGTGGTGGAGCTGGGGTCCGGCGTGTCGGGGCTGCTGGCGTGCTCGGTGGGCCGCAAATGCCGTCATTACGTGTGCACGGACCAGCAGGGTGTGATGAAGCTGCTCAAGAACAACCTAAGGCACAACGGCGGCGTTTTCGAGTCGTCTACTGTTGCTACCGAAAATACGTCCAGACGACACAACGTGCCGCGAATCGACGCCGTGACGTTCGACTGGGAGGCCTCGTCGCCGGAGGCGGTTCTGGAACTCGTTCAGGGATATCCGGACTTCATCATTACCTGCGACACTATATACAATCCGTACTTGATACCGCATCTGGTGCGCGCGGCCAAGACGCTGGCGGGCCCGCAAACAGGCATTCTGGTCGCGGTGCAGCTGCGCGAAAGCAGTCTGCTGAGCGAGTTCCTGGTCCACGCTGTGGATCGGTTCCGCGTGTATCGTGTACCGGGGGTTGGAGACGGCTATGGAGTGTACTATCTGGAGAAATAAACTAGTGGGTCAAGAACCATCTTCCTTTCTCCTTTCTTCTCTTGAGGATCTTGCGGCCCGTGCGAGAGCACGCCCTGGCAAGAAATCCCAGCCGTCTTTTTCTCTTCAGCGTGTTAGGCTGGTATGTGTTACCGAGGTTACCTCCTCTGAAACCACCTCTAGTGGCCCATCTTCTTTGGAGGAAGCCGAGCAGGGACGAGGCGCCGGCAGGCTGGCCAAGCGCGGCGGACGTCAGCGCGAGCGAGGCCGGCCGCACAGGCCGAGTCGCCACGATGGAAAATTGTCTGATAGACTGGCACCAGAGACCAAAGTTCATGTCGAGGAAAAACGAAAAATAAAAAAAATAGAGAAAATAAAAAAAAATATTTATTCCATGTCGTTTCGCAAGAGAGTCACGGCGTCGGCTGTGAACTCGCCCGTTGTTGCCAGCGTTCACGCGGCCGTCGCCTTGTCATCAGACGAGACCCAGCAGATGCTGGACCAGTTCATAAGCGAGTGCGACCGTCTCGAGGCCACCGCCATGGACAAGAGCTACCACGGGCCCGATTCGACCACTCTGAGCCAGCTGAAGCGGCTGCAGAGGGAGCTGAGGGGTCTGCCGCCGCTGCTGCTGGAGGGCCAGGCCAAGGAGAAGAGCGAGAAGGGGCCGAAGAAGACTGTTTTCGAGGACGCTGCGGAGAAGCCGAAAAAAATCGTGTTTGACGACGAGACCGTGGGAGACGAGACCGTGGGGGACGAGACAGTGGTGAGCGACGGGAACAGCGAGGAGAAGCGGAAGAAGCGCAAACTGGAGAAGAAAGAGAAGAGGGAGAAGAAGGAGAGAAAGGAGAAGAAGGAGAAGAAGGAGAAGAAAGACAGGAAGGGAAAGAGCGAGGAGTAGGCCGACCTCAGCATGGTCAGGCAGCGGAAGCAGCTGAAAATGCAGACGAGGCAAAATTAAATAGCAGAAAGTGTAGAAACAAATAATCTCTGATTTATTAAATACCAAATATTCACCCTCGCACCTATGTCATTCAAGCTGGGCCTTTCAGGGTCGGCGCACTCGACCACGCAGCTGAGCGACCACGTGCTGCCGTCGCGCGCGAGCGTGCACCGGGCCGTCGCGAACGACAGCTACAACGACCTGACGCTGAACCTGATGAGCACGCTGCGCAACAAGCACAAGACAGAACCGCAGGGCCTGGGGCGCGACTACTGGCTAGACGACTCGTCGGCAACAAAGTGCCGGTCGTGCGACCGCACGTTCACCACGTTCCGCCGCAGACACCACTGTCGGATCTGCGGCAAGATCTTCTGCAGCAACTGCACCACGTTCATTGACGGCGACAAGTTCAACCATCCGGGCAAGATGCGGGTGTGTCTGTTGTGCCTGAAACTTGCCGACCGGTACGAGGAGTACGCCTCGAGCGAGGACGAGTCGGTTGGCGACGAGTCGACGAGCTCGACGCAGGTTTCGGAGACGCTTTCGCCGGTGCGCGTGGACTCTGAGAGCCGCGACACGCTTTCGCTGGCTGCGACGACGGACGAGCAGTTTGTGCCGCGGTCGGCGCCGACGCCGCCGCCGATGATGGCGATCCCGACGACGCGCAAGGGCGAGGCGATCGAGATCGACATCCCGCGCTCGAACTCGGTGAGTCGTCGCAGCCGGGGCAACACACTGCTGGCGAGCCGGCCGTTCCACGCGGGCAACGGAGACACGGGCGCGCGCGCGGAGCAGGACAAGAAGACGCTGACGCCGCTCAACTTCACGTCGGCGGCGGCGACCGCGGCCGCGGACGCCGCGTCCTCGATCTTCAACTTCGGCACCGCGATCCTGCCGGGCAACCACCAGCCGTCCGCAGACGCGCGCCCCGACGAGGAGTACGCGCTCTCGGCCTCGCACACGCTGCTGAGCTCGCCGTCGGAGCTGTCTGACGACGAGGACGAGCCGGGACTGCTGGCGTTCACGTCCGTGCACTCGAACCCGCTCAACAACCACGAGTTCAACTGGACGTACCATAGTCCGAACGCCAGCATGTTCAAGCTCGAGGACGCGGGCAGCGTGACGGGGCGCAAGGTGTTCCGCTCCAACAGGGCGCGGCGGCCGGCCAACTTCCACCGGCTCAAGCACCGGCGCATGAGTCGCAGCGGGACGCGCGTTGCCAGCGACGCGAGCTCGGGCGCGCCTTTCGCGCGTGCTGTTTCTGGCGGGTTCGGGTTCGGGTTCGAGGAGTTTGAGTTCATGGACGATTTCCTGCGCGCAGGCGAGAACCACGCCCGTCAGCTGCTCACCCAGCTGCTGACCGACCGCGAGGTGGAGCACATCGACGTTTGGGCACGAACGCTGATCAAGTGTCTCAAACGGGTGTCCAGCGTGCCCGTGGAGCTGGCGAACGGCGAGAGCTTCGACATCTCGAACTATCTCAAGCTGAAGCGGATTCCCGGCTCCTCGATCGAGGACTCGGCCGTGCTGGACGGGATCGTGTTTTCCAAGTGTCTGCCGCTCAAGACGATGGCCGACTGCATTCTGAGCCCGCGCATCATGCTGGTGACGTTCCAGATCGAGTACGAGCAGGAGGCAGACACGCGGTTTTCGAGCCTCGAGCCGCTCATTGCGCAGCAGGACCAGTATCTGGAGAAGCTGGTGGCGCGAATCGTCGCGCTGAAACCCAGCGTGGTGCTTGCCGAGAGCACTGTGAACGGGTACGCGCTGAAACTGCTCGCGGACGCGGGAATCACCGTGCTGTTCAACCTCAAGCCGCAGCTGCTCAGGAAAATCGCGCGCACAACCAAGGCCGACGTGGTCAACTCGATCGACAAGCTGGCCACGAGCCCGGCGCTGGGCCGCTGCGGCAAGTTCGAGGTGCGCTCGTACGTGCACGATTCGGTGCGCCGGACGTACGTTTTTCTGACGGGGTGCAACCCGGAGGCCGGGTTCACGGTCGTGCTGCGCGGCGGCAGCAGAGAGGAGCTGGCCAGGGTGAAGGAGTGCGCGACGCTGATGGCGTACGTGTTTTTCAACGTCAAGCTGGAGTCCGGACTGATGCGCGACCAGTGTCTGCAGGCAGGCGACTACGACTTCCACCCGGCCGTGGAGCCGCTGCACAGCATGAGTCTGGGCCGCTACCAGGACGTGGAGCGCGCGTTCGACGTGCGGATCCTGTCGTCGTCGCCGTGGGTGCGGTTTGAGCGGCCGTTTGTGCTCGAGCGGCTGGCGCTGTACCAGGCGCGGCTGGACAGGAACGCGGAGCTGCTGCGGCGGTTTGCGGAGCTGGCGCGGGGCAGCGCCGGTACCGGCGACGCCGTGGACGAGCTGCTGGTGCAGTGGAACGTGCGCGTCGACCCGGACGAGCTGCCGCAGCGCGACGCGGACCTGGCGAAGCTCGTCGAGCAGCACGAGGACTACGTCGACAGGCACACCCGGTACGAGATGTCGCTCGCGGAAAAGCAATGGGAGCAGTTCTGGCACCCGCGCCGGTTCGTGTTTTTCGACCCGAGCTACCACCAGAACATCGTCACGCTGTACAGCATGGTGTCGACGAAAAACGCAACGCCGTGCGTGGGCCCGGAAATCCAGGTCACCGACTACTACTGGGACAACGACTTCTGTCTGGGCCAGTACATCGAGCACCTCTGTGTGAACGCGGGCCAGCTGTGCACGGAAGGGTGCGGGCTGACGCTGAAGGAGCACTTCCGGTCGTACGTGCACGGCGGCGGCAAGGTGGACGTGGTGGTGGAGACGAATCCGAAGCCGTTGCAGGGCCGCGAGAACATGATCATGGCGTGGAGTCTGTGCAAGAGCTGCCAGAACACGACGCCGGTGCTTCCGCTGAGCGACAACGCGTGGAAGTACTCGTTCGGCAAGTATCTGGAGCTGTCGTTCTGGTGTCGCGGGATGAAGGTGAAGGGCGCGGCGTGCGCGCACGATTTCTACCGCGACCAGATCCACTACTTCAGTTTCCAGAACCTGGCTGTGCGCGTCGAATTTTCCGAGGTGGAAATTCTGGAGCTGGTGCCGCCCAAGTTCCAGCTTTTCTGGAAGCCCGAGTACGACCTGCAGATCAAGGTGCAGACGTACAGGCAGGTGGTGAAGCGGACGACGGTTTTCTTCGAGAGCGTGCGGAGCCGGCTGAACCGGTTGAAGCTGGACAGCATGACGGAGGACCGCATCGAGGCTGCGCAGCAGCGGGTGCAGGAGCTGAAGACGCGCGTCGACCAGCAGCAGACGGCGATGCTGCAGCTGGCCGAGGACATCTACCGCACGACGCCGGTGTCGGGCCATTTGCGGCTGACGGGAGTGATCCGCGAGGTGCAGGAGCTGTCGAACGAGTGGAATTTCGAGTTCCAGGAGTTCGATAAGGATTTCCTGCCCACAGAGAAGGAGATCAAGAAAATCACGGCGTTCCAGCTGGACCGGCTGTTCAAGGCGGGCAACGACAAGCCGGGCGAGTTGGCAGAGAAGGAGAAGGAGGAGGAGAAGGAGGAAAAGGAGGAGGAAGGAGCAGGGTCGCGGCGGCGCGGCAACCTCGTGCTGGAAAAAATCCAGGAGTTGCAGCAGGGCAGCAGCGAGTTGCAGAACCATATATTGGAGACCGGCGACCGCGTGCTGCCGCGGCTGACGGAGCTGAACAGCGAGGGCAAGGTCAAGAAGCTGGCGGAGTATTTCGACGCGCAGGAGTTTTTCCGGCAGCGCGAAGAGGAGAAACGCAAATTGCAGGAGAACAGCTACCGGCACAAACTGGTGGCGTCGCGCCCGACGGTCGAGGTGTATAAGAACGTGAAGGACGCGGTGGAGGAGGAGCGTGCCGAGTCGGACCGGCGCGAGGAGCCGAAACAGCAGCCGGCGCAGCCGCAGCCGCAGCCGCAGACGCAGCCGGAAAAATCGTCGCTGCTCAAGTCGCTGACGCACTTCTGGGCCGACCGGTCGGCGACGCTGTGGGAGCCGCTGTCGTACCCGCTGGGCCCGACAGAGCACATATTTGTCGACTCGGACGTGATTGTGCGCGAGGACGAGCCGAGCTCCATCATCGCGTTCTGTCTGAACACCGCAGATTACGGGTCGAAGCTGTACTATCAGGAGAAACAGCAGCAGCAGGACGAGACCGACGACGGCGAGTCTGCGTCGGTGCGGTCGGACCCGGAGACGAAACAGAGCGCGGCCAACAGCCACACGGACGACGGCGCGGCGTGCTCGCCCGATCTCGAGAAAATCATGCTCAAAAAGGGTTTCCATCTAAAGTACCAGTTTGAGGAAGGGTATTCGACGATTTCGTGCAAAATCTTTTTTGCAGAGCAGTTCGACGCGTTCCGCAGACAGTGCGGCGTGAGCACGAAGTTCGTCGAGAGCCTGTCGCGGTGCGTGAAGTGGGATTCGACGGGAGGCAAGTCTGGGTCGGCGTTTCTCAAGACGCTGGACGACCGTTTTATCATCAAAGAGCTGAGCCGGTCGGAGCTGGAGGCGTTTGTGCAGTTTGCGCCGAGCTACTTTGAATACTTTTCCCAGGCGCTGTTCCACAGCCTGCCCACGGTGCTGGTCAAGATATTTGGTTTCTACCAGATCCAGGTCAAAACGAACATGCCGGGCGCGCGCTCGTACACGATGAACGTGCTGATTATGGAGAATTTATTTTACAACCGCAAGATGACGCGGATCTTCGACCTGAAGGGCTCGATGCGCAACAGACACGTCGAGCAGACGGGCAAGGAGAACGAGGTGCTGCTGGACGAGAACATGGTGGAGTACATTTACGAGTCGCCGCTGTTTGTGCGCGAGAACGCGAAACGGCTGCTGCGCGCGTCGTTGTGGAACGACACGCTGTTTCTGGCCAAGATGAACGTGATGGACTACTCGCTGGTGGTGGGCATTGACTCGGAAAATAAGGAGCTAGTGGTGGGGATTATCGACTGCATCCGCACGTTCACCTGGGACAAAAAGCTGGAGAGCTGGGTCAAGGAGAAGGGCCTGGTAGGGGGCACCGGCGTCGGCAAGGAACCGACGGTGATCACGCCGAAACAGTATAAAAATCGGTTCCGCGAGGCGATGGAGCGGTACATTTTGATGGCCCCCGGGCCGTTTTACACCAGCACGTAATTCAGTTCGCGCAGCTACCAATTGAAAAATAATATATTTAATTAAATAAATTTAATAAAATTAAATAAATAATCATTCAACTCTCCCATGTTTAGAGACCGCACAAACTTGTACATCTCGTACCGCCGAACGTTCCCACACCACCACGGCGTGTTCTCTGGCAAGACCGACCGCTTTGACGGGCTCAAGGACGAAGAGGAGGGCCTCATCCAGCCGTACTCGGACACCGGCGAAACAGAGATGGTGGAGTTGCCCCCCAGCATTGTCGAGCTGCAGCGCAACTCAGAGCTCATGCTGGCCGACATACAGACGAAAATCACAGAATTGGGCAAGCTGTATAAGAAGAACCTGCTCCCCGGGTTCAGCGACACCACCGAGGACGACGCCAAAATCAAAGAGCTGTCCTTCAAAATAACAAAGAGCTTCCAGCTCATGTACTCCGAAATCAAAACGCTCGACGACTCGCGGTTGCAATTCCACAAGGCGGCCGAGACAGAAATGGTGGACAACCTCAAGAAGAGCCTGGCCATCCGCACGCAGGATCTGTCGACGCAGTTCCGCAGTCTCCAGAACAGCTATATCCGCTACCTCAAGGAAGACGAGTTCGAGGTGCCTTTGATAGACACCAAGGGCGGCGACAAGTTTGTCCAGACAGAGTCCAGCGAGAACATCGAGTCGTACTCGCGCCAGGCGCTGCAGGAGTCGTCGCAGCAACTCATGTCGCAGCAGGAAACCATCAGCGACGAGTATCTCCACCAGCGGGAAGAGGAGATCTACAAGATTGCGCAGGGCGTGATAGAGATATCCACGATTTTCAAAGAGCTCGAAAACATGGTGGTAGACCAGGGAACCGTGCTGGACAGAATTGACTACAACTTGAGCAAGACGGTTGTCGATGTGAAAGGAGCAGACAAACAGATGAAAAAAGCGGAAAAATACCAAAAGGCCACCGCAAAGTGCAAGCTGGTGTTCTTTCTTGTGCTGCTAATTCTACTGTTCCTCATGATCCTCATAGTGAAGCCGAAAAATGTGGACCACTACTACGAGCCCAAGCCTGCACAGCCAGACCAGCCGGCAGACCAGCCGGCTACGCCAAACACGCCCAACGATGATTACGACTCCCTGCTTGCAGAAAGCGGATAGTCTGCAACGGATATATTTCAGAAATGGAGAAGCAATAAATAATCAGATAATCCAAGCACGCTCTATCGACCGATTTCCAGATTCTAATGTACACTACAGTCTTCCGTAGGGACTGTCTTTGGATAACGAGGCCGCCGGAAAGTTGGGCCGCGGCCTGTTTTTGTAGCTGCCCGACGCCATGTGCTGCGGAATGGCGTCCCGTCCAACCATGCCGGGGTGCATGCCTTGCAGTGGGCCTCCGCCGAACTTCTTGTACGCCATGCGCCGCGGTCCGCCGCCCCCAATGGCAAAGTCGGGGTTGTTGTTGAAGAGGATATCCGCTCTGGTCTTGGGCTTTGGCGGGTTGTACGACGGAGCATAGTACGGCTGGTGCTGCGGAGGTGGCATCAGCACGGGTGGCGCCTGCTGCGGATAGTATTGTCCGCTGTACGGCAGCGGAGGCGCGTTGGGAGCCGGCATGTACTGGCCGGGCAGCTTTGCTCTTTGGGGCGCTCCTTTATAATATTTGGGGTTGATTTCTCGTTGCGAGACACTCGTGAAGTCTGACGCGGTGCTCGACTCGCCCGAATGGTTGTCGGGCAGGTTATCGTTCGACAGCTTGAGCCGCTCGTCGCGCGAATAGAGGCTCGACGCAACAGGCGACGACGTATCCTTGTCTGCCCCGTCCAGACGGTTGCTCAGCCCGGAGCGCGAGTGGGTGTTGTCCGAGCTCGAGAGGTACGGGTTCGAGATGTCGGGCAACTTGAGCTCGGGCGTGCTGGAGTTGATCACGGTTGCAGAAACAGGCGTCTCGGCCGGCTTGTCGTTGAACACGCTGCTGCCAAACTCTCGCGAGCCCGTCTCGTGCTGCGTGACAGTGAAGTCCTGCAGCTTCTCCGGCTCCTCGTCCAGCGACGACCGTGTGGGGAACCCTGTAGGCCCCGTGAACCCGCCGGTGTACGGTTTTCGCAGGAACGACGCGGTGGAGTCGCCGACGGCCTTTTCGCCAAACATGCTCAGCTTATCGTCGTCGTCGTCGTCCACGTAGCTCTGCGGACCGACCTTGAGCGCGACGACGATCAGCACGAGGCTCACCAAGTTGAGGGCGGCCGCGGGAACAAGCAGCCAGCCCGTCCACGTGAGATGGGGGAAAAACAACAGCACCACAGAAACACAAACAAGAGTGGCTCCTGCAAACGACAGAACGGCCAGCAGCGTGCAAAAAGCCCAGAAAACGGCAGAACGCCCCGCCCAGCGGAAGTGGCCCCAGAAAACAAGGACGCTGCTCACCAGGGTCAGACCCACGGCGGCTGGCGTGGCCAGAATGAGCTTGCACAGCGTTTTCCGCGACTCGCTGCTCATCTTCCAGCCCGACCCGAGCCCCACATACTTGCCGTCGGCAAAGGAGTACTCGCACTTGTTGGAGCTTGTGTCGCAGTACCCAAACGAGCCAAAGGCGTAGTCCCCCGTGCGCGACACGGCGAGCTTGGCGGAGACGGGCACCGACACAAGGACCAGGATCAGAAACGCGAGCGAGACAAGCTGGAGCGCAAACGCCAGCGTGTGTGTGTGGAACTTCATGGAGGCAATATATATTTTTTGCAGGACAGATATTTGTGGCTTACAAGGGCAGCAGCATACGGCGGTTTGATGATTGTTTACGTTCATAACCAGGCTGCACAGCCGCTGCGAAAAATAGCCGCACGCGCGCGGGCGGTGCCAAGGCGGTGTACGGGTGCACGTTGCCATTATTGTTGTTTCTCCGGGTCCGGGACAAAGAAAACTAAGTGATAAAAGATGGCCGCTCGAATGAACGGACTGGACGAGGTGCGCAGGCTGGAGAAGAGCGTGGGCGGCGGCGGAACGGCGCTGTCGCAGGCCGAGGCCGAGATCCTGAGCCGCAACTCGCAGTCGCAGGCGAACTTGGACGAGGATCAGCTCGAGACCGACCGGCTGGCAAGGAACCTGCCCGAGGTGAGTCTGCGCTATGGCGTCGGCCCGGTTCCGCCGGACAACAAACGGGTGTTTTTCTTTGATATCGACAACTGTCTGTACAAGCGCTCCACCAAGATCCACGATCTGATGCAGGTGTATATCCATCGGTTTTTCAAGGAGCATTTGCATCTGAACGACGAGGACGCGCACGCGCTGCACATGAAGTACTACAAGGAGTATGGGCTGGCGATCGAGGGGCTGGTGCGGCTGCACAAGATCGACGCTCTGGAGTACAACAAGGTGGTCGACGACGCTCTTCCGCTGGACAAGATCTTGCGGCCGAATCCAAAGTTGCGCGAGATGCTGCTGCGGATCAGGCGGGCGGGCAAGGTCGACCGGCTGTGGCTGTACACGAACGCATACAAGAACCACGGGCTGCGCGTCGTGAGACTACTGGGCATAGGGGATCTGTTTGATGGCATTACATTCTGCGACTACGGCCAGTTCCCGCTCACGTGCAAGCCCATGAAGGAGAGCTTCGACCAGGCGTTGCGCCAGGCCGGCGTGACTGACCCTAGGAACGCTTACTTCGTCGACGACTCGGGTCTGAACGTGGTGGCCGCGAAAAAATACGGCTGGGGCAAGGTGATCCAGTTTGTCGAGCGCGACGAGGACATGCAGGAGCTGGCTGCCGGCTCGCAGGACGAGCGCGAGGGCATTATTGTCATTCGGGACATTTTGGAGCTCGAAAAAGTGTGTCCCGAGCTTGTCAGTCCGTGAAGATCTCGGGCATCGTGAGCTCGCGCTCGATCCGCGCCAGCACGTTGGTCAGAACGGCAACGCACTCCGTCACCGTCGGCAGGATTGCGCCGCTGTAGTTGCGGAGGTACCTGTTCTTGACCATGTTGATATAGAACTTGAGGTGGTGTAATAGATACTCGTTTTCGGGCACCCCGGACAGGTCCAGCTGCAGCCGCTCGTGGTAGTCGGCCGAGTAGTATGTGGACTCGTTGAGCGAGAAGCCGAGCTTTTTGTTGAGCAGCGAGGTTTTCAGCGACCCCAGCGTCATGAACACCGCCATCTGGTACAGCTTGAGACGGGCAAGCGTATCCTGCAACGTCGGGCAGGCGCGGGTGTCGGCGGCCAATTTCAGCGAGCACTGGCTGAAAATGCGCGTAAAGTGGTACACTGCAGCGACCAGGTCCTCTTTCTCAAACGCGTACGTCAGCAGCTGCCGCGACAGGTCCTGCAGTCCGGCTGGGTCGAGCTTGGACTCGTCGTTTGCGTTTTTTCCGATCAGAAACTTGAGTATCAGCCAGAGTTTGAGGTAGCGCAGAATCGGCACCATGAGCTGCTGCAGATTGCAAATGAGACGGTGGACGAGCGTCATGTGCTCGCCAATCTCACTGTCGACGATTTCGCACACCAGCTGGATCCATTCGCGAGCAAGCTCGGAGAACGGCCGCTGGAAAAGCTCGAAATACCACTGCCCTAGACTCACGAGCATCTCGTTGAGCAGCTGGATGGCATGCACGCTGCCCTGGCCCAAGCAGATGTAGTCGTCGACGTTGGGCTCGTTGACGCGCGAGTCGACGAGCAGACGCACGACGATGGTGACGAACGCGCGCAGCTCGGGCAGACCTGCCGTTTTCGTCTTGGACGAGCGCACCAGCGACAGCAGAAACTGCAACTTTAGCACCTGTGTCGTTACGTGGGGGAAACTTTTTTTCGACTCGATCTCAAACTGGGCCTTGTGGCCCACCATCCCGTCGGCCAGCATAAAGTCGCGAACAAGGCCCTGGTCAACCGCAAGCTCGTTGCTGAGGTCTGTCTGCAGCATTCGCCACACGCTGGTCGCCGAGAGCTGCATGAAGTCGGCGATCTCCTGTAATCCCAGTTTTTTCCGGTCCAAGTACCAGCCACCATCTCCGAGCAGGGTCTCTGGCATCAGCTCGAGCCTTGTCGTAGACGTCTTGCCGTATAACCCTGGTTTATCCAGAAAACACACGTCTTTGACGGCCGTGTCGCCGCTCAGCATCCGTTCTCGCAGCTGCTCGATATAACCCTTTTGCGAGGGGTCCACCCGCGCACGGATCTGGCTGTCCAATTTCTGGACAGCCTGCTGCTGCTGCTGCAACTCTGCCTCGCTCATCTCCACCATGCGGTCTATTTCGTCCTCCTCGCGTCTTAGCTGCATCACCTTCTCGTGCTTTCTGCTGATCGATGTCACCTTTAGAGCAGAATCCAGATCGAATCCCAGATCCTTGCTCAACTTGTCCTTCGACCGCGCCTGCACAGCCGTAGACAACAGAGAGGTGATCGAAGTTGTTTCCTTGGTGGGTTTAGGCGTCGTCTTGCGCTCTGTCTTGGCTTTTTTCCGCACATTGAATATATCCTCGTCCGAAGACCCCTCGGAGTCGCCAGGGCTGCGGCCGAAACTGATCTCCCGCGCGGCGCCTTCGCCGCCAGGACTGCGTGTCTGCCGCGGAGAAACACAGAACCGCTGCTGTTTCATGCTTTTCGGAGACTGAGACGGCCCTGAAGAGGCCCCACTCATGCTATCAACAAACAGTTTGAAAATTTGTTATCGATTACCTAATCTCTGATCTTGCACCCCGATTACGCCCCACAGATAGGATGTACGGGGCTGGCGACCCAGGAAATAACTCATGGCACCAGAGTGCCCAGTATTGGTAAACCAGGTATTCCCCTTAGGAAGCTCTCTGTTCATCACGGACGATACTTTCAAGCCACATGTATGGGAGGACTCTGTTTTCCTCTCATTGGAGTCCGAAGGAAGATACGTTTGGCCCAATGCGCTGATTAACCGAATTTTGCAAGACGGATGGAAGCGGTCTAATATCTGCAGTATCTTCACGTGGACGTTGGACTGTGGGGCGTCCATCGGCTTGCAAGAAACGCAATAGGTTCTACAAGCGCTTCCAGGGGTGCTGAAAGGGCTAGGAACCGTCGATTTTGTGCAGATGCTGGCGCGGGTTTGATTAGCGAGCGACGCTTTGCACGAAATGGCACGAAGGACAGCCTCAGAGCTTGAATTAAGGTCAGCAAGTACCGAAACCCCTGAAGAATTGCTTTGCAGTTGGCTGACGATGTCGACAGCTAAACTGATTAAAATCGGCAGTAAAGCCTCGGTGCGATCTGCTGGAGTCCCCTTCACCGGAGCGTTCGCCGTGTCCATAAGATAGTGCACTTTACCACTCATTGCTCAGCAATTTACCCTACTAGATCATGCTTTCATCGAGCTATTACACTTTTACAACATTGCTACATTTATCTATCATATTGTCAATCTGCTACCAAGTCACGAATTTCGACTTTAAAGAGCACGATTCCAGTTTTCAAGGATTGCAGTTATATTCCAGTTATTCCACGAACTCTCATCACCGGGGTAGGCGCGGGAAAGTATGATGCCATAGGTAGGTTGATACTAGGTTCCACTACCGCGCTGTACTAGAAAGACAAGAATCATAATTTTGAAAGTAGGAACTGATGCAGCTCCCGTGACCATAGGAAAAGCATATTACTTGCCTTCTCTCTATTCGAAAGGGGGGTGATTTTTCCGCTTCTTTAGAGGGAACGCATTATATATTTCTCCCTATCTGAAGGGGAATATGCTTTTACCTTCTATAGGAGGGATGCACTCTCCCTGTCCATGTAGGGGAAGGTACGTTAGAAGATAGTGTTTGAACCCTTTAAAGTTCTATATATCCCCTCCACAGAATGGGCCGCGTCAAAGTACCTACCAATAGGAGAACCAGCAATTGTTCTCATCGCGAGGATAAATTGCTTTGCTTGAAATATTCCCGGAGACATAACTGAAGCCGAGCGATGAGTATCAATTTTCACGCGCGGATGCAATGTAGAATCCAGGTTGGAGCCGAAGCTTTTAAAATCAGCACGTCCCATGTCAGTCAGGAAGACATAGGCAAGGTAAAAATGTGACCATATTTATGGTTTCTCAGAGATCGAATGATGATCAGCCCTGACACGGGTTGTATCTTTTGCACAAAGTTTGTAAAGCGGCAGAATTTCCAACTCGTATTTGGCCCAATGGCTTTGCGAGAGCTTGACATACCACTCGTGTTTTGTCTCTAAGATCCGCAAACTTCCTCAACCGGTCATAGTGAGAAGAACAAGGGTACGAAACAAAGTTATCTTTTTGGGGAAGAGTGTCAAATTTATTAGAAAATATCGTTAAAAAATCACAAAAATAAAAAATAAATTTGACTAGCCTTTGGCCCCATCAAAATGGACGCTATTGCAGATAGGGCATTCACGGAGTCGCAAACAAATCCGGCGCACAAATTGGTGGACGAGACGCCGTCGCTGCTGGCGGTGGTGGTCGACATCAACCCGCTGGAATGGCGCAAACTTGAAAAAGAACACTCAGTCTCCCTAAAGCAAGTGGTTTCCTCCATCATAGTTATGCTCAATTCGCATCTTTCCCTCAACAGCTCGAACCACGTTGCACTGTATATCGCAAATAGTTATTCACATGGGGCTCAACTCATATACCCGCGTACAGAGTCTTCGAAATCTACCAGATTTTTGCATACTCCTGGAATGTACAGGCAATTTCGATTTATAGACGGCTCAATTGTGGACACTATTGAACATCTGCTGAATGAGCAGCCAGACACGCTTTTGCAGCTTATCGGGAGAGAGCAAGGAAAACAGCATATCAAAGGAACGCTCGCAGGAGCCATGTCGATGGCCCTTTGTCACATCAATAAAATACAGCAATCTGACGAGCTGAACGCATTGAAATCGCGGCTCTTGGTGGTGAGCATCAGTGACGACAGCACACTGCCGTACGTCTCGGTTATGAATACCATATTTGCGTCCCAAAAAATGAAAATTTCGGTGGACGTTTGCAAACTAGGACCTAGCTCGACTTTCCTCCAACAAGCAGCCGATGCCACCAACGGAGTCTACATTTATATTACACAGCCAGAAGGCCTTATACAATATCTCACGACAGCATTGTTTATTGATCCGATGTTGCGGCCGATCATTGTTCTACCAACAGACGAGTCGATAGATTTCCGCGCCTCGTGTTTTATAACCAACAAAGTTATCGACGTGGGCTACGTTTGCTCCGTGTGTCTCTGCATTCTGAGTGTCATTCCAGAGGATGAAAAATGCCCTACGTGCCACTCCAAATTCGACCACAACCTAATAACCAAACTAAAGAGAAAGCCCAAAGTTTTGCCTCTCAAGAAAAAAGATAAGGAGTTGGGGGATAAGAACGGGACAGCCACACCAGAGTCTGCCTGACGCATAACACGTAAAGATTAGCATTACTTATAACTTGCCCGCTTACGGCTAAGCGTCCGTAGGTGCGGGTTTTTGGAGCCGAGCCTGCGGATTGGTATTTGGGAAAACTAGGTCCATATAACTGGTCAGCACACCAATAACTGCAAACAGTATCTTGAAAATCGCTGGCTGGGCATCGTCGTCGGGAGATTTGATTAATGGCTCATTCAGGTAGCTCTGCACAGCGAGCAAAAGACACGACCAGGCCAAAGGTTTATTTCTCATGAACATGGCCACCATTGGCAAGTTCTGAGCAGCAAAGCTAGTGGCGGAATTGCGCGGTTTCACCGGCACATGCACATAACTGACGTTAGCACGAATAGTGCGAATACTTACGGCTTGGCGAGCTCAGGTCTTTTCACGTCTTTAGGCATTTTCTTGTAATTCGAAAGAAATAATAATTTCGACGTTTACAATTTCCACCAAGATTTGGACTCTTCACTGGTCACATGATAATATCACGTGATCACGGAAAAAAAAAATTTAAAAAAGAGCATGATTTCGCTAGCGCTCGCGTAGAACACAAAAGGGGATTTCGTTTAGTGAAAAAATCTGATGGGTTCACCTTTTTGGTTTATTTAATCTAATAACTTTCAGTCTTCCTATATTCTCTAATCACTCGCCTCAGATAGAACCAGTATTAGAACGGACACCTGCGCCAGTTTGCACACTCTCTCACTTAAGATTCTCACCTTACACAAGACAATTTTTCGTTTTTCCCACTGGCTCGTTCCCATCAAGTAATATATAACTTGACCACTATATTCGATTTGACTGTTTGCACACGTACACTTATTGATTCGTCAGATAACTCGGCTCGTATCAGCATTAGTCAGGCAAAACCATCACCACAACTCAATTATAAGCAAGTTTAATCTGCGTCTCCCTACATGTCATCAGTTTTAGCGAATGTTAGCGCGTTTCTGGCGCACACCTGTGCCAAAAGACCTATCCACGTGATTATAGGAACCGCTCTGGTAGCCTCTATCACATATCTATCCATTTTGGATCACTACGCGTCCTCGCTGAGCATTGCTTCCTCTCAGCCTGTGCTATTTTATCATCCTTCAGGCTCCTCAGATTACACCAAGTGGTCGCAAGTCGATAATCCATCAGCCTATGAATCTGCAGACCACTACTCTCTTACGCCATTCAAGTTCAAAAGAGTCGGAGGCGCCGATCTCCCAGTGCACGATAACCTGCTCTTAGGAATGGAGGAAAATGAAAAAATCCTGCTCTCAGACTTTGCTTCCACAGAGTCTCTATACGACAAATTCGAGACAATGACGAACAAAGATGGCGTCCAGTTCAAAGTGAGGAGCATCCATCGTATTGGAAAATATTATGAATATCTCAAGTCTCTGTTCACCAAAGTTGAGAGCTTGATCAAAGGTGCAGAGCCATTTGACATCATTTTGGTCACCGTTGCGTACGGAGCAATGTGGTTCACTTTTGTCCAGCTGTTCTTCGAGATGAAGAAGCTCGGCTCTAACTTCTGGCTCGGGTTTGGCTCTCTGCTTTCTTCGGGTATTGCTTTTCTGTTTGCACTTGCTATTGGTATTTTCTTGTTCAACCTGAAAGTGCCCCTCATCTCATTGAGCGAGGGTCTTCCTTTCTTGGTTGCAACCATTGGATTCAAGCACAAGATTGCATTCACAAAACCAGTGCTGAAAGCTCTGAGATCCGAGTCAAACACCGACATTCCAAAAACCATAGCAAGCGTGGTGAAATCCACAACTGCGATCCCACTAATCAAGGACCAATCCATCATTATTCTTTGCTTTTTGCTGTGCTCAATCTTGGCTCCCAACCTTACTGGCTTGATGAATTTCTGTATCATGGCTGCTCTGATTCTTGCCGTGGACTTGTTTTTCACATTCACATTCTACTCTTCTATCTTGTCATTGAAGGCTCAGATCAACAAGGTTCACAAGGAAATTGAGCTCAAGCAGTTTTTGGAGGAAGACGGCATCAACGAGACTGTTGCAGAGAGCGTTGCTGCCTCTGCAGAACTTCCGACTGACTTGTTCCGTCATGACAGCAACATTGTCAGCTTTAAAGTGGCCATGATTGTGGGCTTCATTTCGTTGCATCTGTTCGCATTGGGAACCTCCTGGCTCTACGATGATTCTGCCGACTACCAACCTGTCAACTTGTTCTCCAATTTTTCGCCATCTCTGTCGAAATCGGTTGCCATGAACGTTCCGGTTGGAAGACACGGAACGCTAATAACAGTCATGCCAACAAGAGTGTACAGCAGAGTTGACTGGTTCACCAAGACAGAAGATCTTACCTTGCATCTCTTTGAAAGACTTTCCAAAGCCATTTCGGATCCACTTGTTGGAAAATTCCTGTTTGTTCTTGCTGGAATCAGCGTTGCAATCAATATTTACCTTTTGAATGCCACAAATGCTCATATAGATGAGACACGTGCAATCAAGAAGAAGGAAAAGAAGAAGCAAAGGGCTGTAGAACAACGCAAAGTCATTCCTAAGCCATCTTCTTCGGTTGTTATTTCAAGATCCAGCAACTCAAGTTCTGACGATGTGAAAGAGGCTCAGATCATTGACGAGGGATTGACCGACGAGCATTCTGGCAGCGATACCGATTCGTTGGAATTTAAAGCTCTGACGCCAAAACGTCCACTCGAGGAACTGTTGGGCATCATGAAAGAAGGAAACGTGAAAGAGTGTTCGAACGAAGAGGTTGCAGAGCTGGTCACTTCAGGCAAGCTTCCCTTGTATGCTTTGGAAAAACAGCTGGAGGATAAGACTCGAGCTGTTGTTGTTCGTCGGAAAGCCATTGCCAAGCTAGCTGATGCTCCTGTTTTGAACACGGGAAGACTCCCATGGAAACACTACGACTATGACAGAGTTTTTGGTGCGTGCTGTGAGAACGTGATAGGATTCATGCCAATACCTGTTGGTGTTGCCGGTCCCATGATAATTGATGGTGTTCCCTACCACATTCCAATGGCCACCACGGAGGGTTGCTTGGTCGCGTCTACCATGAGAGGTTGCAAGGCCATTAATGCTGGAGGCGGTGTCCAGACGGTCTTGACCAATGACGGAATGACCAGAGGACCATGTATCTCCTTCCCTACACTAGCCCGCAGTGGGGCTGCCAAGATGTGGCTTGATTCGGAGGAGGGACAGAAAGTGATGAAGAGTGCGTTCAACTCCACCTCCAGGTTTGCCAGACTGCAGCATCTTCAAACTGCCATGGCCGGAACACTGTTGTTCATCAGATTCAAGACCACCACCGGCGACGCTATGGGAATGAACATGATTTCTAAGGGAGTCGAGTATGCGTTGAATTACATGATTAACGAGTGTGGATTCGAAGACATGGAGATCATCTCGTTGTCCGGAAACTACTGTACTGATAAGAAAGCTGCTGCCATCAACTGGATTGAAGGTCGTGGTAAGAGCGTTGTTGCTGCTGCCATCGTTCCTGCAGAGACGGTTCGCAAGGTGCTCAAGTCGGATGTGGATGCACTGGTGGAGCTGAACGTGTCGAAGAACCTCATTGGGTCTGCCATGGCTGGGTCAGTTGGTGGATTCAATGCCCACGCTGCCAACCTGGTGACTGCCGTTTACCTTGCAACGGGACAGGATCCTGCGCAAAACGTCGAGAGCTCCAACTGTATCACGCTGATGAACAAGCTGCCTAATGGTGACCTACAAATCTCCGTCTCGATGCCGTCCATCGAGGTGGGAACCATTGGCGGAGGTACCGTACTGGAGCCTCAAGGAGCCATGCTTGAGCTGCTGGGAGTGAAGGGTCCGCATCCAACAGAGCCAGGAGCCAATGCGAGACAGCTAGCCAAGATCGTTGCGTCTGCCGTGCTGGCAGCCGAGCTTTCGTTGTGTTCTGCCCTTGCGGCCGGCCACTTGGTCCAGTCCCACATGACCCACAACAGAAAGGCCCCTGTTGCAGGGCCCGGTGCCGTCGACACGCCTGCCACCACAGCGAGCAGCTCAGGCAGCGGCGACGACATGAGCCGTCTGAAGGATGGATCCAAGATCTGCATCCGGTCCTAGCGGGGCTGTATATTTGCTAGATATGTATTGCTAATAGACCACGTAATGTGCCCCGGAATTTTCACGTCCACCTTCGCGGATGTTTTTTCTGGAATTTATTTGATAGCAACTAATTATTTTATCACAGGTGACACACTGTTCAACAGTAAACTAAAAATTCAAGTACATCTTTATCCTAAATACTCCAAAAATGACTCGCATTGATCCGAAGGACTACGAGTCTGCGCCGATAAAGGTGAGCGGACGGATTCTGAACTGCATGACGCAACTGCCGAACCAGATCTACAAGACGAAGAACGGCACATGGGACCTGAAACCGCTCAGAGGCAGCTCTGCGTTGCATGCGTCGAACGCGTTTCTGAACGAGGCGACCAACTGGGAGTCTCACCTGATCGCCTGGACCGGCGAGCTGTACTCGTACAACGAGAGTGTTCCGCACTCGATTCCCACGAATCAGTCCATCGAGAACGACCCGCTGTACTTGGACGACAACGACAAGGAGTACGTGACGAAAAAAATCCACGAGGCAAACAACGACAAGAACATCCATCCCGTGTGGCTTCTGCGCAAAGACCAGGAGAGATGGCGGAAGTACGCCGAAAACGTGATCTGGCCCACGTTCCACTACATGCAGCCGGCCCCCAGCGACGGCCGCGAGGAGGCCCAGTGGTGGCACGACTACGTGAAGTTCAACGAGGCGTATGCTGCGAAAATCAAGGCCATCTACCAGCCCGGCGACATCATCTGGGTCCACGACTACTACCTGCTGCTGCTGCCGCAGATTCTGCGGATGGAGTTTCCGCAGGCGTACATCGGCCATTTTCTGCATGTTCCGTTCCCGTCGTCGGAGTATTTCAAGTGCCTGAGCAAACGGAAGCTGCTCCTGGACGGCATGCTGGGCGCCAACCAGGTCGGGTTCCAGAACAACTCTTTTGCCAGACACTTTATCAGCTGCTGTGCGCGACTGCTTGGCTACGAGGTGACGCCGGACGGCGTGCACATCCACTCGTCCAACGTGAAAGTGGTGACGCTGCCCCTGGGCATCGACGTGGCCAAGTTCGAGCACAACGCGTTCACCGAAAGCGTCGAGTCGAAAGTGCAGACGCTCCGGCAGCTCAACGGCAACCGCAAAATCATTATCGGCAGAGACAGACTCGATCTGGTGCGCGGAGTGGTTCAGAAATTGCAGGCCTTCGACATGTTCCTGGATATCTATCCCGAATGGCGGGGCAAGGTTGTTCTGATCCAGGTCTCGTTCAAGCCGTTCTACCACAGCTCGAAGCTCGACAAGAAGGTCAACGAGCTGGTGTCGAACATCAACGCCAAGTACGGCTCGCTCGAGTATACGCCGGTGCAGAACTACAACATGAAGGTGGACAGAGACGAGTATCTGGCTCTGCTGCGGGCCGCGGACCTGTGCATGATCACGTCCATCAGAGACGGAATGAACACCACGGCTCTGGAGTACATTGTGTGCCAGAAAGAGTCCAAGTCGCCGCTGCTGCTGTCTGAGTTTAGCGGCACCGTCAGCGTTCTGCAGGACTCTGTTCAGGTGAACCCCTGGGACGCTGTTGGAGTGGCCAACTCCATCAACGAGTGTCTGCTGATGAGCGACGACAGAAAGGCCGCCCTGGAGGCCAAACTGTACCGGTCTGTGTGCAACAACACCAACCAGGACTGGACGTGCCATTTTCTGCAGAGCCTGATGGACTTTGTGGTGAAGCTGAACTCGAAACACGGCACGCCGTACTTGAACAAGCCGATGTTACTGGAGGACTACAAGAGAGCAGAACGGCGTCTGTTCATGTTTGACTACGACGGAACGCTGGCCCCCATTGTGCGCGACCCAAACGCGGCCATTCCTTCTGCCCGGCTGATCAACGTCCTCAAAGCGCTGGTCAAAGACCCCAAGAACGAGTTCTGGATCATCAGTGGCAGAGACCAGGAGTTTCTGGAGAAATGGATCGGCTCGCAGTTCCCTGAGGTCGGGCTGAGTGCCGAGCACGGCTGTTTTCTGAAAAAAGCAGGCCACAAAGAGTGGATCAACCTGGCCGAACGCTACGAGATGCTGTGGAGAGAAGAGGTCGAAGAGATCCTCAAAAGATACGCCGAGAGAACCCCGGGCTCGTTCATCGAGAAGAAAAAGGCCGCCATCGTCTGGCACTATCGAAAGTCCGACCCGGAGCTCGGAATGTTCCAGGCCGCAAAGTGCAAGGCCGACCTGCTCGAACGGATGGCCGGCTACGACGTCGAGGTGATGGCCGGAAAGGCCAACGTCGAGGTGCGGCCCTCGTTCGTCAACAAGGGAGAAATAGCGCGCCGACTCGTGCTCAATTCCGACCCCGTGGTGCAGCAGCCACGTACCTTTGAGCAGATGCCAGATTTTATCATGTGTCTTGGAGACGACATAACAGACGAGGACATGTTCAGGGCGCTGAACACCATTGAGAAAAATTGGAAGGACAAGAAACTCGTCACCAACAAGGAGCCTCGTGGCATCTACCCGGTGACCGTGGGCCCGGCCAACAAGGAGACGGTGGCCAAGGCGTATCTGGCGGACCCGGGCCAGGTGTTGGACACGCTCGGCCTGCTTGTGGGCCAGGTGTCCCTGTTTGACACGGCCGGAACCGTCGAGCTCGACGATAGGGGTCACCTCAAGAACAGCACGAGCGCGCTGCGGTCCGAGAAGGCCAGACAGGCGTACCAGGCGACGGCGGGGTCACGTGACCACAAAACCACGTGACCAGCGGGGCGGCGTGGAAACCTGGCAGACTATTATTTATCTAGACAATCGAATAGAAAGGCAAATTAGTTATAGCAGAGCAGCGTGTCTAGACGCCGAACCGTCCATTTTACCACATACTGCGGCTGTAATCTATAACGGCCCCCGGTCCCTGAATTCCGCAGCTTCCGAAAGAACATGACAGAACCCTTTCCGAACCCGGCTCTGTCGGGACAGTCGATTGCGCAGGACGATTACCTCGGCCATCTTCTTTCGTCCAACAATTCCCGCTCCAACTCCCGCAAAGCGTCTCTTGCGTACGGCAGCATCAACGATAATGAGCCGGTATTAAGGCGTTCTCGCAGTCTTACAGAATCTATAACCAACTCAATGATAGTGGCTACGAACGTGACGTGGGAGCAGATCCAGCGTCGCCGGTTTCTGTCGGTGTGTGTGTTTGGGTGTCTTTTCATCTTTCTCTTCAATTTGGTGTTTCTTCCGCGGACCTCGTTGGACAGGGATTTGCGACGTCTCCATGGCGAGTTTCTCACCTTTGACGACTGTTCGCGGCTATTTTTGACCCAGCTCAACTTCAAGAACAACGTCAGGAGCTACATGGAGTTCATGGAGCGCGACGTGTACTTGCCTGGCAAGAACCACGAGGCGGTGGAGTCGTTTTTCAAGAAAAACTACCAGTTCAGAACGTACTCTGACAAGTACGAGACCTGGATGGGCAGGCCTCTGAAGACGCATCTGAAGATGTACGACGGCGACGCCGTGGTATATGAGGCAAAACTGAAAGAAAGCGAGCTTCTGTCGTTCCACCCGTACTCTGCCAACGGGACTGTCAACTCCGAGTTCGTTTACTTGAACTATGGTCTGGAGCACGATTACGAGACCGTTCGCAACGCCGGCGTCGAGGTGGGTGGTCTGATTGGCATTGTTCGCCGCGGGGGGATCAGCGTCGATCGCAAGATCGAGATCGCTCAGGAACACGGGGTCTCTGCCGTTTTGGTGTACTCCGACCCGTACGACGACGGACAGCAGAGAGTCAAGAACGGCCGCAAACCGTTTCCATCTGGGCCGGCACGGAAACCGTCCAGCGTGGACAAGGAGACGGTCAGTTTCCTTGCTGAGCAGCCGGGCGACCCGACGACGCCCGGCTGGTCGTCGACGCTTTTTGCTCACAGGGTGGAACCAAAAACCGTTCCGAAAATTCCCTCCTTGCCGCTCAGCTACGAAGACATCGAGCCTATCCTGAAGACCCTGGGCGGCCCGGATGTGGGCTGGCGCGGCGACCTGGATTTTTCGTACTCGTGCGGGCCCTCGAGCTATTCTCTTGACCTGCTCAACATCGTCGAGTACAAAATCAAGCCTATCTACAACATTGTGAACGAGATCCCAGGCGTGATCAAGGACGAGGAGCTGATCATCGGCGCGTCCAGAGACTCGATCGGCGGCCTTGGCGGCGTCTCGGGCGGCCATGTGGCCATGATGGAGCTGGCCAGGGGGTTCGACGAGCTCGTCAAGCTCGGCTGGAAACCGCTCAGAACCATCAAGCTTATATCCTGGGACGGGTCCAGCTACGGTCTGCTGGGGTCCACGGAGTTTGGGGAGTTCTACTCCAACAAGCTCGCGAAAAACAATATTCTTTACATCAACTTGGATAAAATAAACGGCTCGCAAGTGAAAATACAGAGCCACCCGCTTTTCAACGAGCTGCTGCAGAAAGTGATGAAGCAGGTGATGGTGAACGATAGGCAGACGCTCCACCAGTACTTCGCAACATCGAACTCGTCGATGGGCCTGATCTCGACCGGAATGGGCGACTACTCTGTGTTCCAGAACCATTTAGGCATTCCGTCGCTGAACCTCGGCTTCTCGAACAATAAAAACACAGACCCTGTGCCGTACTTCAACTCGCTGGCGGACTCGCTCGAGTGGTACACCAGTCTGGACCCAGACCTCAAATTCCCAAGTGTGATGGCGCAGTTTGCAGGCCTGTTTGTGCTCCATCTCAGCGAAAAGGAAATTCTCCATGTGAGAACTCACGACTACATCGCCACCATATATTCGCGCTACAGACACATAGTCGACGAGGTGCCGTCTTATTGGCTCGACCGCATATGTGAAGACGAGTCCAACACGCGGCTGGAAACAAAACTGAAGGAGATGGACACACTTTTCCAGACCCTGCTGAAAAAAAGCTCGAGCTTCGACTCAAACCTTGAGCTTCTGCAAAAACAGATTCTTCAGGACTACCCGTGGTTCAGGCTGCTCACGAAAATCAAGATCGCCATCAAAATCAAGGTGGCCAACCTGAAGGTGCGCTCGCTGGACCGGATGTTTGTGACGGACCCGGTGCTTAAAGACCGCGCGTGGATCCGTCACCTCATATTCGCCCCCTCCCGCGACTCACAGCACGTCTGTGTTCTTGCGGGGCTCGCAGAGCCGCTCAAGGCCGCAAACTACGACACGTTCGCCGCCAACCTCAACGTTGTCGGCGACGCTTTAACGAAACTGCACCGCAAACTGTGATGATGACCGTCGCGTCGATAGACGCAAAATACCTAATTTATAAAGCAATATTTCCCGAAAAATTACTAGTATACCAACATGTTTAGAAGAGCTTTTTCCACCTCCCGTGCCAACCTCGTCAAGTGCTACTTTGACATCGCGATCAACGGCGAGAAACAGCCTCGCGTGGTGTTCGACCTGTACGACAAGGTTGTTCCAAAGACTGCCGAGAACTTCAGAGCTCTGTGCACCGGCGAGAAGGGCTTTGGGTACAAAGACTCCATTTTCCACAGAGTGATTCCGAATTTCATGCTGCAAGGTGGCGACATCACCCACTTCAACGGATACGGAGGCAAGTCCATCTACGGAGGCAAGTTCCCAGACGAGAACTTCCAGAAAAAGCACACCAAGCCGGGTCTTCTCTCCATGGCCAATGCCGGTCCTGACACCAACGGGTCGCAGTTCTTCATAACCACCGTGCCATGTCCATGGCTGGACGGCGCCCACGTTGTCTTCGGCGAGGTCGTTGAGGGCTACGACTCCACGGTGAAGAAAATTGAGTCGTTTGGCTCGCAGAGCGGTCGCACCAGTGCCGAGATAAAAATCGTCGAGTCGGGCGAACTGAAGGAGTAGACGGAACGTTGTAAATAGTGGCAAATAGTTTTCTTATCCACTCGAAACTGGCGGAATGATGCCCACCACGTCGCCCGGCTGGAGAGCAATGTCTGTGCCGAACGATTCGGGGCTTGTGCGCTCGGTTTCCACGTAGTCCTCGTTGAGCACGACTCCGCAGCTGGAGACGATATATTGAGCGAATTCGGGCGAGTACGAGCGGCCGACGTGCTGGATGAGCGTGTTCAGCGTCGCCGGCTCTGCAAGCTCGACTTTCTCGTGTGCCGTGCCGCTGGTGTGTGTTTTTGCCGGCCCAAAATATTCGACAGCAACTGCGACCATACTTTAAAATTAAATAAATTTTGCAGCACGGTTTCCCGACAAACACGCTCATTTCTCGCTCTCGTCGTCCATCGCGTCGTCGTTCCCGTCCTCCTGCATCTCCTTGAGCAGCTCCTGTCTTCTGACTTCCTTTTTCTCGCTGTAGACCTGGAACACCGCGTGGGAGCTCATAAACACAGACGCTTGTAGCTCGCCAAAGTTCTTGATCGAGCGGAACTGCGTCGCGGCCTTGTCGCACAGCTTGCTCATGTACAGCAGGTTGCGCTGCAGCTCGCCCAGCTGGTGGTTCAGGTGCTGTATCTGTCTTTCTCTGGTGGACATGTTGTTTACGCAAAGAATATTTCCGACGCGTCGCGATTTATTTCGACTCTGCAGAGTAGCAGGTGGTCTCCGGCGACGAGGACGGTTTGTCCAGCGACGACAAGGTTTGCGTCTGGAAAGAGCCGCCGAGCACGTCGTCCTGCGTGTCGCCGTACCGCGACAATGCCGCGTTTCTCAGCTCGAGCGCTGTTTGCGACGGCTCCAAGTCCGTGTAGGCCAGCGGGTCCATGGGGAAACACCCGTCTTTTGCGCTGCCTGCTACCACTCTGAGGACAACGACGTGGCTCTGGGTCTTGAGCGTGCCGCAGTTCTCCATCTCGAACGACTCGTCGATGCCTGTCAGACACGGACTGTCGCAGGCTTGGAATAGGGGAGGAGCGAATGTCTGGTCGTTGGAGACGAGACTGAGGGATAGGTAGCGGTCTGAGGGCAGTTCGTTGAGGTTCTGGACGTAAGCAATCAGCCTCTTCAGTATATGGTACAATTGGGAGCTACAGGCCTGGTGGGATCCGTTTCTGTAGTCGATCTCGAAAAAGTAGGACTCGATGAAGCAGTTCTGGGCTGGGTCGGGTCTAACGTAAAAACAGAAGGCAGAGACCTGTCTGGCGACGATCGCCGCGATGACGCGGTCCATCCAGTCATTGAGGAGATCTGCTCGGTGGGAGATGCCCCTTTTGAGGATTTTCACGTTAAGAGAGTCTGTGCCGTCAGACACCTTGCTGTCGTCGAAATGGACGTCGTCGAAGAAGTTGCGCAAATACGCGACGCACGAAACGGCCAGCGTCACCAGAACAGCGGCCAAGTTATCTGCGTCGGAAAGGCGCATTTATAAAAAAGGATATTTTGCTACGGGGCTAGGAATTATTTTATTTTGGCTGACATTTTTTTCATAATATGATTGCACGGTGGATTATGCCAGCGGCCCGGACGGCGTTCCGTCAGCGGCGGCTCGTGTCGACGCCCAGGGAGGTGTTCACGGAGCTCAGCGACGAGAAGGACCCGAAAAGAGCGTCGATTTTCGAGTACAGCTGGGGCTCGTGGCTCGAGAACGACACCGTCGAGAAGGAAAAAAGACGCACCGAGTTCTCCATTAAGGGGCTCAACGACCTGCTTGCCCAGGTCGTCAAGCCTTTCGAGGGCACTGTGCTGCTGCCGGCGGCCCACAACGTGAGTGTGCTGAAGGACAACGTCGATCTGGTCAAAACCGGCTTCTCGCACATCAAGCAGATCAGCTCGATCCACGAGGGCAAACACCACCGTATCTACAAGCTGCAATTGGACCACCAGCAGGAGGAGCTAGTTCTGAGAGTCCCGTACAAGCTGGACTCGGAAGTGTACACGGACCGGCGGATCAAGTCTGAGGCAGCAACCATGGACTTTCTGGCCAAGAAGCTGGGTCTGAACGTTCCCAAGGTGCTGGCGTACTCTGGCGTGGCCGAGAACCCTGTGGGGACTCCGTTCATGTTGATGGAGTTCAAGAAAGGCGAGCTGCTGATGAGAAAATGGAACCCGCTGATTCCCGGCGCCGTGAACGAGGAGAAGTCCAAGGCGGAGCTAATGAGCGTCATTTCGCCCATTGCCGAGTTCAACAAGAAGGCGACCGACATCACGTTCACCCACTACGGGTCGTTGTATTTCAAAGAGGACGGCTACGAGCACATTGTCGACGAACCGTACGTTGGAGAAACGGACGAGTCGCTCAAGAACAGATGGGTGATTGGGCCTACGGTCGAAAAGGCCTACTACAGAAACAAGGACGTTGAGGTCGCCGAGATCGACAAGTTTGTTGGTCCATGGACCGTCGAGCAGCCGCTGAGAATGGTTGCAGACCTTGCGCAGCTCGAACTGGAGAATGTGCAGAAACAGGGCCACGACCAGGCCGTCCCCGTGTACAGGAAGCTGGGGCAGGTGGCCGAGAAGCTGTTTGACGTCGAAAGCAAGACGATCCCCCACATGGACGCTCTGCTTGCTCCGAGACTCGCGTTGCCGGACCTGGACCCGATGAACGTGATTGTGGGCGACGAGACCTGGTTCATCGACTTCGAGGGCGCGTGTATCAAGCCGTTCCTGCTCAGCAGCTATCCGAAATTTGTGCAGTACAGCGGGCCCAAGATCTTCGATCTGGAGGCCGACGTCGAGGGCTACGACAAACTGGACGACGTGGCCAAGCAGCAGTACGAGTACATGTTCTGCCGGACGCGGAACCAGTTCTACTGGGAGCTGGCGCTGAACGAGACCAACAAGGAGCTGCTCGGGGTGATTTCGCCGGCAGTCAAGCTTATCAAGAGCGCGTATCTGAGCGCCTTGGATGCCAAGACAGACAAGGATTATCTGTATGTGGAAAACGGGCTCGTGGAACTGTACACAATGTGGCCGCATTACGAGAGCGCTGCCATTGTCAAGGGCCCGAACCCGTTGACGTTTAGCGAGCAGGAGCTGCAGGCGTACGAGACGGCGTTCCAGGACTACCAGACAGAGCTGTCGTCGATGCCCTTTGCTGCTACGGGCGGCTGGGTGCCACAGGACATGTTTGCACGGCTGCTGGAGCAGAAGCTGCTTGTTGAGAAAAACGGCAGCTACACGTTCGACCGCGACAAATTGTTACAATAGATAAGACTGGAAAAAATTCTGTAATCAACCATGCCATGTGTACGGCATTAAGCAGCCTCGGGGAGAGAGGGTGCAAAAATGCTGTGTTTGTAGCCTTGAAAATCCGCGGCGGGGGCGGTAGCCGTGACCAGCGGCCTCGCCAAGGCTCCCGTCCGCTGTCGCCGCCCGCGCGCCGTCCCCCTCCGGCTCTCGTGGGCCCTGGAAGTAGAGTTGACGTGCGGCATAAAATTCCAAGCATGCAGAATTTTATTTCTTATTGGCAACGCGCATGCGCCACGCAAAAAAATACACGGCATTCTGTTTTTTCCACGGCAGCACAAGGCGAATCTCGTCTCGTGCCATAGTCAGGCCAGGAATTTCTTTTCTGATAAGCTGATAAGACTCCGCACGGTTGCATTTAAAGACCAGCGTTCCCCGCTGGCATTTCTCTCCAACATGTCGTACACCAAAGAGAACAAGACCGATGTCGACACCTCGGTGTCTCCTATCCGCGAGACAGAGATCGCCAACTCCGGCTCCAAGGGCTGGTTCGGCGACTTCAAGGACTCCTTTAAGCCGGCCATCGTCGAGGAGCTCGACCCCAACCTCACCGACATCGAACGGGCCAACATCCTCAGTGCCCGCTCGCCGTTGCACAGAAACCTCAAGCCTAGACACATCCAGATGATTGCTCTGGGAGGCTCCATTGGAACGGGTCTTTTTGTCGGTTCTGGAAGCGCGCTGGCCACGGGCGGCCCCGCCTCGCTCATCATTGCGTGGGGACTGGTCGGTATCATGATCTACTGTACTGTGCAGGCCATGGGAGAGCTGACCGTCACGTTCCCGGTTTCCGGTTCGTTTGTCCAGTACAACACCAGGTTCATTTCTCCGTGCTGGGGTTTCTGCATGGCGTACAACTACGCTCTGCAGTGGCTCGTGGTGCTGCCGCTGGAGCTGGTGGCTGCGTCGCTGACGATCAAGTTCTGGAACTCTACCATCAACTCTGCTGCCTGGGTGGCCATTTTCTATGTGGTGATTGTGATTATCAACTTTTTCGGAGTCAGAGGCTACGGTGAGGCCGAGTTCGTGTTCTCCTTCATCAAGGTCATCGCCGTGATCGGGTTCATCATCCTCGGTATCATCCTCAACTGCGGCGGTGGTCCAAAAGGTGGCTACCTCGGAGGCAAGTACTTCCACGACCCAGGCCCATTCGCAGACGGTTTCAAGGGTCTGTGTGCCGTTTTCGTCACCGCTGCGTTCTCGTTCGCCGGAACCGAGCTTTGCGGACTGGCTGCTGCAGAGACCCACAACCCTAGAAAGTCGCTGCCCTCGGCCATCAAACAGGTGTTCTGGAGAATCACGCTCTTCTACATGATCTCGCTCACCATCATCGGCCTGCTCGTGCCATACACCGACGACAGACTGCTCGGCTCGTCCTCTGTGGACGCCACCGCCTCGCCGTTTGTCATTGCCATCAAGAACGGAGGCATCAACGTGCTGCCTTCCATTTTCAACGTCGTCATCATGGTGGCCGTGCTCTCTGTCGGAAACTCGGCCGTCTACGCGTGCTCCAGAACAATCGCCTCTCTCTCCGAGCAGAACTTTGCTCCAAAGATCTTCGGCTACATCGACAGACAGGGAAGACCGCTCGTCGCCGTCTGCTTCACCCTCGCGTTCGGATTGCTCTGTTTCCTGGCCGCCTCGCCAAAGGAGGGAGACGTCTTCAACTGGCTGCTCGCTCTTTCTGGATTGTCGTCCGTGTTCACGTGGGGATCGATCTGCTTCTGCCACATCAGATTTAGAAGAGCTCTTGCCGTCAGAGGCAGAGGCTCCGACGAGCTCGCGTTCTCCGCCCAGGCCGGCGTCATTGGCTCGTACTTTGGTGTGCTGCTCAACGTGCTCATTCTGATTGCGCAGTTCTGGATCGCGCTGTTCCCGGTGGGCGGCTCGCCTAACGCTTCCGCCTTCTTCCAGGCCTACCTGACCGTGCCCGTGCTGATTGCGTTCTACGTCTTCTACATTATCTGGAAACGGACGTTCATCATCTACCTGCGCGCAAAAGACATCGACGTCGACACCGGAAGAAGAGACTTCGACCTCGACCTCATCAGACAGGAGATCGCCGAGGAGAAGGCGTACATGGCCTCCAAGCCGTTCTACTACAGAGCCTACAAGTTCTGGTGTTAGGACCCCCTCGTCTATATCTTATGTAATCTAAATCATTGCTTGCCTCTTTTGCCGTGGATAAGGCACTAAAAAAACGCAGCTATTATTTTTCGAAAAAATCCTCGCGCCGCACGCCAAAAGAAATTCCGTGCCACACAGGAAAACCGCGCCAGCTCAGTCACTATCTCGTTTCTGTCTCAGGCACCGCCGCCTATCCTACAGTAGCGCCATATGATCGTGGTTTAGGGCTTTCTGCGAACGTCTACGTCCATTTCCCGCCGTTATCGGCCCACTCTAGCTGCGACCGTTTACCGCGAAGAGAGTTACTTTATGCAGTAATCTGCCAATAGATTTTTTCATCGCTCGCCTGCAGCCCTCGGCATTGACGTAACCCGATCTGGCGACGTTAAAACGAAGAAACTCAGAGTCATACTTTTTCTTCCACTTCTTTCATGCTCAAAGACACAGAGAAAGGCCACTTTTCTTCGTCCGAGCCGTCCGCGCACTCGGACTCTGCCTCCGGCGCCGTCGAGGAGACCTTCCCGATGGCCAGCAGATGGAACAGGTTCATCGACTCTTTCAAGCCGTTTCCCGTCGCCGAGATCGACCCCAATCTCTCCGAGATCGAGCGCGCCAACATCATGGCCGCTGCGTCTCCGTTGCAGAGGTCTCTCAAGTCCCGTCATATCCAGATGATCAGCATTGGAGGCGCCATCGGAACGGGGCTGTTTGTTGGTTCTGGCTCCGCGCTCTCGTCTGGCGGCCCCGCCTCTCTTCTCATCGCATACTTCATTGTCGGCATCCTCATTTTCTGCACCGTCCACGCCATGGGCGAGCTGGCTGTCACGTTCCCTGTCTCGGGCTCGTTTTTGCAGTACAACACCAGATTTATTTCTCCCTCGTGGGGCTTTGCGATGGCCTGGAACTACGCCATGCAGTGGATCGTGGTGATGCCGATCGAGCTCGTCGCCGCCTCCATCACCATCCAGTTCTGGAACGACACCATTAGTCCCGCGGCCTGGGTGGCTATTTTCTACGTTGCTATCGTGTTCATCAACTTTTTCGGAGTCAAGGGCTACGGCGAGGCCGAGTTCGTGTTCTCCTTCATCAAGGTCATCGCCGTCGTGGGCTTTGTTATTCTGTCGGTCGTGCTTGTTTCCGGCGGAGGCCCCAAACACGAGGTGATTGGTGCTCGCTACTGGCACGATCCGGGACCTTTCCACAACGGCTTCAAGGGCCTGTGTACCGTGTTTGTCACTGGTGCGTTCAGTTTCAGCGGCACCGAGCTGGCAGGCCTCACCGCCGCAGAGGCCGCCGACCCAAGAAAAACCCTGCCGAGAGCCACCAAACAGGTGTTCTGGAGAATCACGCTTTTCTACATGTGCTCGCTCACAATGGTCGGCTTCTTGGTCCCCTACAACGACGACAGGCTGCTTGGCGCGTCCACCGACGCCGCCTCCTCGCCGTTCGTCATTGCCATCAAGGACAACGGCATCAAGGTGCTCCCTAGCATCATGAACGTCGTTGTCCTCATTGCCGTGCTTTCTGTCGGAAACTCCGGTGTCTACGCCAGCAGCAGAACGCTTGCCTCGCTCGCAGAACAGGGCTTTGCGCCAAAGATCCTTGGCTACATCGACAGACAGGGAAGACCGCTCGTTGCCATCTGTTTGACCCTCGCGGTCGGCTTGCTCTGCTTCCTTGCTGCGTCGCCTAAAGAATCCGACATTTTTGCCTGGCTCATGGCTCTCTCGGGTCTCTCGTCCATCTTCACGTGGTGGTCGATTTGCCTGTGCCACGTGCGGTTCAGAAAAGCGCTCTCCGTGAGAGGCAGGGGCACCGACGAGCTCACCTTCACGAGCGCGGTCGGCGTCTGGGGATCGATGGCGGGCGTGATCCTCAACTTCCTCGTGCTTGTTTCCCAGTTCTGGACAGCGCTGTACCCTGCCGGCGAGTCGCCCAACGCGTCTGCCTTTTTCCAGGCGTACCTAACGGTGCCCGTGGTGATTGTCTTTTACACTTTCCACGCTATCTGGAAAAGGAAGGAATACGTCCTTTTCATCAGATCCAAGGACATCGACATCGACACAGGCCGTCGCGACGCCGACCTCGAGGTCCTCAAGGCCGAGATCGCCGAGGAAAAGGCCTTTTTGCGGTCGCAACCGTTCTACTACAGACTGTACCGGTTCTGGTGTTGAGGTGTGCAAATTCTCCGGATCGCGGACACGGATATCCGGCGCCGTGTCCGCGCAGAGCAACAGAAATAGAGAGGTCCGTGGCCGCGCGTGGGGGCCATCCTGCCCAGCCACGGACCATAGACGCTATGTATGCCCATATAGTACGCCTTTTGCAAGCTGACGTCTGTAGCTCCTCCTATTGGTCCGCACGCTGGTTTTCGGCCCCGGCCCCAAAAAAGTAAAGGTCGTGCAAACGGCAACCCAGCTTAAAATAATTAATCAATTCGCTTCTGTTGTTCCACTTTTAACTCAGTATGCTTTCCATCGCTCGCCAATCGGTCTCCGCGGTTCCAAGACGCCAGCTCATGGGCGCCGCCCTTGGCGTCAGAAGCCTCGTCACCATCAAGGCCACGCCTGCCGAAGAGCAGGCCATCCTTGTCGCACAGAGAAAAAACAGACCTTCGTCTCCACACCTGCAGATCTACCAACCACAGCTGACGTGGATCCTGTCGTCGTTCCACAGAATCACCGGCGTGGGCCTCGCCGCAGGCTTCTACGCTGTCACCTGCACTTACGCGTTCACAAGCCTGGCCGGCGTGCCCTTCGACACGGCCACCCTGGTGTCGGTTGTTGCCGGTCTGCCGGTGGCCGCCAAAGTGGGCCTCAAGGCAGCAGCATCGTTCCCCTTCGCATTCCACGTGGCCAACGGAGTCAGACACCTGATCTGGGACTTTGGCAAGGAGCTCTCGCTCAAGGGCGTGTACAGAACCGGATACGTCGTGCTCGGGTTCACCGCCCTGGTCGGCACATACCTCACTTTGCTCTAAATAGTCAATAACATCCATTAAGTTTATTCGTACATCATGAAATCGTTGCCGAACTTGAACTCGTCTGCCGCGGCCGGCGGCTCCAGAGCCAGCAGGTCGACGTCGTCGAAGGCGCGGCCCATCCACTCGCTCGTCAGGTCGCTCAGCTCGCCGCACACACAGCTGCCCGAAGCGGGACAAACGCCGCACGGATGCAGCTGTTTCTGCAGCTGTTTCTGCGCCTGTTCCTGGCGCTGCTTCTCCAGCAGCAGCTGTTTCTGCCGCATCTGCTCGGCCAGCAACAGCTGCGCCTTCTGGCTCACCTCGTCGGCCTTGCTCTCGGGCTTTTTCTTGCTCCTTGCGGTGCTCAGCAATATGTCCTTCGACGACACGGCGAGCTCCGAAAGCGGGCCGATGCCCACGCCCACCACGCCGGGACTCTTCCTCTTTGAATCTGCGCTCTTTTTCACCCGCTTGCTCTCCAGATTGTAGCTGAGATTGATCGGGTCGATCGTCGTGGCCTCGTCCAGCTCCGGCACCGAGGGCGTTCGGCTCATCAGCGTCTCTGCCAGCGCCCCGTCGTTCTTCACAATCCTCAAATTGTTGATCTCCTTATTCAGCTTCGCCAGTATCTTCTTCAGGTTGTCGTTCTCCTTCGTCACGTTCTGCAGCTGCACCTTCAAATCCAGCTGGTTGTTCGTGTAAAGATTGATGTTCGAGTGTATCTGCGAGTTCACCTTCGGCGTGTCTGGCTTGTCGTTCTTTTTCACGTGCTTTGTCTCCGCTACCGCCTTCTGTGCTTTCCCCTTCTTGATTTTCGGCCGGGGGGGAAGAATCCAGTTTTTCGAGGTGGTCAGCACGATCTCTTCCGAGCCCTTGTTGGCCACCATCGACGCGCCCTTCGCCATCTGCACTGCCTTCGGCGTCCCGCCGGTCCCTGGAGCGCCAGCCTTGGCCGTCGGCTTGGGCTTGATAGCTATCGGATGCAAGGGCACCCGCGTGCTTGCCGGCACTTGCTGCTTGTCGTTCCCCAAAGGTTCCTCTCCGCTGTGAGCCATCTTATCTCGCGCCCATAGACTTCGTGCTAGCTGTGTACGTTTTGCTTTAGCGACCTATCTTAATGCTCTTCCGCGACTTCCTTCGAGTAATTTTTCTTATTTATTACAGCTACTTCTAATTAATCTGGTTACTCCTCGCACCAGATCACAGCACCCCTCGAGTCAGGCCCTGGCCAGAAATTTCCAGCCGGTGATGTGTAGGCGGGCGGTGATCCAGACGGCACAGGCTATTGCTGCCAGTGACCCTGTGTAGGCGACAAAGTGCTGGTAGGACGCGACCGACTGTTTGCCGATAATGGCACCGCCCGCCGTGAGCCCGCCCAAGAACAGCACCCCTATCACAAACGAGAGTGTCGCGTATCTTTTGCCGAAATCTTTTGTCGGCGAGACGGCTGCGCAGCAGGCCGGGGTCAGACTCAGCGCCGAGGAGCTGAAGAACCCGTAGATCGTGGCAAACGTGTACAGCGAGGCCAGGCTTTTCGACGTGGTTGCGTAGCCGAGCCACAGGGCGAGGTCCGAGAGCGCGATTCCCGCAGACATGACGATCATCACGTTGAACGGCCCGATCTTGTCGGCGATGACGCCCGGGATGAAGCGGCCGGCAAAGCCTATAGCGTTGACGATGGTCAGCATCATGTTTCCCTGTGTTTCCGTGTAGCCAATGTACACTATAAAGGAGGCATAGTAAGTCAGGGAGCACACGAGCGACACTTCGGTGAACGCTCCGCCAAGCGTGCAAAACAGGTACTTTGGGTCTTTGAGGGCCTTGAAGTCGATCGACCGCTTGCTCATGAAGTAGACGTTCTTGATCACGAGCTTGATTTTCTTTCCAAGAGGCAGCTGCGAGTCTGTGAACGGCGACTCGGGCCGCAGTCTTTCTTTGCTCAGGGTGAAGGAGACGACAAGCAGGCCGGAGCAGATAAAGGCAAGGATTCGCATGGTCCACTTGAAGCCGACCGTCGTGTACAGCTTGTTGAGAATCAGCGGGAACACCACGCCGCCCACGGACCCGCCGAGGGTGGCAATTGCAAACGCACGGGCCCGCTTTTTCATGAAATAGTGCGACACCACCCCTCCGAGCGGCGACATCAGGAAGCCGAGCGCTGTGCCGGCAATGACACCAAACACAAGCACAAAAGCAGCCACCGACTCGCACTCGCCCGTGAGAAAAAGCCCTAAAAAGAGCAGGATGGTCCCGGTGACCATCGGGATGCGACTGCCGAACTCGTCAAACAGCACGCCGGAAAAAATGCCAGCAACGTAGCTGATCGACAGAAAGATGGAAAAGATGAGCGATGAGATGGACGACGACACGTTCTGCAGCTGGTGGTTATTTAAATATGACTGCACGGCTCCAACAGAGTTGATAAGCCCAAAATTGACGGTAAATCCCAGAAATGCGCCAAAGAGCACCGTGTACGCCTTGACACCGCCGTCTGGGTACTCGATTTCGTCCTCGTCCACAGAGACCGACTCGACGGACAGGGTGCGGCGGCGCAGCTCGATGGTGTCGGAGCCAAAGCGCTCAGAGCCTTGGGTGGTGGGTTTAGTCATTAGATAAAGAGTAAAAGACGATCGACGCAGATATTCTGGTACGTACCGGTTGTGTGCCCCGGCAGCGCTGTCCAATGACGGTGCGAAAAAAAATTAGAGAAGACACCTTGTTTTCCCTTAACTCCCCTGTGTGACAGCAATAGTGAATCAGTATGAAGTTTATGGGTGTTAAAGTGTACCGTTTCCCGCTGGTGAAGTACTACTGGCCGTTTTTCGTCGGATGTAAGTAGCAATTGCACGAGTTCTAACAGTTCCAGTCGGCCTGACTTTCTACGGAGTCGCCAAGATCCAGAATGCCATGATGGACACTGCTGAGTTCATCAACGACCCAAGACACCCAAGATTCAAGAAGGGCGACTTGGAGAAGAAATAGAGACATAGAACCGATTTACAGCTATGAATACGATGTCCAATGTTACTACACACGGTGCTGCTCTTCGGCAGTGTCGAGAGCCTCCTTCAGCGTGGCAAGCAGTTCCTGGGTCGGCTCCAGCCCGATGCTCAGTCTCACGAGGTTTCTGTCCACCCCCCATTGCTCAATCACGTCCAGTTCCTGGTAGTGGGCGAGGATCGAGTACGGACATATGAGTGTGAAGTTGGTTCCGAGAGACGGTCCCTTGGACAGCTTGACGTTGTTGAAGAAGCACACTGCGTCGGTCTGTTCCTTGAACACGATCGACATGAGTCCTCCGTAGCCGCCGTCTGGTTTTTTCAGCGCGTCGTAGTGTTTTTTCGACGGCATCGTCGACGGATAGTACACTCTCTCGAGCAGCGGCGATTGTTCGAAAAATTCCAGCACCTGCACCGCGTTGTTGTTGATCTTCTTGGACCGCGCCTCGAAGTCTCTTGAGTTTCTCTCCAAGTAGATTGCGTCCTGGTCCCACAAATTATCCTCGAAATTCTCGGTGAGGTAATCCTTGAAAATATTGTAGTATCTCGAGGCCGGGTTCAGCACCAGCGACCCGCCCATCACGTTGGAGTCGCCGGAGAAAACCTTGGTCAGCGACGACGTGACGATGTCGCAGTGGCTGATAACGTCGATGTTGGTGATGTTGCCCACGGTGTCGTCCACAACGACCGCAAAGTCGTACTTGTCGGCCAGCTTCTTGATCCGGATCAGGTCCGGCGTCTTTAGCAGCGGGTTAGACGGACACTCGCAGAACAGCGACAGAATAGGCTCGCCTTCTTCCAGTCTCTTTTCCAGCGCGTCCAGCGAGTTGTCGTCGCCAAACCCGTAGAAGTGGACGCCGGCCCCCCATTTCTTGAGAATGTTCAGCGTGTCGACGTACGGGAACCCGAAACAAACGGATTTCTGGTCTCTTTTCTGCAACGTCTTGAGCAGCATCTGGTGGGCCAGAAAGATCGCATTCATGCCCGAACAGCACAGATACACGTTGTCGTCGCCGAGCTCCGGCGAGATGTGCGACGCGATTCTGTTTCTGAGGATCGCCTTGGCCTCCTTGGCGAACCGCAGGTCCAGGTTCCGGCCAAACCGCTCCTCCACAAACGTCGAGTACTCCTGGTTGTTCTGGAGCGACGAGATCGACGACCGCGAGTTTCTGCCCGAGGACGGCCGGCGGCCCTTTGCTGCCGTCGACTCCAGCTTCTCGCCCATCTCGTTCAGCACGTACTCGCCGAGCCGCGACGACACGCCCTCGCCGGCGTGCTGCCAGTATGCCTTCGCGAGCGAGAACTCGGACCCGGGGAAAAACACCACCGCGATCTGCGCCTCCACCTTGTACGATTTTTCCTCGTCCGTCTTAGGGGCCTCTGTGCTGAGCTGAAGAATACGGACGGGACAGTTGGGCAGCAGAGACTTCGCCCTGATGAACTCCCTGCACCGCTTGGCGACCTGGTACGACGGGAAGATCATCGACTTTTCGTTTTCCTTGGCATAGTTGAGCTCCAGCAGCCGTGAAAGCTCCTTCACTTTATTGTGCACGAAAAAGCGAGGGTAGCCCGAATGCATCTGGTTGACGACCCAGTCCTGGCCCTCCTCGTAGCCGACGGTGGCTTCCCACGTCGGCAGGGTCACAGACACGGCGTGCTCGGTGTTGTTGGGGATCGGTGCCCCGATGGTTTGCGAAACAGGCATAATTTTGAAAAAGGTTACGAGCGATTGAGTAATAAATTGTAGAGGAGGACGGAGCAGGATGGGGCAGCGGCGGCGACGGACGCGGCGACGCGCCGGGAAGGCGTGTCTGCACAGACCGGACTGCTCAGGCTCTAGACAGGTTTTTGGGCTCAAAAGGCCAAATATCTGCCCTCCTACTCTCCTGCTCCCCTGCTCGCCCCTGTTCTGCCCTGGCTATTTATTTTTTTTTGGTTTCCTGCTTTTTCGTCCCTCCATGTCCACATGGAAATCCAAGCAAAACGTCGGTTTGCCGTTGTATTATAAAGACAAGCTTCAGCGAGACTCCTCGGCCTGGAACAGGTGCAAGGACGTCTGGCGCAACCGCACACACAAACAGCGATTGGGGGCAAACATCGTCCTTTTCCTTGTTGGATCGTATGTCCTTCTGACGACGTTTGTGTTCCGCAAAAAGACCGCCAATGTGTGGGCGGCCCGTCGCGACCAGGTCCGCACGGTGTTTCTGGAGAGCTGGCACGATTACGCGCGTCACGGCTGGGGCAAAGACGTCTACAGACCGATCTCTCAAACAGGCAAGAACATGGGAAAACAGCCCCTGGGGTGGATCATCGTGGACTCGCTCGACACGCTGATGCTGATGAAGTGCGACGAGGAGCTGCGCGAGGCCCGCACGTGGGTCAAGCACGAGCTCGACTACGACTTCGACTACAACGTCAACACTTTCGAGACCACCATCAGAATGCTAGGTGGCCTTTTGTCGGCCCACTATCTAAGCGAGGACGACGTGTATCTGGAACAGGCTGCGCGGCTGGGCAACAAGCTGATTGGCGCGTTTGGCTCGAAAAAGGGCATTCCGTACGCGTCGGTCAACCTCAAGTCCGGCAAGGGCATCCCCAGCCACGTCGACAGGGGAGCCAGCTCGACGGCAGAGGCCACGAGCGTGCAATTGGAGTTCAAGTATCTGGCGCAGTTGACTGGTGAGGAATTGTACTGGCGGGCGGCCGAACAGGTCATGAAGTCGCTGGACGAGGCAGACCCAGCAGACGGTCTCGTGCCGATCTACATCCAGCCAGAAACGGCGAAATTCCAGGGCAACTTGATCAGACTGGGCTCCCGCGGCGACTCGTACTACGAGTATCTTCTCAAACAGTACCTGCAGACCAGAGAGCAGGTGTATCTCGAAATGTATCTCGAGACGGTTGCCGGTATCCGCAAACACCTTGTGCGCTACTCGAAGCCAAATAATCTAATGTTCATAGGAGAGTTGGAGCGCGGCATCGGTGGCCCGCTGAGCACCAAAATGGACCATCTGGTGTGTTTTGCCGGGGGCATGTTCGCTATAGGGGCCACCGAGGGACTGGAATACGAAACAGCAAGAAAACTGTCCACCTGGACAGACGAAAAAGAACAGCAGATGACCATGGCCAAGGAGCTCACACACACGTGCTACAGAATGTACCACGACGTGCCTGCCACGGGGCTTGCGCCGGAGATTGTTGTGTTCAAACAGGATGCAAATAGCGACAAGGACTTCTACATCAAGCCTGCCGACAAACACAACCTGCAGCGTCCAGAAACCGTCGAGTCGCTTTATTACTTGTACAAAATCACCGGCGACGTCAAGTACAGAGAATGGGGCTGGGAGATATTCGAGAACTTTGTCAAGCACACCAAGGTGACGTCTGGAGGCAAGGACAGCAAGCCTAGATACACGAGTCTGGACGACGTGACGGTGAACCCGCCAAAAATGCGCGACAACATGGAATCTTTCTGGCTCAGCGAGACCCTGAAGTACCTGTATCTGCTGTTTGACGACGAGACCGATCCAAAATGGGATCTGGAGAACATGGTTCTCAACACCGAGGCACATCCGTTCCCGCGGTACGCCAAGGCGCCATTTGCCACTGGATGGAGACGACAGGGGAAGCTCGAGAGCGCAGAGCCAGAGAAGAAAGAGACTCCGCCGCAGGAGGTGGACGTTGGCGCCGCAGACGCAGACCTTGATGTTTCGGAGGCGAAACTTAAAGCTTCTCGCGACAACGAGGCTGTGGCAGAGGCGCTCAAGCAGAAGGGAGAGTTGCCCGTGGCAAAACAGCCTGTTGCCAAGCCGCTGAACGAGCAAGTCGATAGCGTGAAGGAAGAGCTTGTGAAACAAGGCTGATGTATAGCTATCGGAACAGTGTTCAGATGTTATTTGGTTTCGGTCTCTACTTTGACCTCGATCTTTTGCTTCTTGGCCACCTTGGCAATAGTAGCCTGGCCCTTGGCCCGTTTGGCTGGTTTTTTCTCCTTCTTCTTTTCGAATTTGGCCAGCTGCTCTTTTCTCTCCTTTTCGCCCAATTTCTGCAGTTCAATGCTCTTTTCCAGCACCTCCTTGTCGTCTCTGGACTTTCCCACCAGCCACTCCAGTAGCTTGATATCCTCGCCAAACGCAGAGTCGTCTTTGGGCTCTACGGGGACCTCGAGGATGAGCGGGATGCCTTCGAGTCGCGGGTCGTTTGCGAGCAGTCTAAAGCACTCGAGTCCCAGAAACCCCCATCCCAGCCGCTGGTGCAGGTCTCTGTTGGCTCCCAACGGCGCCTTGGAGTCGTTGATGTGCAGCGCACTTAAATACTGGAACCCGATCTTGGCGTCGAACTCGTCCCAGAACTTGGTCCATGCTGCTTCGTCGCGCAGGTCGTAGCCGGCCGCAAACGTGTGGCACGTGTCTATGCAGACGCCGACGCGCTCTTTTTTCTCGATCATCGAGATCACCTTTTGAATGTCTTCGAGCTCTCCTCCAACCAGGTTTCCATGGCCCGCCATGTTCTCGATGACTATCTTGACGAAACTGGTCTGCTCGATGGCCTTGTTGATGTTTGCGGCCAGCCGTTTGAGCGACTCCTCGTGGTCGGACCCCAGCGACGAGCCGGGATGGAAATTGTAGTGGCCGATGTCCAGCTTCTCGCAGCGCACGAGATCGTCTAGGAAACACTCCAGAGACTGCTGAGCTTTGGCCGGGTCCGGGTTTGCCATGTTGATGAAGTACGACCCGTGCGGCAGCACGTCTGTGCGCGGATTGAAGCCGTGGTCCTTGCAGAACTCCACAAACTTGGACGCGTCCTCGTCGCTGAACATCGGCGACACCCACCGTTTCGGGTTTTTCAGAAACAGCGCAAACGAATTGCAGCCGACGTTCATGGCGTTCGTCACGGCGTTGAAGATCCCGCCGCCCATGCCCACATGGGCGCCGAATTTGTGTTTGAAGCCTGTCTCCCGAATAAACTTGAAAGACATTAGTCTGAAATATTTTTCAGCTACTTTTTTTTTCTCCTGATCTGCTTGAGCGGCTCGGCAAACGTCCAGGCCGAGTAGCTGCAAATCGAGTTGGCGATGTGGACGCGCCGCAGAGCCATCGTGTACGTCTTGTTGACGGCCTGTATCGTGTGGAACTTGATATGCTCCTGCGTGCGTGCCTCGAGCTCGTCAAACCCATAGAACCGCAAGATCGCGTCGGTGTTCTCGAAATCGACCGCGTACTGCTCCGAGCCGTCCTCCGACGATATGTACACCTTGAAATCGTCGATAATCACTAGCTCGTTCTTTGTATTCTGCGCCAGCAGCGGCAGCTGCGGAGGAACATAGCCGATGATCTGTGCCGACACGAGAACGACATCTGCGTCTGTCGAGTCGAGCTGCGACAGCCGCACTTGCGGACATTTGGAGAAGTCCTGCACAGCCTTTGGGGCAGTCACGAGGTCCAGCACCTCGTTGGTGTCGACGAAATCGGGCGTGTGCGGTTTCAGAGACTGCACGGCCCGTTTGCTCTCCGGGTTCTCCTTTTGCGAGTTTGCGGGCTCCAGTTTTCGCTTGGCGCTCAGCAGCTCTGACAGCTTGTACCGCTCTTCCATTGATTCGCGCAGACTTTTGGGAACGTGCTGTTGCACGCGCTTGAGAAAATCGCGTAGATTGGCGTCAGACGGCAGCTCTTGCCTGATAATGTTGGGCGTGAGCAGCTTCAATCGCGTTTTCTTCATCTCTATCTCGTTTCTGTAGCTGTGGAGATACCCGTCCAGCTGCACCAGCACCATTCGCTCGTATGGCAGATCGCACGGATTGAGACCTGGGTCGGGGTAGTCTGCCGTCTGGCGCAACTGACCCAGGATCCGCTCGAACTTTTCCTGATGCATTTCTGCGCCGAGTATCATGGTGCTGGTGGCGACCTGGCCGGACTTTAGTCTGAGTCGGTCGTCATAGAGCCCTCTTTTCACGAGATCCATGGACGTGGTGAAATCCATTGCCTCGAGCAGAATGAACTGAGATCGCTCGAGTCGACGGTAGCTACACAGCACCGCGTTCAGGGTCCTGTACTGGCCAATAAACGGCGCGTCTATTTGCAGGTCCTCGATTTTAATTGACATTCAATGTAAATAAATAAAAAAATATTCAGATATTTAATCTATGAAATCAAAGACGTTTAAGCCTTCCAGAAAATCCAAGGCAAAAGAAGACACACCGCCAAATTCTGCTGAAAGCCTGTACATCCAGGCCACCGAGGAGGAAGGGTTTGGCGACAGATGGCTGGCCTCGGACCTCGCTAAGGCTTTGAGGTTCTACCAGAGAGCATACTCTTTATACCTCGAATCGCTGCAATTGCAGACGGATTACTTGGACTCGCGATACAACGTGTCGCGGCTGCTGTTTTTCGTGTATGACAGATACGTTAAGAACGAGGCTGTTGTTCTGGACGAACTGGAAAACTGCTCAGAGGCCTTGACAGGCACAGCAAGCAGTGTGGTGAGACCGCTGAGAGACATCATCCAGGTGTTCCAGGAGTCGATCCAGATCTCCCGCACGGCAGCAGACTTTCCGTGGGATTTGTATTACAACGCCGTGTTGTGTTTTTTCGAGTACATCGAGGAGCTAGTGAAGAATGGAGATAGTTTCAGTGAGCTCGTATCCTGCGGTGAAGAGTGTCTGGGGCTGCTCAGGAAAGTGCTTGGACACCAAATGACAGAGCTTGCTGCACTCACTAGTCCCGAGGAAACGCAAGTTGTTGCCCAAGAGCACGAATACGAAACACAGCAAGAGGCAATAGTTCCACCCACTGTTCTCGAGACCTGCGTCACAGGATACAGAATCATCGCGACGTTGTATGAAGGGGCCGTTTCTGAGGATGAAAGAGCGCTCGTGGAGCTGAAATTTGCAGACGCCGCGCAAGAACTCGAAAAAATGGTGTCTGCTCTAGTCGAGCAATATTCTGCTCCGGTCAACGACTTCATTCCGCCATTGTCTTCTGACGACCTTGGGCAGCTTCAGCTCACAAAGCTGTGTTACGAGGCTGCAAAAGCCGACAGTTTCGACACGTTATTTGATATATGGCGCGGCTCCCAATCGGTAGAAAAGCTTCTTCTCGAAAACGAGTCCTACAGAACACTTCTGGCGAAAAAGGACCATATACCTGCTGCCGCGCGCTGGACCGTGCTCTCGTCAATCAGCAACCGCTACAAGGAGGCCTTCGAGCTTCTAAAGCAAGAATACAATCAGCTGAGAAAAACTGCCACCAATTCGCAGCTAGGTAGCAAGCTCGCCCAGATGTGCTCTATTTTGATCGAGAGAGCAGACGTCGATCTGGAGCGGTCACAGACACCCACGCTTGAGGACAAGACGCGAAGTTTGCTTGCCACAAACGCTAACAAACTGCTGAGAAACGCAATCACGTATTCGCAGCAGTCGGGTGGCCTGAGAGAGAGCGTGCTCGAGAAACTGGCTAGAAGGAAGAAACTGAAGGAGGCCTCTACGCGACTGTGCATTTTGGAGGGTAAGACGTCGATCGAGGAGCTGGACAAGATAGTAGGACGGCCGTTTTGGCCCCAGGAGTTGCATGAGCTTGGGGACTTGGGGATATATAACGTGGATTCGCTGGAACGGGCAATATAGGGTACAATTGGGCAGCCATCTGAAGAGAAACTAGAAATTTATCTATAATAGTCCGTCATATACTTGGACGCTCAGAATGACATATCAAGCATACCTCAAGCTGTGTAACATCATATCAGTCGGTGTACTTATCGAATCTCGAGTGAAAATCAATCAAGATAGCAGGAATGCACTCATTGAGCCTGGTGCTGTTTCATGCTGTCCAGAGTTCAAGTGAATAGGTTCAATTGAGCAGACAGCAAACTACCGCCCTTAGTAAGCTCTGCCTAATATATTATAGCCCGGTGCTAATTTATTTTGACGTCAAATTATTTTTCCTCGTTATCATGTTTATAGGGAGACAGAGAGAGTCCGCATTGCCACTTGACTGCTCCAAGAACAAACGCAATTCCGACTACAAGCTGCCTCTAGACGTCCTCCCCCCAAAGGTGCTCAATTGTGTTTTTAAGTACCTCGACATACCCGATTTGCGATCTCTTGCCTGTCTGGGGGACCCCTTCTCCACGGCAACAAGACCCTTAATCTACCGGTCCATAGTGTACTCAGAGAAAATAGACGAGAGAGTCGACACGAAGATCTGCAATCACAACAGATACCTGCACCTGGTGTACACACTCATCGAGAACCCGGAATGGGCCAAATATGTGTATCACGTCAGACTGGAAGATCCAATCAGACAAAGGGGCAAAATATGGACTGTCAAACTGGACGAGGTGCTCCGCGAAGACGAGCTACGGCTGATGGAGGGCTTGGCCAACAAGACACTGCTGGACTCGTTGGTTTGCCTTATGGATCTCGCAACAAATTTGCAGTCGCTGCATGTGCCGACACTAACCATCAAACAGCTGTCGCTGCTGAATTTGTCGTCTGTTAAGGAGTTGACAATTTCGATCGGCGAAGTAGACACCATTGACGACTTTGTTGGTATTGACTTGCGGAACCTCACCAGTTTCTGCATTCTTTTTGAGAAAAACACAGATTCGCTTCTCGCCAAGCTGTCCAAGCATCTACAAGAAGCTGGTGTCCTGGAGAAACTTGAGGTCCTTGAGCTCAATTACCAGCAACGAGAGTTCAATGAGTCGCTCTCTTCAACCTGGTACGCTTTCTTCCATCCCCATGTCGAACAGGTTCTACCAAACCTACGAAAATTGGTTCTGGACCATTGTCAGATCGGCAGCAAGCACGAGTTTTTTTCCAGACGGTTGGTTCAGACCGTTCCGCTAGAACAACTAGAATCGCTCACGCTCGGAGTTTACGAGTCGTCGCACAAAGGCTTGAAACACGGCTCCGAAACACATCCAACATTTCTCAATCACATCGCTCCGCAGTTCCATAGCCTACGCCGCCTAATTCTTAAACCTTCAGGAAACTGTCTTCTGTGCCAGGTGAGGTCCGTCATAAGCTTTCTTCATTGTTATCCTCATCTACACGAGTTATGTCTCTTTACAAACACGCTGAATTCCATGAACCGCCAGGATCTCGCCGCAGCGCTGGCGGGCTGCACAGAACTGCGCAAGCTTGCACTTTTTGACGAAGCGATCCACATGAAACTGGTCAACCATCTCAAACGGTGGTTTATCTACGAGAACCTGGTCAAGTTCAAGACGTACAATCATTTCGAGTGCGAGATATTGCAGCAGGTGGAAAATCTGCAGTTCGAACGATACGTCAGCACGTCGTTCGAGGCGTTTAACACAGCTAACTCGAGCCTCATGATACTTTTCTGGCGAACGTTCCTGCCACACGTCAAGGCCGACACCCTGGTGAGGGGCCTGAGCGCGGACGAGTTCAAACTGTATGGCTACAACTTCCGGACCCACCGCGACCAAAATCTGATCCAGATATACACCGGTTCTAAATTTGGATACCGAAATCTGCTCTACTACTAAGCGACGCTTAACAGCTCCGATTATGCGGCATTGCTTTTTTTTTTTTTTTCCGCCCCTGCAACTATGCATCATATGAGGTACGCATCAAACGGTAGCACCAATTAGGAACGAGGCGGTGCGGCGTAAGGACACTCTACACTTTCGAAACTTTCGAATTTCCCACAAGTCAGCATGTTTAGAGTCCAGGTTGTGTTGCTGGTCAGCGCTGGGCTGCTAGTCGGGTCCGTTCTGACGCTGCTACATCCCAAGGTCGAGATCGTCAAGGACAGAAATCTGTACGAGGAGGCTTATCTGCAGAGTCCCGAGTATCTGAACAACACACCGTTCTCCGTCGGGTCGAATCCCTTCGACGCCGACGTGACAACGAGACGGATCATGGAGGCGTTCCCTTACGTTGCCAACTACAGCGAGCCGATCGAGAAGAACATCCTGCAGATGTGGAAGGTTGGCCCTGAAGACCCAGAATTCCCGTACCGACCGGAGTTTGACAGCTGGACAGAGATGAACCCGGGCTACAACCACGTCCACTACACCAACGCGAAGCTGGGCGAGTACGTGCTGAGCGTGTTCAACGAAACGGTGCCGGAGGTGGCCGAGACACTCAAGCAATTTCCGAAGCTGATTCTGGAGTCTGACTTTACACGATACGCCTGGATCTTCCTGAACGGAGGAGTGTACGCGGATCTGGACACAGAGTGCACAGAGCCGATCGACAACTGGCCCGACGCGCACGACCGGTCCATCCACGCGCTGATCGCCATGGAGAGCGACTACAACATCCCCGAGTGGGACGAGATGAACACCGGCCGGTTGCAGTTTGAGAACTGGGGCTTCAAATTCAAGAAACACCACCCGGCCCTGGCAAGAACCATCGCCAACGTGGTCAAACTGACGTTCAATCAGCAGGCGTGCCGGAAATTCGAGGACAAGTTCAAGCACATGGGGCTGGACAGTTGTCATCCGCTCGGGGTGATCGAGTGGACCGGTCCGGGCGTGTTTACGCAGTCGATGGTGGACTTTTTCAACAAGGAGAAGCGGCTGGAGATAAGAGACTTCGATTTCTACCGAACGAAAAAGGAGATCTTTGGGCCAGAGACTGACGACTTTGTGAGCTACAGAACGTTCACGGGAATCGAGTCGCCGCTCATCCTGAACGACGTGTGCGTTCTGCCGCCGCGCGGCTTCCAGTGCCAGGACGAGATGATCGGCAAGTACTGCTACATGAAGCACAAGTACTACGGAGGATGGAAAAATGAATGATGTATGCAGCTGTATAAACTATATTTCATTTAGCTTTCTCGCATAGTACAGCGACGCGTAGCCCCTGGAGATGGAGTTGTCGTTGTCGTACTGGAGGCCGCCGGTGGCATCGTTGAGGTCCAGCAGGCCGTTGAACGAGATTGGCGGCAGGATGACGGTGGAGTCGATTTGCACAGGCCCCACGGCCATGGAGAAGGTTTTGTAGGAGAACTTTGAGTTCTTCGGCACCTCCGGCCCGTAGACGGGCATGTTCTGCTTTTCTGTGCGGCCGACGCTGTCCTTTTTCGTAGCGGACGCCTCGTTCGGGAACAGGTACGCCTGTTCCTCCTTGAACACGGAGGACACGAGTTTCCAGTCCTGCGAATTTAGATATTCAAACAGAACGTCTGTAAACATGGAAGGTCCGGTGAACGAGGCGACGGGCTCGGACGCAGCGTCCAGCGCAGACAGCCGGTCTTCCCAGTTGGCTGCCTGGATTTTTGCCTTATTTTTGTGCACGTAGTCGACGATCCGACCGATCAGCTTTGCGAGGAACGGATGGTGTTTCTTCGCCACGAAAATGTGCGTCCCGAACGTGAGCCGTCTGTTGTAAAGGTCGGCCCAGTTCTCGGTGTTGTGGTCCGTCTGGACACCCACCAGCAGCTGTGTGTTGAGCACTCTGGGCTCAAACCAGTGTCTGACGGGCTTGAAGATGTCTGTGTCGATATCTGCGTAGAGCCCGCCTTCGCAGTAGATCAGGAGGTATTTGAGAAACTCGTGCTGGAGCTTTTCGTGCGGCAGCAGGTCCAGCGCCCGGAGCACTTCTGGCTCGTTTTCGAAACACACGTCGACCCGTTTTCTTACAGCCAGCGTGCCGAGGAATCGGTGGGCGTAGTCTGGGGCGTTGATGTCTCGCCAGCGCTCGACAAACGGTTTCAGGTTCTCAGGAACAAGCTCGCCACGCTCCCAGAACTGCCAGATAGTGCGCTCCGCAGCCCCGTCGGAAAACGGGTGGTGCTGCAGCAGCTTGTGCTCTGTGGAAGCCAGCAGATCGACGGGCTTCGGGGCGGCCTTGAGGTACTGCGACGGCACGAGCACAACCAGCACGAACGAGAGAACAGACAAAAGTAGCGGCTTGGCCACAAACATGGTTTCAGAAGAAAAGGACAATATTATTTTACAAGCCTACTTTGCAGATCTTACAGCACAGCAGATGCATATTTCGGCAATAATAAATAGTCAGGGGCAGCAAAGCTAAAAAAAGTTACTAAAATCTCTTTAGCCGTATGAGAACCTCCCGACTGTACTCGAGACTCACCACGGCGAGCATAGTATTGGCCGTGATTCTGCTGCTGCAGCTCGGCGCATTCTACAGCAGAACGGCCGCGGCGGCCCCCAAGGTGTCTGCTGAGCCTCTGGACGAGATTACCCCCAAACGGGGCTTGACTCCGGCTGATCTGGAGGCGATCAAGACGTTTGAGGCAGCGCGTTTCAGCAAGGACCAGCAGAGACTCGCGGACGACCAGCAGTTGGACGTCTTACGCGTGTACGCTGCCCAGGAAAAAGAGCTCGAGGACCGGTATCTGGCCTCCTTGCGAGTGTACGAGGAGCTGGCGGAGCGCAAGCCGAACATCATCAAAATCTACTACACGAGAAAGGACATGCGCCACGGCTCGGCCACGGTGTTCCGCAAGCTGATGGAGGCGTTTTTGGACGTGGTTGACCGGAACAGCGTGGTGCTGGAGGACCAGGATTTGGAACTCGAGTGCAGCACGGAAATTGCAGACTTTTCTTCACTGGACGTGAAATATCCGGAGGAGTCGATCAAGAAGCTCTCCCGTGCCCACAAACAGGTGGCGGACGCCATCCCGGGCGGTAACCCGTTCCCAGACCTGTACAACCACAACGGCTACGTGATGCTGGGCGGAGGCTACCGCACATGGACGGCTCTGCTAGGAATCAAGGCCCTTAGACGCACGGGCAGCACGCTGCCGGTGGAGGTGTTTTTGCGCAGAAAAAGCGACTACAACCAGGCCATGTGCGAGAACGTGTTTCCGTCGCTGAATGCTCAGTGTGTGGTGCTTTCCGATAGATACGGCGACAGAATATCCCCGAGACTGGAATCCCTGGAGGACAAGGCTCTGGTGCCGTTTCTGCTGCTGGCGTCCTCCTACGAAAAGGTGTTCTGGATGGACTCGAACGTGTTTGCTGCGGTGTCGCCGGATGACATGTTTGAGAGCTGGCTGGGGACTCAGTACGGGTTTTTCAGCTGGAGAGGCAAGTACGCCACCACGCTGAACCCTGCATACTACGAGGTGGTCCGTCTGAACCCACGGACGCCAGAGTACACGATGGACGAGAGTGCGTTTTTGCTCGACAAACAGCAAAACTTCGAAAACCTGATGCTGGCCGCATACTACGAGCTGGAGGGAAAAAACAGTTTCCACAAGCTGTTCGGACAGGCAAAGTGCGGTGCAGGAAAACACGACTCGCTGAGCTACGCGACGCTTTTCTGCGACAGGCGCGAGTTCAGATCGCAGCTTCTGGACGACATGGGCGGGCTGCGGTTGCAACGCGACCCGATCGGAGAGTTTGAGAACATGTTTGAGGAGTATAGGCCGGTCCGTCCGATGTTGTACGAGGTCGACCCTGCTAGACTCAACCCGGAGGTGCTGACGACGCCCGGCCGGATTTTTGGTAGCCACGATCTCACCTACGACGTGGACATGCTTGTGCTGGAGACGATGGATTTGTATGTCTGCCACGCAAACGACCACATGTTCAAGAACGTGGGCACGTTCTGCAACGACTACGTGGAACAGCAGCGGAGATATCTGGTCGATCACGAGATAGCAATTGTCAACTCCAGCCCGCGCGGCTTGGTGGGCCGTCCCGACGATACCTCGGACGAGGTGAAGGACAGAGCGAACGCGGAGGTGATTTCAAAGCTGGTCGGCGTGGATAGACTGCCGGAGTGGGAGTGACGGGTGATTTATAGAGAATAACATAGATTAGCTAGTAGACAACCAGAGTGCTGATTTTAAACTGTTCTTATTCAATTTATTTGGGGATGAAATATTTTTTAGTATCTGCATCGATCTGGCTACATACATGATGAATTTTTATTTACAGATAATATCTATTTGCCATTTTTCTTGTCCACCTTTTCACCCTTTTCGCTCACCTGCGGAACCTTGTCAGCGTCGAGGATCTTCTTTATATCCTCCACCATCAGCTGGCTCGCAGCCTTGGTCCGCCAGCCAAACCCGTGCTCCTTCTTCAGCTGTGCATCCTTCTCTCTCTTCTTTTTCAGCAGATCGCCGTACATCTCGTCTATTTTCTTGCTTCTTTCCACGTAGTCGATGGTGTCGTCGCTGAACAGCAGATCAAACACGCGTCCGTCGCCCCAGAAAAATCCCTTTCTATCGATCAGCCATGGCGCGCGAGATCCCTTCTGGTTCAGCCAAAAGATGAAGATGGAGTCTCCAGTGCCGTAGAACCCGTCTCCCGTGTACACCTTGGCGTACTTGTTTTTGCGCAGATGGGACAGAGGCATCGTGTGGACCGGTGTAGGCTTGTATGGAAGCACAGGATGCGAGGTGAACCGCACAAACGGCTCCTTGGCATCACCACCGGGAAGATACCACATTCTGCGGACCAGTCGCGATGGAGCAAGCGCAAAACCCACTCCACACAGCGCCGTGAGGATTCCTGCTGCTGCAACGATCGACAAATGCATTCCCAAGCGCAGATTGTTATGCAGATCACTCAAATTGTTCTCGTTCTCCTCGTATATGTTCATGGCCATTTCGTGGCCAATAGAAAGGACGTTGATGCCGTAGATAAGGAAGACGAGACCAAAACAGTAGCAGAAGACAAAATAGAGTCTGTGGTTCTCGCTCTCGTATATGAGCTCTGGCTCATTTGATCGTTTCAATTGCGCATACATTTTTGCCAGAGGGTACTTGGAGGGCTCAGGCGCGTTGGGATGCGGCAAGAGAGACGGCATGGCCTCCTTCTCGAGCCTTAGTGACCGAGGAAGTCTGTCTGAGAGGTTATTTGTTTGTTTCGCCTGTCCGGGGATCCTTGCCGTGATCGTTTTCTCGAGATCCGGGGGCACGCTGTACATCCTGAGCAAAACACCTGGCCGCAAAACACGGCCGAACGCTGGCCGTGAAAGAATATTCCTGTGTATTCCAACAAGTATCATGAGGAGAAGAAAAATTAGTTGAATTTATTTTTCATGTCTTCGCACAAAAAGATAATTAATACCACCAAGACGTCCGACCGACGGGCCGCTGCCGGCACCAAGGCCACGCGGTACCTTCACACAAACCAGGAACTGAATATTGCCGACGACAGGAAAATCAACAACTCGCTCCAGTTGCTTCAGGACATTAAGCAGTCCTCCAAGTCCGATTGGGACCCTTCGCATTTCCGACTTTTTGTGGGCAATCTCGGCCAGGACGTTGATGAGGAGCTTCTGCTGCGCTCGTTAATAAAGTATCCCTCGGTATCGAAAGTGCAAGTTCCCAAAGACCACAAGAAGGGCGAAAATAAAGGGTACGGGTTCGTCTCGTTCAGCGATCCAGACGACTATCTACGGTGCTTCAAGGAGATGAACGGTAAATACATTGGGTCGAAGCCGGTCGAGCTGAAGAAGGCAAAAAGCAAGGAGCCGGCAACAAAGAAAAATAGGAAAAGATGAGCAATGGTGTCAAAGGGAAGATTAAGTTACTAGAGGCAAGATTTTTTTGTTTTTTTATTTACCATATTTCTGCTAATTAATACGCGCATGGATCTGGTGGAAAAAGGTTTGCATCTGTTCGAAAAAGGCAAATACCAAGATGCCCGACGTGTGCTTTCCAGAGCCGTTGACATCGCGCAGGAGGAGTTGAAGAAAGGAGAAAACCAATGGCGCAGTAAGCTGGGATTACTGCTTGACTCGCGTGCGGCATGCCATCAAAAGCTGGGCGACCTGGACGCCGCCTTGGCAGACGCGCGTCAGCAGATGGCTCTCGAGCCGTACAAGTGCAAGAGCTACTTGCGAGCATCAAAAATACACACACTGGCCGGCCGCGACAAGGACGCACTGGAGGTGCTCGAGGCTGGTGTTCGTCGCCTGGAGCGGGGTAAAACCAAGTACGGAAGCCGGCTTCAGATCAATGAGCGCTTGTTTGAGAAGATGACGGCAGAAATGGAGGAATTGCGTCAGAAAAGCTTAAGAGATCCCGCTGCGAAGCGAAGGAAGGTCAAGTCCTACGATCCACTAAATTACCTGCCTTTCGAGCTCCAGGCTACTATTTTCTCGCACCTGGACCAGTCAAGCATCATGAGCTGTCTTCTGGTAAGTCGCAGATGGAAACAAGCACTCGAAAGCATGCCGAGGCTGCTGCACAGTCCGGTCCTGAAACGAAACTTAACTCTTAAAGAGCTAGTGAAATTTCTCAACTTCTGCAGGTCGCGCCAGTGTCGCTCGTTTGAGACGTTGTCGCTTTCACTGCGTGCGGTGGAGGAGTCCAGCATGCTCAAGCAGCTGTTGTCGAGCGGCTTTGAAGTGAAGAGGCTGAATTTAAGTTTGGCGAAATACGACAATTTCGAGCTCGCTAAGCTTCTCAGCAATAGCACGACAGGCCGGAAAATGTGTGCTTCCCTGAAAGAACTGTCGCTTTCCTTGCCCGTTGTGGAGAACGGAGCTGGGATGACAGAGTTGCTTGGTTATTTGGGGGCAAACATAACCAAACTGAACATAGTCATCACTGACCTGGTTCTCTCTAAATTGGTCCGACGCGAGCCCAGCAAAATTGACTTGCCCCAACTTCGCAGTTTGGTCATCATGGTGCGTCCCAAACTGCACGAAAAACTGAACAGACGTTTGATGCGTGTGCTATTTGCGAATTTCACCGCCGATAACGTGCAAAGTCTTCATTTAATTAATTGCGATGTCGAGGCTGTCACCATGCAAAAAGTGTTGGAGCGCCTGCAAAAGCTTGAACACTTCTCGGCGGACTCCTGCGGCGCATTGACCTTGGGAGAGTATTTGAGATGGCTCTCCCGGAACAGGGTACCTCTGGAAAGTCTGTCTATGCGGGAGAGTTCGCTCCCGCGGCCTGCAAGCTCTGTCTCAGACGTGGATCTGCGTTTTCTGGCGCGGCTGAAATCTCTGAGTTTGGAAAACACATCGCTCAATTTCCACCAGTTGCTTCTGCTCCTGCAGAGCACAAATCACCAGCTACGACATCTCAAGCTCAAGGCCAACTACAAGCTTATTTTCACTCGCAGTGCGTTTGACACTCGCATCCCGAGTGAATCCACGCGTCCGGTAAGCTTCCGCGAGTTTCTGCAAGCTGTGCCGCAATTGGAGTCCTTGGCACTTATCCAATGCACCAATCTCACCGACTCGGCACTGCGAAGCCTGTCGGCAGAAATGGTGAACACCTCGTGCCCAAAGGGACTCAAACTGCTGGATCTCTCTGCCAACGAGGTGAGCGGTGTGGGCGTCATTGACCTGTTTCAGAGACCCAGGAGCTGGCTCCGGCTAGACCAGCTTCTGGCCCACGGCTGCGATTTGCATCCTGACACCTTGTCGCTCCTTGTCCGCCGCGGCTATTGTGGAAATGTACAGATTTAGCCTAGTAGACGTGACATTGTTATTAGCCGCGCATACACAATAGAGGAACGTTAATTTATTTTTCTGCTGCATAAATATTTTCTTATTCAGATATATATATTTAAATTAGGAAACTCATCTTCTGAGGCAGGTACCACTCATGTTGATTGCCGAAGATGGCCGTCTGTCAAAACGTCATGTGGGAGATGCCTTGTGGAAGAGATGCATTTCAGTCACATCACAGGAGCGTGGCTGTTCCAGCCAGACTTGTCGCCAATAAGGGGCGATCATTTTGATAGTAAGTTTGCACAGTACTTGATTTCGGCAGCTGAATTGCATTAAGTCAATCTTTATCTGTTTTCAACAATCGGGGACTACCTGAAGGGATGGTGCCCCTTGTGCCCATATTGGGAAACAGCATCATACAGATTTTCTCATACCCAGACATTGAATACTGAACCTCTTTTAAGCGATCAATGCGAATTAATGAGTTACATAGATGACGTCAACATGGCCAACGCCTCATCAACACCAAAGCTACAGGATGGTCCCGAGCGCAAGGAGCTGACAACGCAGCACTGTCTCGCAGAGCCTTACTTGCGTTCCGTGGTATCCTCTCCCTGCTCGTCGCGGCTCTGTTCATCCTGGCTCTGCTCATCGTCAGACTCCTGTTCTTTGCTCTGCTCACTTTCCGTCGAGTTTTGCGGCTCTTTCTTTTCGCCAACTCCCCGCAACCCGCGATCTCGAATCAGGAACCCTAACAGGAAGCAGGCTCCGATTAGCGGGATAAAGAAAATAAACACCGTGCGCAGTCCGTGGTAAGTGATGTCGCGCAACTTATCCTGGACCTCGGGACTATAAACGGTCAAGTCTATTGCGTAAATGTGTTTGCTCAACTCTTCTATCTGTTCGCTGGTCAATCCAACATTTGACGAGCGCAGCTTGCTGCGGAACTGGTTGGACATGATTGCCGAGCACGAAGCCATGCCGACGGCAGCACCGACAGAACGGTTGAAATTTCTAGTCGCAATCACCACTGCTCGATCGGGCAGACGGGTATGTGCCTGGAGCGCAATGATGGTGGGCTGGAACACGGACCCGACTCCAAGTCCCTGGACAACCACGATGAAACAGATCCCCACCATTGGGACTGATTTGGTGAAAAGCGCAAACTCCAGACACAGCCCCAGTAGCCAGAGTCCGAACCCTGGAATAATAATGAAATTATAATGCTGGAAATGTGAAATCAAAATTCCCGAGATCGTACTGGTCAGCGCCTGCACAACCACCATGGGAAGCGTCAGACACGCGGACTGGTAGGAGCTCCATCCCCGCACCAGCTGGAAGTAGAGCGGCATGAAGTACATGTTGGCGAAGAACACCATTCCGAATAAGAAGTTCTGCGTCATCATGATTGCAACGCTCGGTGTTTTGTACACCCTGAGAGGCATCATTGGCAGGCGGGAGATTTTCCACTGTGTGAACAGGAATATCAGGAAAAACACTCCGCCGATGGTGAGCAGACTGATCACCAGCGGCGAGTCCCACTCGTACGTGTTTCCGCCGCCCGAAATAGCAACTAAGAACAGGATGATTCCAATGGAGCTCGTGAAAAAACCGTAGTAGTCGATGTTCTTGAAATTAGACCATTTGATCTGGAAGTCTGGAGGCGAGGGCACAAACACCGCGCTGACAACGGCGATGACCGCGGTGAGCGGACACAGGAAATAGAAATTCCCGTGCCAGCTGACACTGCTTGCAAATCCACTCGCCACAAACGGACCAAGGGCGTTACCGAGCCCCACACAGGATCCCAGAATCCCCTGGTACTTGCCACGCTGCTGCAAAGTCACCAGGTCGCTCACAAATATCATGCTCAGCGAGGTGATACCGCCGTTGGCTACTCCGGCAAAACCCCGAAAAACATACAATTGTGTGGCTGTGCGGCAAAAACAGGTCGCCAACTGGCTCAGGCTCAAAAGGCACAGACTGAACACCAGGAGCACTTTGCGGCTGAAGATGTCGGACAGCCGTCCGGATAAAATTTGGAACGAGGTCTGTCCGATCATGAGCGAGGTGCCTGCCCACGAAACCGTTGCTTGAGCATTTAAGGCGTCTGCGATTTTAGGCTGGATAACGGAAATCGACGTTTGGTCTAGGAACGACGCCAATAAGCCAAGTGCCAGTGCGGAAAAGGCTATCATCAGCTTGTGAAAAGGAAGCCGATTGACTTGGTTTTGGAGGGCGACTTTTTCGGGCATCTTTGCATGGGGTAAATGAGGCAGAGGCACCTTTATATAAAATGTCGCACGCGAGTTTTTTTTTTTGCGGCCCCGTTCCGCACTACATATCGGTGCCGTTTTAGTACCTTATGCGTGCACGGAGCAGGAACTTGGGGTCTTTAGGGCGCAACAGACAACCAAAGCCTGTGCTATCGAACGCTTAGTTTGTGCGTGACAGGGTTTACCGCTATTCGGGGGTCCTGCCAACGCGGCCCGAGTGGGCAATGCATCCAGCAGGGTACTTTTCCGCGCAATCGGCCCTGAATTCAAGGCTCAGAGGTGTGCAGAGATGCCAAACCTGTCTTATGGTGTTCCATGATGGCTTTATTATCGCCTGTCATTACCTAATCTGAAAAAAAAAGATTGAAAATTTTTTGTAGGCAAATAACACTATCAGACCAAATTGCATTGTGCGCTTTAATGCAAAACATGATGTCTGTACAGAATGCACCACTCATCGACGAGACGCTCAAGCGAAGGTACTCGGACAATGAGGACGTCAAACGGCGAAAGCTGGACGTGAGCGAGGAGCACGATTCTGACGTACAGGAGGAACATGCCTCAGATCCAGACTTCTCGGGCAAAGTGTATAGTTCGTTGGTCCGTTCCGCCCTCGACAGGATGGAGAAGGTAAGTACCGTGACACGTGTGTTTTCCCACTAACTTCAGGACGATTACTCTGCTATAGACGCACTGGCCGCACAGCTCGCACTGCCTCGAAGCAATACCGAGTCGATCTCGTCGGACAAGCTGGTGCAAATGCTGCGTGTTCTGACCGGCGAGGTCACGCGACTCGACAACAGGGCCAGCGTGGCGCTTGTGCAGGCGCTCCTCAAAATCGACTGGTTTGAGTACGAGAGCGCCGACTTTTCCAGGGCATATTCCACCTTTCTGTCTGTACTCGTATCTGGAATACCGAAGTGGTGGAGCGAGGTGGCCACGATGCTTGTTGGCGACTTCACCCGCAGAGAGCATCTCGACTCGCACCATAGTACGCTCAAATATATTATTCAGGTGATTCCGACCTCGACGAACGCCATTCCGGGCATCTTGAAGCGTCAGTTCCCCAACAAGACTGCTCCCAAGGCCGACCTGGTGAACTACGTGCGCAATCTCCTTTTTCTGCTCGGCTACTGCGACCAGGTGCGCCACGCCGTTTGGCAGCTGATCGTGGAAAATTGCATTAAATTGGACGTGGAGCTGCAGAACGAGCTGGAGGAGCTGGACGACGAGGATCTGGAAGAGGCGCTGAACAGTGATGAGGAGGACGACGACGCAGACGACGCAGACGAGCTCAGCGACGAAGACGAGTTCCTGGACGAGGAAGAGTACCAGGTCGAGATACAAAAGGTCAGCAACCTGTCGTCGAAGCTGGACAGCGTGATGCGGCTGCTGATGGACTCCACGGCGCCCGTTTTCAAACAGGACCTATCTGCGGGCATTGCCCTGTTCAACACGCTGGCCACGCTCTTCAAGTCGCACGTTCTTCCAACACATTATACCCGATGCATCCAATATCTCATGTTCTATGTTGCACAGCAGCATCCGGACCTCACAGACTCGTTTCTGGTCATGTTGATCGACATCGTCTTCAACGTCAACGAGATCGGCTCGAACAGAGTCAAGGCCATGCAGTACGTGTCGTCGTTCATTGCGAGAGCCAAGAGTCTCTCAAAACAGCAGCTGGTGTTTGTGATCAAGTACCTCACGTCGTGGTGCTCTGTTTTCGTAGCCGAGCGCGAAAACGAAATTTCCAACGGCCACGGCGGCATGGAACGGTTCAAGATCCTCTACTGCGTGTTCCAGGGCCTGCTGTACATCTTCTGCTTCCGCCACAGAGAGCTCAAGAACGAAAAGGACGAGTGGGAGCTCAACCTCGACAAATTCTTCAACAAGCTCATCATCTCGGGCTTCAACCCGCTCAAATACTGCAACGAGACCGTCGTGCTGATTTTCGCGCGGCTCGCGCAGCAGGTCGACCTCTGCTACTGTTTCTCGATCATCGAGCGCAACAAAAGAGAGAGACTCAACGGAATCAAAAACATGCAGGCCGGCTCTGTTTTCGAGAGCAAGCAGGAATTCCTCGACCTCGAGGCGTACTTCCCGTTCGACCCGCTCATTCTCAAACGCTGCAAGGAGCTTGTGGAGGAGCACTATGTTGAATGGGAGAGCATAGACGACAGTGAAAGTGAATAACATAATTTATCAAGCACGTGAAGTACATCGTTGATTTGGGTGAATAAATACATATCAAATTAAATCATCAATCTTCTTATGTTCGTCACCTTCCACTCCTTCGCCGACTGGCTGTACTTGCAGCCAACCAGACGTTTTCCCGTTATAGGACACTTGCCCGCGTTCTCATCGCCCTCGCGCAGAAACGTGTAGATGCACTTGTAGCAGAAAACGTAGCCGGTCTCGATCACTGCCGGGTTGTGGATTTCCTCGTGACAGAGCGGGCAATTCGGTGTTTTGGTGACCAGTCTGCTACGCATCCTGCGCGACGCGGCCACCTCGTTGTTTAGCAGCGGCGGCACCTGCGGCGTTCGTTCCGTGACGGTGTCTGTCTTGAAATTTTTTTTAACGTCGGACGTGTTCCACCACTCGAGGAATTTGAGCAGGAAGATCGACACGGGCAGAACGGACTCTGAGCCAAATAAAAGCGATTTTTTAAGCGGATACGCCACCTGCGAGTAGGCGGCAACCACCGACTCCGAGAGCGAGATCGGCCGTATGCGACTGGACTTAGGCTCTGTGGAGACGCCCTGGAGATACGCAGCGGTGCGTTGCTCGGCCAGCCTGTAGTCGAACTGGTTGAGTCTGGAGTACTGGATTCCAAACAAGTACTGGAGCAGACTCGTGGACTTGAACTTGCCCGACAGATACAACACTTTGAACACGATGTTGATCAGCTTCAACACCGTCGAAATCGCCGGATACAATTTGAGAAACCAGTATTTGGCCAGATCCTTCTTGCTCTCGTCAGGCTTCAGTTTCTGCATGAGGTATTCGGGCAATAGACTGTCGTACAGCAGATCCAGCTTCTCTTTCAGGTAGGGAACCACGACAACCTCTACGAGCGAGACTCCGACCTGGCTCCTTCTCAGCCGTTTCAGGGTTTCGTATTTGGTCAGCTGTCCCGTAACCGGGTTTTCGAGCGTTAGGTCCAATTGATTGCATCGTTTGAGCCCGTAGAACTTCTCAATAAATGTAGAATTCCAATTGTGCAGAAAAGAGTACTCCACCAGCCCTCTGATGGCAAGGTTCAGCTCGTCAAAGCGGTTCAGGATCCTGATAAGATAGCGGGGGTATTTGTTGGCGTAGTGGACCAGAACAAACCGGATACTTGGAGAAAGCAGGTTTTCGAGCTCCTTGGCACTGATCACCTCAAACAGCGTTGGGGTGTTTCTGTCCAACGAGCGGGAGTCCAAATTGGAGTAAAAGTCCATAGCCGGTAAATAAGCGAAAGTAAAATAAAATAAAATAAAATAAAATAAAATAAAATAAATATTTATTATGACAGACAGGCTCACACAGTTGCAGATCTGTCTCGATCAGCTATCGGACATGTTTTTTGCGTCCTTGTCGTATGTCGACCAGAACCACGCTGCCGTGCGATTGACCGAGGGAGACGAGATGCTGCCGGACCCTGATCACAATCCGCCGCCGGAAACAGAATTCAAGGCGAATCTGACAGAGTTAACGTCCGACATAATACTAAAAACAAGGCAGATCCTCACAATAATAGACACGCTTCCTGGGGTGGGTGTGAGCAAAGACGAGCAACTGAAAAGAATAGAAAGTCTGTCTCAGGAGCTGGCCGAAATAGAGAAACAGAAAGCACAAACGTTACAGAGAAAAGAGAAACTGGGAAGCATGGTGGACGACCTGATAGTACAGGTGAGCGAGGGAATAGCGCAGACTAGAGATTGAGTGCTTACAAAGACCTATATGCAATCACCAGACACGAAACAAGCACAGCCAGTGCTTTGTCGACCTGGAGATAGTTGAGCCACTGGCAAAAGAGCAGGACTCCAAAATATAACGCGAAAAGATAGTTTTCCGGGCCGCATTTGTGACGCGACATGACAAACGGGGCGAAGTGGAGCACAAAGCCAAATAGGAAATCCGTAGCATGGTGGTCGAATTCGATGGCGTCCGGTAGCCATTTTGCAGGCTTGTACGGATTGGTGGTGACCAACTGCAGTGCCTTGAAACTGGCGAAGCCGATCACAACCATTATCGCAGGCCAGTAGACCACCGGGTTGCCAGTGGACCAGATCTCGTCGCTGCCGTTTTTCCAGAGAAGAGTCTTTGTTTCCAAAAAAGGCCATTGCAACGGTTTTAAGTCTTGGAGCTGCCATTTGGGCAGTTTTGCCCCGAGTCGTCTCATGTGTACGTGCACTTCCTCCAGCTTGTTCCAGAACGTGAGATTTCTATACTCCACGGGTGTTCCTTCTAGCTTTGGATGGATGTTCCTGTCAAAGTACCACAACGACCGTATATAGTTTGGCTTCTCGATACAGATGACCTCGTCGTGTCTGTCTGCCCATTTTGGCAACGCGTTCTCGGTAGCCATCACAAAACACTTGTTTTTCACGTTGAAGATCTGGAAAACAGACTCGACAGCTCTAAATCGCTTCGAGCCGAGCTCGGTGGAGTACTCGACAGCCGGCCGGAGCTCAAAGTTGAGCCAGTTCTCTCCGCTCCACGACAGATTGCCAATGGTGCCGACCTCCTTGTTGTAGTCTGTCTCTGAAAGCGGCGGCTTTTCGTCTGCGTTGATGTATAAGTATCTTTGGGTAGCGTTGTGGAAGAGGCGGATTTGCCTGCCTGTTTCGATGTACTTGGCTTTGCGCACCAGCTCGCCCAAGTTGGCTTTCACGCGTTGCTCGACAAACCATAGATTTCCGTCAGAGTCGGTTTCCGAGGCAGTGACCCGCTGGTTGCCCGATTTCGGGTAGTTGCTGCTCTCAGAGTGCAGGTACTTGCCCGTGTAGAAACTGCGAAGCGAGACCGAGGAGCCGTACGAAATGTCCGCGATATAGGGCGGAGCAGAAGTAAGCTGGTGCTGGAAATGAGGCGACAACGACGAGGCACCGGGGCCGGGGTTTGGAAGCAGCCGCAGATGCACTGCAAACACAGAAACGTAGACCAACACCGGAATAATAAGCCAGAACTTGGTTCTGATCAGTGCGTCCTTGACTATAGTCCTTGGCCTCATCGTTAGATCGCCAACCTGAAGCCATATACTTCTGACAAAAACCACCGCCATCCACGCTGCGGTGGCCAGGCCTATCCAATTAGAAGCCACCAGACATCCTAGTGCTATCGAGCTGCCCAGAAGCGCTGCAACTTTGCGTTTTTTGCTCGGGCTCCCGTCCAGCGTCTTGGTCAGGGCTATGGCTAGACTGAAGAAAAACAGCGTTGGTGAGATTCCAGTGGCCAGTCTGGACTCCTGCACAAACGAGTTGTCAAAGGCCACCAGAAGAGCACCGGAAAGTGCGATTTTGTGACTGACTCGACACGCTTGCAAAGTTTTGTACGTGAGCAGCACCGTAGCTGTTCCGAAAAGTGCGCTCAGCGATCGAAGCAGAGTCCAAGATACACTTCCGCGGCCAAGGAACACGATAGCCGCGTAGATCAGCCCCGGCAGCGGTGGATCAGGAGCGAGGAAAAAACTGCCAGACTGGTAGTTTGACACGGAGTCGTGAATTTTGGATTCCTCGGGAACCAGGACCTGAGGAGAGCTGATGTTGTACAGTCGCAGGCCCAATGCTATTGCTGCAACGGCCACCAGTTGCATTCGGTGTTTTTTGGGCATATCCATTGTCACGGGCTTCGGGCTGTAGAATTGCCTCACCGGACCGTTTAAGCAAGACATGAATAAAATATGAAAATTATCGGAGAGATAAAAAAATATACAAGGCAGGACAGAACAGCTAAATAAGTAGTGCTTTGCTTACGCTGTCACTGGCTGATGGGCGATCAATTAATCTGTTTGGACGATCGGTAGATTTACCACTAAGTCGGTTTGCCTTTTGGTAGTCACCGGGTCAGGATAGAAAGATTATATTGTCCTTGTTCAGGTTGCACCCATGTTTCTCGTCCCTGAATGATTGCCTGTAATATCAGCATTCTTGATGTGAAATAAAAGAAGTGGAGTAGTATGGATGCTATGATTGATTCTCACTCGTACCAGGTAAATTAGCTATAAGAAAGTAGTGGTGCTGAATTCTAGGTAAAACGGCTACCACGATTTTATTTAATAATCAATGGAAATAATTGAAAATAACTGAAAATAAATAATATAATACCAATGGCAAGACCAGAGTACGGAACAGCCAAATACGCGTCCAGCCAGATGCGCAGGCGAGGGCTGCAGAAAACCAAGTTCTACTGTCAAGTATGTGAAAAGCAGTGCCTGGACGAAAACGGATTCAAACTGCATATACAGTCGCCGTCCCATATCAAGAAGCTTAATTCGAAACTGGAAAACTCGCACAACGACTCGAGAGCGCTTATCGGGGAGTACTCAGGACGATTTCTTGGTGATTTTCTGCGTCTGCTCAGAATAAACCACGGAGAAAAGCTCATCGGAAGCAATAGATTCTACCAGGAATACATCATGGACAAAAACCATGTGCATCTAAACTCCACGAGGTGGAAAAGTCTGACCTCTTTAGTGCTCTTTCTGAAACACCAGGGGCTGTGCAGGGTAGAGGAGAACGAGGATTACGAAGAGTACGATGCGGAACGCTACTCGATAGCTTATATTGATAAAGGTCCCAAAAAAGAGACCAAAGAGCTCAAAGTGCGCAGCGACGAGGAGGCATCTTTGCGCGGACTGCAGGAGCAGATAGAGCGCGGGAAGCAACTACAGGAAAACTCGACGCCAGACACGCTAGAGACACCAACGCCGGGTCTCGATAATCATGACAAGATCAAGATATCTATGAACAAGCCTATCAATAAGTGCGGCATGAAAATAGTGCCAGGAGTTGGACACGCTGTGGCGCCACAGGTCCGTAAAAGCTCCAAACTCAAAAGTCGCATCGCTGCGAAAAACGTGCTAGAATGAGATTATGTGAAGCTTAACACGATCTTCTTTTTCTTTTTTCCAGTAGCGTTTGCCGTCTTTTTGGCCTGTTGAATGATCATCTCTGCTTCTGCGTCGTAATGGTCCGACTCAGGGTCCTCGGACTTCAGGATTCTGGTTCCCCAGACCGTGGTCTTGTATTTGGACTCGTTTTCAGGGAGCAGCACGTCCTCACCTAAGGGCGGAGCATTAGACTCCACAAACGTGTGTGACGACGCCTGTTCGCCGTACCCGTAATCGGTCAAGCTCAGGTTGTTCTCTTTTGAGTAGAACTGCAGGGTTTTCAATTCCAGCTCTTTTTCAAAAGCCGCCTTGCTGCGGTCTTCTCTGCGCTTTTTATTTCGCGACGCCCGACTGCGTTCGCTGAGTTTCTTGCTGAAGCGAGCAGAGATCTCTTTAGGAAATTGGGGTAGCTGATCTGTCCAGTCGAGTTCCAAAAACCCTATTTCCGTGCCAACAGGCAAATGTCCAAGATACTTTAACTTGCCAATGGTTTCCTCGGTCAGAGGCGAGTATTCGTAACTTATGTTCTCAAGAATGGGATGCAGAGTGAGCGGAAACGCGGAGTAGTCGCCGTACAACGACCTGAGGATCTGAACGTCCAAATTGGTGAGAAAGTACTTGACGCTAGAGTTGAATGAGGTTTGGTAGAAAAAAAAGCCCTTTTCCGTTTCTTGAAATTGGTGCTGACGGAGAGTTAGCTCATCGAAATGCAGACTCAGACTATCTGGAGACTCTGGGATCGCCGCCTGAGACGACTCCGCAAAGGAAGCCGCCATAGCGTCCATGTGCGAACGGATCTTGAGCTCGGCCAGCTCGTAGTGGTGTGTGCTGTCGCCGTAAAGCTCGGAGTCCAGAGACCTATGTAACTGGAGCGTCTCCAATTCCTGCTCAAAACACTTGATGGCGAAGTCTGGTCCACATTGCATTATCCTCGAATATTTCACGTAGCGCGAGTCGTTCAAAAAGTTGTCGACAGTGGCGGAGTTGGGTATCCAGGGAATGTCGCCGTCAAACTGGCAATTCTCCAGGTAGAGACGGAACGGCTGGGCAAAGACCCGCGAGGCAGGTCTGTACATGAGCTCGAGATCCACTGGCTGATCAACAGACGGCTGCTCGAACCGTTCGTCAATCTTTGTGATCAGCACAGGAAGCAATTCGTGCTTTTCTCTAATGTCCTCAGAACAGAGCGGACACTTGACGCGGCCTCGGTAGTCCTCCTGGGTCGAAAAGGCGGCAAAAAGCCGCAACAAGCACGTGTAGCAGAAAACATGGCCGCACCGCGTCATCCGGGGAGCAATGAACTCGTCTCCCAGACAGATAGGACACTGGTGGTCGTTTTTGTTGATCAGCACCCGCAGAATTGAGGCGTCGTCCAGAGGCACGTTTGGGTCCAAAATCTGCGTCCTGTAATCCCCACGATAATCCACAATAAACCTGTAGTTGACGTTCACATTCTGGCGGCCGGTAAGGTTCAGCCGGACACTCTGAGCACGATGTTTTTTGGAGCCCGGCCGACGGCCGGTGTCGGTCACCAGGTTATGTTCTGGCAGCTGGAACTCTACCAGATGACTTATGTCAATGCCTTTCCGTCCTCTCCCCAAGGCCCTATCAAAGGGAAAGTCGTCCACGAGCACAGGCTTGTTTGATTTGCTGTATCTCTTGGAACCGTGCTTTTTAGACTCCCTCGGCCGGGCCTTGGAGGTTGCCGCCGCCATTTGGCTCGAACGCGCAGCGACGGCCGGAGTGTTGGTCCTCGGAGCGTACACACGCTCCTGGGAACCTGAGGAAGGGGCTTTCATCTCCATAAAAGGAATAGGGATAATTATTTAGGCAAATAATTACCTTAATTCAAGCAAAATAATAAATTACCTTTAATAAATGGCAAAAAGATCACACCCACGTTATGTAATAAGCACAATTATTTTGGGTCTCTATTTACACGGTCCTCTATGTCGTTCTGTTTGTTGTCTATCTTTCTCTCACCTCCCAGATATCCTCGCTGCTGCCCCTCTTGAGCTGCTCGACTAGACGGTTTTTGTAGAACTCCTGGATGTTTTTCTCCTTGATCTCTCCGGCGTTGAGAGAGTTGGAAAAGCAGAAGTTGAGCTTCTCACTCTGTTTCTCGCACATGCTCAAGTCGCCGTAGCGGTAATAATTGCGAACTTGGCCCCCCAAAGACATACATTCCATTAGCTCGTCCATGGCAGTGAGGCAGGACATTTCTTTCTAGCATGTTAGACTTCTGCAACCAGATACTTACAGGAAACCTGTCCAGCGAAATCGACTCGGCCCTCTTGCTGGCCTTATCTCTCATGGAGCCAAGGCTTCTCTCTGTGGCTTGCGACGAAGACTCCGCAGACTTCGAAGCGTACGCATCGGCGAGAGCTTTCTGGAGATCGGCCAGACCGTCCTGGCCAGATGGGCCGTTGGATTCTGCTGGCTCCGTTTGCTCTGGGACAGACGAGTCCTGGGCACGCTTTCGCCAAAACATATATTTTTCTAGTTGTAAATTTTCCTGCACCGCCAATTCTAATTACACACTTATCTATTGAGCTCCCTCGGAAAGCAGCGCTTCAGACTCGCCAGAAACGTCGCCGGCGACCGCGCTCATGCCGACTCTGCGGATCTCGGCCTCCATCTTCGCGTACGTGGCCTCGACCAGCTTGTTCACGTCGTCCTTAGTGAGTCCCTCGGTGCTGATCGGATCAAGAACCTTAACCTTGATTGTTCCCGTGTTGAAGTTTCTTTCCTTCAGACTGTAGATGTTGGAGGTGTTGGAAACCACAAGAGGAATGATGGGGATCTGCGCCTGGACCGCCAGGTGGAACGCCCCTTTCTTGAACGGTAGCAGAGTCGGTTTCGAGGAGTACGATCTGGTTCCCTCTGGGAACATGAACAGGCCGCCGCTGGTGGCTTTGAGATCGTCGAGAGCCTTGTTGAGCACACGGATGGCCTTCTCGCGGTCCGATCTGTCCAGGAAAAAGGTACCCGACAAGGTCATGAACCAGCCCAAAAACGGCACCAGTTGGAGCTGTTTCTTGGCTGTGACGACGCAGCGTCTTGGAAAGATTCTGCCGAGCATGAACACGTCAAGCTCCGACTGGTGGTTGGAGATCAGAATGGCTGGCAGACCACTCAGTTTCTCTTCACCCTCGATTTCTATCGTGACGCGCATAACTGTGCTGAACAGGTAGTAGTAGAACCGCGCGGTACTCCACTGGGCGAGATTGCGCTTGCCGATCAGCGAGAGAAACACCGAGCAGAGAACGCCGTACGATGCGCTGATCATCAGGGTGCAAAGGGCAACAAGGCCCTTGGTGTAGAACTTGAAGTGTTTTCCGATTTTTTGCAACAGAGACATCTGGGACACTGGCCGGGCGGTGTTAGGGATGAGCACCCACGAAACGAACGAGCAAAAGAGTAAAAGGGGGAGGAAGACGTCGAACAACACTTTGGAACAAGAGAATTTTCTAAGACAAATTATTTTTTGGGTTTCCTTTGTCAGGCTATATATATTTATACCGGAGATGGATTCGGCAAGTGTTCTCTGTAGGTAGCTACAATAAATAACTTAGTCCAAATATTCTATATACATTATTGATTTCTGTTGAGCTTGTTCAAACGTCTAGCAGTACGGGCGTTGTACTTGGTACGTTGACCGTGCACAGGCAGTCCCATAGCGTGTCTAAGACCCTGGTACGAGCCGGTCGCCCGCTTGAGCTTGATGTTGGAGCGGACCTGCTGCAGCAATCTCGACCCAATGGTCATGTCTGTGAGCTCCTTGGTCACCGCCATCACCTGTGTTTCGTTTAGCTGGTGCATCCGCATGCTGGGGTACAGGCCGACCTTGGCGCAGATTTTCTCGGCCGTTTTGAGCCCGACGCCGAAGAATGTGTGTGCGAGTCCGATCTGGAGTTAGTGAGAACTGCGAAAGGTACTTACGTCGACCTTGGCCTTGCCTTTGATGGCCTTTCCGAGGATATGGACGACCATAATTAATTAAAATCGATGAAAATATTTTAGGTGCGAGGGGGATTTGGGTCGAGTACGAAAAATAACCGAGTGCTGGAAGCTCTACAAATCTTTTTCCATCACGGCTTCCAGCCGCAGGATCAGGACCAGCCGGATCAGGCCTATCATGGTGACAAAGCTAGCCAGCCCGATAGGCACCACTGCGAAAACGGTGATGTTGTAGAGGTCCACGGTGCGCGGGACCTTGTTTTGCGGCTTGGGCTCGTCTTTGTCCTGCAAATGGCTGTCCAGACGCAAATTCGAGGTGACAAAGTTCTGGATGATGTAGATGAGCGTCATCACGCAACTAATCAAGATCCATACCGGCAAACAGTACTCGTTCTGCTTGTTGTTGAACATGAACGTCAGCACTTCCACAAGAGCAACGATCAGAAGGGACATGCTCAGCATCCGCACGATGGCCGCCTGGATCGCATACATCACGATCCACCGCACCATGAGTCCGTCCAGAATCGAGTACGACAGAAATCCAGACACCATGCACCAGATTCCGGCAAGAAAGAACTCTGACGCTCGCACAGACGTCACGTTGATCTGGAACGGCTCGTCGTACATCATGGTGTACCAGGAGTGCCACAGAACAGCCAGGTTTTTGATTATCACCAACAGCGAGAAATCTCGGCAGATAGCAACGGCTATGTGTTCCCTGGGAGAGAGTCTTTTGAGTCCCAGCTCTTTGAGCGAATTGCGCTGTCTGTTGAGATCGGTGGTCGCTGTGGAGGAAATACCAAACAGAATCACCTGGTTGACCAGGTCTTCGTTCTCAAGAAGCGTCTCGCGCGAGTCGTTTCGAGAGTGCAGCATGTTGGAAGGCGGCCGTCCGGACCTATTGCTCATGGTGGCCAGCGACGTCGACGACGAAACGTACACGGGCAGCGGCTCGTACTCGGCCTCTGAGTCCGTGGGAGGCGGGTGGTTGGCGTAATCAGAGTCAGTATCAAACACGTCCATTAATCATAAAGGTATCAATATTAACATGCTCAGTACGAAAAAATTAATTAATTTTCAACCATGCCGTCTGATCATCTCGTAAATAATATATAACACCTGCAAGGGCAAAGACAGCCAAATGAGTCTGGACGGCCTGCTCGGCGCCTCTCCACCAGAGGGAGGGTCCAGTTCTAGTTAGATGGCCTCCAATTGCGCGCTGATCGACTCCAGCTCCTCCTGCGCAGCCTTGTACTTGGCCTCCAGCTCCTCAAACTTGTTCTCGAGGTCGGCCTTCTCGCTTTCAAGAGACGTGACCTTCTTCTCCAAGGTTTCTGCACGGATATCCGTCTCCCTCAGCTTGGCAGTGGTCTCCTTCAGGTTGGCGTCGGCAGCTTCGAGCTCTTCCTCCAGCATCGAGTGTTTCTTTGTGTAGTTGTCGTTGGCGGCCTTCAATTGGTGAGCGTCTCCAGCAACCTTCTTGAGCTCGCTGAGCTCCTGTTCGGCCTTCTCCAACTCCTCCTCCAGAACCTGGTTCTTCCGGGTCAGAGCTTGGATCTGGTTGTCCTTCTCCAGAGCTTGTTGTTCCATCTCTTTCACCTTGGCCGAGTACTCGTCAGCCTTTTCCTGCCAGGTCTCGGCATCCAGCTTGAGCTTGTTCAATTTCTGACGCGTTAGTACTCGCTCGTGCAATTGGCTATCTACCTACCTCCTTTAATTTGTCCATTGTGTTTTGAGCTGTAATAAAATAGAACAACAAATCAATGGGAATACTCTATTTATATGAATATTTCGCGGGCTAAACACGAAACAACCCGCGCCAGCTATACAATAAAAAATAAAATACCCGGGTAACTCCTATTGATTTTCCCTATTACTATTACAAACTCAAACCCTAGAAAAAGTCTCGAAAACTGGAAAAAAAGAGTGTTATCGAATAGAGCTCTGAATCGATGCCTGTCATCCACTTTTGAATCTTTTCGACTGTTGCTCAGCGTCCCATTCCCTTGATTGGGCGTCGAATCCGGGAAAATCTGTCAGATATACAATGTCGCTCTCGTCACTATCCTCCTCTGCCGCCTCAGCTGGATCCTTCAATCCTGTGATACTGGCGGTCGCGGATCTTGTAGTACTGGTCCTGGTCGACCCAGATAGAGGAGAAAAGTCTTCGACCGACACATCCTCCGACGAAGACGAGCTTGAAATGTTTCTTGGCTTATAGCTAGGATTAAGTGCTTTGCTCAACATATTGTATTGCACTTCTGATAACTCGTTCATCTTTGGGAACTCAATGTTGAATTTTATAATTAGATCCCCATATCTTGTTTCTCCAATGTCAGTTTCAGCATAAATTGGCATACCGTATCCCTTAGCTACCTTTATAGTGTTTGGATTAGCCAGATCCCCCCTGTTGACGTAGATTTTTATTGTTCGCTTGTTCAAGTGTTCGATCTTCAATAAACCACCACAAAGTGCCGTGGCGAGCGACAGTGTGACTGACGTTATCAAGTTGTTACCTCTGCGCTGGAAGTTCTTGGTTGGCCGTCTCTTATCCTCTTGCAGTGTTATCACCACATCGCCAGGAATGATATTGATGCCCTCGTCGGCCTCGTTTTCGAACACCACCTGGTATCCCGGCTTGACTCCCTTTGGAACTTCCACGTCCAGTATGACTTTTTTGTCGATTAGTCTGTCGCCATGGCACGTTCCACATATATACTCCTCGGGTATATACATTCCCGAGCCGTTGCATTGGTGGCACGTTGTCTGCACGCGTTGGTACACAATACCCATTCTTGTTTCGTTGACGATGGTTCCGAGTCCCAAACAAGCGGAACATTGCACTAGCTGCGTGCCTCCACGACCTGCGCACTCTGGACACTTGATTTTCTTCGTCAAACTCAGCTTCATCGTCCTTCCGTGGTAGAAATCTGCAAGCGTGCAGTATGTTGTGTGCAGAATGTCTCTTCCCTTCCTCATGCGTCTCTGGAAGTTTCCCATGGGCCTGCCACCGGCTAGAGAATCGAACAGCGCGTCTAGATCGGAGGTAGGAGACGAGCGGAACAACTGGTCAACAAATGACTCAGCCTGTTGGAAGCGGTCCGAGAAGCCTGGGGCAGGAACGCCCTTGAGCCCTGCTTCTCCGTATGCGTCGTATGTCTGTCGTTTCTTCTCGTCCGAGAGAATCTCGTATGCGGTGGTTATTTCCTGGAAGACTCTGGTGGCCTCCTTTTTCTTTTCTTCGCTCTCGCCACTGGCAGCTATCTTATCGGGATGGAACTTGAGGGCTGCCGCACGGTATGCTTTTTTTAGCTGCGCGAAACTGGCATCTGGAGAAACGTTCAGTAAATCATATAGCTTTGTTTCCTTCACCATCAGAAACACTAGTAACCTGATAAACTTGTCGTTTCAGCTCAGTAACAACTTCTACAACCCCAAGGTTGGCATTCCAATGTACTTGGTCTGTTTTCTAATCCAAGCAATACCCTGGTCACCAGTGTTGGATAAAGACGAGACAAGAAAAATATAGGCCCACCGAGCTTTTTTCTATTGGCTTCCATGGTTTCTTATGTCATCCGCTTTTCCCAGAACGGAAGTGCTGCCTCGAAACCTTATTTTCCCCCCACCGATTCGCCCAATCCGGACAGTGCCCGTGCTTGGGGCTCAGGAATCCACCGCGGGGTATGTATTTCGGCAGCTCTAAAATCGTAGACTACTCGCCAAATCTGATGGCTATATAACTATGTGAGTGAATTTTCTTCCTATTAGCATTTTTGCAGAAAAAAATCCATGTCCAGCCAGCCAGCGTCGTCGTCTTCCAAACCAGACCTGCCGCCTCCGGTGGTGTCTCTGGCCTTCAGCAACGCGTACCTGCCCACAAACTACGATCTCTCGCTGGATATCAGCTCCAAGGCCAACTATATGGGCTTGGTGGTGATGGATCTGGCTCCCAACGAGAGGGCCTCGTTTTCTGGCTCTGATCCGTTCCAGCTGGTGCTCAATGCTGTTGAGCTCGTTGTTACCGATGCGTACTTGTTGGCCGGCTCTCAACACAAGCTTAAGGTGGAGCAGAACAGGAAAAAAGAGACGGTCAGGTTCTCGACAGACATCACTTTTGACAGCCTCCAGAACGAGCAATTGCGGCTCCGTGTGCACTTCATCGGCGTTGTGCGCGGCATTGCGTCCATGAGAGACTTCACCAAGGGCGTTTTCAAGACCAAGTACAAGGACGGCGCAAACGACCGGTACATTATCTCGACACACTGCCAGCCGTCGTTTGCCCGGCTGATCTTCCCCTGTGTGGACGACGTGCTGGTAAAGACGAGTTTCAAGCTGTCGCTGACGGCGGACGAGAAGTTCACGTGCGTCTCGAACACGCCGATTGAGTCGGCAAGCGCGATAGGCCAAGGCCGCCAGCTCGTGGTATTCGAGGCCTCGCCGAAAATGACCACCTCTGTGTTCTCCTTTGCTGTCGGCGAGTTCGACTTTCTCGAGGAAAAAATCGACCTTCCCGGGCAGGAAAACTTCCCGCTGCGCGTGTACACGCAGATCGGCGAGTCTGGCCGCGCGAAGCTGGCGCTCGCGACCGTCAAGTCGACGCTGCCGAAACTCGTGCAAAAATTCGGTGTTGAGTACCCAATTGCGAAATTCGACGTTATCGCATTGCCATTTCTGAGCGACGGCGGAGTCGAGAACTGGTCGATGATACAGATCCTCAAGGACCATCTGCTAACTCCGGACTCGGCGTCGCCCGCAGAAATGCTGAAAATCACCTCCATGATCAAAAACGTCCTGGTTCACGAGATGGTGCACATGTTCATGGGCGACCTGGTGACGTTTGAAAGCTACGACTACACGTGGCTCAACGAGGCGTTTGCGACGTTCATGTCCAACACGGTTCTGAACGAGGAAAGCGACGACAACCAGGTCTGGTTCGACCAACTCGCCAACGACGCGTTCAACATGAAAAGATACCAGGGACTCGACAACATGAAACCGATCCATACGGAGAACGTCCCTGCCGACACTATTCAGAGCACTTTCAGCAAACACTCGTACGACAAGGGCATTTTTGTGCTGCGGATGCTCGCGGGACTGTTTAATGAGACGCCCGGTGAGAATTACGACAGCTTCTTTAGTGCGGTCGGCGACTTTATCAACAAGAACAAGTACGGCCTGTTCAAGCCGGCCGATCTGTGGATTTTTCTGAAGGAGCACCCCCTGAACAAGTTCAAGCACGATATCCCCACCATCATGTTCTCGTGGACCAGAACGGCTGGCTATCCGATCTTAAAGGTGAGCACACGCGGTGAAAAGCTGCTGGTGGAACAGCATAGGTTCCTGTACAACCCGGAGTCAAAGGTCGAGGACGTTCCGTACCAGGTGCCGCTGTTGGTCAAAAATTCAGACGGAACGTATGCTAGGTACATGTTGTCGGATAGAAGACTGGAGATTGACGACTGTTTGCTGGTGAACGCCAACAACAACGCTATTGCGACGATAAAGTATTCCCTGCCGCAGTATGAGGTCATTGCTTCGAATTTCGAAAAACTGAACAATATCGAACAGTGTCAGGTTGTTCTTGATCTGTCGACAGTTTTCAGCGAAAAGTACCAGGACGGCGACGACATTCTGGGCTTTGTGGTGTTGATGAATAAAATTGTGAAAGAACCGAAGATAGTCAATGCCACGGCGTTCAACGCAGCACTGTCGCTGTTCAACACCCTCACCAAATCTATCCTGTCAGTGAGCTACTTTGACGACCAGAAGACTTACAAAACCGTTGCAACGTGGGAAAACACGGTCATCAGCAGTCTTTTGGACTCGTTTGAGTGGGAGGGGCTCGATTTCAGACAATTGCCGGCCACAGAGCTGTCTGTGCGTGCCACCCTCCTGAAGCTGGACTATTCGAACGCGCGGTCGCAGACGATCGCGAAAAAACTGTACAAACAGCTGCTGCACGGGCCAAAGGGCGCCGTCCCGGTCAAGCTTGTGGCTGCGGTGCTGAACAACGTCCAGGCCGGCGGCTCCGCCAAAGAGTACAAGGAGATCCTTGGTATCGTGAAGAATCCAGACTCGGTCAGCGACCACGTCTACGAAGAGCACAGCACGGCCGACGTGCGCACGGCAGCGTTGACGTCGCTGGGCTACGTGACCAAGAGCGATTTGCAGCAGAAAACGCTCAACTATGTGCTGAACAACATGGACACGCCGTCGGTGGAGCTGGCTCTGGTGGGTCTGAAACACCAGCCCGAGGCGTTTGCGACGATCTGGGCGTGGTTCAGCATGCACTACAACGGCTTCTACGCCAAATTTATGAAGGATAGCAAGAATCAGAGCTTTATTAGGTCGTTCCGCGGTATTGTGCAGCTGGTGTTTGAGAGCTGTCTGTGCAGCAAGGAGCTGGCGGCCAAGCTGGAGAGTTTCCTCAAAGCGAAGAAGTTCGAGCCGCTCAACGGCGAGTTCCAGCGTGTTCGTGCGGCGTTTGGCGACAGACTCAAGCTCAACGAGGCGAACAGCCAGCTCTCGCGGGTGATTGCTGCTTGAAAATCGACGTTTGCTTGTGGCCGTACACCGCGGAAAGCAGCGAGTCGTCCCACGTTCCGGTGCCCCTGCGCGCGTTGCCCACACCGATTTTGACCGCCATCCGGGCAGCGATGACGCGGCGCAAATACACCTCGAAAAGCAGTCTTGTGAGCAAGTATTCGTTATTCCATATATCGTCATTTTGTCGCAGATACGGCTCCAGGTCTCTCCAGAGCATGTTTTTGTCAAAGATGTCCCGCTTGACTCTGTTGTAGTGTTCTGAATTTGACTCCAGACTAATTTCCGCCATCGTGCTCAGTCTCTTGTACGGCGTATTGTACTGGTAGCCAGATTTCGGGAGCGACTTGACCTGCGGGTCTATCCCGAGCTTTGTGAGGCTCTGCAGCGACTTGTTCAAATGATGTGGCAACTCAACAGACTGCGGCGTCATGTAATCTTTGATGCTCATGTCGGTAGGGTCCAGAAACAGCTGGCGATTAGCTACCCTGGTCCTGGCCACCGCGTACTTGAGCACCGGGTTGTGCTCGTACTGGGTCCACGACGGCGAGAGAGTGTAGGACACCATGTACGGCGGGACGTCGTGGAGACTCTCTTTGGAGTCGAAGATGGCGCGGAGGTCTGACTTGGAGGCGAAATGCGCTCTGTTGGCGTAAAGCTGTGATTTTTTCGATGAATTTTGGCGCACGAGGTTGGCGCGGTGCGAGGGGCGCTTCGAGAGCGGCCGGTGAGCCAGAACGGCTTGGCTGTGGTGTCTGGCAAAGCCTTTTGTAGAAGGCTCCATGAGTCTGTTTACAGGAGTTTGATTTTTTTAGATCATAACGGTTGGCTGGTCCCCAGCTATTTCCGCATTGGGAATGCACTGAATTATTTATTTTATTTTTTTTATTTTACTTTATTTTGTTTATTTCATTTTATCTTATTTTTCATTATTTTATACCAAAATGCTCTCCTTCTCGAGGATCCGCTCGGTCTCCCGCGTGAGCTTCGAGAAGCTGCGCGATGGACCTTTCAGGTTGGTGAACACCAGTAACGAGCCGTTCTCCTCGAGATACGTCTGGCATTCGAATTTGCACGCCTTGAGCCCGAACGAGTTGTTCTTCGAGACCGTGGCCACCAGCCGCCGCGTCTCCTTGTTGGCCTGCAAGTCTGTTATCCCGTGTTGTTTCCAGCTGACTAGCAGCGATATGAGCGCCTCGAACAGGTCGTCTTCGCCCAGAACAGTGTGCAATTCCTTGGTTTCCTGCTGCTCCGCAATCTCGCCCGTAAACAGGGCCAGGAACGCCTGTGTGATGCTGACTTTTCTCCTGGTCTCTTTGGCGTCTTTGGCGTCGCTCTTCTTTCTCGTGCCGAACGACAGCTTGCGGAAGAACGATCCACCCGAGCCCGCGCGTCTGTTGGCGTCGTTGCTCTGTTTCTGCTGGTCCAGCTCTCCGAGCGGCTTGCGCTGCTTGCTGAACTGCAGCGAGCCGTCGTTCTTCTTGCTGGCCACCACAGGCGACTCTGGCCGGCCCGTCGCGTTCTCCTTGTAGACTTCCACCTTGTCCTCTTTGATTGGCGAGCCAGGGATCTCCGGCAGTCTCAGCGACTTGTACAGACTCTTGTCGGCGGAGTTGGCCGAAATCATCGTGTCTCTGGACGCTTTGTAGTGGAGGTTTGGAATATCCTCGGACGGCAGCAGCATCGACTTCTTCTTGGTGCTCTTTCTCTTGTCGTCCACGAAATACAGGCCCTCGTCTTTATCGAGCTGCAAATTCATGTCGACGGTGTCGTCGGCGTGGGCGTCCGAGTCATCCTGGAAAACCATGCTCAGCCGCGTGCCCTTGGACGTGCGGTCCAGTGTGGCGGCGTCCTTGAGGTTGCTGGCCGAGTAGATCGACAGCACGCTGAGCCGCTTGTTGTCGGAAAAATGCTTCGACTTGCGCGTCACCTGCGGAATCGTCACGTCGGAGATCTTCTGCGGGTTCTTGACTCGTTTCGGCTTTTCCGCGTCCTGTTTGTCCTCGGTCGTCTCCTCCGCCTTTTCCTGTTCCGCCTGCTCCTGCTCCGCCTGCTCTTTGGCGCGTCTCTCGTCCTCCTCCTTCTGCTTCAGCATCTTCTCCAGCGTCTGCGAAACGCGTTTCTGGTACTTCTCGTACGCCTTGGCACGCGGGTCCAGCTTTGTGACCGGCTTGGGCGGCGGGTTCACCGACGGCACGCGCCCGTGCGACACAGAGCGCCTATTAATCCTGTCCAGGTCGGACGCGTTGAGAATGCGCGAGATGCGCTCTATCGGGTTGGACGAGTGTCTCTTGCTAGCGAGCGAGCGGGTCGACGCGCTGCGCACAGACTGCGTGGAGGCGGCGGAGCTTGCCGAGCTTGCCTGGGCGGCCGCGTCGAACAGCGACGCAAACGTCGATTGACGCTTTTTCGCGTGGACCAGCGACTGTCTCGCAGGCCGGTCCTCCTCCATCAGCATGGCGCTGATCGTGGCGAGCGAGCTCGACGTGCTGAGCCGGGCCGCCTTGCCGTCGAACAGCATGTCGCACAGCGTCGCAAAGTCCGCGGACGCACGCTTGCCGTACTCCTCGACGTTCTTGGACTTTTTCTCGTCGATCGCCGCGAGCTTCGCGTACGTCGACAGCAGCTTCGACGTGACGCTGTTCCGCTTGAGCATCGTGCTGGACGAGCGCTTCGCCACACCCTTGTCGGCGAAGACCATCGAGTTGCGCTTGCTGCCCACCGAGGCGCGCTTCCGGAAGGACACGGGCCGGTTGGCGGAGTTGCCCGCGCTGAAGTTGCGCACGGAGCGCCGCCTGCTGGGCGAGCCGGTCTCGCTGGAGCCCGGCGTGACGCGCGAAATCACCGACGACGACCGCACGAGCGCCTGGCCCTGGTCGCGGTGGTCGTGGCGGTACCGCAGCAGCAGCGAGTAGAACGTCTTCTCCGGGTTCGCCGCCGAGCTCAGCAGGCTCTCGACGATCGAGTCCGCGTCGCGCCCGTGCCACAGGATGACGAGGTTCTCCAGGATCTGTCGGTCGATCTCGTCACGTGACCGCACCGGCTGCGTGGCGGAGTTGGGGTTGGGCAGGTTGAGGTAGTCCTCGTGGTCCTGCTTGTTGAAGGGGTACTTGGTGATGAGCGGGTGCTTGAGCACGTCTCTGGTCTTGATGCGCGCGTCCGGGTCGACCGTGAGCATCTGCGCGATCAGGTCCTGTGCCTCCGGCGACAGGTCCTCGTGGATCTCGTAGCTGCCCTTCTGCACCTTGAGCAGCAGCTCGCGGATGTTTTCGTCGTCGAACGGCAGCCGGCCCGTGAGCAGCGCAAACAGGATCACGCCGCAGGACCACACGTCCGACTCTGCGCCGTGGTACTGCAGCCCGCTCACGATCTCGGGCGCGGCGTAGTGGGGGGACCCGCACGAGGTCTCGAGCAGGCGGTCGCTGGACTCGAGCGCGGCCATGCCGAAGTCGGCGATCTTGACGTTGTACTGCTTGTCGAGCAGCAGGTTCTCGGGCTTGAGGTCTCTGTGGCAGATGCCGAGGCTGTGGCAGTAGGACGCTCCGAGGATGATCTGCCGGAAAAACTCCACAGCCGTGTTTTCGGGCAACGGGCCCGACTCCACCAGGAGGTCGAACAGCTCGCCGCCCTCGACGTACTCCAGCACCAGGTACAACGCGGTGTCTGTTTCCCACACGTCGTAGAGCCGGAGCACGTTCTTGTGGTTGAGCAGCTTCATGATGATGATTTCGCGCTCGATGCCGTAGCTGAGGCTCGCGTCCGGCGCCGACGCGTCGTGGCCGTCGGAGCCCAGCATGCTCTTGGAAACGACCTTGACGGCGGCCTTCTGGCCCGTGTGCACGTTGGTGGCGAGCAGAACGCGCCCCGTGGAGCCCTTGCCCAGCGTCTTGCCCAGCTTCCACGGGCCTATCTTGACCGGGTTCTTCGCCGCGGCCGGCTTGGAGCTCGGGTGCGAGATGCCCAGTCCCAGCGCCGAGGACGACACAAAGGACGAGGCATACGATTCTTGTCGAGAGTGGGGCATTGGAGATGAGAAAAGAGTAGGAGCGAACCAAGCGTATATGAGCAAAACGTTCCTGCACGCGTTCGCCCAAACCGATCAATCACCTTTCTGAAAAGGGAACCAAAGGGGTGCCTGCAGACGCGAGACGCGTCGACAGGCGAAAGGAGACACCCCTGCACCAAGAGAGAAAAAAAAAATGAAAATAACGATACTCGTCGCTCCTGTTCTGTCATTTATACACACGGGCAGCTGGCGGCCCTGCCAGCACCGCGGAACCCTATACACCCCCCAACCTGCTCGCGGTGCGCCTCGATCACGTCGCTCTCCTCCATGTCCAGGTCCTCCGGCGTGTCCTCCGGGTTCACACGGTGCCCGTCAAACAGAAACCGCAGACTGCTGGAGTCCTTGCCCTGTCTCTTGCAGAAGGCGTCCATCAGTCTCTTCAGCGGCGTCGACCGCTTGATCTTGAAAAACACCTCGGACGTGCCGTCCGACACCTTCAGGTTGATGTGCGTGTCGCTCTTGTTCTCCGGCTTTGGCGTGTTTTCGTCCGACATGCGTAGATGTTTGTTTGCCACTTTTTTTCAGCCGGTGTGTCTTTCAGCCGGGTTCGCTGTTTGCTTACGTAAGCCAAGCACGGGGGGGCAGCTACACGGGCAGCACGGGCTCCTGCGCGGGCACGAGCGGCTGGTCGCTGCCGTCGTCCGCGACAGGCGGGAAGAACTGGCGGTACGCCCACCACGACGCCGCGAGCCCCAGCAGCGACCCGCACGCGATGTCCAGCGCGTCGTGCTTGTAGTCCTGCGAGCGGCTGATGCAGATATGGAGAGCCACGAGGGCCGGCGCCAGCGGCGCCAGCTTGCTCACGGCGAAGCCCGCGCGGCCCGTGTACAGCCTGTAGTGGCCGCTGATCCACAGATTCAGGAAATTCATCCCGCACCACGCGAACGACGAGTGGCCCGACGGGAACGACTTGAACCCGTCCTGGAGCGCGCTTTCTCCGTACGGCGCGGTGCAGTCGGCGATGGAGTACAGTCCCGGGGGCGGAGAGCTGGGCGACAGGCCGCAGCGGGCCAAAAAGTCTGGCCTGGGCCTGCCCACCTTGACTTTAATAAATTCGGTGACGAATCCGGTGAGTCCCAGGGCCAATGCCAGGGCAAGGCACGAAACGCTGGCCAAGTGGACCACGCGTTGTTTCTGGTCGCGCGACGACCGCAGATACTGCGTCGCCGTCGCCAGCACGATCAGCACGCACGGAACCACACACGCATACACCACCATCTGAGCGTCCGGAACGCTGTCGACGGTGTACGGATAGCTGATGCGCGGGTCGGGCACGTAGAACTGGCGGTGGAAAGGCGTTGCGAGGGTCTCCAGAAATATAAAGGCGCCAAGGAGAATGGCCGCCACGCCCCACATGGGCGCAAAGTACCGAGCGTACGCAGAAACCATGAAACGCAGCGAAAAAAAATGTCCCTAAATAAATTCGAGGTACTTGGCTACACAGCAGTAGTTGCTCAGGTTGTAGTTTCTCATGGAGTAGCCGTCGATGATCTGCTGGACCTCGTCGTTGAGCGTCTCGGACCACTCCTCGATGGTCCGCATGTTGCTGGTGTTCGAGCTGTTGCACGACTTGACCAGCTCCCAGACCTTGTTCATCATGTTCTTGAGCGCCGCGCGGATCTCCTCCTTCGAGCTGTGGCCGTACGTCTTCTTGCTGAACACCTCAGACAGCAAGACGCCGTTGATCAGCAGCTCGATCTGCCGCTTCACAAAGACTGCGTCCTTCACCGCAGAAAGACGCGCAACAATAGGAAGACTGAACTGCGCCTTCTCGAGCCCCGGGTTCGTCACCAGCAAGTTCAGCGGCATTGTCGCCGCGTTCGAGACTGCGTTGTCCAGCGACATCCTGATGCTCGCCACGCCGCTGAACTGTTTTCTTCCGGAGTGAACGTCGATGCTGGTGACCGTTTTCAGTAGATCGACCTTGAGTCCATGTTTGAGCTCCTCCACCGTGAACGAGCTCAGGTCGATGCGCACGTTCATCATGGTGGACTTCTCAAAACTGCTCGGGACGTTGTTGAGGTTGACAACCTCAAACAAACCCCTCAAGTCTGCCGCTTCCAGCTGCCCGTGTCTCTCGATCTCCGTCACCCTCACGCCCTCACAGACCTCAATCCGCGTTCGAAGCTGAGAAATGGAGACGTTGTGGAACTGGCTAACCAGTCGCTTGATGAGAAGCTGCAGATTGTCGAAATCCAAAGCCAGATGGTGCTCCACGCTGCGTCTGACGTGTGTTTTGGATGAACCCATGATTCCATGATAGTGGTCCAACAATTCCTGAGGATGGTAGGCGTACTCATCAAACAGCGAGACAGAATGGAACGTTGCGCAATGTTCGTCGCAGAGCGTTGTGACCATTTCGCTAACACTCTTCTGCGGTTTCCTGTTGTAACGTCCCCACAAGCGATCGACAGTAGTATTCTCCTCAAAGTAGTGGACAGTCTTGACGCGTTCGGTATTAATGAAGATGATTTCATGAATATGTGGTCCTGTCTTCGGAAAGCTCGTGGTTGCAAGAAGAGAAACATACTTCAAGCCATCCTGCCACATGTTGTAGTCAGAGTTCTGCACTTCGTCTCCAGCAGCGGAAGTATAGCACTCGATGTTGGAAATCACCTCGGACCACCCTTCCCAATGCGGTGACATACATCCGTAGTAGTTGCCCAAAAGCGACTCAGGACGTTTGTTGCCTAGAAAAACAAGTCCAAGCTTGTCTTCTAGTTGCAAACTTTCGAGAGTCTGGGTGATTAGTTGGCGGATCTCAGAGGTATAGTCCGCATCGTCCAAACAACTGTTTCCGTTGTTCACCATCGGAACCACCAGAATAAGAATCAGAGGGTCAGAGTCAGGTTTTGAAACCTGCCGTTTGACAAATCCCAATGGCAGGTCCAATCCTTTGGAAACAAGCTTGTTGAACTTTAGCACCTCTTCTGGAATGACCTTTTCGTTTCGTTCCAACAGGCCCCATGCGTTGGTGGACATTTGGATTAACGGCACCTCCCTTGACAAGGACAGCGAGTCTTTGGAAAAAAGATTGGATGGACCAAACTCCCTGTCTTCAAAAGGATTGTCGGCGACAAACGGATTATTGGCATTTGCACGAGGCTGCCGTTGTGCTCTTCTTACAACCCTTGATAGCATTTTCAGCCATTTGTCGTGAATAAGCTTATTCTCGCTCTTCAGTTCAACATCAGGGACGCTCAAGCTGGCAAGATTTAGCGTGATTTCCAGCTTGGACTCGTCATCAAACACGGTGGATAGCTTGTCCATGATATAAATGTTCTGAATGAGCTCATTTCCAGATTCGGTGAGAATCAGAAGCCGCCGGTCAAAGAAGTACACCTGTGGATGGTGGTAGCTGTTGCCGTCGATTGAAACACTGACAAAAATATCAAACAGCACGAGGTGGCCAAGCTTTGCAACGTCCAGCTCTGAATCTGGACGCAGCCTCGACTCAAAGTTGTGGATTACCTCCTTTGCGATCTCCTGCTTCCTGTCCCATTCTCTATTCTTGCGATCTTCAGGAAGCTCCGACAAGGAAGGCTCGTAGTCTAGAGATTTTATATTGAGGACGCAGGAAAGATCGTAGTATTTTGGAATTGCATGCTCGTTGGCGAGAATGATCTTTGAAAATTCAGGTATGATCTCAATTTTAGCCTCAGCCAAAGATCCGGCTGGGAAGGCGGACGCATAAGGGGTTGCGGAAATCGTGGAAGGAAACGTGCTAATGATTGGCGAGTCAAAGAATAGAGGTTGTGTTTTTGGCGACGGTGGCGGAAATTCCGGGAAAGAGGACAGAACTGGAGTGGCGGGAGCCAGTGGGTCCGGGAACGGGGCCAGAGGCGTGATCTGGTTTCTCAGAGTAGCAGGCGTGGATGCAAAAATGTCCTGGTTGAACTCGCAAGAGCTGGATGACAAGAGTCTGTTTCTGATAATACTATCGTTGATCTCGTCGTCGTTGCAAGTGTTGGAAGTGCCGCAGATCGGGCAGTAGACTGCAGTTCTATCTCCGCTTGGAGAGCTGAAAAGCTCAGAATAGCACTCAAAATGACAATGGTGGCCGCATGACATGTCCAGCAGTGTCTCGCCCTCAAAGACATTCAAGAGAGGCTCTTCGCAGAAGCAGCAGTTCTCGTCAAAGGATATCTTTGACCTCTTCCTGTCGATCGATGAGCTTGTGACCACACTAGGTCTGTTGTACGGCGAGCATTGTCCTGACGAAACACTTGAGGTGCGCTGTGTGTATGAAAGCATGGAGGACCGCGATGAAACAGACGAGACTTCATGATCGCTCGGATTTCTTGGGGATCGGAAGAAGGGCGGAGGACCAAGCTTGATGGATGAGACAGAGGAGGACGTGCTTTTTTGTCTGAGAAAGCTTACTGGCGAGGGGGTATGGTGCGATGTTTTTCTATGGCTTGGAGACGAACATGCTGGGCCAGCAGACATGTTGAGCGAAAGCATGGAAACAAAAGCAGCAAAACTAATGGGGGCAGAAGGGGAGGAGTTTATATAGGCCACGAAAAACACACTTCAAACATACCTGATCCTCTAAATCATAGAGTCCTCCCAAAACCAGTTAATTATCTGCATGCAGACGTTCTACTCAAATAAGGCTGCAGCAGCAGAGAGCCGTGGGGCGGTGTGTGGCACTTGCATGAGCAGACGTAGAGATTTAGGCGATGAGTATTCACACTCTGATAATTCATCAGATATCTCAAACGCCATCTTTGCTCCACACAATAACGCAGCGAAGTTTCAGATGTTCAATCACAGGAGATACGAGCGAGAATACCGGTCTCTGTCTGCCGCGGCCCGCATCCGGTGAACATGGGTTGTCGATGACTGGAGGAGCAACGGGCTTCCCAAATTGGCCACTAAAGTGCTTTCGAATTGACCTCACTGCCCCACGTTGCGCCAAACAAATAATCAATTTTCAGTATATTTTTTTATGTGCTTTGTTCGCCCTGTATCGCATCTTCCAACCGTGGAAAACACCCACTTATTCCAAAACTACCAGCTCACTACCCCACAGGACTGTTTAGGCGACGACGCCGTTCTTTTCTACGGCCACGAAAACTGGAAGGCCCAATTGTCCGTCGATGTTGACACAGACTCCAACAAGGTCCGGCTTCCGTTTGCGAATTTAGGAGCGCTCGATCGCGACAAATGTACATTAGCTGGCACAAATCCCCCATCTACAGTGCTGAACGTTTGGCTCTTTGTGCTAAACGAGTGTCTGCTCTGTTATCTCCCCTCCGCGGATCTCATATTCGAAATACCGTACGAAGCCATCATACTTGTTGGTCTGCGAGGATCTCGAATCTATCTAAACATAATAGAGGGCTCGGATTTGGGCCAGGCTCCTGTTGAGTGCGAGTTTTGGCCAGAAGAGGGCGCAAGCAAGTACCCGTTGTTTGATGCTTTTTCAGGTTTCACTATAGACCAGCACTTACAAACAGCTCTACGAGCGATAAATGACCGCATTGCAGCGACCTCCACGTACCAGAATTCTGATTCCGAGGAGCCGCAGGAAGAGCCTGCAGACGTGGAGATCCACCTTAACGAACAGGGCGAGGCCGACGACGAGCTGAACGACCAACTGCTTCCTCTGGATCCAGCCAACAGCAGCATGTATGTCGAGCTGGGAATCATGAGTGGAAAACGGGGACGTGAGGAAGACGACACCACAAACGGGGTGAAAACAAAAATCAGATAGATTTTTGAGAAGCTGGCAGCTTTGCGCCCTGAGGAGTGCGGTTTTTGACTCTAAAGTCCTTGTTGACCTCGTCCATGGTCACCCACTCGACCCCCTCGTGCTTGTTGATGTGCTCGATCAGTCTTTCGTGCATCATCAGTACGTGGGGGCGGCCAGAAACGTCTGGGTGGCACGTGATGGGAAAAACAAACTCGTCGTATTCGCGATAGAAGTAATCGAAGTGGTCGCGCCAAATGTCCTCAACGTCGCGCGGATTGGCCCAGCCGTATCCGTCGGCGCTGTTTTTGATGAACATCATGGGAGGCAGGTCGTCAATGTACCAGTTACCTGGGATTTCCACCAGACCCGTCTCCTTTCCGCGTTGCAAGGGCTTCATCCACTCACGGGCTTTTTTCGAGTAATCGATTTTTGTCCAAGAATCGCCGGTCCGGAACCAATAGCACTGGCAGTCGTGGTGCGACATCGAGTGGTCGTATTCTATGCCGTAGTCCAGCAGCATTTCCACGCCCTCCTGGCTGGTTTCCCACCAGGGAGCAACAGAGCCTTTGGGCGGTTTTCCGCAGAATTCGGTGAGCAGTTTGAACGTTTTGTCAAGGACGTCTTTCTGCTTTTCCAGGGTCATGTCGCTAGGATTTTCGTGCGAGTAGCCGTGAAGACCGATCTCGTGGCCTGCGTCTCTGATCATGGCGCACTCCTCTGGAAAGGTCTCTAGCGAGTGGCCCGGAATGAACCAGGTGGCCTTGATACCGTACTTTTCGAGCAATTTCAGCATCCGCGGAATCCCCACATGGCCTGCAAACAGGCCTCGCGAGATGTCGCTGGCGGAGTCCTGGCCCCCGTACGATCCCAGCCAGCCGGCGACCGCATCAATGTCAATTCCGTAGCAGCACAACACTCCTGAATGTTAGCATGGTGGTAGGTTATACTAACTTTTAGGCATGATAGATAAGAAAAAATTAATTAAGATAAAGAATTAATTTTTTGAATTAGATAATATTAGATTACTCTATTGGTAGCTGTCGATATATAGACACTCGCTATTTGCACTGAAGCCGTTGAAATTGGTGGCTGCAGCAGACGTGTAGGCGCCTGTATCCTTAAAGTAGAGCCAATCGCCAGCAACAACCTCCTGGGACAGCTTACAGTTTGGAGTAATACAGTCCAGTCCGTCGCATGTTGGGCCCCAGACAGAGTACTGTTTGGACGGATTGGCTGCCGCTGCCAGCTCCTTCTCCGGGTGGTTGTAGTTGGAGTGGAACACAAACCGGCCGTGCGAGGTGAGCACTTTTGGCTCGACCTCCTGATGGTCGAACAGAATACAGTTGAGATTGCCGTAAACACCGTCGTTCACGTAGATTCTCTCCTGGAATTCGTCGGAGCGCTTGGACGTGACGTTGACGGCAAGAGTGAAGCACGAAGCGGCCAAGAAGCGGCCCAGCTCCGAGAAGATGTAGAGATCTGGGAACTCCTCCGCCGCAAAGTGGGTGTCCAGAGCAGATCGGAAAACGGTCGCAGACGCGTGAAACGTGGGCTTCGAAAACCCGCCTCCAATATCAAGCATCTTCAGGGTGTAGCCTAGCGATGCGGCGTAGTCAAAGACCATCCGGGAGTCTCTGATAGCCGTCTCAATGGTGTTGAAATTCTTGCAACCAGAACCAACGTGGAAAGCGACACCCTCAAGATTGAGCTTCAGTCTGGCGCACTCCTGGACCAGAAGCCGCGCCTCGTGCAGCGACGCACCGAACTTGATGGAAAGCGGGCATGTGGCATCGGCATCGTCCGTGTGGATCCGGATAAGAAGTCCGCAGTCAGGGTGGTGAGCTGCTATCTTGCGCACCTCGTCGACACTGTCCACAGTGGTGAGGTTGACGCCGTTCTGCCGTGCATAGCGTACGTGGGGAACCGCCTTGCAAGGATTGGCGTAGACAATTTTGGCCGGATCGGCGCCCAAGGACAGCATCTGCTGGATCTCGGTCTTGGAAGCACAGTCAAAGCCAAGCCCCATCTGAAGTAGTGTGTGCAGCAGTTTTTCATCGTTGTTGCACTTCACTGCATAGAAGGGCTCGACACGGGGCATTTCTGCGCGCCAGAGCCGGACAAGCCGTTTCAGCTCGCCCAGGTCGCACACAAAGAACGGGTCGAGCTCGTCTGGTTCGCAGGTGTTGTGGTCAACGCTCTGAATTTTGGAGAGCAGCGTGGCCCCCAGTAGCGACTCTGCGCGGGGTGGAAACTCAGAAGCACTGCTCCACGTATTCTTCAAACCAGCATTGGACAAAGAAGCCGGTTGGACAAGCACTGACGGAGCCATCGAGTAATTTTTTGCTAGCAAACGATGAAACCAGTTCTTTTGGGAGATCTGACGGACAAACATACACCCTCGAGGGACAGCTACCTTATGGAATATAAGGCACAACAGAATTAGCGGACGTTATGCGGCAGCTCTCGTGAGGAATTAAGAAGAATAACTGGGAAAGAATATTTAAGAAAAATTTTCACTGATAGCAGGGGGAAGTTGCCGTGTGGGGTGTAGGAGGGCCATTGTGTATGGGGCACCAAGCAGCGACTATCTTGGTGCCACAAACTGCTTGTCCGCATCTCTGACGGCTGGCGCGGTATCTAGACACCAACAAACACTTCCTGGTCTCGCTCGCATTGAGATTGCACACCGCGGCAAATTACGTAATATGAAAAACCGGGTTTAGAGAATAGGGGTTGCGAGTTTATGGCGAGGCCAGCCTAATATGAGCCAAATGTTTCCCTATGACTTGCATTAATTTACATTACTGTACACCTATTATACACCATCTACTCGTCAACCTCGACCTCGCCGTCGCAATGGAGACAGCGGTACGCGTAGTGGTCGTTGACGAGCACTTTGCCCTTATTCTTCATGAGGGTCCACTCGCCCTTGGCTGGGATGCGCAGACACTGCGAGTTGAGACATCTTGCGCGGGTCTTTTTGTAGCGCAGGCCGCAGGAGTTGCACAGCTGGCCCTCGGACGAGGACCAGGACGGTCTCCAGCAGGGCGACTGGGCCGAGTGGCACGAGATGCACTTGCGTGCGCCGCCTGTGTACTGTGTGGGGGCTGGTGCATGCGCGGCTTCGACAGGGACGTTAGCCGTGGTGCGGAGGTGGGTCTGGGGCGAGGCGGGGGTGTCGAGCGAGGTGTTGATGAATTTGGAGATGCCGACGCGTGCGTAGTCGCGGTGGTCGTGCTCGGACGGCATCAGCATGGACGAAGGCATTGGCGGCAGCTTGAAGTTGTCGGCAGACTCGGCCACGTAGCTCTGCTTTGGGCCCTGAGCGTACAGCTTGGCCGACGACGTGAGCATCTGCACGTCCTTGAGGTATCCAGTTGTCTGGTAGGTGTAATTATTAGAGTACGGGTAGTCGACGAGGCCGTTGTATTTCTGGTATTGGGACTCGACAAATGCGGCAATCTTGGCAGGTTTTCTTGAGCGGGGCGGCTTGGACACTTTGGAAACGGCTTTTGAGGGTTTCAGCCGCATAGAGGTGCAGTACTCCCTGTATTTTTTAAACAGTTCTGTGTTTTCGTGCTTGCACTTGTTGGAGTAGAAGTCTCTCCATTCCTCGTTCTGCTGCTCGAGCAAACAGCCGCGCACATTGCTCTCCGGCGCGGCGGATCCCAGCAGATTGAACGAGTAGCAGGTATCTGGGAAGTAGAAGCAGGACTCGGACTCGAACGAGCGCAGCTTCGTGGATGGCTTGAGTGGCAGAGGCAGCTGGCGCGGCGAGCTGGATGCTGAGGCAGGAGGCGTCGCTGGGGACTGGACCAGGGTATGTTGGGACGCCGAGATAGGCGTGGAAATCGACAGCGAGGCCAGCACGACGCTGTTGGAGGGAGGAGTGAGTGGCAGGTCGGCAAAGCTGAGTTTTGGGGTCTCGGGGACTGGGGACGATGGGGCTGTTCTGCACCGTTTTGCGGACGGACTGGACGTCGAATCAGACACCAGCGTGAACGAATCGGACATCTCTGCAAACGACCGTTTGAGCTGGGCATCGTGGATCAAGGTGCACTCCTCCGACCGGGGTCTGGACATCTGGTAGTAGGCGCTGGACTTGGTGTTGGTGGAGTCGGAATGCGACCTGGAGTGGTTGAGTTCTGCAGCGAGAGTGGACATAACGAGTGACTGTTTGGAGAATTGGAAGAAGGAACGAGAGACGGTCAGTTGAGCACAATCCTTCGCGTGTCACAGAGATATATATTGTTACGGGATCGCTGGATTTCGTGGGGCTAGTTTTCTGTTTTTCCTAAATTCAGGGAAGAATTGTTGTGATCTGATCTGCCCCCTTTTCCAACTACCAGATAATTTCATTGATCTAAAGAGATCATAGTGCAGAACAATAGGAAGCTGGCAAATTATGGCACAAGGCTATTGCTGGACAGCCGCATTGGGAAAGAGGTGTCCTAATTGGGAACCGCATATGCATGCCACCCAATCAAGAAAAACCAGCATCCGCAAACAGCCACTCCCCAACTACAGAAATCTGGGTTCGCGCTCACATCCTTGCACGCGGAAAACAGATTCTTGGCCCGGTTATGTTTTTTTTCACAAAAAAAATAAAATAAAATATTAAAGAGCCATCCCGATGTCCGATCCAACAGCCAAGCTGGAGAGTTTCCTTAAAACTCTGCTAAAGTCGCTGGATCAGCCGCTTCTGCCTAATCAGCTGCCCGACGCGTACGCTGCGTCGGTCCTGCCACAGCTACAGACGCCGTCCAGGGTCATCGTCAATGGCACCCCGTATGGCTCAAAGCAGCTATTCCAGCAGACCTGGGCCACTCTGCCGGCCTCCCAGCACCAATTGCTTAGTTACGACGCCCATCTGATTCCCACAGGCCATCCGCAAAGCATCTACAGCATTCTGGCGCGCGTGAGAGTGCGGTTTGACGAGTCTGGCCGCAACCGGCTCGGCGAGACCGCAGACCTCGTACCGGTCGACCGCCCGGCAAGGCCGCTGTATTCGCCGTGGTTTGGCGTGAGCTTGCATTTGATTGCCGACGAGCAACTGAACCATACTTTTGAGTGCGAGTGTATCAGCTCCTTTAATTACAGAGTGACCGAACAACCGGAGAACAGCGTCTTCCATTTATAACTCAAATAACTCTTTTTATCCACGGCTTGGCCAGCACCAAAACAGTCATTCCCAGGCAGATGACGCCCTGAAGAGCCACACATCCCATCTGCACATAGAGCCCCATTCCAAAGTCGACCGCCGCGAGCTCGTTGTCGTTGGTCAGCTCGTTCAGCTTCATCACATACACGTACTCCACGATCAGGTCTCCCAGGTTGAGCACGAGCGACGCGAAAGTCAGGGCGTTGAGGGCCCCGAGGATGAACGAGACGCGTTTCTGCATCTTGTAGAACCTGCTTTTCGACCTCAGCAGGCTCACAAGCACCACCGCGTACGCGAGAGCCGCGCAGCAGCAGCCAAAGCTGCACAGAATCACAAACGGCAGGATCCGGCCCAAATACTTAACCAGCAGCGCGTCGTACGCGATCTCGTTGTCGTCTCCCAGGTTCTCCAAGATGGCGTGGAACCCGGTCACAAGCGAGTCGCCCACGTCCTGCGGGTTGCCCTGGCTAGAAATGATGCTCAGGCTCATTCCGGCGTCCTTCACAAGCACAGACGGGAGATCCAGGCCGCCACGGAAGCTGGTGCAGGTTCTTTTGTTGGTGAGATAGTTGTCCTTGCAGTATCCAAAATAGTTGATCTTGAAGATGTTGTCCACCGAAAAGGTGTCGATCTCCTTAATGTCCTTGTCTGTGAAGTCGACGGCGGGCGAGTCTGTGCCCAGGTCCATGGCGAAATACGTGATCACCTTGATGCTTTCTCTGATCGTGTTGAGCGGGCTCGACCGGGAGTCGTCGATGAACTGGAACTCGATCTTCGGCAGACAGTACATGCTGTCTGTGCCACACGAGACCGACACTCCGCCAATCAGCAGCGGCGGGACGAACATGAGCAGCGCCAAAAACGAGAGCACCACAAACGTGCGGTAGTACCCCTTTGTGGGTGCTATCAGAGGCTTTGTTTTAGGGGCGTACGACGTTGTTGTTGTTGTGGTTGTGCAGTCGTTTGTTTTCGCCGTGCTCATGAGCTGGTCCGAGCTGTTGGCGTCGGTGAGTCCCGACAAGCTGTTGAACGGCGAGACCGACATTTTGGGCGGCCGTGCCGAGCGCTCGTCCTTGAACGGGTTTTCGACCGCGGCGGCTTGTTCGTCCATCGGCGACCGCTGCGCCGCCTCCTCGTTTGGGTCCGTGAAGAAGACCGGCTTGAACGACTTGGTGCCCGAGAACGTGTCGGGGAAGCGGGGGGTTTGGTTGGAGAGCATAGGAGTAGCAATAGGCGCGAAAGAAAAGGGAGAAATTTTTGGGGGGATGCACACAAATAGACGATAAAATATAATACACGAGCGATAAACGCAAAGTAGCGAACACGCCGACGGTGCGCTTTGAAAGCGCACGGCGAGCTGCGGCCAGTCGCCCAATCTCGCCTGCGGACTTGAGCACTTCCGCTTCACGGACGGTGCCAAATCTGCCGATCCAGCCCAGATCTATCACGGCTGTGCAAAGTAAGTCCATTTATTTTCTTCCATGTCCCAAAAGTCGCTCCAGGGCTGGACGTTTGAGCTCAAAGAGCCCGAAAATGGCACGCCGCGACGCTCGCGACGGTCGGCGGCCGCCGCTGTGGGCCAGATCCGCCTCACGCGCGACGCCGACCGGCTCGAGCTCAAGAAAGGGGACACCGTCCTTGTCTCAAGCGGTACGGGGCCTCCCGACGTGGCGCTCATCAGAGACATCGATTTCGGCACAGACACGTTTCTGGACGTGCGGGTGCTGTGGTTCATGCGGCGGTCGGAGGCAGACGACGGCGTTCTGCCACAGGACAGCCGGCTCGAAAACGACGTGTTTCTGACGCCCATCGCGGAGAAAATCCGCCTCGACGACATTGTCGGGCCGTGCACAGTGCTCTCGGCGTCGCAGTTCGCCGCCGTGCGGCTGGACAGCTCGAATCGCGGCTCCACGTTCCGCTGCCAGAGGTTCAGCGACAGAGACTCGTACTTTTCCGACCTGGTCGATTGGGACGATTACGTCAGCAGGGGCACCGAGTATGTGTACCAGCAGGTGAAGGAGCTGGCCATTCCGCCACGGCAGGGGTCGCCGCGCAAGAAAAAGCGCACAGACACGCCCACCAGGCCGAAGACCCCTAAGATGCGCAGTCCCGAACCCATGGTTTTGTCCGACAGCGAGGAGCTCGACTTGGAGGATCTGGATTCCGCGTACGAGAGTCCGTTGGAGGAGAGGCCCCGGCGCAGAGAGCGGAAAAGAAAGCCCAGAGCAGCGCAGAAAAGTGCCAAATCCAGCTCGCCCTCCAAGTCGACGCCCCGGGGCCTGCGCAAGGCCAATAACAGCGTGCCTGTTCTGCCGACGGTGATTCGGCAGAAGTTCTTTGAGGACGACAACGAGCTGGTCATAGACGACGACGACCTGCAGGAGGTGGTCGATACCGACGGCAAAGTCGTCAAGACGTTCAGAAAGGCCAAGGAAAAGCTGCTGCCGTCCGCCAAGCTGCAGACGCTTCCGTGCCGAGACCAGGAGTCTGCACAGTTGTACAGCAGTCTTCTGGACGCGATTCTGAGCCAGCTGGGCCGGTGTATCTACGTGAGTGGCACGCCCGGCGTGGGCAAGACGGCCACGATACGGGAGGTGATCAAACAGCTGTTTGTGAACCTTGCCAACGACAACGATAAGAAAATGTTCAACTATTTGGAAATAAACGGTCTTAAGCTCATGTCTCCGCCCGCAGCGTACGAGGCTCTGTACCACAAGATTTCGGGCGATAACGTCAAGGCCGGCGCGGCGCTCGACCTGCTGGAGAGACATTTCGAGACCAAAGACGAGACACGGCTGCCTTTGGTTGTTCTGCTGGACGAGATGGACCAGATCGTGACCAAGAACCAGACAGTCATGTACAACTTCTTCAACTGGCCCACGTACGAGAACTCGAAGCTGATAGTGGTGGCCGTGGCCAACACGATGGATCTCCCCGAGAGACTGCTGACCAACAAGATTTCCTCGCGGCTCGGGCTCACCAGAATCCAGTTCCCCGGATACACGTATGCGCAGCTCAGTGAGATCATCAAGCACCGTCTCGAGAAGATCGAGCGGGCCAATGAGAACAAGCTGGTGATATCCAAGGACGCGATCGAGTTTGCGTCCAGAAAAGTGGCCAGTGTGAGCGGAGACGCGCGCAGGTCGCTTGTGATCTGTGTGCGGGCCTTGGAGATTGCAGAGATGGAGTTTCTCAGCAAACCGCAGCAGGAGCGCGACGAGCTTCAGGGGCGGTACACCGTGGGCATCATGCACGTGATGAAGGCCGTGAACGAGACCACGTCGACTCCCGTGGCCAATTATCTGAACTCGCTGTCTTTTGCTGCGAAAATGGTTTTGGTGGCCTTTCTGCTGCGCCGCAAACGGACGGGGTCTGCCGAGCTGCCGTTGGGCGAGATAATCGACGAGATGAACAACCAGTTCGGCATGGTGCTGTTTTCCGAGCTCAAGCGGCAACTGAGCCACGAACAGCTCGAGATGCTGGAGGTGTTGTATGGCGACGAAAACTCAAGGCTGCGCGTGGACGGGCTGGGGTACATTGTGCGCGAGCTGGACGAGAGCGGTGTCATTGCGCAGCAGCAGCTGCGTGCCGAACGATTGCGGCTGGTGCGGCTCAATGTGAACGAGGACGAGATCATTGGGTGTTTGAAAAGAGACGCTCTGATGGCCGATCTGATAGCCACCATGTGACTAGTGTCCTCTCATCTCCTCTCTCGCGGACACTCTGCGGTCGGCTCGGTCGCTGCGCTCGGTGTAAATCAGAATCGGTTCGCCCACGATCTGGATTTCGGGAATTCTGAGTTTCAGATCAAATGCTTTACTAATCACAATCTTGAAGATCTTTTGAATGTTGATCGAGGCACTGGTCGAGCAGAAGATCAGCGGCGCATTCATCGCCCGCGCAAACTTCTGGGCCTGTCTCGTGATCTCCTCCTGCTCCGCGTCGCTCAGGTCCACAAACAGGTCGTACTTCGTGCCCACCAGGAACGGTATGGCTGTTCTGTTGAACCCTCTCGTTTGCCGGTACCAGTCCTTGACGGAGCTCAGGGTGGACTTGCGGGTCAGGTCAAACATGAACAGCACCGCCACAGCGTCACTGGCCACCAAGGGCAGCATATTTGTGAACTCTGCCTCTCCTCCTAGATCCCAAATAGAAAAGGTGATCTCTGTGGTCTTGATATTGATGGAACGTTCCATGTAATTGACGCCTAGAGTTTGTGTATACACCTCGTCGAAGCAGTTTTCGACGTACTTCACCATCAGCGAGGTCTTGCCTACCTGTGCGTCGCCCACAAGGCCGACTTTGAGCGTCACGGTGTTCTTGTCCATAAATATAAACATTACACAGCCTGAGGAATTTAAAAGAGAGAATAGCACGACATCCGTGCACCAGGAAAAACATCGCCGCCCGGGCGGTCCACGTGACGTTGGAGCGGGCAGCCGGCATTTATGAAAAATTTATCGTGAAAAATATTTTGAAAAACTCTCTTTACGCAACATGGCTATTGGAAAGAACAAGAGACTGTCCAAGGGAAAGAAAGGTATCAAGAAGAGGGTTGTCGACCCATTCACCAAGAAGGAGTGGTACGACATCAAGGCCCCAACCACCTTCGAAAACAGAAACGTCGGAAAGACCTTGATCAACAAGAGTACCGGTCTGAAGAACGCTGCCGACGGCCTCAAGGGCAGAGTTGTCGAGGTTTGTCTTGCCGACCTGCAAGGCTCCGAGGACCACTCCTACAAGAAGATCAAGCTGAGAGTTGACGAGGTTCAAGGTAAGAACCTGCTCACCAACTTCCACGGCATGGACTTCACCACCGACAAGCTGAGATCCCTTGTCAGAAAATGGCAATCCCTCGTGGAGGCCAGCGTCACTGTCAAGACTTCCGATGACTATGTTTTGAGAGTTTTCTGCATTGCTTTCACCAAGAGACAAGCCAACCAAATCAAGAAGACCACCTACGCTCAGTCCTCCAAGTTGAGAGAAGTGAGAAAGAAGATGATGGAGATCATGACCAGAGAGGTTTCCAACTCCACCTTGGCTCAGTTGACCGGCAAGCTGATCCCAGAGGCCATTGGCAGAGAGATTGAAAAGAGCACCCAGTCCATCTTCCCATTGCAGAACGTTCACATCAGAAAGGTCAAGCTGCTCAAGCAGCCTAAGTTCGACCTTGGTAACTTGCTCGCTTTGCACGGCGAGGGTTCTGTTGAGGAGAAGGGCAAGAAGGTTGCTGGAGGTTTCAAGGATGTTGTTTTGGAGACCGTTTGAGCGGCCACCGGGCGTAGCCAGGTATATGATAAATAATTGAAGTTCAATTAAGATGAATAGTTAGGCAGTAGAAAAATAACTTGGGTTATGCAAAACTTCACATATCTTACATTATGTATAAACTTGTGCTCCTAGTTGTGCAGCCTCTTCTCAAACGAGTACAGTCCATGGACGCCACCTTCCATCTGGGCAGAGGCAGTTCTGATCTCGAATCTGACGTTGCCCTTGATGGTCTCCTCTCTCAGGGCAACGATACTTTTAACACCAATATCCTGACAAGAGTGCTGCAGTCCGTTGTACAGGTACGGAATAAACTTGGTGATAGATCCCTTGTCCAAGACGGATCCACTGACACCCTGCGCGACAAGAACTTTGTCGCCCTCACTAAAGTATCTCGAAGTGGATGCATTGGCGTTGGTAGCAGTCTGTTGCATGGCGTCGATCGACCCCATGCCTCTGTACGTCTTCAGCCTCTTTCCGTCTCTGTAGAAGTATTCACCAGGAGACTCAGAGGTTCCGGCAAGCATGCTTCCCATCATGACACAGGATGCTCCCAAAGCAAGAGCCTTGGTAATGTGGCCGATGTTGGAAACACCTCCGTCAGCAATACATGGCACGCCAAACTGGTTAGCAAACTGGGTCACCTTGTAGACGGCAGTACCTTGTGGTCTACCACAGGCCATAACCTCTTGGGTGATACAAATGGAACCAGAACCCATACCAATTCTCAGACCGTCTGCACCAGCCTCAATCAGTTGAGCAGCCTGTTCTCTGGTGACAACGTTACCGGCAATGACTTGCAAGTCTGGGAAAGTCTGCTTGATCCATTTGATCATGTTCAGCTGGAAAATAGAGTTACCTTGAGAAGAGTCCAAGACAACGACGTCCAAGCCAGCCTCGACCAGCTTGGCAAGTCTCACCTTGTCACTGTCCAAGGTACCGATGGCGGCACCACAGAGCAGCTGTTTGCTTTGGAAAGACTTGGAGGCGTGAGGATAGTCCTGGTTCTTCTGCAAGTCGGTTCTGGAAAGCATCGACACCAGGTTTCCCTCGCTGTCGACAATTGGGAGCTTACCCTTCTTGGACTTTCTCAAGATCTCGTTTCCTTCGGCCAACGAGATTCCAGCCTTGGCGGTGATCAAGTCTGTGGTCATGATCTCCGAAACAGGGCTGGCGTCGTTCTCGTGGAATTGGACATCTCTGGAGGTGATGATACCAACAAGTTTTCCTCCAACTTTACCGGTTTCTAGATTGTTAGTACAGATGAAAGCTCTTCTTCAGGATTTTGAATTTCCACAAGATCGTTTGATCGTATCGGTAGAACGAAAGTTATTTTAGAAGTTCGATCATCACGAAAAGAGCAGAAGCAAAGTACTTACCGGTCACTGGGAAAGAAGTGAAGCCGAATTGCTGGCCCATGGACTTGACTGTCTCAACCGTGGTAGAAGGGGAGATGGCAATAGGGTCGTTGATGAACCCGTTCTCGTACTTCTTGACCTTTCTCACCATTTCTGCTTGTTCTTCAGCACTGCAGTTGTGGTGAATGATACCAATACCTCCCAAAAGGGCCATGTGAATGGCCATGTTGGACTCAGTAACGGTATCCATCGGAGAAGAAACGAAAGGAGTCTTCAAAGTGATTTTCTTGGTCAACTTGGTCTCCAGGTCCACGGCGCTGGCAGGGAAGTCAATCTTACCAGGCAAGACAAGGAAATCGTTGTAGGTGAGCCCACCGTGGAGCTTGTTGTCCATCAAATCGTGGACAGAGAGTCCATCCTTCTCCGAGTAGGTCGAAAGGTATTCGACAGCTTTAGAACAGTCCAACGTTTGAGCCATCTGGAATAATAGGGGCGGTTTGCCAAAAAAAAAAAAGGGAATTCTCTAGCCTTTTATAGTTTTGACAGGACAAAAAAATTTAATAAAAAAATTTAATAAAAAAATTTAATAATAAACTCTAAAATTTTTCACCGCGTCTCCGGCGATATATCACCAAAGCTATCTGCCCTTTCATTACTAGTAACCGCCTACCTCACTTTTCTAGTTCAAGATAAGGACATGTACTCCAGACGACGCTTATCCACTCTTGGTATAGACGAGTGTCTGCCGGACGTGTCTTTCCTAAAACAGTAATTTATTATCCCGATTAGCACACCGGAGATTAATATAGTAAGACAATCGTAGATTAGAGAGGCGACTCGCTGGTCTAGCTAGAACCCTAATGAACGCCAATCCCCATTGTCAACTGGCTCTGCTCAAATCGTCTCTTTCGGACAGCTCCCAACACGGCTACCCAGATGCCCCCCATTCTCCCGTGTAGGGATGTACATATGTTATCTGTTTATTTTTCTTTAATTTATTTGCAAGTCCTACCAATGTCACAACCGGAGGAATCCCCGCAGACGCGATACATGCGAAACATCCAGCTCATCGAGAGCCAGTTTTTCCATCAGATGTCGACTCTGGGAGCACAGCCCGTCTCGCCCCTCAACTCGAAAGTTGGAGCGTTGGGTCCACCCACCGATCCGTCGGATTCGCTTTCTAGATCGCCTAGCCCGCCTCCTCCAGTGCCTCCAAAGACCTACCTCACGCAGAGCCCTCAGCGATCTCTATTCAAGACGAGCTTTGCAGAAAAAGACAAGAATTCAGCCCCAGGACAAAGTCTTTTTGACAAGAGTGCTAGGAGCAGTGTACAGAGCGACTTGTCGGCATCCGCGTCGTCAAGCCAGTCACGCAAACCTTTTTTCAAACCAAACTTGTCGCTCAAGTCGCAGAAATCGCTTTTCGAACAGGCTAGTCAACCGGTGGCCAGACCTGCTCTCCGATCCGACTCTGTTGAAGAGGACGAATTGCGCGACTCCGTGGGGACCCTGAACTATTTCGACCGCAAGGGCTACAGAGTGTCCAATGACGCGTATAACTCGCTGCTATTCAAAAACTCAGCCAACTCGATGGTTAGCATAGATGAGGGCCCTGTGAATATAAACGAGTTGCCCGACAGCATCAGGCTAATTGTCGACTCGCGTCCCAGCGACCAGGTCCATGATCTCGACTATTTCGACGGTGCCCAGTACAGCGCCTTTTGGCTCATCACGGAAGACGAAGCGCAGACTCTCACAGACTGGAACTCTCTTGAATTCCATCGCCAAAACGCAATTTTCGAGCTGTTTCTGCTCCTGCGAAAGTTTAGGATAAATCTGAAGCGCATGGTTTTTCATTACGGTCCAGCCTTCAAAGAAGCAAAGAACCTCACAGCAGACCAGAAAGCAGATTTCCTGAAAACCTTCGTTCCCCTTGCGGCCCTGTACGAGTACCTGGAGAAACTAGTGCGCAAACGGCTGAAACCAGCTTTTGACAACCACTTTTTCGTCAACGACCGCTACGTATTGGACTGTCTGAAGAACTGGCTATCGAAGCTTGAGCGCGATTACGAGTACATTTCCCGAAGCATGGTGTATCTGGCGAAAATCGCTGCCAACGAACAGTTCAGAGAATGGATTCAGGTGGCTGAGCAAACAGACGAGCTGGCTCTGGGAAACAACTATCTTGCTTCTGCTAGAGAGCTTTTCCACTCGTATCTTCTTCAAGCTTTTGCTCCAATGCGACTTATGGTGCTGGATCTGAAAAAACTATACACAAAAATGGACGACGACAGACTTGTTGCATTGGCTCAAGACATTTTTGATCTCCTCAACAAAATCAACAAGATCAGCGACTTTACCACAGATTTGGACAAAAAAATCAAATTGAATGAAAAACTGGTCTGCACAGACTATTTATATCTGGAAATGGTGGATCTGTTCAATGCTAAGAGAAAGCTCCGTGTTCCGATAGACGTTAATCTTCGCACGGCCATCTCCTCAGACAGTGCCATTCTCTACCTTCTAGACAACTACCTACTTCCACTGGTCAAACGCGAACATAGAGAAGCCAGCTACTTACTCAACAAGCCCCCTATTGCGCTGCAATATCTCGATTACACAGTGCACGAGGAAAATGGAGAAAAAACATTAATCCTGAAAGATGCCGGAAATTGTTTCACATACAACGTCCGGAACGAGCGTGTGGATGCTCCTACTCTTTTCAATAATTTCATCAAGGACATTCCAAAATATAAGGATGAACTGTTCACCAGACTGAGCAAAGCATACGAACTCAAACTAATCAACGGCACATCGTTCCAGGTCCCAGTTCCCTATTACGAATATACTGTGCCATCAATTGAGAAAAAGGAGCTTGATCCAGTGCAGCAGGCTCTTGCACAATCCAAGTTCAAGCCGTACTCTGTCCCTCCAATCGCCAACACCCAGGTGCTCAGCATTGACACTTTCCGCAGGGGTAAGGAGCTTTTCTTTGTTGTTGGAACAGCTGACGGACTCTACATGGGCAAACACGACCAGCCCGCAACGTGGAAAAAGATCTGTTCGTATCCAGATGCCGTCAAAATTACCATCATGCACGAAGATATGGGTTTCGTCCTTCTTAAAGACAAGCTCTACAAGGTGGACACAAAGGATATCTACGAATGTTACGAGCAAAATATGATGTGCAACTCCAGACTGTACCAAATTGCAAAAGGCGTCAACTCGTTTGAAGTGGGTCCTCAAACCATCCGTCGCGGACCGATCGTGATGGAGTGCGATATTCTCTTCTGCTGGACGGACAAAAAGATCATGTTCAGCATTGTGACTGCCAGCAACGGATGGAAGCTGAAGTTCGAGTCAATGCGGCCAACCTTCAAGGTTCTCGGACTGCAGCTGCTGTACCCAACAGACTTTGTGATCAGCCACATCAACGAGAGCAATCCTATATTCTACCTGTCGAACCTCAACACTATGGGCAACACGCAACTCAACAAGACAGACTCGCAGAGAGACCTCAAATCGCGTATTCGTGGACAGAGACCGATTGCCGCTTTCAAGCAGTTTGTGAACGACAAACACACCGACTACGACCTGCTGCTGGTGTACTCGCGTTACTGCATGTTTGTGAAGTATAGCAAAGAGCAGATCGTGTCGATTTCGCGAACAGAGATTCTTCGTTTTGGTTTTGAGGTTCAGGACGCCACGTACGACAGCTACGAGCAGATCCTCGTTGTCTGCAGCGAGCAGAACGTCGAGATTTGGAAGATCTTCAGGGACCGTCAGGCCAAGTCTGAGCTTATAGGCTGTGTGATTGGGTCGCAGGCCAGGCTGTTGAACAAGACGCCAGGGAAAATCATTATTGGCGTGATGAACAGCGAGCACTACGCCGGGAAGGGCAACCAGCTGCTTTTGCACTTGCGCAAGCGCAAATAGTCAACTGTATATACCTCTGTACTTTTACTCCTACACGTCGATCGACGCTTTCACTAAAAAAAAAAACATTTAACATTTGTTTCTTCCCAATTGCTCCAGCCATGAGTCAATCTCCGCCAAACACGCAAGGACAGCGCAATATTATGCAAATCACCCCGCAGCACGCGCAGCAGCTTTTCAGGCACTACCAGCTGGAGAAGGACATGGCCGAGCGCGCAGGTATTGATACTCCCGAGGGAAAGGAGCATTTGGAGAAATCGCAGAAAATCAAAGAGGTTTTGATGAAGTACAACAGGAGACAACAGATGCTGAATGCTCAATCGCAGAACAGAGGCTCTGGGACGCCTGTGGCGGGACAGCAGAGCTCTCCGGTGCCGAACATGGCTTCTGGAATGTCGCCCCAGATAGGTACACCGCAGCAGCTTGGAAACGCACAGACGGCCGCCTCACGGGCACAGGCCGGCATGAACACGTCTCCTCAGCAGAATATTCCCGGCTCGCGTCCGAACATGGGCCCGCAGCCGGTGCAGCGCCAGCAGTCGTCGCCGTCTCTCGGTGCAGGCACTCCTCCTCCGCAGGGCTCTGGAGCACCAAGTACACAGGACCAGCACGCGAAATACCAGCAGGTGTTCCGTCTTGCCGAGCAGTTCAAGGCCCATCTGGCTGTGATTCAGGGCAAGCTCAACGATCCAAACACACCGGCCAACGAGATGGCGCAATACATGCAGAAAGAGAGAGAACTGAGCGGCAAGGTGGAGCAGTGCCGACGCTTTGCACAGCAGCTGGCCCAGCAGCTCAATCTCTCTCAGGGCGGAGTTCCAAACCAGTCCCGAATGGGGTCTCAGCAGTCGCAGGGAGACGTTTTCTCGCAGCAGATGATGAATCCACAACAACAGGCTCTCCAGCAGCAGAGGATGATGCAACAGCAGCAGATCCAGGGCCAGAATACCAACTCTCAGGCACAGAGACTTTCGCAGCCGGCGCAGTCGCAATCGCCGGCCATGCAACAGCAGATGATGGGCCAGATGCCAATGTCTGTGCAGATGCAGCAGATGGCCAGCGGCAAGATGGGGCCCCAGAAAACGCCCGTGCAACAGCAGCCGCCGATCAAGAAGCAGAAGGTAGGAACTCCAGGCGCAAGCACTCCGATCACCAACGTCAATGCTGCCGCGTCCAAGCCGGTGCCAGGGGCTGGTCCCGGCGCCTCTGCCACGCCTATAGCCGGTAATGCTTCGTCTGAGTCGTCTCGGTCGCGGTTCCAGAACATGCCGATCCCCGAGGAGCTCAATATTGGCAACCCGCAGCCGGTCTCTGTCAAGCAGAACAACAGGCCGTCCATTTTGAACGGAAACTCCATCAGCGCCGCCTCTTTGACGACTCCTGTTCTCGTTCGACCACAGAACTTCGAGCTGGAAGGCGAGCGAGTGCTCAACCGCAGAAAGCTCAAAGAGCTTGTCAGGTCCGTTGGGGCGGACGAGGGCGATGCCGAGATATCGATCGACGGAGACGTGGAGGACCTGTTGCTGGACCTCGCGGACGAGTTTATCACCTCTGTCACGTCGTTTGCATGCCGATTGGCCAAACACCGCAAGTCAGAAAGTCTGGACGTGCGCGATGTGCAGCTTCATCTGGAAAGAAACTGGAACATTCGCATTCCTGGCTACTCGTCGGACGATATCCGCACCGTCAGAAAGTTCATCCCGACTCCGTCCCACAACACCAAGCTGAACGGGATTTCCATCAACAAAAGTGTCAATAAGAGTCAATGATGTATTATAGGTAAGCTAGCTGGTAATGTACTGCTACAAAAAAACACTATGTAGGTGCTAGCTTGTTGTTGGTACGTAGGCCGATGCCTGGCTTCGTCCTGGTATTGAATATTCAGTCCATTACGTAATATTTTCACATGTTTTTTAATGCTAGCTACATAAGGCCGTCGCCCCTGCTGGTCAGCGGTGACCGGGCCTCCATTGACTGGATCTTGCACCTACTTCTCTACACAGTTATGAACCCCCTGGGGGTCTGGGTTTACGCGGTGCCAATGTACTTACGGACGAATGACGGTAAATATCTGCGGTATGGATTTTTCGTGGTTATATGCTGGATTCTACGATATCTCAATCTGCGCAGCAAACGGTGCAAGTATCCCCGGCGCGAGCACATGAACGTTATAATAACTGGCGGGTCACACGGTCTGGGGCTGGAAATTGTGCGCAGACTCTGCGACAGCGCGACTGTTTTCGTTTTGGACCTGGAAAGATCCGCTCAGCTAGAGCCACTGGCCACGGCGAAAAATGTGCATTTTCTCCAGTGCAACGTGGCGGACCCGAAGTCGCTGGAGACCGCGTCAGAAACTGTTTTCAGCAGCGTCGACCGATTAGATGCCGTGATTTGCAACGCTGGCGTCCGCCAGACCAGACAGACTCTACATCTGCAACCGGCAGAGCTACGTGAACTTTTCGACATCAACTATTTCGCCAACGTGCAGCTCATACAGCACGTTCTGAAACACCATAGACACCCAGACAGACTCCACCTTGTGTGTGTGAGCTCTGTCCTTGGGCTTGTTTCTCCACGCGGTTTGTCTGGCTATTCTGCCACGAAAGCAGGCCTACATACATTTTTCATGGCTCTCCGGCACGAGGTGCCGGACAGCGTGGTCATCAGCACGATTCTACCCGGCCAGCTGACCACACGGATGTTTGAAGACGTGCGTGTTGACAGAAATTTCTGGGCTCCTTTGGTAGATCATTGCAAGCTGGCGCAACGTATTGTTGAGCTAATAGACCGAGGCGAGAACGGATTCTTTGCATTTCCGCTGTATGCCCGGTTCATTCCAGTTTTGCAGGTGCTCCCGTACTCATGGTACCGGGCTCTCAAGAAATACAGTCGTATGGACGACGTGATAGAGGATAAATAAATTCAGTTATTTTTTTCTAGTTTCTGCACCAGCTGTTCGATAACTTTGAGTAGCTCGGTAGGCACAAGATACCCGTCCGAGTTGAACACTTTAGGCAACTCTAGGGTATGCTGTAGAGTGCTCTTGCCGTCCGCAAGCGTTATGTAGTAGATCGGGTCGGCCTTGGACTTGAGTTTGGTGCTAACTGTCACCTTTTTCGACCCCTTGGTGCCAACGTACTTGACGTTCTTTTCGACAAATTTGGTGAACCCAACCCAGATACCGTTCAGAATAAAAAACACCACCACCAACGCCGTCGTGTAGTTGACGTAGTCCGAGTTCGAAAAGTCGTTGTTGTATTTCTTTTCCAGCCAGTACATCAATGCGCTAGCCCCAACCGACAAATATCCCACGAGAAGCTTGAAATCGGTGTTGAAAAACGATTGGCTGTATCCCAGGCGGGCCATCACCTCCGGAAGAGCCTCGTCGCACTCGTTGCGCAGAGCAATGGCAGAATACAAATTGACCTTTTTCATTAAAATATTAAGTTATTTTTCGTGCCATATTTATTTACACTATGTAGGGCTCGGAATACTCGTGCTTGAAAATAAGGTACGGCTTTCTTTTTGCCAGGTCGAGGATCGTCTTTCCAAACTCGCTGTTGCACCAGCTAAACCACGGCCTTGTGTACTGGTGGTTTGGGGCGTTCACATGTATGCTCTCGTGCATCAGGCCCAGACCCGCCGTGGTGGTCTTCACGAGCTCCAGAAGCTCGACGATCTCGTTATCGTCGTCTGTTGTGCGGATCTGGAGCAGCAACGCCATCGGCCAGGCATTCGAGAGCCCCACATGCGGGCCGCCAATGCCCTTAAAGTACTTTCCTCGGAAATAGTACGGGTTGCCGTCTTTGGACAAGATCATCTTTCTAGTGTTCTGGTAGATTTCGTCATTTCTGTCCAGATAGCCCATGTCTGGCAGGGACAGAAGCGAGGGAACGTTTGCGTCGTCCATGATGTTCACCCCGCCAAAGCCGTCCACCTCGTACGCATACACGGTGCCGTACTTTTTATGGTTCACGACGCCAAACTCCTCAATGCCCTTGCTAATGGCCGTAGCATACTCCCGCGCGGAGTCTGCAAAGTCTGCGAGACCGTTCTCGCGCAGAACGGGCTCCAACCTAGCCAGCTCGACCTGCAACTGCGCATTGGCCGGGATGAACAGCTGATAAATGCACGCGTCGTCCGACGGCCTGAACGCCGAGCGTATCAGCCCGGTGTTGCCGCACACGGGGTTGCCTGAACCGGCGAGACTCAGTGTTTCCGTGCCGATTCTCGTCTCGCGCTGGAAAGTGTAGTAGAACGGCAGCAGGTCGCCGTTCTCGTCGAATGTGGGGATCGATTCGCGGTGCAGCACGGTGAGAATCAGGTCAAACGCGTCTTTCCAGCTCTGGTGGCGGAAGATCGACTTATCGTGCGAGTTTTTGTAATACTCGTTAGTCAGTGTGAGAAACGAGGCAAGCGAGTCCAGCTCCCATTTGCACTCGAATACGTGTTTCCAGGGCGGCCGCGGCCCAACGTAGTCAACACTCGACGGCCTGCGGTCCACCCCCGAGCCTTCTGGCGGCTGGTACGCGTTGCAGTAGGGTGCCTTCTTGATGTACAGGGCCTGCTGAATGATGGCTCCCTTGATCAATTGCTGCAGCTTGGGGTCTTTCTTGACGAGCGGCTGGTACACGCTGAGTTGGCGGGCCGAGTCGCGCAGCCACTCTGCGTGGATATCGCCCGTGGAAATAAAAGTGCGGGGGCTGTTAGTTTCTGCGTTTTCTGGATCGTGCCACAGAACAGTGGTGTCCAGAGTGTTGGGAAAAGCGTTCTCAAACAAGCGGAACAGGTCGGGATCGGCCATGCGTAGCCGCATGTCCTCGATGACGCTCTCGACGGCGCTGCTGGTGAAGGTGCGGCAATCTTTGGCCGGACGCATATATGCCAGTTTTAAGGGTCCTTCCGAGTAGGGACCGTGTCTGTGCTGGGAGTACTCGACGTAGTCGGGACACCGGGTGTCGAGCTTGTTGCCTTTGAACCACTTGGTCTCCAGGACGTGTTCGTCGGCCACTTCCAGGGCCCGTTCCCTCAGGACTCGCTCTCGCTCCTTCTGCATGAGGGTCTCCAAAGCCTGCGATTGCTCGTCCAATTGGTGATCGGGATCGCTGTTGCGAGAGCGCACATATAGCACCACCACCACGGCAATTAGCAGGTACGTCAGGCGGGCCGAGCGGGCCACCCTCGCCAAATTTTCATACCGCAAGGCCATCGATAAATAAATAAATAAATAAATAAATTAATCTCACAAAAAAACACTTTCTCGCATTTTCCCATGTCAGAACTAGCACAGTAAGTATCTGTCCAATTGCACTGACACAGATTTGTTTCTGCGATTCCGCCGGTCACACGCACAATCACGCTCACATCGCTGGCCATGTGTGCGCTCAATGCGCTCAACGTCGTGCCGTACGTGGCGTTTGTATGGTACTGGCCGGCCGTCTGGAACGAGTGGCAGTTCTACCGGATTTTCACCGGCCTGCTCGTGCCCCACCCGCAGCCAATGCAGGGACTGACCGAGATATACATGGTTTACAGCTTTTCGCGGGGCCTCGAGGAGGGCAAGTTCTCCAGGATCCTGCCTGACTACATCTACTACCATTTAATTATTCTGCCCATAATAGTGCTGGCAACATTTTTCACTGCGCCGCCGCTGATCTCATCCACCCCCTCGTTGCTCTCTGCGCTCACGTATACGTGGTGCGTGGCGAACTACGACCAGACCGTCAACTTCTACTTCATGCAAATCAAGGCGTCGTTGCTGCCCGCAGTTTTTCTGGGCTTCCGTCTGCTTGTCGACGGTCGAGCAAGTTTTTTCCAGGCCCTCTTTGGAATGTGCGCCGCCTACATCTACAACTGCATCGAGACCGCGTCGCTCGGACCGCTGATGTCGGTCATCACCGGACAGCAGATGCTGGAGCCGCCTCACCGCGTCGGCACCACCACCACGACGACAACCCACAACGTGTGGTACTACTCGCAGGGGTATCTGCCGGCCCCCGTGTGGTTGAGGACGGCCATATCGAAGCTCACGGGCATCGACTACAACTCGCGGATCTTCCAGCGGCCGTACGGCATGATGTTCCAGGCCAAGCAGCCGGCAAAGAGTGCGGCGACACAGACCTCGTTTTTGCGCAGAATGTCCAACAATGCGTTCCAGGGTCGCGGCCAGAGACTGGGGTCTGCCAAGGAATGAAAAAAAAAGATAGAAAAATAAAAAACTGTGGTGTCAGACTCCCGAGAAAAAAATCATGACTAGAGACTCGCCTCTTTGGGTCGTCGGCTACGGCTCGCTGCTGTGGAAGCCGCCGCTCCACGAACTGGACATCTCGCGCGAGTTCGTCAGGTTCCCCGGCTACATCCAGGGCTACGCCAGACGCTTCTGGCAGAGCAGTTACGACAACAGGGGCACCCCCGAGCAGAAGGGCCGTGTGGTGACGATTATTCCGAGCGACAAGATCGTCGACACGCCGGCGTTCAAGCCCGATATACTCAAATACGAGCTGGCAGGCAACACAGAGGCACACGAGATCGTCAACGACAGCGCTCGGCTCTACTCCGAGCTTCGGGTCTGGGGGTGCATCTACTACATTCCGCCGCAGTATGCCGCCATGGCAACACAATACCTCGATTTCAGAGAGAAAGACGGCTACACGATCCACAAGATCCACTTCAACGTGACAGACCCCTGTGGCCACGAAGACGTGTTGCAGGGCTTGCCGTGCGAAAACGGCCGGTACATCGTCGAGTCGATGATCTACATCGGAACGGTCGATAACGAGTCGTTTGTGGGGCCCGAGGACTCCGACGCGACGGCAAAGGTGATCCACAAGTCTGCCGGCGAGTCCGGGCCCAACGACGAGTATCTGCTTCTGTTGCATCGCGAGGTCGAAAAGATGGGCGGCGATCCATATCTGGAAGACCTGGTGAGTCACCTCGGCCGGCTGGAGTAGAGCTCGCCTGCATATATAATAAGCCAAGTAGATTTTGCAATTCCCGCGCAATCACATAACGAAATTTCGATGCGGCTCGTTTTCCAAGACTATAAAAAAGTCCGTCGTTCGTCTTCAGGCCATGAGTAATAACACCGCCGCAAACGTCCTGAGCACGATCGGGACCGTTTTATGGTGCATCCAGCTGTCTCCCCAGATATATTTTCTGTGGAAGCGCAAGGATGCCACCGGCTTTCCCCCGGTCTTTATGTTCCTATGGGTCTTATCAGGCATCCCCTTTGGCATCTACTTCATCACGTCTGACTCGTACATCCCGTACCAGCTCCAGCCCCAGATGTTTTCGCTGCTCTGCTCCATAGCCTGGTTGCAAAGCATGTACTACCCGCCATACAACACGCCGCTCAAACGGGTTTTATTTTATGGCTTTTGCTATCTCTCGACGTCGCTAGCAATGCAGCTGGGTTTTGGAATTCCTTTGAAAAAACTATACAGAGAGGGCACCACGTGGCCGACGACGGTGTTTGGAATCATCGCCGCCGTGTTCCTGGCCCTTGGACTTCTGCCCCCCTACTACGAGCTGCTCAAGAGAAACGGCCGAGTCGTTGGAATTAATTTTATTTTTCTCATGATGGACTCTGCAGGGGCCATTTTTTCCATGGCCGGAACTCTTGTGGGCGAGCTGGACGTGCTGGGAATGATCCAGTTCGCGGTGGTTTTGGCCCTGGAGGCCGGACTCTATTTAAGCCAGATCATATGGTACATCCGGTTCCGAGTAATCAGGAAGGAGGACAAGGAGCAGACCGAGGAGCTCGAGGACTTGGAAGACTCTGAGGAGCCGGAGAGAGCTAGCAAAGAGCAGGCTCAGGTCTGAGATTTCTCGGGCCAGTCCCACGATTTAATGATGTCCCAGTTGATATCCAGTGCATCGAGGAACTTGGAAAAACTGCCGTCCCTGAATTTGAGGCGGCGGCCCTGTTTCAGTCTCGCTAACTCGCCTTCTGTCCTTACTTGGGCCAGCGACGCTCTATATTCAGCATACTGATTGAGACCATTGATCAGCTGTCTTGCATCATTTCGTGAAAAGTATGAGAGATACGCTTCAAACAGCTCGGCTGTCATTGGAAACCGCAGATCCACCAGTCTCCATATTAATGATGTCAGCTCGGCGCGCCTGTCAAACTCTCCCAAGGCCTTTATATAAACCAGCAGAAGATTCTCTGTAGGATACATCAGATCCGGGTTGTCCATGTACGCCTGGCTGGTTCTGAGCTCGAACTCGTGTATAGCAAAATCTAGAGGTGTTTTATCGTCCCAGAAAACAGTGTCGTACTTTTCCAGCTCGCGAAGCCTCAACGCCGCCAAAAAGAGCGACGACAGCGCAAGTGGACTATTCTCGGCAAGGAAGTGCTGATATCTGGTGTGAGCGTCGGCAGGATCAATCAGACACTCGCCCAATAGGTGCTTGGCTACCATTTGCCGCGAGCTGTGGTCCTGCTCGAAAAGGGCCCGTGCCAGCTCTATGGGTGTCTCAAACACTCCAATTGACAGATTCTGTCGCAGAGCACGCTCCTCCAGTATGGAATCCTGCTCGCGCTCGTAGCGGTCAATTAGATTGTTCTCTCGAGCTGGCCCTGATTTTTTTGGAGGCACACACACCTTACTGAGAAGATACAGCTTCGCAACCAAGTGAGCAAGATTGATGTTGTCCAGAGCGAAATCGCCAGCCTCCAGCAGCTGCACCAGGCTGCTTCGCGACGGGATGTTGTCTATGAGGATATCCACTGCTCTAGGGTTCACGTCAAAATTATTTCTGGCAACAAAGTGGTTCCAGATTTTCTGGTGACGGTTGGCGGAAACGTTTGTGGTGAAGATTTTGTACACGACAAAAAGCCATACTTCGGGATACCGTTGGATGAGCTTTCTGTCAAGAGAAGACACGAGAGACACGAGCTGATCGGCAAACTCGCTGCCCCACGAAGGCTCGTCCTGGGTGTGGAGAAGAAGAATGGATGTGCAGAGCGACTTGACGTTGAAGTCTGTGCGCAGCCGGCGCAGTTCCTCGATTGTGTGCGACGGCGACGGTCTTGGCTGGCTCAGCACGCGCTCGAAGCCGTCGATGTCAAACGAGTCTAGCTGCCATCTGTCGAATTTGGCCTGTGCTGCCTTAAATAGCTGGTACGCTTTATCGCGGTCGTTGAAGTACGAGATCACAGACGCCACAAGCATGGTGTTGAAATCGACCAGGTCGGTTTCTGAGCCTTCGTTCACCGCGTTGATCGCCTCAATCAGCCTCGACTGTGCCTGGTAGTAGTGCTTGCAGGGCCAGTTATTATTTTCGCCAGACACGTCCAGAGCAGTGTGCCATAGAATTTCTCTAATTTGCGGAACGAGCTCGGCGGAGCTGCCCATAAGGAACACGCTCAGTATGTCCTCTAGCGTGTCGGGACACTCGCGTAGCGCAAAAAAATAGAGATTCGAAAAGACCGGCGGCAGCAGCAGTTTCCGGTCGAACATCGGATCTGTAGGCTCCTGCAACTGGCTGCGATACCACCATTTTTCCTGGTCCAGAAAAACCACGTCCTGGCCCCAATGCTTGTACAGCTCGAGCAGCGAGTAGAACTCCTGCTTGTTTTGCGGCCGGCGCAGCAGAATGTCGTATATCACCGGGACAGGCACTTTGGATGCGTTTTTCAGAGCGTACACCGAACGGAACAGAGTCGGCGCAAAAATGCTGTTTATCCAGCTGAGCACCTCGTTGTCACGCAGGTCGGCGACTTCCCAGCCCTTTGTCTGGTTGAGTTTCTGTTTTAGCAGCTGGAACGCGATGCGCGTCGACTTGCTGGAGCTGATAGCGGGCCAGTGTTGGCGGAAAACAAACGCATCCAGAGCAGACGTTTCCACAGCCAGCGGCACGGGCTCGACTCTGCCCGAGAACGAGAGCGCCAGACTCTCGGCCGGCGCATTTTTGTACCGCGGATCAACTGCCGAGACCATGCAATGAAGCAGCAGACTCAGCACAGACTCCTCGTCGGCCAGCTTTCGCAGGTCTTTGTGGTAATCTGTGTTGTCTTGGCAATTACCCATACTAAGAAGCGTGTCCTGGATGCTTCCTGAGCAGCTGGAGGCCGGGGAGGGGCCTATTCGATAGTACGGCGACGAGGAGTATTTTGATACGAGAATTGAAGAGACGTTGTCTGGGGTCTCCGAAGACGGGTCCCTGGGCTGTTTTTTCTCCAGCCTGCCGTTGACAAACTCCAGCAGCGTCCGCGTGGACCGGATTGTGTGCTGGCGGCGCACAAAGCCTGCGGCGGAGGCCCTGCGCAGCGGCGTCGGAACCAATCTTAACATACTTCTCCACATACACAGCCTGGAAAAAAATAATTATGTCTCATGGATTTTCTCAGGAGTACCGGGAGATGCTTGCTGAGGCACTGCGGGAGTCGAGCGGCTCGGACACGGGCTCGGAAGAGTCGGGACGGCCATTGAAACGGCATGGAGGACGCCGACGCCGCAGCGACGAGCGCGAGACGGACAACGACAAGCGAGCGAGAATCGCGACCGCAAGCGAGTCTGTGGTCGAGGTGTCAGACGGCAGCTCAGTTTCGCCGCAGCCGCTACAGCCGGAGACTGCCGGCACAGAGGTGATTAGTGTGGACAGCGAGGAGGACGAGTACAGCGAGTTCGACGAGGATTTCGAGGACGTCGATTTGGGTTGCACGGCACCAGAGCTCGACCGCGCGAGCTTGGCGGAGGAAATCACCGTTTCCGTCTCGCGGCCGACGAAACAGACGCGCAAGCAGAACCTGGTGTCGGCCGACGAGCGTATGTTCCGCAAAACGCTGCACATGCTGTATTTATTTACGATGGTGGCCCACGGCGTGGTGCGCAACGCGTGGTGCAGCTCGCCCGAAGTTTTGCGCGTGCTGCGCGGCCAGGTGCCGGGCAAGCTGCTGGCGGAGGTGGACGCGTTCCACGAGCAGCAGCAGCGCGCGGACGTGACCAGCGCGGCCAAGTCGCGCCGTCTGCTGGACGTGCTGCGCCACCTGATGCAGTACTGGTACCGGAGCTGGACGGTCGAGCCGCGCCACCGGGGGCTGTACAAGAAGACGTGGGAGGAGATCGCGAAGCTGTGGGAGCAGCCGGCTGTTCAGGGCGAGAACGTGACCAAGGCGCGGTTCGTCAAGCGCATGGAGCAGCGGCGTGGCTCGCGCGACCTCGCGGCGCAGGGCTTTGTGGCGCTGCTGCGCGCGCTCGACATCAACTGCCGGCTCGTGTTCTCGCTCCAGCCACCGGACTTCACCAATCTGGCCGTTCTGGCGCCGGCTACGCCGTCCGACGGCTCGTCCAAAGAGGCCAGCCCTGCCCCCAAGCCCTCTCCGCGCCGTCGCAAGGCCGCGTCCCAGCACGAGCGGCTTCTTTCTGCTCTGCGCGTGAACAGGCCCGTGTACACGAATTCTCGGCCACAGCCACAGGACGACGCGCAGTACCCTGTGTTCTGGTGCGAGGTCTGGGACAGCGCCAGCAAGCGGTTCACCAGCGTCGACCCCATCGTCCAGCGGTACATCGAGAACGTCGGGACGCGCTCCAAGTTCGAGTGGCCCAACAACACCACGTACGTGCTGGCGTACGACCGGCTGGGCGGCGTGCGCGACGTCACGCGGCGCTACAGCGTGCACTTCAACGCCAAGACGCGCAAAAAGCGCATCACGCGAGACCCGCGCGGCCAGGACTGGTACGACAAGCTTCTGCGCGGTGCAAACTCGCGGCGCCGGCTCGCAAGCAATAAAATCGACCAGTACGAGCAGGTCGAGTTCGAGCAGCGCTCGCTCAAGGAGGGCATGCCCAACTCGATCCAGGATTTTGTGAACCACCCGGTGTACGTGCTGGAGGAGCAGCTGAAGACGAACGAGGTGCTGAAGCCCAAGATCAGCTGCGGAACGATCCGCAAGAAGACGAAGGCCGGCAAGGCGGGCGATCTGGTGCCGGTGTACCGACGCTCCAACGTGGTTACCGTGCGGTCTGCCAAGGCGTGGTACTTACGGGGCAGAGTGCTCAAGATCGGCGAGCAGCCGCTCAAGGTGAGAGAGCAGCGCAAACAGCGGCCGGACGACGACGACGACGACGACGTGAGACTGTACGGAGAGCACCAGACAGAGAAGTACGTGCCGCCGCGCGTCGTGGACAAGAAGATCCCGCGCAACTCGTACGGCAACATCGACGTGTACCAGCCATGGATGCTGCCCGAGGGGACCGTGCACATTCCTGAGAAACAGGCCGAGAAGGCCGCAAAGCTGCTCGGAATCGAGTATGCGCCTGCTGCGGTCGGCTTTGATTTCGGTAGCGGTAGCAGGGGCCGCGGAGCCAGCGTCAGCGTGCGAATTGCTGGCGTGGTTGTTCTGGCGGAGCACAAAGAGGCCATCGACGCGGTGTGCGAGTATCTGAGGGAAGAGGAAGAGGAAGCAGCGCGCAAACGGCGCGAGGCCGCCGCGCTGCGTGTGTGGGCCGTGGTGCTGGCCAAGCTGCGGATCTCCAAACGGCTGGACAGGGAGCACGGACTAGTGGAAGACTCGGGTGAGGACGTTCCGTCGGAAAGCGAGCACGAGCCTGTGGCGGACGACGATCAGGACGCAGCAGGGGGATTCGTCCCGCAAGGACCGAATACTGAGGAACTTGACTCTGGTGGATTTGACTCTGGTGGATTTGAGTCCGGTGGATTTGAGTCCGGTGGCTTTCTGCCGCAGGATACGCCTGCACAGCCTGTTTCGCAAGACGCGCCTACGAGCGACTCAGGGCCCGAGAGCGACGCCGACGCCGCCGCCGCCTACTCCGACTCCGAAGGCTACGAGTTCGAATATAGTGACTAATGCATTACACCCTCCGCCGCTTCAACTTCTCCTCCTTGAGCCTGCGCTCCAGCATCTCCTCGCGCTTGTCGTCGAGCCGCGCCTGCCGCAGCGCCCGCTCCTCCTCCTCCAGGATGTCGGCGCCCGTGGCCTCCATGTCGTCGTCTTCGTCGTCAAAGTACTGCCGCTTCTTGCCTCTGTTGAAGAGCTGCCAGATTTCGTCGCTATTATAGTCGCGTCGGCGCTCGCGCGGGTCGTCCACAACAAAATCGTCCAGACTATCGTCCTCAATGAACGAGTCCTCGTCCTCGTCCCCAGAGTCCGCCTCGATGCCGTAGCTGTCTGTGTGCGCCCTCCGCTGCACCGGTCGTTTGTCTCTCTTCGCAACGTTCGGCTTCTCCCGCTTCGACAGCTTCTCCAGCAGCGCCGTCGAAGGCTGTGCAAACTTCCTCTCGGGCTTCTTGCCAGTGTCCTTCTTCTTTGTCTCCATCTTGATTGGTGCATAGACCAGCTTGCTCTTATCGACGGTCTCCGCCCGCGACATCAGCTCCTTGAACGACATTTTCGGCAGCGGCGGCCGCGACGCAGCAGCAGGCTTCTTCGCTGTGTCATTTTTGGGCACAGGCTTCTGTTTGTTTTGCCGATCGCGCTCGCTGTCGCGCTTCTTCAACGCGTCGAGCCGTCTCTGCCGCTTCTGCTCCTCCTGCTTCTCTTTTTCCCGTCGTCTGGCCTCCTTGAGCCGCTGCACGGCCGGGTCTGGTGCCGGAGTGGTCAGAACAGAACGGCTAGATTTTTTGGCCGTCGTCGGCGTCTTCTTCACTTCGCCGCTCGATTTCGGCACAGACGCGCCCACAGACAAGTTGGGTGTCTGTTTGACCCCGGAAGAGGGGGTGTGCGTGCCCTTTCCGGTGATCTGTGTCAGAAGCGAAGAGAAACTCATGAGAAAAAAGTCGCGACGGCGACGACGCATATACGGTAGTTTCGCCAGAGCAGTTATCGACGCAAATCACACGGACCAAGCACAGACAAAGCACAGACAAAGCACACAGGTGCGGAACTGAGTTTGACGAGCAAAGTGTGCGCGTATGAAATAACTCGACACCGTCACTCGTCTATTATCATGTTACATAGTATGCATTAGTACAATTTATTCAGATTCTGGAGAGTCGAGCAAAGCCATCTCGTATGCAGGCCGCCTTCACCCCTCAATACCCACTAAACTATCAAATATCTAATTGGAATATGGATCAGCTTGATGGCGTATCCAACGACGCCCATCATCAAAAAACCAAGCCCCACCGCACGAATCAGTCTCAGGTACTCCTTCTTGGATGGCTTGGTGCACTTGGCAACAAATTGAGAACCCTCTTTGAGAAACTCCACAGGAGCCTCGGTCAGCTTATCGAACTCAGCCATAACAACTAATGGAAAATAATCAACGAAAAAAAGCAGGGTAAACGAATTTTTAATTTTAATGCTCGTGCAATGAATTATTCTACTATATAATTAGTCAAATCCGGTCCATTCTTCCTCCTCTTCCTCTTCATCTTCCTCCTTCTCCTCGCTCTTGTTCTCTGTGTATCCCCACGTCTTTAGCCTCTCGTCTTTGAGAAGATCGTCCCGCACCTTGTTGCGAAGAGTCTTCATCAAAGCGTCTTTGTGAATCTTTTCAAATGGTTGCAAAAGTTTCGCAAGAGGAACATCCTCAAATTTCTCTCTGGCCTTGTCTGCCTCAACATCCTCCTCGTCGCCAGCAACTACGCGCTCCAGCTCGTCCAGATAAACATCCACCACATGGTACGTGACTCCAGGAGGAACTGCTGGTCGGCCGCTAAGAACGTCCGCTTCAAGCGACTGGATGTATCTTTCAAGTAGTTCCAAGTCCCACTCTTCTTTCTGTAGCCTCACAAAGCACTCACGCACCACATATCTCATCAGCAAGTAGAACTTGTCCACTCTCCACTGGTCTAAAGTAGGCCACTCTTTGCAAACGACTGCCCAGAACGCCTGGACAAACACACAAAACTGCTCTTTGGAAACACACTCGGAAAAAAGCCTGGCAAGGTCGTCTGCCAGTCTCTGCTGCGGCCGTGGTCTATCGCTGAACCACATCGTGTAATATAATCCTTTCCATAGTTTCTCGAATTCGGGCAGCGTGAGGGGTCGAACATCTGCCCTGGCCCCAAGAAACTTCTTCAGAGTCTCCAAAGCATGGTCTCTAGTCTTGCGGTCCGTGGAGGCCAGCTTCTTAACAAACGTCTTTGTCTGCACTTTCTTCATGAATAAAATTTTCAGCACAGCCTTTCCATTTAAATAGATCTATTCTATTTATTTTATTTATTTTATGGATACCGATCACCCAGGCTACAACCATTTTGGAGCGCCGATCCCTGAGGATGATTCGAAATACGACGATACGGGAAAACCAGTGACCGACTACATTCCGAACTACATCTCGAGTAAACCGTGGTACTACGAGGAGGACGCGCTCAAGGTCGATTCGAACCTGCGCAGGAAACGGGCGGCCGAGCCTGCGTCTGTGGACAAACTGCGACATCAGCGGCTTGATCCCGATGCGGAGTTTGTTCCAAACAGCGAGCCTCGCAAGGGCGCGGGAATCGAGGACGAGTACGATTTCGTGACCGAGGAAGCTAAACGACGAAGGAAGCTGCTCAATAAGGGAGGCTGCGATAACTGCGGCAGCTCCAAGCATTCGAAAAAAGACTGTCTGGAGAAACCGCGCAAAATCAGCTTCAAATACCGCAGAGAGGAGCCAAAAAGCAGGTCTGGAGAGGTTCTTCGGGTGAAGAAAGACACTCAAGACTGGGAAACTAAACGAGACCGATGGCACGGCTTCAATAACGAGGAAGACTACGAAGAGCACCTCAAGACAATGCGCGAGATTGAACAGAAACGGACCGAGCAAACGGCTGCACAAGACGATGAGTACGACGAGGACGAGCTTGCGGAGATGGAAGAGCTGGGTATTGTCGAAGCCGTGGCAAACTCCAAGACCATGACTGCTAGTGGCAAGAATATTCCAACCAGGGCGCTGGATGAAAAGGCAAAATATTTGGAGGGTGTTGGCATCACGGAGCAAGAGGAGACAATCGAAAAGACCGCAATAAAGGACAATAAGGCGAAGTTCCTCAGTGAAGAGGGCGAATTTGTTCGACAAGAGTCTGGCGAGGCTGAGGAATTTGAGAAGCAGAAACGGTTTTCAAATACGAAGCAGACGAAAGATAGCGAAATTGTCGTTTCGGAAGAGCCATTGGCTGGCCGCAAGTTTGTGGCTGAGACGTCTCCACCAGCAGAGGTGCCCAAACTGAAAGAGGAGGAAAATGAGAAGGAGCTGGTCAGAGAAACAAAGAGGAGACAGCTGTTGGAGAAGTATGGAGCTCTGTGACGTGTCCGGGTAACTATGGTTCTGGAAGAAAAAAAGACAGAGGGAGAAATAACAATATTTAAACATAGGCAATAAATATGCAACAAGAGAATCCGGGGGCTCCAAGCTCGGAGGAGACCCGCAGGGACCAGGAGGTTGCCTTGAAGGCAATTCGTACGTTCCTCCAGAGCAAGAATTCCTTTGATGTTCTTCCGGTGTCGTACCGGCTGATTGTTTTTGAGACTTCGTTGCTGGTGAAACGAGCACTAAATATTTTGCTACAGAACAGCATTGTTTCCGCCCCATTATGGAATAGCAAAACTTCAAAGTTTGCGGGACTGCTCACCTCCACCGATTTCATCAACGTGATCCAGTACTACTCTCAAAACCCAGACCAATTTCAGTTTGTGGATAATTTGACACTCGATGGTTTGCGCGATGTCGAGAGGAAATTGAATGTTCCGCAACTAGAAACAATCTCTATCCATCCGTTCAAGTCACTGTATGAAGCGTGTGTGAAGATGATTGAGAGCTCTGCGAGACGGATTCCCTTGATCGATAAGGACGAGAAAACAAATAGAGAGATTGTTGTGTCTGTGCTCACGCAATACCGGATCCTCAAGTTTGTGAGCATGAATTGCAAAGAGGCCCATATGCTGCTGCAGCCGCTAAGCGAGCTCAACATTGGAACAACCGAGAACTTGTCAGCCGTTAGAATGGAAACCCCGGTGATGGATGTCATCCATATGCTGATTTCGAACTCTGTGAGCTCGGTTCCGATCGTTGACGAGCAAAATAAGCTGGTAAACGTCTACGAGGCCGTGGACGTTCTTTCGCTAATCAAAGGTGGAATGTATGCAGATCTGTCGCTGAGCGTGGGCGAGGCACTCATGAAACGATCTGACGATTTCGAGGGAGTGTACACCTGCACGCTGAAGGACAACCTGTGTGTGATTCTAGAGACAATTCGCAAATCTCGTCTTCACCGCCTGTTCCTTGTGGACGATGAAGGCCGCTTGGTCGGGGTGCTCACCTTGAGCGACATCCTTAAGTACATTTTGTTTGCATGAAAAACGCTGATTTTTGCTTTGCACAGCCGTAATCCTGATAAGTATCTTTACCTAAAAAGACAGAGCAAAGCGATTGATTATTTTCTCCGTTTTCGTAATTTAGTCAGCAAATTTTCCACCTCTTCATTCTTTAACCCTGCCTTTACTCTGCCCACATTGCAGAATCGACTTCCTGTCCCATGCCAATAACAGCAAAGCTCCCCAACGATATGCCTTGGGAATCCAAAGCCGCTTTACCACAGGTCACTTTGCGGTCCACGATAGCCGGCCTTGTTATCGGCTCGGTGATACTTGTCTCCAACTTCCAATTCGGGCTGCAAACAGGCTGGGTTTCGATGATGTCGCTACCGTCAGCGCTACTTGGGTTTTCAATTTTCAAAACACTGCAGCCCCGGCTCCATTGTCACTTCACAGACGTTGAAAACGTCTTTGTCCAGAGCGTCGCAGTTGCTGTTGCCACTGGGCCGTTGGCGTATGGATTCATTGGCATCATTCCAGCCATTGAGAAACTCATGACCGACGCTGAAAGCGGCTCGGAGTCCGGGATCGACCTGTCTCAGCTATGGAAGCTGGCGACCTGGGCTTTCGGACTGGCTTTTTTTGGAGTCTTTTTCGCTGTGCCTCTTCGAAAACAGTTTATCATCAAGGAGAAGCTGGCTTTTCCAAGCGGCAGCGCCACTGCCACCCTCATATCCGTTTTCCACGGAACCACACTCAACGTCGAGTCCAAAATCAAATCGCCGCCTAAACAGTCCTCGTCTGCAGAAGAACACGAAAGTCATCCCGAACGACCCGCAACGCCGAACAACATCACAATCATCGAGTCGCAGGATTTGTGCCAGCTCCAGCAGGTCGAGACATACCAAACGAACATCAAACTTCTCGCCGCCACCTCGAGCGTTTCATCTATTTATACCGTCGTCGGCTATTTTGTGCCTCAGATAAAACGCATACCAATTCTTGGCAATACCATTTCGGAGTCGTATCTGATCAACTTCCAGCCATCCCCGTCATACATCGGCCAAGGAATGATAATGGGATTCACCACAACGGCCTATATGATGTTCGGTATGGTGTTTGGCTGGTGTATCCTCAGCCCGCTAGCACAATATATGGGCTGGGCTCCTGGGCCCGTGGACGACTGGAAAGAGGGCGCAGAGGGCTGGATCATGTGGATCAGTTTGGCCATCATGATCTGCGACTCTATCGTCTCGTTTCTCATCATCGTTGTCAAGTCGCTAACGTCATTATATCAATCCTCTTCCTCTGAACCACTCTCCAGAACGGGCTCTGTGGACTCTCCGCACGAGGAGCTAGAAAGGCTGATTGATGAAAATGAAGTAGCTTCTGATGAGGACGTTTCAAGCAGCACTTATCATGGCGACGGGTCTAATGACCACACCCAGAAAAACTCCTCTTCGTCGTTGCCCGAGTCCGATCAGTTGAGCGACCGCTCCACATACGTCGATCTGGATGAGTCTCACCAAATCTCAGCCACAGTCACCGTTGTTGGGCTGATTGTGTCGTCGGTGGCCTGCGTGGTGTGCACAAGACTGGTTTTCGGTCCAGTTGTGCCGATTTACACCATCGTGACCGCAATTATACTATCTCTATTTCTGTCTGTTCTTGGAGTTAGAGCTCTGGGAGAGACAGATCTGAACCCTGTGAGCGGGATTGGAAAATTGTCACAGCTGATTTTCGCGTTGATCATACCAAAATCCCAGCCTGGCGCAATCCTCATCAACCTCATTTCGGGGGCCATTTCAGAGGCCGCAACGCAACAGGCGGGCGACTTGTTGCAAGATCTGAAAACGGGATACCTCCTTGGGGCGTCCCCAAAAGCACAGTTCATTGCGCAGATATATGGATCGCTATTTTCCGTCCTTCTGAGTGCAGTGATGTACAAACTGTACAATAGCATCTATGAAATTCCAAGTCAAATGTTCAAGATTCCTACGGCTGTGATCTGGATTGACTGCGCAAGGCTCGTTAATGGTTCAGGGCTGCCGCCAAAAGTTTTTGAGTTTGCCATAGTATTGGGTATTGTCTTCGCAATTATCTCATTCTTGAAAAACACTGTTACTCCAAACAACAAGTGGCACAAGTACATCAAATTTCTTCCGAGCGGAGTCCCTGTTGGAATTGGAATCTACAACGTGCCCTCCTTCACTCTTGCACGGTTTGTTGGAGGACTGATTTCATACTTCTGGCTCCTCAAAGTCACTCCTGGGAACTCTGACGCCAGAGTTCGTCTGATTATATTTAGCAGCGGATTGGTTCTTGGAGAAGGTCTGTTCAGCGTCATGAACATGCTTTTGACAAGTCTCAATGTGCCTCATCTATAGATTGATTGGTATATTTACGAGCAGTTGTGGGCTGCCCGTTATAGGGGAACCATGTGTGAAATTTCCGATATTCTGGAGGATTGGCCGAGTGGTCTAAGGCGGTAGACTTAAGATCTATTGGATTAAATTCCGCGCGAGTTCGAACCTCGCATCCTTCATTCTTTTTGGGAAACAAGGAACTAGTTTATTTATTTTCTGGCTATTTTTTTTCGCACATCCATGGACTATCAGAACAGAGTAGGCTCTAAAAAGGGCAGTGGTGGCATTGCAGGCGATGCAGAGACCAATCAGTACCGCCGTGAGCGCTTGAGACAACTGATGCTGTCTCAGATCGATCTTGACAACGACCCTTATGTCTTCAAAAATCACCTGGGCATGCTGGAATGTCGCCTTTGTCTGACAACACATTTATCAGAAAGCTCATACTTAACACATACGCATGGCAAGAAACATCAATATGCTCTTATGAAAAGAGCAGAAATGGACAAGAAACCTACTAAGCCTGAGCCAGGTAAAGTTGTTGGGATATCTGCGATTCCTAAAAAGAGGTATACAAAAATTGGAAGACCGGCATACAAAGTCAGCAAAATCAGAGATCCAGAGACGTTTCAAAAAGGACTCCTCTTTCAGATACAGATGCCGGCAATAGCGCGAAACGTGAGACCTCGATACCGTTTAATGTCCTGTTTCGAGCAAAAGATAGAACCACCAGACACAAAGTTCCAGCATCTGGTTGTCAGTGGCGAACCGTACGAAAACATTGGATTCAAGATTCCAAGCGACACAATCGACATGGCAGAAGGGCGAATTTGGGATTTCTGGGACGGCGATACCAAAGAGTATTTTGTCCAGCTGTTCTATGTGGACCAGTAATAACAAATAGTGTACATTATAATGATTAGAATGATTCCGTTGCATATTGGTTGATACGGTTGGCCATTTCATCAATGTAGAAGTTGATTTTGGAGTTCAGTTCATTCATCTCGTAGCTGGCACCTTTACACTCGGCTTCAAAGTCCTTCTTGAGTTTTTCCGACTGCATTTCCCAATCGATGGCCTCATTTTCTTTGTTCCTGATAATTTCGTCTTCTTCAGATTTCCTTTCCATTAGTTGAGCCCTTTCTTCTCGCAACTCCTTCGATTTATCTTCGAGTTGCAACAGCTTTTGTCTTGTGTTTTCTTTGAACGTGGCGAGCTTTTCCTTTTGGGAGTTCAATTGCTTTTTCAAGTGGTTAATCTGTCTAGATTTATCGTTAAGCTCCACCTCCATTCGTTGTATCTCGTCTTGCATATTCTGAATAGATTCTGTCGATTTTTCTTGTTTACTGAATTCAGTTTGTATTTCTTCCAGTACGCGATGGTAGTTCCGGAACTCGTGTGTAAGTTGCTGGAACGAGTCTATGGAGATGGATATATTTTTAGATCTCTGTTCTAGCTCAGTCAAATGCTTTTGTTCGTTCGCCAAACTGTCTTTCAAGCTATCAATGACTTCTTTCACGCTTTCTGGAGACTCTCTGATATAAGGAGTTAGTCTTTCCAGCTCTTTTTCACATTCGAGCAAGAGCGAGTTTTGATTCTCTAGTTCTCGAATAAGACCAAATTTCTGCGTTTTGTATTCTGCGCGTGCGGCAGCCAATTGCTGCTGAGTTTCGGTAAGAGCTTTGAGTTCATTCTGCAGTTGTTGATTCTTAGTCATAATTTCGTCCTCATTGTACCCTTGTCTTAATATCTTGTTGGTGAGATCCTCGTAGGCAGACTTGAGCGAGTTGTTGATTTTCAACGCGTGTTTATATTGAGATAGCGTATTTTCACTGGAGACGAGTAGCTGCTCACAATCGCCCATTCTTTCCTCCCTAAATCTTGCATAGTTTATCAGAGCGCTCAAAATAATACGGATGCGAGATGGTTCCGGTTTTGCCATGTCTCGAATGCTGAAATCCTCAACACCACAGTCGCACAGAAACTTATACATTATTCTTTGCGAGGCAACAACGCTCAAGGAGTTCTGCAGTCCTTCCTGGTCATCGTCCTCATTGTTTTCCATCTGTTGAATTCTTTGCTTCAGAGAGTGGGGAGAGACATATAGAAACTTGTCCATAATCTGCTCAATCAGGCTTTTCATGAAACTCGGTGTAGGTTTCGTCAGCATCTCTTCACTAACATTGAAATCCATCGTATCAAACAGGGAAACAAGCTCTCTTGTCTCAAGAATGGGGAATTTGTAACGAGTACGCGGTATTGCTGTCGGCTGCGATGATCTGTAAATTGCACTAGGACGAGCCATGTTGAATTAAAGCTGAAGATTCAAAACAAAAATCAGAAATTGTAAACAAATAATATATACGCGTACACGACTGATATAAATAAATTTGATCTTAGAGATTAATAGAGATGTATTGTATTTTTAGATGTCCCACAATCTCCAATATCCTCCGAGGTTTTACTGTGTGTATTTGCTTCGCTCAGTAGCGAAGAAAAACTCGTTCTACATCGGCTCGACACCTGATCCTTACCGACGACTCCGACAGCATAACGGCGAGCTGGCCGTTGGCGGAGCATTCAGAACGAAGAAAACTGGATCAAGACCATGGCAGATGACGCTGGTCGTTTATGGGTTTCCTTCAAAAATCTCAGCATTACAGTTTGAGTACGCATGGCATCATGCCTACCAAACGCGACATATACCAGACAAGAAACGCATAGGAACGAGGAGCAGTGGCAGCAGCGTGCATATAAAAATAGCTAATCTCAAACTGTTGCTGAGCGCACATGCGTTTGGACGCATGGGACTTCGAGTTGCGATTTTTCAGAAGGCAATATATGACGTTTGGGTCGTTAATCGCTACAACGTTGCGGTCTCGGAGTCTGTCCTTTTGAAGCTTGATTTTGAGGAAAGTCAAGAAAAATTGATAGAAGGTGGAAATTACGATCAAATGAAGGCATTTGTGAAATCCTTGGAGAAGGAAGAGGATGACCACTTTGAAAACTCTTTGGAGAAACTCGAGCAAAATAACACTCGCCAATGCTGCGTTTGCCATACAGTGGTGGATCAGTTTGAAGATTTGCTAGGTTTCTGTGCTAGCAAAAACTGCCACGCTCTGTATCATGTCCAATGCTGGGCAGAAGAGATGTCCAAGGATCTTGTTTCTGAGCCACTTTCGGACTCCGTCCTTCCGCTGACACCTTTGAAGGGCAAGTGTGTCGAATGCCAAAAGGTCAACTGGTGGTGGCCAATGATCAAAAACTCCATGAGGCTACACCAACACTTTACAGAAATTGGAAGACCATGCATTGAAAATTAATTATATAGACCAGACGCTATTATCCTCTCTTGACAGCTTCTGTCTCATTGATCTTTGATTCGGAAGCGGTGGCCTTCTCGTTGATAGGCTCGATTTTCTCTTCAGCCTCGCTTCTTTTGACTGGCTGAGGAGCAGAAGGAGCGAATAAAGTAGCAAATATACTGACAATGGTAGCAGAAATAGCAAAAGTGGTGGTTATAGTACCAACAAGCACGGAAGCAAAGAAAAATGCTTCTCCAGGGCGGTTCAGCAGAGTTTTTGTTGGGTCATCCAGGAAGTCGGCCCAGTATGCTTTTCCAGAAGCATAAACGCTCAGAATCCTGTCAACGGATTTGTCCAACAAGTCCGAGACCAAAGACTGTTCTTCTGCTTGAACTTCAGGCTCTTCAGCATCATATTTAGCCTGAGGAGCGTTGGCTGCAGCTATCTGTTCTTCAATGTCAACCTTTGGAAGGAATGTGTTGTTACCAATGTACTCTGCTTCCTCGATAGAGTGGCCCAGGTAGATGTTGTCAAACATAATGGAGTCGGTCATAGTCCACAATTCAAATCCCATTGCGCCAATAGGCTCGAGATTCGAAGGGGTTGAGTCTTCGTAGTAATCTGGGTTAGGAATCTTTCTTGGTGACCATGGTCCCTTATAATCAGGGTTTTCAATTAACTCTGGGGTCCATTTGCCCTTGTACTCCGGATTTCTGATTTTTGGAGCAGACCATGGTCCACAGCCGTGTTGTTCACAAGCTGGATTAGGGATCTTTGGAGCAACCCATTCGCCGTCCTCCTCCTCGTCCCAGTACTCAGGCTTGACTGCATCTGGGTCAGAAATGTATGCCTCGGCATCCTCGTCCCAGTCTTCTGGCTTGATGGCATTTGGATCTGGAATCAAATAAGGAGCGTCTTCGTCCCAGTCGTCCGGCTTGACAGCGTTAGGGTCTGGGATCAGCTCGTCGTCAACCCAGTCAGCTGGCTTCTCATCGTTAGGATCATCGATTTCTTTAGGAGGAGTTAGATCAAAGTATCTGGAATCCAACAGTGAGCCCGCTTTAGCAACTTCCCCATTAATTCTGATTTCAAAGTCTTGGTTAGGCTTGATTATCAACGTGTAGAGGGTGGATGTTTTCACAATTCTTGCCATTGGAGGCACTTTCAGATGTTTCTCCTCGTATTCGCCCGTATTAGGATTCTTTCTGCGAATAATAAAGTGGACCTTGTTAGACATTCCACATTTGTCAGGACCAAACATAACCTGGTACGGAGTGTCGTTGCTGAACTCGACCGAGTCGCTGATTCCGCCTTCTTGGCTCAGTAGTTTAATGTATGCGCCACCGCATTCAAGACCTTTTTGCAACTTGACCTCATACTGCAACACCAAGGTGTTGTTGGTGTTGTCGAAAGGAGTAGGCAATCTTGCACTGATAGCATGATGGGCGGCCTCTGTCTTTGCAACAAGACCCTTGTCGCCCTTCAGTCCAGGATTCACTGTTGGCTCCTCAACATCCCACTCGCCACGATACACAAAATTTTCATCGCGCTTACTGTGAGAAGGTCTCCATCTAGAAGCCCACGTTTCGTTGAATTGCTCAAAGAAAGCATCAGACTCGAGACTCAATGGCAAGAAGTCTTTGCGCTCAACATCTGCTGCATACGAGACCAGTGAAAGAAACAGAAGAAGGATTGGACGGCTGACTTTCATAAGTGATTTAAGGATGCGTTGTCACTCTTGTTGAAAATAAATTATTTTATTTTGGCAACTATTTCTCCGGATTTTCTAGAATCAGGACTCGTCCCACTTTTGCAGGGTGTTAGATTAAATTATTAGCTAGTTTTGCATGTATAGATTTTAGAGCTTCACCAAAGCGCTGACTGGCTTCCACAAGCTCCTCTTCTTCGGCAAATGCATAGGTTGCTCTGAAACCGGCTTTTTGGAGGGTCTGGTCGACCATGAACCAGTGGCCCTTGGCCAGAAGCACACCCTTATCGATGTTGGCATCAAAAATCATGTTTTCCAGTTCTGTAGCCCATTGATTTGCTGGTATGTTTTCAGGCTTTGCAAAAGCTTCCTGATTGATCTCGATCCACAGAAACATGCCAGAGTCAGGTAAATTCCATGAGCAAAGCTCTTTTGGCAGGAACCTCTCGAATGCGCTGTTGAGCAGGGCTCTTCTCTTTTTATAATGTTGACCCAAGTGCTCGACCCATTTCGCAAATCCCTGGGCTTCCCACGTTTTCAGCAGCTCGTGGAGGATGAGTTGAGATGGAGCGGCCGAGGAGTGAATGCTGACTTCATTGTGAACCACCAGCTTATCGACGAACACCTTGTTTGCAGTCACAATCGAGCATCTGGCACCTGGCGTCATGATCTTGGAAAACGAGTCGAATCTGATCACTCTTCCGTCGGTGTCAAACTTCAACAGACTTGGAAGCTTCTCTTCATAGTCAAGTTGCAAGTGATAATAAGGATCATCCTCCACAATGATCAGATCGTGCTTCTTACAAACCTCATAAAACTCACCCCGTCTTTCAAGCGACATGGTGATTCCCAATGGATTCTGCCCCACAGGCATCGTGTAGATTAGCTTGGGTTTCTTGTGGGGCCCGCTCCAGTCGACTAACAACTTGTCCAAGTCTTTAGGACAGACACCGTGCTCGTCGACTTTGACAGGGAACACCTTCAATCTCATTGGACTGCATGTCTCCAAGAATGCAGGATATGTGAACTCTTCGGAGAGAATGGTGTCCTCGTTTGGATCACATAGTAGTCGCAACACGGCATCCAGAGACTGCGTGGCTCCGGCAGTGACAACAATGTCCCAGTCATTGTAAAGTGGTTTGTGGTAAGTTTCGATATGCTTCTTGCTGAACTCATCAAAGTACGAAGTCCCTCTACCAGAGGTGTATTGTAAGGCCTCATACAACAGCTCGTTGTCTGGAACCTCAACTTTTTCTGTTGTCGAAAAGCCGGTTTTTGGCGAGAGGAAATCAAAGCTGACTGACTTCAGAGGGAAACAGTCAGGATGAGGCAGTCCGGCTCCCAGTGAGATAATTCTTCCAAATCGACCCATCATTTTCATCACAGATGGTTCACGAAGGGTCGCTTCATGGCTCAGATACTTGGACCAGTCAACAGTCATGATATAAAATAAACTCAAAAAAGTTTAAAAAATCCCTTCGGTTTGTTCGCTATTTTATCGATACCAGATAAAAAAAACAATAGTTTTCACAATAAGAAATTAATTCCTTTTCGTATCAGGTCGATCTACCCCAAGTATTTATGGTATCTACAAAAGTTTTGGTGGTGGTGGACTATAGTGGCATTATCCAATAGGGCTATCGGATGGGCTTCTTTGTGTTTGTTCTCTGCTCGTTTGGCTTTGTGCATAGTAGTCAATTCCACCCCTGATATGCTATATGGTGTAGGGATGTTGAATTTGCCGTGTCCCTAATTTCCACCTGAAATAAGCAGCTTGAGAAGAAATAAAAGGCAAATTAAAAAATATCTTAGTTTGCGATGTCCAACTTCCAACAATACACATTGGAGCTTGAAGAGCTTGACAGGCAATTCAAGACACAGAATCCAACAGATGTGCTTCAGTTTTGTTACAATTATTTTGGCAACAGATTGCAACAACAAAGACAGTATCTGTGGAGTCAAAAGCAGAAAGCCGATACTTTGGGTTTGACGCTTTTCCCTTCGACTGATGAGATTGCTCGCGACGTGCAGCGCAAGTCTGTCCCTCAGTTCAAAAACACTCTCTCGGATAATGACCCTCACACGAAACACCAGACTCTCGAGTCAGAGGATCCTCAAGCAAAATCATCTGGGGAACCATCTGCAGGCCTTTTCAAGACATCGTTTGAGTCATCCCAGGCTTCACCATTCCATACCTCTGCATCGTCATCAGGTGCCGCATTGAGTCCCACGGATGGCTCTCAACCTTTCAACAGTACCAATTACTCTGGCTTTGCGGCATCGGCTGCAAAGTCCACCATGAGGATCAACGCCAACAGGAGAACCAGTGTTTCTGCAGAAACTCTGAACCCTGAGACGTTTGGTGAGGATGGATGGAAACCTCCTGTGCATCAATTCACATCTGAGCAATTGCAAAGATTAAATGCCAGCGTTGTCAAAAACTTCCTGTTCAGTCAATTGGACGAAGACTCACTCAAAACGATTATCTTTGCTTTGGAAGAGAAGCGCGCACCCCAAGGAACAGAGATCATCAGACAGGGAGATGAAGGAGATTTCTTTTATGTGGTGGAGAAAGGAACAGTTGACTTTTTCGTGAACGGCCAGAAAGTTAACAGTTCTGGACCTGGCTCTTCTTTTGGAGAACTGGCTCTCATGTATAACTCGCCTAGAGCGGCAACAGCAATTGCGCAGAGCGACTGTATTCTGTGGGCCCTGGATAGAATGACGTTCAGAAGAATCTTGCTGGAAGGAACATCCAAGAAAAGATCCATGTACGAGAATTTTCTCAAAGAGATACCTTTGCTCAAGTCTCTGTCGTCTTACGAGCGCTCGAAGCTCGCAGATGCGCTCAACTCGGAAGTTTACGCTGTTGGCCAGAATGTTGTGACAGAGGGAGAAGCCGGGGAGAATTTCTACTTCATTGAGAGCGGGACGGCAGATGTTATCAAATCCGATGAGGGTGTGGTGTCGAAACTCAACAAAGGTGACTATTTCGGAGAGCTTGCATTGCTCTACGATTCTCCCAGAAAAGCAACCGTCAAGGCTACTAGTCCGCTGAAAGTCGTCACTCTTGGAAAGAGCGGATTCCAGAGACTTTTGGGACCTGCCGTTGACGTGCTCAAATTACAAGACCCTACAAAACATTGAACCCGTATATTTTTCTTAATCGGATATTTGACATATCAGTTGCAGTATTCATTTCTCTGTGACACCATCCAGACAATAGAGGTGCTAGCCACCACTAATGGGCCCAGCAAACCCTTTCCGAACGCTGCAGTCTTGTACACTAGCCACTCGAGGCCAAAATGGAGACCTGCTAGAACGTACGAGTAAAGACACATGTCATAGATCTGAGGATTTGAGATGTTGTACGAGGCATAGATTCTCACAATTGCAGCCAATAATGTCCACGTCCCAAATGTGCGGGCAGACAATGGCGTGACCTCGTTTGGCTTGGCTTCGTAGACACGCTTGGTCAGATCAGTGTTGATATAAGTCTGTACGGAATTGAAAACACTGACAGCAGAGATCTTTCTATTAGTAAACCTGACAGTAAGCACTTACAAAAAAGAGCCATTTTGGCAGATATCCAGGAGCCTGTGGCAAATAGGAGAGAAGCTCAATTGCCATGATGAATTAAATAACTTTTCTAAATCATATGTCCGCCATTTATTTTTGGGTAAATAAGTTTGATTTATTTGAACAACGTATTATTCTTGTGCAATGGTAAGAACCAACAAAATTCGCCTGCATTGGCTAACGTCATAGTCGGAGGAGAAATTGGATGCATCATTGGACCTGCTCAGGCGGCTGGATCCAAAGAATATCAGTAAAAATCTAGACAACATATGCCGTCTACAGCCTGACCTAGCTGAAGATTTGCTGTCTTCGGTTGATACTCCACTCAAAACAGCGCGCTGTGAGGAATCGGGTAAAACATACCTATGCTGCGATTACAACAGAGACGGCGATTCATATAGGTCACCATGGTCAAACATATTCTATCCGAAGATCAGCGACGAAGATGAGGCTCCACATCCTTCCAGCCATTTGAGAGAACTCGAGATCTTTGCTAACAAGTCTTTTGACATATATCGTGAGCTTTACTACGAGGGAGGCATTTCGAGTGTTTACTTTTGGGATTCTGAGGAACAGGACGTTGACGCCTCGGGCACAATAGGGTTTGCTGGTGTCGTTCTGCTTAAAAAAACCATTGACACAGTGAATCCAAAAGATGGAGGATCGTGGGACTCAATTCACGTGGTTGAGGTTCTCCCAGGCGCAAACCAGAAGGCAACATATAAGGTGACATCCACTGTCATTTTGGACATTTCGAACTCTGACAACCTAGATATTTACCTTAGTGGAAACCTCACCAGACAGACCTCGAAGGAATTGCAATTCAAAGACTCAGCTTCTCACGTCTCAAATCTGGGATCGCTGGTGGAAGATATCGAAAGCAGACTGAGGAACCTGCTCCAGGAAGTCTACTTTGGAAAAACCAAAGACATTCTGGGCGATATTCGCTCTCTTGATCCACTGGAGTCCAAATCGGACGAGAGAGAGAAGCAGTCAGAGCTCATCAACAACCTCAAGAACTTGTAGCTGCAGTATATGTATATCGTGCTATAAACATCCGTGCACCGGCCTTTGCTGACTAAGAGTCAAATTTAGTACCAAATTCTAGTAGGCAAAAAACTTGAGAGAGTTATTGTATATTGATGACCAGTATTGCACGAGTGTACGCTGACGTGAATGAGAAGAAGCCCAAGTCCTACTGGAACTATGAGAATTTGTCTATATCGTGGGGCTCGCAATCCAGGTACGAAGTGACAAAGAAAATTGGCAGAGGCAAATACAGTGAAGTTTTCGAAGGATATCAGCTTCCGAACGGCCTCAAGGTCGTCATTAAAGTGTTGAAGCCCGTCAAGCGGAAGAAAATTAAAAGAGAGATCAAAATTCTCCAAAATTTGTCCGGCGGACCTCAAATAATCCAGCTTCTGGACGTCGTGCGGGATTCCAACTCCAAGACATCAGCTTTAATATTCGAGCATGTGGAAAACCTTGAGTTCCGTGTACTCTATCCGCAATTAACAGACTTGGAAATCCGATATTATATGTATCAGGTACTGGAGGCGCTGGACTATGCTCATTCGATGGGTATAATGCATAGAGATGTTAAACCCCACAATATTATGATAGACCATCGCCAGAAAAAACTCCGGCTAATCGATTGGGGTTTGGCAGAATTCTACCATGCTGGACAGGAGTACAACGTCAGAGTCGCTTCGAGATATTTCAAAGGACCCGAACTACTGGTCGATTTCAAGCTGTACGACTACTCATTGGACATATGGTCCTTTGGTGCAACATTGGCTTCAGTCGTCTTCCAAAAAGAGCCGTTTTTCCATGGAAAGTCAAATACAGATCAGCTAGTTCAGATTGCGCGTGTTTTGGGAACCGATGGCTTGTATGCATACCTGGAAAAATACAATTTGACGTTAGGCCCTCAATACGAAGATCTGGGACACTATATGAAACGCCAATGGATTCGTTACGTTAATCAGAACAATCAGCACTTGGTGAGTGATGAGTACCTGGATTTCATCGACAAAATATTGCGATACGATCATAATGAGAGACTCACTGCCAAGGAAAGTATGATGCACCCATATTTTGATCCGGTTAGAGATTCGATAAGACGTGTTTGATTATGGGCACGTCGCTTAATATATTGCATAACGAGGTATGACTTATAGTCTGCATTGTTTGAGTAGCTGGAGCAGTTCGATGTTTCTGTTTAAGATCAGGAATGCTTGTAGTTTTTGCCTTCTCGGAGCGAACCTAGGTTTTAGTTTTCGTTTTGTAAAATTGTCTAGCAATTGTATCACTGTATTCAGAAGCTTCATCAGATAGTAGAGGAGAAGTTGTAATTGCTGCTTTGAAAGCTCAATGGCTTCGTCCACTCTTAAACTTGGTTTGAATCTGTAGTCTGATATAAGTTCTGCATATCTGGATTTGTCGTTGACCAGGTTGAATCCACGGGCAGCCATTATTATATCTTGGATTAGGTCCATCAAGCTGTAAATGCGCAGGTTGAGCTTTGCTTTGTAGTGTTTTACAAGATGGAAATAAGTGTTGATCAGCATAGTATAATGAAAGTTTGCATTTTTCGTTGTAGCCGTAGAAACAAAGAGATTTTGAAGTAAGTTCAATAGTCGCCCCTGCTGGACGTGTGAATCAAACCGTAAAGTGGACAGGCCAATGTATTTTACAATATGTCTTTGTGTTTCAAATGTCGCTGAGTGGTCTGTTTCAATGAAAAATTGTAGAAGCTCAATTACACCCTTTAATTCGATTCCTTTCAGGGAGCTCAGGGGTTTATTATTTGTAATTCTTCCATTGAAGGAAACGCCAATCTTGTCGGCAAGATCTCTGTACTTGTCATCTATCACAATAGTAGGATAGTATGCAAGCTTTTTGATAGGTTTGCTGAAACGGTTTCTCAGTTGTTGTTTTATTGACCAAACATAGTCTTTCGTTAGACTCGAGATGTTTATACTTACCCTTCAAACTTAGCTTTGAGCAATTCTTGTTTCTAACAATACAAAATGCCTAGGTTAGTTGTAGAATGAGATTGACTTACCAGTGCAAGATCCAAATCCTCGTTGCTCACAATTAACTGTTTCATTGTTGGCAGAAGGGATATATAGATTAAAGGGAAAAATAAATAGGGATTTTTTGTGTATTATTTCAGAACACATAGATTCATAGCCTTGAGCTCCTGTAATGGAGGAATAGATTCATACATCTGTGGGTCTAGTAAATCCCATAGTATTCCGCAATATGGCTTGGGAACACTATCCGTCTTTATGGTTTGCGTGTTCGTGACAACAATGTCGCAGACAGTGTCAAATATCTCAGGCTGAAGCTCCTGTTCTAAAAGCTGACAATCATGCACAAACGCAACTGCAGGGGTAGATTTGTTAATGCAACCAATGGTATACAACATCGCCCATTCACAATCAAAAAATCCGTGTCCTTTGCCAAACCTTATACCTTTCTTGTTAATCGCACCAGTTCCCGTGATCATCACATCTACATGAATATTCATCTCCATCAGTCGTTTCAATGTCACATGTTTGCCCACCTTCTCCATACCATCCAAAGTCGAAGCATACTCGTATCTTTGCGGATCGATTTCACTTGGGTCTAGCATCCAAAAACCTCTATAGATGCCGTATGTTGTCATGAGCACAATCTTGCCGTCTTTAAGGGCCTCATATCTGAGCTCTTCAAGACAGTTGTCCGGAGTGATAAAAAGCACCTCAGATTCAATGTATGAGGGCTCTCTTTTGAATCTGAAAGTGGCCTCAGAAGAACTCTCGAAGTCTGCAATGAACTCCGCGAAGTTGAAATGGAATCTCGAGTCCGGACGGGCGACCTTGATTAGCTGGGCCCAAACAATAGCCCTAACATCTGACTTGTGCGAAGACATTCTTGTTTTTCGCGCCTGGAACCGCAAGAGTCAGATTAATTAATCCGATTAAACGGTGCATTGTTTTTGGTGCCGTGTACCAAGATAGCCAAGCCACCTGCCGCATTTGAAAAACTCCGTTCCAGTTTAGCTTTCAGGATCCTGAAAAGCCGATTCATCAGCACCCTCGGTCTTTGAACTGTGCCATGACAGTTCCTGGTGCGCGTTTTTGGCTGCTGTTCCTTCCTACGCCTTAATGTCACAAGAAACAAGCGATCATCCTTATCAATGAGATACATGTTTGTCTCAAAGCAGGCCCGAGTTTTATTTGGTTGGTGCACTATAACTCTTATCGGGCTGCTTAATAAAAAATTTTAACGTCGCAAATAAAGTCGACTCACAATGTTCTCCCGCGAGTCGTCAGAAGAGAAGGCCGCCGGCCCCGAACCAGAAAAGCAAGTCACCTCTGTGACCTCTGCGCAAAAGAGATTGGAGCTGGGAAACATTACAGAGGATCCGGTTGAAGCCTCTGTTTTGTTCACCTTGGATAATCCATACCATCCTTTCAACTGGCCTATCTGGCAGAAGTATCTTATCACCATCATTTACTGCACCCTGCAAACATACGTGACTTTGACCTCGACCAGTTACGTTGCTATTGAGTTTCTGGTGCAGGAAAGATTTGGTGTTAGTACACAAGTTTCTGCTCTGGGGCAATCGATGTTCATTTTGGGAACTGCCATAGGACCAGCTTTTCTAGGTCCACTATCGGATATTGGAGGAAGAAAATGGGTCTATGTGTTCTCGACGCTTCTTTATGTCATCTTCAACTTTGGTAAGTTTGAGTTTGTCTCCGTTTACTAACTTTTCAGGCTGTGCTTATCCTAAGAACATGCCAATGCTTGCAATCTTCATGTTCATCATTGGACTTTGCGGCTCCACGGCTTTGTCCAACGTTGCTGGTACCATTGGAGACCTGTTCGGAAACTCGGATGTGGCCTCTCAACCAATGGCACTCTTTGTTTTTTCTGCAAACACTGGTCCATCCATTGGAGGTGTTGTTGGAGAGGCCATCAGTGAAAATAGCAGCTTGGGATACAAATGGGTGTTCCTTATCAACATCATCATTGGTGCTGCCTTTTTTATTGGCCTGATGTTCGTTCCAGAAACCTTGCCGAGAATTGTGATTCCAGAAAGAATGGCTGTTGAAGGTAAGGATGTGCCGCCTGTTATCATCAGAGAGCTCAAATACTTCTTCAACTCATTGATCGGCAAGGAGGAAGACTTCATGAACGAAGTTACCGATCCTAAAGATCCAAACACCACCATCGTGGTTGAAAAGGTTAGCGCAATCAACGAGATCAAGTTTGTGTTTATCATGGCCTTGAAAATGATGGTTACCGAGCCGATTATTATCTTTCTGGGTCTGTTCAACGGTTTTGCCTATGGCCTGCTATTTTTGTATCTGGATGGTATCTTCACCGTTTTCGTCTACAACAACAATCTGTCATACATGGGAGCTGAGGTGACTTACCTGAACTTTGTTGTTGGTGCTGCGTGCGTTGTTTGTCTGGTTCCAATCCAGACATGGCTGTTCAGGCGTGACAGAAAGAAGAACGGCGGTGTTCCTCGACCAGAAGCCAGATTCTTGATTTCTCTGGTCACTGTTTGGGGATTCCCAATTTCGCTCTTTTGGTTTGCTTTCACTTGTGACGGAAGTGTCAACTATTGGTCGCCTATTGTCGCTGGGTTTGTGCTGGCCATTGCCGATCCATTGTTGTGGCTCGCTATGCTGAATTATATCATCGACAGTTACTCGGAGGCAGGATTGAGCAACTCTGGTATTGCTGCATTCACCATTCCTTCGTTCTCCATTGCTGCTGCGTTGGCTCACGCTGGTATCGCCATGTTTGAGGATATGTCTGCACAATGGGCTATGGCTACTTTGGCGTTCATTTCTCTGTTGGTGGTGGTGCTGGTCTACGTTTTCTACTTCTTTGGAGCTAGACTTAGAGCTGCCTCAAAACTCGCGAGAATTAGTGGAGTCAGAGCTTCGAACTAGCTGCCATTCGACTACAACAACCATAGCAAAAGTGTCAGTTTCTCGTTTTCGAGATACTGTACCATAATTAAAATCCGTACCCTTAATATATTTTTATCTCGTCCATTCTGTCATGCCAAATCGCGGCTCTTTTAAGTTTCTGATAGATTCATCAGCGCAATACAAAAAGGCAAGCCTCATCATCTTGGCACATAACAAAAGTCGGTACATAAATCTAGACTGTGCCAACATCTGTCGCATTACTGAAGTGTGCCGATTCTTCTGTGCTGTTTCGCCTGCTCTAGAGCTGCGTTTCGTTGAATCTCTATGGATCAGCAGACGAACCACGAGCCTGCTATAGAGGCACAAAACCTCTTCAAACAGAACTTCCAGCTCTCAGCCGCTGAAAACTTGCAACAGCAAAACATAGATACTCAACAGCATGTGCTTACTGGCCTCCAGCAGATGACGTTGCCCAATTCGCAACAGTCCGAGAGCTCTACCAGTTCGGCTGTTTCCATGGCATCAACCCCGAACGAAAGTCCCCGACTGGGATCAAGGATATCCGCTTCCCACCAAAGGCTTCCGTCTCTGCCGTCTCTGGCCCCCAATCTGGGCACATACAACTCAGCAAGCCATGTTCCTCAGGCCAGCCTAACCCCACGTCAATATAGGATATCAGACGTGGACATCAACCAGGCACTCAAAAGACATCAGAGTGAGACGAACACATTGAACCAGTTCAGAAACCCGTGGTTCAATCAAAAGTCCAACCCCCGACTAGCTCCCATAAACACGCATTTGGGTTCCGATGATAACTATTCACCTCTCTTGATGCAAACACCAGTAAAAGGTGCTCCTCAAGGATTCCCGACAACATACGAATCTTCCACGTATCAGGATGCATCTCAGATTGTACCTCCTCTGCGAATCAACGCGCCTCTTCCTCAAGACACCTACAACCAGAATGCGCAGTTTGGTCCTGGAGAGTTTTACAGAAGACAGTCTGTGGCAGCCAATTATTTCTCGAACCATGAACAAGTCCCCAAGAGCGCGTTGCCGATGTATTCCAAGGGTTTTGAAACTCACGGAGAGCTACAGCGTCCTCATAGTCCTGCTCCGAGATTCCAGCGAATTCAGTATCTATCGGATCTGAGACCAGTGACGAACGCAAAACCGAAATACAGAAGAGCCTCATCATCAACGACTTTTGTGTCACCGCTCAAGGCACTAACGACCTCTATCTCTGTGACGTACTCAATGTGCAGGCCGGAATTCGACTACAAGTCGTCTAAAAATCCAAGAAGGGTGCTCACCAAACCGAGCCATCCCAAATCAAATAATGGAAACGACAACGAGGACAACGACTATATTCTCTACGTGAACGATATTCTGGGTACCGAGGAAAGCAGGAAGTACATGGTGTTGGATTTGCTCGGACAGGGAACGTTTGGACAGGTGGTGAAGTGCCAAAATCTCAAGACGCAAGAGATTGTTGCCGTGAAGGTTGTCAAATCCACACCGGTCTATTTGAACCAGTCATTGACGGAAGCCAGCATTTTGGAGCATCTGAACTCGAAGATTGATCCCCATGACAAGCATCATTTTTTAAGGCTCCAAGACAAGTTTATGCACAAGAACCATTTGTGTTTGGTATTTGAACTTCTCTCATCTAATTTATACGACCTGATACGGCAAAACCAGTTCAATGGGCTTACCATCAAATTGATCCGGAAATTTTCCGTTCAGCTGCTCGATGCATTGGCCGTACTCAAGGATGCAAAACTGATTCATTGTGATTTGAAACCAGAAAATATTTCTCTGGTTTCTCTCGACAGACCAGACTTGAAGGTGATTGACTTTGGCTCTGCATGCCATGAGCGACAAATATTCTACACCTACATCCAATCGCGCTTCTACAGGTCTCCAGAAGTTCTTCTGGGGTTATCGTACTCAAGCTCAGTTGACATGTGGTCATTTGGATGCATAGTTGCAGAGCTGTTCTTGGGCCTACCGCTATTCCCTGGATCATCTGAGTATAACCAACTCTATCGCATCATACAAATGATGGGCATGCCACCTACGTGGATGATAGACATGGGAAAGAACTCGATGAACTTCATGAACAAAATTGAGCTCCCTAATGGAAAGCACACTTATCAGCTCAAGAGCATGGAGCAGTATTCAAAGGAGAATAATGTGAAGGAAGTTCCTGGAAAAGAGTATTTCAACCAAAGATACTTGCAAGACATAATTCTCAACTATCAGCTACCCAAAAAGAACATGACTCAGCAAATGATCGACAAGGAAATGATGAACCGCAAGTGTCTGTCGCATTTTCTCCACGGAATACTGAATTTGAATCCGTTGGAAAGATGGACTCCTCACGAAGCAATACTGCATCCGTTCATCACAGAACAGCCATTTGATGGATTTTGGAATCCACCATCTAAAACTATAGGCCTTCCGAGTGGTTCTGGTAGCGCTACTTCCCTTGAATCTGTCAGGAGACAACGCTCCAAGAGCTTTGGCAACATCTGAATAATAGTTAGACCTGTACTACTTTTAATGCGATTTTCGCGTCGATCGGCGCGGCGATATGGATCGGTGTTCGACAGATATATGGAAAAATTTTATTTCACATTTAACCAACTAAGTACAATATGTCTACTCCAGAAGCCGATCATTCCAGAGATCCATGTCCGATTGTGATTCTCAGTGACTTCGGAGGAGCATTTTCCATGGGTGCTATTGGTGGATCCATTTGGCACGGAATCAAAGGTTTTAGAAACTCTCCATACGGCGAGAGAAGAATAGGAGCCATTTCTGCTATCAAGGCTAGAGCTCCTGTTGTGGGAGGTAATTTTGGAACTTGGGGTGGTCTGTTCTCGTTCTACGACTGCTCGATCAAGGCTATCAGAAAAAGAGAGGATGCCTGGAACGCCATTCTTGCGGGATTCTGCGTCGGTGGCTCCCTCGCCATCAGAGGAGGTCCTAAGCATACTTTCAACAGTGCTGTCACGTGTGCCTGTGTTCTTGCCGTGTTCGAGGGTGTTGGTATGATGTTCCAAAGATACATGGCCTGGGCCAACAAACCAGTGGCCATGCCGCTTCCTGAGCAGCAGGCTGGCCCGGCTCCATTGGGAGCATAGAGAACCTAGCGAGCAATCCAACCGTTGCAAGCAGCTGAGACGTGGTATGACTGCATTTTCGCCTTGTATTTATAGTGAATATGATGATATCTTGACAAGCATGTAGTAGATTTTCCACGACCCTTAGTTTACGATTTTTATGTAGATAGTTTTATTTGAAAAATCACATTTAAATAAATTATCATGAATATTTCCACATCCACTGTCGCCAGTAGAAGAAGAAGGGCGCGGTCTGCTCTTCAAGAGGATGAGGAGAATGCGGCCGAGCTGAAACTGGGTCCAGAGTTCCAACTGGAACAAATTGACAACTACGGCAACGAGACCAAACTTGTGGCCCTGAATGTGTCTGAGGCCCGTATTCTGATTAGAGCAGCACTTCAGGAGAGAATGGCTATGGTTCAGAAACTAGGCGGTCAAGACCTTGGTTTTGCAACAGAGAATCCAGACGACGAGACTTTAGCTAGAATGGCCACCGCCCCAGGTGCGAACGAGGTTTTACGCAAGACTTTGGACTACCTGTCGACATTTGCACGGTTTAAAGACGCAGAAACATGTACTGCTGTGGAAGCGTTGCTCAAGAGCTCTGAAAATAGTGTTCTGCACCCCTTCGAGGCTGCCCAGCTAGGGTCCCTGGCATGCGAAGACATTGATGAGGCAGTGACTCTTATACCGAGTCTGAACGAGAAAAAGGATGAGGTGGACCTACAGAGAATCCTGGACGAACTTAACAGACTAGAGGCTAATTACTCGTGAACGACGGTGTATGCAAAATGTAATTTAGTTATTGGTATTCTTCCGGGTGGTAGTATTCTCTCAGGAAGCTTTTGCCTGCGTATTTCCAAAACCGTGGCAAGCAACTATGCGGGACCAGGTTGATGTTATCGGTTTTCGTTGAGTCTGCGCATATACATCGTTTTCCAAGGCGCAGCATTTCTGATTCGGGACATGTAGCAAACGGAACGTGGGTGTAGCCAATATCCTCAAAATGGTGTATTTCTGACCGGTTGAGAAGCAACGCAGCCGCAATTGAGTGCACGGGAGCGTCTCCCCAGCGCTCATAGTAAAAGCCACCGGTTTGACTCAGAAACTTGAAATATGTTTCGTATTTCTCGGAGCGGAAGAAGTTGAGGTCGCCAATCTCAAAATTGGACCAAAAATGGCACAAGTTGTACGAAGAGTTATGTTCCACGACCAGATAGTCTGCCCCAATTGGTTTGTCGTCCGTCAAAAAATCGAACATGGAGTCTGGATGTATCATATCCGGATTGGCGTTCATGAAATCCTCCACGGCCTCCCATAGAGTAGGTATAGTGTCCTCGTACTCGATCAGAGAAATCACAAACCCGTACTTCTTGCCGTTTTCACGAAACAGACGGAATGGGTCCATCTGGAAATCGCAGAAATACTCAACATCGGGTTCCACTCTGAAATAGTAATCGTACTGTAGCACCAATGGTTGTTTATAAAAGTAACCTGAGTTAAAATGACACATATTCCTGTATGACTTGGAGCCGCCGTATATCACGTTGCGGTCCTCAAAATCCTGCAAACACTCTTCCCACTTGGTCACATTTATGAACGAAGGAGCATCCCAATCTTGGGGCGATATTAGACCGTATTGTGTCTTTCCGCTGGCCATAAATGTAGTAGCTTCCTTAAACCTCTCTGTAAAAGGCTTGTCATTCAAAAATGTCCAGGTGTAATGATAATCCTTGTTGAATCGATCCTCCAAAGATCTCATTGATTTAAGAACTCCAGGAAGTTCCCAATTCCGACATAGCATCAGTATGGTAGCATTCTCTAACTGGGGAGCTCCAGAAATTGGTCTGGGAAACAGCTCATGCACATATGAATTGGAGGCAGGTTTGAGCTTAGCCAGTTCGAGGTCCATCAGATGAGGATTTTCACGCTTAGCCACAATTTCCAGCGAACGTGAGTGTATCTCATTCAGATTCACTTTCGACTTGACTCGCGAGTTCCATATCTGTGCAAAAAAGGATATCAGTACTATAAAGGCAACCAGGGCTCTTGAAGTTGCCATGATTGGTGATGATCAACCAATCTGAAATGCCAGGTCTGAAAAAATATGTACACTGATATTCTCCTGATTTTTACACTGCCTCGGTTTTCTTTTTCTCCATCACTGGCAAGCTTACACTCTCACTGGTCTTCAGATGAAGATCTTCAATTCCTGCCATTCCCTTCTTGATCACACCTCCTACAGGCTTAAATTTTGGCGATGTCAAATACTCAAGAATAGCATCCATGTTCTCGATTAGTTGGCGTAACTTGAAGTCGCTATAGCCAATTACTATCGACAAACAAGTTCCTGTGGAGGGGACGAATGTGGTGCTTTTGGCAATCGTCTTCACTTGGCGTAGCACATAGTCTGGCTCGACTCTCTCATCCTTCAACTTTGATGACTTCTTAGACTTTACCAATTGGGCATCTGGCGAAGGTTTAGCCATTTGGATCATTAAAGGGAGCTTTTTGTTGTTCTTGAAAAACAGGGACCTTCCAATTAGCGAGGGAAGTAATTTGTATACTCTGTGGTCAGCAAGTAATAAATCATACTCATAATATAGTTTCTTAATCTGCTTTGGGTTAGACGCAAACGATTTGAACTTTTTCATGCTAACTATTTCCCCAAACACATCTTCTGTAGGGGCGCCCTTTTGCTCCAGGGGAGTCCTATAGTTCATGACCGGATCTTTCGTTATGAGCATGATTTTCAGGTTTTCGTGAGAGTCTTTAGCGTGCGGCAATGGAATTATTCTTGGAACAAGGTCTAAATCGGAAGAAGTTGGTTTCTTGGTGTCAATGATAAGGTAGATAGCTTCGCGATGATCGCCTTGTGGCTCTAAGTGTGCCTTCAAAGCCTTCAAAGATCGTATGGCTCGAGACCTAAGTTCGTCATTTAGAACTGCTAGGTTCCAGTCATTTTGGCTCGAACTAGACTCCATAAGTAGATTTTTTTTTAGTTTATTTTCAAATAATAAGCGATGCACCCTTTCAAAAAAAATTTATTTCACAGAACTTATTATATTATCATTCAAAGGCCGCTTCATCTTGAACTAATAATCTCAAACTAAAATATGCATATACTTGGTTACTTCAAGGATTTACTGACCATTTCAACAGCATTCTCTGTGGACATTTCCCAGAAACCCTTTTCTAGGGTGAAACCTCCAACCTGCTCAGGCTCAAATTCTACCAGTGTAGTGATCTGGCACGGTATGGGAGATACATATAATTCAACGGGAATGCAGGCTGTCAAAACGATACTTGAAGAAGAGATACCCAATGTTTTCATCCATTCAGTATATCTTGACCTTGATGAAACAAAAGATCAAAGGTTGTCTATTCTTGGAGATCTTAATACACAAATCAGAGACGTATGTGATCAGCTTGATTCTATTCCAGAACTTAAAAATGGCTTTAATGCGGTGGGATTCTCGCAAGGTGGACTCTTTCTTCGCTCTGCGATGGAGCTTTGTGGCTTACCAATAAAGACACTTGTCACTTATGGCTCACCACATAATGGAGTCACCGACCTTCCCCCTTGTTCCGAAGGTAATTGGCTTTGTGAACGGCGAAACAGCATTCTCAGGAGGCAAATATACAACGAAAATGTACAAAACTCCGTTGTTCAGGCACAGTATTTCAGAGATGTGTATAACTTCGAGAAGTATCTTGAAAACTCAGCATTCCTCAAATTTGTCAATAACGAATTCGTTAAAGATATCCAATATGTTCGCAACTTGACAAAACTCGAAAAGCTAGTCATGGTGATGTTCACGAAGGACGACATGTTAGTTCCAAAAGAAACTGCGTGGTTTTGTGACCTAGATCCATTTTCGGGTAAGATCATTCCTTTCAACGAAACTAGCTCTTTTCAGGACGACCTCATTGGCACCAGAACACTTTACGAACAAAACAAAATAGATTTCCTGACAATCGGCGATTCCCACATGAAAATCGATGAAGGCCATTTGAGATTCATCGCTAATAAATATCTCCGTTAGATTTCTCAAGTGTCTCATTTAGCATGGAGAAGTCCTCTGGTTCTCTTCCAGTGAACATTCGGTCTTCAAACATTCTCAAAGAAGTTTCTCGCCGTCTCTTAGCATTTTTTTGAGTTTGATTTTCACATTTTCGCTTCTCTCTTTCATTCAGCATCAATTCTAGATCCTCATCATCTGAAAAATCGCTTTCTTCGATTGGTTGCGAATAGCATAGAGATATCTCTGTCCCTGATCCGACCTTATCGGTGAAATTTGCATGGATAACAATCTCTTCACTTAATCGAGCATTCATCTGCAAATCAATTTTCATCTGCTGGTTTATTTGGCGGAGTGGGATTTTGATAAATCTGATGAGCTTGTATGTATTCTTAGCATAAACTAAAATCGCACACTGTGAGCTGTCGTAGTTTTTAATGTCTGTAATTCGTGTAGTGATCGCTATTGAAATGCTCAAAAGATCACCAGCTGGACCATTCCGCTTGATCTGAGCTTTTAGGTGAATACGAGGAAATAATTTCAGATGATTGTATATTCTGGCACAATTTTTGATGCCCAGTTGGTCAAAGTTCTCTTTGGAGAGTGATGCTGCTTTTTTAATAGAGTGAATATTGCTGGCTTCAAATAGTTTTGCGCAAGTTTTATCAACCCCTTCTATTTGAGTCAGTTCTAATGCAGTGTTCTCCCATGCTTTCGCACTTAAACACCTTCCCAAATATAACATGGACTTGACGCTAATTGCGTCTGCTTTCTCTTCAAAGATTGAGATCCCAGCGTTTATGATATTCGACATTTGCCTCAAGATATTTGCTTTGTCAAAGTTGAAATTGAACCGTAGATCCTTGAAGCTAGGATGAGATGGATAGTCGAGACAGCCGAGCTCGAATTGCACAACCAGGTGCACTTTCTGCCAAACATCCTCAACTTCGCCTTCAAATTTGTGTCTAATAAATTGACTCTGATTCATTTTGCGAAAAAGGGGTTTTTCCAAGGATCGATATTCAAGATTCTCAAATTCAGGTGCTTGACTCAGGAGGTCCAAACATTTGTCCTGTTCAATATGTTTGAGTGTCAAGAGGTATTTGATAGTGTCCAGCGATAGGCAATTTCTCAGCATTGTATTGCCATAACCAGAGCAAGCAATCTTGCCTTGTTGAATAGTAATCAAGCCCCCATCCCATAATTCTTTCATTCTCTTGTGTAAGAGAATTTCTAAACATTGATTGGGCTTCTTGTACATTATTGGTTTCACCACAGTAGCGTAGGAGTATGGACTAGCAAGATAACGCTGATAAAAGAATGTAGTTCTCACCCATTCAATTGAACTCTGAGCATTACGGATTTGACCTGAGGCCACCTCTCTAAGAAGGATTTCGCTCAATTTGAACGGTAAGGAGCTCTCCACTTCTTCAGTTCCATGAATAAGTTTTTCATATTTTGATTTCTCGGCTGATTGAGTCATGATAACACAAGCACCCTCGTTTTCGAATTGTGGTCTTCCAGCCCTTCCAATCATCTGTAAAACCTCCAAATCAGAATATTCTTGTAAGCTACCATTAGTCCACGTTTTTGTCCCTTTGACAACGACTAAGTAGGCTGGCAAGTTGACCCCTGCTGCCAATGTTGATGTACAGCAGATGACGTTTATTCTTCCAGAAAGAAAGCCATTTTCAATCACCCTTCTCTCCTCTGAAGATAATCCCCCATGATGATAAGCAACTCCGTTGTTGATCAGATCAATTAGCTGCGGTTGCAGTCGGTCGGTGATAGGAGGTTTCTGTGGAAAGTAGGATCCAAGTTTTGTGCTCAACACTTTTGCAGTCGTTATGGTGCTTTTTCGTGTTGCACAGAAGACGAGAACAGGCTTTTTATTCCCATAATTTTGGATTACGGTCGGCAGTCTTGATGTGAGAAACGCTTCAAACTGGAACTCATTTGTCGTAAATTTTTTATTGAATCCTAGAACAGTCTTAGTCAGCTTGACAGACCGGTACGAGTCATTAAACCTTAGGGTGGTAGCCATAGGTTTTCCTGGTTTTCTAAGCCATTTGGAAATATCTTCGATGTTAGGGATGGTAGCAGATAATGCGATGATCCGAATATTGGGATAAGAGTATTTCATCCGGGTTACGACTGCTTCCAAAATGGCGCCCCTAATCTCCTTGATACTGTGTATCTCGTCTAGTAGAATTAAACTCAAGGGTAACAACGACTTCTCTCGGTCCTTGTATTGTCGTGTAAACGAGTCCCATTTTTCTGGAGTCGAGATTATAATATTGCAGCTCCTCGCTCTCTGAATTTCTACCAAGGTTGAGTCTCCTGTGAGCAATCCAACTGATACGTCAAACTTGCCGAATTTATGCGACCAATCCGAGACTCTCTCACTGCACAGTGCTTTCAAAGGAGCGAGATACAAGATTTTGGCTTTGCTATTTTCTTTCAACGCTCTGATGATCGCTAATTCGAATAGCACGGTTTTTCCGGATCCAGTCGGGCTTGCAATCACACAATTATCAGAGTCCTGGAACAACATGGGAAAGGCACTTGTTTGCATTTTGTTGAATTGACCAAACTTAAATATAGGGGCATATTTGTCTCCCACTGCAAAGGTGCTCAAGTTTGAATTTGGTCTCTTTTTTGTGCATTCAAATAGATCCTCGTGTGATGGAGAGGATGATCGCTTGAGCAATTGGTGCTTCTCCTTCACTTGCTTCTCGGCAGCTTTGGCCATCAGCAAATCCCTGATATCTTTCATGACATAGAATATACACTATCCCCATTTCCCTTTTTTTTAGGTGTGCGGTGTAGGGCAGAAGCCCTAAAACATGAAGCTAGGCTAATAGTTTCTTGATGGGGGTTGTGCGAATACTCGTGTGTTAGGGACGGCTTGTTCTTCATGCTCGTCCGGCTGTCTTATCAAAATGATCTCCAGATAACAGATTCAATTACCTATCATTTTTGAACTATGCAGTCCTGCGAATGGAAAGACCGGCAGCTTCGTCATACGCCAGGATCAATTGTAGCATTTCATGATGACGACATTATGAAACAAGCAAAGAAATCTGTAAGTAAACATCAAATTCTAGCTATTATCAATCCAAATAACTCACTAAAAAATTATTTATATTTTATTGCAATGGATATTGAGGTTCTTGAAACTCGGGAAAAGGCCCAGCTGGAACCGCAAAAACAGGTGAGTGTTGAAGACGATGACGTAGAATTAGAGAGTGTGGGCTCGTTGCTGGACGACGACACGGAAAAGCCAAACGCGGCAGACGTGGCGACGCGAGGGCAAGAGCTCGTTGACGAGAGAACTGAATACACTGAGGACGGGGAAAGCGAGCTAGAATATGAAAGTGACCATGTAGAGCTAGAGACGGAAGAACCGGAGGAATTGGAAGAGGGGCGCGAGACACAGCCAATCGAGGAGCCACAATTGGGGGGCGAAGAAGAGAAGGACAACGACGAAGAAAAAGGGGCTGAAGAGGGGGATGAAGAGGGGAGTGAAGAGGAGGATGAAGAAGTGGGTTTAACAGACGAAGAGCCGGCCGACGAAAATGGCCAGGAAGGGATACAGCAGGCTGGCACGATCGAGGAGAATCAAGACGCACCAGAAGAGCCTAGTGAAATGGTAACGCAGCCAAGTGACTTGTCATATGAGGTGCCTATCTACATCGATTTAGGGACGGAAGTTTACAAACTGGTTCAGCCTAATGTTCCAGAAGAGGCTGATTTCAAAGACCTCTCCGTTCTCTTTGACGAAGATATATTCGGGCTCACTCTCGGATTGTTCTTCTCTCGTCTCAAAGCATCGCATCGGTTCAACGAGGAACGCGAACTAGTTCTCAGATGCAGCAGTCTTGGCGATCTGGCAATCGAGGAAGACAGCATACACTGTTCCAAGGTGACCGTTGGCGATATTGTAGACTTATTCAGAGGTCTGCGATCGCAATCCGACAACCCGGATCTTTACAAATTCATCCAATTCGAAGTGGTGAGCCGACCACGGTTCATCAAGCAATACGAGCGATTAAGGAGTCAGCTGGAATCTGGCAAAGGGCTGGAGTCTGTGGAATGGGAAAGCAATACCGATAGTCTGCCTCGCAAGAAAGTAAAAACAGATGTTACATAGTTAATCTCGTCAACTCTCAATTAGTATATTGAAATATCTAACTACCTAAGCAGCAGTCAATCTCTTTTGAGAAAGAAGTCTTCCCTTTTGTCTAGAGTTCAGTCTGACCTTCTTCTCATCCTTAGCCTTTTCAACAGCCTCCTCCTCTTCGGTCAAGATAAGCTCGATGTGGGATGGAGAGGATTGGTAAGCGTTAATTCTACCGTGGGCTCTGAAAGTTCTTCTTCTTTGCTTTGGAGCCTGGTTGACTTGGATGTTAGAAATGACAAGTTTCGAAGCGTCGAGGCCCTTGGCTTCGGCATTAGATTCAGCGTTTTCAAGAAGGCTTTGGATGAATTTGACGCTCTTGACTGGCCATCTAGCCTTGGTAACACCAAACTCTTTACCCTGGGCAGTTCTACCAATAGATCCGTTGAATCTTCTGAATGGAATGGCTCTCTTGTGGTCCAAAACTTGGTCCAAGTATTGTTTGGCTTTCTCGAGTTTCCAGCCCTTGATAGCCTGAGCGGTTTCTCTGGTGTTCTTGAATGACACTCTCAGGTACGATCCTCTAGCCGAAGCCGACTTGGCTGGGTTAGCTGGTGTTGCTGCGTATCTAGCCATTTTTTTTCTGTGTGTAGACCAGTTGAAGTTGTCTTTTTTTTGTAACCAAAGTAAAATTTTCCTTGCACGGCCTGAAAAATCCGGGGCAGTCAGAAGGGAACCCGTCTACAACTCACGTGACGAGGGTTCCCTGAAAAAAAAACCTCGACCTAGATAGACCAAAAAAAAATTACATCGTGCGCTTCTAAGCGAGCCTACTGTAGTATCCCATCTCTGATCTTGTGGTGCAGAGGTGTATGCTTTAAAAAAAGATATCCAATATCAATTACACACATACAAAATCTCTCGATATGCTTCATCTTATCACTCCGTTACTATTACTGTTGGCGAGGTTCAGCATGGCAATAGATATCTCGGATGAGCACTTTGCTGCCTATCCGAGAATGAAGGAGCTGATTGGCTCTCATCTGGTCAGCAAGACAGAAGAGACTCCTCCATCCACAAAGAAAATAACCTGGTACCTGAAGATAACCGACTCTGATTCTGGATCTTTCAAAGATGACACTTTTCCCTCAGAATGCCCAAAGGATTCTCAGCTATGTGGATTGACAGAAATTTCGCTTCCCAACCATGACCCAGTGATTACTGAGGTGTTCTCCTTTTCGAATAAATTGACACCACAATTCGATGTCAACACAAGCTCTTTCATTGTCAACCTCCGTGGCGCTAATTGGGGAGCATACACATTAGATGCTGAAATTGAGTTTGTGTGTGCGTCCGAAGATAACGCAGAGGGTCTCAAATTGGTCTTGTTTGACTATTCCACCGTGTCACTCCACTATGAGACGGCCAGCGCATGCAAATCCAACGAAACGCCTCCCAAAGACGGAAAGAAGAAAGCTCCAAAAAACGACGACTCCAATTCGTGGGGCGTCTTCACATGGCTCTTCATCCTTCTTGTCATAGTGATGGCGTCTTATATAATAGCACAGGCATGGATCAACACAAACAGAGTGGGCAGCTCACACGAGTTTCTTAACGAGCTGGTCGAGTCAATCATCGAGACATTGACCAAGTTGCCCGAGTTCTTGCGCGAGATAGCAAACAAACTGTTCAGCAGTGGAAGCAGAGGAGGGTACAGCGCAGTGTAATGTATATATATAAACAAATGCAATCCGTTATGCAGATTTGGTGGCGGCCTCAGGCCCCAGTAGCTGGCGCATGTTATCGTAAGTGGTCCTCACCGTTGTTTCGAGGTAATTTTGTTTTTTTTCCAGGCTATTAATGGAGTCTTTATTGTCATTCATTTGCCGCTTCAATTTGGAGATGTAGTCCTCAGACTTTGTTGTCAAGAATGTCTTTCCACAGCTCTCCCACACATTTGCGTTGCCCGAGTTTGTAATCTCCTGGATCTGTAAATCGAGGACCTTATTTTGCTGGGCCAACCGCGTCAAACTGAGATTCGTGATGCTCAATTCTTCTTTTTTCTCTTTTAGTTGGGTATCCATCTCCACAAGGAGCTATGTGTCAGCGTATCATTGGTGTATTTACATACCTTTTGGAGGGCCTCTGGAGGAACAGACATTTTTCTTTATTTTTTGTAACTGATCCATGAATATTTCAGTCCTATTTAGTCGGTTATGTGCCCACAGGTTCCAAATTAAATTCAAACAAATCACAGATAAACCTTGCTACTACAAATGCATCTGGGAATCCCCAAAAGGTCAGATCTAAGGCCTAAGGGCAAAAACAAGCCTATTCTACCCATACCTGCATCTTTTAGGGGACGGATCAATGATTTCAAGTCCAAAAAGACGATTCTGTACGCCGTTCTAACTCTCCTTACTTTGAACTACATAGTAAGCCGAGCGTTCTTTTCATCGGGAAAAGGACATAATTTCAACCATCTGACCAACCAGGAGGCTCTTCAGACGCTGCAGAAAAACCACGGTCTTTACAAGCACGAGATAATTGTGAACTCCAACTATATCTTTCCACCCATTGAACACGCTCCACTGCTGAGAGAGCTGACGCTGGACAGATTATTCAAATCAAAAGTCAGCCCTGATAATCCTCAGGAGAAGTTGTACTACTATTCTGATGATGACGACCTTAACGAGCTCAATGAGATAAAGGACAAGTCCAATTCTGAGAACCCGCTGGATCAGTCCCGAAAAGCATTCAAGGAGCACGGTCGTAAGGTTTTCAGACCTTCAGGCAGCAAAAAATCACCAGAAATTGTGATTGTCACTGGTGTTGACTTTGAGCAATTCGAGCAAGGACATCTGACCAAGATTGTTCAAAACAGAGTCGACTATGCTCACGCAAACGGTTACGGAGTGTACGTTAGATGGATTCAAGAGTTCATTCCAACTTTACAGGAGTTCCACAACGACCGCAAATGGGCCAGGCTTTTCATTTTGAGAGCTGCTATGCATGCGTTTCCTCAAGCAAAATACTTCTGGTATCTGGACCAAAACGCCTACATTATGAGACACGACATTGAGCTTTATTCCTATCTTTTGGAACCGAAATCGCTTGAGCCGATTATTTTGAGAGACCAGCCAATAGTGCCACCTAATGGGGTCATTAAGACGTACAAGAAGACCAAAGCGGACGATATCCGCTTCGTGATCACACAAGCTAAGGACGGACTTGACACAGATTCATTTATTTTGAAAAATGACATATATGGTAAAGGATTTCTCGAATTCTGGACCGATCCACTGATGAGAAAATATCCAAGTTTCGCCGGAGACGACAAAGATGCCCTGATGCATATCCTCCAGTGGCACCCGGTGATCTTGAGTAAATCTGCCATTATCCCAAGCCGGACCATAGCTTCGTTGCATAGCTCCAATACCGCGGAGGAAGTCGACGATACTTCATTCTATCAAGAAGACGATTTTGTTGTGAATTTCAAGGGCTGCGATGTCTATCATACGTGCGAGTTGGTATTGGATTCCTACTGGAAGAAGCAGCAGGCTGCTAAATAAGATCAGGCTCTTTGGCTAGTGCCTGACGGATTTGCATTCACTCGCTCACCGAGCACCTGGAGAGCTACCTGTCTTCTTCTATCTGCAATTTCACGAGTGACTGTTGTTGTCTGGGTATTGAGTCTTTTGATTGTTCTCAAGTTGCCGGACTCAATATCGTCGTCATTGAACGGTCTTATGATTCCTACCAGTGCAGAGGTGTGGTAGCATGCTCGGCACAATGGCCTCAGCACCTTGTGCAGACCAGCAGGAAAGAACTGAATAAATGCAAAAGTATCCGAGGCGTCTCCTCTTACCATGGAACGGGTGTTATTGGAAGGAAGCAGATCGCTAAGTGTGTTAATTTGATAATAGCGCAAATAAACCCAGCTGACATAGAAATTATTGAATATAGGCACAACCGGCACCAACGACCTTGTAATCAGAGAAACAACAACAGCTGTACAAAGAAGGATAAACGGCATCTGTCTCAAACGAATAGACACTGTATTGAATATCTTAAGATTGTGCTCAGGAGACAATTGTTTGAGCACCACGACGAAACTCATCATAAGGGAGTAGACGCCATGGTTAACTGGCTCAGTAAGCTTTGCAGACTGGAATGATAAAACGTGGAACAGCATTTCAAGGAGCACTGTGCTTCCATTGGTCGCCACTGTGACTATGGTGATGTAGTATACCGTTTCGGAAAATATCTTATTTTCGTTGTTGAGGTTCCAGTGTTTTTCCAGATAATTGATGCCAAAGTAGAATACCGTGACGGCAATCAGGAACTTCAACACAGATGTTTCGACGAAAGTCTCTGTGAGTAAAGTCCAAGGATAAAACAACGCCCGGTTCGGCACCAATTGAAGAACAGGAACCACGATCTCTGAAAACGTGATCTCTGGATTCTGTGTCTTGACAGCATTGTAAGATTGCAGGCGAATGATTGAGGCCAGCAATGACAGGATAGTTGTCAAGCTCAAATATAGAACTGTCGCGTACGTCCACGTCAGGGACGGGATTAGGATAGCCATAAGGAGCTAAATAATATAGGAAAATAATATATAGGTGCAAAGGTGCAAGATTTTGCATCAGGGCTTAGAACACACACCGGGAGCTGTGAGCAAGATAAACAGACCTACGGCACAAGCTGTCTGAGTTTGGTCTAACAGGCTGTGCAAACGTGTCGTCCAGTGATGTCACTTCTGCGTGGGCCCCAGCTCCGCCGCTGACATAAGCAGATGATTATAGATGAGATTTTTGATTTGGCAAGATTATATCATGACCTCTTCTGATAAACGAACAGCGTACAAGCAACTGAGCGAAGAAGAGAAAAAACAGCATCACATCAGGTCCGAAAATAAGCGACGAGAACAGATCAGATCAACATTCGACAGTTTGGTGAAGGTGGTGCCGGATTTGACAGAGTCAGAAAATAGGTCAGAATACGCTGTTCTGTCTAAGACGTCCAACTATATTCGTCAACTTCGTGTGGACAATCAGAGACTACTACAGATAGCAAAGGAGCGTGGTATAGAGGTTCCAGATGACCTGAAAGAATAATATCATATTACACACGTTACTTAATCGTCGTACTCTTATTCCTCCTCCTCCTCGGGCTCTTCTGAGGGCCACCATTCAGGTATGTGAACCTTGGCGATAAATTTCCCTGCGACCTCTGACGAGTTCTTGGACACTATAGGGAACTCGTTTTTACCGGGCGCATTGTCACGATTGATCTCGGCCACATATACAACGGCTAGGCCTATATTATTTTGCACCCTGATGATCTCTCCTATTTTTTTGTCTCTGCGCGTCCTCGATCCAAATGGGTTTGGGGACTGATGCTCGGCGTCTGAGATTTTCTTGGACGTGTTGACCAGCTGCAGATCAGTATACTGGCCCAGACCCAGGTCTTCGTCTGCCAATTTTATTTCCGCGCTCACAGGCTCTCCGACTCTGAACAATTGTACGGGCATGACCCGTTTTCTAATGACACCCGAGTGAAACGTTCTGATAGTGAGCTCCTGGCCTACATAGCATCCCTTGTTGTAATTTATTCCATTCATGTAATCGAGGTTGTTTTCAAAGGGTAGTGTTTCGGACTTGAAGTCGGAAATCTCTGAAATCCCAACCAGAGTGCGCAAAGTATCATACACTTCGTGTTCCACTTGAATGTCCTCTAGGTTTTCAAGCTGGCTTTCAGGAGGAAGAATGAATTTGAGCCCAAAACATGGCGCACGGTCGTCGATTGCGAACCCTTGTAACTGCGAGGCATTGTCCTTGGTCAGTATCTCCTCATTCACAAGCCTGTCTTGTAAATACTTGCTCCAGGTAGAAGCGGCTTCCACACTCTTGGAGTTTCTATTATTGAGATACTCTGACTGTAACAAGTCGTAAAACTCATCGAATTCCTCAGAATGGTCGTAGTAAAACCACGAGTTATAATTTGCAACCGAAATATCAATCTTTGCTCGAAGTTTGTGCAATTTGAGCATCATCTGGATTTGCCCAAAATTCTTCGGTGCCATCTCAAGCAAGTACTTAGGGCCATTGCTTGGAATATAAGGAGTCGGATAGACAAATAGATCAGACAGAACTCGTCCCCTGGAATTTAGAAGCATGGAGTACCGGCCGTCTCTCCTGATGCCCAGTCGTTCTGGAACATCAGGGTCGTAGGTCTCGTCCTCGTGAAGAATGCCCCAGTTATCCTTTTGCATCTGCTCGTCTGTAAGTCCGAGCATTTTAGAGTTCTCCAATGCTTGTAGATCGCTGGCGGATATCGTGGTGAGGTTCTTTTTCTCGAAAGTGGGCAGCATCTTGGTCGTCAGCAGTCCATTCAAAAACTTGGCGGAGTCAGGACCCTTGATCTCAAGCAGCTTCCTATTGAGCTTGACGAGTCCTCGCGGCGGAATTGCCCGCAAACTGAGGAACGTCGAAAAGCGTCTCATATTAACATAAATATATTCTTTTAGAAATATTAGACATGAAGCTCGTTAATTAGTAATCGATATTTGCAGGTCACATAAACCTAACAAAAGGCCGTCGACAGGTGGCAGTTCGCCGTTTCATTAGTATCGTACAGCAAATGGATCAGAGACCACTCTGGTCCTCCTCCTCTTCCTCCTCAGGATTCACAAGGTCTTGCCCCTCCTCTTCGCCCTTGCTTTTCATCCGTTCTGTCAAGAACTCGTTCACTTCATCCTGTAGTGTGGTAACATAAGCTCGGAGTCGTCCGATTCGCGTATCTGGGGCCTCTGTGGGAGCATCTCTATCCACAGCACCAGCAGCAAGAACGTAGTCAGACGGCCCGTTGGTGCGTCCGGACGTCGAATGCGGTTTCGATGGGTCAACCTCAAATGTCCTGGACACTGGGCCTGAGTATTCAGCCGTTGGAAGCAGCTCATTGGTGTCCTTGGTCATGATTGATAGGCTGTCCTAGGAAGAAGAGGCTCCGGGTAACGTTTGATGATATAAAAATTTTTCAGTGCAATTTAATATATCCAACTTCAACGAACATATCCCTCCAATAAATCAACATGTTTACCATCGTTTCCGAAAGATTCGCGGGAGAGTGCGCTGTGGAGTATGCTGCCATACTTGATTCTGAACTCAAGACGGCGTATCAAAGTGGCTTTGAGACTCTGGCAGAACAAGAAAACAAACAAGAGCTTCTCACAAAAGTGCTGGAATCGAGTCGGGAGCTCGCTAAACTGAGCGATAAAGTGTTTGAGCCTACCTTCAACCTACTGCTACATCTTATAGACATTCTCAGGAGCGAACTGGACGTGTCTCTGGAGCAACAGCTATCTGCAATCTTGCCTGAGATCCAAAAAGTCGTCGTTGTTCCTGATGACGTGCTGTCCAAAGACAGGTCCAGTATCAGAGTCAGTTCGCTTGTGTCTGTTTTGTCTAATCTGTTTAATTTTGTTCCCCCACAGTCCCAACTCAGAGTGCAGGTGCTCAAAGACATCCTCTCCATAGTTTCGAAGCACTCACTTTCCAACGTGGCTGGTCCGCTGGCTCAACATCTGAAGGTGTGGCTCACAGATTGCAAAGCTTCCAGCGATGACATCAAGCTCATTTATATGCAGGTAATCGAGCTGCTGTTCAAAGACCAGAACGACACACAGGCGGTGACACTCTTCAAAGAATTGATTCAATTGGGCGGATCATCCCTTTCTTCCATCGAGTACTCGCAGTTTTTCATCCACACCCTCAACTCTGCAGTTTACATAAACTTGGACTCTATCGACTTCGAACCACTGCAACAAGATCCAGTGCTTTATAATCTCCTCTCCATATACAAGGACTCAAATCTAGAGGATCTCGCAGCCTTGAGCAAGAATTTTTCGTCATACAACATCAACATAGACAACCTCACGAACAAGCTCAAGCTTGTTGCCGTGACCAGAATAGCGTCTAAGAAAAATCAATTGTCATACGCTGAAATTTCTGAAGAGTTGCATATTGCATTGGACCAGGTGGAAGATTTCCTCATTAAATGCATCAAGTCGGGTCTCATTGCAGGAAGATTGGACCAAGACAAAGAACGGTTTTACATCCACAAGGTGTCGAAACTAAACAGTACCAGTAAGGAGGACTGGGAGTTTATTTCCTCCAGGCTCGCTGGATGGACCTCTCAAATCGCCAAATTACAGACTGCTATCGAGTCGGTGCAGTCCAGAAGAGGAAAGAGAGTTCCCCCTCCTCAGGTCTTGCAAAAGTTCTACCAGCAAAAGCAAGAATTGAAGGAGCAGAAGGAGCAGTTGCAGCAGGAAAGAGAGAAAGAAGCACAACAGATTATGTAATAATTTTTTTTGAATTAAAAATCCGTTCATGATCCAGAAATTTGCATATAAACTTTAATGTTTAAACTTCTTCTAGCCAACAAGAGCCCCATAAATTGGTCGCGGCGGTCGTTCTTCACTGCGGGACTGCAGAAGACGGTTTTCCAAAATTCATTTTTCACCAGACCTTGGCAATTGACCAGTAAAACTTCTCAGTTCCGGAATTACGCCACTCACAAAGAACTATCTTACAGACTAAGGGGACTCGGGAACCCAAAGGTCTCTGGGTCGTTGGTCAAGTCGCTAATATTTACTGTTGGGTTCTCCGCAGGCTGCTACGTTGCAACGCCCTACTTATTTAATCATACTCCCTTGTCATACTTCAAACGGCATCCAATTCACTTACTCTATGGCCTTATTGGAGTCAATGTTGGAATATTCCTGCTCTGGAGAGCTCAGACAGCCAGTCTGAGAACAATGAAAGTTTTGAACAAGTACTTTCTACTGGAAAGAGGATCTTCAAGACTCTCTGAATGGTCTCTTCTGTGGTCTGGCTTCAGCCACCAAGACTTTGCACACTTGTTGATGAACATGCTCTGCTTATACTCGTTTGGAACCACCATGCTACAAGTTCTGGGTGTGGTTAATTTCACGTCCTTGTATCTGATTTCGGGAGTGGCGTCTTCGTTTGCCTCCATCCTGTTCTCCACTATAACGCGGTCCTACGGTATGTCTCTAGGAGCCTCGGGCGCCATATCTGCCATATTTGCCGCGTTTGCAACCATTTTCCCAAAGGCCGGGATTTCACTATTTTTCCTCCCTCTTCCGGGTGGAGCTCTAGTAGCCCTGCTCGGATTCACTGCATATAACATTCTTGGGTGCTTCTACAGATGGGGAGGTCTAGACTACGCTGCACATTTGGGAGGAACTTTACTTGGATTCCTCTATGCCAAATACCTGCAACAAAAAAGACGTTATCGATAAATAGATTACATAATAGACCGTTTTCATTTGTCTCGGTAATTCCAATCGATGGTTCATTCTCATCATTCCCATTCGGGTCAATATGTGTCGCACGCCGTGGACAGCTTGGATGACATTGTTGCAAGGGTCAAGGATATGAACTTTGAGGTGTTTTGTCTCACAGAACACGTTCCCCGGTACGATTATAAACTGATGTATCCCGAAGAGATAGACAAGGGATACACTGTTGACTCACTAGTCGAGAATTTTGAGAAATACTATGTGCATGCGCGACTCATCCAGAAGGCAGTGAACGCGGACCGCTCTTCCAGACTGAAAATTCTTGTTGGTTTTGAGACAGAAGGAGGAATTGACGAGTACCATCTAAGTAAATGTTTGCAGTTCAAGCGGGAACTGAGACCCGATGTGATTGTCGGTTCTGTCCATCATTTGAAAGGGATTGACCTGGATTTTAGTCGCGAGAAATGGCTTGAGGCAAAAGGAGATCTCACGTTGCAGGCGTTTTTCCTAGCATATTTCAAGCAACACCAGGTAATGGTGAAGACGCTCGAACCAGAGATTATTGGACATTTCGACCTCATTCGTCTATTTGCTCTGCCCCACGACAGATGTGAAGACACCGGGAAAGAGCTCAAAGACATCAACATAGAAAGAGACTGGCCTGAGGTCTGGAAGGTGATTACAGAGACGGTAGAGCTCATCGTTTCGCAAGGAGGTCTTGTCGAACTGAACACTGCTGCTATTCGCAAAGGCTGGACGACATCGTATCCGAAGGATGATCTGTTCCAGCTGATACGCGAAAAGGGGGGCAGATTCTGTCTTAGTGACGACTCCCATGGAGTCAAACAGGTGGGCCTGAATTATGAGAAAGCCTTGAAACACCTGCAGAAACTCGGCCTGGATAAACTGTACTACTTTGATTTGGACGTTTCTGGCACGCCCTTTGTCAATAGTCGCACTCTGGAGGACATTGCAGCTGACCCTTTCTGGAATAACTACAGCTAAAACTGCTAGATAATTTCATTAATAAATATCTCAGGTTTGAACTTTTTGAATCCGTCTAGCACCTGCGTTCGATTGACTTTTTCCTGTGATCACTACTTTATCCAGCTCCTCGGACGTCTCAGACATCGTAGACACAGCAGCGTCTTCTTGAGGATGGTATCCACCAAGAGCAACAACCTCCGATGTATATCCGTGTAAGCTTTTTCTCATAGGATCATGCGTACGTTTATATTCTTCCATGAGACTGTAGTAGCGCTCCTTTTTTTGCAGGTCTGTGAGCTCGTTCATAAGCGCGAGCTCCTCCATGTGCATCTTGGTGGTTTTGTGAGTTATATAGAACTCCTTGAGCAATTCATCTGTACCTAGCATTCTTAGAAGCATAGGCAGCTTGTGAGAATTGTAAAACTTTCTCAAGGCCACGCTCTTGACATGCTGGCCACTCAGTGCATACACCTGCTGCTGGAGCGTGGCTGTGGAAACCCAGAATCTCAACTCATCCATGAATAGGTGGTTGTTGAAATGTTTCTTTCGAAGGCCTCCGTTATACTCCGAATTGAGCACTGTAGTGAAATCGTGCGGAACGAGACACGGAGAGCCTTCCATCATCGACAACTTCAGTGGCGACAGCTCGGAATATGTGTAGAAATGGTTGTTTCTGCAGTTGTATATCTGTAGTTCTTTATTTCTCTCCAAGGCCTCAGAGGAGCTCTCTGGACCTCTGTTTGATTTGACAGGAGGAGCACGCTTCACCTTCTGAGAAATATCTGTGTCTGTAAGGCTATCTGTTGGCTCTGCTAGTTGGGCATCCTTGGTTTTCTCCTGTTCCTTCTTGGCCTGTCTCTCGCGGTCCAGTTTCTCCAATCTCGGAGGTAGCTTATTCGTATCCGTGAGTGCCAAGCCGGTGATATCTATGTACATCCCGCTGTCCACGTCGATGAATCTCGCATCTATATTATTTCTGCCGTTTCCTTTTGTTCTGTGAGTCGGATAAGATCCACAGTCAACGTAGTATTTGCCGTATCCGTGCTGGACATCCTCGACAATAAGCGAGTTGTTGTACTTCATGCAAAACCGATCGAAATCCATTATCGGCATCTGGACGTCGATGTCGTTATCCCATTCGAACACTAGTGCGTTCCAGTACCAGCTCAGAAGCGTTCCGTGAGCCAGGAAGGACACGATACCCTCCTTGTAGGTGAACTGCAACCATGTGTGAATAATCCTGTGAAGTATGATCTTGCGCTTTTCGTTCACGTCGTCGTACTCGTTGAGCTTGGACTCTGTCACAAAGCCGTTGAAGAAGCGGAAGTCATAATGGCCTCCATTTTCGGTCACCTTGTGGCCGTTGTATGTAGCTGGCCAAATGATGTTCACCTCCCTGAAAGATTTTTGCAGCTTGGTCGAAGGAATGGACTTGGAGTATCTCAGGGTCTGCAAGTGACGCAGTTCCTTTTCGTCAAGCTCATCTATGCGTTTTTCATAGTCCTCGATGATCTGGTCATACGAGTAAATGAATCGGTCAGGAGGAATAACAAACTCATAGTTTTGCTCTGCCGTGAACATCGAATCGAAATCGAGCTCGCTTTTTGAAGGAGCAACAGAGTTGACCAGCATCTCGTTCTCCAAAGAAGCGTCGGCCACAACAGTATCATTGGCCTGAGACTCGATAAACTCATCGAACAAACCGCTGTCCAGCATGTTGGAGTCTCCAAAGATGCTCACCTCGTACGAGCCTTTTTCCGTAAGAAACACGATGGAAGTCGGCACGGGCGCATACGAGAGCAGATACGACTTGGCATGTATGAGTTTGTCGCGAAAAGATTTTTTTCCCGTCCGGTCTTTGAAGTTGAATCCCGGCAGAAGAGCACGGCTGGTGTGGCCGGTGTACCTATCGTTATCAACACAGGCGCTGTCTATGTTTTTATTTGGGTTTTTGAACTTGTGTTGAGGGTCGTATGCTGGGCCCTGGTAGAGAATGTCGTCGCAGGTCGGACGCTGGTCTTCGGGTAGCTCTAGATATCGATTCAGAACCGACAGATCGACCCAGTCTTGCCAGGAAAACGGAACTGCTATCTTGGCTAGGGCAGCATTCCCGCCGCCCTGCTCCAGGAGTTGTTTGCGAATATGGCTTAGGTACACAGACATCGTGATTCTTGGGTCATACAGCAAGCGGGATTCGCGGGTAGTTTTATAGTCTGAAGGATCGAAGGTTGCAACCGGGTTGTTGAATGCAGTGGAGAATTTCCAGTACTTTTCATAGTCTTGCGAGATGTCCAACACATCCAGCTGCTCCTCAAACGACTTTATGAATTCGTCCGGGTCTGTTGAGGACGAAGTGGCGCGGATTAGGCCAGTAACGTCGTTCAACACATTCATCTGAGTTCCTGCCCCCACCAAACTGACAATCACCAAGTTCAGCAAACAAACGGCTGCAACAAGGATCACGCAGCGTCGGCGTCGCGGGACCATCATCACGGGGGATATTTTGCTGCTGGCCGATGTCATTTACAAGAGGTCCATGTATCTCTCTCTATTTCGAAGGCTGTGCAAGACTAAAAGAGATGACTGCTAGACCGAATGGAATGTAGCACGTTAGAGACTTTATGGTCTAAATAGCCCGTTTACCACTGCGTGCTGAGCCTCTGTCGACGTGTTAGCTAAAAAACAGGTTTTATGCTTAGTATATATTAATCAGAAATGCTTAGATCTTCAATCGACAAATTTTAGTGGTCGTCCGCATACCAGTGGATATTCGTGCGAGCAAACAATAGCTGCGAGGCTTATTACAAAGCTGACTCTCGGTTGTCCGATAAATGTCATTAACTTGGTCTATTAGCTGCTTTCCAGCCACTCAACAGGCTTTTGGACCACCTCGAGCAGCCGTTGCTCTTCCGGACCGGGTGCCTGGTGGTCGTACATCCATTTTGCCGTGAGTGGAAGGCTCATTAGAATCGACTCGGTCCGCGAACCTGGAGTCTGTAGTCCAAACTTGGTGCCTCTGTCGTACACGAGGTTGAATTCGACATACCTTCCCCTTCTGATCTGCTGCCACTCCTTCTGGACCTCTGTATAAGGGGTGTCTTTTCTGCGCTCGACCAGTGGAAGATAAGCAGGCAGAAACGCGTTGAAACAGGACTCCGCCATTTCCAGACACTGCTGAGGAGGCAGCTCGTCAAAGTCGTCGAAGAAGATTCCACCAATACCCCGGGTCTCGTTCCTGTGCGGAATAAAAAAATACTCGTCGCACCATTTCTTGAACCTAGGGTAAAGATCCGGTCTAAACTTGTCCAGAGCGGCCTTGTGCTGCTGGTGGAAGTTGATACAATCCTCGTCGTAGATATAGGATGGCGTCAGATCGGCTCCGCCTCCAAACCACCACGTCTGCGGAGACCCGTCTTCGTTCATAATCTCGAAATAACGGTAGTTCAGGTGAGTGGTTGGAGCATGTGGGTTCCAGGGATGGATCACAAGACTCAGCCCGCAAGCAAAGAACTGTACGCTGCCACCAGCGCTGGTCTTGATGTTCTTATGATCTGCTTTCATTTTCTCTATAGCCTGAGGAGGAAGCACACCGTGAACAACAGACACGTTGACACCACCTTTCTCGAAGGTTTTGCCGTTCTGCAACACCATGGACCGGCCTCCACCTCCAGATTCACCCCGTTCCCATTCGTCTGCACGAAAACTGACTGAGTCGAGGGACTCCAAACCACTGGTGATCTCGAGCTGTTTCTGTTTCACGAGTCGCTCCATCTGCACCCGGATGGGCAGAGCAGGGTCCAAAACCGAGGCCATTCTTTGTCCTTAAAAGTGGTATATACGTCTCTATTTATATTCCAACTAGGATGATAAATCTGGTGATTTTCGAGCTAGTGATCCGGTGCACGGATGCGCGAGACCACCGGAAAACTCATCCCTGTCTGATCGCGAACGCAAAAAAATCTTGGCAAATCGAACCCTTGGTGCGCCAAGCTTCCGTGGCACAGAAATTAGGGCTGTGCACAAGTTCGGAATCGACGAATAGGGGAAAACAGCGAGCTCATCTGGTGGTTGGGCAAATTCCTACACGCTCTTGCCACGTTTCCTTGTCTTCTTGGCGTTCAGGTGTGTTTTGTAGTGTTGCATACAGTTATCCTGTCGCGAGAATCTTGCGCCGCAACCTTCGTACGGACATATGTGGTTCTTCACGCCCGTGTGTATTCTTGTGTGTCTTGCCAGATGTCCTGACGTAGTGAACTTTTTACTGCAAACTTTGCACTTGTAGCGACGCATTGGTGGCGAGAGGTCGGAGTTCTTTTCCGGCTCTGTTGCGGTTTGGGGAGTCGGAAGAGCCACTGTCGGAGCAACATAGTGGGACGGATTCTGGCGAGTATAGCGAATAGAGGCCAAAGGCATATCGATGGAGGGTATATTTGGTCTGCCGAGAGGCTGAAGCAAGGCTGGAGGAGCAGGCAATGCTAGCGGATGGGGAGTGGTCGGGTTTGGGAGGGGCCATTTTTGCTCCGATTGAATCTTGGACAGAACAGAGTCTAGACTAGGCAGTTGTGTTGGGTTGTGTGATAGGTACGTAGGCATCTTATTTTCGTTGACCAACAACATAGTCTCAGACATTTTCTAAAAAACGGGAACGAACAAAAAATATCGCTCACCATACTTTTTATAATTTATGATGCAACCACAAGGAGGCGCGGGACTGCCTAAAAATAGTAGGTCGCAGGTAAATAGCCGACACAAAGCTCTACTCAAGAAGTGTTGCAGCATGGCATACGTTTGTGTTTGGCCAATAGCCTTTAGAGGTGGTCTTTTCTCGGATCCATCGTCCGATAAAACTGCCAAGTTTTCCCAAGAACCCTGAATTTCCTAAGTCTTGGCAAAATTCAAACCCGTATCCAGTTTCGAAAAAGGAAAGAGTTATGCTATGTGGCTGTTTCCGTAATCTAACAATATATGTTAAGTTTTCCTGCAGCCGAAGTTGGCGTTTTCGGGAATGTCCCGATTCAGGAATTACTAACCAGCGGAGAGGCTCCGCAACTGACCGGGATTACACTGTAACCGCCAGTACTCAGGCTTGACTGGCTACCTTTCGAAGGGCATCTATATCGTGCTGGTTGCGCGTCTCCCTGAAGTGCCGTTTATCCGTCTTCACTAAATAAGCACGTCTCGCGTCAAGAGGCGGCTCAGCGAAGGCTTGGCGTCTTGAGTCATCAAAATATTGGATGATGCATGATATTTAATCCCTGGAACATGTAGCATTAGACATACTTAAGTACCCGTTATTAGAGCACGGGTTTTATTTGGCAATCTGAGTTTCGAAGGGGTAGCTGGTTCTGGCACGAGAGGTGACCGGATCGCTTGCTGAGCAACCTTTCTCGACTCATGTTGCACGATTGGTTACTGTATTAGAAAACAGAGCTAGCTCTTGTTTTCGGTAGATTCAGAGCTTTTGTCATTGACTGCAGCGTCAGGAGTAGGTGAGTAAGCGTATCTGCTCCATTTTCTAATTCTAGCACCATAGATGTAGAATGCAAAAGGTATAGCACAGCATGCTAGCGAAATGAAGGCCATCAAGGTAGTGGCCCATTCATAGCCCAGTCTGTGATACATCTGGATGGTAAAAAGAGGAACACAAGCTCCCCATATTGATCTGACGAACGTCTTTGCGGCCAAAGCGGAAGCCGCGTAATGTTGATAAGAGTCCACGATATAATTATTGGCCGGGTTGTAAAGAAGATTGAAACCCAATCCGCAGGAGAATCCAGAAAAACATGGTCCTGCCCAAGAGATGCGAGGGTACGAAGACCATGCAAAGGCAAACAGTCCAATAGGAACAAACCAACAACCAATCATCATCGGAATCAGTCGAAGCTCGGCAGGAGGAATCTCGCCTCTGCTTCTGTAAGCGTCAGCTCTTTCATTGTATTTTTTGTTAATCATTGGTGAAACGGCGACAGCAGCCAGAACGCCAACGGCAATTGGAATGAACATAAGGCCGGTCTTGGAATCGGACCATCCCTTGCCTTCGCTGTAAACCATGGGATAGGCAAAGAAGAACATGTAAAGCAGGCCGTAAATGACAGACATGTACATTGTGATCAGGAACACAATCAGTTCCGACAAAAGGATCAGTGGTCTGAGCAAAGTCTCCTCTGCCACTTGCTTGGTAGTTCTGACCTTGAGCTCGGGCAGAGCTCTGTACCTGTCGTCACCGGTGATTTTTCTGAGCTTCTTAGCTCTAGCCTTCAAGATTGTGCTGTGCGAAGTCTCGGGCATCAAAACAACAAACAAAACGTACATGGTGCCACTGAAAATCAGCAACACCCAGTAAAGCCATCTCCAACCAGCATTGTCGCCAATAAATCCACCGATCAAGGGACCAACAACGGGACCAATGAAAGGAGCAGCAGAGAAGATCGTCATGGCCAGACCTCTTTCTTTGATTTTCCAGAGGTCGGCCAAACTACCTCCAATCAAACACATCGGCGCCGAGAAAGCCAGGCCGTCAATCAGTCTGCACACAAGCAGGGTTCCGATATTTTTGGCCACGGCACATGGAATGATGAAAATCACCGCAACTAGTAAGGTTGAGAAGTAAACCGCGTTTCTTCCGAATTCCTCTGACAGAGGAGCGAACGCCAAAGGACCAAAACCAAAGCCCAAAACAAATAGAGTAACGGTGAGAATGACAACTTCCTCGGAGACTCCAAATGTGATCATCGGCCCCTTCATATACCCCGTGACTATCGCAGATGCTAATGCGACATTGAAACATATGGTTCCCAAAAGCAGAGTCAAAAACCATTTGTAGCCTTTCCCCCAGTTTTGAGGGTTTTTCTCGTCACCGTCCACGAAGACAACAAGTCTCATCTGCGTCTCCTGGCAGATGGGATACTTCCACGGGTCGTTCTCGTGGAAATCGGTCTCCGGATCGGGTGTGAACTCGGTTGCAGTTTTTTCGTGATCAATCGGCTGCTCGACTGGCCCTAAACGACCGTAACCTTCTTCATAGTTTGTGAGAAGACGTGAGATGGCCTCTGAATTATTGCTTATCAATTTCTCGAGCTTCTGGCGGTCGTCTTCCTCGTCATTCGTTTCGCCATGAGTGAATTTTCTAACCAGTCCACTTATTTTGGAAACAGTACTCGTCAATTCATTACTGTCGTTCAGATGTTCCTCTCCCCTGTACGCTCCGGACTCGATGTCTTTATATTCCTGGACGTTGCTGTCCATCGATTCTATATCTCCCGTGCTCATATCGAATACCGGTCTAGACTAGGGTTTTCGAGCCTTTAAATACTCCCTGAGGCTTTCTTCAGGTGTAAGGTCCCTAACTGGCTTCCTATTGTTTTCGTGCATACAGCCGCATAATAAATCACTCAACTAAGCCGACAGCCGATATTTTTTTTGAGCACCTTGGAAATAACACCAATGCGGCTTTTCGTAGCCTGAAATATCGGGTGCAACTCGCATACTTCTGCCGACATGCACAATACAGTGATGATCTAAGTTGAATTCTAGTTATTATTGATTACAAAGTTGAAGCGATTTTTGCCGAACCGACATTGCGGCTCCTCAAATCCGAGTCATCAGGGTCTGTTCAGTACTCGCGCGTACGAATCTTATCTAGCACCTCAGGATAATCTCTGAAGACCTCGTTGAACCTGTCGGGATAGCTTGCTTGGTACACCTCCGGGTCCTTTGCGAGAGCCAAGAAGAATGTCGCCGTTCCTGATCTGATGACGGAGCTGATAACATTGCATATTTGCAAGGAAATCAGAAATGTGAATGCAACCACTGGAGCGTAGTATGACCCTTCGGTGTTGTAGCCCGGTTTGGTGAACCGCAAATACAGATAGGCCAGCAAGGCAGACACGTATCCAACAAAAGTGCAGTACATTCCCAAGGCTGTTCCGATCAGGCAGTCATTGACTAAGGCGTCCATTCCCTTGTAGCTGAAAATGTAATGGGTGTCTCTTGCTGACTTCAGATAGCTCTTGCCGTAGAGGGCCACATAGGAGTACGCGTAGTGATTGAAGTACCTCACAAACCACTCGATCACGTAAATGAAGCACTCAGCGCAAAGCAACAAGCAAGCTTGAACTCCTTCCCCGTTGTTCAGAGCATTTTGTCGGGCAATCTGAACTCCTTGGCGCAAAAGCTGGATAAATGTGACAATCAGCGAACCAAAACAAATGGACCCAAACGAGTAAGTCAGAGCCCTTTTCAGAGCACCCAGAGCCTGATATTTTGGCATTCCAGCATCGGACTTCGAGAGATAGTACCAGGTACCGAAAATACCACTCACAGTGACATGTATAACATTCTTCATCACTTCGCTAATGTAGTAACCAGCAAAAAAGACAAACACAAGCAGTCCAACCAATCTGGCATGGTTATAACTCTCGGAGGTCTCGTCCCCCCATTTCATGTAGGAGGCGACCACAGTGGCTGAAAACAATGCTGAAAAGGCACCTATTGCGAGGAAACCAATTGCAGTAATGATCCATGTACTAGGATACTGTTTCATAACATCGATGATAATTGTAAGAACGGTCGCACTAAACGGAATTCTGCCTCTCATTGTCCAGTAGGAAAACGCTGTGAGTGCGGCAAAGATAAGAAAAACAATACCCGCTGAGTAGTAGCCCTTTGCAAGGTACGCAATTGCCGTTCCCAAACCGAGGATGACATTCAGTATCAATGAAATGGTGATGAACTTCCTAGGGAACACTCGAGCAATGGCAATGGTTGCCAAGGAAAGAACCAAGGCAACAACAATAACGAATGCAAATAGAACGATTGTGTTGGTGTTTAATGAGAAGGAATTGCCGGCATCGTAGATAGAAGATCCCTCATATGAGTAGGAGGTGGCGTAATTCCTCAAGGTGATGCCCGCAACAACAAAGAATCCAGCAACTGTAGCCAGAAACAGAATGGTGAATGGAACGTCGTGGAACTTAGGCTTCTCAACCTTGAATGTTTCTTCAAAAGTTTCCTTACCAGGTTCGGGAGCTGGAGGGCGGTCATAATAGTAATTCTGGTTCAGCTTCTCATTGGCGGATAAGTTATTACCTTGCTGATCGTACTGAGGAGGTGGCGCGTTGAAACCCTGCTGGGGCTGCTGTTGGTAATAATTCGACTGAGACATTGAGGTGAGGATTGAGCTGGCAAGATAGAGTAATCCTGAGAATAATCCCCAATGACTTTAGTAAAGATACTTAGCTTGTCAAGCAATTTCTGGAGCTATTTTTTTCTTGTGTTGCACGACTTTGCTTACCCTTTACAGAATATATTTTTCCTTTCCCATGTGTCAAAAAGTGGCTTATTCCGGGGTAAAAAACCGTTACCTCTTGAAAAACGTTTCGATATCCTTTTCCAACTTGTCTGCTTCTTCATCTGATGTGTCAAGAAAGAGAATTGAAGTATCCTGCGTTTTCTTTCCGGTGTTCTCGTTGACTTCCTTGGGTGGGGTTGTTAGATCGATCGTGGGAGCGTTCTGTTTGGTATCTGGACTCTTGAACAGAGACGTTCGGAGCCCGCTTACGTCAACGTCAAGTCGATTGCGTCTTTTGGTTGGAGACTCCAGAATATCCAACTCTTCATCAGGAGACTCGTAAGAGAGATTTGGTCTGCTTTTGAGTGGAGAAGAGCTTTGACTTCTCTCTTTGCCTGGATCGAGCTTGCGCTTTATGGGCGATCTTAAAAGATTATCAAGAGTAGACAGCTGCCGTTTCGGGGATTTCTTGGGTGATTTGCGGGGCGACTTGCGTGGCGATTTTTTCTCCGCAGCTTTGATTTCGTATTGCTCGATCAATCTCCGTCCATGAGATGAAAGCTCGAGCAAATATTTCGGAACCCATGTAGAGTCTAGCTTTTGATCAGAGTGGTCTATGAGCCGATAGTTTTCATCATAAAGATCTCCTTCCTTTAAAAATTGTCCAAACACTAGTTCACGATTGTATTTCACCTGATATTGCTCCTCTGACCAGATAGGAACGTAGTACTCATCTGCACGCCTCTTCAAGGGAAACTGGGCTTCCTTGTACAAGTTGACGAAGATCTCGGCATTCTTAAAATAGTCCAAATTGTAGATCACTCTAAGCATATAGCATTCAGCTAAATGCTCCACCAAAAAATCTCTTGTGCTACGTTGCAAAGGAAGCCGGAGATCGCACATTTCACGAAAATTGGGCTTTTCAAACCACGCAATGGTGCTCTCATTGCCGTGAGGAACATCTTCTGCTGGACCGCTATCGTTGACAGTAGTCCAAAGTGAGCCACGACGCTTGAGTCTGATTTCTTCATCGCAGAATTTCACGGAGTTCGGTTGTGGCAATGTGGACAGCCTTATTGACGAGGGGCTTGAATCAACGCAATTAGTCTCGTATCTCTTGAAGGCGTAGATTTCAGGACATAAGTATGGAAAGAAATGGATCATAAAGTAGTAGTCTGAAGGAAAAGACACCGTCCCATTGAAGTTCCTTCCAAAATAGGTCTTGCTGTTTTGTGCGAGCGATTCCTGTAGCAACACATTCAAGTTGCTTAGCTTTTTGTCTCTCTCGTTCTTGCCAAAGGGCACCAGACCTAGTAGTCTTTGTCTTCCTTCGGCAACGTATATTTGCTTTAATTCCTTAGCGAAATCAAATTCGCTCTCTATCTTGCTCCCTACTTGCGCCAGCGCAATACAACGCGTAATTCCTAATCCGCTGACTCCTTGACTGAAATCGCTGCCATTGATGCACGTTAGAAACACCATTCGATCCCTGTCAAGCCCGAGTACCTCCTCGATTTTCGACATTCGGTATGGGGTCACATAGAACTCCGGTTCTTGTCGTTCCATATTTGCCTGCGTAGCAGGAGCATCTGCAACCCAGCGGCTGAAATTTTTGAGAATTGTCTGTGCTCCATACACAAACCCATCGGCATCATTGCTAATAATTGCATCAATCACACCACAGTCATTCAATCGCGCAAGTTCAATTTCAGCTTCCCCTGGAGCCTGCACGTAACCAATATTCCATAGTTTTAATAGCTTCTTGATCAAGTAGACAATCTTTGCCCCTGGCTCCTCGTATAGGCCGCTTTGGCGGATCTGTTCGTTTGTTACAAGGTATTCAGCATAATAGTCATCGTCAGTGTAGAGAACGTCTCCCCATCTTCTTTTGTGTGTCTTATAACGGCCGTCAAAAACAAAGACAAAAGAGATATGCAGCTTTATGAGCTCCCTGATACGAGAAGAGAAATTTAAAATCACTTTCTCGTCACCAATGCTGGCTACATCTCCTTTATATTGTGAAGGTACCTGGGTAAGTTCGAAAATCCACTGGTAAACATCAATTCCCACTCGTAAATGTCTTGCTTTCTTTTTGTAAAATTGCCGCGCATAGACCCTTATGGGGAGACGTTGATCCTCAATTCCATAGTCAGCAAACTTCTCCCAAAGACCTGGGATTGTCATCAGGAAAACAAAAAAAGTGACTTCTTATCCGGATATTTAATAAGATAGGAAATTTAATTTACATAATCTCCAAACTCACTACTGATGACTGGTTTGTCAATTCTTATTACATACAAGACCATATACCAGAAATGCAATCATATCAAACAACTTCGCTAATGATAGCCGCAGCCTCTCTGTATGTAGCCAGTAGTTTCTCACATTTTTCTCTCTCCTGGCTCAGATTTTCGTCTTCATAGAGCAGCTCATCGAAAAGTTCCTCACGGTACAGCTTTTGCACAAGGGTGTTCTGGACGCTCTCCTTTGAAAAGTTGACCAGCAGGCACATGATAGCTTTAGGAACTTGATCCTGGATCATCTCTCGCACAATGCTGAAATAGGAGATGATCAATCTGCGGATCAGCTCGCATTCAAGCTCTTCTCTTTCAGAAAGCTCTTCCTCCTCCTTCATGTTCAGATGCTCCATTTTCTTTTCTATAGGGGACTTCGAAGGTATGTTGAATTGCAGACCATCTGGTTCACTAGGGAATTGGAAAGGTTGGGGCTGGCTAGGTGGAGAGGAAGAATTCTGCGATTGGTCCTTGCCAAAGAAGAAGTTCAAAAAGAGCTCCTTGTCACCGTTTGCGGACGTGTTGGAAGATTTTTTCTCAAGCTCTCTCAACTCCTCTGCCCTGGATTCAGCGTCTGAAATTTTGTGCGATGAAGTGCCGTTTTCAAGAGGCACTGACCCGTTTGGCGACTTAGCATGGTCCTTGCTTTTTTGTTTCTGCTTCTGTCTCTGTCTCTCTTCCACGACACTAGACATAGCAGCTGCTGCCCCCACGAAATTTGGATGATTCGTGTTGATGTAAGCTCTGTGAATCTCTATCAGGCTTTCCACATACTTTGTGGTAGGGCCCAATCTTTCTCTCAGCAAATCAGATACCGTCTCGATCAGTTTGGTCTGTAACTTTGGGTATCTGCTGAGCTCCTGAGAACCACAGTTGTGGCAAATTTTCATGAGCTCCTCATACACCAGTTCCACACATCTGTGGGAGGGACTTTCGAGAAGCTTGATTTGTGGCTTCACCAGGAGGTCGAAAGCCAGCTCAGGAACAAACAGTGAGGGTCTAGGGCCCGTTGAATTTCTGATTGCAGTTCTAATATCTTGGACCGGTAGGTTCGACACAGGGTTGATCGATAAGAGGGAATTTCCAAACACTTCGTTATAAATATAATAAATTCTTGCACCCCCACAAAGCTCCTTGGTGCTAATCTCGCTCGAGTTACCCTCGATGGAGCTTATGAAATTGTTGGCAAATTTGTTCATCAGCATCAATATGAGAGATCCTCTGTTTTGTTTTGAGACAATATTGAGATCACCATATGAGGCCAGCTCCTGCTCGGTCTGGCCCATCAAAGTATTGAGTTTCGCTTTGATATCCGGTAGTCTGTCTCTGATATGGTGCATCAGTGTTTTGTTCAAAGTTCTGGCCAAAAATGCGGTACCACATCTGGCCGCAATATTTTTGTAGGCAGGATGGGACTTGAAGAACTCCTCTTCAGCTCTCAAACTTTCGTCTAGAGACTTATTGACAGAGATATCTTGCTGCGACCGGTTGACCACACCAATGAACCCTAGCTTCAGAGGATAAACCTTGCCCGTCAGAATGTCAAGAGCGTTTGTGCCATGGTCCATCAGGTCAAGCTTGGAGAGAATACCGATGGTTCTCTTCCCAAGAGGGTCGACCTGTCTGGCGAGCTTCAGCGATTCGGAATTCACTAGATCCACGTTGGCTGGAGAAACCGCTAGGATAATTGAGTTTGGCTTGGAAATATACTCCAAAATGAGATTCTTGATCTGTTTCTCAATGTCGGTTGGTTGGTCGCCAATGGGAATTTTGGTGAGGCCCGGAAGATCGACCATGGTCAAGTTGAGGACCTTGGGGGAGTAGATCTTCAAATTGATCGGTATTCTGCTGATTCCTTTGTTCTTTCCTGCAATTCTGGACGTTTCGTTTTCAATCTCTTTTCTGATGTTGTTGAAGTTGTAAAATCTCTTACCAGGAAGATGCAAGAACTCTCCCCATTCGGCAGGCTCGACCTGACTGGAGCCTGCATTTCTAAGATGATCTTCTAAGGTGACTTCCGCGTGATCCTGGTCTGCCTCAAAATCAGATCTATGCACCAAAGGGTCGTCCTCTTTAATATTGATCAGTTGCAAAATCAAGGGCCGTCTGGTAACAATTCCGGTGCCTCTAGGAAGGAAATCTTTGCCGACGATGTTCTCCAAAACGGACGATTTACCAGCAGACTGAGATCCAATGACTGTCAGGATGGGCAGGTCCAAATCGGTCAGGTTGGTGTTAGTCACAATGTCCTGCAACTTGTTGACAGTGGGAATTAGATCTTGCAATGCCGACATGATGCCAAATGTTACCAATTCACACAAAGATGCTGTTAATAAAACTCCTTAACGTATGGGTATATGGGAAGCTGGCCAGTTACTGTCAAATCTACGAGATCCACAGAAACGCGTAAATTGCTGGTATTTGATGCACAGCTGGAAATAAACTATTGACAGAGGGCCAATCGAAAAAGAAATCGAGAGGGTAATATTTTTAGGCTACTTATCTCATGACAATTGTTTTGTTGTAGGTTTCTTCCTCTTCACCAGCATCCCCAAATCTGTTACAGGCCGCTTGTGTGACTCTGTAATAGACGCAGTAGTTGCTTTGTCTTGTTTTCCTGTCATTTCTTGCAATTCAGCACCGTACTCTACCACTTTATTGTATATGGTTTCCACCTCAGAAGAATCACTGTAATCAGTCTCCGTGAACACTTTTCTGGCATTTTCGAAATCTTTCCATTTCATCATACTAAGAGGCCCCGATGCGGACTCGTTGCATGTCCCTGTGACTCCAATAAGTCCAACTACCCGGCCGAGTCTGAACTCCTGTCTAATAGCCAGCTCGGTCCAGAATTGACCTAGAGATACCTTTTTCGCGCGGTTTTCCACAACCAGGTGCTCCAAAAACCTTCCCTTTGGATCATCAGGAAGAAGCGGAATGTTGTAGACGGCCAGCTCGTGAGCTCTTTCCGGTCTGTAATATATGCTACCAATATTCCAGTCGTCCTCGGGAAAATACCTGCTGATTTGGCGAGGCTCCGAGTTAAGGATATCAAGGTATTTCTGAGAACTTCTGAAAGATTTTTTGACGCTCCGATTGATAGATTTCAACCACCATTGTAGCAAAGCTCCATCATCTAGTATATGCTTACCATTATTTTTATTTGAGTTAGGAAACAGATACTGGTTTTCTGCCCGAGTAAATAGCACCAGATCTGTCTCATAGTCAGAATTGGCGAGCGACAAGAATCGAGGGGGCACTTGGTAGGTTTCCGATTCAACAATTTGAGGGATTCCGTAGTCTTTGTCTCCTTTAGCTCGTTCAACTAAAATATGCAAGGCTCTCTGAATTGGTGAGGTAAATGGAGGGTGTGGTTTGAGCACAGTCTTGTACGTATGCTTCACTTTCAGATCCCTCAGGTATTGAGTAATTGGATATTCGAGTAGCCATTCCAGAATTCTTTGTACCACGCTCCCCACTTTCACCTTGGTCAGCCCTGTCGTGTCCACTTTTGAGACATATATAGTGCGCTTAAGAGTCTTCGCAATTGTCAAGTATACGTACACCTCTGTTGCAAGGACTGGAGTTTGGTTGTGGAAAAGAACGATGAAATGAACTGTTTTCACGGTGTGTGGACGCTCAGACTGATGCACTACAGGCTTACTGAGCTTCGGGATACTTTGCAGGTTCGCAAGAGTAAATCGCTCGCCTTTAGGCAGCACATCCTCAAGAGACTTTGCCAGCGAGGTCATATCGATATCATAATAGTTGAGTATTATCTAGATATTTTTTTTCGCGTCGTACCGACGCGTCGACGCTATGCATCTATATACTCGCTAGGATAGAAGATTAGTCGTTCAATTCCATCCTTTGTCAGCACCACCATACGGATCACTCCACCAGACGATCCGTCCCATCTAATGGCTTGCGAAAGCGACGTCTTCACAAATGATACCGTCTCATCTTTAGTCATGTCTTGTTTAAAATTCTTCTTACAATAACCGTAGATGAAGGCGGAACCAGAACCAGCAATTGCGTACTCGTGCTTGTGAATTGACCCTCCTAGTGGAATACTGTAGACCTGACCGCCATTTTTCTCATCGTAGCCCGCACAAATGATACCTGCAGTAAGCATTTCTTTATTTGCGTAACACAGTTCCTGGAACAGCGAAGCGGCGATTTTGGTTGTTGGAGGTCTTCCGTTGTTTGCCTTGTACATCTCCAGATGGTATTTCACTATATCCGCGACTGCCTGAGTATCTGCTGCCGATCCAGACCGACAACACCATATCTTATCGTGAATCTGTGTCAGTTTGTCTGTCACTCTGTTTGCAATGTAAGAACCCGTGGTAGTTCTACTGTCCGCACCCAAAATAACACCGTCTTTGAACTTCACTGCCATAATTGAGGTACCGAGGCTGACCTCGCCCTTCTTCAATTGTCCCACATCAACAGAGATGGAGTCCATATTGTATAACTGAAAGTATTTTTTTCGCCACTGAATAAGTATCAGCGTGGTGCAGAGATGGTCAAAATAAAATCAAGCTCCAAAAATTTTCATTTCCACAACTTATCGATCATGACCGTGCCAGCATTCGATTTCTCCAAGCTTTCGTCCCCAAATGATGCATGGGGACCTTCCAGCGTGATTCCTGATAGCTTACAATTTAGTGGTGTTCCTTACGCTCCTTTCTCCAAGGCCGACAGACTGGGAAAGGCTGCTGACTGGCAACAGTCGAAGGAGGACGAGATGAAGCAGCAGCAGCTGAAAAACCAGAATCAAAAGCGCAAGGATCACTATCATGCCTATGGTGCTTCCGCAGCCAAGCTCTTTGGCGCTGAGGAAGAGGAGGAAGAGTTCAGTGTGGTGGACAACAGCAACGCTATTCCTGCCAATCAACAGACCGTTCTGCGGGGCAGAAACAGGGTCGCTAACCAGAAGCCAGGAGGAAAGCCAGGTAACGTCGCCAGAAATCAACCTTCCCGTCCTCAACAAGGTCATCCAAATGCCAACATGAATCCTAATTATAGAAACTTCAACAACAGATACAAGAAGGACGACAAGGTCAGAGACCCATCTCTCAAGGTGAACACCAAATGGCACTCGGTGTCTGAAATTGAGTTTAACAAACTCACCAAATTGAATCTGGAAGTCGGCGAAGGCACAGATCTAGAGTCTTACGGAAGCGTCCACGGCTACGTGAAAAAATTTGAATCTTTCAAGCAGCAGGCATTAAGTGTTGTCGACAAGATGATTCTGAACCCAACTACCTCAGAAGACCCTGTGATTCAAAAGCTTGCCAGCGAGAAGAAGGCATCCGTTTTTGTGACAGACTCGATTCTTTCTCAACTGATGTGTGCTGCCAGATCGAGTTACTCCTGGGACATCAAGGTGACCAAGAAAGACGGGATCATCTACTTCGACAAGAGAGAAAACACCGACAGATTGGAGGTGGATGAAAATAGTTACAATGCCCCTATCGATCTCCCTGACTCCGACGTGAACAGCGCCTCAAACTTGTCTTTGGAAGCCACCTTCATCAACAACAACTTCTTGGCCAACTCTTTGGACTCTTCCGTGCAGGAGTTTGAACACCCTGAGAATCCGTTTGTGTCTAAGACTACTAGCGAGTCGCTGCTAAACAAGGGCTACAAGTACAGAAAGTTTTTGCTTCCTTCTGTCAGTGATAACTCGCGAGAACTCGACATTATTGTGAGAACTGAGATTGACGCCTACTCAAGGGAGCAGAACAAGTATCTCTCTATCAACGCATTGAACCAATACGCTCCATCGCCATCCAACGACTGGAAGAACAGGCTCAGCGGATCCAGAGGTGTTATTTTTGCTGAGGAAATCAAGAAGAACAACAACAAGATCGCCAGATGGACCACAAAGTCTCTCCTGGCTGGAATTGATAGCATGAAAATTGGTTTTGTGTCTAGAGCAAATCCCAAAGACAATACGAAGCACATCGTCGCGGGTGCCTTGACATTCCACCCATCTGGTCTCAGTGCTCAAATAAATTTGTCCCTCGGAAACGGTTGGGCCATTGTCAGATCCATCCTGGACATCATTGAAGCTGATGGAGGAAAAAGTGACTACACCTTCATCATTTTAAAGGATCCTAACTCTCCGAAAATTACTATTTACAAAGTGACAGAGTAAGTAATAATGTAATTATATTTCGTCGCGTTGTATGAATACGTTGTCCTCGTCCAGATATGTTCGCTCGACGCGGGCTCGGCGCGTCGGCGTCGAGATGTCTCCTTTTTCTGGTGATTTCTGCTTGACCTGGCGATACTGGCTACGGCGTTGCTCGAGGTACATTCTTCTAACGCGCTCAGTAGCAGGAATTGAATTTGTCCGTGCAATGGCAGGCGTACGCAGCCACCGTCCGGGCGTGCCAAAAGCAACTCCTGGCGTCTCTGGAACAGCTCCGTTGAATCGTCGGCGGTGTGCCAGCGGAGATGACGCTGAGACTTCATTCGTGTCCACGAAAACATCATCTCTGTTATTTTTCTTTTCCTCGTAGCTGAACCTCCACATATCAAAAAATACTCTCTTTTTATTCCGTGACCATCTCTCCTTAAAACGATCAGCATTTCGCAGATCATTCTGGATTTTGATCGCTTTGAGCGACATCTGCGACACAATGTGAGAAAGGAGATCGACATTGCTCACCTCCAAATGATGATCGCAAATCTCGTTCAGTTCCAAAATTCTATCATAGGCACGGAGCCACTTGTTGAACATTCTTGTCTCCAGAGACAGAGTCCTGAAATTTTCCGCATCTTGGCCATCTTGATAGTAATCTTCCCACCTTTGCTTCCAGAGCTTGAGCATTTTGGCTTTGCAATGAGACCTTTCGTAGTCTGCGAGCTTGGCTTGCAAATTTGAGTTCTTTATTTGAGCATTTTCAAATGCTTTGATCCAAGCTACCATTATTGTGGAGATTTGTCTCCTCTCATGTTCTCTATCGTGCTCTAACCGCCACACCTCGGCGCGCACGAGCAGATCATGGGAGTGGACCAGCTTAGAAACCCAAAATCTTAAAAACGATTTTTTGGTGAACACCAAATGAAGCTTCTCGGCCTTCTGCTGCTGTTCAGATCGTCTGATAGCCAATGAGTGCCACCGCTCGAATGTCAATTCCGTCACTCTGTCGGCTGCACCTTGCAAAAACACAGCCTCACGCGTGCGCAGTCGCCATGTTCGCATATATTCCTTCAAGATGATCGCCTCTAGCTGATGGTACACTTTAGACTCTTGAAGGACCAGTTTCCAATGACCCAAAACTTTTTGTAGCAAAGCCTGTCGTCTGAAATCGTCTGCAACAGAAATCAGCCGATGTGCTGTATTCCACTTCTTGAAGTATCTCTCCAAGAGACTGGCATTTCTTTCCTCAATATACTGTTTGTAGACTTTCTGGTGTCGATGAAATTGCTTCCAATTTTCAAATATCCAGTGCGTCAAGTGCCGGTTGTTATTCCTGCATAGCTCACCTTCTAAGACATGAAGATTATACGCCATCACCCATCCGTGGAAATAGTTAGCTTGAATAAATCGGTCTTCATAGCATTGCAACCTTTTTGCTTTATCTAGTCCTGGGGCTGATTCACTATGCCAAACATCGAAATAATGCGACTTTAAGAGCATATTTCTAGCCTGGTCAGCTTTCCATATCAGCTGGCGATGTTTTCGGAACTTCTGCTGCCACCTGGTTAACATAAGTTGAAGAGTCATTTTATCGCTAATTTTTGATAGCTTTGAACCACGAGCCAGTGAAGCCGTCCTCCAAAGCTTGAAATATTTCTTCTTGAGGAAAAAAGACTCCTTTCCGTCGGGGCGAGTGTATCCTTTGAAGCGTTCGAATTTCTGCTTCCATTTGGAAAACATCTTGGAGACAACGAACACATCCGCTTTATGTTGAACTTGTGTTCTTCTTTCCACTTTCTGGGCCCATTTTTGAATTTGGATCCTGAGAAGTTGTGTGTCTCGAAATTGAGATGCATCTTGATTCTTGACTAGATAGAATTGGCTCTTGTCGTACCATTTTTTAAGGAAAGTTGAGGTGACCGACTTCTTCCATATGTTCAAAAGCTCACGGTCTGTTCGCACGTACGTCATTGAATCAAACCAGAGTCTTAAATATTTGCTTTTGAGCTCAACCTCGGTTTTCACATACACCAAAGCATATCGCATAGCCGCGGACGGTAAAAGCTGTCCACGAAAGGAAAACGTCTCTGAACTTGGAATGAGAGACAGAGCCAAGAGATCCTCAACAAAAGACTCGGGAGTGATTTCCCTCTTGCCCCATTTGAGAGCGGCCCGCTTGACCTCTTGGTAGTATATATCCTCGCTCAAATTCTGTCCGTCTTCTCTCAACAATTCAATGTATTTCCCAAATATACGCGGGAACCACCTCACAGACAAAGGTGCTTTTTCGCGTTCCAGATATCTTGCCAGCAGTCGTTCCAACAAGTTCAAAATTTCTGTGATATTCTCATCTTCATCGTTCGTATCGCGTTGGTCATCATGCATCAATTGTCGTATTATAGGTTTCAGAATGGGAATGATCGGGTTAAGCGAAAGATAGTCGTCAATTTTGCGTTCGAGAATATCTCTTTTCTGTGCGTTGCGAAGAGGATATTTGATTATATTGAAGATGCGCAAATGATACTCGCTGACCAGCTGCAGATCATATATCACCTTGATACGGTTGATGCTCATAAAAGTTTCCACCGTCAGCCTTGCTGCTTTCTGGATTTTCGAAGGTGCTGGAGCGCCCGAAGGGACAGATGCCGTCAACATCAACAGGCTCTGTTTATAGCATGTGTTGAAGGACTCGTTGTTTGTTTCAAACATGAGTGGTACCAGGGACTCTTCTTCTTTCATCAGATCACTGTTGGTGTCCTCTAAGAGCTGTCCAGCTTTTCTATGGTAGTATAGTTCATACTCGTAAGCTTGCGACACACAGTCCACCAGACGTGATTTTGTAGAGAGACATGAGACAACGTTTTCAAGATCAAACAGGACCAGCCTTATCTTGTTTATCATGCTCAATTCCTGTGTGATGTTTCGCTGCAAGTGAGGCCCTGTTTCCTCCTCAATGGAGCGTATCAGTGATTTGGTCAAAAGTACATCACCGACAGCGTTTTGCATCGAAAACTCTGTGTGATGGTCATTGCCGCTCAGACATTGAAAGCTCGTTCGTCCAAGATGCGATCGTATCTCCAAGCTCATATTCGTGTAGTGTAACTGATCAAAGAGGTGTTCATCGATTCCCAAGATTACCTGCCAGAGAATACGAATTTCTCTCAGTTTTCTTGAGTCCACATCGGGGTGAGATCCGAGCTCATTCAAAGCGCGTAGAAGATCAAGCAGATCGTTCAGATCCTGTGTATTCGGCTCATGTGCCATGCGTTCTATCATATATTATTAAATGATCATGAACAAAGCGCGTCCAATTATTTATGAATTATTTTTTTCTTTGGAGAAATCAAACGGCTGAAACTTTTCCCGGAACGCATCCTTTTGAGACGCTTCCTCCAACAAAGTCTCTCTGCATTTATCCCAAATAACTCTGCGGCCTAACTTCATTAGAAACGCCAGAACTCTGCGCGGGAACTGGAGATCCACGTTATCTTCGATCAGCTCAAACACGTACCTGGTCTCAGAAGCTGGACCAACTATGCGAATCTGCATATAATCACCGCTGTTTATCAGTTGGGAAAGCTTCTCAGATTCCATGTCTTTGGTGTAGACCAGATTGGAGCCATATTTTTTCTGATTATATGCAATCTGTTTTTTCATCTGTGTCTCAAAATGCTCCTCAAGTTTTGCTTCCAAGGGAACGAATTGAATGTGATGATGAATGGCGTTTGCTCTAGAAATTTCCCAGAATACCACTCTGTAGTCGCCCAAAGAACTAAACATAGAGACGACGGACTTCTGGTATTGCTCGACCTCCTTGAACAACTCGGTCTCCTCAACTTTCTTATCAGGCTCCTCAGCATCTCTGTATATACTAAATGTGGGATAATGACCAATTGGGATGATTAAGCCATGACCTGAAAATCCCAACTTTTCTCTCGTAGTTAAGGGCCCCTTAGCAACAGTCATGTAAGAGTAGTTTGCAATAGATATGATCATGTGTAGTTCAGCCTTAGCATTGGAGACACAGAAAAAACAATTCTCGGGAGCAACCATTTTCTTCTCTCGCTTAACTTTCACCTCAGAGCCTTCAAACTTCCTTTTACGATTATCGGTTTCAACAGGGGCTTCTTCTTGGCTAATTCGTGGCTTCTCCCCAAATTTCACCACTCCCTCTTTATCCATTAGAGGATCAAGGTTCAAGTTGAAAGCATAGTACCACTTATCTTGCGTCCCTTGCTGTCCCAGACTGATGAATCTTGTCACACGGTCGTCTTCCCACTTAAATGGTAATCGCTCAAAATATTTGCCTCTCTCAGAGCCGACACAGAACCAATATCGAGGACGAGTCCATTCGAGCAGATCATTCAATCTAGAATCTCCCACGAGAGACAGTTTCTCTTCTTTGGCAATGGTAGTCGGCCATTGGTAAGTTATAAGGATGTCCAGGAGCTGATTTGCAAAAACCTTTCCCAGGTGAGACTCAATGTCATCCAATTTACCAGATACATAGCCAACACGAATACCACTAGCTAAGCGAAGAATTCCACATTGTTTCATGAGCTTGAGTTTAGACCTTTCGTTTTCCTCATACTTTCTGATTCCTTCAAAATGGAAAATTGATGTAACAGGCTCATCCAGCTCTTCAGGAAGAGAACCGTCTTCAGTAGTCACATCCCCAAGAAAAAATATTCCATCAAACGGTCCGTGTTTCTTATGCAAATTGTTCGAGATCCTCACAGCTTTTGAAATATCCGTCGGAGACGGATTTATAGCGAGTCTATAGGTTAGAGTCTAATCTTTGAGCACTTACATTTTGACTGAATTCATCAAATATTAAATTGGTTCATTGATAATTATTTTTCAGGTGAAAAAAAAAGACGGTGCTTTAAATATGGGGCCTACAACAACTGATATGTAACAGAAACTCCAAATAATATTTTTCCTATTTATTTTCTTGCGATCAGTACAGTGTTCCAAATGGCTCACTATATCCGTGGTAATCCCTAAAGCTACTCTGAGCATTAAGTAATAGCGGTGACAGAATGTTACTAGGGTTCAGGTTTGGATTTCCCTTGTGCTTGAAAGTGAAGCCCACAAAGCTCTTTTGATCGGTCTTCACGCTGTTGTGACTCAGTTTCTCATCGTTCGCACGCTTGGCCATGACTTCTTTGTATTTAGCCATATCATTTTCATTAGTGAAATCATCGAAATATCCCGCATCCTCTTCATCGTCCAATTGAGGTGTAAAGGGTGGCACACGATCCCTCAATGAATCCCATTTGACTTCGGCAAAATACGGCATAGACATGATTTGTTTGAAAGAGCGCAATCTTTCATTTGGAGATGCAATAAGACGAGTGATCAATTGCCAGGTGCGGTCGCTGAAAACGTATCTGCCGTCTTCGTATCTTGGTCTTTTGAGACAGTCTTTCCACCTCTTCAAATTGCTATACGTCTCATCCGAAGAGCTTCCTGAGAATGGGGTATATCCAACAATTGCCTCGAACAACATACATCCCAGGGACCAATAGTCAATGGTGTAATCGTACGACTTACCTTCCAGCACCTCAAGAGCCATGTAATCAGGAGAGCCAACAATCGAGTGTGCAAAGTGGATCTCGTTGTTTCTCAATGACTTGTACATCTGCTGTCTTTCTTTGACCGTATGCTCCTTTGGCTTGTACTCAAGATTTTTCACTTGACTGAGTCTGAGTTTCATACTTTCAATTCTATCTGTTGAGACAGATCCAGCAGCCAAACCAAAATCGGTCAGCTTGACATGGCCCTTGGAATCAATTAGAAAATTCTCCGGCTTGAGGTCTCTATGCGTGTATCCAAGCTCATGGAGAGAATTGACCGCAGCAAACATCTCACTGATGTAGAATCTTGCGTGCTGTGGAATTAAATATCCAGCGTTGTTCAACAGAGTACGGAAATCTCCTCCTGGAACGAACTCCATGGCCAAGTACACACTCTCAGCATCCTGAAATGCATAATAGAGTTTCACGAGCCATTCGGAGCGAGTGTTGGTCAAGATGTCCCTCTCGGTCAGAACATGTCTTGTTTCATCGGTTTTGGTAAGAAGCTTTTTACTCAGCACCTTAAGAGCACATATCTCTTTCGTATCCTTCTTCCTTGCCAGGAAAACTTGTCCATACCCTCCCTGTCCAACTTGCGTGATGATGTTGAAGTCTTTGTGTTTCGGCTTGATTCTTCTTTTTCTCAAATAAGCCCGCTCTTTGCCAACATAGTTCTTCCATTGCTGCGCTCTTTCCGAGGGTGGGAGCATTTGCAATGCTTCCTCGACCTGGCTCAATCGGTGTCTTCTGTTGATGACGTAGTCAAACATATCACAATAATAGTCCAAAAAATACATCTGTGAGACAGTCACCAGTCTCTTTGTCTGTGCACTGTTTGCCTTGACATAGAAGTCTCTATTCAGTCTTGCAGTCTGGGTGACCTGCATTTGAGTAACCGCAGAACGTGGTGTTCCGTACATTGGCAACGGTGGATGAACATTGTTTCTACTAGGAGTAGCTGGCGGAGTGTTCTCCTTGTTGTACTGCACCCGCTGTACCCCCTGAGGATCAAAACTTCTGTTTGGAGAGCTGGAAGTCGACATGTAAGAAACGTAGGAAGTGTCGGCTGCGCCGTGTTGGTTTACGGTAGTAGGAGACCCAAAATTCAGGCTCTCCACGTCCCGCGATAGGTCCTCCACATAGCTGTTGTCAGGCTTGGGGGTTCTGTTAAAAATACCGCCAATAAGTGTCATTCACGGAAGAGCAAATACTTGGAACGATCAAAACCTCAAAGAGGACTTGTTTACCCATTTTTAAAATTGAATGTTTACAGTTATCCCAATTAGGATTTTGTCGAGCGATCTAAAATTGGTGGCGCAGGAGGTGGCAAAGCACTTTTTCAGGTGGCTCCTGGTAGCGTCTTCTGTACCTTGGCCCTATCGTGGCCTGTATCTTCTGGCAACTCCAACTGTCGCTTGCGTGCAGTCTTTTCGTCGTCAAGCAGCTGTGCAACTTTGCTCGTAGCTGCCGGTTTGTTCCCAGAGAACTTTTCAAGCTTGGAAGCAGCTGACTTGGACAGCCGAGGACGACTTCTACTGGCGATGGCACGCGCCGAAAGCTTTCCAATCATACCCATGCCGATCTCTTCACCAAAAGCGTCATATTTCGTTTCTTCTTGCTCGCCAAATGCCATTCTATTCTGGGCTTTCTCCAGCTCAGACATTTCCATCTTTTCTTTCTGTTTGCGGAACCTGCGTCCAGCCCGCTTCTTAGACTTTTGGTCAACAGGCTTGGGCAGCGGTTTGATTGGCTGTGCATCCGGCGGACTAGCCAGCTTGTCCAGATGCTCACTGAGTTGCTGTCTCGTCTGTACTCCAAACGAGTCGTCGGAAACGGATTTGCCCGCATTTGAAAAGTCAACCCTAGCGGCCAGAACTAGCTTTGCAGCCACCCCACGCACAGCCTTCACTCGGAGATCCTCTGGAACCGACTGTACAAGGTCGCAGTAGTACAAGTATCCTTTGTTCCTCGTACCTACCGTACCTTTCATGAACGAGGACCTGTTGACTCCCATGGACGGTATATTACATGATGGAACTTTGCAAAGGCCCTCCAATCCGTACACCGATAGAAATTGGGCAGCCACCGTGGGACCTACCAGGGCAGTCACGTTTGGAGCTATACTTTTGGCTCTGCGAGAAACGTGGTTTTTGATCTCTGTTCTAGCGCCTTCCAGTTCGAGAAGAAGGTCGCAGGCGTCTGAAATTAGTTTCAAGTGGTGCTGATCGAGATAATGGCTATGACTTGATTGTCTTAGAACAGATGCAGAGACCGTGAGCCCGAGAATCTCGTCTTTACGAAGATACTGCTCAAAAAGCTCCGGCGCATCAATAAGCTTCGACGGATCACCTCCCACAATCCTCACTGTGCGAGCATAATTGTACGGATTTCGAAGCAAATCATCGAGTTCGGGCCAGACTGGTTTATAGTGGACAGTGATGAAGGAATATATCTTGCCGATCTCTTCGTTCAGGTCATCCAATAGATCGTTCGCATGCTGTAGCAGGCTGTCCTCAATCTTTGAGTCTTGTTTCTCGTAGTATCGCAGCTTTTCCACAAAGTCGTTAACTCTTGGTAAATTATGAGAGTATTTCCTAATATCTGTGATAGAACTCAGATCTGGTACAGATATGAGCTGCTGAAAAGAGATCTGCTGATCATCGGCATCCTGGAGTTCAACATCAGACTCATGGCCCTCTTCCTCACTTGAATAGCCCGCCAAGAGACTATCAGCAAGACCCATATGAAAGACTATATTATACAAAGGACCGGGTAAGTAACTTTTTTTTCCTTCCTCGTTGATATTTGAATCTAAAATCTTTTGACTCTTTTCTTGATTGTCAATAGTTTATGCTATTGAGCAGGTATACAGCCAGAATCAGTGCTTGTATACGAGGAAATTTGAACATATCAAGAACATTTTCCAAATCCAGAATGAGTGAAGGAGAAGCAGCACCACAAAATCCTCCTAAATCGGCCAAGGAGCTAGAGAAGGAAAGAAAGAAGGCCGAGAAAATGGCCAAGTTCCTTGCTAAGCAGGCCAAGCAACAGGAGCTCGCGAAGAATGCCGCCAAAAACCAGGAAAAGAAGAAGAAGGATACAAAGAAGGAGGCAGAGCCAATTCCTGAGTTTGTCGACAAGACAGTTCCAGGAGAAAAGAAGATCCTGGTCAGTTTGGAAGACAAGTCGTTTTCCGCTTACAACCCAAAGGCTGTTGAGTCGTCGTGGTACCAATGGTGGACTAAACAAGGGTATTTCGAGCCGGAATTCACCGAGGAAGGCGAGATCAAGCCAGAAGGTTTGTTCTGCATTCCTGCTCCTCCACCAAACGTCACGGGTGCTCTGCACATCGGTCATGCCTTGACCGTTGCCATCCAGGACTCGCTGATTAGATACAATAGAATGAAGGGCAAGACCGTGCTTTTCTTGCCGGGTTTTGACCATGCAGGTATTGCTACTCAATCCGTTGTGGAGAAGAACTTGTGGGCTAAGGAAAAGATCACCAGACACGACTTGGGCCGTGAAGCCTTTGTGGAAAAGGTGTGGGACTGGAAAGACGTCTATCATAAGAAAATCAAGTCCCAGTTCCAAATGATGGGTGCCTCGTACGACTGGAGTAGAGAAGCCTTCACTCTTAGTCCAGAGCTTTCTGAGGCCGTCACCGAGACTTTTGTCAGATTGCACGAAGAGGGAACCATTTACCGTGACTTAAGACTGGTCAATTGGTCTGTCCAGCTCAGCACTGCTCTCTCTAACCTCGAAGTCGATAATAAGGTTGTTCCTCCTAGAAGCTTGCTGTCTGTGCCAGGTTACGAGAACAAAGTCGAGTTTGGTGTTTTAACGTCTTTTGCTTACCCTGTCGTCGACTCTGACGAGAAACTTGTCGTTGCAACCACGCGTCCAGAAACCATTTTTGGTGACACCGCTGTTGCCGTTCATCCAAAAGATCCTAGATACACCCATTTGCACGGGAAATTTGTCCAACATCCATTCCTTGACAGAAAGCTGCCGATCATCACCGATGCAGAGGCCGTGGACATGGAGTTTGGTACTGGTGCAGTGAAGATCACTCCTGGACACGACCTGAACGATTACAACACAGGTAAAAGAAACAATCTCGAATTTATCAACATCTACACCGATGACGGCAAGTTGAACTCCAACTGTGGTGAGTGGGAAGGTATCAAGAGATTCGATGCCAGACCATTGGTCATTGAGAAGTTGAAGGAGAAGGGTCTTTACGTTGGCCAAGAGGACAACGAGATGACGTTGCCAATCTGTTCAAGATCCGGCGATATCATTGAACCTTACCTGAAGCCGCAATGGTGGGTTGCACAAAAGAAGATGGCTCAAGCCGCCATTGACGCTGTCAAGAATGGAGAAATCAAGATTGCTCCAAAGAGCTCCGAGGCAGAGTTCTTCAGATGGTTGGAAAACATCCAAGACTGGTGTATTTCGAGACAGCTCTGGTGGGGACACAGATGTCCAGTCTACTTCGCAAACATTGAGGGAGAAAACAATGATAGAAATGATGGAAAATATTGGTTCTCTGGAAGAAACGAAAAGGAGGCCCGTGAAAAGGCAGAGAAAGCGTTCCCAGGCAAGAACTTCACTCTTGAGCAGGATGAGGACGTTCTGGATACCTGGTTCTCCTCCGGACTGTGGCCATTCTCTACATTGGGATGGCCTCACAAGACCAAGGACATGGAGAAGTTCTATCCGATGTCCATGCTCGAGACCGGTTGGGATATTCTCTTCTTCTGGGTGTCGAGAATGATCATGCTTGGTATCAAGATGACCGGCACCGTTCCTTTCAAAGAGGTGTTCTGCCACTCGTTGGTTCGTGACGCACAGGGAAGAAAAATGAGTAAATCTCTGGGAAATGTGATTGACCCGACTGACGTGATACATGGTATCAGCCTAGAAGACTTGCACAAACAGTTGCTTGCTGGTAATCTTGATTCTAGAGAAATCGAGAAAGCTAAGGCCGGCCAGAAGGAGTCGTATCCGAACGGTATTCCGGAGTGTGGTACCGATGCTTTGAGATTCGCTCTTTGTGCTTACACAACTGGTGGAAGAGACATCAACTTGGATATTCTGAGAGTTGCAGGATACCGTAAATTCTGCAACAAGATTTTCCAAGCTACCAAATTCGTGCTGATGAGATTGGGTGACGACTACACTCCTCCACCTACTGGTGCTCTCAATGGAGGAGAAGCTCTTGTCGAAAAATGGATTCTGCACAAGCTGTCCAAGTGCTCTGAGAAGGTGAACAAGGCTCTTGACGAGAGAGAGTTCTACGATGCCACACAGGCTATTTACAACTTCTGGTTGTACGATCTCTGTGATGTTTACATTGAAAACTCCAAGTTCTTGATTTTGGAAGGAACAGACTCCCAGAAAAAGTCTGCTAGAGACACTCTGTACACTTGTTTCGACGCCGCACTCAAACTCATCCACCCATTCATGCCATTTGTGACCGAGGAGATGTGGCAGAGGCTTCCAAAGAGATCGACCGAGAAGAGCGAAACGATTGTGAAGGCCGCCTACCCAGAATACGTCAAAGAGTATGATAATCAAGAGGCCTACGAAGCTTACGAGTTGGTTTTGGAGATCACGAAGAACGCCAGATCTTTGCTTTCTCAGTTCAACATCACAAAGAACGCACAGGTCTTTGTTGAAGCTTCTAACCCAGACTATGCTGCCATTGCCAGAGATCAGACAGACTCTATTGTGTCTTTGATCAAGGCTGTTGACGGCATCACCGTCGTTTCGGATGTCAAGGACATTCCAGATGGATGTGCTCTTGCAGCTGTTGTTCCGGGATGCAACGTCCACTTGCTAGTTAAGGGAATGGTCGATTTGGACAAGGAAATCGAGAAAGTTGTCAAGAAACTGGATAAAGCCAAGGGTGCTCTGAATAATTTGGAGAAGATGATTAATGCTCCTGACTACGAGAAGAAGGTTTCTAAAGAAGTCCAGGAGAAAAACAAGACGACTCGTTCTAACCAGTTGGCCGAGATTGAAGGATTTGAGGCCACCATCAAAAACCTCGAGAGATTAAAGCTCTAAGTATAAACTGAAACATAATAATAAATTAGGCTTTCCATATATAATTGTGCGACACGTGACTCGAGATCACCTGCCTGATATGCTGGAAACTCAGGTGTATTTCAGATGCGGCATGGTCCAAAACGTCGAAAAGCTGCTTCTGTTTGAAGGTGCCCAATCCGTCGCAAAACAAAAGGTTGTCAACTTGCTGATCTTTGATGGAGTAAACGACGACAAAGTGAGAAACAGAGTTGGCCAAGTCTGATGACGTTGGAGAGGTCTTGATCTCCCCCTTTGTGTTGATACTACAACATGTAGCCATGAATGATGATTTGAGCGAGATTCCACTGTTGATGAGAGCGACGAAAACAGAGTTTATTATTGCAACGAGTTGTCTTGCTGTATAATCTTTCGGTTCACCGTTTTTCAAAACTTGAACGGCAATCTGAATAGTTTGGCGCGGGTATTGGTCCAAGTTTATCACGGCGGGAAGAAGCTGGCCCAATTTGTGTTCTAATAGTGTTTCCCTTGTAGATGGTACTCCGGAAGACGGTCTGATATTTATGTCCAAATATGCCTTAGTTGGGAGCTCATTTCTTGGTCTTGCAGACTCTATGGGTCCTGTAACGGAACTCATCACTTTTGTGGCTCCAAACTCAAACGATGCGGATCCATCTACCTGATCGAGCGGGTCGTTGTCGACTATAATGGACATGGTAAAGCGGTGTTGAGATGTCAAAAAAATTTCAGGAAAATATTTCTTTTAGCACCATCCTCATCACCATGTCCGAAGAGTACTTCCCGCTCTCGAGCGTTTTGCCATACATGGAGGGAGCCAAAATAGAGGAAGTGGACTTTACTTATCTTCTGAGCACACTAGCGCGCCCGTCCACCATATTAAATGCATCTAAAACAGATCTCAACCATTTATGTGCCAGGGTGAACAACTATCTAAGCTCCAACAACGTCAAGCATCGCTGGCTAGGCTCGAAAATGGCGATTGTACTTAACACGCATATTGAGATTACAGCCTCCGAGTATACGTCCAAATATTTGGGAGCATTAATTAAAGTTCTCGAGTCCAAATGTTTCATCAAAGACGAGAACTCCGCTTCCGTCTACGCAATAGTGACACTGGAAAGCTGCTGTGACGCTCTATCATTTATTATCAGCAATATCAGAGGCAAGCACGCACTGACTCGGGAAGTGCTGACCCCCAAACTGCCCTCGATCATCGGATCTCTGCTTGAGATCATCAATCTAGTTCCGCAAAAAGCTATTGATCTTCTTTACGATCTGTTGAAAAACAACTCAACTACCTTTCGTCCCTTTGGTTCAAAGTTTGAAAGAGCTCTTTTGGGTCTTTTGGGATCCGATGGGTTCAACAAATTTGAGTATCAGCTGCAGCAAAAAATCTATAAATCTCTGGCACTTGTTTCATTTAGTTTGACCAGGAATAGCACAAGCGAGTTGTGGAGAACCAAGTTCAACCACTACGTTCAAGAAATAAAATCAGTCATTCAGATATACTCCGAGTTCATGAGCCTCGACGAGGATGAGGATCTGATGCAACAGCTAAACGCTCTTCCTAGCGTACCAGAGAAATTCGAGCCAAGCTTTGCTCCATTGGACATTGACCTTAACGAGAGTTCTTTACAGATCACAAAGATCGTTTCTAGAGTCGACTTGCTAGTGAATTTGCTGGTCGGATTTCTGCAAGTGCCTACTCCCCAGGTCAAAGCGCCGATCGGCTATCTACTGATGATAGGCCAGATTCTGGTTGGCATCAACCACAAATTTACTCCCATAAAAAGAGATATCAGAGACGTGACGCTACGCCAGATCATCGCACATTCTGCGACATTACTGAACTATGTCGGATTGAAGCTTCTGAATGTGTTGCCGGGTATCTTTGGCGGAGACCTGCTTCCACATTTGAGTTCCGTTCTTTCCTCGGTTGACACACTGATTCCTGTGAGCAGAGTGAACGGAAGAATTATAGTTGATGAGATGGGTGTCCTTGATAACCCAGAGCTGATATTCGCTGGTCTCAAAACCCGTATCAACTACCTTGAGCTTGTGGAAGGATTCACGAACATGAGTCTTCTGCACAAATCCATAGACGCGGCCTTGATACTCTCAAAACCACAGGGTCCACACGGGCTGGCTAAGAGCAACGAACAGAAGCTGAAGAGTGTCACTATGTCGGACCTTCTTTCTGATCAAAAAACCTTCATAACAGAAGCTACCCAGGACCAGAAAAATGTGCTGAGGCAATATTTCAAAGTTTTGCTTACCAGATGCGTTCTGAATTATTCGAAGCAGTCCGAGATTCTCCGTGTGGTTATCTTGGATGCTGTCAAAGGCGCTGTGGCTAAGGAACTGCTTCATGCTGCATTGTTGTACCCTCATAAAGAGGCCCATGCTAGTGTGCTACCAATGGTAAAGCAGCTGCTGAACGACGATGAACTAGTTAGCGTTTTCTTAAATCCAAGACTTCCAGTGCTCCCTACCAAGAGAGTAATCGACCAAGCGTCGTTAGAAGAAATGGAGCAGGAGAGAGAAGAGGAAGAGGAACAGAGACCAGTCAAGAAAATAAAAATTGAGGAACGGGTGACTGTTGAGGCACCAGCAAAGGATAATCAAAAAGAGGACGTTACAGAAGAGACGAAGGCGACATTGGAGACTAATACAAATGGAGACGTCTCAGACTACGAGAACATGGTTTTCAAGCCTGTTGGATCGCTCGTGGAAAATAACGACGTTGCACAGGCTTTAGTCGAGGATGTGAAGCCGGTTGCAGCTGAACAAGCACTATCAGCACAATCACCGGCACGTTCTCCTTCAGACGATGAATCGGACTTTGAGATCCCGGAAATCGACATTGACGATGACTAATGTAGCTATGGTTCGTATGGCATTGACGTGGAGAGACGAGTCAAACCACAATTGTGCATAGCTGTTGTTCTCGCATGCCATATACAGATTGAACTCCTCGCATTTTCTCAGATCGACTGAGTTGCTCGAAAAACCCACCTTTTGGCCTGCTACGTGGGACTATAATCAATGTAATATATTAGAGTTTATATATCTCTTCCTAATTTCTACTTTAATTCAGAAGGTACAAAAGCGTCTTGCAACAAATGTTGTAACAAGATAATTTTGCGCCAAACGCCTTCACCCATGCTCTCCCAAAGCCATCCCGAAGAACGGCTTATTCCCGAAGGAGGGAAACCGGGTGTGTTTAAAAACAGCGCCTAGTTTTCATCATTTCTTAGTAAAAACTAGGAAGGATAATTTTCATTCTGGAAAAAAATCCACTAAATACTTAGAACAGGTTAAGCAGCCCGAGACCTTAAAAAAAAATTATTTCAGATAATTTTTCAGATCAGTATGGCACCAGTGAGGAGGAGGAAGGCTGCCGAGACGGCCAATGAGCCCGAGAAACTCACCATAGAAAGGGTAAAGGAACTACACAATCAAATAAGGGAGTCTCCAAAGTATTACAACAATATCGCAATACTGATAGATGAGTACAAATCTCTTCTCAAAGAGTTTGGGACTGATACAAACGAAGACCTCAACATTCTGACGAGGTTTGTTTCTTTGACTTTACTGAAAGTGTTCGATCACATAATTACCACGAAGCAGCTGAAGCTGACCAGTTTCGAAAACGAACAAAAAGAAACCGTTAGAAAGTGGCTAAAGAGCAAATACGATGATTTCAAATTGTGTTTGGTCGAGACATGGAAAATCGACATCGATAACGAGGGCGTATATGCATTGAAGATGGATAACTTAGACTCTTTGATGAAACTTATCAAGATCGAAAGTAAGCATTTCAGCTCCAACAAAGATGAACCATTTTTCTCAAACCGTACTTACAAACTTGTCCTTGAACATCTGCTGATCACCGGAAACTTGTCGCAAATGCTGGCTCACGATGCAACCATTGACAACTTTTTGATTTTGGAATTCAGGGAGTCCTACTTCAACAAGTACTGGGACCTTCGATATTTTTTTTTCAGTGAACTGAGATCAATCCTCGAAACGGAGCATGACGAACACACGCAGCACTTAATAGTATCCAACGTGATTACAGTCATCAAACCACAACCTCTATATGATCTGAAGACCCCAGACCAAACAATGTACGTTGACAATCCACCAAAGACAGTCTCCAACATGCGCCAATTTAGATCTACATTCGAAAAATGCATTCTCAAACTGATGAACTTGAAATTGCTACCTGAACAATATAAGGCATTTTTGCTTATTCTACACAAGCGAGTCATTCCATTTTTCAACAATCCCACCAAGTTGATGGACTTTTTGACCGATTCATATAACCTCGGATTTAATGTCAAGGATATTAGTCTATCCATCCTCTCTCTCAACGGTCTCTGGGAGCTAATGAGACAGTTCAACCTGGAATATCCTGATTTCTACACCAAATTGTATGCAATCCTGACTCCCGAACTTCTGCATCTCAGCTACAGGTCGCGTTTCTTCCGTTTATTGGACATTTTCATGAGTTCAACGCACATTTCATCGGCGATCGTGGCATCGTTTATCAAACGACTCGGACGACTTTGTTTGACCGCTCCACCAGCTGGTATCGTCTGCGTGATTCCGTTTGTATACAACCTGCTCAAAAGACACCCAACATGTATGCTCTTGATCCACTGCACAGAACGCGGGACAGTGGACCAGTTCGACGACAAAGAGCGGGATCCAGCGAAGACAAACGCATTAGGATCATCTGCATGGGAGCTTGAGGCTGTCGTTCATCACTATCACCCCAATGTCGGTTCATTGGCCAAGATATTCACACAGCCGTTCAACAAGTACCGCTACAATATGGAAGATTTTCTCGACTGGAGTTATTCGAAGCTTGTGGATAATGAACTCAGCAAAAAATTCAAAGGAGAACTGGCTGTGGAGTTGGAGAGCTGGGAGTCTTTGTTTGGAGAAGAAGGATACCTGAAAGAGTATGTATATTAAATTAATCTGAACTATTAATCAATCAAGTGAATTTATTATTTGCGCGCATTAACCAGTCTACTGTCCATTCGTAGCACCAAAAACTGACCGCGGCGGTAGGAGCCGCCTTTATAAGAGCCGGCGTGAGCCCGTGGTACGCACCTCGAATACCCTCTGTAGCCAATATGTACCGCATTGTTGCCACAAAGCGTCCTTCGTGAGCCATGTGCTTTCTTCTTTTCACTAGATCCAAAGGATACACAACTGTCTTTGATATTATACCTGCAACAAGGCCAGCGGCCGGCTCCAGCGGGGTCTTGGCCATATGGTCCTTGTAGAACGAGTAAACGCCAAAGGATACACCCATCGATAAAGAAACGTATCCCATGGACAGCTGTATACCCCTGAAAAAGGCCCTAATTCCGTCTTTGGCGTACATTTCTTTCGCTTCTGTCAGAAATGAGGTGAAATAGGGGTTCTCCTTAGCCGCCAGACGCGTACGAAGCACGTCAAAGGGATAAGACATCACCGTCGAAACACAGCCGGAAAGCGCTCCGATGGTAACGGCATGAATCGATGCTGGAACCTTGAGTTCCAACGTTTCCTCTGTCTCTGACACCAGCTGGTTCATAGTCGAATACGTGGCAAACTGCGTGGCTCCATATATCAAATACATGATCTCTGCCGGTAGGTTGCCTTTCCAAAACGCTCGTATTCCCTCATTGTGCAAGATTGTTTGCACCGTCTGAATTATTCCTCTATATCTATCCTGACCACCATTAAGCTGTAACCGAATTTTTATGATATCTATCGGGGCGATCACCATCCTGGCAACAAGTCCAGACACAGCACCACCTGTGGCAGATATGTAAGGTGGCACCTCAACTCCCTGCCGCAAGTTGCTGTTTGACATTCCATCGAGATTAAAGATAAATCAAAAAAAAACGGATCGGAGTACGAAAAATATATCAGATTTTCTATAGTACATTGATAATTACAGATTTCGCAGACCAGATACAAAGCTCCTATGCACGCTCAAGCTCTTGCTGTTTGAGAATCGCTTGCTTCGTCTCCTCATCAACAACACCATCGAAGACTTCCACAGGGACGTCCTCCAAGCCGGTTTTGATGACGCCCTTATCTTCGATCACTATGTCAAATTTGAGTTTGCGACTATTGTGCAGTTTCTGTATGGAGCATGTTGTCGGCTGCATGATATCTGGAACATGGTTCGCTCCTGTGTAAGGATCCCTCATAAACTTTGACTTCAAGATCTCTAGTCTGTCGTTTAGTAACTCAGCATCAAATTTCCGTACACTCAATGCCTGGTCATATATCCAGGTCGTGTGAGGATTACTGGCCTGCACAAACGCGCGCTCAAAACCTGTGATGCCCGGAGTAAGCATAGCAACGCGCTTCTGATCATTGTTGTCGTTATAATAATCAAATGTTATCACGGCTGGAGCGCCTCGCTGAGCGCCAGAATCGATTGCTTTCTGTTCATAGTAGTCGTCGTCTACTTGCTTTCCATTCACAACTATTTTGGCACCGAATTCCTTGAATATTGATCTTGCAGTCACTAAGAATATAGTTCTGGTCTTGTAAGAGTTGGGCAGCACGCCATGGGCGATCAGATCGAGCTTTTCCGTATCGCCAAGAGTGATCTTGAATAACCGTTTGTGTTTCTGGAACAAAAAGTATGAGTCTCTGTATCCCACCAAGCGCGCTGCCTCGGTTGCAATCATGTAATATTTTTGTCCTCTTTGAGGAACCTTGAAAATACGACACTTGTATTGACGACCTCCAAGTAATTGACCCATTTTATTCACTTTTGTTTCTCCCTTCGGGTCTTCGGGGGTTATGACTTCGTCGTCCTTGATCTTAATTGGGTTTCCATCCTCATCCGTAAGTATGTTACGGTATTTGTTATTAGGGTCTCCTTCGTCATCCATTTTCCGTCTCTTACCCAAACGAGGCCGACCACGACCTCTTGTCCGCTGAGCTTCAACATAGTAGACTTCTCCGTCCTCGTCATCAGCCAGTCTCAGTTCAGGGGCATCTGGTGTTTGCTTCTCTTTTTTCACGGGCTTCTCCTTTGGTTTCTTCTCTGTCTGTGAATTGTGCTCCTTTTCTTCATCCTCCTTTTCTTCATCCTCCTCATAATCGACATCACTCTTGTCCTCAGTCTCCTGAAACACTTCGTCGTCCTCGTAGTCAGACTCGTTTTTTATGGATGCCATCTTGCGCACACTAAACAAAAGGATAGTTTTTCGTGATTATTTAGGTGCCGGGTAATCTCCAAAAAATAAGTATAAAGTTTGGATAAAACACCGGAGAATTTTTTTTCTTACAATTATTTGATTACCTAATCGGATCTGCGCTGGCCTAGAGAGAGCAGAGCAGAGGACTTTGCAAGTTGGGGCCTGACACCAGTCGGTCGGTATTCGGTCGATGGAGTTGATGGTTCCCAAGTCCCTTGTTTAGTTTGAGCTTTGTTTTCTTGGCTGTGATAGTAGAATCTTCGATATTCTTACTGCTGAGCGCACATCCTAGATCGATCCCCAAATTATCGCATCAACCATCCCCGTTGGTTACGTGCTTCATGCTTGGGAAATATTCTTCTGGAGTAAAGAACTTGAGCTTCAAATTCTCGGCAAATTTGAGGTCAGAGTCACTGAAATCCACTGGCCGTCCAGCGGCGTCGCCCACGAAAAAGCTGCTGTTTCGGTCTAGCATCTCTTCTGTGAGCTGGTAGTCTTGTAAAAATTGGCTGAACATACCAGTGTTCGGCTTTCGGAAGAGGGTATACAAGTCCACATCGTGCTGGGATTTCTCTTTTCTTGATTTTCTTGTGCTTGCGTAGTATATGACTGGTTTTTCCAAATGCTTGAAGATATCGTCCATTTTTGTTGTCAGAGTCTTTAAGCTCTTGGAGTCAGGCGCGTTGACTACTGCCGCTTGGTTCGAGAATATCACTATCGTGTAGTTTTCAGCTTGCAACTTGGTGAATATTCGAGGCACGTCAAACTTGAATTTCCAGTCAAAAGAACCGCGTCCGAACTTGGACCCCGATTTGGTCGTGATGAGCGTATCGTCAAGATCAAAAGCTGCAACCTTTACTGGTGCGGTCAACTTGGTATCAAGTGTATAGGTCAAGCAGTGCGATCCATGCGATCTCCAGCCCTGTTTGGGCTCACGTTTCAAGCTTGGCGTAGACAGAGCCTGGCTAGTCTGGCTGGAAGTTTTGCTGATCTTGGCCTTGCTTTTATGTTGCCCTGACAAAATCGAAGCGATGCTATTTCCAGTCATGGTCAAATTTATTTGATTCGCGTTCTATTTTTCTGGCTATATACATTAACGAACTCTGCACAATAATTCGCACTCGAGGTTTCTTTTCAAAGCCTCGATCATGGTCATCACCTCTTTGTCTTTTGTCTTCACAAATACAATCTCGCCTGGTTTTAGCTGTGGAATGTATCTCAAATTCTTTCCTGAGGCCAGTTGCTCCAATTCTGGCACAGACACAAACACCCTTCTATTAGGTTTGGAGATCAAGGTGAATTTGCTCAGCACGGGCTGACCGTTACGGTACTTAAGGCCCAGCCAAAGTCTCCGTGTAGCAATATTGTCGTAGGTAACCTCCACCGGTTTGAGGTCTGGACCGGCAGTGGAGCCTCTAGTAACGGAGTCGATAAAACCTTCCTTGTAAAGCCCTAGCGCCACTTTCAGGTGCAACTTTGTGTATGGTATTTTTGCCAGCGGCAATCTGGCCATGGAGCAGTTCTGCAGATGCGCTCCGACGTTGGCGAGATTCACAAGCGACATGTTGACTGGATTGACGAAAGTTCAAGATGGAAAAAAATTAGGCAGATTAGTTGGTGCAAAGATTAGAAAATTTGTACCTCGAATAGCATGATTTCATTCAGAGCTCTTAGAAGTGCGACTCGTGGAGCGCGCTTCTGTCGCCCGCTGCCAGTCACTACATGTCAGAAGCGCACATACGCTCTGAAGGAAACCCACGATCCTCCAAAAGTGGCATATTTCTTGTTGGTCGGCGTGTTTGGTACGCTCGTTTTTGTGTATGTTGCCAACAAGGTCAATGATCAGGATTCATCCAAATCGCTGGCAAAGCGGAAGAACACATTCACCGAAGAGGAGTGGGAACAGCAAATGAATCAAATCAAGCGCAAACAGCTGTCATTTGACAATTCCAACAACTTTTATCTGGTTCCCTACGGAGCGCATAGAGAACAGAAAGTGGAACAGCTCGTAAAAGCCCTTGGCCCAAACACTGCCACCGTAGACTTGAACGAACTCATCAAGCGGCAGATGGATGATCCAAGCTCACAATACGGCGCACTGTTAGGAAAGACTTTGGATACATACGATCCTCAGCGAAACACATGTTTCTACACCTTTACTTATAGATTGGCTGCTGGTGTGTTCACCAAACTTGTGAGAACAGAGATGCAACGGCTCAAAGCAAAAGACCCCCAGATTGAGAATTTTGTCATACTGAACTATCCAAACACAATGCCCGAGGCCGTTAAATTCGAACAGGATGTGGCTATTGTCAAGAATCTTGTTCTTTTGGACGAGAAAGAGTCAGATGAAAACATTGTGGACTACTTCCGTACCGTTGGTAAGGTTGTGGATTTAGAGAAGCTAGGAAAATAGTGTAAAGAAACTCTGTATATATTCAATTGAAGTGCTCTTGCACCTTGTGACAATACTCGAGGTCGCGGCTCTGTGCGTTGGAAAACGCATACACGTTCTTCTTCAACTTCAACATATCGCGTCTCGGAGCCACCTGGTCCCTATTTATCGCCCAATAGGTCACCAGAGCGACATTTTTTGACTTGGCAAAAGTTAAAACTCTATCAAAGTCGTTGAGCGAGAACACCGTATTGTCGTCGTTGTAGCCTATCATTGGGCATAATCCAGTCATTCTCCAAGCTTGATCCTCGGTTAAATGCAGCTTCGATCGCAATTGGCGGTTCATGTCTTTCAGAATGCGAATATTTTCGGCTCCCCAGTTGGATCCGTGGGGCAGCTTAGTGTAATAATCCATGATCATAGCATTGACCACTTTTATACGGACGTTGTTGCTGACCATCGCATCCAGAGCCAAAAGAGCGTCATCGTTCAGTCCGCCCTCGAACTCAATAGGAAGAGTAAGCGAGACGTAGAATTGCGTGCCGAAATGGCTTTGAACGAGGTTTATTATTTTGGCAATTTTTGCAACCTTACTGTGCCTCTCTAAAACACTGCCTTCAATATCCAGATCGATCCCTTTGAATCCCGCCCTGCGGACCAGGTCGATTAGCCGAGAAGCCTCTTCTTCAACAGACCGACAATCTGAAGGATACTCACCTGTTGCGCCGCCGATGGAAATAATTACCTGTCCTGGGAACTGACGAACATCGTCTATCCACTGCTCAATTTCTTCATAGCGATCGTTGGTCAAAAAAGCCAGAGTCACACTGTTCAAACCGATGCGAGAGGCGTCTCTCAAGTTGGAGACCCGAAACTCTTTGGTTTCATCTTTGCTCCAGGCATATATGTAAGGCGCAAAGATAGTCATAAAGAATAGCGCTCAAACTGCTCGATGTAAAAAAAAGTAGCATCATTTCTCCCCTGAAACCAAAATCTACTTTTTGAAACTGCCAAACCCCATCAATTTCTTGATTTCAAGGTCCTCCCCGTCTACATCAGGGTCCTGGCGCTCATGACGCTTCCGTTTCTTGGCCTTCCTCTTCTGCTTCTCCTGCTCGTACTTCTCTCTCATCTGTTGCACCCCAGTAGCAAAATCTACCTCGGGAGCCTTCTCCCGGGTCCTTTCCATCTTTGCCTTCAATTGCTTGAGTCTCTCCTTCACCTGGTCGAGCGTCACTTCGCGCTGAAGCTCTGCCTCGCTTGAAATTCCAGAATTCACCAAATGCTCCTTGGAATTGAGGTGTTCCACAAACTTGAGGTCGTCTTTGAATCTTCTATTACAAACATCGCAGAAGAAACTAGCCTCTTTGGCGTTCATGGAACCCACAAACGTGACACTGTTGAACTTGTCAACCTTCTCCAGCTGCTCCCTGCGCGACTCGAAAAACTTGCGCACGCTCTTCTTCGCCGCAGGGTCAGCAGACTGCTTACTCTGCTGCTGCCTCTGTCGCGCCCGCTCCGCGTACTCGGCCTCATCCCAGGTCCGGCGACCATATGAGTCGGTAGATGACATAGGAGTATAAAAAATATTTTAGCTCAGTGTCAGATTATCATTTTAGTGTATTACATAATCATCCAATTCAGGCCTCCTCAACGATGTGGCCCTTCTCAGAAACGTAGATACCGTCCAAGAACTTTCTGATATCCTTGTTTCTGACTCTGCAGATCTGCTGAATGTCAGCACAGGTCTGCGAAACGTTCTCCAGAGAGTTACCCTCAACAATCAGCTCGTCCTTTTGAGCAGTGGAGATAGTGGCCTTGCATCCTTCCCAGACCTTGACCTTTCTGAGTCTCTTCTCACCCAAGAAGTTTCTGATCTCGACGAATTCTTGGCCGTCCTCGTTAACAACGTTAACGTTGATAGGGAAGTGCGCGTACACGAATCTCATCTTGTACTTGAATCCGACAGTGACACCCTTGACAAGGTTGGCAATCAAGGACTTGACGGTTCTCAAAGTGGCGACGTGCTTTCTGTCACCGTTGTGGACAGTGATCTTGATTTGTTTGTCGGAGATCTTGGTGAAAGTGACGTCGATGTGTCTCAAGTTCTTGCTCAACTGACCTCTTGGACCGGTGACAGTGATGATTCTCGACTTGATTTGGACGGACACTCCCTCTGGGAGCTCCAAGAGCTCGGAAGATTGGATGTACTTCATGCTGCTATACCTCTGGGAGTAAGAATAATTGGTCCGAAGTGAAAAATTTTGAGGCTCCGTGCAAGGGTGTGGGAGCTAGAGCACATTATTTTTTTCACAGTCACACAGTCTTTTCCTAATACAGAACATCTAGAGATAGTAAAGAGCATTTGCATTTAGTTCATTATTATAGCGAGTTCCTGTCTGGTTATACATTAGTCTTCCTTCTTCTCTGTGGCACTGCCTTCAAGGGCCTCCTTGGCGTGTTTCATATCAGATATTTCTTCCTCATACACTGTCGAAGTAGGATCGAACCGTAGACTCTTGCGTTTCTTTGCTGTTCCTGCAGAATCCGGAGCAACGTCTGTGCTTGTGCTGATATTACCAGTGGCGTTGATACTCTGCACGTCAGAGATCGTGGCAGATTTTGGAAGAGTCAGCCCCACAGATTCAGACGCAGAATGCGGTAACGAGGCACTTTCTGTAGAGCTGTCGTCGCCTGGAGAAACCAGCTCTGCTGTACGAATCCATCTCCTGCGCCGCGTGTACTTGCTGAACGAGTCTTCGGTGGACGGGTTTTTCCACGTGTTATCGTAGTAGATGAATCCTTCGTCCGGCTTGGGATCAGCTGTGGTCTTGTACTTGGAGGACGGCAGCTGCAAGGCTCCATCGTTCGTGAGGTCCAGTCTCCAAGTCTTGTCGATCCATCTCCAGTACATGCCTGAGTCGTCGTTAAGCTGTGGAAGCTCAAAGTTTTCTGGCGACTCGGCTTCGTTAAGAAACTCGTCAGTCCACGGAGTTCTTTCGTAGCTGAGCAGGTTTGGAGTCCATCCAACCCCCAACCACCGTCTCTGGTTCTCATAGAGAACATAAGTAAACCTCACCGGCCCGCTGTTTTTACCTCCAGCCTTCCTGGTGACCTCTTTTAGCTTTTTGTTGGTCTTGTTCATGGCCGTCTTGAAGAGCGAGCTTTTTTCGTTGTTGCCGGACTCGAAAATTAGGCCTGTGCCATAAAAGCACAATGCTCTCACCATGGATGAACGCCAGAGCAGTTTTCGCGTCACCCTTGACCACGAGGAGTGATATGTTAGGAAGAATATCACAAGTATTAGCAAAAGAGTCTTTGGTGGAAAGATGAGGTAGCAGGCCAAGATGTAACCCGGAGAAAGAAATATGGTGGTGAACAGGAGCCTGCGCAGGTCTGTGGAAGTGAGATTTAGGGAGCTCACCGGGGAAAGAAGCATGTCGGCACGAACACTCACGGTCGTCAAGCAATGCACCACGTCGTCCAAAGTAGGGCTCTTCTTTTGCTCCTTCTCGACATAAGAACGGAAAATGGAGTAGATGAGTATCAGACCAACAATTGATAGATGTCCAAAGTAGATCACGATATTTTCGAAGTATAAAATAAATAGCGTCATAGTCGTCACCAGTAGCACGGATATGTAGGAGGTATCATCCGTCCATGTGAGAACGCCCAAAATCTTGTTGAGAGCAATCAGATACGGATAGGCCTTGATCAGACTCTTGCTAACTGTAGGGGGCGTAGACGACAATAAAGGGGAAGACTGGGGGGTGCAGGTGATGTCTGAGCCTGCTATAGGACTAGATTTGGCAGTGAAGTTTGCTCTCAGGTTCTCTGTCTCCTTCACTTTGACGCCTGCGGCGGCATTGATTGTATTCAGGCCTGTTGTTGGTTGTACTTCTGATATGTTGCTATTAATGCTAGAAGGCGTCAGACCTGCCTTGGAAGCAGGATTTGAGCTCGGGTCCGTAGACATGATCAATGGGAATCACAATAAGTCCCTGCCAGAAATGTACTTTGGAGCCGTAAAATCGGAAACACTATAGGCCACTGCTAGTATTTGCTAGAAATCCCTTTCGATTTTTTTATAAAAATACTCTTGTGATATAATTTCTTATATTAGTGTACATTTGACATCGTTTTTTTATCATTTCAAGCAACGTCCTCCATTTCGATATCATCGTCTTCATCACCATCGTCGTCGTTTTCGTTTCTGTTGTCTGCCTCTAGATCACCAAGTCCTTGCTTCTCTTTTCTTTCCACCTCTCTGCTCTTCCTGTACTCGTCTTTTAGCCTGTATTTCAGAGCATAGGTTCCTTTGCGCTCCATCACGGCAATATTCTCCAAACAGTCTTTCAGATAAGCTTCTGGCTGATTCGTCTTTTCTCGGATACCTTTCAGCGTCCAGTAATCGTACTCGTTGAAGAGATTGAACAGAACCTTCATCAAATGCTCTCTGTCCATACGAGAAGCACGGCCTTCCAGGCGCTGTTGCTCCTTCCTAGCGGCAAGCTCTCTTGAAAGCTGAATGGTCGATCCGGTTTGAAGATTTGGTCCCGTTCTTCCTTGCAAAACACCGGCGTTGGCATCCTTCATGTATGTAATGGTCTTTCTTTTCGTCATCTGCGCAAGTCTCCGTTTCTGCTCCAGTAGCTTTAGCTTATTGTTTGTGGATAGTTTCGTAGGTATGACCTGACACTCGTGAACGATTTTCCCAACCAGGGCAGTTTTCTTGGGAATTGTTTTGGCAAAGGGAACCACCTTCTTTGGCTCTTCGAAGTTTTCTTCTTCGTAGCCGCGTCCACGTGCCTCTGGAATGTATGATGCACGTTGGGGAACCTTGGCAGTGGACCATGGATTCGATTCCTCTGGTTCTTCACCGTCCAGGGGATTTAATGTAGGTTGATCTGGCATCTGGACCATCTCTGTTCTAGTTTCTGCTTGGCTTTTGAACTGAGTCAGCTCTGCCTCACTAAACACATACTCGTTCTCCACTACATGCTTAATCATCTTCAGCTCGTACTCTTTATCGATATTTTTGTGTTCTTGAAGTTTCTCATTTAGCTCAAGCATGATTTTCGCTGGCGAGACTCCCTGTTGAATCTTTATATTGCCCAGCTGCCGTCCATCCAGCATCCTGTCACTTTTCCACACCTCAGATAGTGCCGGGGGAAGCTTGACAAGCCAGACTTGATTATTTGCCTTGGACATGTCCAGATTAAGAGACTCACCGCTCTCCTCCAGCTGCTTGTCGTTAACCTCTGCAATTCCATCAGGAATCGGCAAGTCGTCCTCATCATACGCCACATCCTGGAATGACTGGTCTGGCTCGGCAGGTCGCGGGGCAGCCTTTGGCGGAGAAATTGCGCTCATAATAAATAAATATTTTCAATTTTTTTCCTGCTAAAAGAGTGCACGCACATGTCCTGACAGAAAACCATGGACTTTGCACGGGTGCTTAACTCTGAGATCGCTCGCAAGAAACGTGCTCTTCAGGACGAGCAGACGTCAAAAAAGGCCAAGACGGTGTCTAGCTCGCAGGAAATACGAGACCTGCCGAAACCTCCTGAAGATTCCAGCCAGACCGTCAAGGAGACGGACCCAGGCACCACACAACGTGAAAGTTCTGGCCTCGAAGCGCAGAGGATCGACGCACAACAAGAGAGGCCAGTCGAGAACAAAAACTCCGGGAAAAAGTCCGACAGGCCAATAAATGGACCTCAGCCAGAACCAGGCTCGTATATCATTAAAAAAACCGATATCAGAGACAATCACGCCTTAGTGTCTCAACAATGCCGCGACTACATTAAGCATCTGCTCAACGTCTGGGAGTCGAAAAAGGATCAACACAGGAACGTCGATCTGTTCGAAACCAAGAAATGGCTGCTTCCCTTGCTTGTGCAGCTGAAGAAAAAAACTCTGCCTCAGGATCAGCTGGTGAGCCTAGCCACAATACTTTACAATATCCAACGCGAAAAATTAACAGACGCGAATGAAGCTTACCTACAGCTCAGCATAGGGAATGTGGCGTGGCCGATAGGACTGATTGATATAGGAATTCGCGTTCGAACAAACAACATGAAGATCGGTGAAGGCTCGAACACAAGCAACATCATGAAAGACGAACGTACTCGGCAATGGATTCTAGCCGTTAAGAGACTGCTTACATTCTGTGAGCTGCACAATGTTGTCTCAAACGATTAGGATCCACAAAGTAACGGAAACCCCTGTGCATCCTTCTGTATAAGGAATTTGCACCTGGTTTCGATAACGGTCTCAGTAAGCTAGCATGCATATTTTGAAAGAACAAGCGCAAGGCTTTAACAAGGTATGAAAGGCAAATTTATACAGCCAGAATGCAGCCTATTGTGTGCCCGATTGTTAACGCCTTCACCGCCCATCGAATCTAAACTGCTAGCGATCTCCAAATATATACTGCCTAATTCGGTAGTCAATAGATTCTAGACCGGATCATGTGTATTTTGCTTATGTCATCCATGCCTTAGCGTTTACCCTAAAAGAATTTAGTCAAATATAGAAATCTTCTAAGCCGCGTGCGTGCCTTAAACGTGAAACGAGTCACGAATGGAAAGCCGACATGCTTAGACTAGCCTAGACACATCGTGTAGTATCTCAGTCGGGGCAGCTGTCGAAAAGCCTTGCTACTTTATTTTCTCGCTTTGGGTATTTCGGATTTAGACCTTCGCCAAACTAAGCTCTAAATTTAGACGATTGCACCGAAAAGGAGGCTGATCCGGTGTTAGCGAATAAAAAAAGTCAGGGCATGCCCGGAAATGTACGAACATGGACATTTCCGATATTTATTTGCGCAGAGCCACTGTCCGCAATTTCCGGCCAAATCCACTCGTGCCACGCCCTTTGCGGTGGTAAATATAAATAGACGCATTTCCCTCTTGCCGAATTTCCCATCAAACTCTGAGATCAATCAAATCAAACAAATACCCATCATAAAATGACCGCTCTCAACAGCTCTGTCCAACACCAAGACGTCTCGTCGGACTTGCCTTTTGGAACCTTACCTCCAAGAAAGCGTGCCAAGACCGAAGAGGAGAAGGAGCAAAGAAGAGTGGAAAGAATCTTGAGAAACAGGAGAGCTGCTCACGCGTCTAGAGAGAAGAAGAGAAGACACGTCGAGTACCTGGAAAACTACGTGACTGATCTGGAGTCTGCGCTCGCGACACATGAGGGCAACTATCGGAAGATGGCCAAAATTCAGTCTGGCCTGATCTCTCTGTTGTCTGAACATGGAATCGATTACTCGTCCGTGGATCTAGCTGTTGAACCATGTCCGAAAGTTGAAAGACCGGAAGGTTTGGAGTTGACTGGTTCAATTCCAGCGAAAAAACAGAAAACTGCCTCCGCAAAATCGCCAAAATCCTTATCGAAAAAGTCGAAGTCGGAAATTCCATCACCAAGTTTTGATGAGGACATGTTTTCTGAGGAGGAAAACGAAAATGACGACTGTATTGAGGAATACGAGAAACCAGAACAAGAAGCGGCCGTGGCTCCGCTTTTGTCTCACAACCGCAAAAGAAAGGCGCAAGATGCTTACATCTCGCCTCCGGGCTCCACCTCCCCATCCAAGCTGAAACTTGAAGAAGACGAAAGGATCTCCAAACAGGAATACAGCAACTTGTTTGATGATACGGAGGACATTTTTCCTTCGGAAAAGTCATCAAGTCTGGAGCTGTATAAACAGGATGATCTGACCATGGCATCATTCGTGAAACAAGAAGAGGAAGAAATGGTGCCATTTGTGAAACAGGAAGACGAGTTGAAGTTTCCTGATACGGGTTTCAACGCTGACGATTGTCATCTAATCCAAGTGGAAGACCTCTGCTCTTTTAATAGCGTGCATCATCCAGCAGTGATGATTGTAAAGTTATGAAAGACTCAAATGATTGAAGCGATCCAACGGAAGCAGCTTGAGATGAGACTGGTTTTTTGGGTATTTGTTTGACAGTTTCATCTTAAGTATGGGTATGAGTTATTTGGTTATCTTGTGCTCTGCTTCTGTCTGCTTCAATTGTTAGGTTGGTCGGCAGCACCATTAACAGCAGAGAGTATTGACAACCACTTTGGATTCGATGATTATTTGTCTTGAACAATGAGTCGAAGTGTATTTTTAGGGATTATGGGAGTTGGGTTGCTTTTTACGGATTGATTTCAGGACTATGAAGGGGCTTTTATTTTCGGGAGCTTTATACCACATATTGCCTACGAGTTTTCACTAGACGCGATTCAATGTGGCGCGCTTCGTGTACGAAGCTGCGACTGGTTTCTGCGCTATGGATGCAAACTAGGAGACAGGTGGGGTGATCTCCTGAACATAAAAGAACTATCATGGTGTGTGAAATCTTGTGTTGTGTTTCAATCAATAGGAGTTTTGTTTTCAGTAATTATAGCATTGTCATGTTATGACGTTTCCAAGATATGCATAGGTGTATATCGCCAAATACATTACTTATTAACTTTCTTAATTCTTTTGGTGTACATTCAATTATATAATCAACTGCTTAAATGTCAGTCACCTTCAAGGTTGGAGGGAGGGATTGGATCAGCTTCTTGGCCTTAGTAGCGTCATTCACAATCAAGGTGTAAAGGTACTTGGAGCCTCTAACCTTGAACTTGGTTTGCTTGAATTTCTTGCCGTTGGCGTTCAGTTTCGTGTTGGTCTTGATGGTGGCGACCTTGACGTCGGCTCTTCTAGCCAACTCAACAAACTGCTTGATATCGGTGATTTCTCTCTGAAAAGTTAGTATTAGAGTTTGACCCAGAAATCGGCCGTCTGGAAAAGTGGGAGTTCATGGAATCGTAAGTCTGCTTCAGACCTGATCCAGTTGCTCGTCTTCACAGACATGCTCGTTCTGTCGTATTGCTATACATACAGCCATGGTGATTAATGTGAATATATGAAGATTGATATTTTTCAGAGTTTTTTTTCCTCAAGGTTGAGGGTGAGAAGCCCTAAAGTCAGTCACGTGAATAAATAATATAGATAAATAATATTGATTCAGATGGATAGACTGCTATGTTCAAGAAACGGAATGTGAAGCAGGAGCAGAAGCGAAAGCGCGAGATGGAGGAGGCGAGCGACGACGGTGAGGTGGTCAAGAAGGGCAAGACGGAAAAACAGGGTGTTGACTCAACCACAAAGGGAGATGGCAAAAAAGAGAGCGAGCCCAAGGCTTTTGAGCAGCAGGTCAAGAAGGAGCAGGACGAGGAAACCCAATTGGAGGACCATGGGGACCAGTCCAAGGATGCTATCAAAAAGAAGTCGGACAGGTACAACATCAAGCAACTTTCTTCCAGCATCAAGACCAACACAGTGATAGATTACCAGCCAGACGTTTGCAAAGACTTCCTTAAGAACGGCTATTGTGGGTATGGGGATACCTGCAAGTTTTTGCATTACAGAGACGAGTTTAAGGTGGTGAAGAACCCGAAGAAAAGGGAATGGGAGGAGGTTTTGAAGAAGAATAAAAGATTTTAAGTTTTGTATATTATGCTATGATACACGATTAATGATTCAGATGGATTCCGAGATAAGCGTATTGAGAGACTTGAAGGTGTCATTGACCACGTCGGCAGCCGGCTTATCAAGACTGCCGTTGGGCTTGTAGTTGCGTGCCAGTCGTTTGTAGAGTATGCGGTATGTTCTAGACCTGAAGCCGGCAGGATCAACATCTATCTGGGGAACGTTTTGAAAGTACCAGGGATCCAGCACGTTTATCCAGGACTCGAGTTGTGGGTTGAAGATAAATACGTGGTCGTTGCTTAAGGTTACTATGGGCCAGCCGTTGGAGTTGAGGAGGATGGAAGCAACCTTGACTGAATTCTCAAACCTTTTGGAGTCAATTTCGGCAAATTGGTTGATAATGGGAGATATTGACACTGCAGACAGGATACTTGCTCGTTCCTCAACGTCCCAGCTGTAAAACAAGCCCGACGACGTGACGGCCATAATGTACTGTTTATTGCTGAGCAAATGTGTCAGATTATTTCCCAGTTGAAATGGAGGCAAGAGCTGACGGCCGAAATCTGACAGTATGAATACCACTCCCGTCTCGGTTGCGACGGCCCAGAAGTCTACCTGGCGCTCATTGGCATCCACAAACGAGGAGCTGCAGGCAGCGGTGAACTTATGGTTGTAAAAAAATTGGAACTGCTCTAACTTTTCCTTTGCATGGAACACGGATAATTTGTTGATAGAGTTAAACTCCTCAAGGTCGTCGTAATCGACTTCTTCCTCAGCATCGTCCTCTGCGCTGTTGCGTATCTCCATTACCACGCCGCTGGCAAGATCGGGTCCCTTGAATTCCAACAGCACTCGAGGCTGCACTCTCATGTCGGTAAATATGGTAGCTGGAGTGACCATCGACGTAGCAAGATATTGAGGAGTTTCCACCTCTCTTTTTCTCTTGGCTGTAGACGAGCGGGTAGATATCGGCCTTTTGGGAGCGTGCGTGATCTCAGAAATGTGATCGATATCGTTTTCGGCATCGTGATCTCCAATCGGCGCTTCACTGACAACGTTGTCCCGCAGAGACGAAACCATGGTTTGCAATCCCAGTCTTGGGATCTTGACGGCCGGTTTCGAAAGCTGCGATTGGTGTTTTGGCTCACGTTTGACCACTGGAGAAGGCTTTGGCAGGTTTTGCGTAGGCTGGGAGCCAGAAATTAGCATGGGAGCAACACGTTTTTTGCCAGACTTCGTCAGAGTCACTTTCTGTGAGCTGGGTGTCAAAATGTTGGGCGTGGGCTTTGCCGGTGTGCTCACGGGTTTGTTTTTAATTGTAGGCATCACCTTATCGGGATGCTTTTTTGATCGCGGCACCAACATGTTCACTTGCGGTGCTGCCTGGGTCTTCAGTTCAGGCTGCGCAAACATGCCTGTCTGGCCCAAAGGCTCCATCGACTCCATTTTTTCCATAAGTCTGTCTAGCTTGGTCGAGGGTGCTTTGGTCTTTAGTATGGCCTCGGCTTTTTCTTCCAGCTCCAACTGTTCAACACTTTCTGGGAAAACCATGCTGTCTCTGTCGGCGCCGTACTTGTTCAAGACGCTGTCATGCTGGTCGACCGGGATAGCAGTACCCAGTTCGTACTGATCAAAGAAAACCGTCATTATGGAACCGTCAAGAGAAGACAAAAAAAGAATCTCTCCGTTAGGATCCCAGGCCAAATCTGTAATGGTGTTCATAGAAATATCCGCAGCAACCACGAGCGGCGTCGCGGCACCCGTGCTCCATATAGCCAACGTCCTGTCCTGGCCGGCAGTCGCAAGTACAGTTGATATTTCTGACTCTTTATCTTTCCTGGAAGTCCCTTCTATTTCATATAGCCGCGGCGAGAACGAACATACCTCGCAAGGCGCGTCATGCCCAATCAAACTGATATCGCTGGCCCAGCTGCCTCGCTCTATAATGGCAACCGAGCACAGACCACCATTGATGGCATTTGGAGACGCAATATTTTGGCCGTCTGGAGACCACGAACAGCGTCGGTAGTACGTCGTTAGCGGAGTCTTGCGAAACGGCTCTCTTATGATGGACTCCACGGTGAAGGACATCTCCGTCGGAGACGTTCTATGGTATCTAAAGATCCTCAACGTTCTGTCGTCTGAACAGGTGGCAAAGTACTTGTTCGCCGGATCAAAAACCACACCCTTCACATGAGACTGATGAATGTCAAATCTTTTGATTTTCTCAAAGGTTATTCCGGACCACACGATAATCGAGCGGTCCAGCCCGACTGTAACCAATATAGACGCATCGGGAGCCCACGCCATGTCCTGGATATCGTTGTCGTGAGCAACAAGACGCTTTCGCACTGTCCAATGCTCCAGATCTGCCGTTTCCAAGTCTGTACCAAACTGGAGACGATGCTCCATGTTCTGGGCCATAATCCGCGTTTTCTCCTCGTCTTTCTCCCAGATCAAGATCACCTTGTCGTCAGAACCGCTCGCAAGAAAGCGCCCCGTGGGAGAAAACCTCACACATGTCACTGCTCCCGTGTGACGGCCCATGGAGCACAGAGGACGACATATAGTCGGGTCAAAATCAACGACATTTGCTAACGGCTCCTCCGAGCCGCCATTCAGGCCGGATTCGACTTCCAAAAGATCATTCTCCGGCTCCTTCTGAGACACTTCCTGCTTGTACTTCTTCAATGTCTCCACGGACCAAATTCTGACTTTGCCGTCAAGACCCCCAGAAGCAAGCCGCTGACCATCCGCCGACACAGAGACGGAGAATACCTCGTACTTCCGCTTCTCTTCCGTGTGCGTGAGCCAGGGAAACTTCAGAATATGCATACAATTATGTTATTTTTCGTCTGAATAATCTAACAACGGTCTATACGCTTTTCAAGTTACACATCCTTACACCGCTGGGGGCAGAACTTAGGAGCTGAATTCGAGCTCAACAGCCTTACCGAATCTTTCCAAACCAACGTCCAGCTTCTCAAGAGCAACGGCCGCATAGGTGCCTCTGAAGAAAATTTCCGACGAGCCGTGGTCCTTGAAGTTTGGCGACTTGAACCACGACCCTGGAATCATCAAACATCCCTGCTCCAGCGATTTCTCGTAGATGGCAGCCTCCACCTTCAATGGGTCCTTGCCGAACTCAGTTGCAAATTTAGGGTGTTTGGCAGCGTCAATCTTGACAATAAAGAACATACCAGCAAAAGGAGGCTCGAACTTCACAACGGATGGCATATGCTTGGACAGGCTGTCGATCGTGAAGTTTCTCTTGATGGTGTACTCCTTTCGCAGACCGATCAGCCAATCAAGGTATCCCTTTTGGCCCCATCTGCCAAGCAGACCAGACACCAGGGTTTGAGTGAAACCGGAAGCTGTCTGAATGGTGACCTCGTGCAATCTGACAAATCTTTCGAGCAGTGGCTTCTGAGCAACAATCCAGCCCAGTCTGGCTCCTGGAGCGAGAACTTTGGAAAAAGAGTCCAACCTCACAACTCTTCCCTCAACGTCCATGGAGGAGAAGGATTTCACAAGGGCGGCGAGGAACTCCTCGTGAGTGACGGCGGCAGGCTCGCCAGCGTTTTTCTTGTACTCGTCCATTTGCAAGAAGTAGTAAGGCTCATCCTCGACGATGATGAAGTCGTGCTTGCAAGCGATTTCGTAGATAGCTTTTCTTCTCTCGTTCGGAAGAGAAGACCCAGTAGGGTTTTGGCCAGTTCCGATGGTGTACAGCAGTTTAGGCTTAGGCTTGGCCGGGTCCCATTCCGTGAACAGCTGATCCAGTTTCTCTGGAATAATTCCCTGGTCGTCCATTTCTACAGGAGCAAAGTTGACGCTAAGGGCTCTGGCGGTCTCAATAGCGGAGGGGAAGGTGTATTCCTCGACGACGATGAAGTCTCCTGGGTTACAGAAGGTTCTCAAAGAAGCCTCCCACGATTGGGTGTTCCCCACGGTGATGATCACGTCCCATTCGCTGTTTGGAATTTTGTGGATTAATTCGGTGTGCTCCCTGATGAAATGTAGCAGTTCTGGCTGGCCCTCGGTGTGTCCGTATTGCAGCGATCTGGCAAGAGGGATGTCGAACTCGAGGTCTGTAGTCTTTCCGACCTCAGTGATCACCGTGTCGGACTCGTTGGTAGGCTTGGCGCCAATTCCTTTTGCAAAAGGAGGCGCCGGAGAGGTGGCGGTGATCTTATCCCAAGGGAAGTAGTCAGAGAGCGGGAGTCCTCCGCCGAGGAAAACAATGTCGTCCTTGCCAAAATACTTGAATGCGGTTTTCAGAGCAGAGGCGTTTCTGCGCTTGGCTTCGTTGGACAGATGGTGGCTCAAATCTTTCACGGTCATATTAAAGTACACTCGAGACAGAAGAAAAAATGACTAAATACCTAATTTCCTCGAGATTATTTTAATCTACATATACACCCCTACATAATAAAATGCATGAAAAAAAAAGTTAGTAATCGGAATCTCGGTAAAAAGCGGTACTCACAGGAAATAGCAGGATACGACGATCTTTGCCAACGCCTACCAACGGAAAAGAAAGGCAAGTCGCGGGGAGGCCCGCACATAGCCACCACAGCCGTACTTCTCAATGTACCGTGACTTCTCGACATACCCGCAGGTATTGATCCGTGCGAACACGGTCCTCGAAGCACGGCGCAGCGAGAGACCATGGTGGTTAGTGGGGCCGACAGACTGCTGTCGCAGACCAAAGAAAAAGCTTTTTTTCCGGTATTCGTATTCTGACCAGCCAGTCTCAGGAACGGAAAACAAGCTCATGAAGAAACGGCAACCCATAGATTGGCCATCAAGGTCAGAACACTTGGTCGGAGACGTCTGGGCTTGCCAACGGGCTGGAATCGGCGAAGTAGCAATATATGAGCATTTGCTCCGTCTGAAGCTCACTTCGCATTCTAGCTGGCGAAGTGAGGACGCTACTACCCCAGTAGCGCCCTGTAGTTCTTCTGGACGTCCTCATTTGTTAATAGGGGTGGCGGGGTGGCGTAAACACCGCATAGCGTAGAGCCCTAAGTGCCCCAACTATGCGATATGGTGCGATGGTCTGAGACACACGACGGCAGCTGTAGATTCACGTCGTCGTGCTCGCAGACTGCCAATCCTCTCAATCCGCCTTTCAATCTCGTGTAGTTAGGTCCGCTGGCAGTCATCGGTATCCCAAAAAAACGAAGTGTCAGATCTTTTTTTTTTTTTTGCCGACGCGTCGACGCGGCCAGAGATCAGTTTTGTTTATTTATTTACTTTATCTACATGGAGGAAATATTTGAAAAGTCACAGCTAGAGAACCAGCAGCCCACGTCGAAAAAGGCGGACAACGCTTTGAAGCCTGTGGATGTGATGTCCATTAAAAATGCTGCTCAGTATGTCAACCAGAAACTTTCCGCCAAAGGCTATTTTTCGAACAAACCAAGTAAGCTCAAACAGCTGCTACTTTTGAGTTTGGATAGCTCTGAGTTGATTCCGGAGAACGCAGAAAATTTCGAGATCAGCGAGAAGGTGTACGAAAATGACAGAAACGTAATGAACATCATCTACTCGCTGCTGAATTCGGCAGAGATTTCGAAACAGTTTAAAGAAACCGCACTCAAAAAGATGGCTGATAAGGACGCCGAGATAGAATTGCTCAAAAGCGAGGTGGAGAGACTCAACGCCAAGGTCGACGAAAAGGAGAGACATATCCAGTCGCTTCAGTTGGATATGATCAAGGCCGATCTACAAGCCAAACATTATCAGACCATGCTCAATAACGTCAACGCGAAAAATAAAGAGCAGGAGCGCACTTTTAAATTATATTCAGAAGAGGTGAAACGAGAACTACGCAGAAATGAACTGGAGGTGGACAGACTCGAAAGCAAGCTATCCAACATGAACAAGCGCAAAGCCAGCCCGAGGGATGATGAAGGAGTGGAGCAGAAAAGACAGAAATTCGACAACGACCGGTTTCTGTCGTTGGTGGAAGAGAATTCGCATTTGCAACACGATCTCAACAAACTTGTCGGCGTGCTCTTGAGGTTACAGAAATTCCTAAAATCGTTTGGCCAGCTGAACTCCAACAATAAGGTGCCGTCTACCTTTATTCCGACCGACAATGAGCTTCTGGCCATAGACCACCATAATTTTGACTTGCATAAATACGATTTGATATTGTTCGATCTTCTCAAGCCACTGAACGGCGACAGCATTGACGACACGTTCAAATTCAAGAAAAATAACCAGACAGACAAGGACCAGGAGATCGCAAGTTTGCGGAATCGGCTCTCAGAAATGGAGCAGAACTACGAACGCGTGCTGGCAACCATGGAACAATGGAAAACATATCGCAAGCAGAAATGATGACTTTTTATGTTACACGGTGCTGGTGGAAGGTTTCGAGGGAATCTCGAAAAGCTGGTAGTAGTCCACAAGCCGGCCATCCAAATTTGCTTCTCCCATTATTGGGAGTTTGAAGAAGTTGCGCCAGCTGTATGGTTCGGCTTCTGTTTTGATGAATAGGAAGTCCAGCCAATTCTGCAAGAAGCCGCAGTCGAAAGTGGCAGGGCTTGATTTGTGTTGGATGAGGTCGTCGCTGATCATCAAAAACTGGTTCAGTCCGATCAGTCTCGCACACTTGGAGTTGGTCACAAAATTTGGAAGACAAACAAACCTGCGCAATCCGGGCAACGCCACTTCTTCGTTATTCAACTCATTTATCTCATCAGTCGGCACCGAAGAGAAGTTGTTGCCGGTGGAGGTGTGCATGTTACTGAGCTCGTAGCTGGTCAGTCCCTTGGAGATCTGCAACGCTTGTACGATTAGAAGTAAGGACAACCACGAAAGCTGAAATAGGGTCCATATTGTCAGATTGAAGACGAAAGGAGACGCATATGACCCAGCACACGTATCCTCGCCAAAAATGTAGCACGAGTGTTCTAAATCGTCTGGAACGTCCAGCTCATCAAAATATTTTCTGGCAAGCTTATAGTAAATGATAATTGAGATCTCCAGCGCTGCGCAAAAACCAAAAAACAGCTTGTGGTTTCTGACCCCGACATCGTTGTTGATCCAGGGACAGTAGTGGTCGAACCTGGCTACGTTTCTATTTTTGAACTTGTTGAACTTGGATCTGAGAGGCTTTCTGATTGAGGTGTAGAGACAGAAGTTCCTGGAGTCGAATTTCCGCAGGTCGATCAGCTCTCTGATGGTGGCTTGTATTTTCTGTTTGTCCTGTTCTGCAGGGATAAGTCCTGGATCAATAATCATTGCCTTGACAAAAGCTGCCATTGTGCAGCAGGCTGAAATCAGAAACGTCAAGTTGAGCAGCGGTTTGTCAAAAAAAGTATTTGGCATGATCTTGACCAACCATGTCAACACGCACCAGAATGCAGTTCCCGAGAACACTCCCGCAAAGAGGGACGATTTTTGAAGCGAGTTGGGCGATCTGCTGAAATTGGGGACGATAATCCACTGGAGAATCAGATTTTGCAACGCCAATATAACCACCAGTATAAAAAGGTCAAATAGAATCATTCCGCTTGTCATCGCGTACAAACACAGAGGGACAACAAGGTACGGGAACACAAATATGATGCGGTCTGCAACTTTCTGAGAAATGCGTCTGCTCACCTTTGTCCCGTCCTGGTTGATGTCGCACTCTTTGAGAGCAGTCTTTAGCATACTCGTACAATTCATGTCTGCCGCAATATCCCACGAAGACTTGTTGTCGTTGGTCCGATGGTTGAGATTGCTTCCGTTCTCGAGTAATTTGATGAGAATCTGCTTTACAGGGTGGACGAGAGCCCAGCTGAGAGCAGTGAAGCCTGTCTCGTCCACCAGAGATAAATTCGCTCCCAGACGTACCAGAACTTCCACGGTGAAGGGATCTCCCTGATAGGCGGCCCAATGCAATGCTGTGCGGCCCTTCGGATCAGCCGCGTCAATATGCAAATCAGTGAAGTAGAGAATATAAATAACCATCATCACGTTGGAAGAGTGCACAGCCAAATGTAGACAGTTGAAGCTCTGGTTGTCGAGGACGGAGTAATCTGCCCCACACTGAGTGATCAGGTAGTCCGAGATGTACACCAAACCGTATCTGCAGGCCCATTGGAGCGGCGTGGCGTCCAGATCTCCTCCCGCATGGTTAACATTGGCACCTTTGGACACAAGGTACTTGAGAGCAGTCAGCTTATTGTTGATCGCACACCAATGCAGGGCGCTCACGTTGTCTTCCAGCATGTCATTCACTTCCACCTTGTGATTCTCCAGCATGTCAGTCAGAATGTCAAGATCGCCACGCTGAGCGGCCCCCATATACGTCTCGATAAGCTTTGTTTTTTCATTGTCTTTGGACAGATCGACCTCGTGTAAGGCCCCAACAGAAGCATGGTCTTCTGAGCCTTCAGACTTCTCGAGCATTGCACCGTCCTTAGCAGACGGCAGGTCTGCCAACGAGTCGAGTTCTGTCTCTACGGGGGTAGACATGGTAATTATTTTTTTAACGGGTAACAAAATAGGCACAGCCGAGTTCGCAGCACTGGTATTCTATTTTAGTTTAATTATTTTATTTTTTTGAAAGCGTTTGAAGTTCCCTTATTTATATATTAACGTGTGCACCCTTAGGCAACCAGGACTCTCATGGTATTGGAGTGGCCAATACCTCTGGTGTGGCCCTGGATACAAACGACAGTCTCGCCTCTGGCCAGAAGACCGAGATCGATGGCATGCTTGATACCGAACTGCAGTCTGTTCTCGATGTCCTGGATCCAGTTCTCGTTGCGCGGATCTTCATAGACAAATGGATACACGCCTCTATAGAGGTGGCAGTATCTTGCAGAAGTTGGGTTTCTGGTGACCATGATGATTGGACAGTTAGGTCTGTACTTGGAAACGAGTCTGGCGGTGGTTCCGGAGGTGGACAGGACAATCACGACCTTGGCGCCCTGGTCAAACGCAGACGAGGCAGCGGCAATGGCAATGGTCTCTGGGGTCGAGCATGGCTTAGGGGTGAGGTCTCTAAGTTCGGAGAAGCTCGTGTAATATGGAAGAGCCTTTTCAGCAATCAGACAGGTGTGGTGCATCATGGACACGGCCTCCAATGGGTAGTTACCCTTGGCGGTTTCTCCCGACAACATGACACAGTCAGCACCGTCCAGGATGGCGTTACCAACATCAGAAACCTCGGCTCTGGTTGGTCTTGGGTTATACGTCATCGACTCCAGCATCTGCGTAGCACAGATGACAGGCTTGCCGGCCAGGTTGCACTTGGCGATCAGCTGTTTCTGAACAACAAACACCTGTGGAGCAGGGATCTCGATACCCAGGTCTCCTCTGGCGACCATGACACCGTCGGTCTCTGCGAGAATGTCGTCAAAGTTGTTCACACCTTGCTGATTCTCGATCTTGGAGATGATCTGGATGTCCTTGCCCTCCTCTCCGAGAACTTTTCTGATCTCTCTCACGTCGTTGGCGGATCTGATGAACGAGGCAAACACCATGTGGACCTTGTTCTTGACACCGAACCTGAGGTCTGCCTTGTCCTTTTCGGACAGCGCTGGCAGGTCGACGTCGGTGTTTGGCAGGTTCACACCCTTGTGGGAACAGATCTTACCGGCGTTGATCGACTTGACCTTCAGAGTCTTGTCGTCAACAACCTCGACGACCTCGAACGACAGAACTCCGTCGTCGACGTAGATGATCTTTCCGGCCTCAATCACCTTGGTGATGTTCTTGTAGTCGATGTACATCACCTTGTCATCCGAAATCTCCTTGTACTTGTCGTCCGTGGTAAATATCATCTCGTGGTTAGGGTCGATTGGGTAGTCCTTGCCGTCCCTGGTGGTTCCTGTTCTGATTTCAGGGCCCTTGGTGTCGAGAGCAATGGCCAGCGGTCTGCCCGGATATATTCTCTCGGACTCTCTGGCGTTGTCAATGACGGACTGGTGGTACTCGTACGAGCCGTGGGAGAAGTTCATTCTCACAATGTTCAAACCTGCCTTTCTGAGCTTCACCAGCATCTCGGCACTGTTGGTTTTAGGACCAATTGTACCGATGATAGAAGAGCGTCTAAAGCTCTTGTCTGGGGTCGAAGTAACGTCAAGGCTGGTAAGCCATCCGAGTTTGGATTGTGTCTGGGAGCTCATTTTGGAAATATGCAAATTTTAGACTGGACTTATACCCCCCTTTATATAGTCGGACTATTTTGCAGCCGGTTGCCAACACCCTGGCACCGCCCGTATTGGGTCATTTTTTTCCTGGTGATCTTTGGTCCGCTGGAAAATTGCACTCCGACGACACCCGTGCACGCGCAAGTGCCAGCCTGGGGCGGTTTGTTAGTTGCTTATGTCACCGGCCAGCCGACAGCTTTATTTATTATTTATCGCGTACCAACACAAACAAGAGCGTACGGGCACGAATTTTTGCTTTTCGCCCGGTTTGGCTGCCCATGAACCCGCAATCACACTCAGTAGCCTCTCTGCAGATGGCGCCTGCCCTGAGACCGCCCTCTGATCCAGAGACAGTGAGCCTGACGGAGTCGCTTATACTAAAATTCCAACAGGAGCTCAACAAGAGCGACGCACACGGCCAGAATACCGCTGGCCAGTCTGCGAAGCGCCGCGTGCGAGACATGGTGCGACGGTCGCCGCGAAAACGCGCCGATCGGCCTTCTTCCCGAGCTCGTTTCCAGTCTCTGTTCAGCAAGAAAGGCAAGAAGAACCAACAAACGTTTGAGGATGTGGGCCAGGATGAGCGCAGCACGTTGTTTTCGTATCCGTCGGCGAAAATTACGCTCTACGAAGTGTCGCGAATAAACGAGTCTGCAGCCGACGAATTTCAGCTAGGGCGAAGCGGCAATATTCTTGGCCATGGACAGTTTGAAATTTACCAGATTCAGAACAAGAGCATCACCTATTTTTCGTGCGGCTCGGTTGTGTATCCGATCATGCCACGGCTTAGGGTGCTGAAAATTAGCGCAAGCTCGTTCGTTGTTCCGTTGTACAACCCCGAACGATATTGGAAAATCACGTTATTCACCCAAGATGCAGCAACAATAGCGCAACTGGACTCGGTTTTCAGGGGTATTTGCCAATTTTGTACCATGTGCGATTCGCAGGATGCAGAGGAAACGGCTGAGCAGCCCGGCGAAGAGCCCGTTGAGGATGGTGTGCCGTCTGCGTCGCTGAGTCCGTCGCATTCGCTGTCCTCTTTGAATTCGACAATAGCATGTTTCAATTTGAGCAAGGACATTGAAACAAGCGAGGCCGATTTTCTGAAACACCCAACGCCTATCAAGTTGAAATCCGTGTCATCGTCTTTAGACTCTATTTTGGACCGGTTCCAGCTGGACTCCGACGAGGAGGACAGAGACGATAAAATCGACAAGGCGACGACAGACGAAAACGAGTCCACGGTCAATTCCAGTACCATGATGTCTTTTGAAGGCGACAGCAAGGCTCGCACACTCAACAAGAGGTACTCCTTGACGTTCAAAGAGTGCGACGTGAGCATTTCAAGCTTGGACTTCGACATGGGTTTTTTGAAAGAGGAGGACGAAAACAACGAGGTCAACGGAGCTAGCATCCTAAAGGGCTCGCGCTCGATGCAGCTGCTGAAGCCCGCTACTGCCAGACCCTGGAGCACGCGAGTGTTTGGGTGGTGAGTCGATCGACGGGGCCGTCGCGAAAAATAATTATTCTTTATAGCATAGTGTACGCTTAGTGAACGATAGCATATTAGCCGCTTACGAGATGTCGACGGGGCTTTCTGGGTTGTCTAGAGCGTCTGGGTCTCCGGAAAATTCATCGACGCCTGGTTTCAAAGCAGCCTTGAAGACGGAGTCGGACACTAATACGCCTGTATTTGCTGCCATGGACCGTTCCAGCTCGCTGAAGAAAGAGATCGACGAATACGAGCAGCTCAACAACGAGGCGCGCGCGCTGGAGGAATTGCGCAACATGGATCTGCTCCCACTTTTGCTCGACTTGGTCGAGAATCTCAAGGCAGGCAAAATATCACCGAAAGACTTCGACAACGCGGTAAGTATCAGGAAATTCGGCTTGACGAGAATCTAACGCCTCAGACGGGACGAATCAAAACAAGACTGAACAAGGTCAGGTCGCTGCTGAACCAAATAGAAGGGCTGGACGAGTCTACAGAGAGCCGGATCCAGAAGATGGAGGAGATGAAGAAGCGGATCGGCGCGAAACAGGAGCTGCTGAAACGGTTCAGCGAGGAGATCGAGGCAAAGTTTGGCACGGAGAGGCCGATTGCGGACGACAAAATGCAAATAGACCAGTAGCCACAGGCACTGCGTTATGTAATACTAGAGGTGCACAGATGTCGGGGACGAACAAAATTCGTCAAATTTTTTTCCACTTGACGAAATATTCAGGTTGCTGAAAATCTTGTAAATACATAGGTATACAGAATGGCAGCACCACAAATGAGCATGGGCGAGCTCAGCAAGAGTCTGGCCCCGGTTCCTAACATCGGCAATGCCCATGAGGACCAGAGAGACGGGTTCTGGTCGTCGAACCCAATGTTCACCTTTGTTAACAACGTCGCCAGGTCCATCCAGCAGCACAGACAATCTTTGGACCTGATCAACCCAGGAACCATGGAGAACATCAACAAGGAGGTTGCCAAGGATGTGTTCTTGAACCAGATGCAATTCAGCGGACTGAGAGCCGACATCAGCAAGACTTTCGCCATGAACCCTATTTTCCAGGTCTCGCACGGTCTTTCGATCGGCGGCCAGCTCCCAGCATATTCTTTCACGGCCATGGTCGGTAACGAGAAGACCTTCTTCCAGGGTACCATCGACAACGAGTTCTCCTTGACGGGAAGATTCAACCACAGCTGGGACAAGCACAGCACCTCGAAGCTGACTTTCCAGCTGGCCCACGGCCAACAGCCAATGTGCCAAATCGAGCACGACTACCAGGCCAACGACTTCTCGTTGAACTTCAAGACACTGAATCCTAGCTTTTTGGACGACTCGTACAAAGGTGTGATGGTCGGCTCCATTTTGCAGAGCATCACTCCAAAGCTGTCGCTCGGTATGGAATCGGTCTACTCCTCGCTCCAGCCAGGCGTGCCAGGTGACGCGGCTCTCTCGTTTGTCGGAAGATACAACGCTGGCGACTGGATTGCGTCTGCTCAATTGCAGGCTCAGGGTGCTTTGGTGGCCTCTTTCTGGAGAAAAGTCGCCAAGAACGTCGAGGCCGGTATCGAAACCACTGTGCAAGCGGGCATGCAGCCAACTCTGAACGAGCTGATGCAGCCAGTCTACCAGACCGTCGTCGACGCCAACACCACGATTGGTGCCAAATACGAGTTCAGACAGTCCGTCTACAGAGGCCAGGTGGACTCCAAGGGCCAGGTCTCGTTCATGCTCGAGCACAGAGTCCTGCCAACGGTCGGACTGCTGTTCAGCGCCACCATCGACCAGATCAAGAACACAGCCAACATCGGCTGCGGTCTGTCTCTGGAGTTTGCTGGCTCTGAAGAAGTGATGATGATGCAAAACGGAATGATGGATGCCAACGGAAACCCGATCGAAGGTGCCCAGCTGGCATGAGAGACGTGTACATTGCCAAATACAGTAAATAGGCCTGTAGTGCTACAATAAATGAGCAAAAAAAATAATTAAATTCATACTAAATGGTCAGGTAGCTCGTCATTTTTTCATCTGGTTCTGGATCTTCTCGGCAGCACCCTTGTAGTCCTTGTTCTGGAGGTCCTGATACGCCTCCGAGGCAGCCTGTTTGAGGTTGTCCAGGCCGCCGCTGCCGGATTTTCCCTCGTTCTTCACCGAGTTCTTCGCTTTGTCTGCAAATTCTTCTCCTTTCTGCATCGTGGTTAGTGAATATCGCAAGCACTGCAAGACCCTTATATACTTCCGTCACCATTTCCTCCCCCACAGCAACGCCATCGCGCACGCTTGCTTGCAGCTACTCCAGTTTCCATCTTGCGGTGTACGGGTGTGAGCCGCGATAGGTGGAGCCCGCCATTTTAATTGATAAATTCACTAACCAGCGCAATAACATTCTCCCGTGCGTCTGCCTTTGCGAATTTCACGCACCCCGCTTGCTACCTGTATGGCTTTCTATTGATCGTTTCATCCGACCACTATCTGCACAAAGCCACTTCCCACCATTTCCGACCCGCATCAATCTTTTGAGCAAATCCCTCTACAGGACCTTGCATCTGATCGTGTTCCAGCACCACATCCCTACACCCACAACCGCGTCCCAGCTATGAAGTTCTCGCATTCGCTTCAGTTCAATGCTGTTCCCGAGTGGTCTTCCAAGTACATCAACTACTCCGGCCTCAAGAAGCTGATATATTCGCTCCAGCGTGAGTATGCCGAGACGTTGAATTTCACGGATCCGGAATCGCTGCCGTTCACTGCTGTGGACGAAGAGTCGAGTCCGATCAATGTTTTTATTACCGCTCTCGACAAAGAGGCTGCCAAAATCAACGGGTTCTTCCAGATCAAGGAGAAAGAAGCTCTGGCCAGCTACGAGAACCTGATCGACGAGGTGGAGGAGTTTGAGCGCGAGTTTCCGCAGCAGCTGGCCGACGTCGAGCAAAGACACCGGCTCAGACAGATTCTGGACTCTCTTAGGCCCGGCAAATTCACCGATGAAACACCTGAGTCGGGGCCTGCTCCTGATATTGAGCCTGTACCTTCGCAGAATGCGCTGGGCAGCGCGAGCAACGAAAATGCCGTCGACATGCGCCAGCCAGACAAAAATGCAAACGAGCTGACCCACCGGAGGTCGCAGATCCTGTTTGACGACGACGACTTCAACCTCAGCTTCTTGGAGGCTCTCAAGGTGGAAAAAAGAAAACCGCTGGCCGACATGTTTGTTCTTCTGTCGGAACTGAAAAGCTACGTTGAGCTCAACAAGATTGGGTTTGGCAAGGCACTGAAAAAGTTCGACAAGACGTTGCACACGAAAATTAAGGACGAATACATGGATAAGCTCGAAAAGAGCAACGAGTACCACGTTTTCAGGCCAGAGGCCATGGACGAGCTCAACGTGCGTCTAGCGGGCATCATAAGACTGTACTCGGTGTTCACGCACGGCAACGAGGAGCAGGCCAAGGACGAGCTCAAGTCCAACCTGAGAGAGTACATTGTCTGGGAAAGAAACACGGTCTGGCGGAACATGATTGGCATGGAGCGGAAGACACAGGCGGCCAGGGTCCAGAAACCGAACATGGTGGATTCAGTCATTGTTCCGGTGGAAAAGTTCGATATTTATCTTGGTGCGGGACGCAAGATCAGCATTCCTACTCCAATTCTGACCAGTAACGGTCTCAAGGCGTTGCTGATCGCGATGGTCACGATCACGTTGTTGATCTTCTCGCCGTTGCAGGACGAGCAGCAGAAAAACTGTTTTGCAGTCCTTGTGTGCGCGTCTCTGCTCTGGGCAACAGAGGCAATTCCTCTCTTCACCACCTCTCTGCTGCTCCCATTTCTGATCGTGGTGCTGAGGACTCTGGTCGATCCTGACTCTGGTGAGCCTTTGCGGGCTGTGGACGCGTCGAAATTCATCTGCTCTGCAATGTGGTCGCCGATCATAATGCTTCTGCTTGGCGGCTTCACGCTGGCTGCCGCTCTCTCCAAGTACAATCTGGATAAAATAGCATGCACTTTTATTTTGTCCAAAGTGCCTCAAAGACCGGCCTACGTGCTGCTGTCGATCATGTGTGTGTCGACGGTTGTGTCGGCATTTATTTCCAACGTTGCTGCGCCAGTGCTCATGCTCTCTGTTATTCAGCCCGTGCTCAACACTCTGCCCGAAGGATCGCAGTTTGCGGAGGCCCTCGTGATCGGCATCGCGCTGGCGTCCAACGTTGCCGGAATGGCCAGTCCGATCGCCAGTCCGCAGAACGTGGTTGCGTTGCAGAGCATGGACCCGGCTCCCAATTGGCTGCAATGGTTTGCCGTCTCCGTTCCCGTGTGTGCCTGCGGTCTGCTTCTGATATTCATCTACATCATGTTCATGATGGACTTCAGAGACGCCACTATCGTTCCTATCCGGTCGACAGATGAGAAGTTCAACCACAAACACTTCTATGTGCTCGCAGTGTCTCTTACCACGATCATTCTCTGGTGCGGAGCGTCATTTTTCGAGCCAATCGTGGGAGACATGGGGATGATCGCAGTGGCCTCCATGGTGGCCTTCTACGCTCCCGGAATCCTGTCTCCAGACGACTTCAACAACTATCCATGGACTATTGTCATGCTGGCAATGGGGGGCCTTGCTTTAGGCAAGGCTGTCACTGTTTCTGGACTACTGAGGACCATTGCCGAGGCAATACAGGCCAAACTCGAGGGCTCGGCCCTGTTCACTGTCCTGTGTCTCTTCGGCATCATCGTGCTTGTCATGGCAACGTTTGTGTCACATACGGTCGCTGCTCTCATTATCGTTCCACTAATAGCCGAAATTGGAAGATCTCTCCCTGATCCGCATCCAAACCTGCTCATCATGGCCACCGCCCTGCTCTGCTCGTCCGCCATGGGACTGCCCACGTCAGGCTTTCCCAACGTGACCGCCATTGGTCTCAGAGACAGCGTCGGCAACCCGTACCTGACTGTGTCCACGTTTATAAAAATCGGGGTTCCATCGTCGCTCTTCTGCTACGTCGTGGTTGTCTCGATCGGGTACCTGGTGATGAAGCTACTGGATTTCTAAATAGATGATTAATCTGTACCAAAATACCTGGCATCAATAAATCTCATGCTCATCCACCAGTCCGTGTCGTTGTCCTGTCCTTCCTTGGGCTCGACGGCAGACAGGTTTCCAACCACAATTTTCACGTTGGGGAAGGCATTCAGTATACGACGGAGCCCTGTTTCCGACGCAAGATACACCACTAGCACGATCTCTGACTCCTCCACGTCGTGATCCAGTATCACTTTGATAGCCATCGTGGCAGCGGCCCCAGATATCACCTGGGCGTCAAATAGGAGAACTTTGCAACCTGAAGAAAATTTGGGCAGTCGTTCCGTGTGCAGCTGCGGCTCGCCCGTCTGGGAGTCCGACTGGATCAGAACCTTGCCAACAATCGCCTCAGGAATGATCTTCCTGAGCGATCTCATGAAACAGTCGCCAGACTTGATGATATTAACTGCCACCACCTCCTGGGCCTGCACAACGCCGTCTGTGATTCTGTAGCCGTTGGGCGTGATTATGTCGTTTGGCGCTGGCGAATAGTGGACGAGTTCCAACGCCTCGCTAATTAGCGTGCTGGCAATCCTGTCAAAATAGAAGATGAAGTCGTCGTTCGACGTTTCTCTGTTGAGAATGATACTTTTCATTCCTAGCAGCTGGTTGGTTTTGGGCAGAGCCTTGATATTATTGAAGTTGATGGGAGCAACCATTCTCCCGAGTCGCGCGAGGTGCGCAAGATGCTCTGCTGATTTTTTTTGCAGCTGTTTCCGGATATGTTTGATAATCATATCGATAGCTTTGGTGTTGTCCGAGCCATGTGGAATGACAATGTCGGCGTTGTACATTGTCGGCTTGACAGATACAACAGAACTGGGCTTGACGAATTTTTCCCACTGCTCGATGATGCCCTCGATGTCTCTTTTCCTCTCCACGATGTCCCTGAGAAGTCTGCGGCTGTAGCAGATGTCCAAATCTGTATCCACGTAAATTTTAGTATCCATGAGGGCAAGCACCTTTGGGTCGTACAGCGAGTAGATCCCTTCCACTATAATGACATTAGCTCCGTAAATGGATATGCTTTCGTCTGTTCTGTTGTGTAGGGCGAACGAGTACACCGGCACCTGTGTTTTTTTTCCTTCTTTGAGAGAAATGATGCAGTTGTAGAAGGCTTCCAGGTCGTAGGCTTCAGGAGTGTCGAAATCATACTCATTTCGATAAGCGAGTTCACGCTGCTCTGGTGTGAGCGGCTTGTAAAAGTTATCCATTGAAAGAAGGACCGTCCAAGGCTCGTTGATCTGCTCGATGATCTTCTGGGCCACAGTCGTTTTGCCCGATCCCGAGAACCCTGCCACTCCAATGATGTATGGCGACGTCCATGGAGGAATGTACTTGTTAGCCTGGAGATCTGTATGGGTTGCAGATTTGGAGGGCGGCTCTGAGGACAAGGGACTCATGCGAGGTAGCTGGAATAAAAAATTTAAAAAATCATATAATAAATAAAATAATATATATAATAAAACAAAAATATATATATATGAGTGAGGTCAGGACCGGTAGATTCAAAAGGCGACGGAGAGAATTTGAGGAGGACGATGAGCCGGTTACTGAAAAGGAGAACACTGTGGAGACAGAGGAGAAGAAACCTGAGGAAGAACAGGAGGTGGAATCAAATAATCTTGATGAGCTTAAACTAGGAAATAAAATCAAACTCAATGAGGAAAGGACAGACTTCAACGAGCTACGGCGGCTGGCACGTCAAGAGTACCTTTCCAAGCGGGAGGAGAAAAAGATCTTGCTTCTTCAGGCCGAGTTGCAGGACTTTGAGCGAGAAATAGAGCAGATCGGCTGGGATCGACTGACTCGAAGGGAGCAGGACGAGTACCAGTTCAAAAAGAAGATTTTCACAATGATCCAGGAGCGATGGGAAATAGAGCAAAACATGGAAAACCACTACCTGCTGCCAGATGATTACTTCACGGAAGACGGAAAGATAGACAAAAAACGGAAGCAGGACGCTTTGCATTCCAAATACAACGACAACAAGGTGATTGACTGGGAGCAGGAGCAGCTGAAGAAGGCTGTGCGAGATACTCGTCCAAAAGAGCAGGAATACGAGTTTGTGTTTGACGAGTCTCAAGCAGTGGATTTTGTGAGCGACGAGCAAGAGGACCCCGAACAGAAAAGGCTCCGTGAAATGATTGCCGAGGAGGAAGAGCGCATCAAAACCATCGACGAAACGCGGAAATCTCTCCCCGTTTATCAGTACAAAGACGAGCTAATAAGAGCTGTTGAGGACCACCAGGTGCTGATCGTTGTTGGAGAGACCGGTTCTGGTAAAACAACGCAGCTGCCGCAGTATTTGCATGAAGCAGGCTTCACCAAGGACGGCAAAAAAATTGGCTGCACACAGCCCCGGCGAGTGGCTGCCATGTCTGTTGCTGCGCGGGTGGCAGACGAGGTGGGCACGCCTTTGGGCGAGCAGGTTGGATATACGATCCGATTCGAGGACAAGACCAGCGAGCGGACGATACTCAAGTACATGACAGACGGTATGTTGCTACGAGAGTTCCTAACCGACCCAGAACTGCTTTCCTATTCTGTGATCATGATCGACGAGGCGCACGAGCGCACGCTGCACACTGACGTGCTCCTTGGCCTACTCAAGGACATTGTTTCGTACCGCAAAGACTTCAAGCTTCTGATTTCGTCGGCCACCATGAACGCGCATAAATTCAGCGATTTTTTCGACGGTGCTCCAATTTTTGACATCCCTGGAAGAAGATACCCCGTGGACATATACTACACGTCGCAGCCGGAAGCAAACTGTCTGCATGCGGCCATCACGACGGTTTTCCAGATCCATCTGAAACAGGATCCCGGAGACATTCTGGTATTTTTAACGGGCCAGGATGAAATTGAGAGCATGGCAGACAATCTGGCCGAGACGTGTCTGAAACTTGGCGATCAGATCCCAGAAATGATAGTCTGTCCAATCTATGCAAGTCTGCCCTCAGACCAGCAACGACGCATTTTTGAGCCGACTCCAGAGGGTGCGCGCAAGGTGGTTCTGGCCACCAATATTGCAGAAACGTCGCTCACCATCGACGGGATAGTTTACGTCGTGGACACCGGTTTCGTGAAAGAGAACGTGTTTAATCCAAGCACAGGCATGGAGAGCCTGGAGGTGCGGCCGTGCTCGAGAGCATCTGCGGACCAGAGAGCAGGAAGAGCCGGAAGATTGGGTCCAGGAAAATGCTACCGTCTATACACGAAATGGTCGTACCTGAACGAGCTGGCAGCAAATCCGACGCCTGAGATTCTAAGAACGAACCTGGCGAGCGTCGTGCTGCTGCTGCTTTCTTTGGGCATCTCAGACTTGCTGAATTTTGACTTCCTCGACCCTCCGTCCTCGGACGCTCTCATCAAAGGGCTTGAGCTTATTTACGCCCTAGGAGGCCTAAACGAGAACGGCGAGCTGACCAGGATCGGACGCCGGATGGCAGAGTTCCCGACCGAGCCGATGATGTCGAAGACGCTGCTCACGAGCGGCGAGCTGGGCTGCTGCAGCGAAATACTGTCAATCGTCGCGATGCTGCAGGAGGCAGGTTCTGTTTTCTACAGGCCCCGAGACAGAAAAGAGCAGGCAGACAAGGCCAAGCAGCAGTTCACCAAGACGCTGGGGGGCGACCATTTGACGCTGCTGGAGGTGTGGAACCGGTTTGTTGAGAATGGGTACTCGGTGCAGTGGTGTCGGGACAACTTTGTACAATACAAGACTCTACAACGGGTGCGCAATATCCGGGAGCAGCTGGAACGCATGTGTGAGCGGATGGGGCTTTTGGACGAGAACCGGCCGGCTTTGGAGCACGACCGGATGCTGGTGAACGTGCTGAAGAGTATTGTGGCCGGGTTCTTCGTCAACGCTGCGCAGCTGAGCCGGTCTGGCGACTCGTACCGGTCAATGAAAAAGAACCAGGCGGTGTGGATCCATCCGTCGTCGGTGCTGTTTGGCGTGAAGCCGCCGCCAAAGCTGGTGATCTACCACGAGCTTGTGCTGACGAGCAAGGAGTTCATGAGGACGTGTGTGCCGATCCACGAGAAATGGCTCAAGGAGTATGCGGCACACTATTATGGAGATAAATAATTAATTATTGATGTCATTCTGAAAATTCTCTTCACAGTCGTCCGATTATCAATTTAGTGGAGTGACGTTAGCATTTAAATAGGAGGCAAGATTCCCGTTTGATGCCAATGCAAGTCGACTCTCTTTTTAACGGTGTTTCTGTGGTGGTGCTGTACGCCCCCACCACGGCCCTTTTTGCCCAGACGGCAGCCTTCTACAAGGACGTTCTCGGGTTTGAGGTCTCAGACGAAACCAGCACTCGCTGCGTCCTCAGCACGCCTGCCAACTCCGAGGACAGGGGCACAATTGAGCTGCGACTCGATCCGGCAAAGTCCGTGGACGAGCAGACCGTTGCGGCGAATATCCGCAACCTGCTGACCCACGAGCAGAAAGTCGACTGGAGAACGCTCCAGAGCTGTGTTTGCTTCACGACGCACACAATCGAGTCTCTGATTGAGACTCTGGAGAAAAAAAAGGTGGCTTACCAGGCCCGGCCGGGCCGTCTGGACCCGTACGAGGTGTACGTGGTGGACCCGCTGGGGTCTGTGGTGGGTGTGACCGATATCGGCAACACCATTGGAACCAGCGACCACTCGCGGTACAAAGAAGCTCCGAGCCGCATCACGCTGCTGGACTCGGGCAGCACGGCCAGCAAGGTCGCGTCCAGCACGAAGAACATTGCCGTGATGACGTCCGGCGGAGACGCGCCGGGCATGAATGCGAACGTGCGGGCCATCATCCGTGCCGCCATCTACAAAGGGTGCAAGGCGTTTGCCGTGTACGAGGGCTATTCGGGGCTGGTGAAGGGCGGTCCGCAGTTCATTCGCGAGATGCACTGGAACGACGTGCGCGGGTGGCTCGCTGAGGGCGGCACCAACATCGGAACGGCCAGATGCATGGAGTTCAAGGAGAGATGGGGCCGTTTGGCTGCGTGCAAAAATATGATAGCGGCCGGGATCGACGCGCTTGTGGTTTGCGGCGGTGACGGGTCGTTGACGGGCGCAGACCTGTTCCGGGCCGAGTGGCCGTCGCTGATCGCGGAGCTGCACGAAAAGGGCGAGATCACGAGCCAGCAGTACGAGAACCACAAGCACCTCAACATCTGCGGCACCGTCGGGTCGATCGACAACGACATGTCGTCGACCGACGCGACGATCGGGTGCTACTCGTCGCTGGCGCGGATTTGCGAGGCCATCGACTACATCGACGCCACGGCCAATTCGCACCAGAGAGCGTTTGTGATTGAGGTGATGGGCCGCCACTGCGGCTGGCTGGCTCTGATGGCGGGCATCGCGACCAGCGCAGACTACATTTTCATCCCAGAGAAGCCGTCGTCGCGCCAGGACTGGTCGGACCATATGTGTCAGATTGTGGCTGCGCACCGCGCGCGGGGCAAGCGGAAGACGATCGTGGTGGTTGCCGAGGGCGCGATCGCGTCGGACCTGACCCCGATCACGTGCGAGGACGTGCGGGACGTGCTGGTGGACAGGCTGAAGCTCGACACGCGGATCACGACCCTGGGTCACGTGCAGCGCGGTGGCAACGCGGTTGCGTACGACCGGCTGTTGGCGACGATGCAGGGAGTCGCGGCCGTGGACGCCGTGCTGGAGGGCACGCCCGAGACGCCGTCGCCGATGATCTCTGTGGTGGAGAACAAGATTGTGCGGAAGCCGCTGGTCGAGGCCGTTAGGCTGACCAAGTCGGTGGCCGAGGCCATCAACGCGAAGGACTTCGCCAAGGCGATCTCGCTGCGGGACTCGGAGTTTGTGGAGCACCTGAACAACTTCATGGCGATGAACACTGCCGATTTCCGGGAGCCGTCGCTGCCTGTGGAGCAGCGCAAGAAGATAGCCATTATCAACGTGGGTGCGCCGGCCGGAGGCATGAACTCGGCCGTGTACTCGTTTGCGACGTACTGCATGTCGCGTGGCCACACGCCGTACGCCATCTACAACGGGTTCACGGGGCTTGCCCGCCACGACGCCGTGCACACGCTGGACTGGCTGCAGATCGAGGGATGGGCCTCGCTCGGCGGGTCGGAGATCGGCACCAACAGAAAGACGCCCGAGCAGGCGGACCTGGGCATGGTTGCGTACGAGTTCGACAAGCACAAGTTTGATGGGCTGGTGCTGGTGGGTGGCTTCGAGGCGTTTGTGTCGCTGAACCAGCTCGAAAAGGCGCGGCAGTGGTTCCCTGCGTTCCGGATCCCGATGGTTTTGATTCCGGCCACCATTTCGAACAACGTGCCCGGAACAGAGTACTCGCTTGGCTCCGACACGTGTCTGAACTCGCTCGTCGACTACTGCGACGCTATCAAACAGTCTGCTGCTGCCACCAGAAACAGGTGCTTTGTGGTGGAGTGCCAGGGCGGCAATTCGGGCTACATTGCGTCTTTTGCGCAGCTCTGCTGCGGAGCCACCGCGTCGTACGTGCCGGAAGAAGGCATGACGCTGAGCCAGCTGGCGCAGGACATCGAGACGCTGAAGGTGTCGTTTGCCAACGACCAAGGAAAGGCCAAGTCGGGGCGGCTGCTGCTGAAGAGCGAGAAGGCGTCGGACGTGCTCACGACGCAGACGATCGCCGACATCATCAACGCGGAGGCCAACCAGCGGTTCGACGCCAAGACGGCCATTCCGGGCCACGCGCAGCAGGGCGGCATTCCGTCTGCCATCGACAGAACGAGGGCCGCACGGTTCGCGATCCAGGCGGTGCAGTTTGTCGAGAAGATGTACGACACGATTGCCGGCGCGGAGAACGAGTTCGGCGAGTTTGTGAACTCGGCGGCAGCGGCACAGACGGCCTGTGTGCTGGGCATTGAGCGGTCGCATCTCAAGTTCACCTCCATTAGACAGTTATACGACTACGAAACCGAGGAAGGCCGCAGAGTCCGCAAGAACATTTTCTGGCAGGACATCCGCGACATCAGCGACTTGCTGGTGGGCCGTGTTCGGGTGAATTAATATGATCAGGATAGTTTATCGAGTAGCTGTAGCGTGGAGAAGAGCTTTTGTTCGTGCTGTCTGGTGCGGGCAAAGTGCACCGTCATGTCGACTTCGTCGACAGTCGCGTCCAGCTTGCGCTCAGAAATGAGTGCGAGCACCAGGTCCAGCATTTCGGAGTCGGACACTTGGAGGCCCAGGATGCGGACGAGCGTGGAGATTTTGATCGTGGTGAACGTTTTCGAGGTCGCTATGATGATGAACTGGACGAGGAGCAGGACCGCATCGTCCAGACGGTGACACGGCACGAGCCGAGAGACGATATGGCGGTCTATGGGGAAGATATGCTCGTTTTTCATGTTGGCGAGAAGAGTGCGTGTGTTTTCGTCGATGGCAAACGGCTGGTTGTCCAGGCGACTCACGATTTGTCGCAGGGCGTCCAGCTTTGCGTAGCCGTAAGGTATAAGCAGCAAAGATTGCACGACGAGCTGAAAGTTGCGCTCAAAGTCTGGCTTTGGACCAGCGAGAAAGTCCAGCTGTGAGCTCAAGTAGGTATCCAGTAAATACGGCAACGCGGCAGCATTTTTATTGAGTCCCGCCAGATACGTTCCGTAGAGGTATTTGAAGTTGCAAACGATGAGAGCGGTGGGGAACAGGCGTGTTTCTTGTTCGGTGAGTTGTTCTAGAAGTTCCAGCGCGGCTTCGTAGACACTGTCGTCGGTGTGGCCGCCCAAAAGTCTCAGAACATGGTATTCTAGTGTTAGAGGACGGTTCTCTGCAAAAAGAGCGGGCTGCAGCGAGTCCAGCAGAGCACGGTCTGCGACGACCGCAAGGTGCAGACGAATGGCGCTATTCACCAGCGGGGAGTCAAACTGGGTGTCCGGAGCCCGCCGGTGGCTAAACGTAAATCGTGCCACCTCCTCCAGCTCGCGTTCTTCTGCGTGCCGGAGAGCATCGGCCATGGCGAAGAATAAATAATAGTAAAATAATAATCAAATAAATAATAATTGAATTATTCTGGCGATTTATTTCACCGCCCGAATCTCGTTCGTACATCGTTTAGGTCGCCAAAAAAATTTAAAAAAACCATGAAGCTCGTCAACCTCGCGCTCATTCCGATCGTTTCGTATATCGTCCTCAACCAGCTCTTCAGCACGTGGCTGCCGAGAAACTACATTTTCGACAAGACCGAGCTGCAACAGATCTGCGTCGACGCCATCAAGGCTCATCCAAACAACGCGACAGCCATCATGTACGCGGTGCAGGAGAAGATGTCCGAGGTGTACGGCGACCAGGTGATCAACAAGCTGAATTTCGACGACTGGGTGTTCAACAACGCCGGCGGAGCCATGGGCCAGATGTTTATTTTGCACGCGTCCATCTCGGAGTATGTGATTTTCTTCGGCTCTGCCATTGGAACAGAGGGCCACACGGGAATCCATTTTGCAGACGACTACTTTACGATTTTGACTGGGGAGCAGCACGCTGCTTTCCCTGCCCAGCTGGAGCGGTCCGTGTATTTGCCCGGAGACCAGCACCACATGGCCAAGGGCGAGTTCAAGCAGTATGCTATGCCACCAGGCTCGTTTGCGCTGGAGTTGGCACAGGGCTGGATTCCGGCCATGCTGCCGTTCGGGTTCCTGGATACTTTTAGCTCGACCTTGGATTTTGTGACGCTGACCAGAACCGTCTACTTCACAGGCAAGGACATGCTGAAAAACCTGGCCCACGGCAAATTTTAGATAAAATAGCTCATAAAAAGTTTGAAATGGGACGATTCGGCTGTCCCAACTGTAGCACGCTCAGTCCCATGCACTCCCATGCCCATGTGTTCCGTGTGCAGAAAGACGCATACGTTCATGCAGGAACGAGGCAGTGAACTCGGGCGTCGGGTCGGAGAAACGGCATAGGGGCCGGAACTTCGAACGTTGGGGGACAGATGCAGTGTTGTTTGAGCGCAACTAGGGACAAGTTCCGGATCTGGGTCCAATGCTGCTGCGTGGTTTTTAGTGTGTCATGTATAGTTTTGAATGTGCGACTAAGAATGTGCGACTAAGCAGTTGCATACTCTTATGCACTTCTCAAAAATGCTCAACATAGTACATGCAGCTCTTGTCTATCGTATACCGATGCCCTGCCGTATTGCGTAACGAAGCACATTTTTGGGTCAGTCAATAAGCACGAGGCACGCGGTTTCGCGGCGTTCTTTGTTTGCCTCTCCAGCAGGCTCCGGTCCTCTGGAATATGCAGGTATTCCAGCGCTATTGTTAGTCGCATCTTCGAGATGTTGCTACGTCGAAGTTTTAAAATTCAGATCTCTATTGTGGTATTGTCCACATGGACGGCGTGTCCAGGAGGGCAAAAAGTCACGCTCACCTGGACCGTAACTCTATTGGGGTGTGCTTCCGCAAAGGTGCGTTCCCGAAACTAGCACAAACCAAACTAAGCCATAAACCTCACCGGAACTTCCCCTATGATTGCAACCCCTCATGCGCACGCCGCCATGTATTGTGGATATCCACAGAACCCCCGGAATCCTCCACACTACTGCACCGGCCTCGAAAAAAAATTTCATACCCTTCTGGGCAAGCGCGCCTACTGAGCACTGATCGATAAACATCACGCCTCCAAATTATGTACATGCTTTTACGATTTCCAGGCGCCGAAAACAAGAAAAAAAACACTATGTGCTGTGTGCAAACGAGTGCATATGAAATACCATAAACTAGTACTTTCTTTCACTTGCTGATGGCTCGATTTTAGGAGAGCCACGTACTTTCCGTACGCAGGCTTCACTCACAGCTAAAACAGGCGGTGCCCGCCGAGTTGCGCTTGCGGAATAGAAATTGCGCTGGACGAGGCTTGCTCCGTGGTGCAGAAACTTTTCAATTCTGTACCCACACAATGTTCAGCGACACTTTCTCACCCTGACTAACTCTGACTAACAGCATGTCCGTTTCTCTACCAACGGCATTTGCCAAGAGCATTGTTTTAAAGGCCGAGCTGCACATAGTTGCCGCCTTGGGCAGAAGGTGCATTTTTTTCTCAACTGCCAGGTGCATAATATTCACTTCCTGTAATAGTCCATTTCAGCCTCATCGTGTTCCTACTGACCGCAAACAGAGTGGGGCCGCAGACTACAAAACGTTCTGCTTCGTTATTCATGACATATATAAATTAGTGGTAGTTCATGTCCGCAGCCTCTATTGCAGGCGGCGGAGCTGTGAAAAGCGGTGGGTACGAGTACACCGGGCCCCCCCTTAGAAAAGGCCTGAAGTGGGGTGAGAGAACCGGATGAACTGGCTGTTGGGGGATGTAAAAAGCGCGCGGATGAGGTGGCATCATTGGAGTAACCTGGGCAGAGGCAGCCGGTGGAGGCTGGCGGCCGTAGACAGGGGTCATGTCCGCCTGCAACGGGGATCTTGGGCTGCCGCTCTTTGCACCATGCGGAGAGTTCGACAAGATCGCGTTGGGTGGCTCGGAAGAGGTCTGTACCAGCTGCACAGCGGTGAATGTAGGAGTCTCGAAGTTCTCAAACACTTGTTCCCAGAGCGACTCGTTGATCACCCAGTAAGGCATGTCCTGCGGCATCGACTGCGGATTGTGCTTGCCGCTTTCCAGGTTGCGCACAAAGGCCGCCATTTTTTCGGCCATTTCCGGTCTGTTGCACCGCTTGTAGCACTCTGAGGCGCGTGTGTAGGAGTCGATGGCATCCTGTGACTGGTTCTCGCATTTCTCGTATACCTGTCCAAGACCTTCCCACGCTATGGCGTTGGCCATTTGGTGGTTCTGAGGCGCGTTCTTGATCACTTGGGAGTATGCGTTCAGGGAGTCTGTGAGCTGGTTCAGCCTGAGATACAAGCTGCCGATGGTCAGCCAGGGGAGTGCCGATTGTGGTGCCAGGTTCAGAGAAACCTGTAGCGATTTGTATGCTTTTGTGGGTTCGTCCTGCAGGATGCACGCGCGTCCAAGCAGGTAGTGGGAGAGGAAGGACGGTTCAGACTCTCTGTTTCTGATCTGTATCACCCGTTGCAAGAGACTCGTGGCGTTCTGGAGGTTGTCTGACGAGGAGTCGTCCTGCAGAAGAAAATGCGCCTGCAGCAGGAGAAGCATCGAGTCCTCTCCCACCGTCTCCAGACCTTTCAAGCATGTGGCCACAGCAGCGTTCAAGTCCCCGGCTTTTTCGTGAGACAGAGCCAAAAGCCCCCACATAAAGCCGTATTCCCTAAACTGGTCGTAAGGAGGCGGCGGGAGCGAGACCGCTGCGGTAAACTCGGAGACCGCGAGATCCCTTTTGTTTTGTTTGTTGGCAATCGCAGCAAGCTCGAGGTGGGCCTTGCGCGCCAGCTCCACAAGCTCGGGCGTAGTTGATGCCGCTCTGAGACACAGATTGAAGCTTTCGATGGCGTCGGGAAGCATGTTCATTCGCTGAGCCGTCTGGCCCAAAGTGAACCAGATGGAGGCAGTGGGCTGGGAGACCTCCAGCGTGGTGAGCAAAATGGAACGCGCCTTCTCGAGGTCTCCGAGAACGAAGTAGCAATTTGCCAGATCGCGTTGGAGCTCCGGGTGGGTTCTGAGATGCACAAAGTGATTAAAGGCTGAGTTGAGGATTTCGGCGAGCTCGTGCACTTTATTGAAGTCTAGTTCAAAGAGCGGTCTAGAGAGCGTGGCAGTTGTGAGGCCATGTAGAGCGTTGATATTGGCGGGGTCGTACTTGAGAACGTTGTGATAACTGCGAGCAGCAATGTCGTTGGCGTGGCGAATTTCCAAGGCCAGGTTCCCGCAAGCAAGCCAGGTGTGAACAAACTCTTGAACCTGCGCTGGAAGCTGGGGGCTCTGGAAGCCAGGGTTGCCGGGCTGCTTGTGTTCGTTGGACCAAACGTACGCCATGTAGGAAAGGAGAGTTAATAATTGATGGGCAAGAATTTATTTTATAGAGCGTATCAACACGCTTCCTACCCCCAGTGCAAATGGTAAGGTCAGAATTCCATGCTGTATCATGCATGCAGGTTAAAATAGAGCATCAATAAGAAAATATTTTGTTATGCAATGCACAGCATAGACGAACGAAGTGGACAAAAAGGGCGCCAAAGACGCACAGCCGGTGTGTTTGACTCGATGTGTCAGGGGGGACGATCCTTGATTTGAAACATACGCGTGGGCTTGTTTGTGCTCTTGAGCGTGCTGGCGAAATATGCCGGACCGGTGACCTCATCCGTGCAATCTAAGCAGGTCATCTACTATTCATGCTGGCCTGCTTTTCTGTCCAAATTAAGCGGCCGTGCACACCGGTAACAGTGTATATCGTTGCGTTTACTCGCCTATAAAATAAATCTGACTCTTGGGCATAAAAAGAAACAACAGGTCTGCGACCTCATCACCATACATGCTGCATTGGAGATGTAAGTCCGTGCAAGGCGAACTGACCTGACACAGCCGTATCCCGTCACAGCTTGGATTCCTTCACAAAACGGGCACCCTTGGCTATTTGGGCACACAGCGTGGGCACGCTGCGCAAAATCGCATCCTTCTCGTCCGTGCTCAGACTCCCCAAAGATCCCACCTTTGCAACCCCTTCTGGCCCGATCCTTATCGGAACCCCAAAGAATTCCACCTTGTGCATCATTTCGCGAACAAAGCAATCATCCGTCTTGAGCCGCGATACGTTCACAAAGGCAACCTCGTCCACAGTTTCCCCCTTACAAGTCGCCCGCAATATCCCACACAGGAACCGATTCGCTGCAGCTGCCATCGACAATGTTGCTGATCCTTTACCCTGTTTGGCCTGCACGACTTCGTCTCCGGCGTACCGGACACGGTGTACGAGGTTTTCGATCTGCTCGGAAGACAGCCGCCGGCGCCAATTCCCCAAAACAGGCATAATCGTCTCTCCAGAGTGGCCCCCCACAGTGTACACCTGGCCGCGCAGATCCCACGCCCCCGTCAGCTCGCCCAGAAACTGCTCCAGTCTCAGAGTGTCCAGCGTCGTTATGCCAAACACCTTTTCTGGATGGTAACAGTTCTGGCTCCGCAGCTGCTCCGCTGCAATCGGCACGGTGGAGTTCACCGGGTTCGAAATGATTGCCAAGAACGCCTCGGGACACACCTCGCCATAGACTCTCACCAGCTGCTGGACGATCGACGCGTTGATGTTGAACAGGTCGTCCCTGCTCATGCCGGGCTTTCTGGGAATTCCGGCCGGGATGACCACGATGTTTGCCCCTTGCAACGCCGTTCGCAGCTGCGAGTCGTCTGTTTTCGACAATGGACAGAAATGCCTGACTTGCTGGCGGGTGGGAATATGCGATAGGTCGGTGGCCACTCCGGCGGGGTCGACCACGTCATATAGCACAAGCTCGTCAATGAGCGCGTTGGTCCGCAAAAGCAGACTCAGCGTCTGCCCAATGCCGCCACAGGCCCCAAGAACTACGAGCTTCATAACACCACGGTGCGACGACTCCTCCGGCTATATATACTTCTCCGCAAATCGCATGTGACTTGTGTGGTTCCCTGTGTTGGTGGTGCAAGGATGTCTTATCTCTTGCGCACGTTCTTCCATTTGAACACCGTCCTGCCGTCCTTTGTCTGCACCTTCTTCTTCTCGCCCTTCTTCATCAACTGTTTCTGCAGCTCCACCGTCGCCTGCAGCTTTTTCAGCTTCTCCTCGCGCTCCATGCGCTGCTCCAGCAGCCGCAGCTTCTTGAGCTTCTTGAGCTCGAGCTTGTGCTTCAAATATCCGTCTTCAGACAGCTCCGGCACGACGGGGCCGTCGGAGACGCCGTCGGCAAGCCCGCTGAGCTGCGACTTGCGCAGCCGGTTCTCTCTTTTGCCCAAAAGACTGGCGTCTGTGTCAAAATACTGTACTGGATCAAACTGTTCCAGCTGCTCTTCCGAGTCCACAAACACCGTATGCGACCCGGCGCCCTTGAAGCTGTCCAGGTTCTTCATTTCCTTTTCGATCTTGCGCGCCTCGCTCTGTCTGGTCATGGTCAAGTAGTTGGCGTCCTGTGTTTTGAGCAGCAGCACCTCGTCGTTCGAGAGAACCTCGTTTCCGCGCTCTGCTATGAGCACCCCGTCTTTGTCGGTTTTTTTGCGGGTCATGGAGTGGTAGTACTCGTCGTCATTGCGCAACTTGGCCTTCTGTTTGAGGATTTTCAGCTGGGCCTGTTTTTTGTGGTAGTCTGCCGCCCGCAGCCGATAGTCCTTCTTCTTCTCCAGGAACCCGAACCGGGCCCTATCTTGCGGCTGTGCCCGCTCCCTGTGCTGTTTTTTCTGTACGTTGTGCACTAGCTTTACCATGATCTAAAACAAATTATTACGATTTTTTTCAAATTTTTTTGCATCTTTGCACCGCGTAGCACGACAAGGGTGCAGCAATGGCGATCGTGCAGGGGCGAGTGGTGATGGGGGTTCCTCCTTGTGCGGGGACTGTACTGAAAAGCAAAATTGCTAAAAATGCGTCTTTTCCTTGTTGTCAATGCCCATCTACTTCCGCTAGAACCCATCTTTAAAAATATAAATAATTAAATATGTCCGTTTTTTCTTGTTTACAAGAGTGCCGTGAACGGGGAGTCCCCATAGACCCCGATCTGTACACATCTCTATGGATGACGCTCGTTGCGGGACGCCATTTGGCCGTGGCTAGCCCCGAGCCGTCCAAAACGGCCGAGACGATCAGCTACATCTGCAATCTCTGGGGATTCAAGGAACAAACAAGAATAATAAATCTGAAATCCGGCATATCGTTCGAGAACCTCGCCCCGCTTCTGCACAGCCAGCTGGCACTGGTGGTGTTCGTCAGTCTGGAATTCACCGATAGCAGGTTCCAGCAGGAGCTGGCGTCTTTTATGAATGTACGCAACGGCACCCGCTTTAGCATTGTTTCTGTCATTGCCAATAAGAACAACATCGAGGTCAGTCTGAGACAGAGCCTGGAAAAGCTCATCTGGCTGCGCGAAGTGCACCATGGCGAAGTTCCGGCAACAGAAAACGGCCCGTCGTGCTCTGCTTCAGAAGAGCTTGAAAGTCACCGATCGAAAGCCAAGAACGTGAATATCGTCCGCGAAATCAGAACCTACATCTACGACATCGTCGTCTTCACGCGCATGCACAGAATGGTGGTTGCCGGACTGCCGACCCAGACATGGAAAGATATGGAATTGTTTGTTCAGATCTACGCAGCTATCCACGACATGGACTATGTGACACCCGCAATGGTCAAACTGGCCGCCGCGAAGGTGATCCCGTTGCACATCCGGTTGGTCAGCAAGCCGGAAATGGAGCCTACGCTTCTCTATGGCAGCGATCCCAAATTGGTGCAGCAACTGGTGAATGCATGGGACGCAGACCTGGTTGTTGAGGATGTGCTCAACAACGTCCAGCCTCCGACCTAGACGAGCTGGACTTTCCAGAACTTTAAACAGGAATCGGCCCCGCCGCTGACAAGCTCATTCTCGCTAATCCAACTCACGCCTGCAACACCCTCCTTATGAGCGTTCAACGCCTTGACGTTCTTCGCTGGCTTGCTGACCGAGTACACAATAATGTTGGTGTCGAGCGAGCCAGACACAACGTGGTCGTTGTCTGCGTGCCAGGAGAGCGAGTTGATCCTGGATGTGTGGAACGCCCATCTGGTGGTCACCAAAGACAGGTCCTCGAGCTTGTAGCAGTGGATTTTACCGTTGACGTCTCCACAGGCCAGATAATCCCCGTTCGGCGAGATTTTCGACACAGACGGCCGGGCGCGCATCGGAGCCACCGTCCCAACGAGATTGAAGTGCCTGTCGTACACATTGACGGCGAACGTCGTCGCGTCGGTCACGACGATATGCGTCGAAGACACAGCCACAGAGCTTGGGCTGTAGTCCAGTTTGTGCTGCGCAATCTGTCTGCCCTGCTGGTCGAGCACGATCAGCTCGTCGTCGGTGATGACTGCGCCGAACTCGGCTCCAAAGTCGGCCTGGGTGGGCTGTTTGGACACCGTGGTGGCAGTGGCCAGTTTTCCAGAGTCCAGATATTTTATTGCGTCGTCCCAGCCAACGGTGACAACGCCGTTTCCTGTGTTTGCAATGCTGACGACCAGATTCGAGTGCGTCTGGCCCTTGACCAGGTCGCCCGTCTTCGTCGCAAGGTCCCATTTCATCACTCTGCCGTCGTAGCTGCCCGAATAGACGTTTCCGTCAACGACACAGGACAGCGCGGTGATGGACTTCTGGTGGCCGTACACAACCCTGACGGGCAAGTCCGACGAGTCGGCAAAATAGTGCAAGTCGCCGCTCAGCGTGAGCCCGAGAACGTACTCGTTGGTCTTGACACAGCCGACAAACTGGTTCTCGAGCTTTTGTTCCAGCTGCCACGTTCTGGACGTTTCTCCGTCGACATTGGTCAGTTTGATCGAGCCGTCCGCGGAACACGTGATGAAACTGCGCTCGTCAACCCAGTCGACGCCAAAAATGCCCGCCGTGTGCACGCCTTCGATCCTGCGCACGAAATCGCCCGTCTTGCCGTCGTACACCACAATGAGACGGTCCGAGCCGACGCTGACCGCGTAGCTGCCATCCTTGCTGAACTTGACGTCTCTGACAAAGTTGGTGTGGTGGCCACGGACGGACTGCGCAAACTTGAACGGCGGTCCTTGCAGGAAAACCATACCAGCGTCGTCCGAAACAGTCACTGCCCGGTACGGTCTGCACGGCCGAATGCTAACCGCGTTGATAGGCGCGCTGTGGCCAGAAATCTCGCCAACGGTGTTCCCCGAGTCGGCCGTGAAACAATGGCCGTACCGCTCCCGTCCATCGCCCACAGCAATGATCCTGCTGGAGTCTGCGTCCCACGCAATGTCGTTGATCCGGCCGCTGATGATCGGATAGTCTCCTTTCACGATCAATTCGTCCGAAACGCAGTCCCACACCTTCACGTTGCCGCTCTCGTCGCCAGAGGCAACGTAAAAGCCCGATGGAGAGAACTTGGCCACCGTGGCGGGATAGTTGTGGCCTCCAAACTGGATGCTCTCGTCTGGCTTGGACACCGACCGGATGTACACGCATTTGCCGCTTGTGTAGACAATTCTATCAGACTTTGCATCGTACGAGAGATGCACTGCTGTCGCGCGCGCGGTTGCCGGGCTCGCGGCAAATAGACCGATTTTTTCAAATGACATAAATTTAAACACTTGTGCTACGGTGGTACAAATAATTATTATTTTTTATTTATTTTAAATCCCAGTCGTGCACTGCTCAGCCTGGTAGCACGCTGTTGAGCAGCGCATCGATCGACATCTGGGGCTGCGTCCGCTGGTCGTTGGCCGGTTTAGAGGTCGCCGACGGCTCCGGAACGGGCTTGATATCAAGCAACTGCGCCAGACGGCCGCAAACTGCGTCGATTTCCGCCGTCTGCTCTCGCACTTCCACCGGCGACCGGAACTCGCACTTGCTGCCAAACAGTTCCTCCACAAACCGGCCGTACTCCTCAGGCATCTTCTCGACCGTCTCGAAAAGCGTCTCGTACCTATCGCCAATTTTTTGTGCCGCTTTTAGCTGCCGCAAATACACCTCTCGCATCAGGTGCGAGACATAGTGCAGTTTTGGCGAGTTGTGTCCCAGCAGCAGACGCGTGGCCTCGCTCACACGGAACATCGACGGGTGGTCGCCCCGCATCTCCTCTGTCGGGATAGGAAACGATTCTGGGTCGTTCAGCTCCACAAACCGATGATCTTCTGGGTTTTTCGGGCCGTCCGGCGCGTCCAAATCCATCAGATCCACGAGCCGCCCCATCTCCTGCAACATCTGCTCACTCGGAAAGTTCTGGCTGCTCACATTGTCTTCCTCTTTGCTGTCAGCCACGCCGCTCAGCTTTGCAAACGTCGACAGCCGCTCGTCCTCGGCAAACGGAAGCGCCACGAGAGAAAAGCCGTAGTGGTCGGGCTCGCCGTCCATCTCCTCCAGCTTGCGCTTGTCGCCCGTCTGCAGCTCGTGCTTGTACTTTGTAGCGTCCGTCAGCACGACGCACGGGCTCATGGCCGCCAATCGCACGGCACTCGTGTTCCGCTTGACGTAGCGCACTATCGCCACCAGATCGTGCTCCAGCAGCGCCTGCGCAAGCATGTTGAACCCGAACTGGTCGCGCACCGAGCTGTTCTGGTTATTTAGCAGAATCTCAGCCTCTCCGTGGAAATACCATGGCGGAATACTTTTGCGACGCACGAACTGTAAAATATCGAGGCCGGCGTACGTGTTGACGCTCAGCAGCTGCTTGAGCGATGACGTGACCGGCACTGTCGACGAGCCGTAGCGGTACGCCTCCTGAACCTCTGTCGCGTCCAGAAACCGCGGCTCCGCCTGCTGGCTGTCCGGCTCGGAAGAAACATACTTGTCCGTGGTATGTTTGAGCTCGACCAGATGACGAGCGTCCGAGTTGGGGTCCCGCTGGACGCCCATTTCGTGAGTGAACTGCATTTTTTGGCTCTTCGTTAGCGGATACGCGTCCGCCTGGAACTTGAGGCTCAGAGTGTCGGTGGCCAGGTCGTAGTCGCCAGCATACAGTTTCAGCTCTTTCTTGTCCAGTCGGAGCGCCGACGCGCAGTTCTTCAGGTCCAGACTGGACACGTCGCACCCCAGCCGGACTTCGCCCGTAAACAGCCGCGCAGCACGGAATATTCGCACAGGCTCCTTTTCCCAGCGTAGCAGGTCGCGGAACTGCTCCAGGCCGCAGAAATATGACAACGAGGCGCGGCCGTCACTCTTCTGCAGCGCTGCCATCAGCTCGTCGATCTGGTCAAGATTGGCACACACCAGGTCGCTCTCGGCCTCTGTGTCGGTCATGCAGCTTACTATCGTAATTAGAACGTTGTAGCCGATCCCAGCGCTGCTCACGAGCTCTGTGAGCTGATCCCAATTGGTTGGGTTCTGCATGTCGGACATGACATAGATGGTGTATTTCTCCTTTTTCGTCTTCTTCGGGTTCATCTCCATGATCTTCTGCAGAACAATGGCCAGCGACCGCGGCAGGTCTACCTCCAGTTCATCCACAGGGTCAGGGTTTATCTTTATGACGTCCTTCAATCGCGCCATGCGGTCCCAGTCGTAGTGCTCGGGGCCCTCGAGAACGCAGTTGTTCCAGTTTCCGGGGCTGATCCTGTCCATAGGGTTATCTGTGTGTTTGTCATGGAGCTTGGCGATTCCGAAGAGGTCGGTCTTCTTGCCGCGCATGGCGCTGCGCAAAATCAGCCCCAGTGCCAGGTCCAAGCAGCCGTCCAGTTTGGACGCCATGCTGGGCGACTGGTCAAAGACGAAAAAAGTGATTTCCTTCTCCATAAAAATAGAAGATAAAATAAATAAATAAAATAAAATAATTTTATGATTAGATACGGCGCCCTCGCACGCGCACGGCCGCTCAGACTGGCCATGCAGTCACGCAGCATCATGAACAAGCAACAGAAGGAAGAGCAGCGATTTGTAGAACATATGGAGGCGCAGCGAAGAAAACGCAGGTGGTCGACCTACATTACGTCCTCGGTTGCCGTCCTTCTAGGAACCTCCGGCATTCTGTACCTTTGGCAGCCGTGGAATCCGTTCAGCACAGAAGTGAGCCGTCATTTGCGCAAGGGGCTGTGGCTGGAGACCAGCAAGAACATCGATTATCTGAAAGCCCTGCAACACTACCAGGACGCCCTCAGGCAGTGCAGAAAGGAGGATATGGATACTCTGGATCCACGGTACACGGGCATAGTTTTGAAAATAGCAGAGATGTACGAGAAGCTGCAGATGGTCGACAGACAGCGCGAGGTGTACCAGCGTCTGAGCGACTTTCTTTTTGCCAAGCTTGTCAACGACGAGGTGCCTGGGGACTGGAAGGACAAGGTGATCCAGCGAGACCTGGTGGTGGCCACGCGACTGGCTACGCTCGCTCAGCCGGGGCAGACAAAGCGCGTGATGCAGGAGCTGTGGGACCGGATGGGCTATGCGGAGCAGCAGACCGTCGCCAAATTCCCAGTGCTACATGTGCGCGGCGAGCTGGATATCATGGAAGTGTTGCAGCTGGACTCGTGGTCTGCGAAAAAAAAGTTTATAGAGCAGCACCTGCCACAGGCAAAGAAGTTTTTGAGCCAATGGAGCGTCGAGTGGCCGTGCTACATGGAAGACCTCGTGCGCGCGCGCGATCTGTACGCGACGCTGGCGATGTTTACCGGGCCGAGAGACGTGGCTGTGAAAGTGTTGCAGTCGAACATTTTCTTCATGAAGATCTCGGGGCTGGAGCCGATCAAGATGAGCACGGCGCTGCTGAACCTGGCGTCCGCGTACTACTTCAAAAGCGAGCAGCACGAGTCCCGGAGCGCGCTGGCCGGGGCCACAGACACGCTGGAAAAGCAGATGTTTGTGGAGCACGAGAAAACGGAGGCCCAGAGGGCGCGCGACATGAGCGCACGGCTGTACCGCGCGATCATCAGCCGGTACCAGGGCGAGGACGAGGACTCGCGTGTGTGTCAGGCGATGTCGCTCTATTCTCTGGGAGTGCTGAACAAGGGCCAGAAGGAGGCAGAGACGTATTTCAGCCGGGCGCGGGAGGTGGCTGTCGAGCACGGGCTGGTGCAGGTGATCGACAAAATCGACAACGAGACGCTGCTCCCGACACCATTACAGCACGTCTAAAACATATACTTTGCTATATTACTTACTGCGAGGTCATGACCTGCCAGACTCTAATCACATTGTCAGTGTAACCAGAGAACAAGTTCTGGCCGTCGTGGGACCAAGCAAGGGAAATACACTCTGGGGTCTTACCCTCGGCAACCTCAGGCTTGAGCTCCTCCTTCAAGGTTCTCTCCTGCAGGTTGTAGATCTTGATGGAGCTGGCAGTGGCAACACAGAGCCAGTATCTGTTTGGCGAGAAGGCCAGGGCGTTGATCTCGTCACCGGCTTGCAGAGTGTACAGAGTCTTCTTCTTGGAGCTCATCTCCCACAGGATGATGGCACCGTCCTTTCCACCAGAAGCACACAAAGATCCGTCTGGGGAGATGGTGATGCAGGAAACGTAACCGTTGTGGCCAACAAAGTCGGCGGCCAGGGTGTAGTCTCTCAAGTCCCAAGCCTAGAATAGTTAGTAAACCAATGAACAACCCGGTGATCAGAGATCTTGGTGATATTTTTGTGTCTCATTCGGTTGCCCGTCTGAAGTAGCAAATATGTGATACATCATGTCACCGGATAAAAAAAATTCAACTTACCTTAACGAGTTTGTCAGAACCGGCAGAAATAACGGTGGCAGCCTTGGCTTCGTCGGTTGGAGAAGATGGGGAGAATCTCACAGCGTTGACCCAGTCGGTGTGCGACTCCAGGGTGGCCATACATTGACCGAGAGAGTTCCAGACCTTGACGGTCTTGTCTCTCGAGGCAGACACAATCTGTCTGGAGTTGGCGGCAATGGAAACAGACAGAACGTCTCCCTTGTGTCCAACAAATCTAACAACAGATTCGCCGGTATCGAGCTTCCAGAGTCTCAAGGTCTTGTCCCAGGAGGCAGAGATGGCGTACAGTCCGTCTGGAGAGATGGCACAGTCTTGGACAATGTGCGAGTGGCCCTTCAGTGCCTTCTTGGCAACACCGTAGTTGTTCTCGTCTCTAGTCAATTGCCAGGTGATCAAGGTCTTGTCTCTGGAGGCGGAAAGGAGCAGATCTGGGTTAGCTGGAGAGGTGGCAAGGGAGGTCACCCATCCGTTGTGGCCGTGCAGGGTTCCTCTGAGCACTAGAACTTCGACAACTTCGTCAGCCATATTGTGGTTATATGAAGAATTGAATTAAAATTTTCAATTTTTCAAGGTTAGCCCCAGGCCACCAGGAGCGGTGCGAGGGTGCATCTGTGACTGCTAACTTCGATAAGTTTTTGGAAAATATAAAGCTCTACACCATTGGTGTTACCGGTGCACGGGTGATGTCGGGAAGGGACGTTTCGTACATACAATCCAGACTCGACGCGCTCCAGGAGGTCGACGTCCGGCTCGTGTCGATGCTGGACAACTTGTCGACGACGCTCGACCTGCTCAAGAGCCACAAACAGGCCGGCGTCGCGAACGAGGCCGAATTCAAGACCGCCGCCTCTGGTTTCTACTCTGACCTCAGCCACGCCGCTGTCAGTCTAAGCAGGGAGGTGAAGACCATCAACAACAAGATTACGTCGCAAACGGGCGAGCTCGACCTGTTGCCGGTTCAAATAAATAAGAAGTCTGTCTGGGTCAACGACGCCAAGCTTAGGGAGGAAATCGAGTACTTGGACAAACTGGCAGACTTCAAGAGCATCGAGGTCCCGCCAGACGAGCCCGAGAGGCGTGAGGAGTCGCCGCAAGAAGACAAAAAAATCCCGGAAACCATCGACTTAGACGATATCGACATGAACGACGCAAATACATGACACTAGCGCTTTCCTATAAAATAGCCCACGAGCCCGGCCAGCAGAACAGCCAGCACCGTGGCCAGCTCGCTGTAGCGCACCCTCCTGATGCCCGGCAGTCTGTAGACAAACATGAGCCAATTGCTCTTGGCACTGGAGTACGGAGCATATCTGTCTTTCAGGGCCACCTCGTACCAGTACGGCTGCCTGAAAACCACCTTTTTGTGTGTGAACGACTCGATCGAGTACTTGCCGTGGTAATTGCCCGTTCCAGACGTCCCAACACCGCCAAACGGAATCGTGTGGATGCTGGCATGCACCAGTGTCTCGTTGACCAAAAGAGCTCCAGACCGAATACTGTCCACCTGCTGGACCTCTTCTTGCCTGTCGGAGCAAACGTACGTGGCCAGAGGGGTGTCGTGGTACTTCTGGACACATTGCACTGCTTCTGCCAGCGACGAGTACCTGAGCACCGGCAAAATAGGGCCGAATATCTCAGACTGCATCAACGGGTCGTCCCAGTCGACGTCCGTGACCACTGTTGGGGCCAGGAAATTTGTTTCCGGGTCTCGCGCGCCCCCGAACAGCAGCTTGCCGCGTGTCTTGTCCAGCAGGCCGACCAGACGATTGAACGAGCTGCTGTTGACCAGATGCGTATAGTCTGAGGTTTCCGAGACCTGGTACGTTTTTTGCAGCACAGCCAGCATTTCTGCCACCACTTTGTCGTACACGGAGTCCTCGACGAGCAGGTAGTCGGGCGCCACGCAGACCTGGCCCGCGTTGCAAAATTTGCCCCAGAGAAGTCGTGCGAGCGCTACTTGGATGTTTGAGCAGCCAGACGTGACGAACGCTGGCGATTTCCCGCCCAGCTCCAGCAGCGTCGGGGTCAGCGACTCGGCCGCCTTGGCGTGCACAATTTTCCCCACCGCGGTGGAGCCTGTGAATACGATCTTGTCGTATTTCTGCTCAAGCACCGCCTGGGCCTCCTCGAGACCGCCATTGACCAACACGAGAATTTCCGGATCCACAGACTCGGCAAGAACGCGGGACAGCGCTTCGCAGAACGCAGGACACCTGTCGCCCGGCAGTTTGAGCACAACGTTGTTGCCGGCTGCAATTGCGCCTGCCAGCGGGCTCAGGGCGAGCAGCAGCGGGAAATTGAACGGCGACATCACCAGAATCGTGCCCAGCGGCTCCTTCTCGATCTTGCACGAAGCGACGCCGAACGCTAGGGGCATCGAGTCGGGAGTTTCCGGAGCAAGCAGCGACGAGAGGTTGCCAGCCAGGTAGGCGAGCTCGCCTAGCAGCGGGCCCAACTCGGCAATCAGGGTCTCCTGGGGCGCACGGTGGAAATCGTGGAGTAGTGCCGAAACGATGCTGTCCTGGTGTTTCTGGAGGGCGTCTTTCAGGGAAAGCAGCTGTGCCCTTACAAAGGCGTGCGACTTGCGCGGACGAGCAGCGAAATTCAGCCGGAGCTTGTTCACGGCCTCGGGTATTTCTTCTAGAGCAACTAAAGACATATTTTGGGACTAAAAATAAATTCGCTTCCATACATTTTTAGTTACCAAAATATATCGCCCGTATCATCTTTTGAAAAACTCGCGTATTAGGCGCTCCTTCTCGTCCTCGACCCAGTCGCGGCCCTTACGCCGGCTCGCACGGTCGGCCAGTCTGCTGTTGAAAAGCACCAGCAGATAGATGGCGATGAGCGAGAGCACAAGAAAGAGAACAGAGAGCAGCGAAATAATCCAGTACTCGTTGTGCTGCACAAACCGGGTCCAGCCCTTGCTCTCGTCGTAGTCCGGCTCCATATCGCTCACAAGGAAAATCTCGTCCTCCAGATACTTCACAACGACCAGAAACTTGCGTCCCACGAACGCCGTCTCGACGCCAAAGTGCACGAGCTGGAAATAGAGCAGCCGCACGTTCACCAGCTGGCCGTCCCTATAGTCGTACACCTTGTTGTTGATCCGAACCGGCTCCATCTGGACGTAGTCAACAGACCGGCTGTTGCTGCGGAACCAGCCGAAATCGCTCTGCGGAAGGCGATCTGCCGAGCTTAAATTGTAGATAAGCTCCTGGTGCAAAATATTGCTCAACTTGCGGTTTGCGTCGTATTTCTTGACCATGATTTCCAGACGGCCAAAAACGTCCGGTCGTTCTGCAGTGGACTCGTCGTCGTCCTCCACCGTGTAGGTGTTGAGAAACACGTTGATGCGGTCATTTTCGTACGAGTCGAAGCTGAGGAGCAACTCTTCCGCCAAAGCCTGATCTGAATCGTCGCTCTGCTCCGGCACCTGCGCAGAAACCACGCTGCTCAGTAGCAAGGTCAGCCAAATATACCACAACATACGGCCAGGAACTGCGTTCTTGCTCTACACTATTCGAAACGACAAGAAGCTGCAAACGCCTTGTCGATTGGGCCGTGTCTTATATAAGACCTTGTAACTTTTTTTCCCTACATGTAAATTTCCCAATCTGGGTCAGCTCCTGTGGGATCGTCCCAGATTGCTGCGAACTCGATTTATCTATGCTGAAAAAAGATCGACGCAGCGTGCAGCTCAGCTCAGGTCGAAATCGTCGATCTTGTTCTTGTACTTGAGCACGTTGTGCTTGATCTTGGAGCTGTCCGTCCACTGCAAGTAGTCCTCCATGTTTCTCGTCACCAGGAACGCCGGATCGGTGATCACATCAGGCCCAACTCGCACATGGCCCTGCTCCACAAACTTGACCGCGTCCGAGATCGTCTCGGCCATCTTGAACCGGCACATCACTACTCCGATCCGCCTTCTGCAGAACGAGCTGACGGTCACCTTGTTCTCGAGGTCCGATATCTTGCTTTTCGTCGCCAGAACGCCCATCCCGTACAGTTTGTCCAGCAGCAGCTGTTCGTGCTTGATTCTGAACGGGTCGTTGGGCTGCAGAAGGGCGAGCTTGTGTGCGATCTTTCTGATGTTTCCGCATATCTTATTGTACTTGTGGTAGTCCTCTCTGTTCTGGATGTGGTACGTTCGCATCACCTGCGTGTCTCTGTGTCCCTGGTCCTGCTTCCATTCCAGGAAGTCGACCTTTTTGAGCAGCCGTTGCTCGTGGTGCTTTAGCTTCCTGACCATAATCTATAATATTTTTGTCTAAATTTTTTTTTTCATCCATACACCAAAGTATTTTTCAAAATAATCATTTTTTATCACCATGTCTTTTGTCCGGCGGTTCTCGAGCCTCAGACCTGTGCTCTCCCACATCGGCTCGGCGCCCATCGTGATACCGCCACAGGTGGAGTTTGAGTTCATGAACCTGCTCGTCCCGAAGTTCGTGCCCAAAGGAGCCAAGTCCATGAGACTCGACAGAGTGGTCACGGTGAAGGGACCCAAAGGAAAAATAGACCTTGCGCTGCCAGAGTTTGTCCAAGTGCAAAGCTCTGGAGGCAGGGCCGCCGTCACCGTCAAAAAGCCAGAGGACAAGCTCCAGAAACAGCTCTGGGGAACCATGCGTGCTCTACTCAACAACGGCGTCGTTGGTGTTACCGAGGGACACACCTCTACACTGAAACTCCAGGGCACCGGCTACCGTGCGATGTTGGAGGACGTGGACGGTGTCAAGTGGGTCAAGATGAAGATCGGAAAGTGCGATCTGCAGGGGCTTCCGATTCCCGACGGCATTACGGTCACGGCTCCCACGCAGACCCTATTGATCTTGGAAGGCTGTGACAAGCAGCAGCTGAATCTCTTCGCTGCCAGTCTGAGAAACATGCACCCTCCAGAGAGATACAAGGGTAAGGGAGTGTATCTGAACGGCGAGACCATCAAGCTGAAGGACAAGAAGGTCAAATAGTGACGCCTCTACGTAGCGGATTGTACATAGATGATAAATCGAAGAATCAGACGACAAATGCACATCCGCGTTGTGTGTGCCATTTATTATTTGGTGGTTGCATGGGCTCTAGAAATTCCATTTGTATCGCGAAATAATTTAATTTAACTAGAATGAATGTCGACTCAGGCACCTCGCAATATTGGAGCCAGTACCCCCTTTCCGACAACATCGAGGCGCACGGGTCTTTCCCAGCGCCTCTCTTGCGGGGCGGCACGGACCAGACAGAGTACAAGAGCCCTCAGGTGCTCGACAGACAGATTCTGCAGCAGCAGCAGTTCCAGAATAATGGTACCCACCACGGCTACGTCTCTCCGCTGACCGAGAAGCACAACGCGACATTTGCGGACAGCTGCGACAAGGCAGAGGAGGCGGTCAGGAAAGACGTGGGCGACGGACTGTGGCAGGAAGTGTTCCCGGGCACCACCAAGAAGTCCAAGCGGCTGGGCTCGTCCGCTAGTAGCGAGTCCTCGAACACGCACAAGCCGCTGTCTGAGGAAGCGCTTCTGGCCGAGAAGCGCAAAGCCCAGAACCGTGCAGCCCAAAGAGCGTTCCGAGAGCGAAAGGAAATCAAGCTTAAAGAGCTGTCGGCTAAGCTGAGCCAGTCGGAGGGCGAAAGGCAGCGGCTTCTACAGGAGATCGAACAACTGAAACAGAAGAACACGCTGCTGGGCATCGAGAACGAGATGCTGCAGAAAATGGAGACTCCCGCGCTGCCAAAAAGCCACTCGTCGACGCGGGGTCATTACGATTTTCCCCAGACCAGAGAAGATTTCATCAAGTCGGTGGTGGACGTGCGGACGTCGGCCCCTGAAGCGCCTGCCGCGGGAATCCCGCACTCGATGGTGGACGGCGTTCCGTACAGCATCGAGGCATACAACCACAACAACGAAAAAGTGCTCACCGTGGCTGCTGTCTGGGACTATTTGAACGACATAGCGTCCGAAAAGGACATAAACCTGGACATTCCAGGTATCATCAGCCAGCTAAGAGGCGCGGAAGTGTGCCACGGACACGGCCCAGCATACCCAGTGTCGGTGGTGAACGCGGTGGTGGAGAAAAATACAGAGTTTCTGATCTGATATGTACATTGATTTCTATTTATCCTGCAATATATGCGACCCATACTTTTTCAGAGCGTCTCTGATCTCCACGTACGACCCGTTCGAGCCAGAAACACACCCCTTGACAAGTATGTAGCCCTTTTCAGCGTTCACGTCCAGAACCTCGAGGTTAAAGATCGTGTTCCACTCGTCTCCCAGATGTCCCGCCATCTTCTTGCCAGGCAGCACTCTGGCAGGCGTGGTGTTCATACCGGTGGAACCAGCGCTTCTGTGGGCCAGAGACGTACCGTGCGTGGCCGGGAGACCCGAGAAGTTCCATCTTTTCATCACACCAGAAAACCCTTTACCTTTGCTTTTCGAAATAACGTCCACAAACTGTCCTGGCTTGAAATGATCTGCTTTCAGCTGCGAGCCAACAGGAACGAGTCCGTTCTCATCCTTCACCTCGAACTCAGCAAGCGTCTCCTTGGGCGACACCTTGGCGTTTCTATAGTGTCCCAACATGGCCTTTGTCTGGTTTTTCAGCTTGTGTCCGTATCCAACCTGCACAGCGTAGTAGCCGTTTTTGTCGAGAGTTTTGTTGTAAACAACTTCCACCTGGTCGATTTCCAGAACAGTGGCGGGGACGCGGTCACCGTTTCTGCTGTAGAACTGCGTCATGCCGCGCTTGACGCCGATCAGACCCGGCCTGTCGAGGAGTCTCTTGCGCTGTCTTTTGGCCTCTGGGCTCTTGAAAGGGAGCGGAGCCACACTTTTGAGGGCTGGAATAGCCATCGGCGAAATCAGCTGTCTGCTCGACACGGCCGGCAGCGCAGCCGTCGAGTTCAGGCGCCTGAAAATTAAACTGTACATGTGCGTTGATGGAAAACTTTTTGGTGGTATTTGGCTAAAAAATGTGTATTTTTTCTCCGGCTTACGTAATACGCTATCCGTCTCTGATTAGAATGTTCGACTACTTACCTAGTAAGGAGTGTATGGGTACGCACATCTCTTGGCAAGCTTCTTCACCGGAGCAGCATCCTTAGACTCGCCAGGAATAACGTCCCTCTTGCTGACATCGTTCTTTCTGAGCTCTTCCACCTCATTCGGGTCCTCTCCTTCGTATCCCTCCATGCCAGGCTTGATCTCACCCTTTCCGTTGTTTTTCCACGATCCTCCAAAGTGGTGGTGGACATAGCAGTATTTTCCGCAATTGTTCTCCTTGTCCTCTCTGAAGGAGGCCCTCGGATAGATCACCACGTCGTCGATCATCACAGGAGCTCTTAGACCAGCAAAGAATCTCCACGAAATAACGTCTCCTTCACCGTTCTCAGGACCATACAGCTCTCCCGCAATGTCTCTTTGGTGGTCGATGTCGACGATCGTAGGGCTTGGGATCGAGTTGAGGTGCGCGTAGATGGTGTCTGTCCACACAACAGGACCGGTCCACACCATGATATCCACGGAAGCACATCTGTCGACGCCTTTGAAATCTTTGTAGTAAGCCTGCAGTTTGTCGTTCTTTTTGGCCTGGAAGGTGGTTTCGACGATCTTTGCAATCAGCTTTCTCAGAATAGGATGTTTTGCCTTGGCCTTGAATGTCCATTGCTCAAACTGGATTCTTCTGGTCATGTAGTGCTCCCAGTTCTCCACGTTGATGTCTTCCTCGACAGCAACCACAAATCCCACGTTTCTATCGGAGTCGAACCACGTATCGACTGGCTTTTGCAGGTCTGTGTCGATGTCTGCGTAGACACCGCCGTTCAGGAAAATCAGCAGGTATCTAGCGAAGTCGGACCGGATGATTTTGTTTGGCAACATCTCGAACGCCTCGAGCACCTCAGGAACGGTGTCTTTGAACCGGATTCTCAAGATCTCCAAGATCTCGTCGTCGGTCAGCAGGTTGTACTTGTAGGTGGGGTTCTCGTTTTTCCACTTGTTAACGAGCTCCTTGTGCGGGAAGTCTGGGTCGGTGGATGGCACCTTCCACATCTGCCAGATGCTCTTTTCGATTCTTCTGGCACTGTTGTCATATGGGAAGAACTTGGCCAGCCTCTCGGCAGTCACCGCGGCATCGTACGGGTTGGCACCGCGGAATTTCGGATTCAGTTTGTAGAAGTTGTTGAGGTACTCCGACACGATCTTGTCTTCCGTGTTGATAGACCAACTGGTGGAGAACTTGAACAGAATCAGACCCAGCAGCAACCCCACGAAAATGGACAGCTTTTTGAACTTTGGAGACGTCGACGACGTCGAGTTGATGCCTCTGTAAGGCGATGCTTTGCTCATATCACTAAGAGAATGTGGTGGCGAGTTTCAACTAAATATCAAGCAAACTCGGTTCTTGAAAAAGGGACAAAGAAACGGCCGCTCTTTCCTGCAATTTTGTATGTTCTCGTAACAGCCGAAAGCAAAAATGTGATACAAAAAGCTGATCGCCGCTGAGTTTATAAAAAAGCTTTCTGTTTAGTTGTCTAATTTTTTTTCGTTCTGTAGATCTTTTCGTGTGCTAAGCGGACGCGAAGCGTTAATGAATAATGTTGGAAATCGGCACAAAAAGGGGGCTGTGTGCACTGGAAGCGGTGGTGGACCCTTGACTGACCGCTGCGACATGTTGTCAGCCCGTTAGACCCCTTTCGCGGCAAGCTGAGAGTTACCCCTTAACGCACGTTCCACGTCGATCGACGCATAAGCACAGCGTCGAAACCTGTGTTTTTTTTTCACTTTTACTTTGTCTCGCTTCTTATTTCCCTTATGTTCAAGAAATTCTCCAAAGAAGACGTCCACACCCGGTCGAACGTCAAGTCTTCGGTGCAGCGCGGCCTCAAGACGAGGTTTGTCGAGCAGTATCCCGGATTCGAGCCCATTATCGACGAGCTCGTGCCCAAGAAGTCCACCGTTCAGCACTACAAATGCGAAGACAAAATCCAGCTCTACTTAGTCGATGGAGAGGTGCTGTTTTACCAGAAATTCGACGAGTTGCTGCCATCGCTCAAGCTCGTGCACAAGTACCCTACCTTATTTCCTAGAGTCCAGGTCGACAGGGGAGCGATCAAATTCGTGCTATCGGGAGCCAATATTATGTGTCCTGGACTGACTTCCAAAGGAGGCTGGCTGCCCGAGGAGGATATTCCAAAGGACACCACTGTGGTGGTCTACGCCGAGGGGAAGGAGCATGCGTTGGCCGTGGGCAAGCTGCTAATGAGCACGGACGAAATCAAGAGCGTCAACAAAGACATAGGTATTGAGCTGTACCACTACCTTGGAGACGGGCTGTGGAATTTCCGTGAATAGCTGTAATGAGATATGAATGGTAAATTATTTGTAGCTGATTTTTGGGAATAATTTGTAGCTGATTTTGTAATTATTTGTTATTAATTTATTGCATGGTTTCTGACAACTACGGGATAGTTGTGGATTCAGGGTCTTCAGGCTCGCGGATCCAAATATACAAATGGAAAGACCCTGCTGGTCTTCAGAGCGAGTCGAAGGACGCCGCCATTCTGTCGTCTGTGCCCCAGATCGTGCAGGAGGACAAGTGGACCTATAAGATCAACAAGGGGCTTTCGACGTTTGCAGACCACCCTGAGGACGTGTGGGAGGACCATTTCGAGCCGTTGATTAAGTATGCGGAGCAGATTGTTCCAGAGGACAAGCTGGAGTCCACCCCCATCTTTGTTCAGGCCACGGCAGGAATGCGACTTGTTCCTGAGAAACAGCGAGAAAAGGTGCTGGAAAACGTGTGCAAGGCGCTGAAGGAGGAGACACATTTTCAAATAGGCAGGTGCGACGACCACGTGCAGGTGATCGACGGCGAGACAGAGGGACTATATGGCTGGATCGGACTCAACTATCTGAAGGGAAAGCTGAATCAGTACGATCCAAAGATCCCAATTTCTGACCACGACTCCTACGGGTTTATGGATATGGGCGGGGCATCCACGCAGATAGCGTTTGTTCCCTCAGATGTGCAGGAAATGGAGCAGCACAAGGACGATCTGTACGAGGTGAGTTTGAGAAACGTGAACGGAGAAATGCAGCGCTGGCCCGTGTTTGTGTCCACATGGCTGGGATTTGGAGCAAACGAGGCCCGCAAGAGGCATCTGAAGAACCTGATCACAGCTCTTCCGGAAGGCGTGAACTACGACAAGGATGGAGACAGCAAGTACGACATTTTCGATCCATGTTCTCCCAAAAACATGCAGATCAGACAGGAGCTGAACGGCATCACCTACGAGATTACCGGTCTGGGAGACTACAAAACGTGCATGAAACACGTGTATCCGCTTTTGTTGAAACACCTGCCCTGTAAGGAAGATCCGTGTCTATTCAATGGGGTGCACGCTCCTACAATCGACTTCGAAAAGGACAAGTTTATCGGGGTGAGCGAGTACTGGTACACTGCCAACGATGTGTTTCACATGGGAGGAGCATATAATTTCAAAAAGTTTGAGGAGAGACTTAAAGAGTTCTGCGAGCAGGATTGGGAGCAGATTGAGCTGAATTTCAAAAACAAGCAGTACGGAAGCAACATCCCAGAGGCTATCCTCAGAGATTCGTGTTTCAAGGCAAGCTGGGTGGTAAATGTGCTTCACGAGGGTTTTGGGCTGCCGAGAATCGGGTTTGAGACAGGCGATCTGTCCGAAGAAGAAGTGGAAAAGCTCAACAAGCAGGACACGGAGCATATTCCGTTTCAAAGCGCAAACCAGATTGACGGAGCAGATCTTTCGTGGACGCTGGGAAAGATTGTTTTGTATGCCTCGTCGCAGGTCCCGTCCAACGATGGTGTTCCTGTTGGAGTGATACCAGGAGAAAGTGCGCAGACGGCGATCGGTAGCGCGATTAAGCCCACGCCTGGCGTAGCGACGACGGACTCGCTGAACGGTTACTTTGCAATGATGGTCGGAGTTTTGCTGTTGGCATTCTTAGGGTATGGCTTCTTCACCAAGAAGTTCACTCACTCCAAATTTTTATCGGGAAAAGGACTGAGCGGAGTCCAGGCGAGTTCAATTAGAAGATTCCAGCAACAATGCTCCAACAAAATCAGCAGCAAGCTGAAGTCGTTCAGACACGCATCCATGGTCGCCGACGAGGAGTCGACTATGTACGCGGACGAGTTTACGCCAAAGCTACCAAAACGCGCTTCTTCCGCCTCGATTCCGCAAAATGGCAACTTTCACACGCTAAGAACACGCTCGACATTGAATCTGTCCGATATCCAATCTGAGACCCCGCAATTTGCGCGCTCTACGTCCGCAAACTCGTTGCCTGGTAAAATCGGATCGAACGCTCAGCTGGACAAACAGGGGCTGCATTTTGATTTCATGAGCAAAAAATACAACAAATACGTCAACCGGTCAACTTCTCCAAACCGAGGTGTTCCTTTCCCGCAGGCCCTGGGCCTGTCGAGCGGGTCGCAGGTGGAGCTCAAGACACTAATCAAAAGTAAGGCCACTGACTAGGGGCTGGCCGATCGACGCGATCGACGCGATAATTGATATAAAAAAAAAATTCAGGGAAAAAAAATTTTAGATCTATAGAAATTCAAGGACTCTAGGGATGCGTGTCAAAAAGCCGACCTCAAAGAGAACCACCACCCGCATGCGGGAAGGTATCAAGAAGAAGGCTGCTGCGCAGAGAAGAAAGGAGAGGAAGCAGGCAAAGAAGGATCCTACATGGAAATCGAGACATAAAAAAGACCTGGGGATCCCTGCTAGCTTCCCATACAAAGACCAAATTATCACTCACATTGAAACTACAAAGAGAATTGAGCAGGAAGAAAGAGAAAAGCAGAAACTTCTGAAGAAGACCGAGACTACGCACGACGAGGAAATGATGAGCGAGGACGACGAGGAGCAGGAAGATGGAGGCAACCATCTGGCCGCGCTGCTGGAATCCGCCGAAAAAGCTGCCGAGGAGTTTTCTGGACAAGGGGACGCAGAGCCAATGGAAGAGGAAGAGCTTGAGGTGAACGAGTACGAGATCACGCTGAGTGACGACGAGGAGTACACAAGCCAGCAGGAGAAGTCCAGAAAACAATTTGACAAAATCTTCAAGTCTGTGGTTGAGGCGTCGGACGTAGTGTTGTATGTCTTGGATGCACGGGATCCAGAGGGAACGCGTTCGCGAAAAGTGGAGGAGGCGGTGCTACAAAATTCAGGAAAGAGGCTGATATTTGTGGTGAACAAGGTCGACCTGATCCCAGACGACAACTTGAAGTCCTGGCTGGATTATCTGAAACAGTCTTTCCCTACTATTCCGCTCAAGGCAAGCAGCACCGCCACGAACGCCCAATCGTTTAACCGCAAGCTGACGCAAGCGGCCTCTGCCTCGACTCTTTTGCAGGCCCTGAAATCGTACTCGCAAAAATCGAACCTGAAAAGAGCCGTTGTGGTGGGCGTGATTGGCTACCCTAACGTTGGAAAATCGTCCGTGATAAATGCGTTGACGTCCAGACACGGCGGGTCGTCGTCTGTGTGTCCCGTTGGAAACCAGGCGGGAGTGACAACCTCGCTCAGAGAGGTGAAGATCGATAATAAGCTCAAGATCCTCGATTCTCCGGGAATCGTGTTCCCAGACTCGAAGAAGAAGAGCAAGGTGCAGCAGGAGGCCGAGCTGATTCTTCTCAATGCCATTCCTCCACGGCAGATCACCGACCCAGTGCCTGCAGTGACGCTGTTGCTCAAGAGGCTGGCCAAGAACTCGCAGATGGCTGAAAGTTTCAAGAATCTGTACCAACTGCCTCCTCTGCCGTCGCACGACCTGGACGAGTTCACGAAACAGGTGCTCATCCATGTGGCGAGAAAACAGGGCCGTCTGGGCAAGTTTGGTGTGCCGAACTTACATGCTGCCGGACTGACCATTCTGAACGACTGGAGAGACGGCAAAATCATCGGCTGGACTGTTCCAAAGCCTCGCGAGGAAGCCAAGAACATCAGCAGCGTCAGCCGTCTCTCTGCTCCGGCCAAGGTGGAGCAGACTACAATTGTCAAGGAATGGACCAAGGAGTTTGACCTGGACACGTTGTTCGCGGAGGTTGGAGTTTGAGCGTGTAATCCCTCAGTATGAATACATTAGAGTGAATATATACTTAGGCCTGGGAAGCCAAGAAAGCCTTGATAGCGGATGGGTTAGCACCGATAATTCTCTTCACCTCCTTGCCGTCCTTGAGGAAGAGGATGGTTGGCATAGAGGTGACGTCGAACTGAGAGGCGACTTCTGGCAGCTCGTCAACGTCGACCTTGTAGAAGTCAAAGCTGCTGTATTCGGCAGAGAATTTCTCCAGCATTGGAGCGATCATCTTACATGGACCACACCAAGTAGCAAAGAAGTCGACAACCACGAGATTGGACACGGAAGTGGCTTGCTTGAATTCGTCGGCGGATTGGATGACCTTCATTTTGTGTGATGTGTTTGGACCTGTGGCAGATGCGGTATTTGTAGATAAAATCTTATTCACCAGGAAAACAAGTGTAATAAGTATCAGAAAACTTAACATTCAAATTTTGCCGTTGGCGGACACCATTGAAATATATAGGGGAGGCGCGAATTTTAGTTAGTCAGCAAATATTTGTAATACGTAAAGGATGGCCAGACAGCTAGAAAAAGGACGCGAATTTGCGCAGCTCGAGGGAAGTCTGGATTAGTAAGGCCATGTAGAAGCGACTAGACGAATCACCTGTCGGGGCTCATGCGAACCCGGCTCGGCTTCTTCCGGGTAAGTTTCGTTCTCAGCGTGCAGTACCCAAATTGGTTTTTCTAATAAAACTAAAAAAAAAGGCAATTAGTCCAGATAATTGATAGAATTGTATTTAGCAAACTGGTTTTGTCTAAAGCAATATAGTTAGTGCGCCCGTGCCTTTTATCATAGGTTATCAGACTTAAAGCCGTGCACGGTGTAAGTCTGGAAGAAGTTGTCTACAGGCGGTCAAAAAGAAGGAGACTAAGATCTTTTGACAGGCATTATATCCAAACAAAATAGAATAGTGTCAAAGAACGCAACACCAGTTGGCGCTCTACAAGTGGCTTTTTGAAAACAAAAGAAGGCACTAGGTTGGCCAGTTTCAAGCGGAATACCCGGTTTCTCCTGCTCGTTTAAAAGCAGGATTAGTCAAACTTTTTGCGGAGAATATTCCAATACCTTTTCCTTCTGGACACCGAGCTTAATAGAGTTTCGCACCGCAGCATCAAGTGCGTGAAAGCTGTTATGTCGTTTTGGTCGACTATATTCTGCTGTTTTGATAATCAGGAAACAGAGAGACGGGAGACTGTCGTGGCATATCCGAAGCTTTCGGCAACGCAATCTAATTTGCAGAGAGCATTGAACAACAAACCTTCTAATACACAGCTGTCGAAAAAATCAATGAACGCGCCAAGTGCCGACCGTCCCAGGCAACCCACTGCCCAGGATGCCAATGCGCACGATCCGAACGAGCATGCCACGTTGAAGCAAAACGCAGTGACGGAAATAACCGACTTGAAGGATTATACAGACAGTTCGAAAGACGACGATACGCTGAATCAGATTGCGGAGGCTCCGGACCACCAGACCCAGGTGCTACAGAAACAGGCAGTTCCCCGTTCTATGGATGCTCCGGCAAACACAAATGCCTCGTCAGATGTGTCTGAAGCAAGCGACTTAATAGAAGATGAGGAGGAAGACGCGGTTTTCAACGAGGAGGAGCTTGAGGAGGATCAGCTTGTTGATCTGGATCTCACCAGAATACAAACGGATCAGGTGGTGGCTTCATCGGGGTGGCTGCTCGACCCGTCGCCTCCACATTTGCAAGGCAGAAAATGTCTTGTGCTTGACCTGGATGAGACACTCGTGCACTCTTCATTCAAATACATTCGACATTCGGATTTTGTGATTCCGGTGGAGATTGAAAACCAGATGCACAACGTGTACGTGATCAAGCGGCCAGGAGTTGACGAGTTTCTTAAAAGATGCGGAGAGCTATACGAAGTTGTTGTGTTCACCGCGTCTGTGTCACGTTACGGCGACCCTTTGCTGGACATTCTGGACGTGCACAAGTCTGTCCACCACAGACTTTTCCGAGAGAGTTGCTACAATTACCAAGGAAACTACATCAAGAATTTATCCCAGATGGGAAGGCCATTGAAAGACCTCATCATCATTGACAACTCGCCAGCGTCGTACATATTCCATCCTCAGCACTCGATTCCGATCTCCAGCTGGTTCAGTGACACTCACGACTGCGAGCTCACGGACCTGCTCCCTTTTTTGGAGGACCTCGCCAACAAGGAGGTGGACGACGTGTCTCTTGTTCTGGATGTGAATCTGTGAGGCCAAGAGGAGCTGGGCTCTTCTCATACATAGATGTATACTAATTTCATCAATATTTCTCCATGCCATGCGGTGCAAGGGTGTGTCGTACAGTGAAAAATCCCTTTCGAAACAAATTCCAGGCCGGGCCCTGCGCTCTTCCGGGCACGCCTAATTTTTAGGGCGAGTCACTAATCTATTGTTTTCTTCATAGGGATGCTACAAAGATAAAATTGGGTTAGCAAATTCTTGAATCGGCAACCGTACTACCACAAAATCGACCGCGTTCAGAAAACACACAGTCATGACAAAAAACTCTGCTGCCAGACGTTCTTTGTGGGGCTCCATCAGAGGGATCAACAAGCTGAAGGAGACAGAGGAAGAATCCGTGATCCAGCGGCGCAGACAGCCGTCTCAGGCCGGGTCCAGCAACAAGCGGCATTCCATGGTGGTGAACATGGACGACTTCAATGCCCTGAGCCGTATGTACAGGTTGGAAGGCAAACGAACCACAGAGGACAAGGAAAACATAGGAGTGGAACGCATCAAGCGCAACACGATATACGAGGACGAGAGCGACACGTCGCAGTCGGAAGATGCCAACACGACGGTGGACTCCGGCACGGTTCTGGAGCATTTGGATGGTGACACGAACGACGCGACCACGCTTCTAGATTCGGCATTTGACGACTACAAAATAGCACTCCAAGCATTATCCATCGAAGACACAGTAAACCAGGATAACAAACTCAAGAAGAGCAGCGCATTCAGGGACAGAGAGACTTTGGAGGAGATCACCAAGCAGACGGGCAAAACCGAGCACGCAGAGACCCGTGTTGTTGAGCGCCGGGGCTACATAATTGTTGGGACGGAATTCTCCTGTCGTGACGACAGCAGCGAGAAAAAAAGCTATTTCGATTTGGACTACGACGATCTATTCGACGAGGTGGCGTGCGAGCCGCACCATTCGCAGCCGATACAGAGAACTTCGCTATACTTCAAGAGGCTCACAGGTCCTTCCAGATGAGCTTTTCGAGCGTTTCGCTCTTGTTTTTCACCTCGCGGACAAACCCGAGCGTCTGCAGCTCCGCGAGACTCTTGAGAAACCAGCTCAGGGTCATCTTGTCCCAAGTCAGGTCGTCTATCTTTGCAGGCAGCTGTGGTTGCAGACACTTCTGTCTCAGTGCGTTTTCGAGCTCCTCGCGCGGCAGCGAGTTCTTGAACACCTGGTAGAAGTCATAGACGTTGGCGATGACCCCTGCCTCTCGGCTTAATTTATATAATTCGATCACGGACGGTTCAAGGTACCTGTAGAGTTTCATGTCGGAACTTTCCGGATCCAGCTGGCTCAGGTCGGAATGCACCGTATTGAGCAGGTAATTTTTGGAGTTGAGTAGCGAGTCGATACACGTTGCGCGCACTTGGGGGTTGAACGTGTTGGTGAGAAGATCCAGCGCAGAGAGATCGACGCAGCAGATCTCTCTGAACGGAATGTTGTTGAGGTTCAGCTCCTCCAGACAGCGCAGGAGTGCTCTATTCAGCGTAGCCACGAACCGTTTCGTCTGCGACGCAGAGGACAGCTCTTCGAAATCGTCATTTGCGAAAAGCGGCCAAAAGTCGGCGTCCTCGCGCACAGTTTTAATGAAGGAGTTTATATCGTGCAACGAGGACGATCTGATTTTCTTCCAAAGAAGCTGGAGGAAATTGAAGTTCTCGAAATTGCTGTGCTCCTCCTCGTAACTCACATTCTTGAAAATCAGTCGGAAAAGATCCAAGTTGCCTGTCCAGATGGATTTTTCTAAAAAGTACTCCTGCATAAAATTCAGAAGATCCACCAGAGTCTTCATCTTGTAGCGCCAGTGAATGAGTTTATTCAGGTTCTGACGCAGCAGGTCTCCGAGCGCGGCCTCGTTGTCCGACACTAGAAGTTTGTGCAGGCTTGCAGCCTGTTCGGCGTCCAGACTCTGTTCGTACCTGCGAACAGACGGGAGTCGCTTGAACACGTCGAAAAGGTGCGAGTTGAGCTGTATTTTGGAAAAGTCGTTAGTCCACATTACGCTGAGCGGCTGGCTGTAGTAGTGGCTCATGTAGATGACTTTCATGCTGTTGACAAACTGCGAGATGGAGATTTTCGACTTGAGCTCCAGGAACTTGAGCACGAGTCGCGGCTCGAGAATCAGCGAGTCGTACGTGTCGTTGATGTTGAGAAGCACGTTTTCCATGATCTCATTCACTGCCTGGCCCGTGTTGTCGATCTGGAAATATTTGGGCCGCATGTACCTGACCGTCAGTTTTGGTAGCTTTTCGTGGAAGATCTCGAACGGAGTGGACATTCCGATCACCAGTTTGATCTTGGACCTGTATTGGTTGTTGTAGTTCCATAGCACCTTGATCAAAGGCGTGAGGATCGACGTGGGAAACGAGTCGGCGTCCTCAATCATCACTATCAGCCGCTTATCCCTGGAAAACACCTTCTCCATCAGACTGTCCATCTCAATCGTTCGCGTCTGGCCCTCCTCGTCCTCGGGCTCGCTGTCCATGTCGTCGTCCGAGTCGGACACCGGCACCGAGGCTGCGCGGCCAAGGTCTGTCTTGAGCCCGCGCGAGATATCTGAGGCTAGGATCTTCATGGTGAAGCTGACGGTGCTGCAGACTTTGCTGCTCAAACGGACCACAATCGCGTCCGGACTTTCGTCCACCAGATTCTGCCACACATTGTGAAGCAGCAGCGAGTGGTTGGAGATGTTTGGCCCGAGGTTCAAGAGGGCAGTGCTCAGGTTTATAGGCTGGCCCTTGAACACTGTGCTATCTTCATCTGACGAAAGGTACCGCTGCAGATCCACAAACATGTTCTTTTCGTTTTTCTCGAGAATCTGGACGATCTGGTCGTACTGCTTAGCCCAATTGCTGACAAAGAGCTCGTACCGACGGTACATGTTCTCCCTGGGCTCGTTACCGTTTAACAGACGAACAAAGGGCACCGTGGATTCGGTCGGCACGCCTTCCTGGTAATAGACGAGCGGGCCGTCCGGGACCGCCACACGCGCGGCAGGCTTCAGCTCGTAGACCACCTTTTGGGAGTCCATAAAATCGTCAAACGACATGCGAAAAATAATAGATCCAAATATTTATTTAAATGCGAATTATTATTTAGAGTACAAAAAACGGGCCAGGAACCGCTCACTGGTCCGTCTGCTTGTTTTCCTTCATCTTCTCGCGCAGCTCCATCGCTGTGGACTTTTCCACCTGGTACAGCGAACAGATGATGTACCTGCCGTTCAGGTTGAAACCCTTCATTTTGTCTAGTGCTGTCTGGCAGCTCTTGTAGTTGGTGTACACCACCAGAGCCTGTCCCTTGAGCTCCTTGTCTGCGCCGAGCCGGATCTCGTGGATGTTGCCGAACTTGCCGAATATCTCGTACATTTCAGCGGCCTTCACATCGTACGGCAGGTTTTTGACCAGTATGATGGGGAACTCGAACTGATTTCGAAACAGACTCATAAATTAATTATTTTTAAGATAAATAATTAAATAAATAATTAATAAATAGTTTTAATTCTCTAATAGCCAATTCTCAGTACTCAGCAAGCCGCAGCTTCTTACCGATGTCTCTGTTGGTGAACACCTTCTGGCGTGCGAAAGGCGGCTCCGGAGACTGCTCGCGCGACTTGATGAGGTCCGAGTTCGAGTCCACCTCAAACGAGTCGTAGCCACCCAGAAGACGGATGATGGCCGGTCTCGCCTTGCGGCCGCGTCCCACACGTAGGTCGTTCAGCTTGTTGGAGATCTCGGTGCCGAACGAGGTCTCGTCGTCCGGTTTCAGCGACTCGACGTACGTGTGCTCCATCTCCAGGAACGAGCTGTTCAGAGTGTCCAGGAACCGCTGTGTCTGGCGGTGTTTGGAGGACGCACAGATGGTGATGGAGTTGTCTTTGATGATATAGCCGAGGCCGAACCCGTTTGGTGACACCGGGCCGAAGCCAAACAGCTTCAAAGACGGGTTGCCGCAGTTCGACGTCGAGATGATGGTGTTGTTGAGCTTGTCCCAGCCGGCGTCCGCAAAGATGGACGGGATCTCGCGCAGCGACACGTCCTTGAGCGGGTCGCGCGTGTCGCTGAGCGTGTTTTCGTCGTCCGAGTCCGACGACTCGCCCAGGCTCTCGTCGCTGTAGTATCTTTTCCAAATGCAGAAGAGAGCATACAGATGTCTGTCCTGGCCGAGCCCCTGCGAGCACTGCTTGGTTCTGGCGGAGTGCGCGTTGCACGCGTCCTTGAGCAGCTGCACCTTGTCGCGCACCGACACGTTGTCGTCGAGGAACTTGGTCACAAACTCGTTCGACTGCAGCGACACCGTGCGGATGGCCTCTGTGCGGCCGTGCAGAAACTGTTTAGTCATGGCCGGCTCGTACGTGGACTCGATCTTGCCGTAGAGCGCGTAGTACGCGAGCTGGAACGCCATCTGGACGTACGCGTCGGGCGACATGCCCATTTTCTTGATACGCTCCATTCCGTACGACTTGAACTCGAGCGTAGCAAACTCGTTCTGGTTGATGAGGTCGCTGAGTCTTGTTTCGCCGAACCGCAGCGCCAGCGACAGCTCTGTCGTCAGCTTCCACTCGAGCTTGCGCGGCGATGTCACCACGGGGCCGAACGTGGACGGGTCTCTGGTGGCAGGGTCTGGCGAGTACGATTTCCAGAGCGAGGGCGAGCTGGCGTTGATGGTGCGAGCGAAGCGCAGAATTGAGTCCGTGTAGATGTCGGACGCGAAGCGCAGCACGGTGTGGCCGTCGACGCCGGTGTGCTCGAAGTTGATGCCGACCTTGGCGTCCTTGGTGACGATGAGTTGCAGCTTGTCGTACCATCTGTTGGTGCACGTTCCGACCTGGACGCCGTTCTCGAGCCGCGACTCGCCGCACAGGAAGTTCTTGGCCATGCGCGTGAGGTCGTTGCCGACCTCGACGTGGTCCAGAACGACGACAAACAGCGCCGAGTCGAGCACGCGCACGATTTCTGCGTTGTCCGGGTCGCGGACGATTTTCTCGCGCAGGCCGGCCCAGATGCGGCGGTTTTCTGTCGTGAGCACGCCGAACGACGACTTGGCCACGTCGCGGACGCTCGTCGTCTCGGAGTCCTCGACGATGCTCTGCAGATTGAGCTTGATGTCGGCCTCGGTGAGAATCAGGTCGTTGTTGCCGTCCATCACGTCGAACCAGTAAAACTGCGAGCGGCTGAGCACGACGATGTGCCGCGACTGCGCGTCGGTCTGCAGCACGCAGCCCGTGTGCGTGGGCACTCTGCTGGAGCCAAACAGCTTGGGGTACTGGTCCATGTCGAGAACGACGCCGTTCTTGAGTCGATCGACGCTGAGCTCGTTGCGGCGCAGAGCCCGCACAAACCGCAGGCTCGAGGTGGCGAGGCTCGCGGCGCGCGACAGCTGCGTCGACCGCAGCGGCGTCGGGTCGTCCTCCAGCATGATGAACGGGTTCAGGTTCAGCACGACGGGCGAGTCGTAGTTCAGGTACGAGTCGTACCAGAACTGCTCGATGTACGAGTCTCTGGTCTTGGCGTACTCGAGCAGCTGGTTCTGGAGCACGGGGCCCGACGTGGCCAGGAACCGGCGGCAGCTCGCGACCGTCTGCGCGTGCTCGTGCTCTGTCTGGAGGGGCCGCAGCACGTCGAGGTATTTCTGGACGGTCTGTTCGAGCGGCGGGATAGGGAGCTTCTTGAGGGTCTGCTGGTATTCGAAGGTGGACATGGGGCACACTGCTCGCTGGCCGGCCGTATTTAAACTCTTTGGATGGTCATTGCTTTGGCCACTGTCGTGACCGGGTGACGGCTTATCGGAGTACACAGCCAGGGAAAAAATAATAAAATAGGTGCGCACCGGTCACGGAGAGAAATCGATTAAATCATCTATCTAGCAAAGCGGGCTTTCCAGCAGCCCTAAAAAGCAGAGTGGTCATTGCAGGTTGAGCCGCTCGAGCACGTCGGTGGCCACGAGGTCGGCCACCGTGTCCTGGTCGCGCGGCTCGCGCTCGTGCTCGAGCTCGTGCTCGGGAGCCGCGTCTGCAGGAATGAGCAGGCCGTCCTTGACGCTCCAGCCGGGGCTGTCGTGCGTGGCGGCCAGCAGCGAGCTGAGCTCGCGCGCCTGTGCGCCCAGCAGCAGCTCGCTGCTGGCCCGGATGTGGAGCGAGACCCGGTCGCAGGACTGGTCGTCTAGAGAGTACAGACTGTCAAAGTCTGTGGCGGAGGAGGCAGAGGTCGAGCCGGCTTGGTGCGCGCGGCCGGCAGACCGCTGCTGGTGCCTGAGGAAGTACTCGTCCGCGATGTCTGGCGCGGCGGTGTGTGTCTGTGGCGGTGCAGGCATCAGCGGGCTGAGCAGCTTGAGGTTGGCGGAGGGCGAGGTGAGCGGCGAGGTGTTGGCCGTGGACACAGACATGACCGAGGTGAGCGAGTCGGAGGCAGACTTGCGCGAGGCAGTGACGATCGGGGCGGGCAAGACGGCGCGCTTGAGTTTCCTGGTGAGCTTGCCGAGCGGGCTGTACAGACACAGCAGGGGCGACGCGAGCGAGCAGCGCGGGCGGGTGGTGTCGTCGGAACAGCGTGTGCGGACGTAGGTCGGCGACGAGCAGGAGCGGCACTCGTCGCTGAGCTCGGCCGAGGCGTCTGTGCCCACAGAGAGCGACCTGCTCTTGAAGAAGTCCGCCTTGAAGTGCTGGAACTCGTCCCGGCCGGGCGTGCTATCTATGGCGCTGATGTTCATTGGAGTTCATAAGCCTACGTGCCAAGGAAGGACAAGCTGCTTTATATATATGTACTGCCTCGTCTGCACAACCCGGATCCATTATATATAGAAACGGCATGCCCATTACACGTTACGTACCAATTCGTTCGAGACGCGGCAACAATAGCCATTCGCGCATCGTCTCCTGGTTTAGTGTGAGCAGGGCTGGCCAGCCAGCAGTGGCTATTGTTCCCACCAGGAAACACATTTTCCCACAAGGCACCCCGGACACCAACAAGCGGCGTCGTTCTTCCAAATCGGGCAGTTATGAGATGCATGTCCAGGTTCGCCGACCGATTCGATTGTCCTATTGATTGTTGCGTCTGTCGACATTCTTGCGTCTGTACCAGCTAACGAAATCGCGGACGCTTGTTCTCACACGTCGGAAGTCGTTGGAGTTGATTGCCGTTTCCACCGTCCGCAGCAACTTGAGCCGCTCGCTGTCGCTCACGCTGCCCCGCGGCAATCGCAGCATCGCCCGGTCCAGCCACCCGAGACCCACCTTCGAGCCGCCCTGCAGCATGCTCAGCTTCACCAGCTTCACCACCAGCTCGTTCGCCTCGGGCCAGCAGTCGCTGGGGAAGGAGAAAATTAATCCGCCAAGCAGCTTAGTCAGCAGCTCCTCTCCTGTCGCGACGGCGAAATTCAGCACCTTGAATTTCAGGCTCTCCGGGATGTCGTCTGCCATCGAGACCGGCGGCGTTTCAAATCCCCACGAGTACAGGTCCACCAGAAACTGCAGCACAGACGACACCGTGCCGTACTCCAAGTACGTCTCCAGCGCGCGCACCGCGACCCGGTACACCGGCTCCACCAGACTGCTCTCGAGCAGCCTCACGGGCAGGAACATGAGCACGTCGTTGCTCATCCGGAAAAAGTCCTCCACCAGCTCTGTGTACTCCGGAACCTCATCTTTGCCCAGCTCGTTGAAAATCTTGATGAAATTTCCGGCCTGCTGCACCGAAAATCCCCACACGGCTTCCTTGATGTCTGCAGAAACCTCGTCTTCTGCAGCGTACTCCTTGATGAGCGCCCCAGAAACCCACAGATAGCACCCGTGTCTGTAGTTCTGGAACCCTGAAACGAGCAGCTCTGCAGTCGTCGACACCACCGGCAGCAGATACGTCTTGTAGCTCTGCAGCGACCGTCTCACCAGCTTCATGCACCGCTCGCTCACCTTGACCGACCGGCCGTGTGTCTCGACGAGCCGCACCACCAGCGGCCACACGATGTCCATGACGATCCGGGCCACCGGATGGCTCGCGTTCGAGAAGCTCTTTGGTCTGAGTGCATCCACGTAGATGGTGAGGATCTCCACTGTGTCTGCGATCTGCGTGTGCAGCCTGTCCAGCTCCTGCGCGGAAGCAGGCTGTGCGCTGCAGTACCGGTCCAGTTTCTCCAGAGTCGGCTTCCAGAACATCAGTGTGATGTTGTACAGCTTGTCCTGGTCCCGCTCCTCCTTCAGAATGTGCGCGATGCCCTCCGTGATGTCATACAGCGAGTCGATGTCCAGCGACGGCTCCACGTTCGAGTAAAAATTGTACAGCTGTTCCAGGTAGTTGCTCAGCAGCGCCGCACAGTCCATGCAGAAATACTTGAGCGCATGCGACGCTGCAATGATGATGTCCATGTTCTGCTGTTGCTGGAAGCCGCTGGTGATGTAGTTGAGCTGCTCCTCCAGATGCTCCGGATGCTTGGCTGTCCACTCGGTGTAGCGGCCCAGCACCAGCGTCGCCGCGTACCGGATCTTTGGGTTTTCGGGCAGCTGCACCAGGTACCGCATGATCTGCGGCAGGATCTTGTTTTCGCTCGTGCCGACCTCCTTGGCCATCGCACGCATGCTGAAGAGCGGCGCCTCGATCTCCTGCCACGTGACCGGCTGCCCCTGCATTTGCAGGTTCATCTGGCTCTGCAAGATCTTGAACGGGATGTCCAGGGCCACCGGTGCGCCGATCACCGCGCAGCAGTCCTTCAGAACGTCTCCCATGTCGTAGCGGAACTCCTTGAACTTGTCCTCGGCCTCCTTGTCGTTGTTGAAGAGGTCTCGCAGCTCGGTCGAGGCCGAGGTTGTCGGATACCGCAGATGCTTGATCATGATCTCCACCAGCTGCGTGTACGCCGGGGTGAAACAGACACGAGCCTCGCGCCGGGCGTCGGAAATCAGCAGCGTCTTGAGATCGTACCAGAACTTGAACGTGTACTTGACCACGTCGAGGTCCTCCTCGTACGCCGTGAGTTGCAGGATGATGTCGACGAGCGGCTTGAAGTTGTACGGGTCTTTGGCGATGTGCACGTGCCACGCCTCGCCCGCCGTGGCAAACAGCTCTGTGAACCGTTCCACCTTTTCGGGATCGTCCTGGGTCTGCGCCATGAGCGGCTTCAACTTGAGCAGCTGCTCGTACAGAGCCACCACGACGCTGTCGTTGTCGCAGTCGGCCGTCTCGCCCACAATCGTCGACAGACAGTCGACGGCGGTGTCGAACGTGTCGTCCGCGAGCAGACCGTCGAAAATCAGCGTGCACAGCGCGTTGTTGGACAGAACTTGCTCGAACGGTATGTCGATGATCCAGGACTTGATGCACGACAGAACGAGCCTGTTGGTGGAGGCAGGGTTAGAGGCGCGCGTCTCGGCCAGCGTCGTGAGAATGTACAGCACCGACTGCACGTTGGCGGCCAGGAGCTCGTTTGCGCGGGCCTCGAACTCCTCGTCGGTCAAAGGTGTCTTTTTCACGTCGAGCAGCTCCTCGGGCAGGATTTTCAGAAACTCGAGCAGCGTGTCGGTGGCTGGGCCCGAGAGCACGGACACGACCTCGTCGACGGCGTTTTTCCAGTCCAGGTACTGGAGCGCAAAGTTGGCGAGCGTGATGCACAGTTGTGTGATGACAAGCCGCTGTTTGCCCGTGTAGGCGACCATGAGCTGGAGAAGCGAGTTCTTGAGGGCGGGCAGCTGGTCGTGCGGCAGCTGCGCAAAGTCGTACTGGACCTTGGAGCGCAGCGTCTGGGCGGCAAACACGCTGGCCTGCACGGACGAGGACGGCTGGGCGAGGATGTCGAACGCGGTCTGCCAGGCTTGTTCCGACCGCTGGAACGCCAGCAGGTACTCGTTGGCCTGCTCCTTTACCGTGGGGTCGGAGTTCCCGTAAAGAGTTTCTAAGGCCTGGTTCAATTGAACGGGCACTGACATAACAAGAGAAAATGGGTTAGGAGCGAAAAATGGAAATGAAAAAAAAAATAATTGAATTAAATTAAATAAAACTGATTATTTTTTAGCATGTCCGGCCGCAGACAGAAAGTGATGGTTCCGCCCATCAACCAGCTCTTCAAGTATCTCCAGCAGCAGTCGCGCGTGACGGTGTGGCTGTATGAGCAGACGGGCGTGCGAATTGCGGGCGTGATCCGCGGGTTCGATGAGTTCATGAACATCGTGCTGGACGAGGCGGTCGAGGTCGACGCGGCTACAAAAAAAGAGCGCAAACTCGGCAGGATTCTACTGAAGGGCGACAACATCACGCTGATCAGCGGCGAATAGGAGTGCCGTCGTGTTCAGAAATCGTCTATTTGCAGCTTCCGCTCGACGTCAGGATACGCTGCAAAAACCCGGGCAAACTCGTCGGGGTGCGTCGCCTTGTAGACCTCGGGGTCCTTGGCGAGCATGATGAAAAACGTGACAGTGCCGCTGTGCACAACGCTGGTGGCAACGCTGGCGACAAAGAAGCCGAACGCGCTCGCAAACAGCACCGTCAAAACAACCTCCGTGTTGACGTCCACCATGCCGTCTGTGTTTTGGGCCCAGGCGGGCTGCGTGGTGAAGAGAAAGAGCACAGACACAAGGGCGCACGCGTACGCCACAAACAGCGAGTACAGGCCCAGCGCCGTGCTGATCAGACAGTCGTTGATGAGCGCACTGAGGCCTTTTTGCTCGACGAGCGCAAATGCCCCGCGCGCAGCGTGCAGAAAGTCAAGTCCATAGAGCGACACCAGCGAGTACGCGTACTCGTTGAGCCATCTCACCATGGCCTCCATAATAGAAGCGAAGATCTCGATGACGTAGAAACCAATGTAGCCGGCCAGTCCTCCCTCCTGGGCGGCCCAGTGCTTTGCCAAGCCGGCCACGTTGCTGAGCGTCCGGATGACAGAGACTATGAGCGAGCCGAAGCAGATGGAGCCGAACGAGTACGTCACGCTGCGCTTGAACGCTGCAAAGCCGGCGTTTTTCGGACATCTGTCTGCGTGCGAAAGGTAGTACCACGAGCCGTACACGCCGGCAACCGTTGAGTGCAGCACGTTCTTGAGCACCTCCGCGATGTAGGTGCCGGTGAACAGCACGAATATGCCCATTGCCACGAACATGGGTTTGTTCTTGAGCTGTCCGGTCTCGTCCAGTCCCCATTTCACCATGGTTCCGTAAATAGCGAAAACGGCAGCCAGACTGAACACGGCCGATACAAGCGTGCCCGCGGCCGATATCTTCCACGTAACGGGGTTCTTCTGGGCCACACCAATAACTTGTTTCAGCAGCAGCGAGCTGAGCGGGATGCGACGGCGCACGTCAAGGTACCACACGATATGGACGAGCGTCAGGAAGCTGAACGCGACGCCAGTCCATAGGTTGTCGTTGGAGAGCGCGCCAGCGGCCAGGGCAGACGCGGCAGCCACGTTAAGCAGACAGCCCGCGTTGATAAACACCGTCGGCCATTTCCGCAGCACCACAATGCCGCCGTACGTGCAAACCACGCCGGTGGCAAGCACCAGACCGATCAGTCTGGTCTGGTCTGTGTTGACGTGTGCGACCTCTACGACGACGTCCTGCGTGGTGAACACGACTAGTCCCAGAAACAGCACCAGCACCACCCTGAATACCACTGCAAACGGCCAGTCGGTCCATTTGGGCTGCTCCAGAGGGAAACTCTCCTCGAAGTCGTCTGAAGGCAGCGGTTTCTTTATATCCAGTCCGTACTTCTCGCCGCCGGCGCCCAGCTCGATGTCGTCGCGGGAATAGCCGGGCGGAGCGGCCTCGTCATAAGCGGGTAAAACGTCTTGGTAATGGGACATGCTAATAAAGGCAAATAAATTAAATTGATTAGATTAAATTAGATAAAATAATTTATTTTTTCCGGGGTGTAGAGATTAATCACCCGTGTGACCTGTCGCATCGGTCTTTGGAGATAGCTTTCTTCTTGCACAGCTGTAAACCAGCCATCCGCTGCCAGAGGCTAGCACGTCGTATATAAGCCCAGCAGGGTGCTGATGCGGACCCATGTCTCACCTCATCGTCCTACTACTGCTAGCTCCAGCATTAGGGCTGTCGCCCGAGTCGATTGCAAGCACGCTAGAGCAGCTTAAGGAGGCCCATCAGCTCGAAACGGCGTCGCTGGCATTTCCGTCGTGCGTGCTTGAAGTGCTCTCGACGATCATGCCGCAGTGTCACGAGGGCCAGTCGGCGCTGACAGAGCACGAAAAGCAGGACACGGCGATCCGGCTCACAATGTGCATTTTCGACCGCCAGGACAGCTCCAACGGCTCGCTGACGCTGCCGGCAGAGTGCTGGAGCCACGATAACCGCGAATGTGTGGCAAAGCTCGCGTCAAACCCCGTTTGGTGGACCACTTTCTTTGGCTACCTGAATTTGGTAGAGCAACTGTGCCACTACTACAGCGAGCCCTACGAAACGCACAGACTGCTCGAAACGTACCGGGACGTTTGGAAGAAGGTCGACGAGCTTGCTGCTGTGCTCGGCCGGATCGACGACCTCGGCACAGGCGTGCTGGACCAGCTCAGACAAAATCTGGTAGCAACGTTCGACTCGCTGCAACAGGACCTCCAGACGCGATTTGAGGAGATGAAAAAAAACGCAGAAATTCACCTGGAGACAGCGTTCGCATCGGTAGACCTCAAGGTGGACTCGCTGCTCGCAAACGTGTACAGAGTGAGCGATAATATGGAGAGCATGCACGTCGAGGCGGTGAAAACGGCGGAGAATATTTTCACAGAGCTCAATAAACGGCACGACCAGAGCCTGCAGGAGCTCGCGCAGCAGATGGAGGCGCTGAACCGCGAGCTGCGAGAGAACACTGAGCAGGAAAACGAACGCCTGATACGCAGTCTATCCGCGGAGCACGAGATGATGGCCGAACGGCAGAAAAAGATGGACAGCGAGACGGCAACGCGGTTCCGGGAGTGGGAGACGCGGCTCGAGACGATGAACCGGTACTTGAGCAGCTCGCTAGCGCGGTTCGAACAGCTGCAGGACGTGATGGACAGGTTTAATGTGCTAGGGCAGATGAGCCGCGTGGTGTACGGGTGCGGGTTATTAGGGTTGTTGGTGGTTGGTTATTTTGTCAAATTCGAAAGGCTGCTGGTTATCCTGTCGTTTGTGGGCGGTGCGTACGTGGGTGCTGGCACTTTGGACTGGCTGGGGTGGTGAGATGGCTTGACGGGTGGGAACAACTGCCACACCATCGCAGAGACATTGTGTTTATTGTGATTTTGCACTGCATGAAAACAGTCTTGTTTGGGGCCGCACTAAGCTAGGCTGCGCGCATGAGCTCGGGTGGAAGTGTCGAAAAAAATACAGAAGCATGTCGAACACACCCCTATTTGGTTTGGCACACGCTCGCATGACAATAGACGGTTCAGGAAAGTTTGAAATTTCCAGTTTACTAATTGGGTGACGACACATGGAGATTGGGCAGTACGCATTGTATCAACACCCACACTACATCAAGTTGTGCTAGCTTGTCTGCCTGCCGATCACTCTCGCTATTTTAGCTAATCGTGAGTAAGCTGGCCGAGAAACACAAAAACAATGGCGTGAAATCCAGTCATCCCACTATCCCCCCAGTAAAGTAGCGTCAATCTCCCATGACACTGCAAGGCATCAAATTGCCCCTTACCCCTAACCCCTTAAGGCAGCACACGGAATGTATCCGGACCGCGGGAATAATAATCGTTCGCCAACACTAGCCTGAAAAATTTCTTCGTTTTCGGCATTTCATAGAGCCGCCAACCGAAAAAGAACAGATCTAGATCCTGCTAAAAAAAAGATGGTTGCGGTTTTCGAGAAGGCTCAAAAAGGCGAGTTACCCTTTTTGTGGGCCGGAGCAGGTGCGGTCGCATTTTGGCGATGATGTTGATCTGCTCAAGATCGCCCCCAAGGCTGTTTAATATGCATTGTTGAGTGCAGCGGGGGGTATCAAGAGGACATGGAGCTTGTCTCAGAACGAGCTATTGATCGCGGTTTGTGTAGGCCATTGACTGCCAACAAGCCATCTCGAGCGGGCCTTATTGTTTGTGCCAACAATGGTTTCAGGTCTGCGTACGAGAGAGCACCACACTAAACCCTTATGCAACTAAAATTTCACAATACGGCCGGTTAAACGTAACAAGCAGATCTAAAAAAAGACTGCTAAAATTAACAATAATACCTGTCCCATAACATGTAACATATTCTCGATTTATCGAGTTTGCAATTGGCGCAATTTCCCTTTGCATCCTTCTCTATCGCCAAACATGTAACTTAAACTATAGACGTGCTGTATGACACAAAACACCAAGCATGATGTCATCCGAAAATACCAACATAGCCAAATTATCGATCCGGACCCCCACAGCTTGGCCCGCGGAGCCTTGGCCCCATTCTGTACTGAAACCCATGGCCACTAAATCCAACCAGGCAACTCGAGCCCTCCGCAGACCGAACCCGAAACCGCACGGACATGCATGCACCCGGTTTAGCTACTAAAAGTAGCATAATTTCTCTCCACAATAGCAGCCTTAATTCCCTTTGCAATCGTATCTGCACGCAGCTGCAACCATCAATTTTACCACCATGCCAAGTTTTTTGTTTGACCTGTCAGCCCTCTGCCCACCCAAATATAAGCATGTCACTTTCCTCAACGCTCATCTCACAACACAGACATTTTTATCTCCCATGACGTCTTCCTTCGAAAGACCTGGAAAACTCTTGTTGCCTCCTGTGCAACAGAGAGAGGAGATTCCTTCCTTGAGGAATCTCAATCTGCCCACTCCAGTGGTCTCCAACTACCACCTGGCCCCTATGCCTTTCTCCGAACACAACGACATCTCGCCGTATAGACGCTTATCCTTCCAGAACACTCTCCACTACTACTCGCCCCCAATGAACAAATACCCATCTTTCCCTCCTCCGCTGAAAATGCAATCTCCGCAAACGCTGTCGCCTCTTCCCCATCTCGCCCAGACCCCTTCCCCGGGCGCTGTGAGAGGACCAGCACACCTGCCTTCACCGTACGGGCCCCAGCCAATTTCTGCCAACCGCAGCCTGTCGTACCCTACACCTCTGTCCCAACCCCAAAAAGACACAGGATCGCCCCCCTCGGAGGCCAACAAACGCAAAAGACGGAAAGCACACGAGGTGGTACGACTCTACAAATGCAACCACGAATCTTGCCAAAAGGCCTACGGAACACTCAACCACTTGAACTCGCACATTGTGCTCCAAAAACACGGCCAGAAACGGTCTCCCTCGGAGTTCAAAGAACTCAGAGAGGAGCTGAAACGCAAGCGGAAGCTCGAGAAGGCCAGCTCCCGACTCAACGAACGCGAAAAACAGCAAAAAGTTATCTATTCGCAGATACAGAACGACCAAGACCACGAGCGGGCTCGGGATGGTCAATCGTACAAGACCGCTGCCCCCAAAGACCACTACTCCGTGCTCAACATGCTCCCGCCCCTCCAACGCCCCAAATACTCCTCCCTGCACGAACAGCCAAGACTGTACTAATCCCACCATAAATGTTCGGTTTTCGTCACCAAGCGCGCAGCAAGCCTGTCTGAACATTCGACTTTGCCATCCAGAACTTTCATATGGACCCCTTTCACTTCTAGCTCGATCTCGTGTTGTGCGAGAGTCTGGATCGACACGTTTGTGACGTTCTGGACCGGCCCTGTGGCCGCTTGTCCTTGCTTGAGAATGTCCAAGTTGTCCTTCACCATGTCGTTCAACCAGAGCTCCTCGGTCTGCTGCGACTCGGCCTCCCTGTGCTCGCGGCGGACGAGGTTGCGGATCAGGTTGTTCACCAGACACCAGCTGCGCAGCCCGCTGATCAGCGGCCGCAGTTTTTCCAGCCGCGCGAGCTTCACTTTATACACTTTCACAAATTTGCAACCAGTAAGGAAAAACACTTGATGCTTTGATCCCTTCCCGTCCGAGAACCTGTGGCTGTATTCTTCGTTCACCTCTTTGTAGAAGCTGTCCAGCACGTCCGCCGTGCTGTTGAAAACACTGTTGTCCGGCCCGAGCAGCTCGTACTCTTCCAAATCTAGCTCTAATAGCAGGTCCTCTGGAATCCACACGGGCGGACACAGCTCCAGCACCAGAAACTCCAGGTTTACGTCCGGCTTCCACTCGCCGTCGTACCACTCGACCACTCGCTTCGTGCTGCCCGACTCCGCATTTTCCAGCCGCGGGCTCTCGGCTATTTTAAAATGGAGCAAGTAGTCCGGGTGAGGCAGGCCGGGCAGAAACCGGTCGTCGTGCCAGTACTTCACAAAAAGCCCGATTTTGGCGTCGTGGTTCACCAAAACCTGGCCGAAGCCCTGCACGCCGCACGCCACGTCCTCCGCTGCCTCGCTCGCCGTCAACGCGTCCAGCGGGCCCGGGCGGTGCTGCTTTTTTTCGGCCTCGGCCGCCTTGATTAAATTATACGTGAGCAGGTTGAACGTGTTGAAAAGGTCGAACGGCGCAGGCACAGAGAGCCGGTCGAGCTGGCCCAGAAGCCGCAGGTTCTTGTTGAAGTTGTCGAGCGTGGCGGCCTGCAGGTTTTCGTGCAGAACGCGCTCCACCTTGACGAAGTCGCCGAAGCCTTCGACAAAGTCGTAGCTGCGCGCGTCGATCGACTCGATGCTGATGGCGCTCGACAACGCCACGTTCCTGACGCGGCCGTCCTGAAAGTCGATGTCGATCAGCAGGATCTTGCCGCTCAGCGACAGCCGCTCGATCTGCGTGCCGTCCCGGCCCTCTGGTGACGCTGACCGGCTGTCAGAGAACGCAAACACCAGGTCGTTCTGCTCGTTCATCGCCAGCACGTCCGAAAACGTCTCGAACCCGTAGATGTTGGCCAGCCGCTTGATCCCGTCCACGGTCACGCGGCCGGGCCGCTTCAGCAGGATCTCCGAGATCCGCGACAGCGGCGCAATGAGCTCGGTGTCGATGCTGGGCATGGAAAAATACAATATTATTTATTAATTCTATTGCACAGCCAGAAATAAATCTACAACTCGTCGTGGCCAACCGGCTCTGTCTCCTGTGTCTGGTCCCCGGCCGTCTCCGTCTTCTTCTCCAATTTCTTCTCTGCCTTTTTCAGCTGCTCCCTCAACCCCTTGATGCGCTTCTCGTGCGCCTGTTTCAGTGCACGGTACGTGCTCTGCACCTCCTTCAGCTCCTCCAGCACCGTTTCTCTCAGATCGAACAGCGTCTCCCTGTCCCTGGTGTCGATCTCGCCCTCGTGCGTCTCGAAATGGTCCACAACGCCTACGAAATCGCTGATCCGCCTCATTCTCTGCTCCAGCTCCTGCTCGTCCACCTCCGGCACCTTGACCTTGATCCGCCTGTTGGCCTCCTCAAAGTCCAGTCCCAGCTCCGTGTAGTTGGCTCTCAGCGACAGCGCGTCCTGCGACATCACCACCATGAAGTCCTGCAGCTTGTACATTGTCTCCAGCGCTTTTTCTTTGAGCCGCGTGAACTCTGCCAGACTCAGCAGCCTGTCGCCGTGGTTCACCAGTGTCTCCAACTTGATCCGCATCACACGCACGTCGTCGTACTTCTCCTGGATATCCTTCACCGTGGCTTTCGCAGGAACGTCCTCGAGCCACTCCAGCAGCTCAGACACCATTTCCCGTGCCGCGCGCACCATCGATGGAGGCCCGTTGGCTACCACGTTCTCGTCCTCCGTGTAGCCGCGCAGATCGTAGAGCGACGCCTCAAGACTGTTGACCAGCGCGTCGCGCTCCTGTCTCTGTTTGTCCTGGCTCGTGAGCGACCTCAACTTGGACGCAGACTGGTACTTCGCCAGCGAGCCCAACGGCTTGTAGCCCGGATGCGACGGTTTGGCCGTGAGAGAGCTGCGCACAGAACCGTCGCCAGCACAAACGGCCTCCAGACCGCGCAGCGCAAACAGTTTTCGCGAGTCCAGCGTGCAGTTGGCAAAATATTCCACGCCGTCAGGACAGACTGTGCTGTTGAGCTCGCTCTTGAACTTGTACTGCGAGAACAGCTGGCCGGCCTCGAAGAAATCAACCTGGACTTCGCCAAACGTGTCTTTCAGCCCCGGAAGAGCAACACTGGCCTCCCGCGACACAGAGCTCTCGTTGAAAACCACCGCCAGCTGGCCTCCTGCCGCCAGCTCGAAGTTCCTGGTAGCATGCTGCACAAGCTCGATCGGACGCGTGCGGAACTTGCCAGACACGGAAATGCCGCCCAGCAGCGTTCCAAACACCGCCGCCTCGTCCGCGTTCACGTTCTTGCTCAGCAGCTCGTCGCCCCCCAGATACTTCACCAGGTGTTTTTGGACAAATGGCACTCTCGTGGATCCGCCAGCCAGAATCACAGACTCGACCTTGCGGTCGCCCACAGCAGCAGCCAGCGGCGCCACAATGCGGTCCATGTACTCCGTCATGTACTCCTCGAACTCGTCTCTCGAAACGACCACCTTGAGGTCGACGTCGTTGATCAGCGACTCCACAGACACCTTGGTCTCGCTGTTGGCGCTGAGCACGAGCTTGGCCTTTTCTGCGCTCTGCCACAGTCTGTTCATGGCCCTGGCGTCGCTCCAGAGCGTCTCCGGCTTGATTCTGCTCTGCGCCAAAAACTTGTCCTCGATAATGGCCTGCAGCGACTCGGTGAACAGATTGCCACCAAACGTCTCGTCGTAGCCGTATCCCTCGTTTTCAACCCGCAGCGTCTCGTTCTGCTTGCTGAACGACACGAGCGTGGCCTTCGTGGACCCGGCCCCCACGTCGTAGATCACGTGGTACTGTTTCTGCTCAAAGTCTCTGGTGGAGGCGTAGTTCAGAGCAACAGCAAGCCCGTCGTCAATCAGCGCCACCACGTTCAGCCCCGCAATCTCAGCAGCGTCCACAAGCGCACTTCTCTGCGCCTGGTCCAAAAATCCAGGCACACTCAGCACCACGTCGGAGATCGAGTTGGAAGAACCTCCGCCGAGTGTCTGATCCCAGTGCAGCTCCGCCCGTTTTTTGATCTCCTCCAGAACCATGCCTAGAACCTCCTCGAGCAGGTACACTTCGCCGTCGACGTCGAACGCGACGGTGCGCCGCTGACTCGACGCCGCAACAACCTTGACCCCCCGGTATTTTTTCTCGAAACGTGTCACTTGTGGCTCGTCGATCTGTCTGCCGATCAGGCTTTTCAGCTCGAAAAAACAGCTCTGCGGCGACCGTGTGCATGCGCTCAGAGCGTGGGAGTTGAATTTGCGCTCAATCTCGCCGTCCTTGGCCGAAATCGCCACCCCTGACTGGTGTTTCCTCTTGGCCTCATCGGTGAGGATCAGGTCGAACGCCACGCCCGGAGCGACCAACGCCGCTTTGGAATAGTCTTGTCCAAAGTCAATGGCCAGCAACGACGCCCATCCTTGGACAAAAACGAAAAACAGTGCTACCAGACTCAACACCTTCATACACTTGTCAAGAGGAAATATAATAAAATAAAAAAAAAGATTTAATTTTCAGAAAATTATGGAAAACCTTCCCAGAGGGCCCCGTCGAGATTATCGCAGACCCAGAAACGACAGAGACCCGAGAGACTCGTACAGAGAATACCGTGGCTCTTATCGAGAACAGCGAGGTTACTACGGAGACACCGGGTATGATAGAGGATACGCACGAAATAGGGAATATAGACCTGCTAACGGAAGGCCCTCGTTCCAGAACAACTGTCCGCCGCTAGAAAAAATCGCAAGAGTGTCTCTGTGGGACAAACCAGCGCCGGGGTTTGAGGGAGTGAGCGCTGCGCGCGCCAAAGCATGCGGCCTATTCCCTGAGCCGGGCGAGCCCTCCAGAACTACAGACCAGACAGAAATACAGAGACTTCTATCGCACGCTGCCACCAATTACCGCTCCCAGGCGTTCCAGGACTCCAAACTCACCCCTCTGGACTCGCGTGTGGCCAAGACGCTGATTCTGCGAGCCGACTTCAACGTTGTGCGTCTGGAACGCGTGAAAAAGTATCTGGAAAATTACCTGCTTGCAAACATCGTCCCGAACGTGAACTACGAGGACGTGAAGATAGAGATGCATCCGACCCAGGACCCCAGCACAGTGATTGTCCAGACTCTGCGCTCAACGGTGGCCACGGCGCTTTTTGCGCTGACCGGCCTCGATGTGCCTGAGCTGAACACCACGCTGAGCTTCGAACGGCCAAAAGAGTACGTGGTGTTCAATCCAAACGACACGTCCGTCCCGCAGGAGCCTCTCGAGGACGTGGTCGAGTCGTCCCAGCTGTATCTGGCCAGAAACGTTCCATACGGCACGCCGCGAGAAAAGTTGCTCGAGCTTCTGCAACCCCTGGGGAAAATACGCTCTTTGGCACAGGTGCTTGACAAGTTGTCGTACGAGTCCAAGGGAGTTGCATTTTTCGAGATGGTGAGTGAAGACCCTGACGTTTTGACTAAACTCAACAAACTAGCCATAGACGAGCAAGAGCTGCAGGTTTTCCCGGCCTGTGAGAACGCAGAGCGCAAATACGAGCAGGCCGTCATTCTGTCGGCAGAAACACTGTTTGGCGTGCTTCAGTCCGACAAAATCAGCCCGCATGCTTCGTCGGAAATAGTACAGTTCCTCAACTGTGTTGCAGTGGAGGATCTTGTTGATTCGGCGAAATACAACGATATAAAGGTGGCCTTTGAGGCCGAGTGTTCTTGTCATGGACATATCGAAAAAGTGCTGATTCCCAGACCAGAGGGCGATTTCCGGCCGGGCATGCCTACGAAACCGGAGGTGGGCAGGATTTTTGTGAAGTTTTCGACGGCAGAAGAGGCCCAGAAGTGCGCCGAGGCACTTGCTGGACGGAAGTTCAACGGACGCACAATTCTGGCGGCGTTCTACGAGGAAGAAGACTTCAACAGGGCGCTGTTCTAGTTGCTCTCCCAGTCGGCGATTTCGTCCTCCACGTTCTCCCTTGCGTGTCTCACGATTATGTCATACAGCTGGTCTGGGGTCTGTTTCACGAACGTGAGCGATAGCTTGATAATTTTGCGTGCGTCCAGTCGCGGTAGCTCTCTCAGCAGCAGCATTGGATTGGCCGACTTGAGCAGCTCGTCTCTGATCAGAATAGTCTGGGCCACCACGAAAAATATATTCAGATGCACCCCGTAGCTGAACAGAAAATCCCAAAGCTCGAGCACTTGGTCCAGCGGCGGCGTGCACGCGCTCAGGGTGAGCACAGACGGAAGTGCGTAGATCTTGGCCGTGAGCATTTTGGACTTCAGAAAATTGTACAACTTAGGATCGATCAACTGTAATATGATGTCCACGAGCTTAACACCGTTGAGAACGCCCAGCAGGTTGGGCGTGGTATATGTAGGAATGTAACGGCTCACCAGCTGCGAGTACAGAGCAAAGGCCTCGACCTCGCTTCTGCAAACGTACGCGAACGGTGCCGCCAGTATGTTCATTCCCTGGACGTAAGGCGACGCGGGCGCTCCGGTCGAGTTGTGCAGCTCGAGACTTTCGATTTCGAGAGCGTGCGAGTTGAGTATGCGCATCAACACGCTGGTGGACACTTTGCGGCTAAACTCCTCGTCTTTCTGGAAAGTGCGGAATGCGTCGTTTTGGATTTTTGCAAACACGTTCGCCGGTCCGCGGTCGACCAGGTTGGCGTAGTAGTCGACGTCCAGAGGCTCGACTCGCAGAAGTATGGACCAAACATACGTTCTGTACGGACAGAGTCCTTTATCCCTTGGAAGGCCCTCGCATAGGATGGTATACCGCAGCTGGTTAAGACTGGAAAGCACGACCGTCTGGTTCGATTCGAGAAACCGTTCGATGGCGTCTTTGCGTCTTCCCTTCTTCTCCTTCATGAATTTAAAAATTATATCTAGTTTCGTATATGTAAATAATACACAGCCTCGAGATCTAATTTTCCTGTTTTCTACGCAGCTTCCGACTCCGTCAGAATTTTGTAGAACGAGAACGGAGTGTATGCATAGCCCTCGCCTTCAAAGAACTTCGACATGGCCTCGACCCAGTGCAGTCGCAGCGAATGGAGCATGGCAGACGTGCCCTCCATAACCACCAAGATACAGACCGTCAGCACAAACCACATGCCAAAGAGCAGGAACACCATCACGCAGCCCGCAAAGCCCCTTTCCTTGTAGGAGACGAACGAGTTGGAGATGGTCATGTCCCACAACACGGCCGAAAGCTGGTTGTGCGCGAGCGACAGCGCCCAGAGACGGAGATACGAGGCCGTGTGCGAGACGCAGTTCAGACAGAACTCGATCGTGTGAATCACTTGGTGGATCATCACGTCTCCAAACTCAAACTGTTCCTCCGGCTCGTCGGAGTCGTCGACCAGGAAAAAGTCTTCGCCCAGCGAGTTGTCATGCGACTCCGTCGGGCTGGCCTCCTCGTTGGCTGCCAGTTGCACAGCCTGGTTGTACTCGTGCAGGTCCGTGTATCCCAGCTCCACGGACTGTGCGTTCATTCTTTTCAGCGTAAGCGGCTTGTATAGGAGAAGCCAGGGAACACACACCAGTGCAATCAGGACAAGAACAACCTGCACAAAACCCTGTCCTGGATACAGCTGGTCCTCGATGGTCCCTGGCGACAGAAACATGTTAATCAGCATGTTGAGCAGGCTTGGCGGAGCCTTGCCGATCTTGATCCAGTCAACACACCACTTGTAGACGATTGTGAGCGAAAGATAGCCAAAGATGCTCTGCATGAACAACAGGCCCGGCACAAAGTTCCCAATCACGTCCACCCTAGAATTGAAAAATTTATAGTTCACAAGCGAAAAGTAGAACGAGTACGACATGTGCGCGAATCCCATCAGAATCGAGAGCTTCATTTTGTACGAGTTGGTGAACAGCAGATTGTTTTCCGTTCCATGCCATGCCGGGTCCAACCCTATCGGATATACCCCCCTCTGTGTGCCCGTGATGGTGTCACCTTCTTTCCAGGTGTCTGGCCATTTCCAGCCGGACTTGAAGAACGTCATCGATTTCGAGAACACATCGTTGTAGAGGAACCCCGTGTAAATAGAGAAGGCCCCCATCAGAACCAAAATGTAGCGCCCCGTGTATGCCATGTCAAAGATCTCGTCTCTGTTCTTCATTGCGCCTATTTTTCTCTCGTTCAGAACCAGCACCAGCGCTGCCAAAAACAGAATAATACCGTGTCCGACGTCTCCAAACATGATCGCAAACATGAACGGGAAAGTCACCACCGCTGCAAGCCCAGGGTTCACCTCCTGGTACGTGGCAATTCCGTACGCGTCGATAATGCTTTGGAACGCTTCTGTGAACTTGTTCGTACGGTGGAACGTCGGCGGCGTCTTATTAGTGTTTATCACGTTGACCACAGAGTTGATATCTGTGCCGGACGTCTCGGTGACCTCGCGCAGACACGATTTGATGAGTCCTAGGTCGTTTGCGGGGATCCATCCTTCGGCTATCAGACACCTTCTCGTCTGGTCGTAGTTGAACAGATTGAGAACCGAGTAGATGCTTTTTTCCTTGGCTATCTCGATCTTCCATCTTTCGATATCTGCTGCCACCTCCTTCAGCTCCAACAGTAGCCGGTCCTGAGTGTGCTCGGTGACCTCGTTCAGGTCTCTTATTTTCGTGTTGATCTCGTCCATCTGCGCATTGAAGACCTCGTAGTCGCTGTCAACAGGATACAATGTTCCGTCCAGCGACTCCACGATCTTCTTGCACCGGGAAATTAGCGTCTCTCCATGCGTGAAAATGAGAAAAATGTACTTGTCTTTATGTTGGTTTGTCTTGGGATCCAGAATCGGCTCCTCTATAGGGACGTGGTTAATGTACAGGTTACCGCGCAAAACACGCCACAGAATGCGCTGGAGCGTCAGGAACTTGCCGCTCTCGATTGTTCCGCTGATGAAATTCATGGTGGACCCCATAATGTTCAGCTCGGCAGACTGGCCGTGGTGGCCGTTCTCTAGAAGCCGGTCGTCCATCAGCAGCTGGTCCGTCTCGTCCTCCGGCTCGTGCAGATGGCTCAATGGCGAGTTGTCGTCGGCCAGCTCCAAACTGAGTCTATTGTCGAAGAATCTTCTTGTACCCTGCAAAACAAGGCGGTGCTCCAGCAACGACGCCGAGCTGTTGACCAGGTGTTCGTAGTTCTCGTCCATGTGGCGGATGTTCTGCTCGTACTGCTCCACCACCTGCACGAGGTCGTCGATCTGCGATTTGGACGGCCCCCGGGACGGATCGGCCGTATACTTTCCCGACGGCACCACGAGGTGATCCCACGAAACAACGGGAACATGGACCTGCTGTTTCTTGATCACGCTGTCCAGGTACCTCAATTGGCGCTGTGTGTTGTCCAGACGGCGAATCTCCTTCACAAAGGACCTCTGGAAGGCGTTCACGTGTTGGTTCATATCGCGGAACTGCACGTTGCCCAGCTGGCCCAGCACAGAAACACAGTCTCGTGAGATCTCCGACGCTATGTAGAACTGGACCAGCAGCATGTCTGCCGACCGGAAGATCGCCTCTTTGGACTCTGTACTCATGGCTTAGAGATTTAATATTTTAACAGCACAGAAGATTCAATTTATGTGCGCCGCACACGACACCCAATTTGATCAAACAGTATTTATGTCTGTCTCCGCAGCCTCGTACGACTCCATGTTTCTGGGCTCTTCGGACTCCACCCTGGACCAGGACCTCTACACCACGTTTCTCGTTGCGGACTGGCACACCTGTGAGCATTTCAAGGAGTCTCTGGTAGGGTACGAGGGAGTGATCAAGGACATAGGCAGCATCCGGATGGTGGGCTACGAAGCCTACATTGTGGAGCAATGGATCTCCCAGCGGTCCAACAAAAACACCGTCGTCACATACACGGGCGACTCCAAAGACTCGATAATATGCCGCAAGGTCCAGATAATCAATGACCCGATCAAATGGCCACGGGCGTTCCGTCAGTATATCAACGAGTTGCTCGAGTCGAAGTACTCTTCTCCCACAGAAACCGACCAGGGCATCATCTACATCACGAACTTGTCGCAGCTGGAGTCGTCGGTGACCCTCATTCCGCTCCCGCAGGGAGATATCCACGAGCTCTATACCACATTCGTGGTAAACTACAACCTCAAGAAACTCGGCTGCGGCACAAGAAGCGCGCTGGCAATTTGCATGCCCACGAAAACTGTCGAGGACAAGTTCCGCAACCTGTTCCAGATCCCGCCCGAGGTGTCGCTGATGTATGCTGTTCGAGAAATTATTGCTGTGGTTCAGACGTTTCTCTATTATTACGATTTATTGGATGCGCGGTTTTGCGACGGCCTGCTGTGTGAAAAGACAGAGGACGCCATATCGCGCTGGTGGGCGATGATCTTGCAGATTCCTGGGTGCGAGGAAGCACTACGCCCAAACGCGTGCTGTTCGTTGTCTGCGTCAATCCTCACGATCCTCGGCTTCACGCTCATTCTCAAATCCATTCTCGAGACGGCAGGAAACAACATCAGCGTTCCGAAAGACCCTCTGGACCACGAGAAAATCCGCATAGCCATCACACAGTTCCAGAGAGCACAGAAAATCAAAAACCACCCCGGAAGGAGCGACGCTTACTCGGGTAAGTTCGATCTTGAGACCATCACCAAACTGTTGCAGTTCTGCAACTCCGCCAAATCCAGCCAGACGTTTGCCAAAGACCTTCACAAGGTCAGAAAAATGGTCAAGGATACTGTTGTGGACTTCACCTCCGGAAAGACGCTGCAAACGTTGAAGCTCTCTCCGACCAACAAAAGTTCAAACAAAGAGCAGGAAGTTCCAGCTTCCAAGCGACTCTACAATTGCCAGGACCCGGAGCAGATCATCCAGCTGGCACACGGTAAGCGGCTCAATTATTTGTGGAAATGCAAGGGACACGAGCCTGATCTCGACAGATACTGTTTAGCGTCGCTAGCAAAACACCATCGAGCCGCACATCTGCCGCACACGCCTCCCTCCATGCTTGGGGACTCGGGAACCGACTCCGAGATGAACACTATTTCGTCCAGCGCCAAGGCCCTGGAGCCATCGTTGATGTCGTTGTCGGCCGACAGAGTCAGAACTTACGACGAGCCGTTGCGCAAACAGAAGTCAAAGCGACTAATCATTGGCGGAAGTTTCCAGGACAGCGATAATCCAACCGACATGAGACCACGAATGAACGCGTACTATGAAGGCTCTTTCGAGCAGAAGCAGGACAACACGCAGATCAACCAGTTCAACGCGAGGCTGAATAGGAGACACTCCATTCCCTCCATCGAAAAAGACCTCAACGTGCATACAATCAACCTTCACTCATCCAACGAACATGTCAATAATAGCATTTTGCATTCACAAGCGACGCTTCAATCACGGGCGCTCAGATCGAGGCGCGCTAACTCTTTTTCTCTAATTCAAGAACAACTGACGAACGACTTCGACGAGATCCCAACTGCGGAAGTTTTTTCAATGGAGACGATGGCTTTGGATTATCTGAAACTGCTGCGCGCATATAAACTTGGCATTGTTAAAAGATCAAACTCATTCAAGCAGTCGGTCCAGGAGTCCAGATTGCAGTTGCTCGATAGACTTGGGCTCTCAAGATATACTGCTGAATACGAGACCTCGAAAAACGAATACTCGAAGCTGGCAAAGAGATCTCACGATGTCAACGACAAACTCGTCAAGAACTATAAGATCAATGCCCGGCTGAAGTATGAGTTGCGTTTGCTGCTCCAGAAAACCAAAGAGGTGGAAACCAATTTGAAGAACCTCAACGATTTCAAGATGGCGTCGCTTGAGACCAAGATCAATGACCTGAAGACGAAACAAGAGTCTTCACAGATCCCGAAAGTCGAAAAGCCCCAAAAAGTCAGTTTCAAGGTTGCCTTAAACAAACCCCATTTGCTGGTTTCCATCATTCTCAACTATCTGAGCATCTGGTGGTTCCACTTGTTTCGAAACGTGGATAATACCCGTATTGAGGAACAGTGGAAACTCATTGACAGGAATGAGCGTGTTGCTCGTTTTCTTAAGAATTTTCATCAGGGCGATGAGAGTATCTCCCAGAAAAACAAATAGCTACCCAAGCTCCTTATTTAGCGTTTCTGCCTCTGTTCTCAGCAAATCAATTGTTTTCTGGTAATCGTTTCTAGCCTTGTCAATCTGCTCGTTCAAAAACGTTATATTGGAGTCGTAGTCCGACAGCCTTTGGTCCACAAGGTTCTTGTACACTTTGGAGTACTCGGCGTCGAACACGGCTTTGTTCTGCACGTTATCCTTGAGCAACGTCACTAGCTGACGGTGTTTTTCGAGAAAGGCTTCGTATTTTGACGAGAAATACTCTTCTTTTTGCAGTCGAGAAAGTAACGCACGCTTTTGTTTCTCCAGATTGTATATTTCGCTGTCCTCTTGAGACAGACGAACAGGTATGCCTTGAGACTCTTTGGCGATCAATTCCTGATAATCGAGGTCGTTCTTTTGGCAAAAGTCCTTTACCTGCGACAGCAGTTTCTCATTCTCCGAATACTCATCGTTGAGACCGAGAAATAGACGGTTCAGCAAATGCTTCACTTGTGCCAGATCTGAAGACATGGCAAATAAAACATTTACACAATATTTTTTTTCGCATTAAATCAAATATGTAACTAGCGAGAACAAATTTCTACAATCTGCTCATTCTACCTTCATTTCTTGGCCTTCTTCTCCTTCTTCTCTTTCTTCTCCTCGTCGTCGTCTCTCTTACGCTTCTTCTCCTTCTTCTCCTTCTTCTCCTTCTTTTCCTTCTGATCCTTCTTATCCTTCTTCTCTTTCTTTTCCTTCTTTTCCTTCTTCTCCTTCTTCTTCTCCTTCTCCTTCACCTCTTCTTCGTCCTCGTCGTCAGAATCGGCAACATCCATCGTGTCGGCGTCGGCGTTATACTCCTTCACTGGAGCCAGATCCACCTTCTTCTGCTCCTTAACGATATTGGTTGTTCTCAAATCCCTTCCTTCCAAAGCACTCAATCTGGACTCCACCTTAGTCCGCACAGACAGTCCATAGTCTCCGGAGTCATCTCTATCTTCAGACAGGGCGTCGTACCTCAAAGCAACAGCAGCTTTGGCAGCAAGCACTCTGGCAATCTTACCCTTATTTCTTCCCGAAGCCTGTCCAATGAGAGATGCATGGTACAAAAGACCATATTTTGGCGTATCGTGCTTGGTCTTGAGAGCTCTGAAAAGAGCCTTTTCGGATCCCAGAATCTGGATGGTCGAGGCTGGGGCCTTGGCAAGAGACATGAGCGATCCAGCATGGGCAATCAGCCTGGCTCCAACTAGTTCACCAACCAAAGAGGTCAAATTAGGCGCAATAGCCTTCATTCTAGAAGACAGGTAGTTCGACAGTTGTTCTCTGTATGCAGCAAACTCAACAATCTGCTCTGCCAATGCCTTGATATTGTTCAGATCGTCGTCGGTGATCTCGGTTCCCATAGAAACCTCGGCAGCAGCCTTAACCTGGGCTTCGACCTCCTCAGGCAAGATCTCGCTGAAGTCGGTGCTGGAAGCGTTCGATCTCACGCCCATAGTGAGAATAACTCTGGCAAAAGCCACGGAATCAACAACGATTTTGGCCAGCTCGGGGAAATGCCATCCATACCATTCCTTGCATCTCATGGCATAGGTGTTTAGCTCTTTGTCCAAGTCGTCAAGCAAAGCAATGGCCTGCACAATCATCACGTCCACCTTGTCGGCACTGAATTTGAGCTTGTGTCTGCCGATGGAGTGAGCCAAACCAAGGGACATGGTAGACAGGTCCTTGTCCGTCATACCAGGAAGAAGTTCGGGAAGATGCTCTCTCACGGCTCTGTAGATATCTAAGGTTGCGGCATCGCTCACAACAGACCAGTTGAGTCCGAGTTTGTTGATGGCATTGGCCAGCTTTGTGTCCGAAACGAGAAGAGTGGATTTTTTCTCCTGCTTGGCCTCATCGAGAAGTTTCTGCAACTGTGGAGACACCTTGCCGTCTATCACTGCAGAGGCCTCCTCGAGAGCATTAGCAGCAGAGTTGAACTTGGAGAATGCAGCGATCTTGAACTGTTTGAGGACCTTGTCGGTGCTGTTGAGCTCCTGAATCAGGCTCTGAGACTTGTAGATCTTCTTGTCCGACGCCTTCAGCAGGGCGTAACCAGCCGCTGTCTCTGTCAGAACGTATGCCATGCTATAAACAGATTGAAAAGTTTTATTAAAAATTTTTGAAATTTTTTTCAGACCTTATTCCGGGTAAAAGATATAGAGATCTATTTTCTATGCTGCTTTTCGTACTCGAGCAAGTTGGTCAAGAACGTTTCTTCAAACGAGTCTCCATTCTGTGGTCGTTGGCCTCCAACGCGCCGCGACTTCTTGTTGATTGTTTTTATCAGGTCCGACGCCACGTTCGAGTCTTTTTGTCCAAGCAGTCTGAATTCCTGGTAGCACCACAAGCTCACCGCCTTTAATGCTTCTTTTTCCACCGCGTAGTCCTGGTTTGCTTTGACAGCGCGCTTGTAGTCGGACACCGCAAGTTGGAAGATGTCTCGGAGAATGAACGGACGTGTTGCGTCGCTCAATCGAAGAGTAACTTTGGTATGTCTGCTGAGATACGGGTTGGGCTGATACTTATAGTAATCTAGACCATCGAAAACCCGGTCCTCTGATACACAGCGGATGTATATGGCCATCCCAGCGCGATAGCCATATTTGCGGTGAATATATTTGAAGTAATTCAGCGTCCAGTAATCCCAAAAGTTAGCGTCTTTTTCGCTCACTCCGGCTTTTGCACAGTCATATATGTATTCCAGTTTGTCGAAGTCCATTCTCTTTGTGTCCATCATATGAGTGACATACGAGTTGTACGCATACTTTGCAGTCTTTGCGCTCGCCGCAAGAATCATGGACCAGGCGGCCGTGGCATTGCTTCTATCGTTCAAAGCAGCTCTGACAAGCTCGTTGAATTCAATGGCGTTGAAGCGAATAAGGTTGTCTTTGGCAAACTTTAAGATTTCTTGGGCTCTATCGTATTTGCCCTCTTTCAGAGAAAGTGCAAGCAGGGCACTTAGCTGGTTCGGCGAGAATCTGGTAGGCAGACCAAGTGTATCGTCAGTATACTGGTTCATTAAAACATTTCCTAGGTTGAAATTTCCTGTTCTTGCGCTGTGATATATTAAGGAAGCCATCAATTCGGGAGACACTTTAATGGCCTCGATAGGCAGATTCAGTACCAGTTTTTCGACCATGTGTCTGTACCGTTTGTTTTTTGAGAAACAACTCACAATTTTCGACATGACATGGTAATAATAGTAACCATTTTGCGGGTTGTTGTTCATAGAATCTATTGCAGAGTTGTAAAAGACGTTGTGAAATGGCTCTATTACCAGCCATGTATTGTAAACGGCGGCAGCATCCTTCCGAGAAACCCTATCCTCAATGAATTTGTAGCAAAAACTCAAAAACTCGTCGACCGAATTTTGGTAGCCAATTTCTGTCATTGTCTTAGTGTCTGTATTAGAAGAATAGCGAGAAAAAAGCTCTCCGTTACCAGCCAGTTTTGAGCCCAGCTCGCGTATCACGAGCCCGCAAAGTTCGGTATCGGTGCTCTTGGATGATGCCTTCTCCAGGATAGCGGTGACTTGAGACGATGTAAATGGATACAGTGGAATCTGTTTGATTTCTCTGCTGTTGTGTTTGGTAGCTGCCATGTCGTAGAGCGAAACAATTCGAAATACCTGCTTCAAGTCCTGTACGTCTGTCTGTGGATGTTTAACGCACGTCAGATCAATATATAGTGAGATATTATGGTAATTGAGCAGTTCCAAAAAAGGGCCCATGCCGGTTTGCAGAGAGTGCCACAGAGTCTCCCGGATTATCTGGCCAGCTAGAAGGTGCAAATTGAGACAGATAGCCATTCGGTAAATTGCAACCATCACGTTAATCGGTTTATCAGTGTCGAGTCGACGCAGTAGCTTTCTACTTCGAGGATCCAACGTTCGCGGTATCATGCGTTTGATGTGCTTGAAAATCATATCGTTCTCGGGAGCTAGAAGATCATATGACCTTGCTATGTACAAGTTGGCAGCGTTTATAAGAACAAGGTTGCGAGTCATGGTGGATAGTAGATGCTGGGCTCGCGATTTATTGTCATTGCGCATAAGATACCCCAGCAAATCGTACTTGTTGGGAAGCTTATCAATATTCCGGTGTATACTTGTTCGAGTCGCGGGTGTTTGGTCAGAATGCAAGGAATCCAGTTGTTCGAGGAGGGCCTCGTACGCTTTTTTCTGTTCCAAAGAGTACACTGCCGTCCACAAGCCGCGCTTTAAATCGACCCCAGACATTACCGATACCTGCGGCCTCGTATGAGGCTTATATCGTCTGGCGATAAAAGCCCATTGCCGCATTTGGAGGAATGCTGTTGGTCTTTCAGGTTTAATTTATATTTTTCATAAATATTTTGGATCTGCCATTCTACAAGAGGCCACAGGATTTTTTTTTTTTCAGCACACTCACAGCCTTGATTTGTATCAATAGTTTTTCCTCGCTTCTAGTTCCATGTTTCGTCCTATCCATTCAATTCCTCTACTCTCTTTGGGTTCCTTAAGCTACTTTTTCTGGGCTGGTGGCGATAAGAGCTCCACTGCTGCCCCTTCTGCTCCTGGAGCTCCGGCTTTTCCAGGAAGCGTTCCGCCGGGATCAGGACGTGTTCCTGCCCCTTCCAAGCCAGGAAACCTGCCAGCTGCAGACGCTGCAGTGAATCCAGCTGGCTTTTTTGCGTACGGGTTCCCTGGACCTGTCCATGACCTCGAAACTAGAACAGAATTCGTCTCGGTGTACGACCGTCAGAAAAGGAATCCGTACTATGTCGTGGAACATATAACACCAGAGTCATTGAAGCGCGATGCTGCAGGGGGAGGCGACCGTAAGAACTCCGTGTTCAAAGAAGATGAGCAAATTCCGATGAAATTCCGAGGTTTTCTGCGGGACTACTTCAGATCAGGGTACGACAGAGGACACCAGGCTCCTGCTGCGGACGCCAAATTCTCCCAGGTTGCCATGGACGAAACTTTCTACCTTACCAACATGTCTCCCCAGGTAGGAGCTGGTTTCAATAGGGATTACTGGGCGCATTTTGAGGATTTTGTGAGAAGACTAACTACTGGCTACGGTTCTGTTAGAGTCGTTACTGGCCCGCTGTACCTCCCCAAAAAAGACCCTGTTGATGGAAAATACAAGGTCACGTACGAGGTCATTGGCAATCCACCAAACATTGCTGTTCCCACGCACTTTTTCAAGCTGATCGTGGCAGAGAAGTCATTCAAAAGAAACCCCAGCTCTGACGATATTGCAGTCGCGGCATTTGTGATGCCCAATGCTGTCATCCCTAACGAGGTCCCTCTCACTTCTTTCGAAGTGCCTGTTGATGCACTGGAGCGCTCTTCGGGCTTGGAGTTTTTGAAAATGGTGCCTGATAACAAGAAAAGACAACTTTGCAAGGAATTCAGCTGTAACATTATCGTGAGAGAGTTCAATGATACCGTCAAAGCTCTACCATCGGCATAAGTCAATAGATTTATTGAATAATTATCAAATAGTCCCTAGTAATTTCTGTTCATATAATTGTGTTAGCCGACTGACGTTGCGTCCACGAGCGACGCGGAACCTGCCAGTGGCATCTCTAGTCTTTTGCTGGCTTTGCTGAAACAACAAATCCTTTTCCGTGTACTTCACCAATTTTGAGGTCAGCTGTTCAGAAGGCCTCAGAAGCTCATTCCGTAGCTTATCCGAAACTTTCTGTTTTCCGGACTCGAAAACGAAATCTTCAAATTGTCCATCCACCTCTATTTCTGGCTTCCGATCCTTGGCCTTGCGGGCCACCGGGGGCGTTGGTGGCTCGGTTACGCGAACTTTATATGCTATTTTTCGCTCCATCGGACTATCCGTAACCCCGTTCTTCTCGAAGTCCAAAATGTCATCCATGCTGATGAGATTCTCGAAGTCTCTCAACTGATTTCCTTTCACAAGCACTTTGTCGTAGTTGCGGAAGAGCGAGCACAGGAATTTGAACAGGGTATCAAAGCCAATGTCGAGCTCTTGGTTGGCCCGCTCGTTATACAGTATTTTCGTGAAAGACAGAATCAGCCGTAGGTTTTGTCTTTCTTTCATCTGCGTGATGTTTTTTGCGTGTGGCTCAGTCTCTTCATGGGATAGCTTGATCACAAGACGCCGCATAAGCACTACCAGCTTCACCAAGATATAGCTATTGTCATAATTGAGACGCTGGACGTTCAGTACTGGGGCTGAATTGTCAAGGGACTTCAAAGCCGGTCTTTTGGAGACGGGATACTTGAAAGACAACAACTCTCCAAAAGCCGTGTTCAAGTCTTCCAGCCGTGAAAAATCGTAGTTGTATTTGGTAAGCACATCCAGAGGAATAAGTGGCTGGTCAGATTCGCTCAGCTGAGCAATAAACCTCTCAAGAATGAGATAATGCTCCAGGAACGAGAAGTCAGACAAACACAGCCGCTGGTCACGGCTGAGAGCGTCGCTGAATATCTCAACAGCAACAAGAGTCTCCTGCTTCAACTGTCCACCTTTGATCAAGGTCAACCATTCTTCAGGAGTTAGGTGTTTGTCCAGATGCTTGGTTGTCATGTATGAGAGAAGATTGTTGTAAATTTTGGAGAACTGTTTGAATGCCAGTCCATGCGACAGGTTCAATGGCACCCCATATATTTTGGGGAACTGCCTGTTTAGAATGATGCGGTCGTTGCTGTACACAATTTTGTCCACAAGGTAGCAGGTGAGGGAGATGGGAATCTTGGTGATATCGACATGTTGGGCCAAAATGGAAAGGTTTTCGCAATACGCAATCTGCCTCGTAAAATTCCAGAACCTTTTAAAGAAGTCTACGACAGACTTCACGATCCAGTTACTTCCGTGTACCAAATACACCTTATAGAGATATCTTTTATTTTGTGACGGAATGAGATTGAACAGCTTGACCAGGTTCAATGGCATTTTAAACGTAGTCGCATGGTCATTATCGTAGTCACAAAACCCTCCAGCTAGAAGAACCAAGCAATAATCCTCGGCTGGCATTTGGGAAACGATTCGTTCCGCCAATTGCGCTATTTGGCGTTCATTGGAAAGCGAGGGAAAAAGTGTGGTGTCAAGAACATAGAGTGGGAGTTCTGATGACGGATCGTACGTGTCTGATTTGAAAAACACGCGCGAGTTCATGAAAACTGATGTATCCACAAAAACCGGAAAAAGTTCACGCTTTTTTATTTACTCTTTCTTAGTCAAGAAAAAAAAACATATCCTAAAAAGGGGGTGCATATCCTATATAATATCCGTTATTTTTCATATTTTCGTCGTCTCAACAGAAATCATGAAAGTCAATAACCGCGGGACCCTCTACTCCTTTTTGTTTTCCTTGCTGGCGAGATACCGTAACTGCGCGTCGAAAGTGTCTCCATTAGCTCCGCCATCCCTGATGACAGCAACTCTCATAGTAGCCAACAAGTTGTGAGCAGCGTTCGAATGGGCATACACGCCTCCATTGAAGGCCATCGTAGCATCTTTACCAAAGGAGGTTTTGAGCAGAGCTTGTCCACCTGGATGCTCTGTAAGGAAGTTGGCGCAGTCATGCACAATTCCCGAAATGATAACCAGTCCTTTTTGTTCTTTGGCCTTCTCAAAGAATGTGGACTTATCCCACACTGGCAGCTCACTAAGCTGAGGACCCCAGTTAAGCTTGGCTCTCATTCTGTCCAGCTTCTTCTGTTGCTGTTGTAATATACCTTGGTCGATAGCGTTCTGCGAAAATTTCTTCAGGTTGTAGGCAAGCCCAACCTTGGATAGAAGATAGATCACCACCTTGGTTGGGTCGTACTGGTACCATTTGAGTGCGTTTCTGTAGTCCGATGGGAATTCGTGGTGGAAGTTATGGTATCCTTCTCCAAAGGTGACGAGAGCGGTCAGAACGTGGTCTCTAGGAGTTCTTCTGTCGTCAAATGGCTGTTCTCCAATCCAATGGGCAAGCGAGTTCACACAGAAGGTTGCTTGCTGAATGACCACTGCTCTCAGCAACCCAGCGTAGATGAATCCGCCCCAGAAGTCGTTGAACAGATAGTGAGTCAGAACGGCAGGGAAAAGGAAAGCCATGACAACCATGAGCAGCAAGTAATGTCTGTGCTGAACTCTGACAACCCAGTCATCAAGCAAGTCGCTGATGTCGGCTCTGGCCTTGTATCTAGGATTTGGCACCAGAAGCATCCATCCCATATGGGAGTACCAGAAACCTCGCTTTGCATCGTATGGGTCTCTTGGTGTGTCTGTGTATCTGTGGTGGACCCTGTGCTGATGTCCCCACATCTTGATGGATCCTTCAACAGCAGAAGCTCCAAAGAGGGCGAAAAAGATTTTCACAGGTAATTTGCAATCGTATGCTCTGTGAGCCCAATGTCTGTGGTATCCGGCGGTGATGGAGATACCACCAAAGCAGTAGAGTATGACTGCGGTCACAAAAGTGTGAAGTTTCAAAGGAACCCATTTGGTGGAGATCAGTCCCGCAAATGGAACTGCCAGCACCAAGATGAAGTTGAGCCAATTAATGTGACGGTGCCAGTTCTCCCATGTCCATGGCTGTTCGCTGATGTGCTTTTGCTTCAGATACTTGTTCTTCAGTTCCCTGTCCTTGGCAAGCATCATTGCCACCGAGTCTTTGCTCAGCTCTTCAGCTGTGACATCTGTCATAGACTTTGTTCCCATCAACTTTCCTCCAATACCATAAGCCACTATTCTCTTAGCAGGCTTGTTGGTACCTGCAGCCACAGCGTTAGCAGTGGATAGGTCCACAGAATCCAGTGCCGACATTTTCGTGAGAAGGATTGCTGGTACTAGTGAATATATACTTATATTAGTAAAAAAAAATTGAGATCAAGCCACTAATAAAACCGCCCCGTCGATTTGTTGGGATGCTGCCCAACAGAGAATCAAGTCGACAGCCGTCGACAAAAAAAAAATTGCTGTCGACAGCTGTCAATTTTCTTTTTTGGGAACAAATTAGCTTTGTCTTGAATGTACACTAGCTGACCTCTCTAATCATTCATTTTTCGCCTGTCGACCGATCTGGTAGTGTGTCCACCATCTTCGCGCAACACTTCCAATCGCAAAGAATGCCCCGATGAATGGAACATACTCTGCCAGGGTCAGCCATACAGAAGGCTGTACTTTGCGGATCACGCTATCGACCTTCTGGTTGAGCTCCTCAACACTACTGTTATTGTCTAGTACGTAATCAGATCGCTTGATCTTGGCATCGTTCGACATCTGGCTCGAAATTCGTTTTTCACACTCCGCGCGGCTGAGTTCCGGATTACGCTCCATCAGCCGTTCCAATTGTATCTTTGGTTCGCAGACCACACTTATTATCGTGCCACAAATAATATCCATACCTGCTTCGAAAAGCAATGGCACGTCAAGAACCACGATTGACTCCAATTTAAGCCAGCTGCACAGCATTAGCCATAGCATTTCCTTGCGCACTTGTCCGTGTGTAATCTTGTTTAAAACCTGCAACTCGTTTTTATCCTGAAAAACGTATGCTCCAAGAGCAGCTCTGTTTAGAGAACCATCCGGCAAAACCAAGTCAGGGATCTTGTCACCAAAATATCGCACTATTTGCTTATACGCAGGCCGTCCAGGCTCCACTATCTGGCGAGCAATCTTGTCTGCATCGATGACAGTTATGTGGTGTTCTTCTTGCAAGCGTTTGGACACAGTGGATTTTCCACTGGCAATACCTCCTGTGAGTCCTAGAACAAGCATAATTATTTTTTAAATTTTTATGGATCCATTTACGAATTTGGCCCATTGGCTTGAGGGCGACTCACGGCGTCCCGCAGCCGTCATTTCCTCAAAGATACATGTAAAGAAAGACGACGTGACTGGACGGTCGCTTGTCGCAAACAGCCAGATAGACGAAAACGAGCCACTGATAACTATACCGCATTCTTATTTATTAAACTATGCTACAGTCCTAAAACATCTAGAGAAAAGCGCAAATTGGGTTTCCCCTGTGGACTCTAAAAACTACATCTACGTTCCTGATGGGCAAATTGATCCGCTTTATGCCAGATTCGAATTATCAAAACTGTTGAGACTATCGTCCTTTCAGCTAGTTTCACTCTACATTGTTCTAGAAAAACAAAAACCAAATTCCTATTGGAAACCCTTCATTGATGTCCTCCCATCAATATCGGATCTTGATGGGATGCCCATGATTTGGGCTCTTCAAAATGATCCAGTATTTGATCTGCTACCAATCTCCATCAAAGAACACGCTAAAACCCAGCAGGAGAAATTTCTTCGCGACTACAGAACTGTCCAAGAGTTTCTTTCTGATGTTGGTCTGGACTCTGCAAACCCTGTTTCCCAAGATGATTTTTTATGGGCTTGGGTTTGCTGCAATTCCAGATGTTTATACATGGAGCTACCAGAAATATTGGAAAAAAAGCTGGAAGACAATCTTACAATGGTCCCTTTTGTTGACTTCATTAACCACGCACCTGAAGATCATTGCTTTGTTAGTATTTCTCCGACTAAAGGATTTCAAGTGACGTCTGGGCCTCGTCCATATAGTGGTGGAGACCAAATCTTTTTCAGCTACGGAGCGCACAGTGACGAGTTTCTTCTCTGCGAGTATGGATTTATGCTACCATCTCGTTGTAATCCATGGAACAGCGTTGATATAACACCCTACGTTTTGGCCTTGCTCAGAGCAGAACAATCGGAATTTCTTAAAGAACACAACTACTACGGTGAGTACACTGTAATGTCGGATCAGATATCATTCCGGACTGAGATCGCTCTGGCAACGCTACAGGTAAAAGATCTTAGCAAAATACTTGCAATTATTAGTGGCATGAGCGAGGGTGGTGCCTATAAAAAGAATACCGACTTACTAATTAAAAAGATCCTGAACAAAATATTGACGACCTCGAAAGAAAGAGTGGGAAAACTACGCCAATGTTCCGAAAGCTACAACAGATCATCGCTGGCTATTCAAGCACATCATAATATCAATATAATTTGCGACGACTATATACATCATTAAAGATCTAAAATTTACAGCAAGTTCGTAGCGCATGTAACTCTCGTCTAAAACTTATTGTTCCTGTCCCAGCGGCGGTTTCCGAAATTCTTTTTTTCAAAGTTACCTCCGTACCCATTACCAGATCTTCTTGGCTTGTATGAACCCTCACTTCTGTCTCCAAATGTCCTGTTTCCTCTGTTGTATCCTCCAAAATTAGATCCTCCTCTCAAATTGCCTCTCACGTTGAACACCCCTTCAGCATCACGAGATGAAATCCTGAATCTGTCCAGATCGGCTGCCCTGACAGAGGGCAAATTACCCTCGCCCATAAACTTTTGATAGAGATCTCCGCAATCAAGAGCGAGACTTTTTGGATCACCATCTTTCTCGATCCGAGGCACAGAGCCGTAAGAACCCAAAAGCGACGTGACCATCAGATTGATATCGGATGGAATATGTCTCGAAACATCGGTAATTTGATTTGCAAACTCAGGAGTGATCTCAGGTTTATCTAAGATTTCAAACTCATGACCCTCTTTCTTCAATCTTCCAGCATAAAACATTTCGTGCTCAGTCAAAATGGAGATGGACTCTCCTGTGGTTCCAGCCCTTCCTGTTCTGCCAACCCTGTGAGTGTGAGAAGCTGTTTCATATTGCACTCCCAACTGAATCACACTGTTGACACCAGGGAAATCCATTCCTCTAGCACCAACGTTCGACGAAACCAAAACTCCCGTTTTGGCACTTCTGAACCTGATCTGGTTTCTGTTGCGAGCACCCTGACTCAAATCCCCATGCAGGGTGCAAACCTCAGCTTTTCTGCCGTAGTATTCACCAATGACTTCTTTAGCCAAACAGTAGAAAAAGTCAGTGGTTTTGATGTTTGGCATGAACACGATCACCTTACCGTTGGCATCACCTAGCTTTTCAATCACCAACTTCAGGGCAACAGCAAAACTTTCGAAAAGGCTATCTGTTGTCACTAAAGACTGGTTAACAGTGTCCGTCACTTCCGGGCCAGAACTCACATCAATGTACTTGTAATTCTCGCCCATTAGTTTGCGAGCAAGTTCTTTGGTGTTCGAGTCCATAGTGGCAGAAAACATGGTCACTTTCAGCAAGCTAGGATCTTGGTGATTTTCTTTGATCCGGCTAACAATAGCCAGTAAAGCTTCCTTGAAATCATGAGCGCAAAGAACGTCGGCCTCATCAATAACAAAATGTCTCAAATCTTTGAACGAGTTTGCAAAAGAGTGATCAGATTCCAACATGTCCAGCAGTCTTCCTGGTGTTGCCACTAAGGCTGCCGATTTGAATCTTCCATTGACTCCTCTTCTGATCTGATCATACTTCATTTGACCAACACACAAATCGATACCTCGGCGGTTGTTTCTAGGGGCAGCATCCTTCCAAACCTTATCCAACGCCCTTTGCGTTTGGAAAGCAAGGTCTCTAGTCGGGTTGATCACCACGGTGTGAACGCTCTCTTGCTTTCCGAAATTTTTATCCTTTAACCACTCGTCAATCACAGGAAGACCGAATGCGTAGGTCTTACCGGTTCCGGTTTTGGCTCTCACCAGCACACCATTACTGGTAGTAAGCATCTCAGGAATCACTCTCCCTTGAACTTCAGTGAGAGTCTCACTGGCGACCTTTGTGAAAGCATCCTGAACTTTCAGGTGAAGGGCAGTTTGGTCAACCTGGAGGTTCAGAGCTTCGGTGCTGTAGAAGGCAGTAGCCCTTCTAACGGCAGGGCTGCCTAAAGTCGCCCTCACGGCAGCAAACGGTTTAAGAAGAACAAACATGAAAATATCCTTCTTTAGATAAAATTTTTAGGGAGCGAAAATTTTTCATGTAAGGAGGTCGATCGACTTACAAGATACGACAAGTACGTAATTATTTTAGCATGACAAGAAACGCGTTTTTGTTAGGCTCGGACTTGAATTTCAAGTTCTTAGCAGCACAGGCAAAGCAAACGTTGACTGCACAGGGATTTGATGTGCAGCTGCTTTTCAGCAATTCCCGGCTGTTCAGACGATTCATCGAGGCAGGATCTACAATAAAATATACAAACAGTTTGACTCCAGGTAATCCTGTTGCAAAGGAATTTCAATTCAAGGCGCTTGAGAGGCTTCCCGAAACACCCAGTTCAAATGTCGACGATTTAATAGTATGCATGAGCACGCTGAAACTGGAAGAACAGATCCTTCCATACGTCAGCAGAATCTCCAATGATTCAAATATACTATTTGTGAATCCACCATTGGGATCAATACAGGCAACTCTGGACCGATTATGGCCTCGTAGCTCCGAAATGAGGCCAAATGTGTTTCAAGCTGTTACCACGCATGTTTTATCCGGCCCGTCAAGTTTTGATGTGAACCATATAAAAGCAGGAAAACTATTGATCTCCGCATATCCATCCAAGCAAAGCCTTGAAAGTTTTGTCAGCTCACAGTCCACCTTCTTCCCTGCAGACACAGTTGTTCCTTCTGTAGTGAAAGGGTTATTGAACAACCGCATACTCCAGGCAACGTATTGCCCCTTGAAAGACGTATACCAGGTACAGGTTGAAGGAACAGTGGTAGATTGTTGTCTAAATGCATTAGGCCAGGTCCTGAATTTTGATCTAGGGTCGTTGGGCTACACAAATTCGGTTGAGCGCATTGTTTCTGACATTGTTGATGAATGCATACAAGTTTTACAGTCCACGAGACATTATCGTGTGCTGCATCGATACGACCCTTCAATGACGCGGTTGCTCAAGAAGGAACGGCTGATGATGCTCGTCAAGGAGTTGGCAGAACAACACGGCTTCAATCATCAACAGTCGATTCCCAGCTACGCAACCAGCTATATTGTCAACTCAGCCAAGCAACAGCGTCAGGCGACTCCTGTCAATAGCTTGTTGAACAACCTCCTCATATCAAAACGCGAACTGGAGCATCGAGAAGCTGAGCTACCATTTGTCAAATAAATCTCAATACAACACTGTACATGTCGTGAATCCTTCTGAACAGTTACACGACTTGCCCCATCGCACTTAAAAAAAAAAAAGATTAAATATCTGAGCGCTAAGATAATTGAGATTTATTGTCTTTGTTTTATAAAGATACTCAATTAGTGAACAAAACATCAGCCAACTTCGAGATAAATCTCTGAAGCCTCTAAAGCATAACATCGAAAGGGAAAGTGTCTCTGGGCATTGAAAGAGTCTGGGTCTCCACTAGCATTAAAGAATCAAAGGATAGCTTTTTTGTTTTACAAAGCCAAAAAAAATTATCCCTTTTTTGTTTCTATGCAAAACGTCAACTAGTCTTGCGGCCTTAAAATTATAGTTCCAATGAGTTTCTTTGAGACTGTTATGGATACAGAGAGCATTGACCGTCCTGGTACGGGAGACGTCTCGATAGATCTTGCTAATCACATGGTCAAGACTCCGCTTATGTCTCTGGACTTGAATAATATTAACGTCCATGCCAATGAGACAAAAGGCCAATCAGTTATTATCCCGCTCAATGATGGCAACGCTTTCCGTCCAGACTCACGCCAAACCAACTCATCGGGGAGCTTCCAGCCCAATTTCAATTCCGCATTTGATCCAAAATTTCTCGATATGTATACCACAAACTCGCCCAAAGAAGTGATATCACCAACACGATTGCTATATAAAAGTTCAAACAGCACACCAAGGCTAGTTCCTGGAATCTCAATGCTTACACCGAGCGCTTACAGTGATGTGTTCAAGCAATCACCCCTCAAGCTGAATTCAAGATCAGATCCACCTCAGTCGGCTTCCAGAATGATGTTCCCACGCTCCTTGTATGAAGATGTCGAGTTATCCAATGCCTGGCTTGGGAGGGACACCCCGAACGGCGATACTACAGAAAACATGCTATCCGATGGACATGCATTTGGCAATATGAATGATTCCCATTTCTACATTCAATCCTCATTACCTGGTTCACGAGAAGCCAACAGGATGCCAAGTGATTTATCTTACTCGAAAGAAAAATCAAAGAACAAATTTAGTGTGGATGCTATCAGCTCCCTTCCCTCCTCAAGGCCAGTGTCAGAGAGTTTCAAGATACCAACTTTCAATATTCCAGCGGATCTTAAATATGAGGAGAAAGATTTTGACTTTGGCATGGATTATAGACAAGATAAAAAGGTCAAGAAAGCCTCTTTTCCAACAGTGACGAACACGATAAAAGATACCTTTGGTCCACTGCTTGTAGGGGAACAGCCTGTGAAGAAAAAAAGGGGCAGAAAGCCGGGATCCACCAACAAAAAGCGCAAGGAAGGCGCATCAAAAGACGACAAAAATAAGAAGAAAAAACTCAAAGTTAGATTCCCGAAAAAGAGAAAGACGACGCTGTCCGACATAGATCCTGCTGTTCACTTCCAATTTGGGGATGATGATGATTTTCTTGGGCATGACGACTTTGATCTTGCTGATATTGATTCCCACAAACCACATGCCTCTGGCGGGCCAGAGGACATGCAAGATCGGATGAAGAGAATAAGGAATCGTGCACCTCGATCTAAGAACGGTTGTTGGACTTGCCGACTAAGAAGAAAACGTTGTCCTGAGCAGCGGCCAGTTTGTTCCGAGTGTGTGAGGTTAGGTCTTGAATGTGATGGTTACTCCTCTGAGCGACCTTCTTTCATGCGAAATGCAAATGCTGCAAAAGGAAAGATGGAAGAGATCAAAATCATCACGCTAGCCAAGAAAAAACGTGGTTCAAAACAGAGATATGAGCGCGAGCAACGCTTGTCTGCAGGCTCTCCCAGCGATCCGCTAAAACCACCTAGTTAAATTTGCAACCGACTCTCTCAATATAAATTGTCTATTAATTATAAATGTATATATTAGGGTTTTCCATACTGATGATACGCGTTATAGAGTTTCTCTTGTGCCACTTCTTGGTTCATTGTTTCCATATTCAACGGTTGCTGGAAAAAGAAAGAATTGTAGTGCATTGCATTGAAAGAATCTGCCAGAGGTAACTGAGGGGGAAGAGTAAATGAATTGCCGCTGGTCTGGGCCGGGAGGGGGTCAACTGCAGGCTTGAAAAATTGAGACTGAGAAGTATCCATAGGGTAGTAAAATCCCATGTTTGCTTGCTGTGGTTGCAAATTGGCCATCAATGGCTGGTTCGACCAGATATTAGAAAATATCGGAGGGCTTGTAGCAGGCACGGTCGCTGGAGGCGCTTTAGTCAGCTCTGGAGAGTTTGCGGCACTAACAGGCTGAGCAGTCAAATCTTCCTCGGGGTCGCTTACAATTGAGTCGACCATGGAAACAAACTGATGTTCACTTTCTTCGTAATTCGATTTACCATCCTTCAAAGGCTTGGAGCGTTTCTTTGTAAATTGTTTCACCTTGTTGTCTGGGATCAAAAACAATTGAGTTGTAGGATCAAATTGCAAATCGACTTTGTTTTCACTTAGGATGCGTATTCCCATATGTGCAACGGAAATCATTCTCAGGACGTAATCACAGAGTTTCATGGACTTGTGGCTTTCGTCAGGAAGTTCTCCGATCAAAGCAAGCACCGAAGTCTCAGACTTTTCTTGAAACTTGCTATCATTGAAGTCATCCAATGCATAGTTGATTGGTCTGAATTCTTTTAAAGTAACGTCTTCTTTGAAAAGTCTCTTTCTTTCAGGCTTGTAGTCCTTGAACCTCGTATTAGCATCCACTTGGGAAGTTGCCTCCGGGTTAATGCGGAAATATTGAACAGCGTTGTTGACAATTTGGGCTAGCTTGAAAGCGTATTTTGGAGTTTGAACTAGGTAGCTTCTTGGAAGCTCTCTCTCCTTGAACCAACAAAGCATCAGTCTGACAAGAGGAAGCAAGAGATGAGTGAGATCGGGTTGATCCGAGTTTCCATTCCAGTTATCCAGCGAGATTTGCATCATGTTATCCAAAAACCTAAATGTAAATTTCAAATATTCTCCGATGATAGCGGTGCTATGGTCCAGCTCGGGGTGGACCATATTGTTATCGACCAGCAACTCAAATCCCCCAATCAAGATCACAAGCTGTTTGAAATATAGATCATTGAAAACCTGTTTCCGATAATCCAGTTGTTTCATAAATTTATAAAAGTCCGTCTCAATGTCGGGGATTGAATGATGATGAACCAAATAACCCTCCGACTCCTTCCACTGACCTGGCAGCAAGTAGTAATCGAATAGAACAAGGAATTGATACCTTAGCAGCTCATACTTCACATTCTTTGTGAGATCAGATTTCGGCGTTGAATTGTGCGCTTCGAAAACCCTCAACATCGGATTAGGTTTTTTGGACACATAATTAATAAGGTTACCGAGGCCGATGGGCAATGGTTCGCTGCTGAGGGACGACCGGATGAAGTTGTAGACCACATTGAAACTATCCTCTTTGAGATTATCGATGATAGCAATATGGTTGTAAGGATCTCCTAAAGAAGGCAAGATCAGGAGAGCCAGTTTATAGAGCTCGATAGACTTGCTATAATTGTTGTTGTCTTCTTTGGAGATTGAAGCTGTCGGCAAATATGTCTTTGCAACCAGGGCGCGATATCTAGAGAGGTCTCCGATGTAAAGAACGCATTTGCTAATCACGTAGACCAACGACTCGATCGTACGTTGGGATGGGGATTTTCTCGGCTCTTTGTAAGTGATGTCTATTTTCAGCGTCGTGGTAAGTTTCTTGACCGGAACAAAGAGTATGATGTCATGCGATGTTAGAATTTCCTTTACCAAACTGATATAAAAATCATAGCACTTGGAAATAAACCGCACAAAATGCTCGAATGTCTTCCGGATTTCCACGCTGGTAAAAGGCCTTTGCTTTTTAGACGATGATTTCTTTTTTGACAGATACCGAAATTGTGACTGAAAAATCTTGATCGTGGGGTGATGAAGGTCGACCCAAGCTCTGTCAACGACTTTCCCCAGCATAGCCCGAGAAGCGGTGGGCACGCTCAAGTTGTCAAGGATGTAGGTCATTAGCTTTGACTGAGCGAAACTAACGGTACCAAGCAAAAGAGACTCATCGCTAGAGTATTTGTTGCCCAAAATCTCCAAAATCTTTTGCTTGTTCTGGGATAATATCTGCTCTATGGGCTCCTCCAACTTGGAAGGGTTATTGAATTCTGAATTCGTCATAAGTGAAACAGGGCCAAAACGGGGCTCATTGAATGACTGTGACACGCGGATCTTACTCTTAGACAAAAGATAACTCAAATACTATCCTTTTCTCGAACAGTAATTTACCGCGCTTGTGGATCAAATCACTTGTAAATTCCTGATATTATCTTGAGATAAAAAAATATTTGCTAAGAAATCCACAGTAGTAAAATCTCTCATATACCAGGCGATTAGTTCTATGATTGATGATTATTTGCAGATTGAAAAAAATTTGAGAGATGCCCCGAGACCAACCAGGCTGGTTACAACGCAACTGCTTATATCTGCGGTGGCTGGATTTTTGATATTCACAGCGTTCTGTGTCTTGAGATGCCGGTTCCCCAATATATACATGGCTCGAATGAACTACCTAAGCGTGTCGAATCGCAAATTTATGCCTCCCGTGCTCTCCACCAAGTCACTATTTGGCTGGCTGGGTACTGTCTGGCGTATAACGGAGGCAGATGTTCTAGAATATGCCGGACTTGATGCTTTTGTGTTTCTCAGGTTCTTCAAGATGGGCATAAAACTTTTGTCTGTGTGCTGGCTCTTTTCGGTTTTAGTCATCTCTCCGATTCGCTACTACTTCACGGGAGACTACGATCAAGGTGACGGCGATGATAGCTCGGTCCCCAAGGATCCCTCCGAGGCAACAGATTATCATACATATCTGTGGGTTTATGTCATTTTTACTTACGTCTTTACCTTCATCACGGAGCATTTCCTCATGCAGCAGACCCGCAAGGTTATTCAGTACCGACAAAGTATTCTTGGCAACCAAAATTCCATTACGGATAGGACCATCCGATTGAGTGGAATTCCTCCCGAGCTTCGAAATGAGCGCGCGCTTCGAGACAGCATCGAGTCCTTGGGCATTGGTAAGGTTGCCAAAATCGTCATCTGCAGGGAATGGAAGAAGCTGGACTTGTTGTTCAGGCAGAGGAACCGCATAATTCGAAAATTAGAGATCTACTGGGCCAGGTATATCGGCACTGCAAAAAACCCAACCTTTAACATTCGGCCGTTTGTTGAAAGCTCCTATCCTTTGACACCCGAAACTCCAAGATACCGGGATGAAGAAGAAGGGTCGGATAGCACACATATGGGGACAGCATCCGATGCAGATACTTCAGACTACGAGTTTGGCTCCAACTCTGTTGTCGAATACCAAGGTTCTCCAACTGATATCAATCCTTTCGGAACGAGTTTTGGGTCTGCAGTGTACAAGAAGAGACCTCAAATAAAACTGGGTTTTTTGGGGCTCTGGGGCAAGTCGGTGGATGCAATTGACTATTATACCCAGCAATTGAACGTGATTGATGAAGAGATTGTTGTCGCTCGTCAGAGACACTATCCTGCCACTCCCACAGCGTTCATTACCATGGACTCGGTCGCCACAGCACAGATGGTGGCACAAGCGGTTTTAGACCCTCGAGTCAGTTTCTTGATCACCCGCACTGCTCCTGCCCCCAAGGATATTATTTGGGAGAACGTGACTTTGCCACGCAAAGACAGAGTCTTGAAAATATACTATATCACCATATTGACTGGTATCATGGGAGTTGCGTTCATTTTCCCTGTCGGTTATCTGGCCACTTTGCTCAACTTGAAGACAATCAGTAAGTTTTGGCCAGATTTAGGAGAACTTCTTGAGAAACACGAATGGGCACAGAAGTTTGTCACTGAACTGCTTCCTGTGTATCTGTTCACCTTGCTGAATTTTGTGATCCCATACCTATACGTTTGGTTGTCTTCCAGACAAGGGTTTGTGTCTCACGGAGAAGAAGAGCTATCGGTGGTGTCCAAGAACTTTTTTTACGTTTTTGTGAACTTGTTCCTGGTCTTCACGATGGCCGGTACCGCTTCGAATTACTGGGGTTATTTAAGCGATTCCAAGAAACTTGCCCTGCAACTAGCTACCTCTTTGAGAGGATTGTCATCTTTTTACGTGGATACCATATTGCTTCAAGGGTTGGCTCTCATGCCTCTTAAATTGCTGATCACAGGCCATGTGTTGCGTTTCATGTTCATAAGGGCAAGCTGCAAGACACCAAGAGATTTCAAAGAGCTGTACAGGCCGCCTGTTTTCAACTTCGGCTTGCATCTACCACATCCCATTCTCATCTTGATTATCACACTGCTCTATAGTGTGATGTCCACCAAAATACTGTCATCGGGACTTGCATACTTCATAATTGGTTATTTCGTGTACAAGTACCTGCTTATCTACGCATGTATCCATCCGCAGCACTCCACAGGTCAAGTGATGCCAATTATATTTCGTCGCATTGTTCTAGGTCTACTTCTCTTTCAATTGACAGTGGCAGGCTCTTTGGCTCTGAACAATGCTTACATCTTGGCGATGTTCCTCATCCCATTACCCTTCCTCACGATCTTTTATCTGTGGAATTTTGAACGCAACTATCTGCCGCTGAGCTTTTTCATTGCTTTGCGTGCTATCAACAAGGATACGCAAGCAGAGACAGACCCGCAGAGCCCAACTGGCGTAAGAGTAAATCACGCTCTGACAAACGGAGTGAGTTTCTCGTCTTTGAGATCCAGCACCATCGACGAGCGCAGAGAGTATAATCAGACTTACGAGTATCCGTATTTGGTGCAAAGTTTAGATGGCCCATGGTTGGCAGTCGATGCCGAGCAGGTAGTGATGGCTACAAAGGACGGCACAGTGCGGAAGCGGTTTACATTCGAGGAATTTTAGATTCTATAGAGCGCGAATATATTGTAGAGCGATATTTAAAGACCCACATATTTGAACAATTCGGTCACCAGCTCCAACTTCAGTTGGATTTGATGCATTTCATCCAAAATCAGTGTTTTGAACGGTAGACGGTACATGAGCCGGAAGACCGACATGATTAGAAGCCTGGAGACAACGAGTTTGATTATATAGCTCGTGAAAACTATCAGCGAGAGTTTCCAGTAGTGATTGTTCTGATTTTGTAGTAATACGATATGGATGGCCTCGATGAGAATGACAAGATGTATGATTTGTACCATGTTTGCTGTGACATTCAAAATGAATATGTCGTATGGCCAGATAAGCATCACAATCGGGAAGAGCTTTATGAGGTTGGAGAGCAGGATGGTGGAGGAAATGATGCTGATGAAATATTCTCTGGAAAAGTGTACTCTTTGGATGTGCGTAGGGCTTGATGATGTAGACGACGAAGATGACGTAGACCTTGCTAATCGAGGTGATTCATTGGACGGCAAAGCTTTGAGAGACGACAGAGGCACATGATTTTCAAATTCGACTGTTATCGGATATCCAAATCCAAGGAGTTTGTATATGAAGAATTGAAGCGACAAATGCAAAACCACGGTATCGAGAACGGCCTTTGTGAGAAAAAATGAGTACTGTGACATGATTCTTGGCAGCTCCAATACTATCCGGTTGATCAATGACGTCCTGTATATGTTTTCCAAGTAGTTCTTTTCCTCGTAGGCCCAGGTCAGGTAGACCTCGAATAGAAGCATGAGCACCAGCAGGCGCAAGAACGGGCCATGTCGTTGAAAGAAAGTTCTTTTATGGCTTTGTAAATCTCCTTTTCCATCTGCAGAGTCCGCTCCATAGTTCAACGATTGGTTGTAGATCGTGTGTCTATAGGCCTGAGGTTTCAAAAGCATCAGATCGATGAATAACAGCACCTTATCAAATTCTATATATCGGTCTGCAACTTTGTGGCAGTTAGAGCATATCGTCAATCGAATATGATCCCCCTTATATTTCTCATAGAGCGTCTGAATGGGTGTAGAGCACTCTACGCAAATCATGCTCAAAAACAGTGAGACTATTTTTTTATATATTTCTTATTTATTGGCATGTCTCAAAGAAAGGTGTGCCCGTATTTCCAGAATGGCAATTGCCGCTACGGAAACCGATGTCACAATCTTCACATCAAAAATGGACATGAGGATTTGAAGAGTTTCACATCTGCCTCCTCCTTACAGGCCAAAACAGAGGATATAAGAAAGAATATCGATGCCATACTGCCTGATGTTCGCAATGGCGCAATATTGACTGCTTTCAGTTTGCCTCCGCCCGCTAATGTAAACATCATAAGTGGAAGAGACATGTCATATGAGGAGCTACGGCTTCACTACTATCAAAACCCAGATACAGCCATCCGTGAATATAATAGTCGAAAACAAGACATGCTCAAATGCTTAGAATCTGTGCGAAAAGATGCCCAAAAGGCTGCTCGGTATTTGCAATTAGCAGCAGAGAAGAATCCAGCAGACGTCAAACCGTTCATCAATTTCTCTATCAATACGAACACTGTCCCGTCTTCATCATCATCCTTGCCGTTTGGAAATCGAAATTCGTCGCCTTTCAATCAGCAGAGTTCCTCTTTCGGCTCCACTAAAAACCCTTTTGGGGGCCCCGCAGCGCAACCCAATCCATTTGGTGCGGCAGCGACAACAATCTCCAACCCATTTGCATCGTCCGGCACACCTGCTTTTGGAAGTGCAGGTTTTGGGTCCAAGCCCAATCCCTTCGGATCACAAGCCAACACAAACAGCGTATCTAGTCCATTTGGCAGCTCATCAGGAGTCTCCTCGGGTTTTGGCAGAACAGGTTTTGGGCAACCCACGGCAGCTTTGGCAGGTGCCAAACCCAATCCATTTGGAGCCCAATCCAGTACATCCACTAACACTGTCAGTCCCTTTGGCGCAATCTCTGGCAACACAATGAATTCAGGTACGGCGTCATTTCCTAATGGAGCTGCCACGGCTGCTTCTTCGTCCTCTACAGGTCCTTTTGGTGGCCAAAATATGGCTTCTAGTCCTTTTGGGGGCCAAACCAATACGGTTCAGCCCAGTCCTTTTGGAGCAGGATTACAGTCCACTACGGCCAACGCTGGTCCTTTTGGAAACCCGCAGGCGTCTTCTGCCTTTGGAAAAAGCGGGTTCGGCGCATTTGGGGCTCAAAAAGCCAGTCCTTTTGCGCAGCCTACCGCTACTGCTAAACCTTTTGGCCAGGCTACGGCTAGCAATGCCAGCAATTCGTCGCCTTTTGGTAATTCATCATCTACGCCTTTTGGACAAGCTCAGAACTCGCCTTTCGGACAACCAAATGCATCTTCCTTCGGACAAACTACAAACCCTACCCCTACCGCTTTCAAACAGTCTGGAATAGAAGAGCCAAAGACCAAACTCGAAGACTTGTCGGAATCTATTATTAATGAGTTCAAGGCCGAGCGTTTTACTTTGGGACAGGTCCCGGACGTTCCTCCTCCACTGGAGATGTGCTAAGCGTTGCTGGCCGTTACAGTTCGATAACTGTCCGTCAGAAGGCGTGAGCTGCGGCTGGTCAAAGCGAATGCCTCGCGATACATGGACCCTATTTCATGGAGCACCTGGTCTTTGTGCACGGATCCCTCGCAAATAGACTTCAGTTTGACTTCAAGATTCTTGCGCAAGAAGGGTTTCGTCAAGGACATGCTATCGAAGCCGATCTGGCCAAACCCTTCTGCCAGGGCGTAGCCGAGCTCCGTTGGAATAAGAACCTTGGACTTTGATTTTCCGCGGCCCTGATCCTCTTTGGTGACATATGAGCGCTCTATGATTTTTTCAATATGCTCTGCGATAGTCGCGTCGGTGCCGATTCCGTTAATATCCATCAATGCAATGAGCTCGGGCTCGGTGAGAGGGCTCGGAGGTGATGTTTTTCCGGTGGATAACTGTGCAGAGGTTAGAGTCACCTTCTCCCCGGCCTGAACTTCTGGAATCTTGGACTTGGAAGACTCCCACGAATTGTAGATATACACTTCCAAATAATTGAGCTCCTTGACAATGAGTCCAGAAGTCGTGAATGTTTCTGTCCCCCATTTGAGAGTCAGACTAGTCCTCAAACCTGTCGCGTCCTTGGAACAACATCCCAGAAACCGTCGCACTACGTACTCGTAGAGCTTGCGCTCGTTTGCATTCAGTGACTCTCCACTCGTGAATATAACAGGATGAATGGGAGGGTGTGCTTTGTCGTCATGCGAGCCCTCTCTCGGCTGCCTGAATTTGCTACCATCGTTCAACAGCATTTGGGCATAATGACCCCACGTTTGGGATTGTGTTTGCGACTGGATCAATTTTTTGAAGTCCATGTTTTTGGGAAATCGGTCGGTCTCTGTCCTGGGGTAGGAAATAAATCCAGAATTGTACAGCTTTTCTGCAATGGTGAGCGTTTGTTTTGCACTAAATTTGAAGAATCTAGCACAGTCTTTTTGCATCTCGACTGTTGTAAGCGGCAAAGGAGCCCAATTTGACGTTGGTTTCGTGTCGAGCGATACCACTGTTGCCTCATTACCATCCATCTCGATACAATTCTGATATATGCATAGGGCCGCAAATCTATCAAACAAATGACCTCTAGCCCATGTGGCAGATGTTGTTCCTTTGGCTTTGTCATTCTTCTTTTTGAAAGCGAGATTCAAATACCAGAATTCCTCCGGTACAAAGTTCTTGATTCTTTTGTACCGATCAACCACAAAACCGAGCGTAGGAAACTGGCATCCTCCATAGGACACGACGCTATCATACTTGAAAGTTCTTCTGAACAGGTCCGTGAGAAGGCGCGTGAAGCTGGACCCAGTGCGCAAGTCGAGCTCCATGCGTGTCAGAACGGCGTCGATCGCCTTTTGATCTAGTTTCGTGGTATTGCATGCTGCCCGAATCACATGCGACCGTTCAAGATGGGAGAAGTGCGCTCGCTGGGTGGTCTCCAAATTGATGCTGGGGTTCTTCTTTTTTGCCTGTTCCATAATCTCGTATCCAATGTACTCTCCTTCTCGATCGCAATCTGTCCATATCATTAGAATATTCGATCGTGAAGCTTCATCAGTGATATTTTTGGCAATGTTCATGGAATTTTTGTCAGTGAATCTCGTGAGAATTGGGGCCTCAAAGAGACTCGAGTGCTCGCATTTGCCCCAACCGTAGTTTTCAGGGAAATCTATCGTGGTAATGTGGCCAGTCACCGCCGTCATCGTAACCTCACAGCTCCCGAACTGCGGGAAGTTGAACTCGAAATCGTAGTTCTTGATCCAACCTACCTTTGTTTGTCGCGTGGATACCCGTCCCCCTCCAAGTATGAAAGCCACGGCTTTCGCAATGGCAGGTTTCTCGGCAACACAAAGAACCCTCATGACGCGTAGAAAACGATAAATATTTTGATCTGATTATGTAACGCTTTTTCTGTGAAATATTTTGCACAATGGCCTGCTCAAGGTACTCACCGCGAAGCCTCACCTCCGTTCTCCGACATGTGCACTACGACAGGATCCTGTGCTACGAGCAGGGCAACCGAATTCAAGAGCATCTTGTTTCGGAAATGCTTGAAAATAAAAAGAACAAGATACCAAATGAAAGGCCCACGGTCCTGTCTTTCCAGTTTCAGCACACGTACACGGGAGGCAAACGAGAACGGATCAATACAACCCCTGAGCGTCGAAAATTCATAGAAGTCATAAAAAATGCTAAGTTCGTACAGACATCCAGAGGGGGCCAGATCACATACCATGGTCCGGGACAGCTGGTAATCTATCCACTCCTAGATTTGAGCGAGTTCAAAGGTCTTAAATCAAAATGCTATGTATCCTTGCTCGAACAATGCGCAATCGAAACATTGCGAGAACCTTGGGTGGGTCTCAATGCGGTGACAACCGAGAACACGGGAGTCTGGGTTGATAATAACGGTCTGCGGAAAATCGCCTCGATAGGAGTCAATTTGCGACGATCGATAACGTCTCATGGAATATCAATCAACGCATTCCCCGATTTGTCGTATGTAAACGATCCGAGAATAGTGCTTTGCGGTCTTGACCAGTACCATCAGACATCAATCAAGGAAGAAACCGGTAAAGTGGTGGATATAGATAGATTGGCTGATTCATTCGTGAAGCACCTGGCTAATCGATTGGGCTTGAAAGTGGAAGCTCAGCCCAATGTCAAGTTGGAACCCATCGAATGATGTTGGGATCATATTTAAAGAATAATGCAATGGCCACGGCGATCAACACTGTGGAAGCAGCAAATATTGGAATAGTGTTGAACTGACGTTGCACGGTAAACGGCTTTGCGGCTTCTATCTGTAAATCGAGTTTTTGGTTACGAGTTTCATGCTCACTTTTTGAGGTTTCAACCTCAGTGGAAGGCTCAGTCGGCTTCCGACATACCTCTTTGGAATTTTCTAATTGTCGCGTCAATTCTTCCACCTTGAGCCCTAGAGAATATACTTCCTTTTGCGCCTGCACCTTCATGGTTTTCTCTTTTTCTAAATCGTCTAATACTGACCCCAGTTTTGACTTGACAATTTCCAATTCTTTCAGCACCTTCAAATGGGCTTCCTCTTTTTCGTTGAATTTTACGGCTGCACTAATTTCACTAGCACGAGCGACTGCTAGTTGCTCTCGTAGGTCTATCAATTCCTCTTCTAAAACCTTGACACGTTCATCTGAGTCGCTTTGTCCCAGGTTGAAAGCTGTTGGAGTATACTGTGTATAGTTTTTCATGAACTTGGAGATTTCTCGAAGCCTCTGCTGTTGTATGTACTCGTTGTTAATTGATATAATGAGCTTTCGTACCACATCATCAAGTTTGGCCGACGGCTTGATATTCAAATTAGTCACAATTTTATTTTCCTCTTTTTTCGTTGTCTCTTTCTCTTCCACATGGGAGAGCTCATCCATTAGTGACTCTAGCACCAGGTCTTCTTGCTCTTCTATCACGTCGCTGAAAATAAGAGCATCTAGTGAACTGTTAAATAGCTCCAATTTCCTACTTTCTTGATTGCCTTTACTCAAAGTTTGGCTAATGACATTTTCATATTCCTCTAGACTCATGTATGTCAGTTCCACCACCTTGCATGTAATCTTTTTGTGTGCTACTTGTGACTCCAGCGTGGTGCCCAGATCTAGCTTGTCGCCTAGTCTCAACTCATATTCTTTGTGTGGCTCTAGTTTCTCATCATTAATGAATGTTCCATTGGACGACTTTAAATCCCTAATGTACAGCTTGTTGTCTCTTATGAATAGCTCAGCATGATTTCTAGAAAGAACACGTGAATCAAAGTATCCATCTGTTATCTTGTTTGTGACCTTAGGCACGTTCTGACGGCCAATCTTGAGAGACTCCGGCGCGAGGGGAACATTCAAGATCTTGACAAATTCTGAAGGTGACTGATCAGGAGACACTAATTTCACAACGTGAGCAAATTTTTGCAAGCGTGGGGGCTGTGGATCACTCTCACGGGCTTCAGGCTGACTTGGAAGCGGCGACCCTGTATATAAGGCATTGTTATTGACAGAGTTGTAATTGCTCTGTGTTTTGGATGCCGAACGCTTTCTCTGGTATACAGGCTGGTCCGTCCGTTGTATATCTGCCGTGGCATTGCTGACCCTGGTAGACATGATTTGTGCCAAGGGGATATTCGTTGGAGTAAAACAACAATCGTTTGATCTACGTATTTTTTGTTTTAAAGTTTACCCGTTGAATCTCAAATTTTTGTGATTACGTAATAAAGAGGCTAATCTACTGGAGAGCAACAGCATGCGTCCATAATGCGAAACATTTCTGGGCGACGACAACTTGGTTGACTAGCGAATTGTGTGAAATAGAAGTTCACTCATCAGCTAGCATATGAAAGATCGTTCTAGTTGTTCGGGCGTCAATTTGACAAGTCAGGTAAACTTTGCAACCTCAAATCGAATATGAGGCGGACTCATTTCAGGTAAAACCTGTATTCCTGTACGCAACAGGCACGATGTATCTTGTATAAAAAATCTGGATGGTAGCATGATTCTTTTTAGCATTTCAGAAGATCCGAATTACAATACATTGCTATCTGATTATAATATAGTGGCAACCCAATCATGAAGCTCGCAGAATGCAATTTTCGAAAGTGACAAAACAAACCATATGTGTTCCCGATTTGGGGCAGTTGCGTGTTTCCTGGATGTAGAATTAATGTTGAAGGAGAGGCTTAGGGAGGCGAGTGCTAGGTTTGAACACACGAGACCGATCGACGGCCAATGGAAAAACAAAAACGATAACCACAGCGCCCCAAGTTTGCTCAGGTTGCTGTAAGAGTCCTCGGTACTCATTAATTCACAGTTCACCCATATCTCGGCTTCGCCAATATTGACCAATATTGAGAATTTCGTTATTAATCACTTTACCGCAAATGGAAATCTAATTTTATCGAATTGGGTTAGATGCAGCAAAGTTCGATCAGATTGCGATAAGGGTGAGATAAGACAGAGGTATATAAGGAAGCACAGCCTGTTGTCTCTCTTGCTAATTTCATACAGAACCACCACTATGAAGTTATCGTTCGCTATTCTTGCTCTGGCTACTTGTACTTTCGCTTACAATGGTACTGAGACGTTGACCATTACCTGTACTGAGGAGAAGTGCACTTCTGCTTCCATTTCAACCTACGAAGATGGTGCTCCTGCCGTTCGTGTTGGAGCCCTAGCTGCTGTTGGAGCGCTTGCTTTGTACGCCCTGTGATAGAGATATGATAATTATGTAATATTTTGCTAAACAGGTGAGATTTATTTATTTCTAAAACGAGGTGTAGAGATGTTCTGTTTGGCAAATGTGGGCTTTTTTCCGCTCTCGAAACGAAAAGGCGGTATCGGGCACTCTCTCTATACATGGTGCAGGGTCCTAAATTTCTTAGAAGCATTTTCATGCGGCTACATTTTTTATTCTTTGTTTTCGCTCGTTAAAAACCGAAAAGTGCGCTCGCTGAGCACCAGAAAAGCCAATCACGGAATACCTCATAGATGCAATTCAAGCACACCTGCGTATTAATCGACCATAACGGCTACCCTTATTCACAAAAATAGAACCTGGAGACCGTTTCTGGAAGCAGCTAAGCAGGCAATAAAAGATATATAAAGCCTCGTGCTCCTCGAGTAGAGACCATCAAAGATATCCAATGCTCTCGTTTAAAACTCTTTGCGCTACAGCTTTCGCTCTTACTGCCGTTTCGGCTGCCCCTCAAGCCGACCCATTTGCTTTCGCTAAGGCTGTCGGACTCCCAGTTGCCGCAGAGGCAAGTTACGCTTGCCACGCTTCCTGTGGTTACGCTATTTTGGCTGCCCGTCAGTGTTCCGCTACTGGCTCCGAGGATTCAGACTACGACTCCAGCTGTCTCTGTGCTTCCGACGGTCAATTCTTGTCTTACGTCCCAGACTGCCTTGACTGTGGATGGTGTCTGTGGGATGACTACGGAACCTACTTGACCTCTGCTTTGGCTCAATGTTCTACCAGCACCGAGCCAACTGGTACTGCTTGTGCCTCCAGCACCGCAGCAGCAGCATCCACCTCCTCTGTTGCTGCTGAGTCCACCGAAGTCTCTTCTTCGTCGGCTGCTTCCTCAACCGAAGCTTCCGAGACCTCTTCCTCTTCGGCTGCCTCCTCAACCGAGGCCACTGAAGAGACTACTTCCTCTACCCAGGCTACAACCGAGGCTACTGAAGTCTCTTCTTCATCTGCTGCTGCCTCGACCGAGGCCGCTACCTCCGCTGCTGCTACTACTTCCTCTGAGGCTGCCGTTTCCTCTGAGGCTGCTGCTTCCTCTGAGGCTGCTGCTTCCTCTTCCGAGGCTGTCAGCTCTTCTGAGGCCGCTAGCTCCTCTGCCCAAGCTGAAACCCAGGCAGCCGAGTCTAGCTCCGTTGCTTCCACTTCAGAGGCCCTGTCCAGCTCCTCTTCGTCCAACTCTAGCGGAACCATCTCCACTTACTCGGGAGCTGGTGCTAAACTCGCCGTTGGAGCTGGTGCCGCTATTGTCGGTCTTGCAGCTCTGCTTATGTAATTTTTTTGCGAATCTGAAATTTCCTTTTCATACCAAATTTTCCTTTTCATATTCTAGATCTTTATAAGCGGCTGTGCATTTATGACATATTCATTTGTTGCATTGTGGCGCTTTGCTCCAGTAAAAAGATCGAGCTGTGGATTTGTAAGCCACAGCTTCTTGTCACCAATTTTTCACTTATTTGGCCCTCAATAAAACTCTGGCTCCTCTCAGGCACCATATTCTTTCCTTTCTTGCTCAAAGTCATATGACCCCCAAGAACATGATCACTATGGATCCCGAAAAGAAAGCCTCGCTCCTAGATGAATTTGATTTCAATTTTTATCCATCTAGTACTCAGGAGCAAAGAACGGACACCGACCTTTCGTTGTTCTCGAACAACGAATTCCGCAATTTTGATTCTGATGCGCAATTGACCATATCTCCACAAGAAACAAGTCTCGATCCACAACTTACCACCATATCATCGCAAGTTCAGAACAACAGTCTCGAGAAGAGACGCCGAAATACTCTTGCTTCAGCGCGGTTTCGCATCAAGAAGAAGCAGAAGGAGAAGGAAATGGAGGAGAGATTTGATCAGGTGCATCGTCACATAGACTCTTTGAAAGTCAGGATCAAAACTTTGGAAATGGAAAACAAATGCTTGAAGGAATTGTTGCTAACTCCTGCCGATTCCAAAGCACCTTCTCTTTCCGGCACCTCCAACTATGCTCTTCTGCAACTCATCAAACAACATTCCGGTGACTCTTTCAAGGTCACGACTGTATAATATTATCGATTTTCTAGCTCGCCGGTGACGGACCGGTTTCGGAGTTTTTTTTCTGCCTCACGATAAGATTTCAATTCACGATTAAATAAATACATCTGATTCAATGGCTACTTATTCCACTAAAGTGTTTGATCACGGTAACTACGAGTCTTTCAGGCCGTCTTACCCGACTGAATTCCTCGAGTTGATTCTCAAGTATCATCAGGGCCCAACCAACCGTCTTCTCGATGTTGGATGTGGCACGGGACAGGTGACTTTCCCCTTCTCTCGTTACTTCACAACATCAATTGGAGTTGATCCAAGTGAAGGTATGATCTCCAGATGCAAAGCAAAAGATTCCAGCAACCAGCTTGAATTCTATCAAGGAAAAGCAGAGGACTTAAACATGATCTCCTCTGCTTCAATTGACGTCCTCACGGCCGCAGAATGTGTCCATTGGATGGACCCAGCCGGCTTTTTGAATGAGGCCGCTAGAGTGCTATCTCCTCAAGGAACTTTAGCATTCTGGTTGTATCTCGAACCAATATTCAAGGATAACGTATTGAACGAGATCTACCACAAATATGTTATGGGAGACCCTACTCTGATGAGACACTACTGGGACGAAGGCAAAAGCAGATTTTATGACTGGCTCAAAGATGCTACAGAGCTGGTTAGTAAACATGATAAGTTCGAGAATGTTGAACTGGTCAAGTTTGACCAGCTACATTTGCCCAAGAATAAACGGGAGCAGGCGTTGAAATCCAAAACATTGGATGGAAAACCTCTTCTGTTCCTTCAAAAAGAATGCACTCTTCAAGAGTTTCTTGCTTTCATCAATACTTATAGTCCTCTACCAGCATGGTACAGAGCGAATGAAGGTGCAAAGGGAACGGAAAGGGATATTATGTTCCGTCTGGAGACGGACCTAAAAGAGTCTGGAGTCTGGAAGACCACTCAAACCATTACTTGGGATACCATGTATTGTTTTGCTAAAAAGAAATCATAGAGTGATTTATACTTGCTCCTTGATTGGCTCAATGTTCCAAATATTGTCTGCATACTCTTCTATGCAACGGTCACTCGAGAAGAATCCCATGTTGGCGACTGAAATAATGGACTTTCTGGTCCAATTGTCCTGATCTTTATATTCCTTATCAATCGTTCTCTGTGCCTCTAAGTAGCTTTCAAAGTCGTCACTGACAAGGTAGTAGTCACCGTGAAATTTGACGTTTTCCACAAGCGTGCGGTATTCTTCGTAGCTGCCGAACTTGCCCGACTCAATAGCATCAAACACTTGATTCAAAGAATCGGGAATAGTTAAACGGCCCATGTTATGTTCGTGGCGAAGCTCCTCCACATCCTCTGAAAGATTTCCAAACAAGAATATTTGGTCCTCACCTATTTCTCTCGTGATTTCAACGTTAGCACCGTCAACAGTACCAATAATGAGACCTCCGTTCAAGACGAACTTCATATTTGAAGTTCCTGAAGCCTCTGTTCCTGCTGTGGAAATATGTTGGGAAATGTCTGAAGCTGGACAAATAGTCTCAGCCTTGGAAACGTTATAGTCGGGGATGAAAACCACCTTCAATATATCACCAACGTCTGTGTCCGAATTGACAACATTAGAAACTGCATTGACCAGCTTGATTATCTTCTTGGCAGCGTAATATCCAGGAGCAGCCTTACCGCCAATAATACACACTTTGGCGGGCCATTTGGCAGCGCGCTCTTCTTTTGGAGTGGCTTTGATCTGCAAGTATCTCCAGATCACACCAAAAATGTTGAGCTGTTGGCGTTTGTACTCGTGAATTCTCTTGACCTGAATGTCAAACATGCTGTTCGGATTGACTTCAATGCCTGTCAGCGTCTTGATCATATCAGTCAATCTAACCTTGTTATACTTCTTGACTTCTACCCAAGCTTTCTTGAACTCTGAGTCTTCCAGGAAGTTTTGCAGCTCTTGGAGTTTTTCGAGCTTGGTGAGATATCCATAGCCTCCCAATTTTGAGGCAATAAGTTCGCTCAGCTTTGGATTGGCTTGCTTGAGCCATCTTCTAGGGGTAATACCATTGGTAACATTGGTAAACCGTTCTGAGCCATAGATCTTGACGAAGTCCTTGAAAATTGTCGTCTTAATCAACTCGGAATGCAACTCAGCAACACCGTTAACCCTATGAGAGCCAATAATGGCTAGGTGAGCCATACGGATGTTTTTTGGCGAAGACTCTTCAATAACAGAGACTCTTGTAAGCAGGTCTCTCTCTTGAGGAAACTTCCTCTCAACCTCCTGCAAAAACTCAAAGTTGATTTGGTAGATAATCTCCAGATGTCTTGGCAGCAGGTTGGCAAATAGCTCCAAAGGCCATTTCTCCAGTGCTTCAGACATAACGGTATGGTTCGTGTAGCCAAAAGTTCTAGTCACAATGTCCCAAGCTTCATGCCAATCAACCTTCTGCAAGTCCACCAAAATTCGCTGCAACTCAACCACCGCGATGGTCGGATGTGTATCGTTTAATTGGATGGAAACATAGTCGGGTAATTGTGAGAATGGTTTCTTAGTTTTCAAAAACCGTCTCACAATGTCGTGCAACGATGCTGCAACCCAAAAGTACTGCTGCTTCAGACGTAGCTCTTTTCCTTGATAGAAATTGTCGTTAGGATACAAAACAGCCGTAATGGACTCTGCTCTTTGTTGCTGCGAAACGGAATTGGTGTAATCTCCTTGGTTGAATTTCTGGAAATCGAACTCCGTGGTAGGCTGCGATGACCACATTCTCAAGTTGTTGACATTGCTTGTTTTGTATCCCGGAACAGGAAAATCATAAGCGACTGCCAAAACTCTCTCTCCTCCATGCCATTGCTTATACAGGCCACCGGTTTTCTCATCCTTTTCAGTGGAAACGTAGCCATAGAAGTCCACAGGAATTTGGATCTCTGTGCGAGGAATCTCCCATGGATTTCCAAATTTCAGCCAGTAATCAGGGGCTTCAACCTGGTAGCCGTCAACAATCTTCTGTGCAAAAATTCCGTAATTGTATCTCAAACCGTATCCCCAACCCGGATAATTGCCGGTAGACAGGGAATCCACAAAGCAGGCAGCAAGTCTTCCTAGTCCTCCGTTTCCAAGACCAGCATCTGGTTCGGTTTCAATGAGGTCTTCAAGACGGAATCCCAGCTCATTCGTGGACTTGTTACACAAGTCCTTTATATCCAGATTGATTATAGCGTTGTCTAGAGCTCTACCCATCAGAAACTCCAATGAGAAGTAATAGACACGTTTCACCTCCTTTACGGTATGCAACTGCTGAGTTTTATTCCACCGCAAAATGAGCTTGTCTCTGACAGAGCTCGATAGAGATTGGTATGCGGCCAGGTTGTCGCAGTTGTACATTGACCGCGCCAAAGTGGTTTCCACATGGTCGATGAACCGTGCTTCCAGTTCCTCCGCAGACTCAAACTCCTTGGTTCCATACTTCTGCCACGCTTCGCGGGCCTTCAGTGGAATGGAGTTGTCAATTGCTTTAATCTCCGTGGGTGTGAAGCCCGTAAGCGATCTCTTATGGCCTTTTTCAGAACCACTAGAAAAAAACATGATATACTATCTTAGCGGTACTCAGCAAGTTCAATTGAGTACTTCTGTTGCAATTCTAAGCAGATTATTACGTCTTGCTTGCTCTGGTGCGGTACAAAATATTAACTGGGCAGCTGCTTTCCCCCCTTTTATATTTATTATGGGTTGCATCTGGTATTCACACACCCAAATCATATGATCCGATAAAAAAGGAGCTAATGAAGGTTGTGCTCGATTCAGATGATAGCGGGAGACTCGATAGTTTTCCCCGAATAGTTTTCTAATCCCTCCCCAGAGTAGCTCGTCAGCGGGCTGACCTCAATTTCGGAGCCGCGCAGAATAGCTCTCGCCTTTGTCAGCCAGCGTGCGCTTCTCATGAGCAGATTAGCTTTGCATGTTTCGGGGCCATCGTTAGCACTCCCTGGAGCATTTTTCAGTGGCGAAAACTCTTCAGCTCTGTCCACTTCTAAGCAGCCAAACTTATCCATCTCGACGCTTGAGAATACGTCAAAAATAAATTGCTCCAATTTAATTCCGTTTGGCTCGCTGGGTTTGACGATCTCTCCAGATCCCACGTCAAAGCATGCGATTTTCTTTCTGGCAACGTGATATGGCAGATACTTGCGGTCGGATATCCAGTTTGGAATCATTTTCTGCAAAAAGGCGACATTATAATAATGGTTCACAATATTAGCTGCTCTAAAAAGTAGCAGGCCCTGTGAGTCACGTTGTTCCCTTAGCTCCTGGCTAACTTCTGAGTATTCAATAACAGCCGGGTGTTTGGTTTCCTCATCCATCACTATTAGCCCAACGCTTTCGTCGGCGCTTCTCTTACGGACCACCTTGGTAGCAATATTATATTTGTTGGTGGAAGCATAGCCAATAAATAGTGGATCTCCAACTTTGACTAGAACATTGTCGACACAGTACATGTGTATATGCTCAATTCCTCGTTCAGCAAAGTCTTGCAACAGCCCGTTGTCATAAATTGCCTTGTAAAGTCCCCCGTTTCCATCGGGACTCTCAACCAAAAAACTTTTGGATTCCAATAACAGTTTGGTTCCATCCAAAGAAACTGCAGGAAGTGTTCCTTGATCAAAAAAGACGACTTGAGAGGATTCCAGGCCAAAATATTTATTTTTGATAAAAAACTCCTCGGTAGCTGCTCTAGTAGGTCCGGAGGTCATGATATAAAGGGGAATCAATTTTTTGGCGTTGGCTAGTTGTTGCACTTTCTTCAACCTCTCGGCCTGAAGTTGGAATAATGACTTTTGAGATGGAAGGCCAACATTGTAACAGCCTTTTGGAGCCGCCGATCCAAGACGACTCCCTTGTCCACCAGCCATCAGGATAACTCCTACTTTTCCCTTAGCGATAAGGTCCAATCCCACATCATCCCACTCCTTTAGAGTCTCAGGGGGGGTGTCTAGTGTTGAGGCACACGCTTGTATCGGTAAAGGGGAAAACCGCTTAGACTTTGAAACAGACGTGCTATACCTAATCGCGTCCTGAACTTCTTGGAGATATTTTGTTGGGTCAGGGATCTGTTCCAATTGGGACAAAAGGCGCTTGCGTTCAGCATCATTTAGATCCCCAAATGACGCAAAAATGTGCGCCTGGCCTGCAGAGATGTAGCGTTCCTGAATTTCAGACATGAAACTAAAAGCGTTTTTTTTTGATCTGTTCCTGTTTATATTTTACTGTTTAGAAATATATTAGCACATCTCTACACCTTCAATATCCGAGCTGTTTGAGGATAAAGTCTGCCTCTCTCTTACCACTGATATAGGCCCCGTGGGCACCAGTGTGGCCTTCGTAGCAGTATGCTTCCCCAGCAAACCGCAAGCCCTTGACACCCTCAATAAGACCCTCATTGACTAGGACATCACCAACTGCGTTTCCTGAAACAGAGCCTCTGCTGAAAGGATCAGAAGACCAATTTGTTGAGAACACAAGCTTTGGTTTTGGAAGCTCAGTTTGTTTTCTACCAGAGAGTTTAGCAATGATAGGCTCAAGCAGTTTAGGCCCATATTTCTCAACATTCTCTTCGAGCAAATGAGATGCGGGAGCGGGGACCAGGAACATAAGTGCGGGAGCATTTTTCACAATTTTTAGGTTTACAGCCAAAACAGGGAAGTCAAATGCCTCTAGCTTGTCTGCTTCTTCCTCAGTAAGTTTCTTGTTGTATTCTGAAGTTGGGAAGCTGGTTGAAGTGGACACAGATTCATCAGGCTTGGGAATAACAACGAATTTTTCTGTTGCTGGCCAGAAATCCTCGTCGTATTCATAGATCACCTTTCCGAGCGCGCAGAAGTGTGTCTTCGAGAAATTGTCGGTGATACTCTTAGGTAAGTCTGGAACAAATGTGATTGCACCCTTGGCGTTAGGATCCTCAACACTCAATTTCAAAACAGACTGAGGAATGGTGACAACCACAAACTTGGAGTAAAGAGCATCGCCAGTCTCAGTAGTGATCTTGTATCCGGAATCTGTCTGCTCAATCTTCTTCACAACCGTTTCCGTCCAAATGGACTCGCTAGGATATCCTTCGATTTCACTCTCCAGCACTCTCTTGTAACCACCAGACACAAATGCGTCTCTTCCGACGTAAGGGGGATTGGCCAATCTGGCAGAGAACATATCCCATTGCATCCCATTAGGGATTTCTGCCAGTCTCAGCAGCGAGGGTGCCCATTTCTTCTGTTCGTCTGACAATGTGGGTCCCATTCTGGTCAAATATTCTGCGCAGGCAGTCTTCAAATTCACGTCTTCCCCAGGTCTAGATTGGGCATATAATTTGATTTCCTCAACAATCGGACCGACATTCGCAGTAAGGGGTCCTTCAGGTCCAATCACGGCTGCTGAGTTCTCATCGAAGAAATATTCGACATTCTTTTTTTGTAGAGCGTTGTGGAAAAGTGGGTTGCTAACGGTGGCATGAAACCAGCAGGCACCAATATCATAGTCATATTCCGAATTTGGTGGATGATAGGTGTATAGCCTTCCGCCGATCCTGTCCCGAGCTTCCAAAAGTAGAGTACTTAGTCCCTTCGAGTGCAATTCTGTGGCTGCCTTGATGCCCGCAATTCCAGCGCCGACAATCGCAACGTCAACAGTCGTCATAATTACTTGATACAATCAGACTAAAAAAATACCCCCGTCGGATAAAATACTCGAAAAGTTATATAAGATGTAAAAAATGCAATCTACCGTTAAATGCTCTAAATGACTCTATACTTTTTCTGCGCTCAGATCCGACTTAATTCGGAATGTTTGGCCTCTCCATTCGATCCGCGACCCTAAAACAGCGACAACCCAGATTGGGAACGCCAACAACTCACGCAAACACCAGTGGATAAAAAACCATTTGATGCCTTTATCTGGAGTTTTCCGACTCTCGAGCCTGATGAAAAATGGCTCCTGTGGGCCTCCACCACGAACGCAATCAAACAAGTGTTGTAGCTGGATGTAGTCAGTTAGAAACCATGCAAGGACGTGAAAGACAAAGTATGATCTCGAAAACAGAATGTTCTGAAAAATCACACCAACAGCAAAGCTGCCATATAGGCCGCAGAGAAGACACTCCGTCGTAGGCTCTAAGAGTGTAGCAGCAAGAACCATGTATTTGCGGACCCTGAGCCATCTAACTCTTCGATAGCAGTAGTCCATCAAACAGTTTGAGCCTCCAAGCGGTTGGACCACGCAGTCACCTGTCATGCCAGTGCGTCCGTGACCATAATCCCACAAAGCAATGCCAATCATGTTGTCCTCTCCGATGTATCTAGCAAAAAACCGTATTCCTTGGCCCGGCTGCAAGCTGTAGTACCTCGCATCCTTGTGAATGTCACCACTTTGGCCATTGGAGCTGGGAGCGGTTGCAAGTTGTCCCATGCGATAGACAGCCTCATCAAGGTCCGAACGCCTGTAAACGTTGGATTTTCCATTCACGCAGGGAGCAACAGCAAGCTCGTTAAAGGAAACATAGAACTTCGAGTGCGAGGTGGCCAGGAACAGCTCATCCAAATTGGCCCCTAGCGTAGCTGTCGGGAAATCTCCCAAGGACACAGCTAGCGGGGCGTGGTGAATCAAGCTAACTTTTCGCGAAGTAAGACAACCGTTGTTCAGTGACTGTGTTAGAGACACCACAGATCTTTGCAATGTATCTGGATGAGACCACACATTGGAGTCCTGAATCCAAAGAATGTCATACTTTGCAGCTTTGTATCCCTTCGCAAGGTTGTTAACCTTAGGATTGGGCCCAAAGGTGTCTTTAGAATCTTGATGTTGATCGATCATGAGCTTGGCATCCACATCTGGATACTGTGGGATGAGCCCCTCGACCACCGGAATTGACGGATCATCCTTGTCCTGAACGCAGAAGATTAATTCCAGCTTGGATTTGGGGTATTTTTGTTCGAACGAGGACCGGAGGCAGATTTCCATTTCTGGATCAATGCCTTTCAGTGGTCTCAGGATGGTGACGCCCTCCAGTTCCGCGCTTTTGATCTGTGAATCTATCTTCGACCTGGAATTTCGCGTGAACTTGAAAATAATATGAAAAAAACCGTTGTATGCAACGGTTATGACCACTAGGTACCATATAAAAAAGACGTATGCGAGCAGGCTTACCAGCACCGGTCTATCCATGGGCTCATCGCGGTTGTTCATGATTGAAAAAACGAGTGAAATCAGGCTTTGTAGTTATTCACCCAGCTAGATCATGAACAATCAACGGGTAGCGAAAAAAAAATGGACCTATAGTACAAATAAAAATGTTTTGAGGTCTATCGGCGCGTCGCCGTGGCATGCACCTCAGCGTTCGAAGACAAAGCCGGTGCTTGAAACACACGTATGGGATTCACGTGCTGGCAGCATCAAGATCGAGCAGCGAGAAGAACAAGTATCGTCTTGATATTTTTACCTGCTGCACACTGCACTAAGTAAGATCCTGCACACCGAAAATATTTCTGAATAATCATTATTTTTCAAGTCAATTAACTCGTTTACGATGAGCGACAACCACGACCATAGATCTTATCTGCCACCTTCCCCGCTGTCACAGCCGTTGACAGGAAATGATAGAGACTCCGATACTCCAAAACCTGCTCTGGCTCCTGTGCATCCCAAGCCCGTGCGAGAGCCTTATTACAAACGGTTGAACACACCTCTTAATACCAGACCTGCTTCCCCATATACCTTGAATCCTCCTATAGACTCGGATGGTCTTTCGTGGCCTTCTCTTGGTGCAAGAGCGCGGATCGAATCCAACGAAAAGGAAGCCAAAGCTAGAGAGGACAGAATAGCAGAGGCCGTCAAGACGATTCTGACTGAACTAGGAGAGGACGTTAATCGCGAGGGTCTGCTGGAGACTCCGCACCGGTATGCAAGAGCCATGCTTTTCTTCACCAAGGGCTACGAGGAAAACATAAAGGATGTGATCAAACGTGCTGTTTTCGAGGAAGACCATGATGAAATGGTAATTGTTAAAGACATCGAAATATACTCGCTTTGTGAACACCACCTAGTTCCGTTCTTCGGCAAAGTCCATATTGGATACATTCCCAACAAGAAGGTTCTGGGGCTGAGCAAGCTTGCAAGACTGGCTGAAATGTACGCTAGACGATTTCAGGTCCAGGAAAGACTTACTAAGCAAATAGCTATTGCTTTGAGCGAAATTCTCCAGCCAAGGGGAGTTGCCGTGGTGATAGAAGCTACTCATATGTGCATGGTGAGCCGTGGAGTTCAGAAAAGTGGGGCCATTACTTCCACCAGTTGCATGTTGGGATGTTTCCGTGCCCAACAGAAGACCAGAGACGAATTTCTTACACTTTTGGGAAGAAGATAACTTTTTATCGATTATTATATGCAGTAATGTACACCCTTCATTTCTTTTTCTTCGAAAGACTCGAGCCGATAGTGATATTCACTTTTGGCGGAACTGGGAATCCAAACGATTTGCCAACTTTCACCAAGTCAAGCTTATCAACTTGGTACACCGTCTTGAGATGGTGGGATGCATATGCTTGCAAATATGCTCGGTACCCATCTTTAGCAGATTGATGGAGCCAGTAGTTGTTCTTGACAAGCTGCTCCAATTGAGACTGCACGTTGGCGATCTTGTTGGCTGGGAACTCATACTCATTAAGAGGAACTTTGGCAGCCTTCAGATATCTCAGGAATCCTAGCTCTGACGGAGTCAAAAACATCAGCGATTTACCCTTTCCTTTGCTTCCTCTAGCAGTACGTCCAACACGGTGGATGTAATCACGAGGATCATCAGGTGGATCGAACTGGATGATCCAGTCGACCTGTGGAATATCAAGACCTCTAGCAGCCACGTCCGTACAAATCAAGATTCCCTGTTTGGCGTTGCAAAATTCGAAGAACGTGTTGGTACGCTTTTGCTGCTTCTGTTTCCCGTGGAGATCCAAAACTGGTAAATCGATATAATTCAGAAGCTCACTGTAATATTTCACACAGTTACAAGATGACAGGAAAACAATAACCTTCTTCTTGAGGTTCCGCTTGAGGAACGAGAACAAGAGCAGAAACCGCTTGTCGCTGTCGCAAACGACGTATCCTTGTTCAAGCCCATCGGCCGTTGAATTCTCTCTATCTTGGTGAACGTTGATATATAATGGTGCCTTGTTGAGAGACACTCTAGCCAGATCCTCAACCTTGGTTGTCTGGGTAGCAGAAAACAGCATGGATTGCCGTTTTTCATTAGGCAGGATCTTCACAATTTGCTTCATTTCATCCTCAAATCCAATTTCCAAGATTCTATCTGCTTCGTCTATAATCAAGGTCTTCAAGTTCTTGAATATGAATCCTTTCGTATTTTGCAAATGGTCCAGCAATCTTCCCGGAGTGGCAATAATCATGTTCACACCTTTCGCTAATTTCTCAGCTTCTTGACGTCTGTTTGCACCACCAATAAGAATTCCTAGAGTTTGAGAATGGTGTGCCATTAATTCACGAGCAACACCAAAGATCTGGAGAGCCAACTCTCTAGTTGGTGTAATGACAATGGCACCCGCTCCGTTACGAGGCTTGAACTTAAGCGAGTACAGCAGCTCAATGGCAGGAATCAAAAATGCAAGAGTCTTACCAGAACCTGTTTTGGCGGCTCCAAGCACATCTTTTCCGGCCAGGAGTGGTGGAATGGTTCTGGCTTGGACCTCAGTCATCTTGGTGAATCCCATGTCCTGAATACCCTTCATCGTTGGCTCAGAGAGGTGAAGGTCAGCAAATTCTTCGGGGTTTTCCTTGATCTGTGGTCTGGCAGAACGATCAGACTCTTCCTCTCCCTCCTCTCCATCTTCGTCTCCTTCCTCTTCTGCTTCCCCCTCGTCCACTTCTTCTTCTTCCTCTTCTTCCCCTTCTTCTTCATCCCCAGATTCGTGGCTGACATCGTTTTCTTCCTTGTCCTCTAGTTCCTTTTCGCTTTCGCTGTCTTTCTCTAGAAGCGCTTCAACATCATTATACTCGTTATTAATCGCGGTAACAAGAGAATCTGTATTTTCTTCAACTTCTTCTTTCTCTATGCGTTGTCTTTTGGACTGTTTCGGGCTCTTGGCCACCTTTCCGTGAGAACGTTTAGCCATCTAGATCAAAAGTTTTCTAGCTAAGAAAATTTTTATTTCATGCATGCTTAGGTAATGGTAGCAGATCGACCAGCAAAAATATCAGATAAGTTGATCCAGAGAGCTTGAGCAGCTTATGCCATATGCGACCATCAGGCTGATAATACCAACTTCGAAATGGTATACTTGGTTTAAGAACACAACTCATCACATACTCTTCTCGCTGATGTTAAGGTTTTTCCCAGATTTAGAATTTGCAGGAATTAAAAATCAGTGTTTATACAATCAGAAAACTTATGCCTTGAACCAAGCAAGAGGGGTGGCTTATTCGATGTGAATAACACTCTACCTTTCTAAGCGGCCTTAGACTTGCACTTTTTCGAACTAATAGATTTGATAGTATAACAATATTTATGTCGTGCCTCATCAGCCACCCGCGCCACAAACAGCAAGATAAGTATTTTCGATGGACTTATATAAGTAATAAAGCAGCTCCATATTGCCATCTATCTATAATGTCTGAAAAGAAAACTTTTATTGTACGTGCAATTGACATAATTGACATCACAACTAACCATCCAGGTCACACTGAAGGAGAACTGCTCGGACCCAGCAATTGCTAAGTAAGTGACATCGTGGTTTCAAACTAACAACTCAAGGTTCAAGGAAGGAATCAAAGCCGTGGGGGGCGAAATTCAGCATGAGTATTCACTGATCAAGGGCTTTTCGTAAGTAAGAAAGATACTTGACTAACATACAGTGTCAAACTGCCATCGCTGCATGTTGACTCTCTTCTGCACAAAAACGAAAACGTTGCGTCTGTGGAGGAAGATCAACAGGTTCACACGCAGTAGGACTTCACGAACTTTTGATTAGAGCCTGCGGCTCAGACATGTTTTATAGCACTGCTTCGGTGTTATTGTTCTTTGGCTATACGTACTTTACATAATCATGAGAAATGTTGACTTGACTCAGATTAGTTAAATTAATTTGTGACTCTTCGCGAACTGTGTCCCCGCGGTGATCGCCGGCATCGTTCTCACTCACATTTAAATACGTATTATTCTCCGGGAATTTTTTTTTTGGTTTAACAGATTCATCTTCTGTTCAAATATTAAATGGCTGACGTCGTACTAGGTGCCCAGTGGGGTGATGAAGGAAAAGGAAAACTGGTGGATATCCTCTGTGATGACATCGAGGTTTGTGCCAGATGCCAAGGAGGAAACAACGCAGGTCACACTATCGTTGTCGGAGACAAGAAGTACGACTTCCACATGCTCCCGTCCGGACTTGTGAATCCGAAGTGTGTCAACCTGGTTGGATCTGGTGTTGTTGTGCACATCCCGTCGTTTTTCGAGGAGCTAAGCAAGATCGAGGAGCAAGGTCTCGACTGCAAAGACCGTCTTTTCCTATCTTCTAGAGCGCACTTGGTGTTTGACTTCCACCAACGTGTTGATAAACTTAGAGAGGCAGAGCTGTCCACCAATAAGAAATCCATCGGTACCACTGGAAAAGGTATCGGGCCAACGTATGCCACGAAAGTGTCCAGATCTGGTATTAGAGTCCACCATCTTGTTAGTGACGAGCCAGATTCGTGGAAGGAGTTCGAAACAAGATTGAGGAGACTTGTGGACACTCGTTTCAAAAGATACGGCGAGTTCGATTTTGATGTTGAAGCAGAGATCGCCAAGTACAAGGATCTGCGCGAAAAAATCAAGCCCTTCGTGGTGGACTCTGTCCAGTTCATGCACAAGGCTCTAAAAGAAAAAAAGAAGATCCTTATCGAAGGTGCAAACGCTTTGATGTTGGACATTGACTTCGGAACCTATCCCTATGTGACGTCTTCCAATACCGGCATCGGTGGTGTGCTGACAGGACTTGGTATCCCTCCTCAGAGCATCAAAAACATATATGGTGTTGTCAAGGCCTACACTACCAGAGTCGGTGAAGGACCATTCCCTACGGAACAATTAAATGAGGTCGGCGAGAAGCTGCAGGACATTGGTCGCGAGTACGGAGTGACGACTGGACGGAAGAGAAGATGCGGATGGCTGGATCTTGTTGTGGTCAAGTACTCGTGTCTCATAAATGGATACACCTCCTTGAACGTTACCAAATTAGACGTTTTGGACACTTTCAAGGAGATCAAGGTTGCTGTTGGATACAGCTACAACGGCAAAAAGCTCGAGTCATTCCCTGAAGACTTGTACATTCTGGAGAAAGTGGATGTCGACTATGTCACTCTCCCGGGCTGGAACCAGGACATCACCACGGTGAAGACCTACGACGCCCTGCCTGAGAATGCCAAGAAGTATCTCAAGTTCATCGAGGACTTTTTGGACGTTCCTGTCCAGTGGGTCGGAACAGGTCCAGGCAGAGCTAGTATGCTGGAGAATCGTTTGTAAAGGGGAAAACTAAAGGCTGTCTAGAGAATTGATATACGAAAACTATTTTTTTGCTTTCAGTCACGTGATGACACATAATAGAGATAGTTGGAATTGCTCAATCCCAACAGCCACGATTAAACCACCAGCAGATCAGCCTTAGTTATGTTTGTTGTGGCAACTCTTTAGCTAAATTTTCCCTGATCGAGCCGGTTCCCTTCATTTCGTCATAGAATGGTACTACCATGAGCAATCAGTCATCAGATATTCAGCGATTCCTGATCGAGCTAATCAACTCATCAAAGCCGAAGGTGTCGCCCAACAGGGCCATCAGGTTCCCTGTCGAGCCCATGACGGACGAGGATTTGGAGTTTTTCAAACTTGCCAACGAAGTGGTCAAGAAACATCAGTATCGCATAGACCCTACTATTAGAGACATCTTGAACAGGCTTCAATATGCACACTCGCCACACGGGGGTCTTCCTATAGCGAGAGAGTATTTGGGTGCGCAGGCGAACGGGCTTATTGGCCAGCGCGAGTTCCCGTCGGCTACAGAGATGGAACCCAGAGGAAGTCGCAGCTCAGAGATGTTCCCTCACTTAGACCAGGATGTCTTCAAGCGCCAACAGCAATACCAGAACGGCCAGGTGGGGTCCTCTTTGTATGCACAGCCAGCACAGTCACAAAATACAGAACTTATTAGCCAACTAGCTGCCAGTATCAAGAGCATGGACCCTGTGGCACAGCAGGAGCTGCTGCAAAAGCTCTCTGGAGCAATGTCTACGAACGGGTCATCACAGTCACCAAATTCGTCATCTACGCATCCGCAACAACTGCCGTTGCTTCAGGGGCTCGGCTTCCTGGGAACAGCCCAAAATACGAGGGACAACGAACGGGCGTCGAATCCCAACCACTCGACGGCGACAAGTCCCGAGCCACAGCCAAAGAGTCATGTTTGCGGGACATGCTCCATGACGTTCAAGCGCTCGTCGGACCTCAAAAGACACGAGAAAATCCATCTGGAGGTGCCTCCGAACATCTGTCCGCAGTGTCAGAAAGGGTTTGCTCGCAAAGACGCATTGAAACGACACATAGACACGCTGACATGCAAGCGCAACAGAGAGCGTTTATTGTCGAAGCTTAATGAGGAGAACCTGAGCGATTCAGAGTGAGCCTGTGTATATTATTGAATTCAGATGTATATCTGCCACCAGCTCCGAGCTTTAGTAATTGCGACTTGATCCAGGGCTGCGTAACCACTTGTCAGCTCGTCGAAAAATGTCGATTTGGAAAAAAAAATGAAAAATTCGTACCAAGACAGCTGATTCAAAATGCCTATTGACCCAGAAAAGCTCGCAAAGTTGCAAAAGGCCTCCGCCAAGAAGGTCGGTGGACAGAGAATCAAGGCAAAGAAGGTCAACAAGAGTGCCGAGGCCGATGACACCCAGCTGCAAAACACCCTCAAGAAGCTGAACGCTGAGGTTTTGACCGGTATCGAGGAAGCCAACTTCTTCAAGGAGGACGGCAAGGTCTTGCATTTCAACAGAGTTGGTGTCCAGGCTGCTGCTGCCTACAACACCTACACTTTCAGCGGTTTCGCTCAGGAAAAGACTTTGCCAGAGTTAATACCAAACATCTTGCCACAATTGGGTGCTGAGAACCTCAGCATGTTGCAAAAGCTTGCTGAGCAATTCCAAGGAAGCCAAGCTGGCGCTGCTCCAGCAGCCAAAGAGGAGGAGGACGTTCCAGAGCTGACTGAGGGCGAGACTTTCGAGAATGATGTTGAGTAGAGCAGATACATAATGAATGTATGACTACCATTATTATTGCACTGGCAAATATTCCGGAATACATACAAAGAAGGTGCTAGTAATTATCTAATCAGGCAAAGACCACCATCAAGGCAAGGACGAAAGCGTAGGTCGACTGCAATCCGACGTGGAGGCCCGCGGCACCGGCGTGTAGGTTGGTCTCGATAGCAGCCGAAGACCCACTTGGTAGAGTGTGAATAGACGTGCCGTTGCCTGGGACAGCAGTAAAGACAGGCGATCCGGGCCAGGAAGAGACGGCTCTAACTGAAGAAGCCGGCGTCACGGTCGTGATTACAGATGTTGGGGTTCCTGACGTCACAGAGAATGGGGGAGGATAAGTCGAGGAGGTAACCGGGACTGCTGGGCTGCTCTGGGACAAGATGGTCGTTGATGGAGCAGGCGGTGAAACCACAGACGAGTGAGGAGGAACAGGGGACGGTGTCTCAATGGAGTGAGTCGTTGTCGATGGCAGTGGACAGTAAGTGGTGAAAACCGTGGTAAATTCCTCAAATGTCTGCGTCGTGACCACACATCCGGTGGTGATCGTGGATCCTTCCGTGGTGATGACCGTGGTCCACGTGGTTGGAGGCTCTGAGCTGGTGCTTGCAATCACAGAGCTGTGTGAGGAGGGCACCGTAACAATAGAGGCGAGAGAGCTGCTATGCGAGGTGACAGGAGTCGAGCTAGACTCCTCGCAGTCAGAGGTCTTGGTGCTATCCACTTCCCTGTCGGAGGAATGGGTAGACGAAGGATGTTTTGGAGCAGTGACTGTCACATAGGCAGTACTGGTTGTCTCTGATTGCCAGTCATCACCAACAGGCCTAGCTGGAGCAAGGGCCAGAAGGAAAGTAGCAGCAGCCAAAATCTTGTATCCCAACATTATATGTAATTAAGTTTAAGGTTTTGATTGTCGTCTGGCCTTTAAATATATACTCAATGGGAAAAATTCTGCATTTCTATTCTGGACTGTTGAATATCCGTGTGCTGTATGCCATCTACCTCTTTGATTGGTCTAGATCTCATTGGGAGCCACCCTAATGTTTTTTCTGCAACCACCGGTAACAGAATTTTTTATTGATAAGTGAATTTCCAGATCTTGCCTGTTGAAGCCAGACGTGCAAATTCCAAGAGCCTGCTGCCAAGAAATCTGACACTAACCTTATTGATGTTTTAGGCAATACAGAGAAATATTCCCATTCCAGTAGTCGATATAGCGCCATATACGATTCTATGTTTGATCAAGAGAGACAGGTTTGCGCATTTGCAACAGGAATGAAATTTCTCTCTTGACTCAAATTTCCTCAAGCTGGTGATTAGACGTGCCTTGTTTCGCGCGCAATTGTTCTGCGTAGTACATGCTGTTCAACCAAAAATAGCTTTCGAAGCCAGTGGAATCAAAATTTGGGCAAGTCGGAGCTCGTCGAGATTCTGTGGATCCACCTCAATAACATCTTGCGTACAAAATTGCTGTACCAGATCATCGTCGCTGCTGACGTCGGATCCATCTAGTCGGTTCTCGAAATCGTACTCAATATTCTGCAGCATTGCAAACCGCTTGAAGCTAGTTTGGTACTGCTCTTTTGTAGAAAGCAATTGCTGGTAGATTGGGGATTTGATTTCATACAAATTTGGATCAGCCAATTCCACAGCTTCTATATTCCTGCCGGTGATTTTACTCAGTTGCTGTATATCTCTTCTGTGTCTCTCTAGTATGAGAATCTCCAGCAGGCGGTCATGTAATTTCGAGGTCGTCGTTGGGACAAGCTCATAGTTCCCGTCCGGCTTCTTCTCGAGTCCTCGGAAGATCAGCGAGCTGTGGTCCTGCGGAATGCTGTCAAATAGATCAAGACGGAAATCAATCATCTCCTGAACATCCCTCTCTCTCGCATGCTTGATTTCCTTGAAAAGAAAGATGTTGTAGTCGAGTGGAAAGTCTGAGACTTGGGCGAGCTTTTGAGAGCTGTCCGTCTGCAATTTAGCCAAACTCGGTGGAGACTGCAAAAAGGACATTTTCTACAAAAAATATTTAATAATGTCGTCTTTTGTTGTCGATCTTTGGGACTCGGTTTTCCAGCCGGGAGCAACGCCCACACTTGTGAAAGCGACCCACGCATCTTTCGTTTGCTTGGTCATTTCGCTGCTGGTGATGATCTTCCTTAGCCGGTCTATTCACTTTGTTAATTTGCTGGTGATCTCTCTTCTGCTATGGGGATCCGTGACGTGGTTTATTGGAGAGATAGCGAAAGAGAAGATTAAATTGGGGCAGAACGAAAAGGAACAGCCGGCCAAGAGGCCGGAAGACACCAAAAAAGAGAAATAGACCGCGTAAACACGCTGCGAGACCGGCTCAGCCCAACTATTAGCTCAGCCATTACTAATATAATTTTCTAGATTTAATTATACTCATGAGCAAGAAATTCATGCCAAAGACGCCCGTGGACTTGGCTCCGCCACGGAACGATCCCATAACAATGGCTGAACTTGCGAAGTGCGATGGTAAGTTTTTTTTTGCAAACGCACTGCGACCTCTAACAGAAAGGCGAGCAAACGGACAAGATGTACATAGCTATCAAGGGTACAGTTTTCGATGTCTCGCACAACCAAGCTGCCTACGGTGTCGGTAAGGGCTACCACGTTTTTGTTGGCAAAGACGCGTCACGAGCTCTTGGGAAAAGCTCTTTAAAGCCTGAAGATACGTCACCTGATATAAGCTGGGATTATTCCACTTTGACAGAAAAACAATTGAAGGTCCTGGACGACTGGTTCACATTTTTCAGCAACAGGTATAATATTGTTGGTCATGTAAGCGATCTGCCTATAAAGAAGAAGACCTAAGCCATCGGGATGAGGACCGAGGCTACCTATTTATAATGTTTCAGCTGCGAATGTTTATTCAAATCTTTACACCGACAGAAAAGTCGTGCACGGTGTTTGTAATTCAAGGGGTAGTAAAAGTAAATAACAGGACTTAAGTCAATTTTGTTTTGATTCAAAAAAGTTTTATTTTGCACTAGCCCTCGTTTTTCAAGTGCAAAATGGACCAGGCTATGCTCGTCAACAACCGCAGGCCCCAAAATGTTGTGGACGGGGTGCCTAGCAGCAGCATGAGTCGGGCATTGGGCGATAGTGCTTTCATAGATGTTCGAAAAGAAGCCCCGTTGCCCAACAACAACAGACTGCATTATGGTAACCAGCCAGGACCATATTACCCTCCAGCACATTACCAGGGATACCAGAAACCTTATCCGGGGGCATACCAGGTTCCACATCAGCGACACGATATGTACATGCCCATGCAGCCTCAGGTAGACTATTATGGCCGGCCGGCTAACATGGCACCTCCGAGGATGTATGGCGAAGGAGCATCGCATTCGAGAAGAAGCTCGCTTGTCTCGAACTCTTCCAGCTCAGTGAACAAGTTTTTCAAGAGAGGAATGAAGTTCGGAAAAGATGACGACGACGATGGAAACGGAGACGCGGACGGAGACGTGGAAGTCGATGCCTCGGCCAGCACCGTGTCTTTTGATGATCTGCAACATATAAGAGGTGGTGGAAGATACGGGAATGGCTCGTCTGCTTTAGATACTCAGCCTTATATCCCCACGTTATCCAACAGACCGAGAGGTCCTAACGGCCAATTGTCAAATGTGCAGTACCGTAAGCTAATGACCGCACAGAAGAAGATGGCAGCTGCACAGCTGGCAAATGCCAACAAGGGTCCTCCACGGGCAATGAGTTTGGAGGCAGGCATGATGCGGTACCCAAGAACGATGTCTATGCAATCAGCAGGTCCAGGCTACATGAGTCCTGGCCCCAGAATGGGATATGATCCAAGGGCTATGTCCATGCAGACGAGACCCCCACCATTCAATAATCAATTTGGTGGTCCCGATCCAAGCAACAGCAATCCTCCGAAGGCCATGTCGATGACCTCGAGATTTTCAAACTCGCCGTACAGGGCTCCACAAGGCATGGCTCCTCAGCCCCCCTATTATGGCGGTAAGGTGGTTTCCAATCCAGCGGTTCCAAGTATGGGCTCTGAATATCCTAAGACCAGTCAGGACATGCAAATGCCACCCCAAATGTTGCGTGCAGGCCCAGGGGGCCCCTTAGGCCAGCAGCGCGCTCCAAGTCCTTACTCGCAACAGCCTCCAACGCTGAAGCATCCTCAGCCCGTCTCCCAGCAAACTATACCCCAACAAGAACGTTACACGACAGTCAACTACAACATGCCCGGACCGATACAGCCTACCAGTGCTCTCGAATCGCAAACCATGCCAGCCTCTTCAAGCCCAGCGCAAGTCAATCCACCAGCTAATCATAATGCAGCGTATTTGCCAATGCAAAATAGACAATCTGCACAGCAATTTGCCACAGTCGAACCTCAAATTCAAGAGAAAGCATTGGAGGACGAAGAATCATCTCGTTCTATCGGTTACATAAACGGCGAAAGTAATCCACAAAGCCAACAGTTGCAGAAGGAGTATAATGGAGTGCTTGCAGAAGATAGCTTGACGTCACAGGAGGAAAGAGAAGTTCGGCCTACAAATGAGCCTACTCAGGTCCAAACTACAGCTTTTGAATATTCTTCAAACAACGCACCTCCTCCAGAGCCGTTCCAGCCTGTGAAAAAGAACAACAGGGGCAAGCTCAACAGGTATGTGTTTGCTGACAGTGATGATGAGCCTGACGAGGGTCCAGTTTATCAAGAAACAGAACTTATCAAAGAGCTGCCAAATAATGACCAAGAGCCATCAGAGAAAGTGACACCGAATAAGGAGCCAGGCGTAGACGACACTGCAAAGCCTCGGGAAATGTCACCTTCTCAACGCCAATCGAATGACTCTCAGATTTTTACGGACGCCGGTCCTCATTCTTCAGCTAAATCGGTTCTATCAACTTCTACGCAAAATCGTGATGAGCATGATGGGGCAACAAGACAGTCCTCGTACTACTCTGAACAAGCTCGAATGCCATCAGGAGGCGAGCCAGCTTCGTCTATGTACTCGGTGTCATCGTCGCATGAAAGTCCCGAAAAGCAACGCGTTGCTAGTTCTCTCGTGTATCAGCTTGCTAATGCCAGCACAACTCAGCAGGATATTTTCACAACGGCAACAGAACTGCCAATTGATGAGAAGGGACCAGACTTGGAGCAACCAAAGGTTATTGATGATATGGATGACTACGATACAAGCAAGAACAATTCGTATTCAACTCTCAATGATTTCGAGGCCCCCCAAACTGTAATCGAACAAGGTGACAGCTATTCTTTTGACTCGATTTCGAAAACTCCAGATCACACGGTAATCAGCAATGATGACGGTGAGAGCAAGGTAAAAGACCAACAAGTTGACTCCCCTGACCCAGGTCTCGTTACAGAAGAAACCGAATCTGAATCCAGGGATCTAAACGATAATTCAATCCGAACCACAAGCGCTTTGATGAGCACCGACAAACCTAACTCCTCTAACACTTCAAAAACCATGAGTCCTGTTATTAAAGACACTCCAATCGAGGACAATAAGCCAAAAGAAGGCGAAGATATACTCGATATTACTTCATCTTCAACAAGCGCGCAGATGGTAATGTCAAGAGGTCCTGATGGTCACAAGGTAGACAGCAGTTTGATGTATGCACATGAGACGCAAAGATCAGTGATTCCCGAGACTTTGCAGAATCCAGAAAACACTGTACCAATTGCCCAAGCACAAGGAGAAACCGAGGCCAAAAAACAGCCTTCTGTCCCCACGGTTAGACATTACAAATCGATGCTTTTGCCTGTTGAGAATGAAGAGGATTTGAAGAAGCGACAACCTACACAGCACAAGAGTGACGACAAGAAAGCTGACACCGATTTGGGCCTCACTCCCGACAACTCATCGGCGTCGTCAAAAGTCCGCTCCAGGAAACCACCTCCTCAGCCCATCGTATCCAACAAAGCCACGGAGCCTGAGTCCACCAAAAAATCGCCTTTTATGGGATTCAGAGAAGCGTTTTCCAAACCGGTTTCTGCAGGAAACAGCCCAAAGCTGCCTAATGCTAAGCACTTCCTAAAGAAGATCTCTAGAAGGAAGCGTGATGAGGATGGCCATGCGAATACCTCAAGTCAGAGTGATAACTCATACAAAGTTATTGGTTCTTCAACGAGCTCTGTTCAAAACAGCGGTTACGCCCACAACTACCACGGACTCACAATCAATCTACCTACAAAAGACTCGGATACCTCTTTCAAAAACAAAAAATTGCCTAAAACTCCTATTACCCCTTCGGACTCGCTCATGAACTATAGGTTGACGTTGAATTTGGCCAATGAAGAGAATGAATACAGGTTGAGTAGAATAATTGACATGGATCTTGATGAGCACAGCTTCAGTCAAAATACGAGTCTGGATGATGTTAACGGATTCAACCCCAGTGCTGATTCAGATAAGGCCACTCCTCTTGCTAACTCAAGCATGACTCTGGATTCAAGAGAGGAGCAAGTATTTGACAAACGAACTCGACTAAGTGGGCTTGCGAGTACAGAAGAGATGATTAACAATAAACTGGCAACTCCTCCTCGGAGTAAGGAAGAGGAGGAATTTAACTTCACGTCCCCTGAATCGAGCAAAACAGGAAAGATTTCTTTAGGAGATTATCCTGAAATTACTACCTATCAGCATATGATGAGCAACCGGAGCCAGCATCAGGATCAATCGTCGAATACTATGTCGTCCCTGTATGCTTTCCAGGATGCCAAGGAGAGATCACTGGCGCCACCCAGCTCGACTTTTGACATAAAAGATAGACAGATGACGCCTGTCTCTCAGCCAACAAATCAAGAAAAGAGCCAAACTGCAGTTTTCACACCACAACAATTAGAGCTGTTCAACTCGAACCAAGAACTGTTCAACGAGCTTCAAATTGTTTCCAGCGAGCTGGCCGATAGTATATCCAGAGAAATCAGACTTCAGCGCAAATTGGAAGTGAACAATATTCCGATTGAGGGAGACGTGGTGTCTGAAGAGTCAAAGATTGCAAGTCTTACACAGCAACTTGCGGATGAAAGACGCAAGAGATTTGCTATGGAAGAGTTCCTTGCTCAGCAATATAGTAAAGAATTTGATGTTGCGGATCTCAAGAACAAAGTGTACAATAATTCTGATATGGGCTACAAAGTGTTCAAGCTAACTGAAGAAAACAATTTGAACAAATCAAAGTATGAAATGATGGAGCAGGAGAACAGCGAGCTCAAGAAGAGGCTAGAAAAGCTGAGCGGCGAGAACAAGGAGCTAATCGGCACAACCATCCCGAAACTGAGAAACCAGCTGGAGGTGGCTGAAAATTCAGTTTCTGCGGCTACTTACGACTCTCTTTTGAAAGAGATTGAGCAGCTCAAGTCAGAAAAGTTGCATCTGAGGAGCCAATTGAGCTCGAAGGGCAACATTGCAGAGCTTGAGTCTCAGAAAGAAGAGTTGCGTGAGGCTCTCAAGAACGTTAAAGCTCAAAAAGAGATGGATCTAAGAATGTGCGCAGAGAGAATCCGTACCTTGGAGGCCAAGGTTGAGAAGCTTTCTCTGACGAATGAACGGTATATCGAAAAATTTGGACAGATTGCGGCTGATGAGTGACGAGCTATTTTATGATGCTGTATGTATATTGTTAAGATAGTACGAATAGATACGAAAAATAAAAAAGTGAATTTTTTCATTTGTATATTGAATACTAAAATCCATTTCGAATATGGAAGACCCTCCGCACAAGCGCAAGAGAAGCGTTTCTGATGATGAGGGATACGAGCCGTCGTTTTCAGGAGCTTCTGAGTTGCCTGGAAAATCTCTACCAGAGGTGCCTTCAGGAGGGTATCAGCAGTCAGAGTCGTGGGCCAAGAGGCCTAGACGGGCCTTATTGCCACGTGAGGTGGAGTTGGCCAAGAACATTTGCGCTGAGATTGGCAAAATTGGCGAGTTTCCCCAACAGCTGTCTCTCGACCTGGAGAACGTGTCAAATTCAATCGCGCAGGAGATCGACACCGATGATTTTTTGCGCAACTCGCTTCTCGAATTCTTAGTGGCATTGACGGTTGAACAGCCCCAAAAGGTGTTCATTGTTGGTGCATTGGTCCAGCTGACGAATTTCAAAAACCCCAAAGCCGGTCAGTACGTTCTGGAGTATTTGCATTCGCAAATACAGGACCTATTCGAACAGATTAAAGTTGCTAACGACGACGTGTTGGAATCGAGCGAGTGCGGCGTGATTACTAGACTCAAACTTCTTTTGCGTTTGGTGGCCGTACTGAGCCCAATGATGGTGTCTGCTGATCCAATCACAAAGACCTACGAGCAATTGCTGGAGCTAGCCGTCGAGCTGCAAGAAAACTCTGCCCAGCGGGTTGCCGTTGCCCAGCTGCTCTATTTCAACGTGCTAGTATCTGTGCCGTATCACTTTGCGGTGCAGAAAGATGAGGGCTTTTGGGACCGTGTACTCGAAATTGCACGCAAGTTTAAGCTCGTGGATATCTCTGAGGAAATCCAGGCCAACTACAGACATTTTAAGCCTTCTAACAGACCATACGAAGCCAAGGAACTTGTGAAACTGACTCTTCCTGCCCTGGAAGCTGTCGACAAAGAGCTTCCCTTTTTCGTCGACTTACAGCAGATTGTCAAGTCTCACGAGCCTGAGGACGTTGAGAGGCACCAGTTCCAGCACTTTAACATTCCATCTGGCGAGCATTGGGCTTCGTACAATTTGCGGGGCAATATCGATTCTCTTTGGAAGGATCCGCGCTATGTCTTGGAGTGCTTCTTGCCTTCGGTCACTGGTTTCGATACGGTTCCTCCAGTCGAGTCCTACCTTTCTATAATTTTGAGAGACGTGACTCAGGACATTGTTCAGAACATGGAGTTCAACCGCGTTACTGTTTCTAGACAACTTTTGTCACTGAATGTGTTTTTCAACGAGAAATTGTTCTCCAAACCTAACTCTTCCATCGACAAACTCACGATCCTCAACAATCTCAACTCGGGCGTGGATTTGATTAGTAGCTTGGAGAATAACGAGGAGCTCGATCCACAGATCAAAGAGTCTATGATTCAGTCCGCAACATATGTCCAACAAGAATTTGACCAGGGCTACACCTCGACGTGGAAAATGGAGCAGGTAGTCACCGAAGCCATCTTGGACCTTATGTTCCATCTTTCAGATGCGCCAAGCCCCACCGTGTACTACCAGATGCTTCTGGCAGATACATGTGGAAGAGATTGGGCGAATGTGAGACGGGCGCCTGACTCGGAAGACAAGGTCACTTTTGCCAAAGTTTTAGGTACCGCTTTTCGGTACTTCTATTCCAACTTCAAATATCTGGACTTTGAGCTTCGCGAGAGGTTTATCCTCTGGATGACTGCCCAACTCAGCAATTTTGGGTTTGACTGGCAATGGGCTGAATGGATCGACGATCTCAATACTTTGGACAAGCTATTCTACCATCCGACCATATACCTTTTCAGGAATATTATTGGTAGAGAGATACGACTTAGCACTCCCCAAACGGTTAAAGCCACTTTGCCCCCAGAGTTCCACCGCTTTTTGCGGCTCTCACTTTGGGACAAGAGACAGGTGGTTACCTTTGACAGCAAACTGTTCGGATCAAAGCTCGCAGAGTCTGCATACGAGGCCAATTATGCGGCCGAGGAGAATATAGAGGCGATCACGGAGGATGCGGGAAATGCCGATATCTACCATATTGTGGACCAGTATCTGTTCAACAACGAGGACCACCCGTACCATGAGCTTTGTCATAGTATCTACACCAACATTCAGGAAGGAGAGTCGTTGCAGCAGTTCAACGATTTGATTGTGCTCCTAAAGGAACAAATAGCCAAGGAATCTGCAGAACATCCAGGAGCTGAAGAGTATCTCATTGGCAACATCGACTGCTACATTGTGACGCTTGTGATCCAGTCCACATGTATCATAGGTTCGCGCTCGCTATCTGTGGTCGAAAGTGGCGCTTTGGAGCTTTGTGGGGCCAAGCTACGCAAGGTGCTTGGTCTTCCTGCAGCCGAAGGAGAGCACGAAGACTTGGAAAACGATCAGTTTCCGCTGCTGAAGGCGGAAGAAGTCGCTGAACGTCAAAAATGGCTAATTGATGGCGTTCTCCGCCTGTGGAACAACGAACCAAGAATTGGCTACCTGATTTTGGAAAGAATTAAAAATAAGGGATTCATCTCTACTACGCAGTTGGTGGACTCCTTTTTTGCTAACAATGAGAGTTTGACTATGATTAGCCAGGTCTATGCTAGTGAGCTTTTCGACCGGATGGTGGCGAGCTCTGGGTCAGAGGCCGAGTCAAAAGACTTGTTACAGACGTTTTACAACAAGATCATCGAGCATATCGACCTTCTGATCGAAAAGCTGGGCGACGATCGCGAGGAAATGATCTTAGGCACTGTGGAGACAGAAGAAAGCGCAGATCAAGACACCGAATTACGCTGGGGTCTGCACGGGTGCTTTGAAATAATGCGCTCAAAAGCGCGGAAATTCGCTAGCCTAACTAATTTCGAACAGCTTGGCGAGAAGATCGAAGGCGGAGTGCGGTCTGAGGTGGCTAGAAAATATGTGGCAGCGATTGTTGACGGCATTCGCACATCGGCCAATTAGTTCCGTCAGTAATTGCTGATAATTAATGTACAACAATGTAAATTGCTGCAAAAACACGGTGTAGAGAATTTTTCAATAAAGGAGAAGGAAAAACAGACACGCTCATATTTGTCCTCTGAAAAAAAAACCGGGTAACACGTGATGGGAGCCTGAGTGAAAAAGAAATCGAGGCTTGGCTATTTTTAGTAGCCAGGTCGGGATCCAAAATGACAGGGGCGGAGGCAAAGAAACGATGTTTGATATGAAAGTGTTGAAATGAGATAGACGCCATGCAATTGGTGGATGTAACCGTAAGGTTGCCAAGTCTAAATATAGAATTTCATAACCCTTTCGGATAGGCCGCATAGATGCGCCACGTCCAATTATATTTTCCTACCGCGATAAAAAACCATAAAACACCTGGATGTGGCGCAGTACATTTTGCTTTCGATCTGGCACAGGATCCACCCTGGATTTGTCCTGTTTTACCTTTTTGTTTTTTTTTAAGCTGTTAACTCTTTGACTATCTCTCTGGGTGTTAATCTCGAGCAAAGCACTATCACGACGCAAGCTCCTTATATAACTGGGTTATAAAGTTGTATATTCGAGCGCGCACAGAGAACCCCTTAGAGTTACACTGATTTGATATTCATTCGTTTACTTGAAAGGTAAGTTGGCCTCATCCTTCAGTTGAGAGTTTGATCTCGCGATATTCACGATGTTTGCTGCGTGTTCCAGTCGACATAGAACGGACACAGTTTCCACAGTGCCAATATATCAGCCGGCCCGCAAATATTATGTACCGAGCAGCAGAAAAATTTTGTTACACCGCAGATTCGCGCAGATCAAAGGGAAACTCCACCGGCACTTTTAAAAATAGCCCGTACCGAGGTGCCTGTTTCAGCTGAAATTTAGATACAAAATCATCATACTAACCTTCTTTAGTAAATAGGGATGTCGTATAACGATAACACCTATCATGACCCGAATAGGGTCAACCAAGGACAGGGTGGCTATTACAACGAAAATTATAGCCAGTCCGAAGATGCCTTTGGTCAACCGGGTCAACAGGAATACTACGATCCACAAGACCCTTACTACCAAGGTTACGCACAAGGCTATGATCAGCAGGACGCTTACTATCAGCAAGGCTATGATCAACAGTATGCCTCAGATCCTAATTTGAACCAGCAAGGGTACTACGACCAACCAGGATCGCGTGATCCGGAAGCTTATTCCGATTTTAGCTACGGTCCAGGTGGTGCTCCAGGCACTCCTTACGATGGATACGGAACTCAGTACACTCCATCTCAAATGAGCTATGGCGGACCAAGATCATCAGGTGCCTCTACCCCTGTTTATGGCGCAGGCCCATACGATCAATCGGGAATTGTCGCTTTGCCCACCGATCCATATCCTGCATGGACTGCAGACAACCAGGCTCCGGTTACTATCGAGCAGATTGAGGACGTTTTTATTGACTTGACCAACAAGTTTGGTTTCCAAAGAGACTCTATGAGAAACGTTTTCGACTACTTCATGACAATGCTGGACTCCAGAGCCTCTAGAATGTCACCAGCCCAAGCCTTGCTTTCTTTGCATGCTGACTACATCGGTGGTGACACTGCCAACTACAAGAAATGGTATTTTGCTGCTCAGCTGGATCTGGACGATGAAGTTGGATTCCGTAATATGGCTCTTGGTAAGCTCTCGAGAAAGGCCAGAAAAGCCAAGAAGAAGTCCAAGAAAGCAAGAAAGGCTGTCGAGGAGAATGGCGAGGACACAGAGAGAACCTTGAGTGAGTTGGAAGGTGACAACTCTTTGGAAGCCGCCGATTACAGATGGAAGGCAAAAATGAACGCGATGGCTCCTTTGGAACGTGTTAGACAGATCGCTCTGTGGCTTTTGCTTTGGGGTGAGGCGAACCAGGTCAGATTCACTCCAGAGTGTTTGTGCTTCATTTACAAATGTGCTCAAGATTATTTGAACTCTGAAGCATGCAGACAAAGGGCTGATCCTGTTCCAGAAGGTGACTACCTCAACAGAGTCATTACCCCCCTTTACCGCTTCATCAGGGCTCAAGTTTACGAGGTTGTCGACGGCCGCTATGTTAAGCGTGAGAAGGACCACAACAGCATCATTGGTTATGATGATGTCAACCAGCTTTTCTGGTATCCAGAAGGTATTTCCAGAATTGTTATGGAGGATGGCACCAGGTTGGTCGACTTCCCAGCTGAAGAGAGATACTTCAAATTGGGTGAAATCGAATGGAGCCACGTGTTCTTCAAAACTTACAAGGAAGTCAGAACTTGGTTGCACATTATCACCAACTTCAACCGTATCTGGGTGTTGCACATTTCCATTTTCTGGATGTATGTGGCCTACAACGCTCCAACGTTCTACACACATAACTATGTCCAAGTGCTCAACAATCAACCGCTTGCTTCCTCCAGGTGGGCTTCTGCCGCTCTGGGTGGTACTGTCGCGGTTGGTATCAACATCTTGGCCACATTATTCGAATGGATGTTTGTTCCTAGAGCCTGGGCTGGTGCTCAGCATTTGTCTAGAAGACTCGGTTTCTTGTTCTTGATCCTCGGAATCAACCTTGCTCCTGTTGTTTTCGTGTTTGCATGGGCAGGTTTGCAGACCAAATCGAGAGCAGCCGAAGTTGTTTCCATTGTGTCGTTCTTCATTGCCATTGCCACAATCGTGTTCTTGTCTGTCATGCCTCTAGGAGGTTTGTTCACTTCTTACATGAAGAAGTCCACAAGAAAGTATGTGGCATCGCAAACTTTCACCGCCTCTTTCTCTCGTTTGGAGGGATTGGACATGTACCTTTCGTGGTTCTTGTGGTTTTTGGTTTTCCTCGCAAAGTACACTGAATCATATTTCTTTTTGATTCTGTCTTTGAGAGATCCAATTAGAAACTTGTCCACTATGACTATGAGATGTCATGGAGAAAAATGGTACGGCAATGTGGTTTGCAAACAGCAGGCTAGAATCACCCTGGGTTTGATGATGGCTACCGATTTGGTGTTGTTCTTCCTGGATACATACATGTGGTACATTTTGGTCAACTGTTTGTTCTCTGTCGGAAGATCATTCTACTTGGGTATTTCCATTTTGACACCTTGGAGAAACATTTTCACCAGATTGCCAAAGAGAATCTACTCCAAGGTCTTGGCTACCACTGACATGGAAATTAAGTACAAGCCGAAGGTTCTGATCTCCCAAGTCTGGAATGCTATTGTCATCTCGATGTACAGAGAACATTTGCTAGCCATTGATCACGTTCAGAAATTGCTTTACCACCAAGTTCCATCCGAAATCGAGGGCAAGCGTACATTGAGGGCACCAACTTTCTTCGTTTCCCAAGATGACAACAACTTTGAGACGGAGTTCTTCCCAAGAAACTCCGAAGCAGAAAGACGTATTTCTTTCTTTGCTCAATCTTTGGCCACTCCTATCCCTGAACCATTGCCTGTGGATAACATGCCTACCTTTACTGTTTTCACTCCTCACTACTCCGAAAAGATTCTGCTTTCATTGAGAGAAATCATTAGAGAGGACGATCAGTTCTCCAGAGTGACCTTGCTTGAATACCTGAAACAACTGCATCCAGTTGAGTGGGATTGTTTCGTCAAGGACACTAAGATCTTGGCTGAGGAAACGGCTGCGTTTGAGAACGGCGAGGAGAAGGATGAGGACAACATGAAGAACGAGATTGATGACTTGCCATTCTACTGTATTGGTTTCAAGTCTGCTGCTCCTGAGTACACATTGAGAACCAGAATTTGGGCTTCTTTGAGATCTCAAACCTTGTACAGAACTGTTTCTGGTTTCATGAACTATTCCAGAGCAATCAAGCTTCTTTACCGTGTTGAAAACCCTGAGATTGTCCAAATGTTTGGTGGTAATGCTGAAGGATTGGAGAGAGAGCTTGAAAGAATGGCTAGAAGAAAGTTCAAGTTTGTTGTTTCTATGCAACGTTTAACCAAATTCAAACCGGAAGAGCTTGAGAATGCCGAGTTCCTGCTTCGTGCTTACCCAGACTTGCAAATCGCCTACTTGGATGAAGAGCCACCTCTAAACGAGGGAGACGAGCCAAGAATTTTCTCTGCTTTAATTGATGGGCACTGTGAAATTATGGAGAATGGTAGAAGAAGACCTAAGTTCAGAGTCCAGCTTTCCGGCAACCCAATCTTGGGAGACGGTAAGTCCGATAATCAAAATCATGCCATCATTTTCACCAGAGGTGAATACTTGCAACTGATTGATGCTAACCAGGACAATTACCTGGAAGAGTGTCTGAAGATCAGATCTGTTCTCGCTGAATTCGAGGAGCTGAACGTCGAACAGGTCAATCCTTACGCTCCTGGTCTGAAATCTGAAATCAGTAAGATCCATCACCCTGTTGCAATTGTTGGTGCCAGAGAGTACATTTTCTCTGAGAACTCTGGTATCCTTGGTGACGTTGCTGCTGGTAAGGAGCAAACCTTCGGTACCTTGTTCGCAAGAACTCTGGCTCAAATTGGTGCCAAGTTGCACTATGGTCACCCTGATTTCCTGAATGCTATCTACATGACTACTAGAGGTGGTGTTTCCAAAGCTCAGAAAGGTTTACACTTGAACGAAGATATCTACGCAGGTATGGTCGCAATGTGCAGAGGTGGTAGAATCAAGCACTGTGAATACTACCAGTGTGGTAAGGGAAGAGATCTTGGTTTCGGATCCATCCTGAACTTTACTACCAAGATTGGTGCTGGTATGGGTGAACAAATGCTCTCCAGAGAATACTACTACTTGGGTACCCAGCTTCCTTTGGACAGGTTCCTTTCTTTCTACTATGCTCACTTGGGTTTCCACATCAACAACTTATTTATTCAATTGTCTCTTCAGTTGTTCATGTTGACTTTGGTCAACCTGACTTCTCTTTCTCATGAATCCATCTTGTGTCTCTACGACAGAAACAAGCCAATTACCGACATTCAGTATCCTTTGGGATGTTACCAACTGATGCC